CTGAGTAAGAATGGCGAATTTTGTTGCAACGCTTATCAAGGAGAGGATTCCCCGTTCTGCGACGGGGTTCTGGTATGAATTGTATGGAGCTGTGTCCTTGTACTGGATACCTTCTTCTTCACAGAACTTCCTCAAAGCAGCTGGAACAAATTCCTTCTCTCCATCAAGCTTGATCCACTTCATCGTCCTCTGTGTCTATGTACTGAGAATTCTGATGGTTGCCTTGATACTATCCAGAACCTCATTCTTCTTGGTTCCGAACCCAACAACCTTGTATCGCATGGCATCATCAATCATCAGATATGCATACCGATATCCTCGGATCGAGATAGGGGTCACTGTGACGACGTCGATGTGGATGCCTGCAGCAGCCTCTTCTTCTCGAGCCATAGGATCGTGGGACTGGTATCGTGGGGCTGTTGCCTCGTTGCATACGTTGCACGGCAGATACTCGACCTTCTCGGGGTTGATCTACACTCCAGTGCTCGCCTCGATAGTCTTCGCAAGCCGTTCTGAGCTTGGATGCCCTAGGCGGCGGTGCCAGAGCTTGAGATGCTTCTTTTCCTCGTCGCTCAGCGTGGCCATCATAGCCTGGATCTGTTTTTGGTGCGGGCATCGCTCTTGTGGCGGATTCCCAATTACATTCATGAAGAACCCCCATCTTGGTACGTCGAGCATCGTGATCCACCCGCCTTTTCCATCGAAGAGAACGTCCTTGCCGTCAGTTCTCGAGCTGTACCCTCCGCTGAGGTACAGTCGTTCTCCGCTGAAGATGTTGATAGGGAAGCCATCGATCAGCACACAGTACATCAGTTCAACGACTCGTTCATCGATCTTCGAGTGGCCTGTCTTCAGGAGCAGCCGAGCCACGCCTACAGCTGTTGGGTACACTGGTCCGCCGCCCGTCATAATAGCTTCCTTCCTATCGATCTTGATCCATCAGCCTGGAAGGTACCAGAGCTCAGTGTTAACGATGTGGATATCAGAGCCTGTATCGTACAGCCAGCGGTTCCTCAGGGCAGGCGTCAGGCTGTTGCTGCTGTATGTTTGGGCTACCATTGCCATCTCAGGGCCAGGCATACCATCTCCTTCAGCGGGTCTATCGATAGCCTCGAGATGGCGGTCCAGAGCCTCGCAGATGCGCTGCCAGGAGCCCTCAGGAGTCGATGCGCTTACAGCACAGCTTGTTGGGCCTCCAATAGGGTGATTGAACGGGTAAGAAGATGCAGCCTGGTTGCTGGTTTGGGCGCTCTGTTCAGACAATGCCTGGAACGCTCCTCCTTCCTTGTTTTGATCGCTTTTCCTTCTCTTCTCTCCCTTACCATCGCTGTTATCTGGGTTGTAAGCGCCTCCGCCCTTTTTCCGGCACTCCCTCTTGATGTGGCCCTTTTTGCCACAGTTATGGCATTCTACATCCTTCTTCCAGCTGTCTCGTGTCTTCGAGCCTAAGGTAGAGTTCATCGCCTTCTTCCCCTCCTTGCCTCCGCCCTTTCCAGCCTCTTATACCACGAACTCGTCGGTGAGGTCGCTAATTAGATCTGATAGGGGGGTAGAGGGGGTCGTCCTGAGGGTCGTTCTGGCGCGTGCTGCCCACTCAGGGCGGGCTTGGGAGACGCCTTGTACAAACATCAAGCATGCAAGGGTGCCTGCAAACAGCACATTCGCTCCGTGGATATCGGCAACGAGGCTCCTGAACTTTGAGCAATACTCAATAGGGTCGTTTTTGAGCTTCAGATTCATCAGCTCGCAGAACCAGAACATCTGGCTAGCAGGGCCTGTAGTGCCGTACGTGTCCAGCAAGGCCTGCCAAAGCTCCATGCCAGAGGTGATGTTAGCGAATCGCTTCAGGATATCCGTTGAGATTGTCTTCCTGAGCCTCACACCCAGGCGCTGATCAGCCTTAGGCGTGAGGACTGCATCCTCGGCTTGTGGGATGCCAGCCAGATCCATCATGCTGGCTACTGTAACCTTCCAGGTGCGATAGTTCGTCGCTGTCAACATCTGGGTCTTGTCCAGCTGGATCTCAGTCCAGTCGACGTCTTCATCCTTGATAGCTGGGCCTATCGTAGCCTCAGCCCTGGCCTTGGCTTTCGCTGCGGCAGACCTCGTGGTCACACCCTCGGCCTGCTCTGGGTCCATGCTGTCCGGGGACCCGGCGCCGCGCCGGCGAGGCTTGCGATAGTGTGTGAGGAAACGTGTGTGTGGCTTGAGCTAAGCCGGGCTCATAACCTGTCAAATGTGGGGCAGTGAACTCATCGGGGTGAAGGATGGGTGAAAAGCCAGATCATCGATTTCTTGCACTAATCCTTCTAACTATCCTGGGGCCAGAGGTACTGGTGCACCCGTTTCTATAGGAAAAGTACAACAAAGGGCCGGCTAGCCTGAAACCTAGTGAAAGGGCCCTGGTGTCAGGGGCCTGAAAGGCCCTTTCACCCACATGAGACCAATGCCTTTATTCCGACAGATAGAAAACAATCACAAAAAATAGTGAGACCTCTGGGACTGCTCCTCAGGCGACGAAAGGGAAGAATAGGAACGGGCATAGAGGCATCTGGTCATTTTCGGGGCCTGGCGGTGGAGAATCGAAAGATGGTGCGGGGGACTGTGTTGTTTAGACTGGTAGAGTTCCACTGAGGGCGGCTTGACATGCAGGCCAGTGACCTGCCTCCATATAACGGTACTGTAAGGTAGTACTGTAGGCGGAGACACCCTGGTATTCTGCTCCCTGTTGCTTCCATGAAACCAGCCAGAGATGGCGCTGGCAACTGTCTGGCTTTTCCTGGGCTGTCCTGATGACCTAACGAATAAGAGCAGAAGGCTTGCTTAGCACATCTTCTAGTCGGCCTTCTGCGACCATGTCTGGCGATAGCCCAACACTCTTTCGGCGCTTGTTGCTCTCTTGAAAATGTGAGCGGCTGTGGAGGGTAGCAATCTTTCCCTCGGGTTGAGCGGAGGGCAACAGCGGAGATAAGATCATTAGACTCTCGCTGCTGTAGCATTATCTGACGTGCATCGTTGACAACGCAGGCTTTGTGCTGATCTGTTCGAGAAGGATGGCCAGTTGGCAGATCCTTCGAGCTGTCCTCAACCTGACGGGAGCAGGATCATTAGCCACGATCCTGTTGAGATGGAGTAGAAGTTAACTGGGAGTTTGGGCTGGCTTCCCACTACCTCCACGGGACGGCTGTCAAATGGCGGACACCATCTCCTGCCCGGTCGCATATATTAGCTTTGAGACCTGTCGTATCTCGTCTATTGCTGTAGCCCACGTATACAATTATGATTGGAAGAAGCGGACAGAATCAAAGCCCCGCCTCGCATGACTAGAGGGCGCTTGAGCATTCTCTGACACGCAGGCTAGAAATTCAGAGTTGCATGGCTACTGCACAAAGGATGCATGCGGCTGGGCGCGAAGGTAGCAGACGCAAGCGGTAAGACTGCATCGTGGTGGTGGTCCTGCGCTGCCACGACTCACACGACTTGGGGTATACACCCGGACATGGGCTGCTACGCTGCAGTACCACATAGTACTACGGTAGCATGGCCTCTACCCACAACAGCAGTAGCAGTATAACAATTTCAGAAATTCGGATTGGATCGAGGGCTAGAATGCCCACTAGGTTTGGCGTAGGTGCCGAGTAGAGTTTGTCCTTCCAAGGCGCTATTTCTATCGACCCACAGAAGAAACAAACGCAAGGACTCTGGGCGGATACATAGACTTCGTGACTTTGTGACTTGGTAGACTCTTTTTCCCTTCTTGAATCGGCAATCGCAGGTCATTTTGTTATTGAGTAGATGGAGGATCGCCCAGGGGAAGGGGCCATTTGATGCAGAGGCCGGGTATCCAGCACGTGCTCGGTGGGCATGGACTGTACTGTGCTGTATGAAGGCCTTGCTCGGTAACAACGGCAAATGGACGACGTGGACTGTTGGATGCTGCAACGTTTTGTAGATCTTCTCTCGTAATGCAATTTGCTCCCTTGGCTAGTACGCCAGTGTCTTTGCCTACCACACACACATAAAGATTACGTATGCAGGAGGTTGGTGGGTAAAGATCATCAAGGGGTTAGGAGGAGTCAGAGCACAAGGAGGCGAGGACGTAGATATGACATATGGCCGATTGATGCATTAGATCGAAAGGATGGGCAGGAGGTCGGTGGCGTGGGGAAGGAGGACTATCGCCCAGCAGCAGCTACTGCACTGCTGCAGAGTACTAAAAAGGTACTAACAGTAGTACACAGCCAGCAAAAGCCTACGGCCCCCCCTACCGTTCCTTCCTTCTTCTATCCCCCTTATCGATCTTTACCCCGCAATGCTGCTGATTGGCCCAAGTGGTGCAGAACGATGTTATGACATAAGAAATATGGGTCAATCTAACTTTTAGCGCCAGCTGCCTAGGCGGGCTATGGTGGGCCCTTACCCCAGATGCACGGACGGAGTGGACCCTCCCTTGCTCTTTACGCATGTTCTATTGGTGCAGACCGAGAAGATGTCAGCAGGGGCTGACCCTCGCTGGCTTTTGGCTTTGGTCAGTGGCCCAGGTACTGCTATCATCACCCGCCCAGCACCGGGCTCCTTGCCTTTTCAGATGAATTCTAAACAGATCGCATCAAATTCAACATTACTATAGTACCAAGGTACGAAAACTAGGCCAGTCTTCCCCTTTTTCCGACTCTCCTTTTTGATTTCCATCCAGTCTTGTCAAAACTTTTCCTTCTCAACAAAAAGCACACGTCCGCCGTCTACGCGTCAGCCATCAAAGTCGCCACTGCAACCGGCATTAGGCATTAAGACTGTCTCTGATTCAGAAGCAAACCCCTTGACTTTGATTATCACAAACCTTCATCACTTGTCATAAATCAAAAGGGATACGCCAGGACAGCTGTCTATTTCCCCCTGCAACCTGCAGCATTCTCGAGTTCAAGCAGACAAGAACACATGCCATAGGAGTTCTAGCCGGAACCTCCGGACACGAAACACTGCATTCCGTACCCCACCCACACGCATTACAACGCAGCATTTGAGGAGGGGAGAGAAAATCATTCATCTTCGACGTGTCCTTGACTGCCTCTTTCAAATCCAGTCCCACTGGGTCACTGCTCTCTCTACCTCTGTTCTGAGTGCCGGCCACGACAAGTCCGCATCCACCCAATCGCAGCAAAGAAGAGGGGCTTTTCATCTCATAACAACAAGCGCGACTCAAGATCTCATTATCCACCATCGACTATTTCACCTTTTGATCTAGCCCAAAAAAACCGGGGTTCTGCACTGGAACGCTACTGTTTCGTCCAGACCATTTCTCAGCTGATCGGCAGATCAGCTTGCCTCCCTTCCATCGACTCTGCAACCCAAGCCATCAAGCGGTTTGGTCGAGTTGAGATTGAGCGGCGCAATCGTCCCGTGTTTTCTGTGCCGCGATTGCCTGTCATCATTCGATAGCGGGAACAAAGGACAACGGGCGGCGCCAGAAAATCGGAGCATCCCTCCCGCCTGTGTCTTTACTTCGGCAGTGTCCCTGGTGCAGCCAGCAGCGCCTCGAGGGTCCCACTTCAGGCCTGCTAATCCACTGCACCAAGCCCCCCACCACCCCCGGCCTTCAATGGTTGCTTGGTACCATCGTTCGACCCTGTGGCCCCAGTACGACCTGAACAAATTGGGGCTTCTGCAAAGCTGTGCCAGCATTTTATAGCACAGTACAGCACCACCTCACCACCGTTACGTTTCACCTCCACTCACTCTGCTTCCGACGTCGCACAACACTCGAACCATCCTCCGGAGGATCATACCAGGCAATCGTCCCATCGGAATTCACAATTGCTTCTGGACTTTCGGACACTTCCTCCAACCTCTCGTATCCTCTGTATCCACCAAATAAATAAAAATCTCACTCGAGCCCTCCCAGGCTCCAACGAATTCTCATCATGTCTTCAGACAATTCCAACTCCAACAACAACAATAACAACTCGTCCAAGCCGCCTTCGCCTCCACCCGCCGATATGCAGCGTCACCGCCGTGGTTCTCTCACCGCCAGCAACCCCTTCTCCCAGCTCTTCACCCGGAGCAACTCTGTTGCTACCGCTGCTGGTACTCCCGTCTTCCCCAGTGCCATCACCAGTGCCGCCATCCAAGAGCAGCAGCGTCGAAGGCTGTCGCTTTCCACCGCCGCGACGCTGGGCATTACTGGGACATCGCCCACCAGCGCCTCCAGCCTAGCCCGCCGGGCTAGCATGTCCACCAACTCTGACTGGGACGAGAATGCCATCGAGGAGGAAGACGCACCTCCCTTCACCGCCCGTACCGCTCCAGTCAGTCCGTTCAATCGCCGCGTGAGCTTTGGCACCGCAGCTGCTATGCGTCGCCCTGGCGGCTCCAGCCCTGGATCAGGCAATGGTAGGCACACCGTCCAGTTTCCTTATGATACAGCTTCTCCTTCCTCTGGGGGCCGGCGGGGCATCAATGCTGTGCTCCCGACGCCTCCTCCTGGCAGCGCCGCTCCTGCGCCTGCCCTGGCTTCAGCGACGTCTTTGAAGACCGTCAATTCTTCTACGGCGCAGACACAGCCAGGCAGCACTGGTGCCGCTGCTGACTCGACTGCAATACCCCGCACTCGTCCTAGAGCCACTTCTGACTTGTTCTCTCCTACTCGCTCAGACCAGGGCTTCAACTGGTCAGAGCAGCTTAGATCTCGCGCCGAGAGCTCCGTTGCCACGGGTTCCCGTCCATCCTTCTCTTTCGCCTCCGGCCTCACTGGCTCCCCACCTCGCCCTGGCATGACCTCTCCTGGGAGCACCCATGATCGTGCCAGATCCGTCTCTGAGATGCCGGCTCCTCCTGCCCAGACTCCCAAGCCTCGATCTCCCCGCGGAGATCCTCGGCCCAAGCCTGACCACTTTCAGGAGAGAATTCTCAAGGGTGATTTCTACATGGATTGAAGAGGATTTCTTGGCCAGATTATGAAACACCACGACGAGCTTTGTACGATGTTTGGCGAAACAAGCACGACCAAGATTTGTTCCATCACGACTGGGACAATCATCATCAATGTTTGTGTGTCAGAACATGACTGAACGAGAACCTACGCGCAAACCCTGTACCCTTGTGGGGGTGGTCACAGGAAGGCTCAACAGCACTATGACATGACCCCCCTCGATACCACCACTTCTGACATCCTGCCGATCTCGACGGCATCATCTCATGAATACTTTGTGTACGATTTTTCTTCTTCGCATGCTTCTAAGCAAATGTCTCCTTTGTCATACGGGGGAATGTGCTTTGAGATGAGATCTCCTTGATCTCGGGAAGAAAAGGATGAATCAATGGCAATTCGTGAATATGCCCCGGTGGAGACGCCGAACTGGCAGAAACCATATGGCATTCTCGCAGACGGGGGAAAACCACCAGATCGAATGTCCTGGCGTTGGTGGCATACGTCTTGTCTCAAGGGAAGCCATGTACAAATGAACTATCAAAAGAAAAAGAAGGAAAGGGAGGGGAAAAAACAACAACAAAAAACCCATGCACTGGAATGTTGCGTATGCAACGTCCTGATGAGGCACGATGGAAGGCATTCGCCGCGGACACAGAACGGTTTCATTTGAGCATCAAGACTGGCTGGCTAGTTTGCTTCTGAACTGGACTTGAGGTCACCGGATCATCAAAAGGACGGAGCACTGAGGCCGAGTTGGACGGGACAATCAAGGAAAGGGGCATTGGTTGAGCGAGGGGGATAAGATACAACAATAAAATCAAGGGATATTCTCCCGGCGTTTCGGCCCCCTCTTACCACCACAGATTGATGCAAAATTGATTGGGGCTAGCATATTCTGAGATAGAATCTTGCAATCCAAGGTCCAAGTTTTTCAACAGATTTTGCAATTCAAAGCATCGTGATGTAAACTGTAGACTTGATTGGCGAAAGTTGACGGCTAGAATGCAATGAATGCTCGCTTTTAGAGTTATCAGCTGTATCTTATCGTACGGGTGCATATGTACAAGATGTGTGTATATATATACACAGAAGGCCCTCGTGGCTGAACCCCACTTCATAGTCGCCTCAGTTCCGAAGGAACACCACAACAAAAAAACAACTTTCTTAGCAGGCACACAATGCCGAACACAAGCTCCTGACGACCGTTGACATCTGCATGACACTCAGCTACTACTCCCTAACGGACTCCCTGAAGATAGCCCAATAGATGTCGAACTTGTCGGGTGAGCACCTAATCTCTTCCAAGATGCAACACGGCATTTCGGATCAAGTATGAAGGTCACTATGGCCACGCTGTTGCCGCACAAACTCTCGTATACGGAAATTTCTCATGTATAGCCAGGTTTGAGATGCTTGTTGTCCTGATGTAGATGGCAGCGTCCTCACCGTTGATTCTTGGAATATGGAACCGTCTTCCATACAAGTGTGCTCTCTCATGCTTTGATCATGAAGATCTAGTCTGATGTTAGTAGGCAGGTCTACATGGAGACTCGCTCGAGAGGTAAAGAGTCATCATACCTGGTTCAGTGCTGCTGGATCCATCACAGCAGCTCGCTTCTGGGCTATGAATCTCTTCCGGGCGAGATGTCGGTGTGGTACTTCGGATACTGGCGTCGATGTGCCGCTGGCGGTGGGTGTAGATGCTTGTGTAGAAAGTGGTGTAGGTTTGCTCGAGTCGGCCTCGTCATCTTTCTCTGCCTTTCTCTTCTTTTTCTTCTGCTTGGTGTTTAGGTCTGACCCTTCAGATGGAATTGTATCGTCGTTCTCCTTCGTTCGCTTGCGCTTCTCCTTCTTGTCCTTCTTGGATTTCTTTCGGCTCGAGGCGTCCGCGTCTTCGTCTTTTGGCTTGGCTGTCTCCTCATCGCTTTGAGATCCGGATCCACCCTCCTTGTCTTTCCGCTTCTTCTCCTTCTTTTCTCTTCTTTTGGACTTCGAGTCATCCTCGTCCTCGTCCTCAGACTTCCGCTTTTTAGACTTCTTCTCCTTCTTGTCTGTTATTGTGCCGTCCTCATGCTCGGCTCTCCTTTTCTTGCTCTTTTTCTCCTTCCTGCCCTCGACGGCCGAAGCAGTAGCCTCCTTCTCCTTCTCTAGCTCGTCCACTAGAGCCTGCACCTTATCGCCGACAAGAAATCCGCCAGGCACAAACCTGACGGTCCCCAGCTTCCTCTCCAGATACCTGTTCACTCTAGCATCTTCCCGCTTCTTCCTCTCGACGCCTAGAAAATCCTCGCTCTTTCCGTTCAGCCGGCCGAGCAGCTCCTGAAGGGCATCCAGGCCGGTACACTCGTCGCCATGGTTTCGTCGCGCGCCCAATCCCAGGTTGTCGTCCTTGAGCACAGCGCGGATGTGGCTGGCACTCGCAGCACCGTAGAACTCGGCGTGCCCGGCTTCTCTAGCGCCCAGGTACTGACCAGGCTCCCAGCCCTGAGAGCGCAGGATCTTTTGGCCAAAGGTATCGGTGTTGCGGGACCAGGCCGTGTTGTTCGGGTCCTTAGCCCACTTGCGCTTGCTGGAAGGAGGAGAGACATCTGTGAGCAGCAAACCTCTGGATGGAGAGAATGGGTTAAGGATCTGGAGGGATCAATCTTACTTCTTGGTACCGGCGAGACCCATGGTGGCGGTGGTGGCCTGCTAGGGGAGGAGGAAGCAAGAGGGGGACGACGGCCTTGTGAGTATCAAGGGACTGGAGTCGGCAAGTTGGGACGTGGAATTGATTGACTTGGTGTACTACTCTTTACAATTTCGAAATTTTTAGCGGCAAGGGTCAACGCTAGGCAGGCGCGGCCGGGGCCCCCCACAAGCCGTTCTGCCGCTGCCCGCAGTGGGGTTGGCTGCCACCGCACTTTTCGTGTCTTCACATGCTTGGAAATGCATAACTCCTTGACTGTATTTCCTTACTGCCTAGAAGGAACCATATCAAACAGCGTCTTATCAGGACTATTCTCCTGCATATTTTTAAAATAAATTGACCTCGTGAGAAGAGCGCAGATACGTTAGACGAACTGGTGAAATTTACAGCTTCAACATGGCCCTACGCAAACGCGCCGCGGCGGATGATTCGTCTAGCGAGGAGGATATCAATGTGGACAAGATGGTCGAATCGAAGCAGGAATTAGACAAGGTATCGTCTCCACGGTGATGGCGAAGATGATGACCTTGACCCTGGCGTCTGGTCTTTCTCCAACTTCCCAATGATTCCATCTGACGGCCTCTCTCTCTCCCCCCCTCTTGTGATCAGATCCGCAAAGACCGCGAGAAGAAGCGTGCTCAGCTGCAGCAAGACCTCGACAAGAAGCTCGTTGGCCTACTTGGGCACATTGAGCAAACCCTCAAGGACCATACCCAGCAGCTGTCAGTCAACTGCTCGCGAGCAGACGCCGCCATCTATCTGTCTGGTCACCGAGCACTGACTGGTGCGCTTGTAGTGCCACAATCAAGCAGCAGCAGGTCGACCGCCTGACGGCCGCGGTCGAGACACGGGACGGGATCGACCAGCACATCAGCGAGAAACTTGCCGATCTGCAGCTTGAGGGCAGAAACATCGCCGCCATGCTGGAGAAAGCATATCAACACCGACTCGAGAAGGCGCAGTCGCTTGCCACGCCCGTGTCGGAGGAGGGACAGACCCTTGGCGAGTCTCGCCCTGTCAAGAAGGCGAAGATCGAGCCCTGATCCTGTAATTATGCTGTATCGATGTAAGTGGCGGTTGCTATACACACGGCGTTATCTGGGAGTGACTTGGCGACCAAAATCTGGCGGGTTATGAAATCTCTGAGCTTGAGATGGGGACCGTTCGTCCATGGTGGAATGTAGACTGATGCGTACTGATTTTTTGAGTGGATGATACCCTTTGCTGCACCTGGGGATTTGCAATTGGCGTATTGTTTTCAGACAGAAGGACAAGACATCAGAGAACAAAGTCAATACCCAACCCGAATTTCATCGTGCATGGATGCCAATTATTGATTTATTTATTTTGTTGAGCGGAGAGTGAAATGGCCCTTTCTATTTGCTTCTTTCTTTGGTATCATATAATTGCGCCGTGACAATGCATATTCCTTTTTTGGTCGACCTGAATATCCGTTTACATCTCTGGCAGTGGATCGGGTCGCTTCCTCGCTGTTCCCGATTCCGAGGGCTTTCTCGAACGTGAATTGCACCGCTAAACCTCGAAACCAAAGCCCTTCATACAGCTCCGATATTGGTCGATCGTGGACTGGCAGTCCTTGGCTGGGTCGGCAGCTTTCGAGAAGAGCATGCACTCGTCTCGCCTCGACTTCTCGTCCGTGCAGACGCAGCAGGGCTGTGCAGAGGTAAACGACAAGACCAGGTCAGCACGGGTATCCCTTGCCACCTAAAACTTGAATTATGCCGGGGAGCAGAGCCGTACCTTGACTTTTGGTGCGACAGCAGCGGCGTTGTTATTGATCGCAGGCGCAGGCGGGGCAGATCGCGCGGCGTTGTCCGCTGGTATTGCTGGACGGGGCCCGTCAGCTGCGATCCTTGTGGTGGTATTGAGTGTCTCGTACTCACGTGTTGATATCGGCGAGGCCATGATCTCTGGGGTTCTTTTTGGTTTGTGCAAACGAGTGTGGGAAGGGTGTCGAATTGTCTGTCGAGGGAGCAGTCGCCGGTCGTTGAGAAGATGGCCTGAGAAGGCTCTATGAGCTCATCTTTTTTTGCCTGCCGTTGATTTGTAAGTGCTTTCGGGAATGCCGACTTCGGCCGAGTTAGCACTGAAAGATAGAACATAGTGTACCCCCCCCCCCCCCCAAGGTGGCTGAAAATAGAAAAAAAAAAAAGAGAAAGGATTACATTTAATTTCGAAGAGGTAAAGGAGGACCAAAAAATACTGGCCTCTACCAGGGTTGACTTGATGATCTGAATGTGACATGATTCTCCAAATTCTTATGAAAACCCATGTGACAAGTACGTTTGTATTATTTTCTGCTGTCCTGAACAAGCCTCCGGATGATAAAGGGTGCGGCGCGCCTGTGAACATTTGCCTACAGTGCTGGAATGGCCCTGACCCATTGCTCGAGCAAACCTTCTATCTTGAGTCCGCCTTGTTCCCGGATCACCCGATCATGTCGCCCATCAACAACATTCGATACTTCTCCATGCCCTCATTGATTCTCACCAAACAACCTGCGGCCAATGCCTTGACTTCCGCCTCCTCCCCACTGCCGTCTTCACCCCTGATGCCATGAAAAACCTGTACAACCCACTCTTGGGTCTCGATCACTTCTCTGCTCATAGTTTGACAGATATCTCTCATCCTGTCGCCATTGACCTCCAGCATTGTCAGTAACGCAAAGAGCATGGCGTGCGTTACTCCTAGGTCGCCGACGGCGTGCGCCCGAACACTACTCCCGAGCAGGATTCCCCACAGTTCGGTGGTCATGTCTGGCAAGGCGAGGGTGCTTGGACCCGCGGCATGTAGGAGAAGAGCAAGGGTCTTGAGGTAGAGCGAGAGGAGGAAAGGTTGGAAGATGATACCCCGTGCACGGCCGGCACTTGAACGAATGGCCGACTGGAAGCGGGCTGAGAGAGGGAAGAAGAATGACGTGGCGATGAGCTGAGCAGTTGTATTGGGGATGGCGCGGATACGAGGTTTCTCTCTGCCTTTTGACACGGAAGTGTTTTGCTGCTCCAGGCGAGATCTGAAAGTCGAGAGTTTTAGGACGTCTGGACCGGTTGCTGTGTCTGCGGCATTGGCTGCTATTGGTGCCATGAAGTCGGACGTGAGAGACTTGGAAATTGTATCCAGTGCTGTGAGAGGCAACGCCTTGAGCGTCGAGGACGACTGCAGCTGGTTGCCAGAGGTCACATCTTCGACGTAGAGCTTCTCCATGCGCTCAGGTAGCATTTTGGAAGGAAAAGACGCTGCTGATGCGAACTCGGAGGTAATGAACCCAGCCAGTTCACGAGCGCCGAGACCGAGTACGGTGAGGACCGAAACTCTCAGGGCCACCGAGTAATCACCATCGAAAAAGGTTTTGCCAAACCAAGGACCCATTTTCTGTGGTTGAGCCACGATGATGGCTATCATGCTCTGTAGTCTCAGATCGTCGAAATTTTCGATATCATATGTGTCTTGAAGTCCAACCAAGAGCGTCGCAAGCTCCTCAGCATGCTCCTTGACTTCAGTTCCAAAGTTAGCCTTCCGCCTTATTAATGTCGGCGCTGTTGTGACAGCCAGCTTTTGGCGGTCGTAATTCTCGGTGTCCCGCAGGTATGTGATGAGGCTTCGCACGTAGACAGGGGCTTTTGGTCTGTCCCTTTTTACCGTCTCTGGATCATTGTCGGAATCTTCGTCGTCATCGTCGGGCTTCTTCAGTGGTATTATGTCATCTTCCATCTCTTCATCGGAGTCTACCTCCTCAATGATAACTCTTGTCGTGCCAGTTGACGAAGCAGGTTTGGGAGTTGAGGCAGGCTTCCTTGCTTGTCTGTGAAGTTTTGTTCGATCATCTCGAACATGCAGCAAACTTGATTTCAACGGGTCTGTTGAGCCCACAGCGTCCGACAATTCGACCAAGCTCTTGTACCAAAGAGCCTCTTCCGACTTTGTTTCCTCCATCTTGAAATCGAGTCTCTTGTCGCTCTTCTCTACCAGTTGCGAGAGCGCTTCGCCAACAATCATACCTAACAAACGGGCTCTGGTTTGGGAGGCTTCAAGTCTCTTGGATATCATCTGCATGAAGGTGCCACCTCTGACCTGTAGCGCTAACTTGAGAGGTGCGAGTCTCTGTAGATAGCCAGCGCTCAGCAATAAAACTTGTGCATGTACTTCTTGCTGTAACACGGGGGTATGTCTGATGTACAGGTAGTCGCCGAACTGACTTAAGCTTTTGCTAAAGACCGTTATGATGTCGTCTTGATTCGGGGCCAGCACTGCGAGGATGGCACGCCGAATGCCAACAGCATCGCCGAGTCCAGCCCCAGTAGCAGTCGTCAACCAGGTAATCAGATGAGACCTATATTTAGGCTCATCTGCAACGAGATTTGTCACTACTCCTGCTGCGGCTGAGATGATGCTTTCGTCCGAAGGAGCACCACAGGCCCCTAGATCATTAAGGTAAGTCTCGGAAAGAGACTTCAACAGGCCGAACAATATCGTACGTTGTTGTGAGTAAGGTAGATGGTTGAATATGGCCTGAAGGGACTCGTCTCTTTGGTGTTCGTTGATTAATTCCGAAACGATAATTTTGATGACAGTTTCTGTGTGGTGTTAGCATCGTCCACGAAAGGCGAGTTTCTGACCATACCAGAGTACCCCAAGTGCATTACTTTGGACAGCAAGTCTGCTACTATCTTTTCTCCCTCAGGCTCCTGCGCTTCCTTTGACCAGGCCAGAATGTTGTGAGCAAGCCATCTCGAGTACTCTAACCCATCAGCGATCCAGCTGAGTTTGGTCCGATCTTGAGAAATGAGGGCCTCGGCTTCAGCAGAGAGCGATATAATTCGGCCACTGCCAAGAACGTTGACAAATTCCTTCGACATGATGCGTCGCTTTACGACATCCTCGCCATCAGACACGGCTGTCCAGATGCCCATGACACGGCCGTGCCCCTCCAGGATGGCGCTGAGAACCTCGAGGTCAATCTTGAGGTTCAGCAAGACGTCTGACCGCTTGGCTTCGGGAGTCTCGCCTTTCTTCTCCTGTATATGACTGCGTATACGGAGCAGTATCGCATTTAATCCGGTCAGACTTCTCAAGGCATTGAGCAAAAGATCGAGATCTGCATTGCCATCTTCCACGCATGACTCCTTGAGCAAGGTCCAATAATTTGGGACAATCTCTGTAACCAAAGTCTGGATGACCTGTGCAGCCTCGGGGCCGGGGGAGCCAATTTTGAACCCTCTCAGCTTCTGATTGTCGCAACTCAATAGTCTGAGTGCTGATATAAGGACATCATAGTCAGGCTCACTCTTCAGAGCCTTAATAACATCCTCTATTGAAGATGCTTCGAAGTTCGATGGCACAGAGGACGCCTGTGGGGGGGTCCGGTTGACGTGCTCCAGAGGCTTCTCGTCACCACTAGGCTTGTAGTAGGTACTGCTCACAGGGCTCAGGAGCTCATCCATCTTGTTAGGTCTTGTGCAGGTGGCGGTCCTGGCTACTTCGCTGCTGCCGCTGCCTCTTCATGAATGTGTCTTCTCATAGGCTGCATTTGAGGCACTTGTGTGGTCACACGCCTGAGAAGTAAAAAGAAAAAAAAACAAAAGACAGAAAGGGTGAGTTAAGCCACTGGCGACTTCCACTTGAATAAGTGGAAGAAGGGGTGGGGCTGATGGTTGTACGGAACATCAGAAGGCAGCAATTTACAGTGGGTATACTCTGTGGTAGGGCTTATCACGATAAGAGCTACAGCTACAGCTACACCCCCTCCCTACTCTCCAACATCCCCTGACAACACGCTCTCTTTCTCCCCACATTCAATTCAGCTCTGTTACTTGGGCTTTGTTATTCCTGCGAAGAGCTGAGTGGGCACTCATTGCTGTGACGATGGCAACAACTTCAAGATGGTTGGCAGACACTCTATCCACCCATGATGCTTAGTCAACACTGACGAAGAACGTTCCGCAGGCAGTATCTCGACAGGATACGAACGGTCAAGGGCCCTTTCACCGATGAAGCGTTCGATGGGGCTGTCGTAGCCGAAACCATGGACATTATGAAGATTCTGTAAGGATTTCTGGAGACCCAGAACCAGGTGCAGGCTACTGACAAGGTCCATCAGGGTCATGTAAGCGTTTTCCACAGCAGAGTACAATTCGGACTGCCTTCTTACAACAATACTAGCGGGGCCGGCGGCCTTGGGTGCGAGATACTGAAGGATCTGGCCCTTTCAGGCTTCAAAGACATACATGTAATCGACATGGGTATGATTGGCCTTCTGCTTCATTAACAATGCGCGACTGACAGGCTGGCGGCAGACACGATCGATATCTCGAACCTGAATCGACAGTTCCTCTTCCGAAAAGATGACGTGGGCAAGTCAAAGGCAGAATGCGCAGCGAGATTCGTCGAACGAAGAGTTAAAGGAGTCAAGATCACACCGCACAATAATCGCATACAGGATTTCGACGAGGACTTTTACATGCAGTTCGCGATCGTGGTCTGTGGCCTGGACAGTATAGAAGCAAGGAGGTGGATCAACGCAACATTGATCAACATGGTGGATGAGGATAATCCCGATTCTCTCAAGCCGCTCATAGATGGAGGCACAGAAGGTAAGAAGCGATGGGTCGGTCAATAGCCAAGAAAGCGTAGCTGACTGTCTGGTGCAGGCTTCAAAGGTCAATCGAGGGTCATCTTCCCTACCGTGACGTCTTGCATCGAATGCCAGCTGGATATGTTCGCGCCGCGAGCAGCAGTACCCCTTTGCACACTCGCGACGATACCTCGACAGCCTGAGCACTGCATTGAGTGGGCACATGTCATTGCATGGGACAAGGAGAAGCCTTTTCCTAAGTTAGACAAGGACGATCCCGAGCATATCACCTGGTTGTTCCAGAAAGCTCTGATTCGGGCGCAGGAGTTCAACATCCCTGGTGTCACCTATTCCCTTACTCAAGGCGTTGTCAAGAATATCATCCCCGCCATCGCCTCTACCAACGCTATCATCGCCGCCAGTTGTTGCAATGAGGCGCTGAAGATTGCAAGCTCTTGCGCCCCATCCCTCGGCATGGAGGAAAATTACATGATGTACTCAGGCAACGACAGCATTTACACATACACTTTCAAACACGAGAAGAAAGACGATTGTCCCGTCTGCGGAACCCTTGCACGGCCGCTGGATGTGAGCCCCAAGTGGACTCTACAGGACCTGATTGATACGTTGGCAGAGCGGCCGGAGGCGCAGTTGAAGCGGCCATCAATCCGAGCGGAAGGCAAGACACTGTATATGCAGTCTCCCAAGAGCCTGGAAGAGCAGACGAGGCCGAACCTGGTCAAGACATTGATTGACTTGGGACTTGAGAGTGGCTGGGAGATCTCTGTGACAGATCCTGCATTCGTGGCGACATTCAGGTTCATTATCCGTTTCAAGCCAGCCTAGGACGCTCGCATGAAGTCGGAAGAAAGGCGTAAGACGTCCGAGTCAGAGAAGCGAGAGAGGCCCACGTCCCCGGGGGCAGGGCCGCCTGAAGATGGAAAGAGGAGAAAGGTATCTCAATTGCCATGTCTGGGCGCGATGCTGGAGTCAACCAACATAGACGATAAATAGATCGCCTTACGTTCTTCATGCTTAGCAAGACTTCGGAGGGAGAGGGGAGGGGCCACTGTTGATAGCTCCAAACGAGTGGACTCCGAGTGCCTGGAGCACACAACTAATGATTGAAAAGTGATGATAAAATTCAGAGTTTCTATGGACCAGAAACGTTCTTCCTTTTTCGTACTCCTGACGCCGGACCAGAATGCTAGACAGTGGGGGAAGGGAAGAGGCTCGAGTGCCGGCCGATCACTATCGTGCCATGTACGTGAGCTGCTTCTCAAACCGCTCACACTTGGTCTTGAGTAGCTTGACGGTCTCCATAAACAACTCATCTGAGTCCCACTGGCCGGTCGACTCGATCTGAAAGATGAAATGATCTCTCTGCCGTCCCAGCTTGACCTTGTCCACAAACTCTGGGTGTCGCAAACATTCCCTGCTCACCGTGTCCTTCATGGGATCCTTTACCACTGCCTTCATCTCGCCCTCATGACCCTTGAGCTCCTTGTGTTCCCGCGCATCGCTCTTGGTAATCTTGTCCAGGCCGATCACGCCCTCGGCGAAACACTTCTGGAACTTCTCGGCGTCCGCACCGTAGATGGGCTTGGTGATGTTGATGATTGGCAGCAGGCGGTAGGATGCTGTAGCGACGGGCGAGAACTTGGCATGGTCGGCGCCGACGCCCTTGTGCATGTGCGCCATCAGGGAGATGGCCTGACCGGGCCGCAGCTTGGCGATGAGGATGTCGGGATGCACGGGCTCGATCACCTCGGTACCTGAGAAAAACTCCTCCTGCCGGCCGACGGGGACGAATTGGAGATCGCTGGCGTAGACGTGGGCATGGTTGAATAGCTTCTTGGGGTCCTTCTCGCCTGGCGCTGCATCGGGGTTGCGCGTGCACTCGACGTTGAGCTCGAGCTTGACGGTGTTGTAGTCCATGCTATTAGCAAATGGCTCTTCGTCTGGATCAGGTTTCTTGTACCACTTCATCCACTCGTGTATGCCGGTCTTGCTGCCTTTGAAAGGAATGAGGCCGAGGCGGTGGCACAAGACCTCATCCTGGATGACGGACGTGTTGTTTTCAACCCACACATCTTCAATGGCGAGGGTAGGCACCTCGGCGATCATGATGCGCCGGAACGCGTTGGCGATGGAGGCGTCGAGGCCGATGAGCGAGAAGGAGGCATCATGCTGGCCGTTGGAGTGGAAGACGACCTTGAACTGCGAGCGGAAGACGTCGACGTCCCAGGAGTGGTCCTCGCCTGGGTAGTGGCCGGGAAAATCGGTCGAGGTCACGTTGGTGACGGTTTCTGCGTTGATGCCCACGACCTGAACATGCGCGCCAGAGCACGGAAGGGGTCAGCATACCAGACACAATTGGTAGCAGCTTTTTGGGACGAGTAAGTGCTCACCTTCCGGCGATCAAGCTCCTCTTGGGTTGGGACTATTATGGGTGCCATGATTGTTGTTGTTGCTGCAGCAGAGCATGGTTTTGCTATGAGCAGGCGATGGCGAGCAAGTTTGATCATCGAGTTGGAAATTCTGGAAATTCTGGCTGATAAGATAACAGTATGCCCCACCACAGATTTGAACTGGGGGTATCCCTGTCGCTTCCCTGAAGCAGCAGAACCTCATCACTGCACTTCAATTTTGTTTCTCGATATTATCCCCTCCGCCCCCCCCCCCCAAAAAAAATTTATTATGACAAGAAAGCCCATCATTTCTGTCTATGGTTTCTACCGTATCATGGAGCATGTCTGGGCCATTATTAATTATACCCACGAAATTATTTCTACCAGCAGGTTCTCAACAGGCTGTCACAGCTTCGTGTTAGGAAATGGGTCTCGAGCTATATTATGCCTGGGATGTACTACAGTAGAAGCTCTCCTCGAGCAAATAGCACGCCCTTTACAATGCTGCCCGGCCCTCTAAATCTGAAGCACATATGTTGCAGTAGGTTCCTCATCACCATTCCCGTTCTCAATGACGGATTCTTGTGGAGGGGTCTATCTCAGAAACAACAGGTGTTTCCATACCTATCTCAACTTCGGGTGTCTCGAACTTCTATAGAACTCTCCTCATCCCAATCCGGAGCGAACATCTTCGTGCATTTGTCGCACGAGGCGTTTATTGATCTGGCTGGTAGTTTGATCCCTCCAGCTTTCGGCTCATATCATGCCAAGGTGGAATAACCTTGAAAAAGCGAGGGTGCCAGAGATCATCTTCCCAAGACGGTTCTGCTTGATCCGTCTCGAATATTGGTTCCTTGCTATATCCCAACACCTCTCGTTCCAACCAAGGCTTCAGCGGCTGTCCGAATGTAGAGAGCTCAAACGTTGCCGACCCCAGTCCCTTCAGCGAGCACATTGCAGTCGCCACGTCAACATAAAAATCATAAATGAATCGAATCATCGACAGGTCGACAGTCTCGTGCCGGGGTAGGCTGCACTCGACAAATGGCCAACAGCACTGGCTCATTTCCACGGTGATGTTGAGGCGAGGGAGGTCCGCGTACGACGCAATAAAGGCCAGGACCGCTCTCCAGTCAGCCTTGTAATCAAAAGTAGGCGGTGAGCCACCGCCCCAGTACATTGGCGCGACATTTCTCTCGAGCATCTCGGCCGGAAAGCCGCTGGCGATGGCGCCGCTGGCCCAACACGCGCACTGCGCTTCGGTCATGGTGAACTCGAGATGCCGAAGTCGTGATAGACCTGCGCGTGGGATCACGTCTCGAAGGAAAGATAATGTCGCTCCCAGGTCATCCTGGAAGAAGTCAAAGCGGGTGTTGGAGTAGAATACATCCACTGCCTCGCGGTATGTCTGTCGGTCAAGCAGGAAAAGTTGTGTGGGCAGAAATCGACAACCGCATTTAGGACCGCCGCGAGATTCTGGTATGTCATGAAACCACGGGGCTTCGCTGGAGAAGGTAGAGATGTAAGCAGATGGTGAATAGTTGAAGAGATCAGAGAGGATTTGTTGAACTGACCAATCAAACCCTGGGTTGTCTCTCAACAATGGTGGGCCACGAGGAATCTTTCTTCCATGGCGAATGCGTACGTATTGTTCGTCGACACGATAGCCGCCGGTCTCTGGTGGCCCCAGGTGTGTGTGCTCGAGAATCCGTGTGCGGAGCTCTGTTGGGAGCGAACGAAAGCCCGTCCTGTCGTCCATGTCTCCGACTCAAAGGCTTCCAATGTGTACGTTTCTTTCGAGAGGCGGGATTGTTGGCAGGAGCTTGACTACTATGGCACAGTACAGCTCCACCTTGTTGTGTTCAGAAGTTGACACGGTCTGTGAGCTAGTCAGTCGTAGTTGCCTTGTATAGCACAGTCAGTCTGGACATATCCAACTCTGGTGTGGAAGGACCAGTTGGGGAAACGTCGTAAAAGGTGTAGTGTGGTCTGCTTGATCAACAACTTAGACAGAAACAGCAGTGGCTTTTTAAAGCCAGAGACTTTGCTGCATGCTCAGACCAAGAAGCTATTCACTCCCCTTGAATGCTATACCAGTGAAGAAAACTGGGCACGATTTACATTGTGCAGGGGTGGGTGAGTGAGGCCATTCACGCCCCCCAATACCGCCGCCACACCAAAAATGCATCATGGCTGAAATTCATTATTTCGGGTTCGAATTCTGCAGAACTTTCAGAGTCAAAGAGACGCACTGGTGGATAAGGCACTGTGTAAGCAAAGGAAAAGCAGCCAGCCTTCTTGAGCGCCTGAAATTGTGTCCACTAAACGATGCTGGGAGCATAAGGTCCTCTGAGCCAATGAGCTCTATTGTATGATGATGACAGGAAGAATGTTATTGGGCAAGGAGCAACTATGTACTGAGACTCGCCAGTCGTGAGTATTAGCAGACCTTGGTCTTCTCCAGTGTATTACCCGGTCACTCCGCATTCTATCATGCAAAGTGTCACTCTGCTATGTTGCAGGCTTCCCCTATCAGGCAATATGCGTGAGCCATAGAAAGGTGAGCCATGATAACTGAATGAATCTACAAACTGATCATCTATTGTATCTTGGTATGCCCAGTTGGTAAACACGTAATGGTCCCCGTTTTGGGAAAGGCAGAACTATCAAGGGAGGAGGGGACGATGTTGAAGGTTTGGGTGATATTGTCGATGAAAGGCAAGGTAGGTTGCCGACCCACCTCGACATTCCAGCCAATCAACTGTTCGTTGATTCCCGCTTAGTGAGCTTAGCGCGGGTGGGTCGCGATTTTGCCTCAACTCTCTCTGAACTGAATGACGCCCACACAACCGACAGCACCTATCAACAAGCCCAGGCCATTGGCACGAGAGACGAGGCCGACACCGAATATCGAGGGAAGATTCAAATTCCCCGACCTTTTCTTCAGCTCGTCGATCTCTCCACTCAACGACTAGGACAAAGCACAATGGTCACCCTGCACAGGTTAGCAGGCCGCTCGGCGAAGCGGCTGTGTCTGAGGCCAACCTGCTCCCTCCCCATCCGACCGACCACGTCGCCGTCGACACCCGCGATAGCATCAAGAGCGACGACGGCCGCCGCCGCCTTCTCGACCACCAGCCTCCGCCGATATGCCCAACCACAAAACCCAGGGGGCACCGTCCTGATCCCCGTCGACGAGACCTTCTCGCCGGCCGGAGACCCATATCGCATGCAGCAGCTGCAGGGCCAGGAGGGAACCACAGAGGCATCGCGCAAGGGCTCCATAGAAAGCCGAAAGGTGCGGCACTACACGGTCAACTTTGGCCCTCAGCATCCTGCCGCCCACGGCGTGCTACGTCTTATCCTGGAGCTCAACGGCGAGGAGATTGTGCGCGCCGACCCCCACGTCGGTCTGCTGCACCGCGGCACCGAGAAGCTCTGCGAGTACAAGACGTACCTGCAGGCCCTCCCCTATTTCGATCGCCTCGACTACGTCTCCATGATGACCAACGAGCAGTGCTTTGCGCTGGCTGTCGAGAAGCTCCTGAACGTCGAGATTCCCGACCGCGCCAAGTGGATCCGGACCTTGTTTGGAGAGATCACCCGCGTGCTGAACCACCTCATGTCGGTCCTGTCGCACGCTATGGATGTTGGTGCTCTGACGCCTTTCCTGTGGGGTTTCGAGGAACGAGAGAAGCTTATGGTAAGAATCACCAGGGGAGCGCATGGAAAAATAATGAGGGCCGGTGACTACTATTGTGGAAAATCGTGCTAATTGGACTGGTTCTGCGACAGGAATTTTATGAACGTGTTTCTGGTGCCCGTCTGCACGCTGCCTACGTCCGTCCTGGTGGCGTTCACCAAGATATTCCCGTTGGTCTCCTCGACGATATCTACCAGTGGGCGACCCAGTTCGGTGACAGAATTGACGAGACCGAAGAAATGCTTACGGACAACCGTATCTGGATTGATCGTCTCCGCGGTATCGGAGTTGTCTCTGCCGCTGACGCCCTCAACCTTTCCTTCACCGGCGTCATGCTCCGCGGCTCCGGTGTGCCATGGGACGTCCGCAAGTCCTCTCCCTACGATGCGTACGACCAGGTTGATTTCGATGTGCCCGTTGGTGTCAATGGCGACTGCTACGACCGATATCTCTGCCGCATGGAAGAGTTCCGCCAGTCCCTGCGCATCATTCACCAGTGTCTGAACAAGATGCCTGCTGGTCCCGTCCGTGTCGAGGACTACAAGATCTCGCCACCACCCCGCGCCGCTATGAAGGAGAACATGGAGGCTCTGATCCACCACTTCTTGCTGTACACCAAAGGATATGCTGTACCTCCAGGCGATACCTACTCGGCGATTGAGGCACCAAAGGGCGAGATGGGAGTGTACGTGGTCAGTGATGGTAGCGAGCGACCTTATCGTGTGCACATTCGTGCGCCTGGCTTTGCTCACCTGGGTGGTTTTGATGCTGTGTCCAAGGGTCACTTGCTAGCTGATGCAGTGGCCATCATCGGTACCATGGATCTGGTGTTTGGTAAGTCTTCCCTTCCAGATAAGCATCCTCCTCGATGGACAGATTTGCTAACTCCCCTTTTAGGTGAGGTTGACAGGTAGATGGCGGCAGTAAACCTTGGAGAGGCTATCGAAAAGACACTATTTGCAAAAGAAGAGAAAATATCGCAAGTTGATTGATAGACTGCCTAACTATTCCACGCTCTCTTTCCGTTTGTAGAGCGTAGGGAACCGGAGTCACGTAAATAAAGTCCAATTCAAAATTTCTGAAACCGAAGTCCCAAAATTTCAAAACTTCATTTCCCCTTGCTCCGTCATCTTCTGCATAGTAGCGAGAGATTGCTCTGCTGAAGGCCAACTGACCTTGAAGCAGACAGCTGAGGGGAGGAAAACAGGGCCATGACGAGATCGAGCTCTCATCCTCTCCCACGTGGCAAAAATATGCTTTGAGGCCCGTCCTCACGGGTTAGCTCTTCCATTTCCCCTTTGAAAACAACGAGAGAAAAAAGTGAGAGTCGGAAAGATGGGTAGTGTTCACAGAGCACACATTACGACTCACTCGTCAGCAACCAAAGGATCCCAACGCTGGCACTCGTCAGCCTCACTCCAGGCATTTCCATTATCCCATCCTGGACGCTCGCCCGCAGGGTGGCGGCCACGCTCAGCGGCCTCCACCTCAGCAATACACCCGATCGAGGCGCTCTTGCGCAGGAGACGCGCCAGTCTGGTGGCGCGCGTATCGTTGGCCTCGACCAGCAGCATCGCAACGACGCCCTCGCTCGTGTAGACCCTAGACGCGGGGACTCGAGGGCGGCGGAGCACACAGTCTTCGAACGCGCCGACGTGGCACAGGGCCGGAGGGCCCTCTGGTCCGGCGCCGATGGGCAGGCCCACGAGGGGGAGTGGGGCATTGTCGGGCTTGGGGTACTCGACGGGCTGGATGTCGACGGTTTGGTTGAACTCGCCGCCCTCGGTGCAGACGTAGTTGTAGAGGGGGTTCATGGAGTGGGCTGGGTCGACTTGGTAGATTGCGCCTGGGGAGCGTGCGGGCTGGCCATCTCGAACCTGAGCTCCCTGAGAGTGGCGTGGTAATGTCAGCGTTGATGAGCCAGAGAGAGAAAGAAGAAGAAGAAGAAGAAGAAAAAAACGCGCTATTCAGCTACTACATGGCTGGTGAACTTTTGGACTTACCTGTGGAGCAAGGATGGAAGGCTGGTACACCTGCAACTGGGTATCGCTTGAAGTACCCTGCTGAGAGGCGTCGTGTCCCTGGTGCACTTGGGGTCCAGAGGAGGACACCTGGACACCTAGGCCGGTGTAGTCGTACCACTCGTTGGATCCGTTACGGCCAGGAACCACTGGGTTGTCCTTTGCAGACAGGGCATCCGATTCATAGGTATCAGGAGTCTGGTAGAAGGAGAAGTCGGCTGGACAGTGGCAGGCGCCTTCATTGTGCAACCGGCGATGCTCAGCAACCCACTCAACAGCAAAGAATGAGGAGATCTGGACAGAAACTCCACCAGGCTCGGCCCTTTCGTGCGCCTTCTTCGATGAGCCAGGTGTTGACTTGTCTTCCTCCTCTCCTGGGGCAGTTCCAGCTGTGATGCGGCCATGGTTAGCTTGGTCTTTCTTGGTATTCTTTCTCCCCCATTTGCCGCTGCTCTTGCCCCTCCTTCCCTTTCCCCTGCGCTTGGCGACAATCTTGGTGTCGTCCGAGTCGGGCTCGCTCGGGCTTGCGTAGTAAGGTTGACCACGGCCCACAATGCGAGGCCGAACCAGGTCAGGAAAGACGACGGGACAGCCGCACACTCCACGCTCGTGCATCCAGTGGTGCTCCCACTCCAGGATCAGCACGGCTCGACCGTGCAAGATTCGTTGACAAGATGGGCACATCGCCTGGGCGAGAACCGGACGGCGGCCGTGGTGAGTGCAGATGGGGTTCGTATTGTAGCGGGTGGTCAAGGGGCAGACACGAAGAACGTCCGTGGCGGTGTGGCCGCAGGTGTAGCCGATGAACTCCGTGAAACACATATTTGAAGTACTTTTTTGATTGTGGTGGGAAATGGGGAAAAAAAGATGCGGTGGTGGGGACAAATGTGCTGGCTGAGGTTGATTGTACTGGTCAGCGTTCTGTATTTGTGATGAATGAGGAGGAAGGAGGAGAGGTCAATGGTGTGAAGAGAAACAAGAGGCCCAAATGGGAATGCCGGTGTAACACGTCTAATTGTCGAGAGAAACACGTGGGATAGAAGGGCAGTCTTTGCTGATGGTGGTGTTTGTGTGTGAAAGGGTCCACCTGAGAAGTTTTCGATCAGGGCTTGGGGAGACTTTGCGAAGTCACACTGCTGATGGAAGAAAGGGTAGGTGCTCAAGTTGGAGGTGTCGTCTATGGAAGGTTTGTCATCGTAGAATTAAGGCATTGAAGCTTCATACAAGACGGCAGGACTCTGAGAGCTCCAGAGGCATGGATGACTTCGTTGTTAAAGTACTTGATCATCTGAAGAAACAAAGGTATAGTAGAGGTAGAGCTCCAAAGATATGTTCACTGCGATGTTGTATAATGTCTCAATATTGCAGACGTTGGAATGTCATTGATACCTTGGTATATGAACACAAAAGCTATAGAGATCATGAATCTTTGAGAGACAAAAAGGGCTGTAAGGCAAGAAAAGTCTGTGGGTTAAGATGTCGTGGAAATCAGATGGTCATTCTGGGCTCTGTTGGCTACGTTGAAGTATCTGGCTGTTGCAAATATTCGAGATTCCAGTCATGGAACTACTATTAGGCTACTGCTCCACAGATTAAAGACAGATTAGTGCTCCGTTATATTCCCTGGTAGAATGCTTCAAGATATGGTTTCTAGAGCGAGAAGGCGTGGTTCTGGACAACAGTAGAAAGCAGATGCAAGCTTAGCTTGTTTTACAAAATTGATCAGTTGTGTAGAGTACATATAAAGGAGCTTGAGGAAGGGTTCACAAACTTCTGGTTGCAGAATGTTCCAATATAATAGGGCTCCTAAGTATTGACAAGTCTATGCGCATTCATGGCTGCATATAATGCAATTCACTACTCAAGTACTGTAGGGCGGTCACTGGGCAGTTTGTATGTCTTTTTTCTTTGGGTCATATTCTGAATTCTCACCGCCGTGAGTCTGCACCAAAAAGCCCGGCAGAGCTGTGAAAGTCACGAATGCTCGGACGTACGAGGCACGAGAAATGGAAGCCAATAGTCATTCGACTTGAGCACGATGATACATGAATCCAAGCCTTACAACTAACCCACAACCCCGGTTCCAGCGTAAGCTGTTACCAAGTCACAGATGCAAGACGCGGGATCCAGACTAGATTTCGTTATGGTCAGCATACATCAACATTCGCTCGTCTGCTCTGATTAAACTCACGTGTAGCTATACGGTGGTGTCAAACTGCCAACCTGTGTGATCTCTTCGGTGCTATTGACAAAAATGTTGTTCCGGTCAACAGCATACCCGTCCTCGTCGCTGTCCAGGTCGGTCACGATGGCCAGTTGGGTGTTGAGAAAGTAATTTTCCTCGACAAGCACCTCAGCGCCCATGCGGGAGTTAATACCGGACGTGGGATTGTTCTCAAAGCATGAGCTGTAGAAGTGGCCGGTACCAAAACGAATAGATGGGAGTCTCGAGTTCACATCGGACCAGTAGTTGTGGTGGTACGTGACTCGGAGGTGCCCAGTGTCCTCGGCTGCATTGCTGTCGGAATGCCCAATCAGAGAACCCTGACGAAAATGTGAGCTCATATGTTCGTTCACGCCGAATCTTCTACCTCGCCGCGAGACATACCTTCCAGTGATCATGAAATTTGTTCCATGACGCAGTCACGAAGTCAGTTGCCTAACAGAGAGGGATGTGTCAATCAATATAGCCCTCACATGGCTGTGTGAAGGCTCTCTTACATGTGTGATATCGAGCAAGCCATCGTAGTAATCCTTGTCACCAGTCAAGCCCTCCGACGATAGATCACAGTGGTCGACCCAGACGTACGTCGAATACTGAAGCTCGATGAGGTCCATTGACTCAGGAGCATCGTGCATGTACAGATTGCGTAAGATCACATTACTCTGCTCTTTGACACGGAAACCTCCATTGGTCATACCTGAAGGGAGATGTCAGTTAGCTTTTATACACGAGAGTTCAGCAACGAGGGTGGGTGCTAATGAACTACTGACCGGACTGGGATCCGACACCGAGCACAGTTGTGTCGCTGCCCAAGTCAATAATGTCGCAACCGTCGAGGATCCCAGAGATCTTGATGACGCCCCCGACAGCTACAGCGGCCTCTAGCTCTGCACAAGTCGTGACCGTCGTGCCCTCTCCGCTGCCGCCTCCCGTTGTGCCAGCGGCATAGCCAACCAGTGCGTCAACATTCGCCGCACCACACGTACCGGTGGCCGTAGTCGCCGGGCCGGTCGATGTGGTGATGCTAACGCTAGTCGTGGCAGAGGTTTTGGTCGCCGAAGATGAGGTTGTGACCACGCCGGTGCCTGTGAAGTAACAGCTGCATTCCTTGGAGATTGCGCTGGGCTTGTTGGAACAATTGCTCGCCCAAGCCGGCAGCCCGGCTGTCGCGGTGACAGTTGACTCTGTGAAGGTAGCGCAGAAGGGAGATGCAGTCGCAGCGTTGGCAGAAATATAGGACGCACAAGGGTCGGAGTCAGGGTCCGTACAGGCCAGAACGGCTGGTATCCCGAGGAGGAGCTGGAGAAGGAGGCCGCGCATGTTGTCAACGAAGACTAGGAATTGCAACTTTATTAGGTTTTGATATGAACCTCGAATTGATGGCTCAATTAAACCGTATAAATCGGGAGATATAGATGCATTTATATCCTAATTTTCCAGAATTATTATCTCCGCGAATTCTTCTGCATCTGGGCTTGGACAATGTGCTTTGGTGGCCAGCTCCAACACCAGTAAGAGAGACAAGGACCGTCAATGAAGGTTGTTTTCCCACGAATAGTATTTTTCTGTACATCTCGAGGCCTTCTAAATTTTATCAAAACTGTTTCCAGTGAGTGCGTCAACGCAATTGGTGCAAGTTAACACCATCCTTATTTGTATGTGTGTGGTCATCAGGGGACCACCCAAGAAAGTCGGCCATGACTGCAAGGATCAGAACTAGGGGTCTGCGAGGTTGGTCAATAGCGTGACTCTGGACTTTTTCTTGAAACTTTGTGTTTGTTTTTGGAATGTTAAGGTACACTTCAGGGTAGTCCAGGAATAGAAGGATGACTTTGCCTCGGTGGAATGCCTTGCGCAGGATCTATCCAGGCTCAGCGTTTGAAGCGGGGGAGTAGTGGAGGAGGTGCTGCTTGTCGGATCTGGAGTGCATGACCATCGAAGTCACCAGCTCTATCGGGTCGTGCGGAACTTGCAATGATGGACTGTCGTATGTGAATGAGCAAAAGATGAATCCAAGGACATGAGATCTATCTTGGCAGTGTAACAGAAGCGCATGCCAAGATCATATATTAATTCCCCAGATCGCATCCTTCAAAGACTCTCATCTCTTTGGTGGAGTAGCCAACAACAATGTATCACCACCAATGAAAGCACACCGTAAATAGTACTACTGCGGATTGATGGTTGTCCGAGAACTCATCGTCAAGTCTTGGCCAGGGCAACGTAGCCGCCACAACGTGACATAGCTACTCACATAAGAGATCCAGGGGTCATTCATGTGAGCGCACCACGGGCTAGCTGTTCTCGTCTCGGCGTCTTAGAAGCCGAATGTCTAGGCATTCAATCATGTAAGACAGCTTCAGCATGTGTAATGAGTGTGGTCTATGAGATGATCACCTTCTTTACAATGATAAATCAGAATAAAGGAGAGAGAAGGAAAAAAGAATTGTGCGTATGTGAAACACGGCGTTGGAATGCAAATAGACTACATTCATGTTATGTCTCTTGCATTCATTCCAAAGCTTTCGAAATAAGCGTCTTATACCCTTGAATACTTTCCAGTATCTCGCTCACTCGGATGCATTCATCTTTCCCGTGAGCTACCAAAATTGACCCTGGGCCATACAACACTTTTTTGTGGTTCCCCTTCAACCTCGGAACATCTGTACCATATGCTACAGGAGCCACTTCGAAGCCCTCGATATCCCAGTCGAGAAGAGTCTCAGGGTATGAAAAGAGAATATCAAGCTCTACATCCGGGTGCTTTGCTGCAATGTCGGAGATTTGCCTCTTGATTCCCTCCACATCGGCAGCCACCCGCACACCACACAGTGCCTTAGCAGATGCAGCCACAATGTTGTAGCCTTCACCTCCTTCAATTTTCCCTATGTTGAAGGTCGTCGGGCCGAGAAGATCTGACGACGGCCATTCGACTGCTGAAAGATCGTTAAGTGCGCGCATGAGCCCCGTCGTTGCACTTCTTCCAAGGTGAGGATACCCAGAATGGCTTCCACTCCGAAGTCAAGAGTCAGCCATTGATCAAGAATTTATGCCTCCCTAGTAATCCTGCTCAAACCAATTTTTCAGTTGGACTCACCTGGCTTTTCCTTGGGCACTCAGCTCAAACACAACATGGCCCTTATGACCCTGTGCGAGTTTGCCCTCCGTAGGCTCACCAAAGATTCCAGTTTCCCATGTCAATCCCATATCGTTCGCCGCGATCATTCCCGGACCCCCTTTCTCCTCGCCCACGACAAAGAGAAAGCTGATGTCCCCGCCATCCTCGCTGATCTTGCCCTCTGCTCGCATCTCCTCGACGGCAAAGACCTGTGCAACCAAGGGACCAAGATCGTCACAGGCCCCTCGGCCACGGATGAGGTCTCCTTCGAAACTGAAAGGGATGTGTGGCGGCACAGTATCCATGTGTGAGGTAATCAGAACCCGTGCCTTTCTCTGTTGTCCCAGATATGCGTAGACATTGTATCTGGATGACCCTGGTGTGATGGCGATGCGCTCGACAGTGTATCCTAATTGTTTTAAATGCTGTTCCAGAAAAATACCGATCTCGAGTTCTTTCTCGCTGGTGCTGTCGATGTTGATGAGAGATCTCAGCAGCTTGACGGCTGGATGCATAATTTGTTCAGCCATGTTGATTTCGAAGTTGTGTTGTTCGTTGCCCATATCTATACTCTCTTACGCAGAAGCCTATGTATAGTATTTTGTATTACAATTGTGAACTTTACTTCAATAGCTTCAATAAGCCCTCTGTAGCTGTCTGCTGCAAGTCGAGGTTCATTGGCTCACTATAGCCGATCTCAAGAGCTACGGCCGGTCCGGAGCCGGATAGTACTCACATCCGTTGATCGGCATTGCACCGGTACCTTATCAGCTGGGCTCAACTGCACTGGGATGCTCGCACACCTTGTGATTTAGGTCCAAGAGGAACTGGTCATATTCATTGTGTCGACAATAAAATAGGCTATCGGCATACTATTTTATTGCCGCTGGACTCAGGGTTGGCAAGGCATTGTAAGTCTTCCCAGGAGTGAAGTTTGAAGAAGACACAACCACAAGACAACGAGTTTGACCACGTCCTGCAGGTCTCTTCGCTTCCACAATTGACCATTAAGCCCATCCAAAAAGTAAGTGACGCTATGGGGGACTTGAGAAATGGTAGCGAATCCGGATCCCAGGCATCAGATCTGATGAACTCAGGATCTGTTACCAAGCCGACAGTCCTCCTCATCCTCTCCAGCGTTCATGCAGACCTGTCCACTCCAACCTGGCAACGCATCAGACAGAAATTCAATATCATCCAATACGACTGCCATTCTGAGGAGGAATTCTGCGAGCGCCTTCGGCCTGGCGGGGCTTACTCCACCATTGACGCCATTGTCCGGACTGGGTGGCTCAAGGCTGGTCCGTACAGCCAGCACCAGCTCTTCCGAGGATCACCTCTGGAACATTATCCGCCTACACTGAAGTACATCGGCTGCAGTGGCCATGGGTATGATGCTGCCGACATTGAGTCCTTGACACGCCAAGGCATCGCCTATGCCAACACACCAAATACGAATACTGAAGCGGTGGCCAACACTGCGCTGCACCTGATTCTCAATACGTATCGATACTTTACGTTCGCTGAGCATTGTGCCCGCACAGAGTGGGGTGCGAGCAGGGAAATCGGGACCATCGCAGTCGATCCGTGCGGCCAGGTGCTGGGTGTGGTCGGAATGGGCCATATCGGACTGGCCATAGCCCAAAAAGCCGCTGCTGCTCTGAGCATGAAGGTGCACTATCACAACCGCAAGAGGAGGACTGATGCTGAGCAGCGCATCATCTCACCCGACGGCACGAAGCTCGGAGCGACCTTCCACGACACATTCGAGAGTCTGCTGCAAGTTTCGGACTGCATCTGCTTGGCATGTCCACTGACCACGGAGACGAGACACTTGATATCGGCTTCTGCGCTGAGTAGGATCAAAGACAGGAAAATTAGGATCGTGAACATTGCTAGAGGTGGCTTGATCAACGAAGATGATTTGCTGGACGCGATGGATCGAGGCCAAGTGGTTGGGGTAGGGTTGGATGTCCATGCCAATGAGCCGGGCATCAACCCGAGGTTGGGGGATAACTTCAGAGTCACAGTCCTTCCCCACATCGGTGTGGCTTCTCAGACTAGCTGGCGAAATTTTGACGAGATTGGCCTGAAGAACTTGGAGGAGTTTTTCTACGGTGACAAAAGTAAGGTGACATTGGTGAATAAAGTGTAGGCAGGACATGTCAATTTCCAAGCTCATCCTATTGAATATAGAAACTAAGAGAATGAAATAAGTGAGAAAAAGAAGAAATTCGTCAAGTCGTTCAGCGTTGCGTCGTGACTATTCTGTATACGAGACTGAACTCAGGGAGCAAAGCTGGAGCCTTCACCGCCCTGATGAAAATCGACCTTGTCCCAAGCCGGCGCCCACACACCGTCGTCATCGTTGTGGAATTCAAACTCCTGTGGGCTCCATTCCTGAACACAGTTCCCGAGGAAGTCTTGCATAAAGGGCGCATCCAGGGGCGCGGTAGCCACAGCCGTTCGCCCTGGCGATTCAACGGTGCTCTCTAGTCTCGATGGTGTCGAGATACCTGTGAAAGCAAATCGTGGCTGCGTTGGGGAGAGAGGGCGACTGCGGTTAACATTGGCGGCGAAAGTGCCTGTCGATGTGATGCACCCTTTGATAGGCTCTGTCATCAGGCCTCCGTCCAGGCTACCCGACATTTTCAGACTCGCAAAGTCCTTCCGCAAGCAGGCAATCCTGTCATTGACCTCGCGGGCCGGCAGGTTGCCATCATCTACCATGGACTGAAGGAGAGCCGTAAACAGGGCAATCGCATCTCTGTCTTCATTGTTTGGACGAAGGGCGTCCGAGATCATGAGCACCACTGTTGCTGAGAATGTATAGTGCGCATCAAAATAGCCAAAGGTGGAGATATTCCCGCTGATCCAGAGCTGCTCAAGGAGGTTCGCCGACGCTCTTGCTGCGTAGATACAGGCCTCGCTCAGGGCAATGGTCATGGGTGAGAGTGTCTTCACCTGTATATTTGCCGCGGGTCGGAGGCGTTTGAGATTGTAGTTCAGCACGTGGAGCAGCACTGGCCTCGTTGTCAAGATGAGATTCTGGCACAAAACAATTAGTTTGACTTTTCCTCAATGATGAGAACAACGGGAGATGGTGCCAGACCTGATTGAAGTGCAGACGTAATGATGCGACGGATCGTGAGCCATATGCTGGGAATTTGGTGTGGTCCAGCCTCAGCTCTACGGGGAGCTCAGCGTCCAGCTGCTTCAAGTTGTTCAGGATGGTGTGGACATTTCGAATGAAGTCGCCAGGGGCCTTTCGGGCAGGACCGCCGTAGATCAGGGTCAAGATGGAACCTGTGATGCGGCAGAGTTTGATATTGGCAATCAGTTGCATGGGATCGAAGAAATCGTCCTTGTCCTCTTCCGACAAGTTATCATAAGACGGTAGAGGAGCATCAATTTCCCCGTCACTGATGATCGGATGGCCAAGCTTTGAGCTGACGAGTCGATCAAATATGTATACGGTCCACCAGACCCGCCTGCGATTCTCGATATCTGCGGCACTTGTGTTGGGCCCATATGTGATGTTCCGGTGGAGACCCATCGTTTGGCTGAGGCGCAGAGCCAGGCCAGCGTAGACGAACGCAGTGTTCTTTCGGTTGAGCGCAAAGGAATAGAAGCACTAGATCTTGTTTGTGAGCACTTCCGAAGTTGTTCTAAGGTGCAAGTATTGTCCTGTCAAAGAGGGGACCCACCAGTACCAAGAGGGTCTCGATGTATTCAATACTAGGCTCCTCGTATTGCTCCTGGAAAAGAGAGACAGCCTGTAGAAAGAATTTCGTTCCAGGCACCGTCTTCTCTCCATCCTCAATGGCACCAGTTTTCTTCAGCCAAAGTTCTCCCAAGGCCAGTAAGGCAAAGAACCTGCATAGGGACAGCGAACTCGATTGTTCGGAGCCATCATACAGGAGATCCACCTTCTCCATGTAGGATTTTCTTCGGATCAAATGGTAGTCCGCACCTATGAATCTCATGACGACTTGGATCAAAGTGTTTGCGTATGCTCGACTTGGCATAATGTACTGCTCCTGGAGACGACGGCTCAAGGTCGGATGCTTATACACAGGCACGGCATATGGTGCCGCCTCGCCCGAGTGACCTGTTTGAGGGCCGCGTGCGCAGGCGCCAAGTCGAGTTGCGAATGCTGTGCAAGCCGCACCACCTACGTACACTGCTCCCAAGGACACATTGATGTCATGAGCTAGGACACGTTGCTCGAGAAGTGGGTTGGACGCCTCTGCATCAGCCGCATCTTCAGCGCTGATATCATTGGCAGGATGTTCTCCAGTCGTGGAGTTGACCATGCCTTCTAGAGAAGCCATTTCGACATCTGCAACTCCAGAGGGAGAGTTTGTCTCTGTTGGCGTGGTCGCACTTTTAACCTTTCTGAGCTCAGCATTGTCGGCCTGGAGCTTCTGAATGTAACTGTTATTGCATGGGTCCTGTCAGCATCCGAAGCCATGACGCACGATGAAGCAGCAATATGAAGGCGGTATATAATGACCTTTCTAGGACAATAATCTTTCTAGCCCGGACTGGAAAAGTACACTCGGCGCCTCTGCCAGATCTGACGCAACTTCGACAGGGCTGTTCGCCCGTACACTTTGTCTTCTGCGCATGACATCGACTGGCTCTCCCGTCAGCAACGAACTTCTCGGCGAGGAATCCAATCCCCTCAGGTAAAGAATGGTGGAGCCCATTGCCATGATTGAGCTAACCTGCACGCTGCGAATATTCGCTTGCCCCGTCTGGCGGGACTGATGGTGGGCGCCGGGCTGCTCGGAGACGTAGACATGATGATGATCTTGGGAGGTTTTGATCGGTAAATAGAGACGAGCCGGAGACTGGTCGGATAAGCAATGGAGGTTGCCGATTGAACAGATGAAATACTGTAGGCCTGAAGCAGGAACACGGCTTAATTGGTTGGTAGTCCTGTCTTGGAAGTTCGGAAGAATGTGGGTCAAATGGAGGAGATAAGTACACCCCAGCATCTGCCGGTTCGGGATTCGGCTCTTGGCTGTGTTGTCAATGCACTGTTCACGAAGGCTCACAAGATAGACAGACGATGGTATTGTCGAGCACTTGGCCATCATACGATGGAACTCAGATGGCCAAAGCTTATTTCTTCAGGTTCCATGCTGGATCCGGCGAAGCTCCAAATGCGAACACTTCGTCTCCGACTCCCCGAGATCACCAAGTCGCATCAGCCACTCAACATTTAGTGTAAGTTGATTGGTCAGACGGGAAAAGAAACTAAAATCAATAGGTAATAAATTCAGAACCCATTCTCGCCCTGACTAAGAACTATCTCTCCCCAAAACGGGAATCTATAAGGAAATTAAGCCAGTCTTGAAGCCTCTAAATGCTCGAGACATTTCGTTCCATGCGCGCACTGATGTTCTTCATAGACTGTATCTAAAGTGAACATCCTTGTCACCTAACTCAGGCTGGAAAGGCAAGGGGGTTCCAGCCTGTTCAGCGGCAGCAATCTTGGCTGCACGCCGCTTGTTGACCAAGCGCATGCCGGTCATGAGAGACGCCACCATGGCCAGAGCAACGACGGCAAGGCCCATTGCTATGGACAGGCCTTTAATGTATCTCGGGCTATCGCCAGTGACAAATATCTGGCCCACGGCGACTCCAGCGGTGTTTCCCAGTGTCAATGTGGCTCCCACCATGGTAGATCGTTTGAAGTGACGGGCCACATTATCGCTGAGCCACATGAGGCTCATACCTGTTGTAGGGTAGATGCCCATGACAGTGACTACAAACCATGGTCAGATCGCATAGACGAGGGAGAAAAGAGTGCAGAATCATGACTTACTGAAGCAGGCGAAGTAGCGGACAGCAAGGCTGTCGACAGATATCAGGATCGCATATCCGACAATCAGACAGATCAGAGGTCCTCCAATCCAGTATCCACGGTTATGCAATCTGTCAGACATGTATGCCGTAAATGCGAAGGTGATCAGGCCCCAAAAGTAGATTGGCACAGTAAGCAGGTTGGCCTGGACAGATGTATAACCCAAGCCCTTGATGATGGCGGGCAAGAATGTCGTGAAGCCATAGAGAGAGATGTCGACGGAGAATTGGAACGTGAAGCTGTATAGAATTAGCCTTGTATTACTTCCTTGGGTATGCCAATGGGTTGAAAAGCTCTGCTAGAAACTTACAAGGCAAAGAATTTGGGATCCGTCAGTGCAAGGCGCACGTCTTTCCAGCTGAATTCATCATCAACGACACCCCAGTGAGGGTCAAGTTGGTAACGCAGCTTCATCATCTCCTTTTCTTCATCGTCCAGAAACCATGCCGTCGTTGGAGATTCAGGAAAGAGGAAGAAGAACACCGGACAGACAAGGACTGTCAAGCAACCCTCGACAATGAACAGAGCCCGCCACGACGTGAACAGTCCATTGGTCTGGATCTGGGTCAGGCCATACGCAAAGATACCCCCAAAGGCACTGGCCAAGGCGCTGAAGGCGAAGATAACCGACGATCGCTTGCCACGCTCAGACTTCTTATATGTCATACCGAGGAAGACATTGATGCACGGGATCAGTCCAGCCTCGAAGAAACCAGTAAGGAGCCGGCATGTGTACAGGCCCTGCCAGTTGTGGATGAAGCCTGTGCAGAGGCAAACCATGCCCCAGCAGAAACAGCATGTGGTAAGCAGGTACTTTGGCCCAATGATCTTGAGCAGTACTGCGACGGGCGTCTCGAAGGGAACATAGGTGGCGTATAGCAAGGTTACTGCAGTTCCATATTGGTTTCCGACGAGGCCAAGGTCTTCAGGAAGTCCTGCGATGTTTGCATTGCCGATGTTGCTCCTGCAGAGGACTTCAGCATTCAAGTTTCTTATTCCCCTTCTCTTGTGCAGCTTTAGGAAAACACTGACCGGTCGAGGTTCGCCAACATGTAGAGTATACCTAAAAGGCCAACAGCCCAGATCTGGAGCCAATGTGGGTCAGCACTGTCTCGATTGCTCCAAGTTGTGGAATGGTAGGTTGTTCTCACATCGAATTTCCGCATCATCTTGGCCTCCTTGACTGGGTCGATATACGAAATAATTTGGCCATCGCTGTCAACATCGCTCCTCGGGGCCGTAGCCGAGGTTGGCTCAGCCTTCTGGTCTATGGCGTCCATTCTTTGGTGGTGATGTCGTGAACTCCTTCTTGGAGAGTAGGCACTGTGTTTCGTTGACACAAGGAGGACAGCTTCTAAAGATGTGTCCGGACGAGCCTGAAGGCCCAATGCACCGGATCGAGACAGATGACGGTGTCTTAAAGTAGACGAGCCGAGTCTCAACAGACATCAAGAGGCATGATAGGAGCCGGATTGGGAGTGTTGATGGCGTCCATGCAGTTAGCCCAAGCCCCTAATTTACTCGTGATGATACGACTATTGTGTCCATTCATGCTATGATGGTGGGTCAGTGCATGCAGTCGCGATGGGCGTTATCGTTTTGCTTCTACGCCTCTGATTAACCCCGACTGGAGCTTATCAGATTCTCTACTGTATGTTGCAGCTCCTGACAGATAATGGCTGCTACAGCAGTTGGCTCACATGATCGGCCGCACCTAGCCGCGATAGATCGGTATTCATAGTGGATCGCCGGTCAGCTTATCAGCCTCTCTCCCATCTTAGCTCTTCGGCCAGCGATGCCGCGTAACAGACATGTGAGAATGTCGGCTTGTGACCGTCTATTGGAAGATGAGGTAGGCAGAGACAATACTTTGCCGGTACTCTCCTAAGAAGATAGTACTTTTGGGTAATAACTCACAAAACCTATCGCGATGGTTCAAGATGACAGCGAAACACTGACTTCTGAAAGCGAAGTTCACAACTCATGAAGAAGTTATTTAATTTAATGAGCATTGATCCCCATCTTTCATTTATCGCAGGCGCATTAATATTTCTTCTCAGCTGAACATCTCAAACAACATTCCAACCACATTTCGAGACTCCCAGCCATTCATTACTTACTTCATTATGCCATCCATCGCTGAGGAAGGAATCAGAATAGCCATTGACCGAGGTGGTACATTCTGTGACTTGTAGGTCTGCCCCATCTCTTCAGTTCAATCGGTTCGAGTTGAACTTATGTTTATGCTAACTAACTTCCTATCAGCTGGGCACATATCCCTGGCCAAAAGGATGACCTTGTCTTTAAGCTTTTGTCCGTCTGCCCCGACGAGTTTGCCGATGCCCCCACAGAGGGTATCCGACAGATTCTCGAAAAAGCCACGGGAAGGGCCATTGCCAGAGGCGAGCTGCTCGACCTAACTCCCGTCGAGAGCATACGCATGGGAACCACAGTCGCCACCAATGCCCTCCTGGAACGAAAAGGCGAGAGCACAGCGCTCTTGATTACAAAAGGATTCCGCGACCTCTTGATCATCGGCAACCAAGCACGGCCGAGAATATTTGACCTGGCGGTGAAGAAACTCGGGACTCTGTACGAAAATGTCGTCGAGGTGGACGAGCGTGTGACCGCAGAGGGCTTCTCAGAGGACCCGGAGCCGCAGCCAATCGACGTGGCGAGCGATTGCAATCTGGTCATAGGCAAGACAGGCGAGCCACTTCGCATCTTAAAACGACCCGATCTAGACGCCGTCCGAAAAGATCTCCAGGGCCTGTGGGACAGTGGATTCCGCAGCCTGGCTGTGGCACTGATGCACTCATACGCCTATCCAGATCACGAGATGGCCATAGGAGACCTGGCTCGCGAGATGGGCTTCAAAGTCTCGCTCTCGTCTCAGCTGCAGAGCATGATCAAGCTCGTGCCTCGCGCCCAGTCGGCAGTGGCAGATGCCTACCTCTCTCCCATCACCGAGAATTACCTCGAAGGGTTCCGAAGAAGTTTCAAGGGCGAATTGCGCGATCAGGCATCGGCCAACAAATTACTTTTATGCCAGAGCCACGGCGGACTCGTCAGGTACACCGAGTTCACAGGTCTGCGGGCCATTCTCTCTGGTCCTGCCGGCGGGGTCATCGGTTATGCTCGGACCTGCTACGACGTCGAAGAAGGAACTCCTGTGCTAGGTTTTGATATGGGCGGCACGAGCACTGATGTCTCGCGCTACGGAGGCACCCTGGAACACGTTTTTGAGTGCACCACCGCTGAAATCCAGATCCAGACGCCCCAGCTCGATGTCAACACTGTCGCCGCAGGAGGCGGTTCCATCCTGTTCTGGAGTAACGGCTTGTTCAAAGTCGGGCCCCAGTCAGCAGGCGCATATCCTGGACCGGTCTGCTACGGAAATGGTGGACCACTGACCATCACGGATGCCAACTGCTTTCTCGGACGAGTTCTGCCAGACTATTTCCCGAGAAAACTGCATATCGACAAGGTCAGGGAAGAGTTCGCCAAGCTGACGCGCCTTGTAAATTCCGAGAAGAACGGCGACGACCAGCTCACTGCCGAGCAGGTCGCCATGGGCTTCATCGAGGTGGCCAATGCGACCATGGCGAGGCCCATCAGGACTCTGAGTGAGGGCAGGGGCTTCGATACTGCAGCGCACAATCTCGCCTGCTTCGGTGGTGCCGGTGGCCAGCATGCTGTGGCTATTGCCAGGGATCTGGGCATCAGACGGGTTCTGATCCACAGACTGTCTAGTATCTTGTCCGCGTACGGCATGGCTCTGGCTGATATTGTGGTGGAGAAGCAGGAGCCTGAGGCGGCAGTGTATGGCTCTGATTCCAAAGGAAGGATCGCAGAACGCTTCGCTTCCATGGCCGAGAAGGCCACTTCGGAGCTGGGCTCGCAGGGTATCCCAGCGCAGCGGGTCCTACACGAATATTTCCTCAATATGAGATACAGGGGTAGCGACACGGCACTTATGATCCAAAAGCCCGAGGACGGCGACTTCTCTCAAGCCTTCAGCGACCGCCACCAGCGCGAGTTTGGTTTTGGTCAGCCTGACAGAGACATCTTGGTAGATGATGTCCGCGTAAGGAGCATTGGCAAGGCCGTGGATATTCCTGGTTGCAGTTTGTACAGAGATCTCGAAGAGGAGGATGGCTTCACAGTCCTAGACGCGAGCTCCGCCAAGGCCATGAAGAAGGTCTACTTCGGAACGACTGGCTGGACGGATACCGCCATCTTTCACATTACCAACATCCCGAGGAGGGTCAAGATCATGGGTCCTGCGGTGGCAATCGACGCGACGCAGACAATCATCATTGAGGAAGACAGTGTGGCTATTGTCTTGGACGACCATATCGTTCTTGACATTACTGCCTCGAACCAAAGAACTATTGGCATCGATGAGGTCGACCCGGTACAATTGTCCGTCTTTGGCCACAGATTCATGTCTATTGCAGAGCAGGTAAGTCAATTTTGCGAATGAAGCCCCAAGGAAGAATCCCCTATACTAATACACTTTGGTTGTAGATGGGAAGAACTCTCCAAAAGACATCAATTTCTACTAACATCAAGGAGCGTCTTGACTATTCTTGTGCTATCTTTTCCCAGTCTGGAGGACTTGTTGCCAATGCTCCTCATATTCCCGGTCATTTGGGTTCCATGAGCACAGCAATCAGGTACCAAGCAGAGAAATATGGTCCTACGGGGCTCAAGCCTGGAGATGTGGTTCTGTCGAATCACCCTTGTTCAGGCGGAACGCATCTGCCAGACTTGACAGTCACAACACCTGTCTTTGACGATAACGATAACCCCACGCAGATTTTGTTCTTTGTCGCAAACAGAGGTAAGTCGGTTCATCAGTGAAAATCGAATTCTGTACCAGTCTTGACTCTGACACCTTGAACAAAAAATAGGCCATCATGCAGACATAGGTGGTATCCTGGCCGGATCTATGCCCCCGAATTCGACCGAGCTCTGGCAAGAAGGTGCTGCTGTTGAGTCATTCAAGATGGTCAAGCAGGGTGTATTTGACGAAGAAGGCCTGATTGATGAGCTCTACGTCAAGCCTGGCAAATACCCTGGCTGCAGCGGTACCAGGACGCTCAAGGACAATATTGCGGATTTAAAAGCAGCTGTGGCAGCCAACAACCGAGGAATTCACCTCATCCAAGCACTGGTCAAGGAGTATTCTTGGCCTGTCGTCCAGTTCTACATGGAAGCCATCCAGAAGAACGCCGAGGATGCAGTTCGGACGCTTTTGAAGGGGTTCAGCGAGCGATTCAGAGGCCACCCTTTGAAAGCGGTCGATTATATGGATGACGGGACGCCTCTGGCCTTGAAGGTCACCATTGACGGTGATAGTGGATCTGCAAAGTTTGACTTTACCGGCACCGGCCCTGAGGCTTTCAATAATTTGGTAGGTTGTCCTTGGCCTTGTTATGCTTGAAAGACTAACTGACCGTCGACTCGTACAGAACACACCATCTGCGGTGATGTACTCAGGCATTATCTACTGCCTGCGCTGCATGATCTCCTCCGAAATACCCCTAAACCAGGGATGCCTAACCCCGATCGAGGTCTACTGCCCACCTAATACGCTTCTGTCCCCATCACTCAAAGCTGCAACCGTCGGCTCCAACGTGGAGACCTCGCAGCGTATTGTGGACCTCATCTTCAAGGCCTTCCGCGCCTGCGCAGCCAGCCAAGGTACCTGTAATAACCTGACGTTCGGATATGGTGGCACAGACCCGGAGACTGGTAAGATCACCAAGGGCTTCGGCTATTATGAGACGATTGCCGGCGGTGCTGGTGCAGGACCAACGTGGGATGGACAGAGTGGTGTGCACACAAACGTCACAAACACCAGAATCACGGATCCAGAGACATTCGAGAAGAGATACCCAGTGATTCTGAGGGAATTCTCCATCAGGAAAGGATCTGGTGGTGCCGGCTTTCACCGAGGCGGCGACGGATGTGTACGAGACATTGAGCTGACCCGACCCATGCAGGTCAGCATTCTGTCAGAGCGAAGAGTGATTCCGCCATATGGGATGGCCGGTGGATGCGAGGGAGGAAGGGGAGTGAACATATGGGTTCGGAAGGATCCTGAGGATGATTCTGAGCGGAGAATCAGCCTTGGACCACGGGCTACGACCATGATGGGCAAAGGTGATAGAATCATCGTTCAGACGCCGGGAGGCGGTGGCTACGGCAAAGATCCTAATGCCGAGGAGGACTTTGTGCCGCCTGAGGAATTGCAGATCCGGGAGCTGTCCAAGAGCATCACGAATGGGGTATCGACTGGTAGTTCGGCTTTCAGGGCAAACGGCAGTGTTGCAGAGCGAGAAGCCATGGGTGCATCAAACTAAGCCAGTCTAGACATGTTGTTAGACTCATTAGTGAAGAGACCATCAATAGTTGTTCTTCAATATGATATTTCTTCTCCATTCCTACCTGGTAAATTTCCCAAATTGTGTACAAGAGCCTACTTCACAATTCACTCATCAACGTATATCCCTGGCATGCTGTATCACTACGCCATGTCACCTTTGGACCCTAACCAGCCAGAATAACAAGGCGAGATTCAAGATAAGCTCTCAAATCGTATATTCGGAATGATGCCGATCAAGTGCCCATAAGTTGCTGTTTCGTCTCGGCATCTATGCCGGCTCGAATTCTATGGTAGCCGGTTGTGTGCTGCCTGGACCGAGACCGGCACTGATACTTGATTCTCAGTCAAGTTAAAAACAATCTTTCTCCATGGCTGTGTTACCGTTGGATTGTAAAAGTGAGAAGAATTTCTCCGAGATTGGGACTTTCTGAATATTGTTGACGCACAGCAAGATGGGCAGTATAGACCAGAGCAGCTCGGTGTTTTCGCCCATCAAAGCGATCCCGTATGACGAAGCGTATCGTGTGACAGCAGCATTGGCTGCAGACAAGACCGCCGACAAGGTTGATCTGGGCGCAGGCGTGTACAAGGCTGACGACGGAAAATCGTGGACATTGCCATCTGTAAAGGAGGTAAGTTATGACCGCTGAATGTGAACAGTTGAGAAGAGATCACATGGAATGCTAAGCCTTGTGACCATATTCAGGCAATTTCCCGACTTCCAGATGACCATACCTATATCCCCCAAGCAGGTTTGGCTCCATTCATCAAGGGTGCCCAGAGTCTCCTCTTTGGGGAACTGTCAGAAGAGCAACAGTCACGAATAAGCTCTATTCAGACAGTCTCAGGAACCCATGCCTGTCACGTCGGAACCATGTTCTTGATCAAGAACGGACTCAAGCCCAAGAACGTCTTCATCTCAGATCCATCGTGGATGAACCATGCTCTCATTTGGGAGTGTGCAGACTCGAGTATCAACCGCAAACTCTATCCTTATTACCATGCAGCCACAAAATCCCTTGATTTTGAAGGCATGACAGCCTGCCTCGAGAATGAATCTGTGCCGGGGGACGTTGTCATCCTGCAGACCTGTGCCCATAATCCAACGGGGCTCGATCCAACCAAGGAGCAATGGATGGCCATTGCCGACCTCTGTGAGAGAAGGAAGCTGTTCCCCTTCTTTGACTGTGCCTAGTGAGTTCGTTCCTTGGCTACCTCTTGCCTGAACAGTCCAGTCTTCGTCGGATGTGCCCAATCTAATAAGCTCATTATCTACACAGTCAGGGCTTCGCAACTGGCAACTTCGATGAAGATGCCTGGGCCGTCCGGTACTTTGCCAGCCGTCCATCCATGGAGCTCGGTGTTGCGCAGTCCTTCTCCAAGAACTTCGGCTTGTATGGCGAGCGAGTTGGTGCTTTCCATATCCTGGCGAGTGACGGCGCCGTCAAGCCTGCTGTGCAATCGCGACTTGTGCGTGTTGTGAGATCAGAGGTTTCCTCCGGCACAGCATTCGGGTCGAGGATCGTCACTATTGTTTTGGGCGATGAGAGCCTCAAGCAGCAGTTTCTGGAGGAGAACAAAGCTATGAGCTCCCGTATAAAGAGCATGCGGGCCGCGCTTTTGAGGGAGCTTGAGCTGCTAGGGACTCCGGGAAACTGGAGTCACATCACAAGTCAAGTACGCATTATACCTCTGGTCCTTTTCAATCTGCGTTGTAGTTCACATGCAAGGTGGGCGTGTAGTCACTAACAGGGGTCGATAGATTGGAATGTTCTCGTATACGGGCTTGACTGCGCAACAGGTGCAGATTCTACAAGAGAAGCACCATATCTTCCTCTTCTCTAGTGGACGAGCATCGATCTCGGGATGTAAGTAGAGGCCCTCCAAGGTGGGCGGTATGAGTCAAATCCCCACATGCTGACTGCATCACGTCCTAGTGAACTCGACCAACGTGAAGCGGGTGGCCGAAGCCATTCACTCAGTGGTTGCAGAAGTTGATCACAACTTAGGGATCTGTAGTGACCCTGCCAGCACTTATGTGAAGGGCTTCATTCAGGCACACAAACAAGTCTCATGAGCATCATAAAGAATGATAATTCCTTAGCAAACAACTGCTGTCTTAAGGTAATTATGAGGCGTGTGTGAGGTTTGCGCCCAGTGACATTACTGAATGAGTGGGTGGAAGGTTCACGGCCAATCATACGCGGTTACGATGGAACATGAGAGTCCAGATCCATCTATGAGAACATAGCATCGAATGTGATGTTGTGAGACGATGTATTAAGTCTTGTGAGCACTTTTTATAGCAGACAGATATGAGGATTAGTGTAAGAAAAAACCTTCTTTCTACCTGATGAGACCTTTGTATTGTTATCTGGTGTGGTCTTTGAAGCGTGCTGTTGAGAGATAAATTTACAGAGAGGTACTAAAGAGTTCCTACTCTATATCCTACCCTTACAGAACATCAAAGAGATCTATAAATGATAGGCAGATAAACAACATCCGCCCACCAAATCTTTGCATCAAATGGTATGCATTTAGCTTCTGGCTTTGAGCAAACCTGGCGGCATAAGGATGGCCTGTTCCCCGTTAGCCACGTCAAGCACACCATATTTTAGATCTTATAGACGAGGGTCCATATCCTGTCGCCGAAATACGGACCTTGATAGCTTCGGACGAGCGTAGACTTGAGGCTGTGTACTCGCGTCTAATCAGATGGCGAGGACACTGCTAGCGGCACCTGTGCACTGCCCAGCCCAGGTGCTCGTGACACCAGTCTTATGACTGAGAATTGAGCCACGGAAGCAGGCATCAGCCACCAGTTCGCCTCAAAAAGCAACTTGAACTCATTCCTATCTCCATAATACCTTTTCAAAAATTAGCCATTGTCGAGTAAAGTGCATGCATCCCCAAAGCACGCGATTTTTCCCTTTTCCCTTCCCAAGCACGGATGAAAACGAGCGTTGACAATGTCAATTGCGCTATGCCGCATGAAGCCCACCTGTAGTAGAAATGACGGGTACGAACGTATGGGCTCGGCTATGCAGCCTAGGACTTGTATACATGCTGGATACCCCACCAGCAACATGCAGCTAAATCTGCAGACTGACGTCGGCTCAGACCACAGCGTGCAGCGCCCACGGCGCCCCTCCTCGTTCTCAGGGTTCAAAGCTTCTCACGACTCCATAATCACGAGTGAGGTTTTCAAGATCGTCATACCTTACGAAGGGTCCTTATAATAGAAGGACCCTTGAATATATCAAAGATGATGCGGATTGTTTGTGATGCTTTTGCGACCAAGACCCTGATTTAAGAAGCTTACTTGCTACTACTATTACTTCGTAGTTATACGAAAGGCGTTTGTTGAAACGGACAAAACCTGATGGGTTGGCTGTGGCTGGTCTTGGCCACACGCAGGTGATTTCTTACAGCTGACGAGACTCGCGCTCATAAATTCCCCCACGGCCCCCCGTCTTTCTGCCATCTGCTTCTAGTGCACCAGATCATTTCTAGCTCCCACCATCTATCCCACCACATCATCATACCCTCCCAACGATCTGCGGCGCGCATTTACTTGTTACTTGCAATCGCCATCACCTACACCACCAACTCACTTTACTCCTCTGCCCAGCATGTGCTTCGGAGACGGCAAGAAGAAGAAGCAATACTACTATCGCGAGGAGATCTACCCATCTCGACCAGCTCCTCACCACCAATACTACCAACACACTGCACGAGTTAGCCGAACCTCACACCATTCCTCCCACAGCCCGCGAGGCAGCGTGTACAGCTCCCGGGGTGGGCCAACGGTCTACGAGAAACGAACGACGAAGAAATACTACAACTGAACAAAGTTGTTTGCCCTTATACTGTTTATCCAATAAGTGATGGAATTTTGGAACATGTGGGGACGAGGATCGATCGACCGCAGTACCCCTCCACAATTTTTCCAAGGAAGAGATGTAGAGGGTGAGTTCTGGAGGCTGTGATACCCAACCACGTGCATGTATGGTGTTTCCTGCATTGGCAGCCAAGTTGTCTGGATTTAATGTGAGAGGAGTCGGTGCACCGGGTTGTTTTGAGAGCCGTGAAATAGCATCACAAGCGACGATATAGCATTACTTCCCCAAGAGGTGCTAATGTCTACTAGTATAGTAATTAGTTCACTGAAATCGATGTTGCAGATCCGTCATCGTGGGTTCTGACGTCATGACTGAATCTGGCAGTGAGATTTCCCTTCCTCTTGGTCCTAACCACAACAACGACGTGCGCCTTGCCGCCTTGCTATACAATGATTGTCCATACTCACTTGTCTCTATCCGGGACAGCTCGACCCGCTCATTCTGGCAGACGGCGCGTCGTGGCGTCCGCCAGATCCAAGACATGAGCGTCAATGATGACGGACTACTCGGAATGCAGGTCTAAGACCTCTCACCCAGAAATAACTAGGAAACCAAATTGTATATGGTGTCTTTGCATCCCCATTGTTCCTCCTACACGCATTATACCGTGTAAATTGTACCTGCCTTGTCTCTGAACGACCACTTGACTTTAATCCATTGTATTACCGGATAGAGCCACCATCGTGCTTGCCTCGTCCGAGAAATTCATACCAACAATTGTAGCGAGGAGGAGCAACCCTCGACACTCAACCAAACGATTCATCGAAATCAATAGGTTTGCCCAGGAAACAAATTATATCTACCTCATCATCATGTAAGCATCAGACAACCCTCTTTTCTGCATTCCTGTTCTTCACGCCAGCTTCGTATTGCACACTTCATCAACATGCTTCCCTGGTCTCGCAAGAGCTCATGCCAAAGCTCAGAAGTATCCAACAGAAGCTCCGACCAGAGTTACAGCAAACCGACAGGATACACTATGTGAGTCCAGCGCAAAACAGTATCAACATATAAAGGCACATTCGACTTGTTCATCTGCTCACATGGAACCCTCTTTCTCTTTGTCAGGAATCGTGCCCTCTCGATCCGCTCCAAGAAGAGCACCGGCGAGTCGGGCTCCTCGTCCGGCTCGCGCGTGGGTTTCTCCCTGTCTTCGCTGCGCGGCTCCATCCAGCCGGAGCTGGCTCGCAAGATCTACAAGCTCATCAAGACGACCAATAACCTGGTCAGCGCGCACGAGACCGCCGGACGCGAGCGCGCCGCCATCGCAACCCAGCTGTCTGAGTGGGGCGAGCAGACGGGCGACGAGGCCATCAGCGACGTCAGTGACAAGGTTGGGGTTATCATGAGCGAGATCGGCGAGCAGGAGGATCAGTACGCGCACGCCATCGACGACAGCCGGGCCGTCCTCAAGCAGATCCGAAACACCGAAAAGAGCGTGCAACCAAGCCGGGACGGAAAGAGGAAGACTGCGGACGAGATTGCGAAGCTCAAGAGCAAGGAGCCCGAGAGCACGAGGCTCGTTGTGCTGGAGCAGGAGCTGGTCAGGGCCGAGGCGGAGAATCTCGTTGCCGAGGCCCAACTGACGAATGTGGTGCGTAGAGCTGCCTACTTGCACTGGATGAGACACTAACATCTATATGAAGAGCCGTCAAAAGTTGAAGGAGGCATACGATGCCGAATTCCTCGCCACTATCGAGCGGGCCGAGAAGCAGATCATCCTGGCTCGCCATGGCCGTCGTCTCATCCAGCTCCTCGACGACAGCCCCGTGGTCCCTGGAGACGGCCAACGTCCGTACCAGCACGCCGCGCAGGCACGCCAGATACTGAACGACGCTGAAGATGACCTCAAGGATTGGCAGCCCGAGTCCGATGATCAGTACTTGGAGACATCGCAACAGCATGAGGGTGAAAGCCTGGACGACGAGAGGGTTCCATCCAGTGTCGGCGGAGAGCAACAGCCACTCGCTCCAGCAGAAAATACCGGCCATGTGGTGGGCGAGGATACCCCGACCGCTGGTCCGCAAGGTGAGCATCAGTCCGTGCATGGGAGAAGAAGTCAAGGAGATGAAGGTGATAGCGTGAGTGGTGGTGGTGTCGTTGACGAAAGTCATGGTCGAGTCTTGAATACTAAGTCTAAGCCACAGTCACCGCCACCGCAGCTTGAAGGGAGCACGACTGTCGTGTCGGATAGCCCTGTGAGTAGCCTGGATGGTTGGAGACATCATGGAAATCTACTGCGACCGAAGCAACCCGGTTTGGCACTGTAAAGGTGGTTGGATTCGGATCGGTGAAAGCAAGCCGTGGTTGATTGTACGTGTTCCAGTGGCATACTATTCACCTTGAGGGAAGATTGTCTTGGAGGGCGTTCTATTTTTACAATGGACTGTCCTGTGCTGAACAATTTGACTGGAAACATTTTTAATTCCGATTGCGGTTCTTTGGATGCTTTGTTCTTTATAATATACATGACTTGGTTACAAATAGGGTATCGAGTGACGCGAAACAAGCTAGCAAATCCAAGAACGAGCCACAACACCGACTGACGACCGAAAGATGCAGGCTCTCTTATATGACGGCAACAACCTCCCCCCCCCCTCAAAAAAAAAACAGAGAAAGAAAAAAGGGAGGTATAAAAACAAGAAGAAAATCATTACTTTCAACCTGGACTCCTTGAGAAAGCTGGTCATGAGATCTTGAACGTGCTCGCAAATCAACTGATGTTTCCGCTAGTGGTGAGAAGAAAAAAAAGGGGAAAAAAGGGACGCAAGAGGAAGGAAGAAAAAGGAGAAATGGGAAAAAATAAGGAGAAAGAAACGAAACAAGAAACGATAAGAAGGAATGAGACCCAGCAAAGTTATCTAAAAAGTCACTCTCCATTCGACAGTGTGCCACCTAGCTGCAGCACGGTTATGGTCTGCACGACGTTTCCAAAGAAGCCCAAAAGAGGCGCAAGCGCGTTATCGTGGAAAAAAGTGCCGAGGGCGGCAAAGTTGAGCACAAGCCCAGCGATGGACAGCAACGAGATCCAGACAATCGAGACCCGCCCGGACAGGGGTGGGGTCCGTACAGCGGGGACGAGGCCGGTGTAGGTGGTCAGGAGCTGCATGAGAACCGACTGGAGATTGTTGAAGAAGTCGGAGCCGTTGAGGTCGCCGGGCCCGTGGGGAGAGAGGGTGTAGGAGCGGAACTGGAGCGAGCAGCAGATGAGGCAGGTGATGATGGTGAGGCCCTGAAGGGTGGGGTAGCTGAGGAGGAGGAGGTGGACGGGTGGCAGGCGGCACCGGCCGAGCCTGAGGGCAAGGGCGGCATGGTCTTTGGATGACTCCGCGGTGTCGAGGGTGAAGGTCTGGAAGGTCGACCCGGAGAGGGATGTAAAAGACCTCGGAGCCACTCCGGCCCCCGGCTTGTACGAGTCGAAGGAGACGGTGGCGGTGTTGATGATCCCCTTCAGCGTGGTCTGCATGCACTCTGCGTTGCGCAAGATGGCCGGCACCACGTGGGGGTACTTGCGCAGCTCGGCGGTCAGCTTGGGGACGCAGCTGTCGAGCATGCCCGCGAGGCGCTTCAGGTTCTCGACGCAGCGCAGGTACTCGTGGACCTTGACCCGTGCCATCTCAAAGGCCGCGACGAAGTTGTTCAGGCATTTGTCCCAGATGCCACCGGCGCAGGCCGACGTGAGATAGCAGAGGGGGCCGAGCGAATTCAATGTGGTCTGTCTTTGCAAGAGGAAGGCCTTGTCGTCTTCCGAGGTCAGAAAGACGGAAGTGGCGACGAACATGTCGACACGAGAGCACACGGAGGCGACTTCGTCGAGGGCATCGCGATAACTCAGTGCACCGGAATTGCTGTAGACGCCCAGATAGCCTATCAGAAGTGTTATAGTTAGTCACTAATGTAGTTTACGTTACATCTATACTTGTAGGAGACTTTTTTCTTGCTGTGTAACATACGCTTAGGAAAGATTCCTTCTTGGCCTTGTTGGGACAAGTTTTTGCCCCAGGACCAACCATGGCCAATGTCAGATACAATGATATGGTCATACTTGGACATGGATAATTCTCCAGGAGTCCGTGGGATGAAGGTGCCTGTGGCACTGTCAGCATACGCGGGTGGAAAAGTTCACGATGTTTTGGGTCATGGAAACTCACAGGGTGCGATGTAAATCTTGCTCATGAGGTTTCGAGGTGCCGAAGTAGTATAGAGACCGGGACTCAAACGTTAAGCTTGCTCACTACGTGAAAGCACCAAGATGTGTCACGATAGAAAATAGCGCCCCGTGAGTAGCGGATTTTCTTTTTTTCCTCTTTCTTTTTTCTTAAGGGGAAGCTTCAAACAAATCTGTTAGACCTAGTCACCAAGGAGGTGAGGTCCCTCTCTTGAGGAATTATATATATGTATATATCAATCGTACTCTCAAATAGGCTGGGATTGAGAAGGCTGGAACAAGACAGACGTCTGAGACAGGGCCTCACCAGGGCTTGAACCGAGACAGATATATAGGCATGGCCAGCACCGATGCAGGACATGCTTATCTTCTCTGCTATATCGAGTCATCATCCTAAGTGTGCCCAAGAAGTATGGCAGTACCGTGGAAAGGGAAGACGCACTTCCCACATAAGGCTGACCAGCCACGCACGGTGTCCAGATTGGTCATGGACGACTGGGCATAATTGCCTTTCAGCTAGCACTTGCCAGGCATAAGCGATATCGGTCCCTACACAACCACCACAAACCGAAGAGACCAGTCCTGATACTTGTGATCTCGGCTGCACCAATGATTCGCTGGTGGTGTCCTGGAACGCACTTGGCCGCTGACGGTGATCTTCGCAAAGCCACTCCGAAACAGGACTGCTCGGTCGTCGAAGAAAGAACCTCGGTATCCAACTCCATCCTTCCCCAGGGCTATTCCAAATCCACGTGGTCTGATCTGGCGTTGATTCACTGGGCAGGAGCCCAATGCAGGACCTGTCTGCTGCTCGTGGAGCCGAGCACAGGTTCCCACAGGTTCGTCAAGTCTGTCGTCAGTTGGTAAGGCTGAATGAGGGTTGCGGGGGCGGGGTTCGGGGGGGTTCACGATGGCGCACGGGCCTCATGCTAGCGACAGGGATAGCTTGAACCCTGCAGCAAGCAACCCAATCCGATCGTCATGAGATTCTCTAATGTCTGTTTTTCCTCCTCCTTATTTGTCCCCATTACTGCGAGGACAGCACAGCACAACCCAATCAAGTGTTGGTGTGGCGAGAGCAGAATACCATGGAGGTTCTACTTCGCAGACCAGCGGCGCGATTCGTGTGCAAGCGCTGCTCTGGTCAGACCAGCCGGCCATTCCGACGAGGTCTCGCAACCTCAAGACAGCCAGACGTATACGATGTTGTCTGCGTTGGCGGTGGTCCAGCAGGACTGAGTCTCCTGGCTGCTCTGCGTAGGTCAACCTTGCACAGCCGGCCATCGGCTCCTTAGACTCCTTTTGTGCTGATTATATGTCCACCCTTGTAGGTGCGAATCCGATCACTGCTGGCCTCAGGGTCGCCCTGATTGAGGCTCAAGACCTCTCAAAAACGCGCCAGTGGAAACTACCTCCCGACCGATACTCGAACCGATGCAGTTCCCTGACACCGACGTCTGCGGGATTTCTTGAGAAAATAGGAGCCTGGCAACTGATGAAGCGGGAGAGAATACAGCCCTACCAGGAAATGCAGGTGTGGGACGGCGTCTCGGGCGCACGAATTGAGTTCGACTGGGATGGTGGCGCAGGGCAGACCATCGCATACATGATCGAGAATCTCAACATCACCTCGGGCTTACTAGGTCGCCTCGACCAGCTGGGTGGGGTGTCAGTTTTCGACAATACAAAGGTCGAGGAGATCTCGTTTGGAGAGGAGGCGGACGGCCTGGATCTGTCTGAGTGGCCTGTCATCCGGCTGGCCGGTGGACAACGGCTATGGGCTAGGCTGCTCGTCGGTGCAGACGGTGCAAACAGCCCAGTCCGATCCTTTGCCGGGATCGAGTCGCGAGGCTGGGACTACGGTCGACATGGCGTTGTTGCCACGCTTAAGCTGGAAGGTGAGGGCTGGGGCGGCGACCGCACCAAGATCGCGTACCAGCGCTTCCTGCCCACGGGCCCAGTCGCCGTGCTGCCTTTGCCGGGCAATTACTCCTCTCTTGTGTGGTCCACGACGCCAGACAGGGCTGCTCGGCTGAAGGGCTTGTCCTCACCGGACTTCACAGCGATGGTGAATGCTGCCTTCAGGCTGAGCCCTGTGGATCTGGAATACCTGCACAGTCAGGGCTCCGGTCAGGAGGAAGAAGTCTCGTGGCGGATGCAACACGTCTCGGTGCAGCCACAGATTATCCCGCAGACTGTCGTGGGTGTGCAGGAGGGCACGGTCGCGTCCTTCCCTTTGAAGATGCGCCATGCCGACACGTACATCGGCGAGCGCATCGCACTCGTTGGTGACGCCGCGCACAGCATCCACCCGCTCGCCGGCCAAGGGCTCAACCAGGGACAGGGCGATGTCCAGAGTCTGGTCAAGACCATAGAGTACGCTGTCAGCCACGGCCAGGATATCGGCACTCAAATGGCCCTCGAACCCTACAACGCCGAGAGATACGCTACAAACCACGCGGTGCTCGGTGTCTGCGACAAGCTGCACAAGCTCTACTCGGTCGGCAGCGGACCCTTGGTTCCATTGCGATCTCTGGGTCTCGGTGCTGTTAACGCCATGCGGCCTGTCAAGGACTTCTTCATGAACCAGGCCGCTGGCAAGGGCTTCAAACTCTTCTGATAGACTTGAGAAGAGTTCTTGGCCGTCCTAGCACATTCTCAGCAGAGGGAACCAGCGGATATTGAAGGTCGCCACAGAAAGAGACAAGCGATTGACCCGAGCAGCATCTCAATATACGAGACCATGGTTGATCTTGGCAAATCTCATTTATGTCTGCAACTCCCCGGCGCACCTTGGCATAATCATGTCATCCGCTTTGGATTGTCACACAAGATGGCTCGGAAGTGCTCATTGCCACCTACATGCTCGAATATCTCCTTCGACCATTTCGCACCATCCGGATTTATCATTCCTGCAAACGACGATGCGAAGGGCGCTGGAGGGGAGGCGGTCAAGTGGTCGACGACTTACTGGTGGGAGACCAGCCGAGGACAACTTGAGCGACACGATTTTGTGACAGGGCTACCTGTGAGCGGTAATCGGAAGTGCTCGTCCAAGGAGCTGAAGAACAAGATACCGGGATGGAGGAATCGCATTGTTCGTGCTCTGATCCATCTGATGGCCAAGTACCATTCAGAGTGTATCTCGGGCAACGGCTTCAGTCGACAAGCACAGTAATGCAGGATTCTTTATATCAACTGGTAAAGGTTGTTATTACAGACACTTAGTCATATATATTAAAATCTATGTACACATTGGACCGGAGGCGGTCTATTACCCGGCCTTCCACCTCAACCAGCTGGTCCGTCACGTACTCTTCCAACTCGCCGCGGAGGTGCTCCAATCGCTCATCTAATCTGCCATCTACGACGTCAGACACTTCATCTCCGACAGCCTTCACCTCCACCATGACTTCTTCTAGCCTCTCTGCGGTCGCTTGGGCCTCGTCCCTGGCCTCTTGTAATTCAAGTCTGGCCTCGTGCACCTCGTCATGCACTTGATTCTGTTGTTGGACATTCGTCCGCTGCATCTCATCCCGGAGCTCGGTCGCATGCGCACTCAGACGCTCGTCCACCCAGTCTTTCATCCGTGTCTCCATCTGCCGCAACTCACTGCGCAGCTGGTCGCTTTCTTCGCGCCACTTGGCGTTCATCTCGCCCAGTAACTTCCGGCAGATGGCCTCGACATACACAGTATCAACGTTGGGCTCACATCGCGCATTTTCACGTGTGGCGGCCTCTTCTGCACTGCTGCTTGTTCTACGCCGCTTTTTGCTACCACTGGCAGGGGCCTCTTGGTGTGACGGCTGCGATGGCTCTGTAGTCATGTTAGCAAATTATCACTTTTGGGTGGAGGATATCTCGGGGAACGTCTCACCTTTCTCTATAGTGAGTGCTGGTGGAGGAGCAGTAAGCTCATCATATGATGGTGGAGAGTGTATTGTGCCCGGTGCGGGAACAGCGAGGCTCTCGCTCTCGAGAAGCTTGCCTCCCTTGCCGTCATAAAGCCTGGATACATCGGCATGTACAGTGCTCGTAGTCAAGCTTCCCGCCGCCACGGCCTGACAAAATGGCGACAAACGGTCTGTTGAGGGCATGCGGTCCTGCTTCACATAGATAACAAATTCGGTCTCCTGGGCAAGCATCTTCAACGAATCAAGTACATCCCAGTAGGCCTTCTTTTTCGGGACCAGAGGCTCAAGAGGAGGGACGACTAGGTCGGCAGGGTGTTTCAGTCTCAGTTGCAGCGACGCGATGCCCCCATTGCCTAGTGCCGCATGGAGCACCTCAGGGCCAGAATTTTCCTCAACATGCTCGTAGACGAGAGACTGGATTCGCTCCGGGGCAACGAAAAGGAACAAGGGTGTAACCTTCCGGCCTAGGCCTTTGAGGAGGATAGGAGCCCGAAGCCTGAGCGACGCTGTATTGGACAAGGGACGAAAGTGGCAATCCAACGTGACGTGGCCAGTCTCAGTAGAGCTGGCGTCGGTGGACGGCAGATAACACATGAGACCGTCAGGCTTTCGCCATCCGAGAATGACCTGGGCTCCTGTGATGTCAAGGTTGTCCTGTGATACGGACGTTGTTGCCAGGGCCGCCATGTCGGCCATTCTGACCACAGAATGCTGGACCTAGCATATCATGTTAGCAACGGAATCCAATATGTTGGACTGATTCTGGTATCTGCACGGCCGTAATGACCCATGCAGAGCAGATACGAAACTTGAAGCCCCCATGTTGTTGACATAGGTTCCCGCCCGCCCAGGCTTTTGTGAATGCCCACGTTGGAAAAGAGCACCCACGAGCAGCCTTGACTCGGTTCGAATGTTGAGTGAGAAGAAAAGGTACCAAAAGACAAGGCAAGGTAAAGAAATGGGCCTGAAGAGCCCGCACGCTCGCGTTAACAACGGTCCCAAGGATGCAAAGATTCCAGCTCACTGGCAACCCCGGGCTTGACCCCGCAGGTCCCTTTTCCCACACCCAGAACAGCATGCGAACTGCCCTGTCGCTTGGTAGTGGACTGAGACGAGAACCGATGCATCCTAGGACTACTGCGGTGTGTGTGCAATGCAGTATCTCTTGACGTTGGGCAAGAGTGCGCGGTCGTCCGCAGGAAGCGGACACCTTTGGAACTAACCCTGGATTGAAGCTATCGACCTGCAGGGCTCTGCATGGGATGGTTGGTGTCGTCGTTGTAAGGACTTGATGTTTTGCGGTGTCGGCAAGGACAACGACAACCGCTGATGATATAGGAGTGGTGATGTTGTCAGAAAGAGGAACGAACGGAAAGGGATAAGCAACCAGACGTGCTTTTATAGGGTAGCTGTGGGTAGCTGTGAAGGGCAGGTAAGTGGAGTACTCAGGTGAAGTGTCCAGGTGAAGTACCCAGGTGAAGTACCCGATCTTCACAATGGTGGTCGTGGATGATGCTACATGCAGAGCCCTGTTCGTAGTGATGATGGAAACATGAGGTCGGAGATGAAGCTGACGCGATTGTTGGAAAGGGACGGCTGGGGTCACGTGGGATCAGCGGAAAAGGCGGGGAGTGCATTCACTAACAGTATATGGTACAGTTTCCGCATGAGTATTGTTAGTGTAGCCACGGTTCAGTACGACCTGTCCACCCTGTATTTCACGGCTTGAAATTTTACTGATAACTACTATACGATGAGATAAATGTGAACAGATCTTATGCGAGTTGATTCTAGCGCTTGTGGATGGACTCTGTTGCGATACTTTTTGTCAATATGGGGTGTGGAGGAAGGGCAGGGTTAGGGTTGACATCGGGCACCTAACGAACAGCCGCTTGTATGGCTTCCTTACCTTCCCTACAACGGTGCACCCATACAGCATTTACAGAATCTTAATTAAAATTCATCTCCACTCCAACCTAAAGACATCAAGTCTCTGGCACAGAGGACACAAGGGCCTCCAAGCGCTATCTCAGGTACAGAAGTAGGCCTTCGCAGTTGAGGGCGTTGAAAAGCGCAAACCCCTGCTTCCAGGTTGCCCTCAATCACCATTCATATGGCATCAGTCCTGAATTGAGTATTCAAAATTGCCTTGCCAAATGATCGGGATGCTGAGGGTATCTTTCCAAGACCGAAGGCTGTCTGTCACTGCAGAGTCGCAATATCAGTACAAAAAGTACTCTTTGTCACATATATAGACTACCAGGATGGATGGAGCTCTATTTGTGTCTTTGCTTCCGATGTGAAAAGCTTCTTATATGAGACGAGCCCGGGCTCCCGCACAATGCCGTGTCCATGAACTCCGAAAGCCGGGAGTCTGCAATCGGTGGCAATTCTGCAAAGATGTCTTGATAGCTGGCAAGAACGAGGCTGTCTTCGAGGCCGAATCGTCCAAGGAAGTCGTCCCCCTCATCTTCCAACGCTGTCCGTATACCCCACCAAAGGTATGCTCCGCAATCAACAAACCATAGACCCTTTCCCACAATCCAATACTTGTCGTCGTGGAGGTACCTTGCTATGAAACAGACGCCATGTCTCACATGCTTCACCCAGCGCCTTTCAGCAAAGTCATAGCGTTGAGAATCTGAGAATAAACACCAATCCCCAGGCTGGGTCACTTGTGGTAACAGTATATTGATGTGGCGTTTCGAGTCCCCTTGGATCTTGCGAATCTGGTTCCATTTCTCTGGCGAGTAATTCGGCCAGATTTGAATTTTGAGTTCTGAATTCCTTAGGTTAGGTAGAACGTAGGGACCCGATTCTTGTTGCAGAGTGCAGGCGCTGTCGTCGCACACTAGACGGAATCCGCTCAAAAGTTCGCGACGGGAGGAAGACTGAGCGACAGCTTGTCGGAATGGCTGTTCCAGCTCAGGTGGGTACTCCTTCCGAGGGTTGAGCAAAGAGTCCGATATCAGAGCGTGGCGGCCTTTGATCGCATCCTTAAGCTCTTCTCGCAAGATCGAAGGACTTAAGTCGAAGGCTGCCACCACTTGCTCTGCAAGCTCACGCGGAGAGTAGAGTGGGTGCTGGCTGTTAAGAAATATTTCGGATGCTTCAACAGCCACCTTGAATACGCTCTTCGTATAGTCGGGTGAAACCATATTTCCACCATTTTCTGACCAGTCGACCATCGCAAGAATACCAAACAATTTGTCTCTTGGGTCAGCGCAATGCAGCTGTGCATCACGTACGTGAATGAAGAGCTCCAAAGAAGACATTTTCCTATCCGCAGAAAACGAACCGGCTTCTAACAGTGGAATCGTTGGTGATATGCATATGGGCTCGATCGAAGCATAGGTTCGCTGTTGTTGTGGTCTTGCTAGGACTTGTTCGACAGCGCCCATGGCTTCATGCCAAAGAGCCAACGCGCACAATGGGTTGATTGCTATGTGATCGAGCCCACAACAAACTGTAATTGAGGGACCGAGAGATAGTTCTTGATATATCCACTGTGATCAAAGCTTAATAATTCTTCTACGAACCTCGTAGTGAAGCAAATGAAGAAGCATCTTTGATAGAAGCGGTAATGTGAGCAATGACTTACTACTCTTGTGAAGTATCGTCGTTTTAGGAAGCTTTCAAGAGCTTGGGAGTATCTACTGGGGGCAGTAGATGACTTCTCCCTGTGCAGTTCTCTTGAAACAGCTTCCCATGCATGTATTCTCTCTTCTTCATTGCCGAACACGCAACGCCTGGTTCCGTTGCAAGAGGAGTATGCGCAGAGCAAGTCAGCGTTCTTGCGCAGAAGCTTATAAAGGAACTCGCTGTCATCAGCGTGATCCCCCACGCAAGCCAATACTTGTTCGCAATTCATGTAGATCTGGCCCATGATCGAAACCTGCGCATTCCTTTCACTGATATCCTGCTGGTTGATGCAAATTGAGTCGATCCAAATATGAAGGTCCCGGTTATAAGCCCACGCCTGTCTGAGTGCGCCTTCACTGTTAGGGAGGGCCTTGAACTGCCGATCGTTCACTAATATAAGAATCGGTTGTGCTTTATCTTCGTCATCTCCCCACGTATACGAGATGGTGTGGTATGGAGGCGCCTCATCCAAGGGAAAGCTTGCGAGTTCGCATCGAACGGACGGTGCGGTCTCGCTATTGTATGTCTGGATTTTCAGCAGCCTGAATTCCCTCTTCGGGTGAGAAAGTGCCTCATATACAAACGTGTCAGTTGCCATGGTGAGGTTGTCTCGACTCGAGGGTCAATAGACTTGTGATGCAAAGATGCAATGTGGTTCAGAGAAGCTGCGTGGCGGAGTTGAAAAATCAGCAGAAGAAGTTTGTAAGAAGTCAAGGTGCCCGGGGAGGGGGGGAGAGGACTGTGTGATGGAAGAATAAAAGACTAAAGAAGGAAGAATTTGGCGGAAAGGAAGAAAGTGAGCAGGCTTAAGGTTTGCAAGAGCCCGAGAGGCCTCATACGCGCATACCTAGATTAACTGATGACGTGGCAAGCCTTCCTCGAACCTCAAGGAAGGCCATTCAAAGCTGAAAAAAAGTAACTGCACTTCCGCAAGGCGCAGCTTAAACTGGGGACATCGGACTGAGAAAAATCGGTGGAGCCCAACATTGAAGGCGGGGCCCCTTATAGACTCGACAAGGCCTGGTTTGTCAATAAGATACTTCTATATTTGGCTAAGCAGGTAGATCATGAATAAATTTCCTACACAGGTGAAGAAGTCTATCAGAATACTTAGCCTGTTAGCTTAGTGGATCCCGTGCCTTGGAAAAACACACTTTTAAGAGCAAACAGCACATCTTATGTGGAGAGACCAGGCTGCTTCATTATACGCCGCGGTTCGAAAAGGTGGACTGGTTGCTTTTCAGCACATTTGCAAGCGGACCTACCTCCGAATGAAATAAGATATGGGTCGCCATGTGTGTGTTGGCAAGGCAGCAAAGCATTAAAAAGATGACATAGCTGTGGTTGGTATGCTGAAACTCATCTGCTGCTTTCAAAATCACATCCAAGATCTTGGTAGGTCTATTGACACTTCTTTTCGAAGAAATATATCGACCTGGCGCAGCACAGTTCCCTTTTTCCGACACTTTCTTACGTAAGACCAACAAGATGCACCAATCCTCTATTTCTATTTAGAGCATACCTTTTAACTACCAAGTGAATCACTGTTATCACTTTCCGTGAAAGAACATGGTCGACTGGGCAAAGCACTGAGATGGAGCCGAGAACCATCACTGGGAACAAACTCCACCAACGTCCTCTCCTCATGCACTTCCTGGACTCTTTGGCCTTCGAAACTATGCTTGGTATCGGAATCTTCTTCTTCCATCAACACCACAATCGTGCTGGGCCGTGATACAGATAATGCAGATGAGACTGGCCGTTCCAATGATAGTGAGTCTGTATGTTTTCTAAAGCCTGGCCTCGTGGCAGAGGGCGGCGGTGCCAAACGCGTAGGAAACATCTCGAGGTCCTGAGATTCGTATTGCAGCTGTGCCTCGATGACTGAGATCATATCCTCTTCAAGTCTCCTTGGTATATGGCACGAAGGTGGTATCGAGCTCGTGGCTGGTGGCATTGTGTACCGCCAGGAGGAATGGCTCGTACGCGGCAGTTCCTCGTCAAGCTTGCTGCGGTCCGTCTGGAACTCACTGGGTCTTTCGAGGATGTCGAAGTGATCTATGTTTGTGTCTGACGATCTTGCCAGCGTCGAGTTCCTCGATCGGAACATCAAGCTTGGGAGAAGAGAAAACTTCCTACAAGAATGACCGCGCCGTACCAGGATGCAGGTGCCTCCCAAAAGGGCGAACACTATGAACACGACACTAACTGTGATGTAGATTAGCTCTGTAATACCTAAAAGAACCGTCTGGAAGCTTACGTGCAATCCCAGCTTGTACTGCCATGGAAATACTCGTTGCTACCTCCTGTGATGCGGATGCTTGCGACGCAGTCATTGCATTTGTCGAAAGCAGGGAAGATATTGGAACCCGAGGAGATACTGGTGTAGCAATAGGTGCCATTGTGTCGATGCTAGAGATGGATGTGGATGGCTTCGAAACGACTATTGGTGGTGCTGACGCAGTAGAAACTCTCACGGACGGTTGGGGCGACGATGTTGTCTTCGCCTGTTTAGCGGACGTCGGTGTCGTGACAGTCACTAGACTAGTTGGGACTGCGGAAACAATGGCCGCCGTGGAGGTTGGAAATGTATTCTCGATGTTTGGAATTGTAGCGGTTGAGATGGCTGAGGATTTGCTCTTGCCATCTGGCTCGACTGCTAGATCATTAGTACCCCTGTACTTGCTCGCCTGAAGAGTGTTGACAAACTTTGTGTATCCCTTTCCCCATCGATCTTCTTGTTATTATCGTCGTCGCCTATCATGTACATGAGCTGGTGGCTTTGAGTTGTATGAAAGGTCGGTCGTACCAATTTGTACTTGTTTTCGTGTACGCGAGTTTCTCCAGGTCTGACTTCTCTGGTGGCTGACGATGGTGGCTGTGGTATTCAACGAAGCCATGGAGCATGACGGTGATGACTAGACACAGTGTAGGACGTAACACTGTTGGGTTTTGTCTCGATTTCTTTACGGGGGAAAAGAACTAGAAGAAAAAAAGTCAAATTCAGAGGACCTTCTACCGTGTGTCGTGAAATATGAGTGAAGGTCCTGTGGTTACTGTAAAGGTGCACCTCTCTGAATCAAGACACGAGTATCAAGCATACCACCAGCCTCTTGGATTCATATCAGACAGTCAGGTAGGCTGGTCTTCTAGGCATGAATCGATCATTGCATGCATGCCGAGGGTCTTTGGTGTGCCACCATCCCGTTCGCCGCCCAGGGTTGTTGTGAGGTTCGGACTCGGAGTTCGTGGTCTTCCTGCCCGTAATATTGGATGAAAACACTAGGTGAAACCATCAAATATATTGCTTGGAATATCGGGTGAACCATTCATAGGCTGTCATCCCAAATTTGAGTGAAAAGGGAGTAGGATGATGATGCTGGGGCAAGTGGTGGATGATGTCCAGGACCGAGAGATAAAAGGACTGAATTTTTATCAATACAATCTATTTGCTGGGCTGCACACAATATTCTTTGGCGAGACACCATCGATACATAGACTCACTGAATTTTCGTTAGGCAACACAAAAAGCCAGGCCGCGAGCTGTATTCTCAGACAGTTTCGTACTCGGCGCGAAGTGATACATACTCGAGCAGTGAGCTTCCCTTTTTGGTTCCCCCAACTCGGCGGCGACTACCACACAGCCCGACCGACGCATTGATCATGAAACTTGGGGGCGAGCCCATCAAAATGCATAGAGTGGCCCTCCATGGTCGTCATATTCCAAATGGAGAATTGTTGTGTTCCATGAGGCGCTGCATGTGCTGTGACGGATTTGCACGCTTTCTAGACGGGGTTGGTTGGAGGTGAGGAGGCAAGGGCTTCAGGGGGGCAGTGGTGGCTGCAAACTGAATTACACTGCCTCTACTCTTCCACCTGACAAGCCAGCCAGCCAGCGGCCCAAAGCAGAGAACAAGAATAAGAAGAAGCCAAAGTAAGAAATGTTAAGAGAGAAAATTCCAGCAGAATTCGCATGGAGGACACATTCTTTCGACAACTTGCCCGAGCTTTGAGATTCGGTACCGCAATATTTCGAAATCCAAGGCGCCTGGCAATGAATCGGCTGTCCAAATACGAGTGTCGATCGCGAGCAAGGGGGTGGTGATCAAGTCTCAAGTCATCCTGATAGAATACCTTTCAGGACCCTTTCCTTTTACAGTGGGGTTTTCTTGGATTCTTAGATAGGTTACTTGAGTACTTGTTTAAATTGTTTTGTCTTGCACTTTATGCGCGAAATGTTTGTGTCAACGAGGAGGCATCATTGGAGGGTCGTGAACTCTTAACTTACGGCACGGCGCGCTGTAAAGGCATACTTAGGACGAACCCGAGACAGATGTGGACCACATCGCGCTGTAGCCCACCGGCCCCCGCCTCCCTCCAGAGCCTCGGAATGCCTGCTCTCCGGATTCATAGTGACGTGGCTACGTGACTGAAAGACCTAGAATAATTGTGCGGTGCTTTGTATGGTCCGTGATGCCGGGAATGTGCAATGTCGCCCGCCGAGCAAAGATGGTGCATTCACATCAGCACGCCAGCAAATCACGCCTGGCCATTACAATAAGGTGGCTTGACGTCGAACAATTGCTGCCAGCAGGTCCTCACAAACTTGCCAAGGGCTCTACATCCGCTCGGGATCGATCATGAATCATTTGGTATGCCATTTGTTGACTTTTTGTGTCCTGACCCTTTCCCTGGATATTGTTACAGTACGAAAAAGAGGATATCATCTCCGCAATGCGTGCTCTTTCGCTCCACCACTGAAGAAAAACCCCAGACAACCCTCATCTACCTAGCTTTAGATGTGATCTTCAGTTCCACGCCGCCAATGATGTACGCGGCGATAAAGGTCGCGACCATGCTGCCAAAGATAACCAGAGGCTTCCGAATGCTGACCAGGAAGGGAACTTCGTATGAGACGATCAGCTTGCGGTCGCGGAAGTCGTCAACCAGGTTGCGCGCCTTGACCACCAGGGTGGTGCGGCCGATTGTGTCCAGGTATGTCTTGTGAATCTCGACGTCGGCGCTGGTGATGGCCGACTCTGGGATGTCGGTGTAATACTTGACATTACTGTAGACACACAAGTTAGATGCAGTTCCACGAGGTATTGACTGAATCGCACTTACTCGGCACCTTCAGGCAGGATGACGCGAACCACGGTGTTCTCGTACTCGACACCCTCAGGTTGCTTGGGGCCCTCGAGGAACGGAACGTTGAGAACATAGCCTCCAGTAGTGGCCTTGCGAAGGAAGTTCTTGGCATCCGCATTCCAGCCAATGGTGAAGGGATATTTCCAGCCGCCAAAGATGGGATAGCGAGGCTTTGTCTGCAAGAGTGCCTCGTTCTTGCCAGTCCGGAACCGAGACGTCGAAATGTTGCCAATGATATCATAGTAGTACGCGTCTGCGCTGCTCGGTGGGAGCGGAAAGTTGAGCTCCTTAAGCGCAAAGGTGTTGGGGTTGTAGTACTGCGCCTGCTGCCACTTGACCCGGCTGAAGAGAGACGAGAGATTGGCGCCGCGGTGGAACATTGTGTAGCGCTCCTCGAAGGCGATATTCCCACCCCAGTGGCTCACCTCGACGTCACGCTCCAGCTCCGAGACGTGGAGGACTGGCTTGGTGAACTCAAACCGGACCGTCGCAGGCTGTTCGGCGCCCGCAGGCTTCTCGTCGTAGGGACCATAGGTCAACTTAGTGCCCGACTTGGTGGGGAACTCGGCCACATCACCGCTTCCAGGGACCTTTGTATAGTCGGGGATATTGGAAGAGGCCGCCTTGACCTCAGTCTTCTGTTTGGAGGTCGTGTAGGCCGATGGGCAGTACGCCGAGAAGGAGTAAACGAGGAACTGAGGATCCTCCTGGGAGATCGTCGCGGGCAGAGGCCTGTAAGCATCGGTGTAGTAGTAGCTGATGGAGAGAGTCTGCTCCTCTCCTGCCTTCAGAGGTTCAGGGAACTTGATCCGGTAGTATTGGACGGTGCTGTGAATTTCGTGTGTCCCCCGTGTCAGCTCTCTGTCTCTGCCTCGCCACAAGGAGCCAGGACAAAATCTCTTACCTCTCTGGGTCGAACTCAACAGCCTCTACCGCAAATGGTCCTGCATCTGCATTCTTCTTGTCCTTGACCTCCAGGCCTCCCACCCTGGACATCTGATCCGGGGTGAAGGGGAGGAAGTACTCATCCTGAGGCTCCTTGGCTATATTCTCGACCTTGGTGTTGATAATCTCCTTGGCATAGTTCTTCTCAAGTGTGATAATATGTACTAAGTTGGCATTTTTGAAGACCTGAGGAGGCTTGAAGGTAGAGGGCAGCGAGATCTTGGACACTTGGGTAGAGTCGAAGGAGGTTGCTGCCACCGTCGAGGACAAGCATGAGACGAGTGCTGGCAGCAGCGCTGCGAACTTCATCTTGGCAGAGGAGTAGAGGGTGCGCTTGTATGATCGCGCAGCCCGAAAGAAGAAACAGGACAGTACAAAGAGGAGAAAGAGGGAAAGAAATCGAAAGCGACGAAATCAATTGGACATTGGTCGTCTGTTGTTGAGAAATCCAAAGTCACCACCTTGCTTTTCTCAGAAGTTCGTCCTTCACCTGTGACAGCAAGGATGGCAAAGGACAGCTCGCTATTATGATACTGTGGTAGCTCCCCAGAAAGATTACGTTGACCCTTTGCCAAGACGGGAGCTAGGCCGCGTTGAGTCCCTTCGATAGGTACGTATCTTTTTGGAAGATCTAGGGGCCACAGGGGTGTGGCTGAAGCGCCACCACAGCCACAGATGACATGGCCCGAAAAATCAGAGCAAGGGGTGGTGTCATGGTGGGGTTCCCTCTTGATTCAGGTCAATTCAAATCGAGCGAGCATTTGCAGCGGCATGGCGGGGTAGCCGAGCTCACTGCCTAGGTTCTGCCAGCATGCTGAAATGCAGACTGCCTGACCACCACCTGACATTTGGTGATGTTTTCCAAAAGTTGTCACGCCATATGTCGTGTGCTTTTACTTAGGCTTTACACAAGCTACTTCGGTTCAAGGTCTATGGAATGCACACGACAAAGGAGTGCGCAGTCTGCATTTACCCTGTACATTTCATGTTCTATGAGCTTAACAGCAGTGTTAGGCATTATAAAGCATCAAAGATGTTTCTCCAAGAGGGCATGCCTGCTCTTAAAGCCACAATGCTTACTTAGTTTGAAGGCAACACTTTGATTTGTTGTCTATAGTATGCAAAAACTGGCTGAAAGGAAGTGAAAGACGACTCTACTGCAAAGTCTTACCGGAGCTGCGTACCGTTGGGCTGGGACCGAGGCGCCACAGGCAGTTCGGAGGGCCACGCTCACCCTGGCCTGGGAAAGTATCCCGGGACTTCAACAAAAACAGAGCAGCCTGAAAACCCTGTGGCTGGTTGGGGCAATTCATATCCTCAACTCAAGGGTCGATTGTTTTTCTCCCATCAACTTAATTTCCATGGATATCGTTTGTCAGTGTCGTGTCTTGTGAATCAGTCTTCTGTTGAACCTTAAAGCAAGGTTAGCTTGGCCTTTGAGGACCCACTTTGATCGCCGCTGCTGAGTCTTGGCTTGGTTCACTGAGCTCATCTTCTCATCTTCCCAACTGTCATCGACCTGACCCTCAGCACTATCTATCTTCAACCACAACCTCCCTGATTGTCTTCGCAGTCAAAGATCTAACACCCACAGGCAGCATTAGGTCTTCGTCCAATTCTCTGCTCTACTGTTGATTCAACTCCTCATCCCACTTCAAACAAACAGTCAAGATGGTCGGCTTGGGTCCAAAGAAGCCACCCTCCCGCAAGGGAACAGGCAAGTTGCGCTCTTCCTACTCAGCTGCTATCCGCTCTCATCATCATCTTCTTGCTGTTTCTTCTTCTGTTTTCTCTATGGTGTATGGATGCTTGCACGAGCTATTCTTTAGTCCACCAGCAGCTAGCAGGATCTCTGGTGTCACAGCAAGCAAGAACAAGTCAAGCCCAGTGGTTGACAGCTCTTGCACTCCCTCCTCCTTCCAACCCGGGCATCTCACCTAGCTCTGGACAGCCCTGAGATACACCTCAAGATGGCGGCTATTCCGCAAAACACCTCTATATCATCATCATCCACACTCCACCTCAGATACCTATAGACCTAAGAGAGACAAAAGTCATTATCATCATATCACAATTTTCCCTACAACACTGTCCTCATACTTCCATCCACCTGTAAAGTCGGATTTGCAGCCTTGAATCTTGGTCCTCAACCTACAATTCAACAGGCTGTCTTAATCACAGACAACCACCTCTGGTTTAACCAACCCACCCCCGCAACCTATACCTCCTATTCAGCCCTTCATCTGAGACTGGAACCCCCATTCCCCTTTCTCTATCTGTCCCCTCTATACTGGTCATCCCAGGTCCTTCCTCTCTCTTCTCACTCTCTTGTCAACAACAAGATGGCACTTGGCAGTCACATGCCTTGCATCTACCCACATGACAAGGCTATTCCTCCGAAGACACTCCAAGGTCATTCATATCACCACCACAAGCACTATTTAGCAAGGAGTCACAGTGCGTGTCAGCCTTTGCCTTGGACCTTGCGACCGCCAGTTCTGAGCCTTTGTACATTTGGTTCCACAATCTTGCTAATATGACAAATGATAATCTAGGCTCTTTTGCTGAGATTCCCAAGAGCCTGTTGGCGGAGATCAAGGCTCTGGAAGAGATGCTGACTGTCCCCACGGCAAAGCTGAAGGAAATCACTGACCACTTCGTCAAAGAACTGGACAAGGGTATGTTCCTGGCCATATGGACATCCATGAAATGCTCAGCACACACTGACCAGCGAATGCAGGTCTGAGCGTCGAGGGTGGCAGTATTGTAAGTTTTGGTCGCCACATTTCTCTCCCTACATCCCTGAGCATTGGAACAGTAAACTAACGTTGAGGATAAGCCCATGAACCCCACCTGGGTCATGTCATTTCCCGATGGATACGAAACTGGCACGTTCCTGGCTCTGGATATGGGCGGCACCAACTTGCGTGTGTGCGAGATCACTTTGACAGAGGCCAAGTCGGAATTCGACATCATCCAGTCCAAATACCGCATGCCCGAGGAGCTCAAGACTGGTTCCTCCGAGGAGCTTTGGGAATACATTGCCGACTGCCTGTCCCAGTTCATCGAGACTCACCACGGCACAACCAACCTGGAGGCGCTTCCCTTGGGCTTCACCTTCTCCTACCCTGCAACTCAGAACTACATCGATGAGGGTATCTTGCAGCGGTGGACCAAGGGCTTCGACATTGATGGGGTTGAGGGCAAGAACGTTGTCCCCATGTTTGAGGCTGCCCTGGCTGCCCGAGTAGGTGTATAGACCCATCATGCCACGTTATAGATGCTAACTTGTTCGACAGGGAGTTCCTATCAAGCTCTCCGCACTAATCAACGACACCACCGGTACTCTGATCGCCTCTGCCTACACTGATACTAAGATGAAGATTGGCTGCATCTTCGGTACCGGTTGCAATGCTGCCTATATGGAAGATCTCGGCTCTATCCCCAAGCTTGCCCATATGAACCTGCCTCCTGACACACCCATGGCCATCAACTGCGAGTGGGGTGCCTTTGACAACGAGCACAAGGTTCTGCCTCGGACCAAGTACGATATCATAATCGACAAGGATTCTCCCCGTCCCGGGCAGCAAGCCTTCGAGAAGATGATCGCTGGTCTGTATCTGGGCGAGATCTTCCGTCTGATCATGGTCGACCTTCATGACAACCATGAGTCCGGTATCTTTGCCGGCCAGGACATCTCGAAGCTGCACAAGCCCTACAGTCTGGATTCGTCTTTCCTATCTGCCATTGAAGAGTACGCCTGCCACGCCAAGAGGCGTTTTTCTTTTGTCTTGGAATCTTGCAATTATTCCGAGCTTTTCATAAGCAATGAGTCTTCGGGTTCCGATGTAATTCGGTCTATTGTCTCGTGTTTTTCATCTCCTCAACTAATTCCCACTCATGTATCTGGTTTTGAAACTGAGAGCTTTTGCGTTTCATTTTCTTCTAATGATACCACCACCCCTGCTCCACGGCAGATGGCTGACGTATTGTGTCTCTAGTGACCCCTTTGAGAACCTTCAGGAGACATTCGACCTTTTCCTGGACAAGCTCGATCTCAAGCCCAACCCGTCCGAGCTCGAGCTCATCCGCAGAACAGCTGAGCTCATCGGGACTCGGGCTGCTCGCCTCTCCGCTTGTGGTGTCGCCGCTATCTGCAAGAAGAAGAACTACGAGAGTGCCCACGTCGGCGCCGACGGCTCCGTCTTCAACAAGTACCCCCACTTCAAGAAGCGCGGCGCCCAGGCCCTCCGCGAGATTCTGGACTGGGCTCCTAAGACCAATCGTCGCGATGAGGACCCCGTCGAGATCCTGGCCGCCGAGGACGGTTCCGGTGTTGGCGCCGCACTCATCGCGGCACTCACGCTGAAGCGTGTCAAGCAGGGCAATATGGCGGGTATCTTGCATCCAGAGAATTTTGCGTAGACGGAATCGCTAAGTCGACTGCCTGGCGTGTCTTTGCTGGTTAAATCTGGCCTGCGCCTTTTTGCATGTCCTCTTTATTTCCTGGTATACAAACCATGTTGATATCTGAATACACTAGTCTTGGAGACAGCCTCATGTTCGACTTTTCAGTGATGTCGTGTCTGCAGAAGCAACAGGCCACGAGTGTCAAAGGGGTTGGGACAGTGTAAAGCCGGGTTACCAAAATCTTTTTTCAGCCCAAGAAGGTGCAGATTGGCAGGCGGTATTCTTGAGATAGAGTTGTGTTAAGACTTTGTTGATAGGAAGACCAGAAAAGCAATACCAGAAAGGAAAATGAAGACAAAGAATCTTTAGGGGGGGGGGGGGTGGGTTGCGTGGATGATGACTTACTGTCCAGTGTCCAATACCTTCTCTTGACGCCCTCCCACTCGCCCTTCCCGGCCTCCTCCAGCCCTTGGAGGTCCACATCAATCTCTTGCCAATCGACGTCCATACCTGCATCCGTGAGATGCAACTCAACGACCTTCGTATAGACGTCGTAGCATATTCTCCTATCCGCGCCCAAACCATTGAAAAAACCAAACACGCCATCTGCTTCCAGCAAGCCGGGGACATACTCAGTAAAGAACTTCCTCAGCTGACTATAAGCTTCGCCAAAGGTATCAAAATACACGGCGTCGTAAATCTCGCCCCGCTCCAATAATACGGGCACAATGTCCTGCCAGCGTCCCTTATGAACCTTGTACGCGCCCTCCTCAGGTCCGCTGGCCTCCCAATTTGCCCCGAATGTCGACTCTGGCTCGTCAAGATGTGCCAGGACCTCCTCGTGCGCTTCGATAATGTGGTGTCTTGCGGGCTTCGTGTCAGCGAACATGCTGTCGATAATCCCCATTCCGAAGCCAATATTCAGAATCCTCTTCCCGGGTGCGTGCTCGGGAATCAGCGCATCCACGCTCCGCCGCATAATGTCCGTCTCCCAGGCCATCATCACGCCATTGCCGTCGTCGTCCACAAGCTTTCCATCGGAGTACGTGAGTTTCGACCGCAGATACTTCTCGCTCTTGACCTCGCTCTCGGTGCCGTTCTCTGGCGGACTGAACGTCGGTTCTGCCGGCTCTGCTACCTCCTCTTGGACATCCATCTCCTCTTCTGCCTGTGCGAAGTCCGCAGCGAGCTGGTTCGCAGCCACCAGGTCCGGAGCATCCTCGCCATCTTCGAGCTCGGGGTTCATGCCGGCTGTATCGACCTCGACATGCGCGGGCTCCTCGTCCTCGGCCATGTCCTCGTCGTCGGCCTCAGAGCCGGAGCTGAGCTCCTGGTACCCGTCGAGCAGGCCAAACAGCATCTCGGCGCGCATTCCGGCCTCAACGCAGAGTGTATACAAAGCCGTCTGCCCTAGACGGTATGCGACGCAACCGGGTGTCTCGTTGTGGTCGTCCACATCGTTCCAGATACCGCCCCAGAGGAGCAGCTCACTGACGGTGGCCTTAGCCTGCTCGAGGGCAGCCTCGTCCGAAGGTGTGCTCGTGGCAGGACCGCACGACCGGATCGCGGCGTGCAGTGGGGTCTCGCCCGTCGTGGGGTCCTGGACGCTCGCCTTGCCTGGTTTGTCGAGGAGCTTACTAACTGCGGCGACATCGTGGTCCCATGCTGCTTGGAGGATCTCCGAGGTGGAAGGAGGGCAGGAGGAGGTTATGCGCGCGGCTTGGGAGTCGTCGATGGGTTGAGAGGAGGAGGGCATGGTGTAGAGTGGGTCTCAAGGTTTCCTTTTTCCCCTTTTCCACCAATTGTCATGAAAGGAGATTGTCTGGATGATTCTTGAGGCCAAGTAGCACGGCCTAGGAGCTCTTGTATCTCAGACCTTAGAGCGTGGCACGCGACAAGGAAAAGTGATGCCCGAATGCCCCTCCAAAAATTAGTTGCCTGCCGCTGGGAAGGTCCAAAATGAATGTACTGTACTGCAAAGCTTCTGGGATGCATGGCCGCTGGCAGCTTGACCAATTGGCCAATTACAAGCATCCATTGAGACAACGTGGGATGTTCAGGTGGGGAACAGAAGGCCAAGAAGGCAGGGGCTACTGCGGTACAGAGTACTGTATTATGCTAGCGTTGCTTCTATGTCGTAGCGGGGTGGAGTCACTAAGATATCGTAACAGAGCAGGCTCGTTCATCATGATGTTTCTGTCGGCTGCCATCTTTTCTTAATTGCAAGCCCGTGACACAATTTACTATCGCAGAACATACTCCAGAGTCTTGTCTTTTCTCTTGTTACTGTTGTTCCCGTATCTGCGTATCTGTATGGTCTCAAAGCTGTCAGCTTATCCTTCCTCTGGTAAGCACTCTTTGTCTCACCTCACTTGGCCTTTTCTCTCCTGAATGCAGCCTATCGGCATTGCCTTGGTCTGATAATGTTCTTCCCACTCACTCACATTCACATATCTCATAACGATGAAGTTAGATTTCAATGCTGATCAACTGGCTGAAGATCTCAGCACTGGCATAAGGCTAGGCATCTCATACCTCCTCCCAGCAGTCCAAACCAGTCAAGGCCGTATTCGCGCACTGCTCCGGCAGTCGTAGCCGTCATGAAGTTCGGCGAGCAGCTGCGCTCTTCTGCCATCAAAGAGTATCAATGGTACTATATAGACTATGAAGGGCTGAAGGTCGACCTTAAAAAGGCTTCTGGCCCCATCGTCTCGTCCAAAGGACAGGTCGGAACCACCACCGATGGCGCCTCTGCATCGCGCTCGCAGGCGAAGGCCAGCTCGAAACGAGAATGGACAGAGGATGACGAGAGCCGTTTCGTGTACCGCCTTGAATCGGAACTCGAAAAGGTCTACCAAAAACAGCAGCTCAAGACCATCGAGATCACACGCCGTCTCCAAACCAGCGAGCGCGATGTCAACGATATTGTCGCCAGACTGAACGAGCGGCAGCCTGACAGGGATGGCCCGTCCGAGGAGGAGTTCCTAGTCCTGGAGGAGGACCTCAGCGACATTATCGCCGACGTCAACGACCTGGCCAAGTTTGTCCAGCTGAATTACACCGGCTTCTACAAGATTATGAAGAAGCACGACAAGATGACTGGGTGGCACATCCGGCCTGTCTTCGAGGCGCGCATGAAGGCGAAGCCGTTCTTCAAGGACAACCACGAGGAGTTGCTGGTGAAGCTGTCCGACCTCTACAACATCGTTCGCACCAGGGGCAATCCAGTGAAAGGTGACAGTGCCTCCGGCGGTAGCCAGGGTAACTTCATCCGTAATACGACAAAGTACTGGGTGCATCCGGACAATGTCACCGAGTTGAAGCTCATCATCCTGAAGCACCTGCCAGTCTTGGTCTTCAATGCGGCGAAGGAGTTCGAGACGGATGACACGGCTATTACCTCCATCTACTACGACAACCCCGACGTTTGGGACTTGTATGAGGGCCGGCTCAAGAAGACCGAAGGAGCGGAAGCGATCCGCCTGCGGTGGTATGGCAGCATGGAGACCGACAAGATTTTTGTGGAGAGAAAAACGCATCGAGAGGACTGGACAGGGGAGAAGTCCGTCAAGGAACGATTCGACATCAGGGAGAAGCATGTGAACTCCTACATGAAGGGTGAGATGCTCCCCGCTGCCATCATCGACAAGCAAAGAAAGACTGGCAAGAAGCCAAAGGCAGACTACGACAAGGCCGAGAAATTGGCCCAGGAGATCCAGTGGGAGGTTCTCAAGAAGGGGTACGAGCCGGTATGCCGAAGCTTTTACCACCGCACTGCCTTTCAGTTCCCAGGCGATCTCAGAGTCCGCATCTCGCTGGACACAGACTTGACCTTGATCCGGGAAGACAATCTCGACGGCCGCAAGAGAAGCGGTGATAACTGGCGCCGTATGGACATCGGCGTGGATTATCCCTTCTCCCAGCTGCCACCAGAAGACATCTGCCGATTTCCGTATGCCGTATTGGAGGTGAAGATTCAGACTCAAGCAGGCCAACAGACTCCTGAATGGGTGCGACAGCTAGTCTCGAGCCACCTCGTCGAGGCTGTTCCCAAGTTCTCCAAGTTCATCCACGGATGCGCCGTTCTGTTCCCCGACCGCATCAATCTGCTACCCTTTTGGATGCCCCAGATGGACGTTGACATCCGCAAGCCCGTTACCCATAGTTTTGGCATCCAGCGGAGCTCTCATTCTGGTACCACTGGCACATCGGAGGATGAGGACGATGACGAGGACGACTCGGATGAGGAGGACACCAGAACCACACGTCGACACGAGATCAACGGCCTTCTCGCTCCATCGAATGGTTCACAGGCAGAGACGAGCGCCCACGGAGCAGCAGTTGCTCATAGGTTGCGCCAAGCGCAGAACGATGGGGCAGTCGATCTTGAGGACCAGACACGGATGTTACCCCCCGCTCATCAAGACGATGCATACGTGCTGTACGAGTCCGATGAGGAGGAAGAAGAAGAGGACAGACTGGAGGAGGCCAGGAGAGTCGGCGGGCTGACGTACTTTACGACACTCGTATCGACCAAGGCGAAGACTGCCGGTCGTGGCATCGCTTCCAAGCTAGGGCACGCAGTGGCGACGATGAGATCAGGTAGTGAGATTCCCGCACATGAGCGAACACTGGCTTTGTACGGCACGACGCAGGTGCAGAATAAGAGGTTCGAGGCGCCAAAGGGAAAGAAGATCTACGTTCCTGTCCGCGTGGAGCCGAAGGTGTACTTTGCTGCTGAAAGAACGTTTTTGAGTTGGGTGTGTATCTCCTTCTCTCTCTCCGTTTTGCTTGCTTTCTTTTTTCCTTAGTTACTATCCAACCACCTTGATCTGTATATGCTGATTCTAGTCAACCGCAGCTCGAATTTTCCATCTATATCGGCACCATCGCGACCACCCTTCTCAACTTCGGCAGCAAGCCCAGCAGGATCTCCTTCATCGTGTCTGGTGTCTTCACTCTTGTCGCTATACTCTGCCTATGCTACTCGATGGGCACTTACATCTACAGGAGCCGCTCTATCCGAGCTCGAAAGGCAGCCAAGTTCTACGACTACTGGGGTCCAACATTTTTGTGTAGTGCCTTGGTTGTTGCCGTTGCGCTGAACTTTGGGTTTGAAGGGCACGAAAGGGAGTGGTGGTAAGCGGTGACGGCTCGAGGGAGAGGGGCCCGAGACAGAAAGACGCGATGACCCTGTTTTAATCGGCAAGCGACTGTATACATATGCATCCTTGAGGATCTGCGTTGGCATAATGAGCTGGTCTTCATCATAAATGGACCCTGGCCCTAGCGGACATTGTAAGAATTGCTACTACATACCACTTTTGCATTCCTTTGTCATCAATTTAAAGCTTGCGTGGATCGAATTTTATTATAAGGCTATTGTGTTTTTGGATCCATTGCATGGTTGTTGAACCATATTTCCAATTGGCCAAGCCTTGCTAACCCAAAAGCCAGCCAGTCCTACCAGGTAACACTCAATCACGATATCGAGTTCCCTCTCTCGCTGCACACCCATCTCGAACGCCAATCGAGTTATTTAGCAACCTCCTCTTTTGTTTTTTTAATTCATGTTGCCCATGATGTTGTCTGCCAGCCACTTGATGGTGGCACCGGCGGCAGTGGTGAGAGCGCCACCAATAACCTTGAGAGCGACCTTATTCCCATCTGCGAGATGGATCAGGAGAGCCGCGTTGCGGGGACCCTCCCCGCTGCCGATGGCATTCTTATAGAGTTCGAAGAACTCGTCGGGATCGACCTCGTTGAGGCCGTCGAGGTTGTCCATCGCATCCGTCATGATGGGGTCCGAGGTCTCAGTTTTGATGACGGGACGGTACCCGTGACCGTTGGCCATGTGGCTATTGGTGGTCTGGAGAAGGTCAGAAAGTGAATGAGGACATGATGTAGGTTCAAGAAACGAGTGTTGGAAAGGGGGAGGGGGGTTATTTGTCATGCATATGAGGTGGTGATGGTGTGTATGCATGAGGGGGCCGGTGATGGGTTGCAAAATCAGAGGGACAGTCAGCAACGGAGGGCAAGAGGGGCGTTGAAACACGGTTACCTTGGCCAAAGTGACCATCGACACCTGTGTCTTCTTCCCCAACACACAACGGTAGAAGAGGCGCTTGGCCTTGGGGACTTTGGCCTTGTAAGCCTTGATGGAGGCTTTGGCGGCGCCCTTGAGGTCGTCCCGGGGGATGGGAACGTAAGCTTGGTCAAGCTTGCCTGTGCTCGACTTTACGAGCATGTAGATGTAAGCCTGTTCGTTGACCAAGGTGGTGGTGGCCTCGACGAGGGAGTATCCGGCCATGTTGGTGGTGGTGGTGTTATATTGGGAGGAGATGGGTGGCAGGCGAGTTGGTACTGGCGGTGGCAGGTGAAGCTGGCTGGTGATGGGGCGTTCCTTTTTTCCTGGAGTCTGACGGAACGGAACGGGGAAAATATGGACGTCATGTTAACTTTAAATACCGTGTAATAAGAAAAATACGAATATGCAGAAAAACAAAAATTACATATCCAACTAATGTGCGTGGCAAGTAAGCGTAGAGGTTAGTGTGTTACAGAGGTCACCCCCTCCGGGTACGGTAGAGGCAAATGTTGGGTGTGAGATGGATCATCGCAAATGATGGCGAAAAAAGAGCGGGAAAAAAGAAAACAAAGTAAGGTGGAAGAAACAATTTGGATCTGTTCAGCTGAGCAGGAACATATCAAATATTTATGAAGCAGCTGGGAGGTTCAGCTACTGCCAAGGCATGTATCACCTTGCCCTGCATGCAGTCAGTGGTCGGGTTACAGTAGGGCTGAGATGGGTGCTGCCGAGAGACATGATGGCTGCGGGGTACTTATCGGCACGGGTACTGTACCTGGCAGGGTGCCCACGCAGAGGATGCTATTTCACTGATTATTTGGTCAAAAACACTCCCCATGCAAGAAACACTTCTTTGGAATACATCTTCTGGGGGGAATGCTGGGTTGAGCTGGTGAAAAAGAAAGGAACAGATCGATGTATTCCTAGTATGTCCCCACTGTTAATCGGGGTCTCCAGCAGAACAGAGGGCCCCAGCTCTTAACGAGGCTGCGAGGGTCGCAGCGGCGGCTCTACCCGTTTGGTACCTTGGCTAGCTGGGGTTCTGCCAAGTTTACGTCACATTGGCCAAGTTTTATTTTCCGTGCGAGGATATTACTCACTGGCCGACAATTGCCCATGTACCATAGTACTCGGTACTGTTGCAGTATGTTAAGCAAATATTTTAAGCATATTTGTTTATTTTACGAACCCCTCAGTATTCTCTAGCACAAGCAGAAGTATCTCAAGATAGCTTGTTTGCAATACAGCGATACTCTTCGTTCTATCACGTCTCATCTTGTACACTGTTTCTACAGAGTAAGACTTGTTGACCTATCCGGTCCAGTATTAACAACAAGTGCCCATCGTGTTGTGCCTGCTTGCACCTCATGTGCTCAGCACCTGTCCAGGTCTCAAGGAAAAGGCGATGATTGACACGTAGAATGATCGAATTGGCAAGAGTTCGATACGTAAAATGAGCCCCGGTAGTTGAGGATACCTGCCGCATCAGCAGATACACACCCTACTTCGAATTGTAAGCACTCAATTTAGCTCAGGACAGTGGGGCACTGATTGGCCATGCTGGGGCTCTGGGGTCTTGTGGAGGAGGATCTGGGGGCCCTCTGGGGTTTCTGGGTTTCTGGGGTCGTAGAGCTCCGGAAATCTGTAAGTCTGTCAATACAGAGAAAGCACGATGACTGTTGAGGCGCAGACATCTGCGCAGACAGCTGAGCGCTAAAACGGTTGAATATGACAGGAATAAGTCCTCTCATTATTCTCTTTGTTTCTTCCCTTCAGCACTCCTCAGTCAAAGCTTTCGAGTCTACATTCCTCTTTAAACATTCGTCCTACCTTCAAACAACGGATAATGTTAACCCCCTGAACCTGGGGCACGGATGAGTTACATAGTAGTACTCCATGCGGGGAGCCGCTTTGACAATGGAACGACGGGAGCAACCCTCGCTATTCGAGCTCGCAGGCGCAACGGCATCCCTGCTTTCACTGTAAGACCTGAGCCTCCTTCCTTCCTCATCCTCGTGAAACTTTGCTACACGAGCCACCTGCGCACAGCGAGCTAATCCAACCTACACAAATTTTACAGTATCCCCAAAAGATTTCCTTCCCCCAAGACGGCAGCCGCTCAGAAAAGGCTGAGGGGCCCGTCAACAAGAGTATCGAGGCGAAACCGTGTCCGAGTGGAGCCGAGTGGGACTGGTACGATGTAAGTCCTACGGGGCGTATTGGCCTGCAGCAGCTGCTATAGAGAGAAACATTCTGATTTCCTCTTTTTTTGTACAGAATCTCGACACCGATCGGTTGATCAACTTTTTCGCTATTTATCGCCTAGTTACTCGATCGCAATCTCCCAGTTTGTACAGCGAGGATGGCTCCATCGCGACAGAACCCCAGACCGGGCCCGGGCTGAATGTTCATGTCCACGTCCATCATGACAGCTCGAGCCCCATACGGGCAAAGCCATCATTTGAGTCGACAGACACCCTCTCAAGCGACTCGTTCCCACCACGACCAAACGCGGCATGGGCACTAGGCCAAGACCGAAGGGCGGAGGTTATGGAACAATTGGCGTTGTATACTTCAAGCCTAAAGCTTTCCGCCTCCCAAGAAGCCGCCTCTGGGGTTCCTACTGTACAAAGTGCCGCCGACACCCTCTCGGAATGCGAAGCAGAGTCGCCCCTCTTCTCTTCCATCCGCCGGGTGCTATCAGCAGATCCTTCGTACTCGGCCGAAGCCATCATCTCTGCCATCAAGGAGCAGAGTGCTGATGAAAGTCGTCTTCTGTCATCTGCCAACCAGCTCGTCGATGACCATCCCATCAGCAACGAGTTGAGTTCTCCTCGTGAGGTTCCATCTGGCCAGCAATCCACGTCGAAAAAGAGGAGTGCTGGGCAGACTGGGCGTCAGTCTTCGTCAGCAAACAAGAAGAGCAAGACCTCTGTACCCCCGAATGGTGACGACGACGGCGACGGAGCTGGAGACGACGGCAGCGGATCCGGGGGCGGGGGCAGAGACGACAAGGACAACCGTGGTGACCGAAACAGCGGACAACAAGCCTCGAGACCCGAAGTTTCTCAAGGTTGGAAATGCCCATACTGCCATAGGTATGGAGATATCACCTTTCAGATGAAGTTCAGGAGTTGTGGGCGTCCTGGCTTCCGCGGCCGCGATGATTTCTGGTGAGATCAAATGCCGACGTGCAAACGGACATTCTTGATTATTCTGACCATCATACCAGGACGCACCTATGGAAGACTCATTCCCCTGAGGCGAAGCCACAAGACCGTGAGGACTTGGCGAGGTACTACATGGATCAGAAGCAACAGGACGATCTCAAGCTTTTGATGATCAATACCAAGCGCGTTGCCCAATCTGATAGGGTCAGATGGTTAAAGGTCCAGTTGGATCTTTACCGAAAAGTCTGGGCCATTCTCTTTCCCGAAAGCAAACACATTCCAGATTCACCTTGTAGGTCTTCATTATTGTTGTTGTTGTTATCCTTGTCGTCGCCATCGTCTTCGTCATTCTTTTTTCTTTCTTTCTTCTTCTTCTTCTTCTTCTTCTTCTCCTTCTCTCCTCTCCTCCCTCTTTCTCGCCCTTTTCTAGATCACTTCCTGGATCAAACGAGATGCTTACTTCTGTGATTAGTTCATGTGAAGTACGATAAGCTTAGGGAACACTGCCTCACAGTCGTCAAGACACTGATGGAGGTCGATGTTGCACAATCAACGGAAGCTGCTTCTGCTGGAAAGGATGACTACCGTCTATCGCGCCAAAAAGTTGAACAGATGCTCGTCATTGCCTTGCACGTCGGACTTGACGCCCATCCTGGTGCCGCCGAAGTCTTTGGTGGCCATATCCCGGAACAGCGAGAAGTCACTGCAACCAACCGGCCCAGCCAGGCAACTGAACAACCTGCAAATGCGCAGCAGATCTTGGAGAATCCTCTGAAAGATCCAGCTGTAGCTCGTGGTGACGATGAGATCGCAGCTCCACCAGTGAATCCTCCAGAAAGGAGACGGGAAGCAGCGAGTCTACAACAACAAGAACTCCCGGCGCAAGCTGGGTCCGTTGCACAAACGGGCCCACCAATGGGACGGTACAAAACTCAAGTGCCCTTGTACAACAATGGAGAGAACAAGATTGTTATCCAGATGAAGCCCAAGGGCCCTCCTGAACCTGATCAACGGCAGGGCTCGCTGCTATCGGCGCAACTTCAAATCATTGCACCTTTGGCATTTGAGCCCAAGATTACCGCGCCAAAACCCAGCTGGACACGCGAAATACTGAATCCGACTCCGCCGCCCAGCATGACGGTCAATCAGGGCGGCATCGCCATCCCTCCGACCGCTTCTGCCGCTATCCCTCCGCCTCGAGAGCAGCAACTGTTGCACAATCCAAATCAGAATATTGAGCGTGGCAACGATGGCCTTGAGAACGTTGATCACGATTGTGAGATCGTGTTTGAGGATTTGGAGAACCAATATACTGACGAAATTAACATGAATATGAATTCGGAGGAGTGGACCAAATGGTTTACTTGATGGATTTTGGTCCGCTGAAATGAATGGATTGCCAGCACCACGAACAATTTCGATGGCTGATATAAGACTCATAGCCGAAACACAAATCTTGTGTGTCTGTCTTGAGCACCATGGTCATTAGTAATGTACTCCAGCATGCCAGAAACCATACAATCCTTCCGCAGACCTGTCTTTTGCTGCCATCATCTGGAAATGCGCATCCCTCATGCCTCGCAGCAACGTTTCAAATGCCGGCTTTGAAGATCTTGTCTACAGCCTCATCTACACCCTTCACAACAATCGTCGGTTTCAAGTCCACCTTTGCATCCCCGGCCTCACTGATCACCTCCCCAAGGCGGTCCACCCACCCCGTGCCTTGACGATCCACCCACACAGCCCTCAGCCCCGCAGCCCTCGCCCCAACGACGTCGAACGGATTCGCGCTGACGAGCCACACGGCCGCCTGTGCCCTGTAGTCGCCTCCGCCGGCGCCCACCTCGCGCTGTAGGTGCTCGTAGGCATCACGGTGGGGCTTGTACCTCCCCGCGCCGTCCGTAGACACCAGCTTCGCGAACAAGGGCTTTGCGCCCTGGGCGCTCGCGTCCGGGTGGAACAGCTTCAGGGTAGGACTCGCGGCGACCGACGCGCTCAGCATGGCGGCGGTGCCGTTGGAAAAAATGAGGGCCTCGGCGTCGCCGGCTGCGGTCCTCTCCTGCAGGGTCTTGAGGCCCGGGAGCACGTCTGTGAAGCACACGAGGCCGTCGTAGGCACGCATGAGCTCGTCGGCCTTGGCGTCTGGGATGTGCAGGCCCGCCTCGTTGACGGCGTGGACGAGGGCGGCGCGGGTGATCTTGTCGAAGGGGATGTGGGGGACCTCGGGGGTGGACGGCTCCTGCATCGAGGTGAGGCGCCAGGTGTACTCCAGCTGGTACTGGCGCCACTTGGTGGCGATTTGGTCGGCCTTGTCGGCTCCGAAGTGGTGGGCTAGGTCATCTGAGATGGAGGAGGTGGAGAGGAGCGTGCCGTAGAGGTCGAAGGCTATGGTGATCTTGGGCGCCATGGCGGCTGGGAGGGAGATGAGCCAGTAGTGAGTGTGGTTTTGATGGTCTTGTTTCACCAAGAAAAGGGTTGACGAGGGCCTGGCCTTGTCCTTTACATTCAGCTTTCTTACTAAGACTAGAGATGGAGAGCATAGAATGATGTACGTCCCGTCAAGCATGCAAGGTAAGTTGAGGAGGGGGCCTCATGCGGGGTGACGCAATGAGGGGCATCAGACTAAGATGAACCTAATTGACAGAGTAAAAATTATGCTTCATTCCCACACTTTCGATTACATTTTGAAGAGCGACAGCCCGAAGCTCATATAGGTGCAGGAAATTGCCAGGAGAAGGCGGTTGTTCCCGTCAGCCACAGCACAGCCTTCACAGTGGTCTGTTCCCGACCCTGCATGAACGGGAATTGTAGCTATGACTCCTAGATAGTGCCTGTAATTAAGAGGAAGTTGACAGGCCGAATCATACGCGAAAGAAGAAGAGAGAGCAAGAGAAGAGAGGGCTAGTATTTTTGGGATTTTCAGGACTTTCCAGAAAACACCGAACCGAATTTTCTGTTGTGGCAGTCCAATCGCCATCAAAGTCAGGGCTGATAATTAGATAATCCTTGTGCAAGGCTACGAAGGCATTCCTAGGTATCTCAGCCTTGCGGCTGCCGATCAGACCGACTCCAGGCCTCACTATAACTACCTCCCCATTCCTAGCCCAAGGAAGAGTCCCTAGTTTTTTAAGCGTTGATGTCCCATATGTCCTTATTACTCTAGGTCCCCAGAAAAACAAAACAAATCGATAAGGCCATGCGCTACCAAGCTCTTAATAAATGTTGGAGATACAAATATGAAGCTTCCACTCCATGGCAACACGACAGTTGTCTTTGCCACTCCAGTGGCCATGTCTGTGGACCATTTGCTTGTGGACAGGGCACCTGGTATCTATAAGCCTACCAGTGGATTTGTTGGTCAAACTCTAAATCGAAACTTGCGTATCAAACCCCGATCCAGACCTCGCAACATTGATTCAAGGTAGCAGACCTTGCTTGGTGATGGATGCGTTATTTGTGCCCTCTAATGAAAAGGAAGGTCCGCTGGAACTCAGCTTCTCAGAACCTTGCCTATATTTGCGTCGAGTCAGAATCAGCAGCCAGCCTAGCATAGAAATGAATTAATGGGTAGTTCTCAGTCTCGTGCTGATCGAGATTCGTTGATGTTACTTGCTGCGCAGATGAGCGATACAGCAATTTTGCGATCCCCTATTGCGAGTGCATGTGAATAAAGTATTTTCATCATTGCTTCAAGTAAGTAAGTAAGTAATTAAGTAGACTTGGGTATACCACATGGATACTTACTCATCAGCCCGAAGTTGACGTGAACATGATAGTTATCAGGTTTGCAACGAGAATTAGAAACGATGTTTTCATACCTCGTATATATGACGAATTGGCAACGCATATTCCCATTTAATTTCCGAGACGTGGATCTTGATATGGAATCAAATCAGAAGGATTCTACGCGCCAAGTCGTCTGCGAGGCACCATACAGTGGAGTCGAAGAGGCAATTCGAGAATAGGTCAACTCAAAAATAGACAAACGATCAAAGATGGAGAGACAAGTGCTGACCGATTGTTGCATGCCTGGCGAGGTTCTGCGGTGAAGAGCTTGATTAGGGAAAGTGGACGATTACAACTGCTCCAGTTGGGCAACGATTAGGCCAACCTTCCATGCTAAGCTCAGCCGCGACAATGGAATCATTACTAAGGATATGTTTAAGTTATAGCATTGACCGCCGTAACCGCCCTTTCCCCATGAAGGCTCCATATAATAAGTTAAGTACCTGAGGAAGGCAGCTGCTCCGTTGAGAACGTAACTTCCTCCTGGTAGATATCAACACCTTTGAAACACATTGATTTTAGCCCTTTTCGCCCACATTTTGACCGCGGCTCATTCATTCATTCACCTGCTCCTCAGTCGCTAGAAGTAATGGCCACCGTCGTGAAGCCCATCGCCACCGAATTCGGCCACTCTCTGCCACCCGAGGGCCCGCATACAATCACCATCCACGGTCCAGGCTGGCAGACGGCCCTCGGCATACGAGATGGCGACCCAGCCATTTTTGCAAGGTTGAAGTCGATATACCCACGCTTCTTCCCTTTCAGCTGCGCGCGGCAGGTGAGTTCGCCCAAACGGATTGATAGTCACTGAAAGTCATTCTGGTGAAACTGGGCTAAATCATCAACTTAGTTGTCCGTCGCCCTAGCCCAGAAATTGGGCGCCGACCCTAGCCAGGATGGTGTCCTCATGTTCACCGACCCAGAGACCTTCGCCTTGCACAGGGCGTACAGCACGTCACATCACCGTAAGCAGCACAAGCTGGCCGAGGGTGACCTCTCCTTTCGCGTGGTCGATGTGCACGGAGTCCGGCTTTATTGCGTCGTGTACCCCCTGCCCAAGATGCCCGGCACCATCGGCATCTGGCAAAACGTCGGGAACGGCCTCTCCTCCAGGGCATCCGAAGAGCTTCTTGGGTACGTGGGCGGGGCCGATTTCAGCATCGTGGAGTGGTCGGGGGAGGACCTCAGTGATGTCCCGCCGGCGTCGTACCTCCCCGAGTGCGAGGCCCATGGCGCGCTGCGGAAGCGCATCCGAGACTTACTGCACCGTGCGCCGGTGGATTCAGCGGCTGTCAAGGTTGCTGATGGGGATGTGTATCTATACCCGACAGGCATGGCGGCCATCTGGAGGCTGAACCAAATCCTCGTGCAGCGAGACGCGGGAACGATTCTCGTGCTGGGGTCTGTTTTCCACAACACCTTTCATATGTTTGAGGAGACGACCAGTGGGATGAAGCACTTTGGTGCTTGTGATGCCAAAAGCGGAGTCATGGACAAGGTTGAAGAGTATCTCGAAGCGCACTACAAGGCCGGCAAGACGGTCAGTTATGTCTTCGTCGAGTTTCCTTCTAACCCAATCCTCGTGAGCGCTGACCTGAAGAAACTCCATCAAATAGTAAGTCTCCATCTGTTGTTTTTGTCTCCCCACTGTCATGAGAGTAGTGGCGCCTCTGACATTCTCTCCAGGCCGGCAAATACCGCTTTCCCGTCGTCATAGACGACACCATCAGCTCCTTCGTCAACGTTGACGTGCTCCCCGTGGCCGACCTACTCATGACAAGCCTCACCAAATCCTTCTCCGGCTACGCAGATGTGATGGGCGGATCTGTGGTCCTTAACCCGCTCTCGCCCTTTTACCAGCAGATTAAGCCCTCCTTCACAGCAAACTTCCACAACGAGCTCTTTGCAGGCGACGCAGAACGGCTCCTCTCTAACAGCGAGGACTACATTCCCCGGTCTACCATCCTCAATCGAAACGCCGTCGTCATGGCTGAGTTTTTAGCCACCGAGGCCGCTCGCCCGGGTTCACCCATCAAGGCAGTGTTGTACCCCAGCACGAGCGACACGAAAACTAATTACGAGGCGTTCATGCGCCCCGCCACGCCGGACTTCGCACCCGGCTATGGTTGTCTGCTATCCGTCGACTTCAAGACGCTCCCGGCGGCGAAAGCCTTCTACGACAACCTCTCCGTGCACCAGGGCCCGCACCTCGGCGCACACAAGACCTTAGCGGTCCCGATGAACGCCTTGGTGTGGGGCAAGGATCCAGAGCAGACCGTATACCATGCAGCGTATGGGGCTGGTGAGGAGCAGGTGCGCATCAGTGTTGGTCTGGAGGACGCAGAAGAGTTGGTGGCCGTCGTAAAGGCGGCGCTAGAGAAAGCGACGGAGGTTTATAATGGTGGTGCATCAGAGGGAGTGCAAATCAACGCTGATGAGGCGATTGCTGGTGGTGAGAAGACGGGAGCCAGTGAAGCTGATGTGGAGGTGGCCGCCAAGGGAACGAGTGCGAATTTTGATTAGCACTGGAGGTTGGATTGAGCACGTCCTGAGCATAGTTGTCGCATATAGCATTGCAAGCGTCTCATTAATTTCATTCTTCACGTCCTCGTGCGCAGTAATAATAGCCATGCCAGAGACAAGCAGTTCACACAACCCAAACGCCCAGTCTCGAACAAGCCAATCAACAACTCAAATGTACATCTTGAGAGACAAAACTACACATCATCAAAGGCTTACACAATCGCAGTCACCCGCCGCACGCTCTTTCTCGCGCCTTCACCAGTCACCGTGATAGATCCGTCCATCTCGAGCGCCCTCATACACTCTGCAAACTCACTCGGCTCCACCGGCACGCCGGCGTTCTCGCCAAGCTTCCTGCTGACCTCTGCGTACTTGACCGCCTGGCCGCCCGCCGTGAGCTCATCGAGCAGCTTGAGCACGGCACCCTTCATGTCCTCCCTGCGCTTCCTCTCCGCCGCGCTGGTGCCCTCCGTGAGGAGCGACATGTCGATGCGGCCCTGGGCGTCGGTGGCAGCTGTCTTCAGCGCGGACTTGATCAGCCGCACCGCCTCCTGGACATCCTCGCGGGTGACCTCTGTGGACAGGCGCATCTTGGCATGACCCTCAGCCAGCCGGATCATGGACTCGAGCTGTCGGGTGGTGGCCGTGATGCGCTTCTCTGCAGAGCGCACATCCTGGCCCAGCTTGCGCATCTCGACGTACGCGTCGACGAGTTCGCGTGCGGCGGGTTGCGAGATGGTGGGGTGGATGTTGGCACGAGCGTAGGAGATGTAAGAGGTGAGGAACTCGACAGGCTAGGTAGGTAGGTTTGGTCAGTGACCAGGATCAAGCGTCAGGATTATTGTGAAGAAAACTCACGAGAATGTCATTATCGGTCTGGGCGGAATGAGGAGTGTCCTCCAGATACATAGACAACAGATGCTTTGCCAGACGTCTGTCGGTCTTCTCCTCGACACGATCCAGGATGAGGTATACGAGATCGAAACGTGACAACAGCGTAGGGGGAAGATCAATATTCTGAGGCACAGGCAGGTCGGGGTTGTACCGACTGCCAATCGGGTTGGCCGACGCCAGGATACTTGTCCGAGCATTCAACGTCGTGATGATGCCCGCCTTGGCCACCGACACTGTCTGCTGCTCCATAACTTCGTGAAGCACCGAGCGAGTAGATTCAGACATCTTGTCAAACTCGTCAATGCAGCAGATACCGCCATCGGATAAGACCAGTGCGCCCGACTCGAGCACAAGCTGACGGGTCTCGGGATCGCGAGTGACATATGCCGTGAGACCGACAGCTGAGGAGCCCTTGCCACTGGTGTATACGCCACGAGGGGCAATGCGGTGGATATAGGATAGAATCTGAGATTTTGAGGTGGACGGGTCACCGCAGAGCAGGATGTTGATGTCGCCACGGTACTTGGGGCTGCCGCCCTTCTCGAAGCTCTTGTTGGTGCCACCGAACAGTTGAAGAAGGATTCCCTTCTTTACGTCGTCCATCTCATAGACCGAGGGTGCGAGCGACCGCGCCAGTAGCTCGTAGATATCCTCACGAGCTCCTGTCTCACGGATCTTCTCCTCCTCTTCTGGGCTGACCTTGCGGGTCTCGTCCATTCCAGGTGTGTCGACCTGGATCTCGTCGTCATCTTCGGTATCAAGAGTCGACGCATCTGCGCCCATCCTCTTGCGGTCCACTTTCTGCACATGTAGAACATCGACATACGTCTTGTAGATGCTCTTGACGGTTCTCTGCCGAGGGTTTACCCGGACTGGGCTGACCCTGAAGATTCCAGTAATCTGTACCCTGTCACCAGCCTTGCAGAAATCTACGAGGTCATCGTATACACAGATCGACACAGAGTGAGGCGTCTGGCCTGGAGGTACTGCGTCTGGGGTCTCCTGCAACTTGATGACCTGTTTGTCTGCAAAGGTGCAGCGGTTATGAATGATCTGCATCGAGTTCTTGGCCCCACAGCGGGCACGAGGGCACTCAGTCGGCTCTCGTATCTTGCCGCGGTCCAGAGTGACGAGGACACCATGACTGCAGACGCTGCACTTGAAGAATGCATCTTTCATGTCCGGAATGACGGGCGTGGTCCTTATGACGAGACCCTTGATCTGGATCATTTTGTCCATATCTGAGGGGTTCAGTTCTCTTAGATTCGTGGTCTTGTCCATGCCGAAGGGGCGCACCACGTAGATAGTGTCGGCAACCTGGTCCTCGAGAGTGATCTCGCGTTGAGGTGCTGGTCTCGGCGTTGACGGCTCCTCAGGTCTGTCCGAGCTGGGGATGGCAGGCTCAGAGCTCTGCGAAGGCGCTGGGGCAGAGCCACTCTGTCGTTGCTTGGTCGATTCGTTTCTTGCGATCTCGATCATGAGGTCGTGGACCGCCTGATCCATGATGGGCACCAGTTCCTGAGGATATGACTGGAGCTGATGCCACATCTTTTGAGTAGGCGGGTAGGCACTGAGGTCCCGAACATCCAGGTAGAGCTTCTTCGTGCCAAGAGCCAACATCGTCTCGAGGACTTCCCAGTAAGGCTTCGTCTGAGCCTCGGGGGCATTTGCAACCTCATCAGGCTTCTTGTCGAAGATCAGGCGGTATTGCGTCTTGAAGTTTCGCAGGAAATCCTTGAAGCACACAAAGGTATCATCGATAGAGATGGTGGTTCCCCAGACCAGGCTCTGGCTCTGCCCGCCGAGCGCATCAGCGTCTGAGGTTCCCGGGTTGATGTTGGAGAATGTAGCAGCATCCGAGAGGGGAGCGTCCTGGACCACCCTTCCATCGGATCCTAGAACGATGCGACGCGGCGGGATAGGTGTTCGATTCGAGTGTTCGGAGTGGATATCACCACGTCTAGACCGAGGCTGTCTCCGAGAAGAGTCCACAAAGAGACCACTGCTTTCACTTCGCAGGTCTGTCTGTGGGTGAGCACCGGGACTGGAGCTGGGATCGTAGCGGACAGGAGAGGACTCTGCATAATTGGTCAGACCCAGAACTTCTAGATGGATGCTACATATTTGAAAGCCTTACCGCCAATAGCCAGACCACTCGCTCTTGGTGTGCGATTGCCATCATTTACGGATTGGGTCTCCGTCTGCTGGCGCAGAGGCGAGCTCGGGGCAGCACCATTGTTGGTACTCTGAGAATTGCTCATCTGTCGCAGAGGAGAGGACGGTGCAGGGTTCGTGCTTCCGTTGGCGGGCGACGACGACTCATAGAACATGGGGCTGGAGGCGAGCTGCGAGGCTCGAGTTCGACGCGGGGTCTGCGAGGCATCTTGAGGGGCCGGTGCTGGGCTGCTCCTTGCTTGGGAACTGCGTGTTGATCGTCTCGCAGGAGAAGACATTTTGAAGAAATTGCTGTTGCTAGTTTGTATCAAGAAAGGACCAACGACGCAACGGAAAAGTTCCAAAAAGGCTGAGTGGAGGGGTTGATGTGATGAGGAAGAGGGTGGATTCAAAATACCTTGAACTAGGCTCAATTTCATTTACGCGTGTCAATTTACGCGACGAGCTTCAGGCGCGAAGCATGTCGCGAATCCCTGCAAGACTTAAAGTGATTTTGCACTAGCCACATAATGCACCGCCACATTCAGAACAAGGGCCCCTGGCTCTCTTGCCGGTCTTGACACGGAGCCCTTCCGTTGACGTTCGGCGAGCTGTGAGATGCGCCTGCGAGCTTGCAAGTCGACATTCCCACCCTTTGTGCCCCTCAATTCTATATCGTACTGCTCTCCAACGTCGCGACGTCACAAAGCAGTCAAGATGGCTCCAGGAATGTCCCTCTACTCGGTCAATGCCATCCTCATTCTCTCAACTGTGAGGAAACCTTCTCCTACCCAGTCCCTGTCCGACCATGCACCACGATGGCTTCCATTGATGTTGGCGGTTGCGACGGCTTGGTTCCCTCGCTTCTTGTTTCATGAGCTGACCCAGATCTAGGAGGATGGATCGAGATTATACGCGAAAGTGAGCCACCACCTCTCCGGCCCTCGAAGACACCCAGCAGGACTATGCAGTTGAACTTCCATGGCGGTCTACCCACGATACAAGCTTACACGTCTTCCAGTATTACGACTCTCCACACCATGCTACCCTCCCAGCAGGGCAGAGTGCACGTACGTCAGCTTGAAAGACCTTGAATATTCTGATGAAGCGCGCAGACTGACGTTGCGCACAGCGGCATCGAACAACCCATATCCCGACGTGAAGTCACAAAAGGCATTCGAGAAGGCACTCCTCGAGAAGACGGCGAAACAGACCGGAGACATCTTGCTGTTCGATGGACGAATGTAGGCTTTTCCCCTCTGGGAATTGGTATACCTGTGTACGAAAGTGGAAACTGACAAGCACTCTCCGTCTGTTCTCTTTTAGTGTTCTCTACAAATCCGAGAGCGACGTGATGCTCTACCTCGTCGGCAGTGTCGAGGAGAACGAAGTCCTGCTCTACAACGCCATCCTCGCCCTGCGCGACTCCCTGCACCTCCTCTTCAAGGCCTCGGTCGACAAGCGCACCATCATCGAGAGCTACGACCTCGTGTCCCTGGCCGTGGACGAGATTGTCGACGACGGCATCATCCTCGAGACAGACCCCACTATCATCGTCCAGCGCGTGAGCAAGGCGCCCACACAGGACGTCGACCTGCGCCGGATCGATCCCTTCAGCGAGCAGGGCGTCAACCATCTGGCGCAGCTGGGCAAGAGCAAGTTGTCAGACTGGTTGCGGCAGGGATTGTAAAGAGCATTTGGTTGGCGGGCGGGATGTGGCAGTAAGAGGGGTCGGCAAGGTCCTGCAATGGGAACCACGGGCTGGGCGTCTAGTTTTCTAGAAAAGGAGTACTGGGGACACATATTGCTTTCTGAAAATCGAATTGTGCTTCAAGGATCAAGATCTCTTTCGTTGATTTGTTTGAACAGAGCAGCAGGCTCTCTAATCCAGGTCCAAACCGGGACCGGACCCTGCTGCATTTGGATGCGTCTTGTCTATCCAGTCTCTATGCTCTAATTTCCGACGCTGCCTTGCGCAGACGGTTCATGACCGCTGCTGCTATATCCTCTCCATCCTCAACGCCCTCGACGTAGATGACATCTGCGCCCTTTCTGTCCAGCTCCCTGAGAGCCGAGAAGAGCCCTTGGGCGACCAGTTTTGTGTCCTGCCCCAGACCGATGTCCAGAATCTCTACCCCGTCTATGACGGACCTAGAGATCTCGTAGCCCAGATCCGTGTTCCCATTGACCGCCGCGTCTTCCACAACGGCCTCTTCTCGAGCAGCCTCATCTCCTGGTAGCTTCTGCCACTTCAACGTCCTGATGATACCAACAACCCCACCCCTCTCGTCTCGTCTCCCCTTCACCTCAACCAGCACGTCGTCCGCACTGCCCTTTCCACCCTTGGCCTCAAAAAGAACCACCTTCGCCCTCGGGCTATAATGCTTATACTTCATCCCCGGCGCCCGAGGCCCCGGCCCACCCCCTTCCTTCTTGCCCCCCTCCTCGCTCTCATCCCGATACCCCTTCACCACCCCTTCCCACCCAGGAACCCCCCGCAGCTCCTCCAGGCTGACCCCACCAGGCCGCAGCACCACAGGCGGCTCGCACAGCCCGTCGACCACGGTGCTCTCGACGCCCACGCCACAGCTGCCCCCGTCGAGGATGAGCTCGACGCGCCCGTCCAGGTCGTCCAGCACGTGCGACGCCGCTGTGGGCGACGGCTTGGTGCTCGCGTTGGCAGAGGGCGCGGCGAGCGGGGCGTCGGCGAGACGGATGAGGGTGCGTGCCAGGGGGGAGGCGGGCATGCGCGCGCCAAAGGTCGGGAGGCCGGCTGTTACTTCTGGGGCGAGCGAGCCGGGGACAGGGCTGCGGAGGAGGATGGTCAGAGGCCCGGGCCAGAAGCGCTTGACTAGCTCTCTGTAGATCTCCGGGATGATCTCCTCCTCCTCCTCCTCCTCCTCCTCCTCCTCCTCCTCCTCCTTTCCAATACCGTTCGTGCCGTTTACGGTGGCGGTGTCGTCATGGTGTTTCTGCTGCTGCTTCTCCTCCTTTGGCCTGAGCAGGCCTCGCAGCATAGCCAGATCACACACGTGCACAATCAGCGGGTTATCCGACGGCCTCCCTTTGGCGGCATAGATACCCTTCACAGCGGTACTGCGCGTGGCGTCTGCGCCCAGACCGTACACCGTCTCTGTCGGAAAAGCCACGGGAATATCGCTCTCGCGCAGAAGGCGGGCGGCTTCGTGGAGGGGTGCGAGGGTGGCCTGGGCGGAGGGCGAGGTGGAGATGGCCCAGGTGTCGAGAGGGTTGGCGGAAGAGGAGGAGGAGGAAGAGACGAAGTGGCCTGGTTCAGGGCCTGGAGGGACTTTGAGTATCCGTGTCTTCATCGTTATGGTGGTTTTGGTTGTAGTGTGAACTTGGTATTGGTGGGAGAATTTCAAGAGTGGTGATGGGAATGAGGCTGCAGCTTTTGAGCCTGTACTGATGAAAGGCTTTACAGCTACACGGTGGATGAGACGATAAGTATGGTAGAATGAAGCCAACTTGATTGAAAAAAATGTCGTGTAAAGGTATAGTTATTCGACAAATTTTATCCTCTTGTAAATAAATTCAGCCGAAACAAGTGGTTCAAAATGTTGATTGTCGATGTTGATATTGACTAGGAGAAAATCTCAAGTTGAGTCATTCCTTCATTGAGACTAAGCAATTTTCAACGGCTCAGCCTGGGGGCGGGTGAGCCAAGTGGCGACCAGTAAAGCTCACCAGCGGGCCACATCTTCAACCTCCTTTTCTTCTTTTTTCTTCTTCTTTTCTTCCTCCTCTCTTTGTTTCTTTTCTCATAAGTGTTGTAAATTATTTCTCAATTTCAACAACTGTTCTGTAGACTTCACCCCAAATGATTATGAGGGTTGTATTATCTCATCAAATATGCCAAATGCGCACTCCCAAGTTGCCCTGTTGAACTTTCGCTCTTCTCGGCCTTTGCTAAAGCATAAACGCCGGCGTCTCGTCTCATCCATCGCGCTATCATATTGTACAATAGATTGGTGAAGTTTTCCAGACGTAGCCTCCATCCCATAAAAACTGTACCAGATATCTGCAAACCCATCATCCATCTCTCAGTTGCACCATTCCGTGGCCGCGTCGAAACAGATTTCCTACCCACCCATTTATTCCCTTTCGCCCAAAGCCCAATATCTATTCAAAATAAGACAAGGACAAAAAAACAAAAAAACGAAGGATTGTATGCCTATATCCAAGTATCCCTTATCCAAAGGCCTCTCGCTGCCCGTTCTGCATCTCCTGGATGATGGAGCTCCTCCCTGACCTCCTGACAGGTAGCTCCTGGACGTATTCCCCTGTGAACTTGAGGTGGCCTGTCATCCCCTCCAAAAGCCGGAGAAACTCGTCTCTCATCAGCTGCCCACCCTCTCCCATCATAACCCTCTCAGACGGCGGCCCAGGCAGCGGCGGCATCGCCCGCCCATCCGCAGCCTGGTAGAACGAGTTCATAGACGAAGTAGACGGCGTCCGTCTGCTTGATGTGGTGGTATACTCAGTCTCGCTCATTCCATTGAGGCTGTTGTCCCTATAGTGGGACGAGGAGGAGCGGCTCCCGATTGTGGGCCCCAGCATCATCCCGTCCCCGGCGTCCTCGCCTCCAGCGTAGAGAAAAGCATCATCGATGAATGCGTCAGTTGTGCTCAACTTTCGGCCTCGTGCCCGATCATCTGGAAAGCTCGGCGGCGCTCGCTGATTCATGATTGCACCACCTAGATTGGAGTCATCCGAGACGTAGATGGATGGTTCGCGGTTGGACGAGGGCATCGAGATGTATGAAGTGTGTCTTTCGAGGTCGAATGCGCTGCCTACCTCGGATACTGCGTCCGAGTTGGCTGTTGAGGGACGTGGGATGTCACTCGACATGACCGGGTCTGGAAGACTTTCATCCAGGTCGATCAGGCTGCCCATCGAGATGCGGTTGTCCTGCTGGGAGATAGTGCGCGGAACCATAAGATTATTGCTACTGTAGTCCTGTGAGAAGCCGACAGGCTCCGTCGCGTGGTGTTGCAGAGGCGGGCGAGCAGATCCCGGATGACTACTGCCATCTTCGTGAAAGGGGAAGCGGGACATCTCGGGGTTGGCAGAAGCCGGCATCATGACGGGGAACTTCCACTCCTGCGTCTTTCTGCTGTTCGACGCGATGACCGTCTCCGGATCGCTGTTCGGCTGTCTGGCATAGTCCTCGCCTCCGAATTCGTAATCACGCGATCGTCGTGGGCCAGCCTTGATGGTCTCCATGTCAACAAATTTCGACAGGCGGCCGCCGTGGAGCGACGCATCAAGATCGATCAGAGACTCTCTCACTGTCGCGTTGTGTGAGTCGTCCCGCAGGGGTAAGTCCGAAGCTGGTGGTAGCATAGGCCTCCCGTAGTAGACCCGGGCGTTCTCTTCATAGTTCGATATTGTGTTGGGGTCAAACACTTTTTCCAGTGGCGCCCTTATGACCGGAAGGTTTGGTGGTGGCCGTCGCCGCTTGGGTTTGAATGCTTGAGGAGTAGGCTCTCCGAGATCTGTGAGGTCCACCTGAGAACCATATACATCGTAAACAGCTTGTGCGTCTGTATTACTCATGACGGACTGGTCGAAATCGACAGTCGAGCTGAAATTCCATTCATCGTTTGCCATTGCGGTGGAAGCCAATTCGGAATCGAAGGGCCCTTGGGCGCCTCCTAACGCGAACAACGACTTCCGGCTACCGCCTTGCGATTCCCACACCCTGAAAGCCTTTACCAGCATGGCTAATGATGAAGTTGGATGCGTGCTCTCCGTATTGAACAGGTAGGGATGGTGCTGAACTTCCTCGATGATAGGTCTCTTGGTCGGATCCTCCACCAGACAGAAGGACACAAGGTCTTTGAGTTTTTCTGAGTACTTGTCTCCTTGGAGCGTTGGAGTGTGCTGTTTGAGATAGCTGCCCAGTTGTGTGACATCGATTCCTGCCATAACGTTTGGTGGTAGACCGGAGGCGATTTCGAAAACCATAGATCCGAAGGCCCAGATATCAACCTCGACTCCGTAAGACGTCGACGTGTCAAAGAGCTCTGGAGCCATCCAGTGTGGTGTCCCTATGAAGGTAGACCGCTTGTCGAATCTGGTCTCTATCACGCCCGACACGCCAAAGTCACAAAGCTGGACCCCACCGGCTTCTGTGATGAGCACGTTGGCACACTTGATATCACGGTGTATAATACCAGCCTTGTGGACCCAGAAGATGGCCTCGGCGACTTCCCGCAGGATCGGGATGATCCATTTCTCCTGAAGACCTCCCGGTGCTGTCGGCTTCATCAACGTGGCCACGCTACCGCCAGCGCAATACTCGCACACCATCCACATGGACTGCCCCACAGGTAGAGCGTCGAGGACATGGTTGATGTTCTTTGCGCCGCCCTCGCTAAGCAATTTGAGGGCGTTGACCTCCTTGAGGAACTCCGAGTACGTGTCGGCGAGTTTGGGATTCAGGGTATCAGACTCTTCGATGTCGATGATCTTGACCGCAACGACCCGGCTCGTCTGCCCATCCAATGCCTTGTAGACCCGGCCGAAGCTCCCCTTGCCGATTAGCTCCCGTAGCAGGTATGGAGGGACTTCTTGCCCGGCCTTGTTGCACTCCTCTTGGACCACGACTTGCATCTTCTTTGCATCCTCGATGGCCTTTTGCCGCGTGACCGAAAAGTCGGCGGCGTATGTGGAGAGGTGTGCCATGACAACAGCAGGCGCCCACGGAAGCTTCGGAACCAGACAAAAGCTCAGACCCAGTCGCGGCTTGATCCCGAGGTCGTCAAAGCCAATCGTCCTCTAGTCTGATTTGCTGACGATTTCACTCAGCAAGAGGCTCTGGTCCCGGATGGTGTCATGAATTGTAGCGCAGATAGTGAGATAGCTTCCCACAAGGACGAATCTCATGTGGGTCAATCTCTTGCGAGACAGGCTTCTTATAGTGATAAGAGGGAAAAGGCAAAGTAGAGATATGAGACTCGGAGCAAGAAGAAGAGAGACTATCGTCGAGCAGTATTACAAAATGAAATTCCAATTAGGGACATTGGAGACCCTTAGTGCTCTTAAGAGTCCCGTTCGCTTTTGCCTCATGAAGTTGTCAGCGAAGCGATCATGGCAGGCATCCTGCTGGATGAAGTCGAAGCACACCGACATACAGGCCTTCATGAGACTTACAGAGTTGGCCTGTCAGAGTTATGCACTGCAAAAGACCTCAGATGTCTTCGTCAACCTCGGTTTACGTTGTGAAGGTGACGTTTATGGCTTATCGAGGTGGGCCTTTGTCGTAAGGCTGGAGGGGGACTCGCAAACGCCAACTCCACCAACTCTTCCGGTTCATGCGAGCCCAGATCGAGCCAGCAGAGCCTTATTGTGATCGAGAAATTTGTGCGAACCTCCCTATTATAACTATGTTGTGCATGGGTGCTTCGTTGAGGATGGCAATGTGAGATGTGGAGGTTTTGAAGGTGAGGTCGAGGAAGGAGTCAGAAAGAGAGAGATGTCATGTTGGAGTGCACATCTTTGGTCGTCTCTTGAGACGATGCAGGGTCCCAAAGGAAAGCAAAAACAGGGCTACAAGATTAGGCGAGGACGCGGCTTCAGGGGATGGGAAGGAGGGGCCCCTCAAAAAACGACATCCTTGCCCGGTTGTTCTTCCCCTCCATTTGCGGCTGACGGATCTTGACCCCTGCTAGCCCTGCTATTGGCGTTCCACTAAATCTCTGCTCTCGTTTTTCTCGTGGGCGACGCTTTTCTTCTTCACGAATTGATTCAATGACTCGCCCTAGGTTCCGTCAATAAATCGTCAATACATAATCTCACTTTCGATGCGCCACCTATCTACAATTATACCTGCTGACCAGTTGTGATATTCCAATGGCAACATGGCGTTGTTTCAGCAATACTTTTCATGTGCTAGTTCGTTCATCTTGCTGTACGTTCACTGCAAGGCTTATTTTTACATCAATAATGGCAGCGCCTTTCTCTACATATCTAACCTCAGGTAGAGAGAGGGCTTAGGGCTGTTAATGATTCTTAAGAACAGGCTGTCAAGAAATGAGCTGAAATGAAATAAGCTGCCTAGTAAAGATGGTATGGTATTGCAGGATACATTTCTATGCAAGGTCTGAAGGCCAACAATACTGAATGCTGGTTTGGTGATTTTAATACAAAAATCTCGAGAAAATCATCCGCTGGGAACTTGAAATCTCAAGCAGAACCGCCATCCGTGGTAGAAGACTCCTCGACCTCCTTCTTCAGTCGATCGATCATTTTTGCATGAATTTTACCGGCTAGCAAAACTTGAATTCAGCACGAGTAGGAAAACTCTCTCAAGACGGGTTTCAGGTCCAGCCAGCTTGACAACCCGGGTTGCAGACACAACAAAGTATGGGGGAGGTGTGAGATGAGTACTTACCACCAGCCTCAGATTGACTCTTTACAATGCCAATGAGCAGTTTCGAGCATTTGATATCAGCCTCCTCCACCAACTCAAGGCCCTCCCCGTCCTCCGCGTCCCGAACTTCCCACAGCGCCTCCATCACCACGTTGAGGGGACTGCGGATCCGACAGAACAGACCCCGTTCCACGTCAGTGAACTCATATCGCGACTCGACATGGCTCCCCCAGACGCCCTTGGGGATATTCTCGACGACGTCCGTGATCTTGTAAGACGTCGTGGGGCCGATTCCCTTAACACGGTCCTCTGGGAGCTCGGGGCTGGCCAAGTCTCGATCCACGAGCTCGTATTTCTGCAGGCAGGGGTCGCAGTTGATGAAGAAATCCTGGTCGTGGAGCATGTCTACACCCTGCTTCAGGGTCGCGCCCGGTGGTAGTCGGGTCTTGACCACGACCCTGCTGCTGGAACTGAACCCTGGTGCAAGGGTTAGAAAAGGAATGTTGATGTCGTGCATGCGTGGCCGCCATGTGGGGCCTCGGTCAGCCTTGTGGGGGGTGATTCACTTACAAGACATGATTGATGATGGCGATGGTGTTGATAGAAGGAGGAGGCAGATCAGACCTCCGAGAATGTCGATGTTGTTAGAGACGTCAATCAGTCAACAAGAAGAAGGGTTATCGGTCCGGCAGGATTTAAGGAGAAAGTGCAGGCGTCAATTAAGCTTAGGCTTTATTCTCTGTGACGTGAACTGTATCATGGTTTCTAGGGGCATACTCAAAGCACACCCCTGCGACCTCGTATGGGTCTGTTGTGTCTTCTGAGCGGAGCATTTCCGTCTAACTCCCCTTACCCGCCTCAGCCTGACCCTCTCGCGAATCATGGAACCACATCGCCAAACGTTGGTCTCTCGCGCACAGCCAGTGTCATTATTTGATTGAGGAAGACGAGGAGGAGGAGGAGAAGAAGAAGAAGAAAAACAAGAAGAACAAGAAAATGCACAACCGATTTTTATTGTACAAAAGCCCAGCAAGCAGTCATCATGGGGCGGCTCACTGGCGGCAGGCCTCCCGCAGCGCGCAAGACCAAGCGAGGAGGTCAAATTGCTCTTCGTTGGCGGACTCGTGCAGCAAGAATGCCATAACATTGAGACTAGTCTCACATGCGCACTGCGGGCAGGACGTGACTTTTAATGAACGATGGCTCGTTCATTGTGAGCTGTCCCGGCCACCCACACGCTTTCACCTTTCTCTCGTTTTGCTGCTGTGTCCGTCTGCGCTTTGATGTAGTTACTTATAGAGCTATTCAAGAAGATCTGAGAAGAAAGAGGTGTAGTTCCTCTCCGAATATGCCCAACAAGAAGAAGGCGGCTCCGAAGGCATCCAAGGTCCCGGGCAAACAGCAGAATGTGCCCTCAGGTGGCGCGACGAGCTCCAAGTCAGCTTCAGCCGGGCCCAAGAAGAAGCAACAGAAGAAGGAACCAAACTCCAAGCCACCTATACCGCCCCCTCCGCAGATCCAGAAGCCACGGCATCCGCCAAAACAAACCCAGGTAAAGGTCGTCAAGTCTGGAAGCACCAAGGCGCCAGACAAAACGGAGACTACCAATGAAAACAAGGCGACGAACAAGAGCAAAGCTCGGGTAAAGATCAACCCTATTCCTCAGGTTGTGTCTCCAGTCACACCTGGATGCTCAAAGGTACCCCGGTTGTTGGAGCCCTCGCAGTCAGTCAGATGCGCAGAGAACATAGTCCTGCTGGAAATGCTTACGCCGCTGCCTGGGACCGAGCGACAACATCTAGAGCAACCGCCTTACCAGTTGCATGAATCAACTTGTCGGAGAACGCTTACTTTCGACCAAGAAAGCAAGCTAGTGACAACGCTGGCTTTCTTGTCCGGCATCTCGGATGATCAGGAGCACGTCACGGCTGTATGTATAGAGGAGGTCCCAAGCGAAAAACGATGCAAAGTTCTCTTGGCCATCAATCAACCTGGTCCATTGAGTGCTCAGGAAGTTCTGGTAACCGTGCAGGATGGCTTTGAGAAAATCTTTGGTGAACTGCGCAGTGCTCTGCCTGGTAAGTCACACCTCTCGATGTGTGGAACATGAGATCACTCGGTGGAGACGCGTGTACAGGATAAGCCAGACTAATATGAATATTTTCATCAGCGGCTAGCGAACGTGGAGCGGCGACAACTCAAGAGGTCGTCTTCAATCAGATCATCGCGCTACACCGGGAACGCATTCTCAAACGCTTAGGGTCGAGAATGGCCAGATTCTCGGGGGGAAAAGCCCTGAAGCGGTTCATTGGTCTTCATTTCAGAGACTTCATCGAAACATCCTGGCAGGCCAAAGCGAGGAAACGCAACTTCAATATGTCACCAGTTCAACTTGAAGACTACAAGACTCGGTCAGAGCGACTGCTGGTACACCTGGACAGTTTCGACGCCTTGGAAACCCCGAAGCACGCGGATCTCAAAGAACTAGTTCGGCATGTTGCTACGTTTCTGAGACGAGTGCCTCTTGAAAGGCTTTTGGGCCGTCTCAATGATCAGGATATGAATGCAAACGCAAAGAAGAGGCTCCTTAGCTGCTTCGCTAAGACGGCCAGAGTCCAGGAGAGTGCTAAATTCCTCTGCAAAGAAGCAATGAATACGCAAGCGCTACGGCATATTACTGTCGAGAAGGTGTCTCTCCCAGACTCAGCTTTCCAAATACCTCGAGGAATCGAATTTGCCATACCTATCCGTATAAGGTCTACACTCGCTAGGATTTCACAGCAAGAGGGCATTATCTCAGAGTACAGTCTCCCGCCGTGGGTACAAAAAGGAATCTCCAAAGCCCAACCTTTCACAACTCGAGTCAACACAACGCTACTCGGGTCCAAAGTCCATGCAGAAATCCAAATACTCGCCCACTATGAAAATGTCGGCCCAGCCATTGTCCCTGCGAGAATAATAGCCTCCTCCAAAAAGCCTTGTTACCTCTGCGATACCCTCATCGGCCTCCACGGCAGATTCGCGGCTCCAAGGAGTCATGGGCGATTATATCCCAAATGGCGGCTCCCTACCATCACAGACTTTCTGCCGCTGCAGGATAAGCTCAACAGGCATCTAGAGCAAAAGATCACCGCGACCATCCAAAGATTGGCGCAGATTGGGAAGAAGCCGACCATCATGCTCCCAAACGAAAGTTCCATATTCTCCTTGAATCTCTCTGCATCTGCTCTTACGACACTGTCAAATCGATCCTGCCTCAATCTCGTTTCTCAGGCCCTTGATGAGCATGGACCTCAGCAGTCTGCAGCGCAGATTGCTGAGAATGTGACGGATGACCCCGCTTTCATTATTCACCCAAACCAGGAGATAGACGAGATGGGGGTTCAAGACAGTGGTGAGATCTGGGAGACAGATGAGACCTCCGGCAGCTCTCAAATGAGAAATGACGGGATCCCGACATTGGCAATGGATAGAAATATTGTCGAAGGCGGAGTCCTAGACGAAGCAAAACATGGAGACAAGACCATACCATTTTCACACAGCAAAATTACTGGAGCAGTCAGCTCAACCAGTCTTAGAAGCAGCATGTCAGCAAAAGCTGCTTCCGACTCCGAAGACGAGAATGATGATCACCACGGGCAAGGCCATGAGTCTCGCACACGGATCAAGCTGCACCGTCCGCCTCCTTTCGAGCCTGTAATGGGACGAAAAGATTGGTTTCGCTCCGCAGGCCTGGACATTTTCATAGACGATTCCGGACTGCCGTTCACGCCCAGGTGGCTCAATTCCAAAGAGGCCGCGGCAGAACTACGGCGCCATTCGGAGTTGGTTGACGTGAAGTCGTTGGACACTCATAAAGATGCTCTCTGCTCGTGGAAAGACGCAGACGGGAAGGCGTGTTTTGCTTTTGGTAACCAGGTCGTTGTGATCGACGCGCACAAAGCTTGAGCCCTTCACCAGGTGAGGAATGCCCAGAATCGCTGTAGCGACTTACTGTGCCAAATTCACTCGCATCGACCTTGTGTACGTATTGATCCAAGCGATCACCGAGTGAGCAGCGGAGCAGGTATCTCCCTTGAGCTGGATCTGTTGTTTCTACTCCTCTACGTCTGCCTAGAAGATACAAAGAGACGGAACTTAAACATGTCTGTGACAGGGAACAACTGTTGCCATTTCTGTTGAGCGCGGCGCGGTGCTGAGGGGAGTTCGAAACAGGCATAATGTCCCTCTCTCTCTCTAGGGCACCCTACAGGAGAGCTGCACAGTACTCTCCATGTTTAACAAATTTATACATCCACCTCAGAACAGCATTGGATTGATACTGTGGAGCCTCCACAAGTAAGCCTACTTGTGTCTCGGGATGCATTTATTACGGAGGCCTCTCGACTCATAGACAGACTGTGTAAAGCTTGATCCAGACACGTTGTGATGGCTATCCTCTTTTCAGAAAGGAGCCCCTGCTTCGCACCCCACCACCCCTCTGCTTTTCAGCTTGACCAGGTTTTATATGCAAGTTGTAGAGTCGTGAAGTGGTTCTAATGCTACTATAACCAGTATATCGGCTGCTGAATCAATTTGATTGGCAATTCTTCTCAAGAATTCACTGTTTGTTGTCCAAACCCACTCACACCTCGCTCTTCCACGTAGTACGGCAGACCATGTGAGCGAATGGCACATAGCGTACTTGTTTACAATGTATTCGCTAGGCGGATCCTACCCAACGCCACATGGTAAATCTCGTGCTTATATCGACGTCCATCGCTTTTTCCCTTCGCATAAAAGCGAGCCACCGATGTGCACTCTGCAAGGAAGAGGCTCACCGACTTTCAAGACGACTCTAGACTTCAATAAGAAATGACCGTTCTCACAAAGCTCCAGCAGATCATATCTTCTCTCCGCAAGCCTCAAGTCAGCGACACTGCAAGACGCCCTGCCCATCCCGCCCCAACTAATCAGCAGAAGCAGCCAGAAGACGAGGCCGAACATGCTTCGTCAACCTCCAAGTCAGCGCCTCCTCCTGCTACCGGCAGCGAGCCGACCCAGGCATTTCCGCCCAAAGACGCGAACACATCGATTCGCGAGCTCTGGCATATAGCGTACGAAAAGCTGCGAGAGGAAGAGAAAGAGCTTGTCGTGGACTACGAAGCGAAGCTTTGTGGGGACTTAAGCGCCGGTCTCGCCTCAACAGTTGGCCACAATATCGGAGTGAGAGACCGGATGGAGACGATCCTCCAGCGCAAGATGAGCGAGGTCAATCGAGATGTATGGAAACTCAAGTTCGGCAGCTCCGAGCTCCCAGTACAAGACCTGGTGCAACCCGTTCTCGCCGCTGTCGATTGGGCAAACGACTACATTTCTGATGCCCTAAGCGCAAACCCGTATGCCTCCATAGCGTGGGGGGGTGTGAGTCTGTTCCTGCCGGTAAGCTAGCCAGCATCAACATCCATACACAAACCTGATAGCTGCCCAGGTACTAAGCATCAGGTTATCATCCCACTAGCTACTTCTGAACCCCTCGAAGCAGGGTGCCTCTATGGCAAAGGGTCTAGAGTACATCTCGTCTCTTTTAGCCCAGAGTCGCATGTGGGAAGATCTCTACGTGCGGCGGTACGAGCCCGAGACTGCCCAGAAAGTATCGTCGCCGCTGTCTCATGTTGTGTACAAAGACGCGCTGGAGAAGCTTTATCGACAAATCCTAAGATTTCAGGTTGAAGGCTACTGCTACTACGCACACAACGCCGCCTTCCGCCTAGGCCTAGATACGATCCAGTGGAACGAGTGGGACAGCCTGCTGGATAAGATTCGAGAACAGAAACGGGTATTTTCTGCTGTCAATAAGAGCTGGCGGGATATGAAATATGACGACGAGTGCTCAGCAACTGACAGTCGGCATCGGGAGGCCATGTCTCACTGGCAAAGTATTGGCACAGACATCTCAGGGCTGAGAAAGGAAGTCCGGGACTTCCAGGCAGAGGAGAAGCGCGACAAATTGCTTCAATGGCTGTGTAGCATCGACCCCTCTGAGAATTACAACGCGGCCCGCGATAAACACGAGAATGGGACGGGCGACTGGCTGCTGAGGGATAGCGAGGAGTTCAAGACCTGGAGGATGTGTCCAGGCTCTCTCCTATGGCTTCATGGCAAAGGTAGGCCTACTACTTCATTTATCTACTCCTAGCTAATCCAGGCGCTAAAAGATTCACAGCTGGTTCTGGCAAATCAATCCTAAGCTCGTCTGTCGTTAAGCACCTACGTGAACGATGCGCATCCGCTCCCGAAACCGCACTCGCATATTTCTTCTTCAGCTTTAGCGACCTAGAGAAGCAGAAGGTTGACGGAATGCTCGCGTCTCTCGTGAAGCAGCTCTATACTGGCCAGCACGGCACGTTGCAACAGGTCAAGGTCCTTGCTGAGTACATGGAGAAACACATGCGTCCCGATACCAAAACACTCGAGTCCATACTGCTGGCTATGGCACGCGAGTTCTCAGCGACATTTGTCGTTATTGACGCTCTAGACGAATGTCCAGCCCGGAATGGAGAGCGGAAGAAGCTCCTGAACAGTCTCAGTAGCATCAGCCGCAACATGCCGGACACGCTCCACATCCTCTGCACAAGCCGAGCGGAACCAGATATCGAAACAGGCATGAGCACTGTCCTGTCTCCGCCATCCAGGGCAGCGATGGATCTAACGGCACATCAGGAGGGTCTTGACCACGATATTCGTCTATACATCGATTCAATTCTCGCATCCGCCGAGTATAGTTCGTGGCCTGACGATGTCAAAGGCGAGGCGAAGGCCTCGCTAATCAAGAAAGCGGACGGCATGTAGGTCACGGGAGCAATTTGATATGCAAGCAGTATGACGCTTTCGCTGACTGTCGCCCCAGGTTTCAATACATCTCCTGCCAGTTTGAAGATCTCCGGAATCTCGCCTCCGTCTCGCTCGTCCGCAAGGCGCTCCAACAGCTTCCTGTTGGACTCGACGCAACATACGATAGGCTGCTCCAGAACATAGACGTGAAGTACCGATCCCAGGTTGTGAGCTTGCTCAAGTGGCTCGCCTCGTCGAAAGAGGTCCTCACGCTTGAAGAGTTCGCTGAAGTATTTGTCCTCCGTCCCGAGCACGACGTCCCCCTCAACAAGTCAGATCGGCTATTCGCGCCTAAAAATGTTCTTAGATACGTGTCCAGCCTAGTCGTTACTCAAGACGGCAACCGCGGTTACAGCCCTGCGAATGTCCGCCTAGCCCATTTCACAATCAAGGAGTACCTAACGTCTGCTCGTATTGCCGAGGGCCCGGCCGCAACATTCGCCTTCACTGAGCCCAATGCCCACCTGCATATTGCGCACTGTTGCCTCGCCTATCATCACCATCTCGTCAGCATTTCCGATGCAAACGATGAAGATTTCCCTCTGAGAGAGTACGCAATCTACAACTGGATGCTGCATCTAGAGTTGGTGCAGCGCGAGTTATGGCCGGACAAGCTCGCCCAACTTGCTGCACGCGCCCTCGCCACACGTAGTGAGAGCCTGCGCATAATCCTCGGAAGAAATGGGATTTTCTACCCGAAGAAACTCGATTTTGGGGAACCATGGTATTCCAGGATGCTACTGCGACCCCTTTGCTACACCGCCAGGCGCGGATTCCTCGGGCTCACGAAACTGCTGCTCTCTGAGCACCCCGACACAAACCGGTACGTGACGCCTAAGGACCTGGATACAGCGCTCCAGGAGGCGGCGTTTGGAGGTCATGCGGAGATCGTACAGGTCCTCCTTGACAGAGGCGCCGACGTTCGAGCGGAGGGCGGGACATTTGGAGGCGCACTGCAGGCGGCGGCCTACAGAGGTCATACAGCGGTTGTGGACCTCTTGCTCGACAGAGGCGCCGACGTGAATGCGCAACACGGCAAGGTAGGGTCGGCCCTACAAGCCGCTGCTTCCAAACAACACTTGGACACGGTGCAGTTACTCTATAGCCGCGGTGCCAACATCAACTTGTCAACAAATGAGGCCGGATGCGCTCTGATGTCAGCTATACAGGAGTGGCCCAGGCAGAAACGGCCCGACTCATTAAGAATTCTGCCATTTCTGCTAGACAAGGGCGCCGATATAAACCAGCAGGTCGGCGCCCACGGGACAGCATTACACAGGGCGGCTAAAAGTCTGCCCATTTCGCGAGCCCACCTCCATCTCCTGCTGGAAAGAGGTGCCGATGTGAACGCGCAAGGCGGCAAGTATGGGCACACACTCCAGGCCGTGTGCGTGAATTCAGTCAACTGTAGGGCAGCCATAACTATGAGAGCCAGACGTAAGGCATTCATGTATGCGAAACGCATGTATAGGGCAGGCGAACATAGGGCCGACGTTGAGCTGCTTCTGGACATGGGCGCAGATGTGAACGCTCAAGGTGGCAAGTACGGCAATGCACTGCAGGCTGCATGTTGTGGTTACGAAGGTCCCTGGGATAGGAGCATCGTGAAGCTTCTCCTCGACAGAGGTGCAAGCATTAACAGCCAGGGGGGCAAGTTCGGAACGGCGTTGCAAGCAGCCTGCGCGCGGTCCTGGACATTGGAACTTGTACAGTTCTTGCTAGATCATGGTGCCGACGTACATATTCAAGGGGGCAAGTATGGCAATGCCCTGCAGGCAGCATGCTACAGGGGCAGCTTGGGCCTAGTTGAGCTTTTGCTCAATCAGGGGGCCAACGTGAACGCCCCGGGCGGCGAATTCGGGAACGCATTGCAGGCCGTAGCGGCTAGACTTAGTAAGTGGGCAAGCATCGACATCTTGGAGCTGTTACTTGGGAAAGGGTGCCAAAGTGAACCAGCAGGGTGGGTGCTTCGGAACTGCGCTCCAGGCCGCCTGCGCGAGACGGGCCATCAACATAGTGCGTATGCTGCTCGACCAAGGCGCAGAGGTGAATGTCGAAGGTGGAAAATACGGAACCGCGCTTCAGGCCGCCTGCGCGAAAGGGAATGATGATATTCTGCGACTGCTGATCGAGCACGGTGCTGATGTCCAGGTGCAGGGTGGCAAGTTCGGCAGCGCCTGGCACGCCGCCGCGATGCAGATGTACACCAAACACCACGAGGCACTTCAGTTGCTACTAGACTGCGGCATTGAAGTGAACGACACGCGCGGACGGCAGTCCGTCACCGCCCTGCAGTCGGTACTTGAGTACAACGACTTCAGCGGCAGGTCCCAGCCGTTGACAAAGTCGCAGCACATTGAAAGAGCTCGCTTCCTGCTGGACCGCGGTGCTGACATCAACCTCTGGACCGGACCGTACGGCTCCGCGCTACAGTCTGCATGTGCGAGCAAGCACGAAGCTGGCCCGGACCGAACCAAATTCCTGTTCGAGTACTTCCTCGACCTCGACGTCAATGCGGCAGGAGGTTTGTTCGGCTCAGCCCTGCAGGCGGCAGCCTATTCCGGCCAGACAAACTCGGTCAGGCTGCTGTTGGACAGAGGTGCCCATGTCAATACGCGCGGGGGCAAGTACGGCAGTGCTCTGAATGCGGCCATCATCGGGGGTTTTTGGGATATCGTCCAGGTGCTTCTCGATGGCGGCGCGGAGCCGGATTGTCAGCTGTTACCGGAAGCGGACGAGGAGTGGCTTGCGCGTGTCCGGGAGGAGCATGGAAGGGGCGCTGTGGAGCGGTACAGGAAATTTTGGGAGGTGCAGAGTGAAATACGGAAGAAGCTTGATCTGGCTATGATATAGATCAAGGACACTGGCAGCTAAAGTCACAGTGGCGAGGTGAAGATTGAAGCTGGGAGCTCCCTCTCTCTCTCCCCCCCCTCTATCACACATACACACACGCACACCAATAATAATAAAAAAGTAGGAGTAACTTGTGGATCTTTTAACACGCCCTAACATCCATAGATGTTAGGTGGCAGAGCAGCAGACTGAGAGCGCTGCCCGTCGAATACGAATCCCGATGAAGCCTCAAGCCTAGAAAATAAGAGAGGGCATCAAGGCTTCAGCTCGACCTCTGTCCGGGCAATACCAAGACAAAAGCCCAAGAAAGCAAGCATGAAACCACTGATAGCAAACCCGCCCTGAATGTCTCTGCGCACAATAGACCAGACCACAGCGAAGAGCAGGGCCGAGATGAAGCCCAGGCACCCACATAGGAAGACATGAAACCAGTTCGTACCTTCGACGAACTGCAGTCCCCAGCCAACCGCGCTGCCTTTTATGGGGCAGGCCTCCAGTTGGGCTCGCAGCTTTTGTGGGATCTTCTTGTATAAAATAGGGAGTATTTCTGCGTGGTCTGGGTGCTCAAACAGGTGCATGAGAAGGTTCGGCCCGATGGGTGGAATTGTCTCAGCCGGTAAGGGTTCGTATGTGTAATTCTGGCGTGCTTGGTCCTCGGGCGGTATGGCCGGGTGAATATGGATATCAACCAATTTGCTCTTGTACATCTCGAACTGGCCCCCTGAATTAGATTACGTACATCTCAGACACCATGAGGCTAGACAGACTTACCTTGACAAAATGGATCCCTTGAACTTTGCGCAGCCGATGCCATGGCCCCGTCCCACGTTTAGATGCATAGTAGTACCGCAGCACCCGAAAGAAGTCTTGGTCAGAGTTGATCCTGCAGACCTCGGCTTGATGTAGCTTCAGCGCCCATTTGAGAAACGGGATGCATAGAAGAATGAAGTTGTGGTCTGTTTGAGTCGGTCCAGGCCGCAGGGGACAGACACCCAGCTCTGAAATCGACTTGCTAGACGGACCGGTATGTTGCGGAAGACCTCCCTTAGCTTGTCGAGGGATGATGAAAGCCTTCATCCATTTCGTCGACTTTAGTAAGAAATTACCAGTCGAAGATCTGGTGCTCGAGTTATCTTGTCCTCCTGGCGCTTCATCGTGACAACTTTGCAAAAGATTTCTGAGACGACTAACGGCACCTGGTTGAAGTTCCTTGTAGTCATCGCAGATTCTTGTTCCACATCTCTACACAGCACATGATTAGCTGATGAAGTAAGACGTCCGTCGAGAAACGTCAAAAGAGTAACATAAGATGCCGTCTTCCTGCCAAGGAAGACAGCTGTTGACTTACACACGTCCACGACAACTTGTGCATTCCTTCTGGAGTGGGACTTCCACTTATTCTCGACACGATATTGACAAACCATCTTTCTACGTCTGTGTAGAGACGGGGAGTTTGTTCCTCAACTCCAGGTTTGATGAAGGCTTTGATATTGGTCTCAAGCGCTTCAATGGGCTTGGTCCCAAACAGGAAACGCTCAGCATCATCATATATGAGAGTTGAAGCGCTCTCCGTCTCGTCGACCTCGGCCTTGGCCTGCTGTTGTTCCACTTGTTCAATATCCCCTTCAACATCGTCATCAAAGTCTTGATGGCCATGCGCATCCCAGATTCGCTGAGCCAGACTAAACCGGGATTTCCGGACAAGAAGAGACGCTGATAGACATATAGCGTTGTCTGCATCCTCAAATGCCTTGGTTGCTGCGAGATGCGCCAGGTCGTTTGCCCACCGCCGGAGGAACCTCTCGACTGATCGTACACAACGCTTGCGTGAGCCACACTGGCGGGCGAGCTGTGGCCACAAGTACCTGAGGTTGTTGAATAATAGCAGCCGCCGGAATAGAACCTCCACTAGGTCTTCCTCCACTAATGTCGCCGAGGATGTTGCCGAGTTGACTGTTGTTGCTTCTGATACTACCGAGCTCCCGTCTTCTGACTTGCTCTCAGAACAATACCCGCGGGGAACGTAGTCCTCGAGGGGAACACGCTCCTCGCTATCTTCGACAGTGTCCCATGCAGACTCTGGCCCTGACAAGGCTTCTGTACTATCGCCAATGCCCACGGGGGGTCGAGTCCTCCTTCGACCACGTTTCCGGATATCATCTTGAGTGCTATGAGCTGTACAGGCATACCCTACCAGTATGATTCTTAGGGTGATTTTATGGGTGGGATATAGACTGCATCTGTCTACAGCATGCGTATAGAAAGGGCAGCGGCACGCGGCGTACAGTTCTACCAGTTGAAAACACATGTTCATCTTGCAACGTCAGGTTGTTGAGGATAGTAATGAGAATCCAGCAAAAGTCTAGCACAAAAAGCCAGCAAGAAACAACATGGGGGATTCAAGTCTGCATGTTGCGCGCCGTTCACTTCGATGAACTGTCTCTGTATCCATGACGGTATTGGAGGTGACACGAAGTAGGGCTCCCTCATAAGGTCACTTGCCAGCGTGGGTGGCAGTGTCTGCAGGATATCATTGCATTGCGCCACTCGTTCGGGCTAAGCCCCCATGCAAGCTGTAGTGCATCATGTAAACTGCAGGCTGCAGCTCTGGCTTCACACCTTAATTTTCCTTGTATTTGTCGTAGCCTTATTGACCTTTCCTAAGGCCCTGCTGGCAGCCAGAATACTATAACTGCAGTCTTGTTGGTGAAAGAAAAGAGGTCATCCTGAGTGTCGAAAGCTTCCGCAAGAAATGCAAACTCTACAGAAAATGGATTCTGGACCTTGTTGGGGTTATCAACCCCCCTCTTCTCTACCTACCCTTCCTTTCGTCGTTCCTTTCCCCCCCAGTTCTTGTTGTATCTGGGGGCAGTGAATTCCTATAGTATGAGGGGTAAATGTGATCAAAATTGCTACCACGAAGCTAAGCTCATTACGATCGTATTCGATAACTTGGTTGATTCGTCAGATATCAATACCTTTGAGGTTTGCTTGAATTAAATTTCTTAATGTAGATCACGAAAGAGAAGCTGCCGTGTTGGTGTATTGGTGGTAGTCGTACGTAACAAATGTGCTCAGTGTCATGATTGTCTGTCTATGGCCTGCGACTATGCTATGCCGAGCATCACATCAGACTGCTTCTCCCGCCAATTTCCATGCTCGCCTGACCATCTCTCATCTCGCCACTGCGCCCAACCACGAATTCCCGATAAATCCTCTGCAGTAGCGCCCGCTGTTCGCGGCTGATACTCGTTCTCGTGCCGCCGAGCGCCTTGACCAGATGCCGCCACTGGATCCCGACCTCCTTCTGTTGGCTATCTTTTCCATTGACCTTTGCTTCGTCAGAATCAGTGGGAGCACTAACACCACCCCGTTGCTGCTTCGCCCTCTTGCGCGAGAGCCGGATACTCTCCAGCTTGGCGGCGATCATGGCCTGCTGCGCCAGCTCAGAGGACCGGTTCGATCCTCGTTGAGCTTGGTCTTCGCCGGCGCCATCCTCGCCGTAGCGGAACTGCACAAAATTGTGGGCGGATGGTCCGGTGGTCTTGCCTGCACCGGATTTCTGTCCAGGCCGACGGGTACTACCAGCACCCCCACCAACATGATCCGTCTCCTTGAGTACGTCCTGGATAGCCTCCAGCTGAGCATTGGAAACCAGAGCCTGCAGATCTGCACCGGAAAAGCCATCGGTGCGCTTGGCAATCTCTACAAGGTCCTCGTCGGACTGGAGCACCGCCTCGCTCAGCTTAGCCTTTCGACCGATCGCCCGGATGATATCCACCCTCTCCTCGAGATTTGGGAAATCACAAAGGATCGACTTGTCCAATCGACCAGGCCGCAGCAGAGCAGGATCAATAAGATCAGGTCGAGAGGTAGCAGCCAGCACATATACACCAGACAGACCCTCGGCGCCGTCCATCAGTGTCAACAGCTGGTTGACTACGCGGTCCGTCACGCCGGTCGAGTCGTGACCACGCTTTGGCGCAATCGAGTCAAACTCGTCAAAGAAGAGCACGCAGGGTTTGGCAGCCTGAGCACGCTCGAAGAGGTCTCGTACGCTCTTCTCCGACGCACCAATGTACTTGTTGAGAATCTCGGGTCCCTTGACAGAGATGAAGTTGAGGCCACACTCACCCGCGACGGCGCTGGCTAGGAGCGTCTTACCGCAACCTGGGTAGCCGTAGAGCAAAATGCCAGAACGAAGCCGGAGAGGGCACTGCGCGAAGATGGGCGCGTACTTGGTTGGGTATTGGAGGGTCTCCAACAGTACTTGGCGAGTCTCTGTCAACCCGCCGATGGAATCAAAGGTAGTGGTTGAGCTCTGCAGAGTGACGTTTCGTAGCGAGGCCGGAGTGAATCCTTTCAAGGCATTCTCAAAGTCGACTCGTCCAAGCGGGACACCCCTGATATCGGTGTCACTCGATGTCTCGATTAATGAACGCATGATGGCCTCGTTACGGGCTCTCGAGACGAGCAGGCTTAGGTCGCCTGGCATATATCCGTCAGTTTCTCCTGCGATGTCAAGAAGATCTAAGTCGGCTTGGAGGACAAATCCGCTGGGCTTGGCAAGGACTTCAGCCCTAGGCCTCGGACTGGCTCCATCCATCCAAGCATTCTCATCGCCAGTGGCACTACCGTCAGCTGTTGTCGGCCGGCTACCATCGTGGGTGGAGAGGCTATCCTCTTGCTCAAGCACGGCGTTTTGTAGGGTGATAGCCTCCATGATGGTCCGCCGAGCAGGCTTATCCGGTGCTCTGAGCGGCACGATCTCGCGCACCAGGTGGCCACCGACAAGGACGTTGTGAAGAGATTCTTTTCCTTGTGCAGTAGCTAATAAGGCCACGTTGCTGTCTTGACCACAGTATTGATGGACGATCGAGCAGATGGCCTCGCTGATGTGTCTGCTGCGGCCGTTTTCGTTGCCGACTTGCAGTTCGGTCTCGACTGGACAGAGCCGATCTAAGTCATCCAAGATGACAAGAGCCTTGCCCCCCAATCGAGCGCCCCAACTCGCAGTCAGGAAAAGCCGGTTGAGTGTCTCTCTAATTGTGCTCACCCTACTCTCGTCGTTCACGAGCGTCCTGCACGAGAAGTATGTTGTGTGAACCAGTTGATCCTTTCGAAGGAATCTCGCTACTGACTGCGCCACAGATGTCTTTCCTGAGCCCAGTGCCCCAGTCAAAAGCACCGAAGACAACTGCGAGAGGTGCGACTGAAGTTCTTGAAGCAGTGAGTCGATGCCCACCAGGGGGTTTTCAACTCCCAGGTTGGTGCTGATATCTGATGCGGACAGCGAAGAGGGGCGAGCAATGGGGGGCTGCACCTCGATGGGTAATTGCCAGTCCGACCCAAGTACCCAATGAAGACTGTCTTTGGTCGAGCTTTGCGATGCAGACGCAGGATGAAACTTGATGACTCCACCTGTCCAATTCGAAGGTTGGTCGAGGCCTTCATAGGTCCCCAAGACCAAACCGTCCGTCAACGGCCCGTCGAATAAGCCTTTACCTGACTTCCCACTGTAGATATGCTTGATTTTCTTGACTGTCTCTTCACGTTCTGATTTTGACTCCCCGCCAAACTTGAGACCAGAAGTTTGTGCTGCACTACCGTCTGAGATGAATGGGAAAAGCTTCAGGTGTTGCACTGATGGTCGATCTTCGTCCCCATCCGACTTCAGGATCGACTTCTTTGCCAGAGGCGGTGTAGCAGGCTCGATCTTGACGACTCCTCCCACAAGGCCCTCGCTTCCGAATGCTGAGCATAAGAGAGTAGACAACGCTGCTGTTTGCCCATTCGGAGGATCGTCCCACGGTAACAGCTGGGCCACGATCTTGCGTCCTGGCTTCAACGATTCAGCAGACGTCTGGCCATCGGGCTGTTGTCCATGCACGGGTCCGGGCTCTTGGAGACCTGCTGGTCTCATGACATTCACCGCGGCCCATTTCAAACCCCTCAACTCATTTGAAACCAGCAGCTCTCGGTCGACCCAGATACTTAGTTCTTCGGTCCCAGCCCCGTCGTCGAACCAGTCATCACAAAGTTTTCGATCGACGCCCCTCAGGAATAAGGCAGGCTTGCGATCCTCGCGTTGGCTCCGCCTCCTAACAGTGCTTGTGGAGCTCTTTCCGCTTTTTCTCGACGTGCTGGCAACACTCCGATTCTCTCTGGTTCCTCTGGAGGACTTCGGTTTAACCTTTGGCGCAACGATCACCTCGGCATCCGGCGCAATCTTGGCAAATGGTACATCTGAGGGTTGTGGTGGGTCGAGAGACAAGATCTTTATATTCGCCGTTGAAGTCGGCGAAAGGTGAAGAGTTAGTGGATGGGGACCCACGACCGTTCCAGGAGCTGGAGCGTAGGCTGGGTTCGGCAGGGCCCGCATCTGGGAAAGAAGGTTGAGCTCGAGGAATGTCGCATGCAGCTCGATTATCTCCCAATCCTCCGGCGTCAGAGGCTCGATGTTGACTGTATGCGCCAGTGGTGGGTCGGTGTGAATCGTTGCCATGACCTTCTGGCCCTCCTCCAGTCCCAGTGTGCTAGCCAGCGTCGGGTCGATCTCGACAAGAGCTACCTCCTGCTCGCGAAGTCCTGTGCCACCTCTTGAGCTGCTACCAAGACCATCTCTACCGACTATGGAAGCCAGTTTCCTCTTGCTCGGCATGCCAGTCCACCCTAGGTACACAGATCTTTGGGGAGGTGCGCCTGCCGCCTTGTCGGCGGCAGTGTCGCGGTAGTTGAGCTCGACGATGACATTTTGAACGGGCTAATAAAGGACAGTCCCATAAGTCAGAGTTCCAGTTCCACCATGGGTGACGTAGATGTGTAAGTCTTACAGTATTCACATTCACGAGCAGAGAGACGAGCGACGACGGCAAATTGACGAGGCAGTTTTTGAGGTGAACTAAGGAGACCTCGGCGGGTGTTGGCTTCCTCTGAGACATTTCTGACGATATGAGGGATTGAAGAGCGCCAGACTGGTAGGATTGGTCAGTAATCACTGTGATAGGATGCCATGGCTGCGAGCGAAGTCGTGAAAGTTCGCCATGGCCAACAAGGGCCGGATGAGCTTCCTCATGGCATTCGTTGGTTTTGCCTCGGCTCATTGAAGCTCAACTGCCTGCCGGCAGGGGACTGTCTGCAGTAGTATGCACTATGCCTGAGCCCACAAGTTGTAGTATTTGCAGGGGTTTGGCACCCTGTAAAGGACCCCTGGGCCTAGTACTGAGTCTCGCTGTATACGCCACAGGGTGTGGGCCCCTGCAAACTGAAAGAGGTTACTGATTGTGGTTAAAGCACTTTCAAGCTCGGCGCGTACCTGACGACGCGTCGCGGGTTTGTACCTCCCAGACGCGCCGTAAATTTGCACTCTAGCTGTCTGTCTCTGAATACATGCTTAAACACTTCATCTAGCCTCTCTCCAGCATTGCATTCACTTTGTGACCCTGCAACCTGACTTTCTCCCCCCTCCTTCTATTTTCATCACCTCATAGATTACCTCTTTCATCTTCGTACAAGCACTTTGGCTTCGTTCTTCCTCTCAATTCCGACTCCAGAAGATGGCGTTGCTGCAGTGGAAAGCGCCCGTTGACTACGAGGCCCAATTGAGTATGATGATGATCCTGCCACAGATTCGCAGGAGAAACAAGTCACACTGACCTTCAATTCTTCAGCTGCCTTCAAGACGTTCTTGCAAGACTTCAAGGCGTCTCCTGCTGAGTCTATCACCCACGCCCTCGGTAACATTGACATTGGCGAGGACGACCTTGACGATGAGTACGACTTTATGGATGAGGACGACGAGGAGGAGGAGCGTCGGCGTCAGGAGAGGGCCAACAAGAAGAAGCCCCACCACAAGTACAGGGACATGATGCGCCAGCTTGCTGACCGCAAGATCGACGAGGTGCTTGTCGACCTCGACGATGTCGCACAGGTATTGCTAGGACCTACTTATGCAGTCCACTTACCACACTTGCTGATCATGTTCTAGTGGGAGGAAGAGGCAGGAGAGGATGTCGCCCCTCTGAAACTTGTGCAATCCATCGAGGGCAATGCCAAACACTACGTCGAGATCTTGTCGAGAGCCATTGACGAAAGCATGCCAGAGCCTAGCGCAGACCCTACGTACGTCGTGAACGTCCAACTGAAGGTGGAAGGCTTATTCGACTGACGCTAGACTAGATTCAAGGACGACGTGCTGGATGTCTTGATGGCACGACGGCAAGCCCGGAATCGCGAAATCGTCGAGGGCGCCGAAGCCATGGGTGATCCAACCCTGCTGCAGGACAAGTTCCCCGCGCAGCTGACGAGACGTTACACCCTCGTCTTCAAACCAAGATCCTCCACCTCAGACGGCCCAGCAAAGGCCCTGTCTGTTCGCCAAGTCCGTGGTGATCACCTTGGCCACCTCATTACTATCCGGGCTATCGCGACTAGGGTCTCGGACGTGAAGCCTCTGGTGCAAGTCAGCGCATACACTTGCGATCGATGCGGCTGCGAAATTTTCCAGCCTGTCACCGCCAGGCAGTTCGGTCCCCTCTCCGTCTGTCCTTCGGCAGACTGCACAGCCAACCAGACCAAGGGCCAGCTGCAGCCGTCCTCACGAGCTTCCAAGTTCTTGCCCTTCCAGGAAATTAAAGTACAGGAGCTCCCCGAACAGGTACCCATTGGTCAGATCCCGCGGTCCCTGACTGTTTCGGCCTACGGGAGTGCTGTGCGCCAGATCAATCCTGGTGATGTCGTCGACATCTCTGGCGTCTTCCTGCCCACTCCGTACACCGGGTTCAGGGCAATGCGTGCCGGCCTCCTGACTGACACCTACCTCGAGGCACATTACATCCTCCAGCACAAGAAGGCGTATGAGAACATTCGGGTCGATCCAGGAGTGGCACGCAAGATTGATATGTACAGGAGGTCGGGACACGTTTACGAATATCTCGCCAAGTCAATCGCTCCCGAAATCTACGGTCATCTCGACGTCAAGAAGGCACTTCTGCTGCTCCTCGTCGGAGGTGTTAACAAGGAGATGGGAGACGGCATGAAGATCCGTGGAGACATCAATATCTGCTTGATGGGTGATCCTGGTGTGGCCAAGTCCCAGCTGCTCAAGTACATCTCCAAGGTGGCTCCGCGCGGAGTGTACACCTCTGGCCGTGGCAGCAGTGGTGTTGGTCTAACTGCTGCCGTCATGAGGGACCCTGTCACCGACGAGATGGTCCTCGAGGGAGGTGCACTCGTCCTCGCCGATAACGGTATCTGCTGTATTGATGAGTTCGACAAGATGGATGACAACGACCGAACGGCTATCCACGAAGTCATGGAACAGCAGACCATCAGCATCTCCAAGGCTGGTATTTCCACGACCTTGAATGCTCGCACCTCGATATTGGCTGCTGCCAACCCCCTGTACGGCCGCTACAACCCGAAGCTCTCTCCAGTCGAGAACATCAACCTGCCCGCCGCCCTCCTTTCTCGTTTCGATATCCTCTTCCTCCTTCTTGATACCCCCTCTCGCGACACCGACGCGCAGCTTGCTAAGCACGTTGCCTACGTCCACATGCACAACAAGCATCCTGATATTGGCACTGCTGATGAGGTTGTCTTCCCACCCGATGAGGTCCGAGCATACATCTCACGGGCCCGGGCACACCGCCCAGTTGTGCCACAAAACGTTTCTGAGTACATCATCAAGACGTACGTCAAGATGCGAGATGCGCAAAAGAAGGCTGAGAAGCGCGGCAAGCAGTTCGCCCACACCACGCCTCGTACCCTCTTGGGTGTCGTCCGTCTGGCGCAGGCCCTGGCTCGTCTCAGGTTCGCCAACGAGGTGACTCAAGAGGACGTTGACGAGGCACTTCGTTTGGTCGAGGCTAGTAAGGACAGCTTGAACGCCGAGGCTGGTGGCAGCAGCAGGAGACAGATGAACGTCAGCAGCAGGATCTACAACCTGGTCAAGTCGCTCATGGAGACCCGCCAGTGCCTGCCCGATGATGCGGATGAAGATGACGAGGAATTCGGAGTCGAGCTGAGCATGCGCAAGGTCAAGGAGCGGGTCATTGCGAAGGGCTTCACGGAGAACCAGTGGTTGAACACGCTCGATGAGTACACGGATCTCGATGTAAGCACCCCTCTTGCTGAACTCTCCCCCTCTTTATTTTCCCACTCTCCTTTATACTTTTACCTCTATGCCGAGACCTGATACTGACTTATTCTAGTTGTGGCAAACTGCTGGAAATGGCACTCGCCTTGTTTTCATAACTGCTCAGGGCGAAGAGGACGAGGAGGATGATGAGTAGACGTGGAACGGTTAATGTACAGCGCCCGTGGATACGAAATTTCAGTGGTTCGGCGTTCTGAGACTAGGATTGTGTATTGAATGCATGAGACCTATTACAGCACTTGAGATAAGAAGCTGCTGTAAAAATAAAAACAAATTATAAAATCGCATTGAAGACCACCTCCGTCGCATTCCAGTGCGGGCCAAGGTGTGTTTTTATGAACTTGCCTGTTTGCAGCACCGAATTCGGTTTCTTGGTAGAATTACAACTATCCAGCAGGCTACCACTTTTACAGTCACTTGGAAATCTCATCAGGACTGCAAGTTTCGATCCGATCTTTTGAATTCGATATCATTGGTCGGAGAGCTACGAGTACCTTCTACTTTCGCAAGTCGTGGAGAGAAGGAAAGACCTTGACCATATCAGCTAGACCCGTATCTTGGAGGCGTCGAAGGTGTGAGAGCTCGGCTACTATGCAAAATCGCACAAAAACTCATCCCCTGAGCCCAGTCAAAGGCTTTTCCCTGAGCGCAATCTGTCGAGGAACATGCACACCCGAGTGTCAATGAATTTCGTTTGATTGACCAAGCCCATAGAACTTTTCATCTTCCTCCTCCACTTGCTATGTACAACATATCTTTACAGCCGCAGACTCAACAGCCCAGCTCTCTCCATCTCGCCAATGATCCCGTTGCCGCCCGTCATCCACTTCTCGCTGACGGTCCTCTCGTCCACCTGCGCCCGCAGGAGCCCGCTGGCGGCCCAGTACTCCATGAGGGCCCTCGCCTCCACCTTGCCGATCCCCCTGACATTCACAACCTCCAGGCCCGTGCCCTCCATGACCTCGTCCACACGCGGGTCGTACTTGCGGCAGTAGGCATCCCGCGGCGGCAGGTCCGCGTCCGCAGCGCCGGTCTGCTTGGCGAGCTGCCGGTTGATAGCGAGCTCCATGCTGGGGTTGCGGGCAGCGTTGCTCCTGCAGGTGGCGGCGATGGCGGCGCCGCCGTTGGGCAGCGGAGTCCGGCCCGAGAGAACATCGACAAACATGCGCACGATGGCGATGTCGTGACTGTGGATGGGCTCGAAGGCCTGGTTGCGGTAGTCGGAGACGCGCATGAGAGAGGCCAGGCCGTCCACGGCGAACAGGACGGGCGGGCGGGGGGTGCCAACGCTATCTGCCTTGGCGACGAAGAGCTCGTGCCACAGAGCAGAGAAGACGGGCCACGCCTGGTCGGACTCGCGGGCAGACTCGATGAGGGTGACGAGGGTGGCGCCCTCAGCGACGGGGTTGGTGAACTCCTCGTACGAGCGGGTCGTGTAGATCTTCTCGAGGACGTCGCGATTGGCTTTGAGGATGGTTTGCATCAGCTTAAGCGCGTAGACGGACTGCATCCACTGCTCAGGGTTGGTGTCCGGGATGGGCGCGTAGTCAGTGCAGGCTGTTGTGAGTTCCTGGGCTGTGTGGCAGCTTGTCAGCACCCCAAGGTCTTTTTTTTTCTTTCTCTCTCTACAATTCATAGTATCATCTTGGAAGAGCACACATACCCTCTGGGATGTTTATGACCACCCACTTATTCAAGAAGGCGTTCACAATGGCCTGCAATAGCACCATGCTCTTCCCAGCCGCCCTCTCTCCAGAGATGACCAACCTCGCCGTCGTCCCGTCCCTGGCGGCCTGCTGCATCCTCTCGCACACTGTCACTGTCTCCGGCCGCACCAACATGTGGGGGCTGTGAAACAGGCCCCAGGTCTGGCTGGACTTGAAGGCCTCGACTGCGCGCAGCGGATCAATCAGCCCGTCAGGGATCTTGAGCATTTTGCCCGCGCTCTCGCGGTCCGCGAGCCTCTGGCTGGTCATGACGTCCAGCCCGCGCACAGGAATCGCGTTGTTGTTGGAGAGGACGATGCGCTTTCGCAGGGCCTTGCGCTCGCCGAGGCCGGGCGTCTTGTGCCGCGCTATATCCTTCTTGTTCTTGAACTTGGAGAGCTTCATGCGCTTGCCCGTGCGCTGGTGCCCGCCTGACTTAGTGTTATTGGTGGCCTGGAAGGGTGTACTCGTCGAGAAGGGGCGAGATGTTGAGGCTACTGCCGTCGTCTTGGCGGTGGTCGTCGTCATCGTCGTGGACGGTATTATCGCGGTCGCAGGGGCGAGTTGCCTCGTCGATACTGGCAATGGGGTGGCCACCGAGGGCCTAAGCAGGCACCTCCAGCAGCTCTGGGGAGCCATGGCCATGTTTTTCGTACTCTCCACCGACCCTCCTCACGTAAAGATGTTTGAGATTGGCTCTTGCGCCTTGCTGTGGCCGTCCAATTGAGGTCGTTGCGCACGCAGCTCCGGAGGCTTGTGCGAAGGTTTGGAAGCTCCCGGCCGGACCAGAAGAAATTCTAGCTCCACGCCGGCATGTCGATACGCTAAGCATCCACACCCCTGCAGAAAAATAGATGCCCGCTAAGAGACTATCACTACGGGCGGCAGGCAAAAAAGTTCAGAAGCCTTGCAGAGCCTTGAGAAAGGTCGGTTCACTTCTTAACATTTCATCTATCAACCAAACTTCTTTTCACAAAATAAACCGGGTGTTCAGCAGCGACTGACGAGTCTGCTTTCATAATCGGCAATCCAAACAACTCAAAGCGCACGTCTTCAAGAATCCTGCAAAAAATCGAAAAAAGAAGAAGAAAAGTACCCATACAGCAAACGAGAGAACGCTCGCCCGCTTTTTACCGCCGCCAAAGAAAATGGCATCAACCACAAAGACCAAACTGCCCGTGGCAGTTGACAAGCCCACCCCTTACACCTTCGACCTAGGCCTCCTCCTCGCCTCGGACCCCAACCCGCCCGAGCTCGACCCCTCCGACCTCGAGACCACCCTCGCGGCCGTCGCCCGCGACGGCGCCCAGGCCCTCGTCAACCAGCTCCTGACCACCTGCCCGCTGACCTCGACCAAGACAGACGGCGTGCTCCTCTCCCTCCCGCCGGCCTCCACCCCGCTGCCGCGCGAGAAGCCCCTCCCGACGCCGAAGCCACCCACCAAGTGGGAGCAGTTCGCCAAGCGCAAGGGCATCGCCCCCAAGACCCGGGAGCAGCGCAAGAACCTGGCCTGGAACGAGGACCGCGGCGAGTGGGAGAAGAAGTGGGGGTGGAAGGGCGACCAGCGCGCGCGGGACCGCGCCGACGGCAAGGTCCCCCAGGACTGGGTCGTCGAGGTGAATGCCAACAAGGAGGCTGCGCTCAAGGACGGAGAGACCATCCGGGGCGAGGGCAGGAGGGAGAGGAAGGAGCGGGCGCGGAGGAACGAGAGGAAGATGAGGAGCAATGCCCGGAAGGAGGGCAAGTGATCAAGGGGAGGGCAGGGAGTACGATGAGAAAAAAGCTCTTACTCGAACCGGCACAGATGGGACAAGGATCGGGGCGATACAGAAGATCCTCTGGACGACTTGGAAATGACCGGAGGATCCTTCTCACCTCCTAATTTATGCTTGGGCTTTCTTGAGCGGACCAACAGCTTGTCAAGAAAAGAAGTCCCGTTGGGATCATAGAGATGACAAGATGGGGTGTGGGTGGATGATCCCACAAAACACGAGATGTGCGTGAAAGCAAAGAATGGGCATGCTCGCCCCAGCATGATATCTGGCCAGCGAGATTCTCTTCAAAGCATATTAAAGGGAGTTTGGCGTCCAGGCAGGGATGGAAAAGTCATTATAGGTATGGCAGCTGTGTGCAGTGCAAAGGAATCCCGAGAAAGGTAGTGAAGATACCACAAAAAATGAGGGGTTTAGAATCATATTTTATTTTGTTGTTCAACTCGAGCCGTCCGCATCGCCATGACCAGGCTGTGAAGTTCCGGTCTCATCCTTTGTAGTCGCAAAATATCATAAAGCCACCCACCCATGCTTGCATGGCCTTTTTCCAACTCCTGTTTGAAGAACTACAGCATACCCTAATCGAGCAATTCGTTCTTCTGTATGGAAAACGACCCATGCCGAAAGTTCCCCGAAAACCTTGCCTTTCCCGTCCTCCTCTTGCCTTCTCCTCTTGCGTCTCGCGACCCTCTGTTCCTTCCAACCAATAACGATGGTAGAAAATCAAACATACATTACCCAAAGCGTTTGATCACACGTTCTTGGTATGATCGTTGCGTGGTGAGCCTGTTGGTCCACCATCCATCAACTGCAACACGCTGAGGGGTTGAATAAAGCTGCAGGCAAGAAACAAGCATGCCGTTATGCAGAAAGAGACCAAAAAGACAGGTGCCACCGTATTGGTGATTTGTTCTGCGGTGCGTGGGAACAAAAGAAAAATTCTGATCCAAATGTCTCAGGGGTATACAGAACCGCCACTGTCCACTCTCCTCTTATCGTTCAAGTCACCACGTTTCTCTACCAATGCAGTCTCGAACATCCCTCCCTGAGCCACAATTCTCTTCTTGCTGGAATCCAGCTCAGAAGGCCACTATACAAAGGAAATTCGTCATGCTCATGTCTCGTCACACAGGATAGCAGAGTGGTGCAGTTGTGTGCCCTGTCTTCAGAAAGAGAGAGAGAGAGAGACAGGCACAGACGGTGACACTTGCAGGGAGTTCCATCAGCTGACCTCTCGAAAACAAAGTCGAAGAGGGCGCATCTAGAACCCCAGAGGAGACAGCGGCTTGATGGGCGATAGCGGCCGTAGGTCATTGCCATCTTGAGTTGTTAGGCCTCGGCCATCCGATAAGGTTGCATTGGCTGATTTTGGTGCAGTAATGCCATTCTCCTTTCCGTTCTCGAGTGGAGGAGGGCTCTTCTTCTTGAGCCGCACTTGATCTCCGCCATGTGGAGATTTCCTGCTGTTGCCGTCTGACGAGGAAATATTGCGTTCCCTTTCGTCCCTGTCGAGGCCAGGAGACCTCCGGCGTTCATCTCGAGACTCCAATCTCGGCTCGAGTTTCTTTCGTACTCCCAGTCCCGGCGGTGGTGGCTGGTCGAACAGTTTATATTCCTCCTCGATGTATCTCCCCTCGGTTTTGCAGCCTTTCCAGCAATCCCTCCAGTCGCAGACCAGAAACTTGAAACAAAAGGCGTCTATCTTCATGCACGGCTGGAAGCAGATGCAGAGGTTGCGAAAGTCCATCTTGTTCTTATCGGAATGCGCCAGGAGCAGGCTGAGGTGGCAGGTGATCGCGAAGAGCAGGTAGTAGTTGAACGGCGACAGGCTCGACAGCTCGTCGATGAGGAGTTGTGGGACCTTCTCGGAGCCGGCGCATTCTCTGGCAACGCGGTCCTGGGCCTCTTTGGGAAATAACTCGTCGGGCAGCTCGCGAAGCCATGCTTTCAGCATCGAACCAATTATGTTGATATCATACAGGTCATCTTGCTGAAACAAGTCGACATCGTACTCTGTGTGCAGCAGATGTGTTAGCGGATCCAGCAGCCGTTTGCACTGCGCACTGCCCGTCGTCTTGACTTACGCTCGTCGAAACGCCGCTGCCATTTCTTGACCTGTGGGCCACTACCGGGTACCCGATAGAGGCCCTCGACGTCGCATCCCTTGTAGTTCAGGTAGTCGATTGCCCTCCACGGAAATGCCGGCATCCAGAACTCTGTCTTATCGCGCGACTCTTCCAGCCGTTTCGATATTCTTGTCAGCCGGGTCTGCTCGACCAATGGCAGGTTGATGACCTTGAGAACGTAGTGCTCGTCGTCCACCAAGTCCCTCTCCGTCGTGCTCGCGCTGCGGCCGCCCTTCCCGAACAGGCCCTTGCCAATTGACTCGGCCACGCGGCCTCCTTCTCTCCTCAGATTATTAAAGAATGATGTTGCACCGTTGCCATCTCTGGGCGTTGATTGGTGTCTTGCGTGCTCCCGATCCTGGTGGCCGCGCCTGTCAGAAGAGGCGTCTCTTGATGGGGCACGGTCGGCTGAATGGTTTCTCGATGCCGACGACATGGCCTCCCGAAAGGCACGGTCGTGGGGTATCATGGCGGTCTTCGGAGCAGGCGGTACGTGCGCCTGCTCTGGTCGCTCGAGATCCAACATCGCAGCCGTCTTCGGTGCCGCGGCGGTATCTCTCATCTCCTGGGGGCTTGGGGTGTGGCGTGGGCTGCGGCCTTCCTTCTCGCGGTGCGATTTCGTTCTGCTCAATAATGTGAATGGTTTCGGCTTAGAGGCTTTCTTTGTTGTTGAGGTGGAAGTGGAGTTCGGGTCACCACCTGCTATCGAAGGTTCGGTTCTTGGGGGCAACGAGGGGGCCTCTGCGCAGAGCAAGACGACACAGAGTCAGCTGTGTATAGCGAACAAAAAGAAGACCATAAAAATTTCCAAAAAAAAAAAAACAACCAAAAAACCACGATGCCAGATGATCACATTTGACAATATTCAGGGGGTAGAGAGAGGGGGGGGGGAAGATCATGCGCGACGGGATGGTAAGGGCAAGCCCACAAAGTGGTGCACTGCCTTCCCGGCTGGGTTTCAACGCTCTGTGCCTGGCATGCTTACTTACCCGATTGTTTTGAGCTGTGTATGGTAATTGGGGGATGATCGGATCCATTCATTGCGTCGTAAGGCCAGGCTACAGTTTGGGCGCCCTGGGGTTGGAGGGGCAGGCGATCGGACGACTTGGACGATTTGTGGAAGTTGGAAAAGAAGCCCTGCTTATTATTATTATTACTGCCGGGTGGGGAGACCCCTTCTTCGCGGCGCCGGCCGTGGCTGCTCTTGAGGCGACGGTCTGTCTGATGCTGATGATGTTGTCTGGATTTCTGATGGTGGGCGGCGGCGGTCGATGATGATGAAGAGGAATAGGGCGCGGCAGCCCCTGTCGTCGCGGGTAATCGCTGCTGTAGCTCGGCGATGTGAGGCTGTTTCGTCTCGTGGGGAGAAGGAGAGGAAGACGACGACGACGACGACACAGCCGGCGAATCCTGCGGGTTCGGGTGTTGGCGGCGCTCGCGCTGCGGCTGAGGCTGTGGGCTGGGCACCTGCTGTGGGCTACCCTTGCGCGGCGATATGGCTATTGCCTCCTGGGACTGTTGGGAACCAGGAGAGGGCTGCGATGGATGGCCGTTGTTGCCCTGGTTATGTGGAGAGAATTTGGAAGTGTAGAGAGATCGAGGTGACAAGTTGGGCGAGAGCGACCTGACGCTGCCGGGTGCCTCTGGCGAGAGGGCTCGACTTGTTTCATCAGGGGTGGGGGTGTTCGAGTTCACACTGTGGCTGCGACTGTCCCCATTGGTAGTGTGGGCACGCTGCCGCGGCTGCTGCTGCTGCTGCTGCTGGTTGTGGTGGTGCTGTTGCTGTTGCTGCTGAGTGTGGTAGTGCAGTTGCTGGCGCTGGCGCTGGCGCTGCTGATCCTCTTCCTGCGATTGCTGCTGGCGCTGCTGGGGCTGTTGATGCTGTTGGTGCTGCTGCTGCTGCTGCTTGGCCCCCTTTATTCCTGATTCAGCAGAGTGATGCAGCGTCAGCGGCCCTGGCACTGACTTCTTGCGGGCCATCCTGGCGGGTGGTAGTAAGCGTAGCGTAACGCTACAGCGGAGAAGAGGCCCCTAATAACGAGATCGCTGCCAAGTACGGAAGCCTTTGTAACGATAGTCCTGCAATGATCTGCCCAGCCCTAGAGAATGGAATTATCGAGTAAGTTGACCACGCTAGCACCTTTGCACTAGCGAAATATCCAACGCCCTTTGGGTCAGGGCCCTTTTCTGCGGATCAATGTGACGTCCTTTGTCTTGTCTTTTTCTGAAAGATGGCTGCCGAGAGGAGGGGTGTGGTTTCATATGGCTGAGAATGGAGCGGGCTATATGAGACCCTTCTACGGCAAGCCAGCCGGGAAGAGAAACCAGGTACGCGATGCTGGCCCGAGGGGAACGGACGGAGATTTATCAGACTGAGCTGATCTTGGTCTTGGAAAGGCTGTCTGCGCCGATGCACTTCCGTCCGGGTAAAGGTGAACCCCAACGCCGACGTTCTCGATAGCCGGCCTGGCACAAAAAGCGGATCCCAGTACGAGGTTCCTCGGGGCGGGTCGAATGAATTCCAAGTTTTCGACGACGAAAGGGACACAGGAAGGCCCCAAAAAAGGTATGTTGAAGGGTTAGAGATAAAATTTGGCGAAATGCAGCGAGTTGCCAGCGCTGTTATGCCGCGGAGCAAGACGATGCTATCGGCATGGGAGAAGAAAGATATGTTATCAATCGAGAGCGTCGTCGGGGAGGATGACCCTAGTAGTAGATCTTTGTGTAGTCGTCGACGTCGACAGGAAGGGAAACGGTCCAGCGGCCAGGCCAGCTGTCTCGGATCGTGGGGTGACGTGAAGGTGAGCGGTAGGTTGGGACCGGTCTAGAAGGCGTCGACGACGTGGTAACTCTCACGTCTCTGACCTGGCAGATGTGTGAGGGAGAGACAAGCTCGAACGAAAAGAAGAAATAAAAGACCAAAAACAATCAGCGGAAAAGCAGCTGTAGTAGACCTCCTTGCGAAGGTTGGGCCTGGTTGGTTTTTCCTTCTGCCTCCTCTTTTTGTCACATAAATAGGTTAATACAAGAAGATGAAAGCGCAAATATGGCCAAAACCTAACGCTATGGTTCTTTTGAAAGTGGACATAAGCAGCTTTGATTGCCAATAGATGGGTTCATTTGATGAAGGACCCATCTGCATTGCGCTCTTTTGTGAAGGTCTGCGCCTCGTTTCTGATTGCAAAGCAGGCAATCAATGCGCAGGAGAGAGGGAGGGGGATAGGGACAGAGGGGATATCTCTCTAGGCTGGTGCCGTGCCGCGAAGCGAAAGGATGGGGAATTTGTCCGAGTGAACGGGCCACACAGCTGATATCTTCTTGCCTTGGCCAGGTGGATGGCTGAGCTGAGGTCGGTGAGAGATAAGATCGATCTCAACACGGGGATTCCTTTTCTTGTTTTTTGTTGTCCGTAAACCTGGTCTCAACGTGGCATCCGGTGTGTAATACAATGTCGACCTCAAGATGACGAGGGAATGAGTGACAAGGGAAAATATGCTTTAAGCTTTTAATCAATCGGTGGCTTTCAAAAGCGCAAATACAAATGAAGGGCCATGCCACTGTTGGTCCGCGCACGTATCGAGCCTTTGAATCGGGTGCACAAGTAGAAACACCACCTCCTAAGAGAGCGAGAGGGGGGGGGGGGGAGCTCCTAATCACATGAGAGATGGGAGGTTGAAGTGCTAGGAAACCAATGCTGCACGCGTCGGTCTAATTCCACCATTTCGAAGCCCTCTCTTTCTCTCTCCATCGAGAATGGTATATCTTGTCTGGTCGACCAGCACACGCGGCGCACATGTGCTTGCTCTACATAGTACGCGGCTTGCGCGAGATCCACCGGAATTGTTTCAACTCCAGGTGGTTACAGATAGAGAGCCCTTCTGGAAACAACGCCTGCACGTCGTCGGGTTTTGTCCTGGGCGCGGAGTATTTCCTCTGGACGGTGGGCGAACCTTGAAGTGCACATTGCTTCTATCCAGTGCGATTCACGGAAGGTATCTTTTTGGGTATTGAGTCATGGAGTTAGACCAGTAGCTGGGGCTCAAGGGCTGCAGCGGCTTTATCGACATTCAGGGGAAGTTGAGCCGCTAGGTGGGAACATGTCATACCCGGGGTTGACAGGGGCTGAGGGGTGGATACAGCAATCAAGGCGCAGACGCTCGGGAGCACATGCCTCGAGTACCGAGTGATTTATCGTTGTACCTCACTACATAGTAACATGCTGCCAAAAGAGTCGTTCATATATGAACCTCTTCGTTTCTGTTCTCAGTAATCGTTTCGCCTCTTTCATGTCGCTGATGATACGAAGTCGTACAGATCAGCAGCCAGAAAGCGATGTCTTTCCCTGAGAACACGCCCTTTCCCATGGTACTCCAGTGCCTGGCCACGTCACAGTCTACGCAACACGCCAAGTCGAGTCGGAGAAAGTATCAACCCCATTGATTTCATGACACCCGACATCTGTTCACGAACGCACCTAGACACATCAATACAAGAAGAGGTCTCGCCAAGGGGAGTCCTATTATCTCTTAACTGTCCTCTCTCTCTTTCTCTTTCCTGCTGTCCCTGCCCTCGTCACAGGCTAGTGTTGCCTCTTTTTGCTGCTGAGACCCTTGTACAGAAAGAAGACAGCGAAGTGTTCAGAGTGTCGACCGCCTATTCCTTATCCGAAGCATGGCCGAGGTTTCGTTCGCCTGGCTTTCTCAGGCGGGCTGTCGGGCCCAGTGCGGACTCCAGAAGGGATACTCTCCAAAGCTCGATGCCCAAACAGGTCTAGATCAGGTACAAGAAGCCGATCTGAAACGCGGCACTGTCCTACTGCTCGCAGGAGCATCGGGCAGCACCACCCACACAGGAGCCCAAGGGCCCCAGAAGGCCCCGCCGCGCAACGCCAGGCACGCTGGGACGCTGTCAGGGGTGTCAACGGTCCAAAAATAGAGACGGCACGCACGGCTTTGTCAAAGACATTATTGTGGTGCCATTTGATTATCTCCACTTTTTCTGGCCTCTTTCCTCTTCTGTTGGTTCTCTTGGCCCAGAGTGGCATGCTGCACGCAATCTGGGCACGCTGTGACCAGTCCAGGGAGACTCACAAACAAAGCCCTGGATAAGGCCTTTGTCGTTGACGATGATGCTTGTGATATCAAGTACTATGCGCATATACTGCCCGCGTTGTATAGGGCTTCTCAAGCCGTGATCGCCCCTAGAGAGGGCAATGATTAACATGTCAGATGCGATGCAGGATTTGTGTCAACAAGGGAGAGGAAAATAAAGAAAGAAAAAAGAACAAGAAAACGGGGCATACATGATAACCCTGCACGCAGAAAGTTATATTTGTGGCTCATCAAAAGCCGTGGCACATGGGGGACGTTATGTCCAGGGATAGGGAACACAGCTCAGTCTTCTTTTTCCTTCCTTACTTGGCCCCCAGACTTTCAACTCAACTTACTGTGAATAGTAAAGCAACCGCGTTGACCATCACAAATGATATATCACAAACTCGAAAAGACCAAAACAATTTTTCGCATGCGCTGGCGACGTATGTATGGTCCACAACAGCCACTGCCAGTATTGTTCTTGGTGGTTGAGTTCAAATTGGGGATGGAATGGTTAAGGTTTGCCGGATGGGAAAGTCAAACTCGAGAACTGAGATTCCAGCGCCTCGGTCCCCCCGAACCGCCTGTACTATTAGTGGATCACACGCGCACGCCGTTCCCGCGCACGGCTGACATAAGATTCTCCCCAGTTTTCGACGACAACCTTCACTAAGTAAAGTACTAAGTAGGCACTTACCTTTTGTTTGTCGTCACCCTGTTGGTCTCCCCCCCACTTGCAAGTTCTACCCCCCGCAATTCCCGTTTAATGAACAGCTCACGCACATGTACACACATACCCTTACACACACTCACACTCACCCACACATCAGACCACCACCATTTCTCTGCATGCACCCAATTGAACAATGCCAACGACGCTGCTCGATGACCTACCAGATGAGCTCCAGCTGGCCACTGCAAACCATGTAAAATACGTCCAGAGCCTGGACACGCGCAAGGACGAATACGATTACTGGCTTACCGAGCACCTGCGCCTCAATGGTGTTTACTGGGGCCTGGTGGCCCTGCACCTGCTCGGACACCCCGATGCCCTGCCGCGCGACGAGACAATAGACTTTGTCCTGTCCTGCCAGCACGATAGCGGCGGGTTCGGAGCCGCGCCTGGTCACGATGCGCACATGCTCTACACGGTCAGTGCCGTGCAGATCCTGGCCATGGTGGATGGCTTTGACGAGCTGGAGAAGAGGGGCAAGGGGAAGGCCAAGGTGGGCGAGTGTAAGTTTCCATACGTCGTCTGTCGTTTCTGGTCGCATGCGTTGTCTCATGTGAGTGTGTGTCTGTGTGTCTGTGTGTGTGCTGATTAAGAGAGAGAGAAATAGTCATCGCCGCCCTGCAGAACAGGGAGACTGGCACGTTTGCTGGTGATGAGTGGGGGGAAGAAGACACGCGCTTCCTCTACGGCGCCCTCAACGCACTCTCTCTCCTTGGCCTCCTAGATCTTGTCGACGTCTCCAAGGCCGTTGATCACATCGTCGCCTGTGCCAACTTCGACGGCGGCTACGGCGTCAAGCCCGGTGCCGAGTCGCACTCGGGCCAGATCTTCACCTGCGTCGCCGCCCTGGCCATCGCCGGGAGGCTCGACCTCGTCGATGTCGACAAGCTCGGCCAGTGGCTCAGCGAGAGGCAGACCCCCAGTGGCGGGCTGAACGGCCGTCCGGAGAAGACCGAGGATGTCTGTTACAGCTGGTGGGTGTTGAGCAGCCTGCAGATCATCGGCCGCGCACACTGGATCGACCGGGACGCGCTGATCAAATTCATCTTGCGGTCCCAGGACCTCCAGGGTGGGGGAATCGCCGATCGTCCTGGTGACATGGTCGATGTGTGGCATACCTGCTTTGGCATGACCGGGCTGAGCCTTCTGGGGTACCCTGGCACCCAGCCCGTGGACCCTGTGTATTGCATGCCCAAAGCCACCATTGAGAGGGTGCTAGGAAAGTCATGGTAAGGGGCCATGCATCTAGGATCTGGTTTGTTTTTCAGAACAACCTGCTTGCATCTAATGACACCATACGATCTCAAGATTTTGCACCCTGCTCGTGCACGCCATGCAGCCACTCCTTGAACCAGCTTACAACCGTGTGCTTTCCCGTGCACCACCGCGTCCTTCTCGCCACGTATCTTCTCAACACCACGAATTCAAGATGCATGTACTCTCCTGTAGCTTGTGAAATGCATACGTCTTCACCTCCGCAGTATATGCTGAATCTAATTCAGAGCGTCAACCTTCGTCAGCCTTTCAAGCCTCACCCTAGCCTCGGGTCATGAAGCGTGTTGAATAGAAAGGGCGAAAGGGTGGCACCTACAGTCTCCGGCGCGAGCACCTGTGCCACCACGCCCTTGCTGGTCCCGTCAATGTCCTTCTTGGTGAGCCGAGTCAGATGTCCAACGCTGATGGTGTCAACGAGCGGAGGGTCGTGCTCAGCGGCCAGCAAGCTGGAAGCACGCCCACCCCCCCGAAGCAGTAGCCTGATGCCCCGGCTTTGCTGTAGCCTCGCTCCACTATTAAAGCACAGGCACAGTCAAAGATATCTGTCGGGGTCAAGGAAGGGTGGGCGTGTGTATCTGCATCAACAAGTCATGGTCCGTGTTGTGGCCTTGGCAGAGAGGCCTGGGTGTTAAATTGGCAGATAGTGGCAGGTTTCCAGAAACCCTGGAGACGAATAGATATCTTGACCACCCCGAGAAGAAAGAAAAAGGTAACTGGCCTGGCTCTCGGATCTTGCTGTTATTCTTGTACATAACCTTTGCAAAAGTCTAGGGAAACGTGGTAAATCATTTCTCCAGATCCTCGTCCCCTAGGCATCTTGTCAGTTGAAAGCAGCTACCCCGGCGGTCCAACAAGATCGCAGGGAGGGCCTTTTTATGTAATGTAGGATACGTCCTGTGCCCTCCAGCAAACATATCTCTTAGCAGGCCATTAGCTAGTCTAAAATTCAGATATTGATAATGTTTCTTGAAGAGTTTTGTAGCTTATACACAATCATTACGAATGCTCAAAGTCAAGCCGATTCTCCAGCTTTTCCAAAATGCTGCCTCGTTAATATTACCTCTTTCCATGAACCACTTATACAGCAGGTCCGCCAGCATCATCGCCTTTGTTCGGCATTCTCGATCGCCCCGTCCCAAGCGAAAGACTGCGTCTTCCAGATACTGCTGACTGTCTTGAGTCCTTCCTGATTTCCTACTTGAAATCGCCAATAGCTTGCTTTGCCGCCAGTGCGAAATCTTGTGTCGATAAACACCACTGAGGAGTGCCCTGAGAGTAAGACATAGATTTTACTCTGTAGTACAGCTTTGATGCGAGGTTCGCAGTCGAATTGGGATGAGGTACGAACGTTATAATTTTTCATGAGGACTATAATGAGTTATAAATCCTCTTGCAAATAGTCAGTATGGTCAACAGAATGTTCGACAGTCTAATATGAATGACCCGATACACAAGTTACGAAGCAGATCACGAGCACCAAGAGGCTGTTTGGATCTAACATTCAATCAAGCATCGTTGACACATGAATGAATGTCCACTGACTTGCAGTTCAGCATGTTCTCTCTTGGGAGTCATTGGAATTACATTATATAATTCTATATCAGAACGACAGTCGTTAGAAGGTGCAATCTGTCATTATCACAACGGTGCTCCTCGACCCTCACAAAGCCGAGCATTCATAATAATAGCTGCTAGCACTGATCGTACCAACTCCTCATCTGATCAACGGAAGCCTCTTCAGGTGGCTAACCTGTGCTCTTCCTGCACACAAATCCCCTTTCGGATGTGCACATGAGCAGTCATCAGGACTGTAAACACAATGCTTTGCACCTCTGTGCCCCAGAAGTCGGCTGTGAAAAGGTTCATACTCTTAACCTCACAATACTCCTTAAAACGCCACGACACCCCAGAAATGCGGCCAGAAATGAAGCCACAAACCCAACAGCACCCCCGAAAAATCTCATCATGGCATCGAACATTCATCAAAATAGCCCAAAACTGTTCCAAAATAGGAGAAAATGGGGACGACGGAGTTCATTTCGTTCCTTTTTAGGCTCATAATGGTTTGCTCGGTCGGTAAGTTCCCTCACTGCTTTGACCCCAGCTGTACGTGCCCGCAGGATTGTTGTACTGTGGCAAAGGCGAGTTCCCTGGGTTCAGCGACGTGGGAAGCTCTACTGGCGCGTTGTATGCGGCGCTTTGTTGATCCTGCGGCGGTGGCGGCAATGGTTGATGTGTTTGATATTGCGTTGTCGGCTGTGGCGCGGCGCTGTTAAAGAAGAGAGTCAGTCAAGAGATGTTTTCTCATTGTGGTCACAACGCACCCAGACTCTGTACTCACAATATCCCTGCTTGCATCGCTTGGTGATGAGAAGCACCGTCCACCCCAAGCTGCGGCACGCTCCCATAGTGCTGCTGGTACAAACTCTGCGAGTACTCGCTCATAGGCGGCGGGCTCCCGGTGCTAGCAGGATAGCCGATGCCGTTGCCGTATTGGCCCATGTGCATCTGCTGATACGGGTCGACAGAGGGTGCCGTTGAGTATCCAGCCGACGTGAAGGTGTCCTGGCCAGGACTCTTGGGCCCAGCGGGTCCGCCGTACTTGGCATCCTGCATCGGCCCGCCGCCGTACGGGTCGATTACGCTACCGCTCGGCCCTACACCGCCAAATGCCCTGTTCGTCCCGCTCCTCCGGCCAAAAAGGTATATCAGCGCCACGGCAAAGACAACGACCGCCGCTGCGCCGATGGATATACCAGCGATAGCGCCGCCCGAGAGGCCCTTATGTCCACTCCCCGACGAGGACGAAGACGAGGAGCCATCGCTGGACGCGCCCGACGTGGCAGTAGCGGAAGATGCGGTCGAGTCGGCGGTCTCACTTGGGAAAGCCTCGCCTGGGGTCATCTGGTAGGTGACGTTCTCTGCGTATTCGTACTGCATCTCATAGGTTTCGTTGACGGTGGGATTGATGACGCCGACCATGTGATACTTGTCGCAAGATCCTGAGGCCGCGCAGTAAAAGAAGATGGGCTCGGTGTCATTGACCCTAACTTGAAATGTCGGGCCCTGTGGAGAGATGTGAGCGACCAAGTCTGCGAGTGAAGTCTTCCACTCAAAAAGCACCTCTTGACTGAGCAAGCAATGTTGACTGTCGAGGTGGATGATCCCCGTTCCGAATAGCTATTTGGATGAACAAGCAGGTTGCAAGAGACTTACATCGTCCGAAGTCGTCTCCACGTCCTGGGGACCTGACGAGAAGCCGACGAGGTTCGGGCCAGTGTCCTCATATGGTATGCATGGCTGACCAAACGCTGACCTGACGACCCAATGTCCCGTCGGATAGAACCTCCACTCTGAGTTGAAGTATTAGTCTCGAGAAAAGCCACAGAGCAGGAAAGACAGAAATGTTGGTGGTAGGGCTCCTTCTTACCAATGATATCACCAACCGAAGCATTTGTCGTTGTAGGCTGGAATTTGAAACCGTTCTATAACAAGAAAACATTGATATCAGAATTTGAGAGGCCACTACCATCACCAGTGAGTCCGAAGGGAAGAGAACAAAACATACTGCCCCAACCGCGATAGTATGTGTTGTGATGGCGGAAGACGTTGTCGAACTGGACCCGGCGGACGAGGTGATCGATGCCGAAGCAGTGGCAGCGGCGCCGCTCGAGGCACTTGTCCTGGGCATGACAGCCGTGGCAGCAGTCCCAACCGCCAGCGCGGTCACACCCACTATTATTGATGACGGAAACATCATGATATGTGTGTGTGTGTGCTTTACCTTGAAGCCCACAACACGAAGAAAAACAAAGGAAGAAGCCTCACACACTGCACGTGTCTTTGGAAGGAGAGTCGAGATCAGTCACCTCGCAAAAGAAAAAAAAAAGGTAACAAGGCAACTGATGCGGTCGAGCGAGGGCGGAGGAGGAGGACGACCAACGGACTGACCGACAGACAGACAGGTGACAAAATAGGAAGGAAGAAATAAAGAGAAGAAAAAAGGGCAAAATGGTACAAGAGAAGAAAGGGATAAGCCAGGCGACAGATGCACTGGAAAGGCAAATCTCCGAGAGAAAGAAACGCTAGGAGAGAAGAGGGGCCATGTTGAAGAAAATAGCAACAGCATAGCAGCAAGTTGCACACTGGAACGGGGCAGGGCTGAGTGAGGCAAGGTAGGGTCCTCGATGGTGCATCGGCGCTGACCGGGACGAATCTTGATAGCAAAGAGCGGCACCGACACTCTGCGAGGTTGTAGAGCCACATGCCGCCAAGCTTTTGGCTGTTGGTTGGTACGCGAGCATGCATGCCATGTTGGCCCATGTTCTCTCCACCCAAGTACCCCTGCGTACATCCTCTGAAGAAAAGAAGGAGGAGGATGAGGAGCGTTATTCAGATCACCACCATCACCAACGGGACCGAAGGGGGAGGGGTGCTTGGTGAGGTGGTGGTCTGGCAATGCCGTCCTAGCCACGTCTGGTCAAGTTCACCGTAATATCTCCATCACGACAGCGCAGATCATTCCGTGGTCTGACCCTCTACCCCGTGAGAATTGTTGTGTGTGTGTTGCCAGCAGTGCCAGCAGCACAAAAAGGGAGGGGGAGGGGGGGGCTCCGTCAGCTCTGTTCCTCACAGCCTGGCCAGCTTCGAGTGGGTCGTCCTCCCCACAAAACGGGGAGTACTGATCAACTTCTAGAGGCTCGCGCAGACAAGGTAAGCCGCTGTACTACAGTAGTGACCGTATTGCGGGTCTTGTGTGCCGCAGCACATGCATACTACTTAGCAGCACGTCTGGTTGGTTCTACTGTGCTATAGATAGCAAATAGTAGAATGTGTGTACTTTTTTTCAGTAGGCCTAAGCCTAGAAGACATGAATAGCTGGCCGGGATTATGATTTCTAGGTGAAGATCTTTGGTGGTGGTTTTTTGGTGGTTTTTTTTTGCCCAGGGCCATCTGTGTCTGAAGGAAATGGATTGAGATTTGAAGATGACATAAAAAGGTACTCACTTACTCACCTGAGTGGGCCCACGAGCTCAAATGGATGGAATAGAAGCAGGACATCAAGTCGAACCAGGCAGGCCACTCTTGGTCCAGCGGATTGGAACATTGTAAATCGAGCCCCACTGGGCTGAAAAGCACAAGACCGCGCTTGCTCGTTTCGCGGCGCAGCAGCAGCGCACACAGCAGGGGTGGTGATCTAAAGCACCCTGGTCTCAAAGGAGGAAAGAATGTATCCATGCAGATGGAAGGAAACAAAAGTAGAAAGGGAATGGAACCAGATTAGCACTTGCTATCTCACCGTGGGGCCAAGAAATCACAGCTCCCGTATGTGAGGTGAGCATAAGGTAGAGGGTGTCTGGCTCTCGAATCTGGGGTCAGTAACGGTGGAATGTCATCTTTATCTCTCCACTTCTTCCATAGAAACAGACCCAATCTGTCAATCCTGTCCCAAGGCGACCATCCGTACTGTTTTCCTTGTCCAGACGATGGATATTCCAAATAGGTGACACGCAGACAGGTGGTTGGAGGAGGAGAAAGGCCGGTATTCCAAGTAAGATAGCGGACAGGGAAGAGGAAAGGGAAAGAAAGAAAGGGAAAAAAAAACATCAGCAAATTATTTCGCTGATTTCCAGCGGCGTCCAACATCAGTAAGGAGCACTTTTGGAATGAAATCCAGATCATGATCCTGTTGACCGAGGGCAGCGGCCTTTGGAGAGGTGAGAGTTGTTGGTAGCAGAAGATGTGGGCCCAAGCTCTGCGGGAGGATCTGGGAGGATTTCACCGCTGGGGCCGATCAATGAATAATCAGCGTTGCCTATTGGGAGACCGGCCCCCATTATCGTGCAAGAAGAATAAGAAAGAGAAAGGGAGAGGGGAGGAGAGAAAAGAAACCAAAAAAAAAGTCCCAGCTGTTGGCCAGCCTGCGGGACGAGCAGGGTTCAGTAGATCCTTGTAGGAAGGAACTCTCCGGACCGACCTCATTTCAACGTATCCCATCCAAATGCGCACCTCCCCTCCGAGCCATCGCCAAGATACGCTACTGTGCTACACAGTAGAGGACGATGAAGTTCTGAGCCAACTGCTCGGAAAGGGAACGTGGCAGGGTAAACCAGCCTCGTCGAGCCTTGCTGCCCATGTAGTCTCTCTCCCGCCTCATGCTCCTAATCCTCCTCAGCTGGACGTCTCACCGCCCTCCTCTTCCTCGACACTTGACTATTTGAAAAATAAACAGTGACAAGTCGACACTGAAGCCTCTCACTATGTACAGTTCCCATGTATATTGGATTCAGGTAAAGGAACTATCGCAGACGCTGCGTTCTGAAAATTGTGCTTACTGTGCTCTGCTGACGACACATCTGGAGCTTACCAAAGAGTAGACAGCCCCCCAGTCGTTCATGTGGGTGTGGCCGGGAGAGGCTGCGGCCGGTCAGATGAGCTCCCCCCCCCCCCCCCACACCCCCAAAGTGAAATAATCCCCGTGGATTCTGTGCAGTGCGACGTCGCACAGCGTGGCATGCCGTCAGCATACCAGTATTGTGCGCCTCTTTCATTTGGCCAATATAGAACTCGGGTGAGCTTAATCTCGACAGGGCTGCATGGGGTGTTGAGAGATATCTAGTACATATACGGTCCCGGTGTCTGTCTGCAAGCAAGGGAAATAACCCGCCCATCATCCTTTTCTTGGGATACGCAGCAAGGGTATAAATTTGTCCAGAAGATCCAAATACAGTACACAGTATAGCAGAAAAGTATGAAAATAAAGAGAGAAGGAAGGGGGGAAAGAAGAAATATTCTAAGCCGTGCTGTGCTATGTTTTCGAGAATCTAGGGCCGCCCATGACCGATCCCCGTCATCTTTTTTCCTTTTCTTTCCTTTGTCTCTTATCGTACCACGTGTTTGAGTTTATTGCGTCTTCTTCTTTGGAGATCTTTTAGGGAGAATCTTGCTTTCCACTACCAAGCGGTAGAGACACCAAAGGTAGCACAACCCAAACCCAGCCGCGCCCAGACCGACGTTGGCCACTGTCCACAGGTCTGGCTTGTCTTCTGGTGGCGGCAAGGTAGCCTCCGCGAAATGCCATGCTCCCATGGCGAGGTAGAACGCGATATGGATGAGAAAGGTCATCCACTGCGTGAACGACTTGGTGCCCGGGAAGTAAGCCCTCAGTGACACCGGCGGGAGGTCCAACAGGTATGCCCATAACAGCGTGAACACTGCATACGGCACGCGCAGATCGACCCGCTGCAGGAGCGGAAACATGGTCCAGCTCCCAAGGATATTCGCAAACCCGACCCACTGCCGTGTTTCCTTGCCCAGGCCATTGTTACCAGCCAAAAGCAAGGTCATAGGCAGCAGTGGCAGAAGTACGCTCTTCTCGTGAACTTGAAAGCTGAACATGAAGAAAGCCCACGCAGTGGTTGCAAAGGCCAGAGGGAGGATCTCCCTCCTTGGCTTGAAGAGCAGGATCAGGTTGGGCGGAAGGCTGAAGCCTAGCGTGGCGATGAGCGAGAACTTTTGCAGCAGCTCCGGAGGATATTTCTGAATCTTGACGACCACATTGAGTGCGCACCAGAAGTTGGCTACTTTATCCTCAAACAAGCCTCGCGCAAAGGGGAAGACCCTGTGGACCATCTGGACCATCTGCTCAATCACAGGCCAGTAGATTGCGGTCCGATCGACGTGGTCCTCAATCCAAGGGAATATGGGCAGAGGCACAGCCTTGCCCTCGAGTTCGGGCCGAGGAACGATACCTCGGCCTGAGTCGTACAAGGCACCAGCAATCAAGGGCAGGAGCAACACCCCAAACGCGAGAATGGTCCCGAGCCCAATGCTGAGGAAGCGGGGGATGTTGATGCGCGGGGACAGGCAGCTGCCCAGAAGGAAGACAAAGACGGGGATCGCGTAGTAGAGCGCCATCTGCTTGAATCCCAGAGCTGCGACGAAGAAGATAGCGGCCCAGAAGTATCGTCCAGCGACCATGGCAGACATGCTCGCCACCACAAAGCCCAGCATGACCGTGTTGTACTGGAAATGGATGTGGTCGATGAGGATCGTTCCAGGCTGCATCAGGATAGCCGCGAGGGCCACCGAGGCCGACCACCCCGAGACTGTGTTGAGCTTGCTGAACCGTCTGACGAACATAACCAGCGCGGGCACGTAGACGAGATATTCCGAGATTATGACTGTGGCGCGCATGAAGATTTTCAGGTTGGGGTCATGGCTTCCTCGTGACGTATCGAGAGCAAACCAGCTCGGGTCGATGAACGAGCCAATCTTGCCGCACAGCCAGCTGTGGTATGCAGTCAGAGGCGGATAGTCGAGCCCCCACCATTGCAGGTCGTAGAAGTACCATTGCGATACGGGCAGCTGTGTCGTGATCTCCATCCAGTGCCTCTGTGCCTCGTAGTCGCCGTAGATGGGGGGCTTCTGAAAGCCTGTACGCAACGCACAGTTAGCATCAGTCATGACCATCACTAGCAAGTGTGTTTGCGCTGGCAATGAAATGTCTCTATGCTCACCTGAGTATCCCCAAAGACCTGCTGCCCATCTGAATAGGCCGACTACCATGAGGATGAGCGGTAGCACCCCCCATTGCGAGACTGATCCTCGTGCTGGCCAGAGGAAAGCCGCTAGAGGAAACGAAGGAGCACGGTAAAGTGTCTCCGTCTTGGGCAGGTAGGCATCATCATCACTCTTGCCCTTGCGACGGGGCTTGTGCTGGCCCCTGGAAGGAGTACCAGCCATTTGTCGCCTATTCCAAGTGGCCCAATTGCATGAAACTCTGAGGCACTTTGGAACCCTAACCTTGTCGGATTATTGGGGCTGAGAAGGCGTCGAGGTTGAGGTCAAAAGGTGTTGGGGATCGTTGGGAAGAAGTTGTCGTGTGCGTGAGGTAGACGCGACGCGACGTTGCAGGTCATCTTGACCCCAGGAGAGTCGAGAATTCGGGAAGCTGTCCAGAACTTCGGATGCTGTAGCTTGTGGACCCCTGTCTCTGGGGCGGGAGCTTGTGGCTGCTGATCCCTGGTGGGGTGCTGGGGTGTGGGGGTTGCAGTACGTATCCTCCCCCCCTGTACTATAGTGTTGCATAGTGCTGCGTATGATACCACAGCGCCCTACTGGCAGTACATAGTAGCTGCTATACTAGCAGCACTGGCAGAACCCTGCAGCTATGACAGCATATAGTACATACAGTAGTATGTATGTACAACGTGGGCGTGAAGTTCACAAATGCCAAGCCAGCTCTGCCACCTTTCTCTCGACTCGGTTGCCCCTCCTCATGAAAGACACAAATAAGACATGATGTATTTGGTCTTCATACAAAAGAATATTTTCTCTGTTACATGACACACAAGGCCACTTCTTAACGGAGTTAACAAGAGAAACAACCTTCACGACCTTTTTCAGGATGCCTTACCCCTTTGTACTTCCCACAACCTCTGCCTTCTCCTACTCCTCCTCCTTCACCTGCGACTCCCACCCCTCTCTTCCCCTCACTGTCAGCACCCACCGTGGTGTAGTTCGTGACGTCCTCAAGAAACACAAGCGCCTCTCGCCGTCTTCCCAGGCGGCCAACCTCCCGAGCGTCCTCTCCGCCCTGACCGCCTACCTTCCCTACCTCCTCGCCGTCGACGCAGGCCTCGCCCACCGCACCATCGGCGACGGCTCCGAGCTCTTCAGCATCATCCAGCGCGCCTCCCCGCCCCTCTCTATCTCCTGGCGACCTACCCTCTCCGATGTTCCCGTTCCGGGCCGCCGCGAGGGCGCGAGGGTGCGCGTCCAGGGGCTCGAGCACGAGGTCGCCTTCGTCTTGGCCACGCGCGGCTACGCCTCGACCCTCCTCGCCCGCGCAGCCCTGCAGCCCCTGTACAGCACGACAACCTCCCTCGACCTCTACGCTGTCGGCGCCCCGGACCGCCAGATCGCCATCTCGGCCGCCACCAAGCACCTCCTCGATGCTGCCTCCGTCTACGACTACCTGGCCCGCCGCGCCGAGCAACCCCAGCCCGGCCCGCCGCATGCTGTGCCATGCGCAGACATATCTGCCCCCACCGCCCGCGCACAGAGCCACCTAGCCCTGGCCGAGGCAACTCTGCTTGCCGTGCTGAAAGACGACCCTTACCCCGCCATCGTCAGCCAGGACCGGAACCGGAACGACAAGGAATGGATGTACAAGGCGCCTGACGTGCCCAAGGTGCGGGCCCATTTGTTTGCGCGGCTGTGCCTCGCTGCTGCGGAACATGCGGCCAAGGCACATAGCCTGTGTGCATGGCAGGCAGGGCCGGGACTGGGTGGGAGCCTGCGGCTTGGAAGCAAGAAAGGGTCAGCGGAGGCCGAGGAGGCAGCAGGACCAGGCACAGGCGGCGGAAAGCTGAATGACGGTTTCGTGAGGTATCTTGAGGATTTGCGCCGGACAAGCAGGGCCAAGGCCTGTCGTTTCTTTGGAATTGATGCCGAGCTCGGCGGGCAGGCCGGGGATGCTATTGGCTGGCTTCACGCTGGACTCCAAGAGATGGGTGTCGAGGTAAGAGACTCGTCCAAGAAGCCATCAGGTCTCAGCAGGTTGAAGAAGGAGTGGACCGAGAAGAGAGAAGACCGCAGGGTGGACAAAGGCACGACCTGGGGTGCGGATGCTGGCAGGCTCGAAGAGACGCGGGTCATTGAGATGCTGGAAGCAAAGTGGTCCAAACAAAATGATACGGTAAGAAGATGTTGTCTATTGAATTCATTGAAAGACGTGCAGGATGAAGGAAAAATTGACAAAAAACCCAATCACTCAGATGTTTACCCAGGCCATCACGCCTGCCGGAACCTTGCTCGCCCAGATGCCGTCCGCCCGCGAGATTCATACTCTCAAGCCCTACGAGGTGCCTGTGCTAGACAGCAGGACTTTGGAGGCCATGCGCGCTCCTCCAGAACGGCACGATGATTTTGGTGATGAGCAGAGCTCCGACGACGAGACACTCGTGCCAGGATCGGCCCCAGGTGCTTATCCCGGCACTCCCTCGTCATATTACTGAGTCAAGGCGAGGGAGAAAGAACCACCTATCGAAAGTGGGTTATATCTTTCAGCTTGCAAAACACGCCGAGCAAAATTTGTAGATGGAAAGATTGACGGCAAAATCGAGGAACGGAGCCAGCCCTAGGGCTGCGTACTGCCGTCCAAATGTCCCGTCAAAGAAACATATGAAAGAGTGTCGATGTCAGCTTACAACTCGTGGCTCGAGCATCAGCCTGTGAGTTGAAAGGGTGACTACATCATCGGTGTGGGAACATAGGCGTGACCAGTTGTGCCTGCAATGTCGGTGCAGCTGGCATCCGCGGTGGCAATCTCGGGAGCAGGGAAGGTGGTGGCATCGTACGCCTTTTGAGGATATGGCTCCGAGGTGTCGCCTCAAGCCTTTTCCTGTCATCTGTCCGCATCCATGACACATCCTGAGTTCTATCCCATGCAGCATGCAGGGCCGATGACAGCGGGAGAGGATTCCACGGCGGAGGAGTCGGTTCTCTATGATGAGTGGCTTGTCTTCGTGGGGATAGCCCTGCTTCATCATCCGCGACAGCCGGCGAAGTCATCTAGCCCTTGGCATGTTTCTTCGGAGACTTCAAGCGAGAGGGACCAGCTTCCTCGACCTCTTCCTTGACTATAAACGAACCCCATCGGTCATCAGCATCGTCGACGATCTCGTCTGCAAGGTCGTCTTCCTTGAGCTTATGGAGAAGCCTGATCCTTTCCGAGGCGATCAGCTCGCGCCAGCGGAGTTCGGATCCGACCTTGACCCGCAGCTCGCGCTCCTGAATGTTGAATGACGCCTTGATCCTCGCCTTCTTTGAATCCATGAGCTCTTGTTCGATAGCTACCTCCTCTTCAAGCACCCAGCGGAATCTCTCCAGCTCATCCTCTCGCCTGCTTGTGTAGATATCCCGACCCTTTGCGTGCTTGTTCCTATGAGCCTCGAGTAGCTCATCCTTACGGCGCTCGCCGTTCTTGACGGACTTGGCCCACTCCATCAGCTGCTTTTCGTAATGACCCTCGGCCTTTTTTTCACGGGCAATGCGCTCCTGCCAGTCCAGCTCCCATCCCTTTTCTTTCTCCTCCATCTTGGCCTTTGATGACGCTCGCAGATGGCCTAGTCTGGCTTCATGCTTGAGTTCCAGGCCATCCATGGCAACAAGGATTCTCAATGACAGACGGTCTTGGTCTCGCCGGTGTTGGTTATCGAGCAAAGCTTTCTGTAAATCATTGACCTCATCAAGCTTCATACTAGCCTCAGCATATGTCCGCCTAACTTGTCTCTTGCGTTGTTCCTCCTTCGCCAAGCGGATCCTCTTGCGTTTTTCGGCTTCTACAGCCTGCATCTGCGCAATGGCTTCCAGAGCCCGATGGAGTTCCTGCATCTCCCTCTTCTGGCGCTCCTCCTGCTCCTTGCGCCTGGTGTCGTTCGCTATGGCCCGCGCCTTGATTCGTTCTAGCTGTTCGCCCGTGCAGCCACACGTGTACCAGACTTTACCGCACACATAACAGAACTCGGCGCCACATCTGCATGTAATATGACGGCAGGCGGTCCTGTGTTCCACCATTGTGTGACATCGATAGCATTGTTTCCAGCCTTGCTCCTGCGCAAGTCTCTGGACAAGCTTCATGTCTTGATTCTTGACACACTGGGTTGCATCATCGTGTGCCTGTTGACGGCAGTTGACGCACGTCACATGGCCCCAGGAGCATGTGGCTCGGCCATAGGCCGCATCTGAATTCTCCACGGGAACGAAAACGCCACAGTCTGGAATTGGACAGTAATATCGTTTGTCGATTGGTGTTGAATACTCCAAGCGTTTCTTTGTATACTGCTGCTCGAGTTTTCCCGAGATGTGTCTGAGACATTTTTTGTGATCAATGGGATTGAGACAGCATTTGGGGGGCCATTGCGCTTCAGTCTCGATCGAGTGCGCTATTAGATTTTCGAAGCATGGCTTGCAGTAATTGTGGCACTGAAGTTGAACCATGTTCTTGGGGGCGAAGTCATCGAAGCAGGAGATACACTCACTGGTCTGGTTAGCGAGTATCCAGCAGTGACAAAGAGCTACATAATCGAGGCCGAGCCGCCTCGAGGAATGCTTCTTACCTAGACTCCACGCCCTGACGCTGTAGAGTTTCTCTTGCGTGCCTAAATTTTGCTCTTAACTGGGCCTCCGACTGGCGCAGGGCTCCGGTAGACCGATGAAGGACACGACGTCGAGTGTCGGTATCGCCAATTTTCTGCAACACAGCCTTGAGAAGATCTCGTCTTCTTGGGGGCAGCCCCAATGTTGACGATGACTTGGGCCTGCCCATGCTGCCTGCGCCCAGACCGGTCTGCTCCGTTGCTGCTCCCAGGCTGACAGCCTCGGTCTCAGCCTCTGAAGTCGAATCAAGAGACATGGTTCGCCCTTCGGATGCGGTGCAAAAGCTTTCAGAATCGGAGTGTATCGAAGTAGCATTTGAGACCGGTGTATCATCTGGTCCTACTTGGTTCGTTTCAGAAATTTTACTCTCGTCCACAGATTGCGAGGCTTTCTCTTCGATCTTCCGCCTCTCCTCTTGTTCTTTCTGTTGCCTGTGCAGTTCCGTCTCTGCAGCAACTTGGGCGCGGATATTGTCGATGGAGCTGTCGATGACTGCCTTGACTTGTGAAGGGACGACCTGGTTGAGCCTGACCAAGGCATCCGGCGGCCCGTACTTTGCCAAGTCTATTAGATCTTCGCTTTCTACGTTCGCTGGAGGTACGGAGTCTGGGCTCTGGCTTTCCTGCTGCTTGTCAGAATCCTGGATAGGCTCTCCTTTTGGCGGCACCGCTGATAGTTCTGCAGAATTTGCATCTTGCTCGACTTTTGGAAGAGTGAAGGTCAAGAACGAGGAAAGATCGTAATTAGGGCGGCCTTTTGTTTCGGCCATGTTCCTCCCAAGTATCTCGTTTCCTTGCGCGTAAGTCTCTTAGGGTTCCAAGTCATGTGTTGTCTGATGGTTTAATAGGACAAGAACGAAAGCAGAGTAACGAATAGTAGGCTATGGCACCATGGAAGATAAAACGTCATGTTAATAGTTTGCAGTTGTGAGAATATCACAGAGAGAAAGAGGGAAAGAGGGAGAGAGGGAGAGGCGAACTTCAAGGAAATTAGGGTGTGGAAGGTGATGAAGGGGAAGGGATATAGGAAAAGATGCTGCCAAACCCAACTTATACGGAGCGTCCTGACAGTTCCTCCAGAGAGAAAAATAGGTTTAGTCAAATGTCAGTCTCCTCAATATCTTTAGTGAGTTCTGGTGCTTGAGGTGGACATATCAGCCGACCAAGTTGCATAAGTGGAAGGGGCGCTGCAAGTGGTCAGCACTGCCCCCGTACTTGGCTTATCGCGCGACCGCAGCATCCAAACATCTTCCAACTTTGAGTTTTAGCTCTCAATACTGGGGCACACAAATGCAATCACGATCCACAGCCGAGGCAGACTGACCTGGTTTATATTGTGGCTAGCAACAAAAAGAGATGCTTAAAACCGTGGCCATGTATCATTCACTGGACTTTCTCCTCTGACTCCACATCGTCAAGCATAGCCGAGACTAGCCTTAGAATCACGACTCTAAGTGCATTTTTAGAACGATAAGAAAGACACAGCAGACTAATACTTGACATGGTAAGGCTCTGGAGCTTGATATCGACTGAGTTCACACGTCTGTTTTACAGCTTCGATGTTGGGCTACCGAACTCGACCTTGTTGACGCAGGTCCCCACACCCTCAAGGCTCACCTCGCAGACATCTCCATCCTTCAGCCACACTGGAGGACTTCGTCCTACACCCACGCCCTGAGGCGTACCCGTGAATATGACATCTCCTGGGAGCAGCGTGGTCCCTCGGCTCAGGAATGCAATCGTCTTAGCAAGACCGAAAATCATGTCTGATGTGTTAGAGTCCTGGAAAAGAAGTCGTCAGTCAACCTCGCACATGCGCAAAAACTCAGCCACGTGTTCGCCTGCAATTGATGCTTTCTCACCTGCATCGTCTTGCCGTTCAGCACCGTCGAGATGCTCAGCTTCTGAGGGTCCTTGATCAGCGCGCTCGAAACAATGCCGGGGCCAAACGGGGCCCAGCCATCAAAACCCTTGCCCAATGACCACTGGCTACCGCCCTTGTTGATCTGCCAGTCCCGATGAGAGACATCATTGCCAACCGAGTACCCAAGCACATAGTCGAGAGCCTTGGACTCGGGCACGTCGGAACACCTCTTGCCGATGATGGCCACAAGCTCACACTCGTAGTCAAGACCCTCGCCTTCCTGAGCCATCGCATGCACCGGGATCGGATCAAACGGTCCCCCCAGCGCTGTTACTGGCTTGTAGAACAGCACGGGATACTTGGGGATGGGCATATTTGTCTGCAGAAGGAAGTCGGTAAGCCTCCACCCATCCGCTCACCATGAGAGCGGAACAAAGAATGAACGAACCTCCTTGGCGTGCTGTGCATAGTTCAAGCCCAGGCACCTCACAGTCCCGACGTGCTCTGGCGCGAGCGGGCTCAGAAGCAGACGAATATCGGCGACATCCTCCGTCACATCGTGATTGCCGAGGACATCACCGGCGATGATATAGGCCTGCTTTGCTTTCCCTATGTCTGTGACGCCCCTAGGCAGAATAGCATCGCCGTAGTAAGTGCGGCCGTCCTTGGCGAGGAAGCGAACCAGACGCTGTCGATGATGTCAACACCCCCAGCTCTCTAACTCGGGTGCAGCATACGGTTGTGTTGGTGGCTGCTATGCGGGGTACTCACCGAGAAGGCAGGCATTTTCCACAAGAATTCAAGCTTCACACAGCGAACTTTTGCTGTCCAGGACAGACGAGCGTGGAGTTACATACGTCTCCGAAAACAGAAAGGGGATGGCGAATTGGTTGCGGTGTTCTTTCTGATAATCTCGACAGTCTGCAGCCGGGAGCGATTGCGCAGCGGCAATTGCCTGAGTGGTGGAGTTCTGTCGCAATGGGCAGCGGGTCACACTGTTGCGCAACGCTTGCCGGGAAATCTTGTCCCTCACGGCAAGGGGTGATCATAGTAAAGGATCTTGAGACCAGAACACTGCAGCACGAAATCACCACTTCTACACATCTTGGGAGTTTATTATGTAAAAAAGGAACATCATGTTTCCATTGGGAGGTTGTCCTCAAGCTCTCTCTAGTCAGACCTATCGACATCAGTCTGTAACGCTAGTGCTACCCATTTCCACTCTTCTTTCGTATTCCTAAGCTTGCGAGAAAGACACACAATCAATCAATACGTCACCAGTAAGTTCAGCACCAGATGAATCCAGCCAGAAACTCCTCATGCACAAGCTCTCGTGTGGCGAGGCTCAGTAGAGTATCTGGATCAAGGGTTACAAAGCCTGGGAAAGAAGAAGGACTCATGCTGGTCACTGGAAGTCATCTAGCAGGACTGCTCTCGGACGATGACGTTCCATCCATCGTTAAAGAACTGCTGACCCTTCACCTTGCTTGCCAGGGAGTCCTCACAGTGCTTGAGGACATCAGCGACGCCGCCTGAGATCATGCCGAAGTAGTCAAGGGTCTTAGAAACCGAGTTCTACGATTTTGATCTTGAGTCAGCGTCACTCCACCATCTGTAAATTGACACGGTGCTGATCGAAGAGGGGGGAGGGGGTTGTGAGAACGTGACAAAGAGATATACTCACATCATTGCACCACCAGATGGCCGCATCGTAGGAGCAGGAAACGCGTCCGCAGTTTCCAGGGCCGGGGCCGTTGGTGGGGTGACCGCTGATGCCGTCAAGGTAGTACATGCCGGTGAAGACGGAGCTGATGGAGCACTGGCTCCAGCCGGGGACGTTGCAGTAGTAGTTCGTGGGGATGTCGCCCGTCTCCTCGGCGGGGGAGGAGGAGAGGTTGATGTCAGCCACGGACTGCGTGGTGTTCATCTTGGCTTCAATATGCTCCTGGATGGAGGTGGCAGTGTCGGGGTCGGCCTGCTGGATGCTGGCAAAGACGTCCTGGATGGTACCGGTCACGGAGAGGTTGCTGTAGTGTTGTGTCAGCTGTCTAGTATTATCCAAGCCAATTGGGATTCTGAAAGGTGAGGAGAGGGGAGTTTACTAGGGGACATCGGTGTTGTTGATCAGGAAGTTCCAGTTGATATCAACAATGCCGTAGGTCTTGTCGCCAGCGACGAGAACATCATTGCCAGGAACCATGGCAGGAGCCTGGATTCTGGTCAGCCTGAGGATCTTAGTTGTCCTGCGTGTCTAGGTGGAGCGAATACGTACCGCGTGGGCCAGAAGGCCACCGTAGATGACCATCGTGATGATCTCGAAGAAGCTGGGCGCCATGATGAAATCTTTGGGTATGGTCAGAACAAAAGAGGATGATGGATATCTGTGGATATTGTTGCAAACAAGGAGTCAAGAAAGTGTTGATCGATCCTGGACTTGATGTGTTTGGTTGAGAAAAGAACTTGTCAAATCGATCCGGATGGGCCAGAATCCGAGCTTCGTTATATAGATGGCTGGTCCTCCACTATCGTTCACATAGATTTCATGGATTGTACAGCAATCTCAGAGTGAATAGCTTCACTCACATTAATTTAGTATGCCTGCCTTAAAGTGTTGTTTTAATATGGGAGGACAATCAAGGATTCACATACCCCCTAGTGCCCAACTTTCACACCAATTTCCCACCTGCAGTGGCCACAAGAGCTCTTCTGAGCAGCCACACTGATAATATTAGTGAATTCTGTGCAAATATGGGTGATAAAACCTCTTTCAATGACCTTTTCTTACTATTCAACAAAGGATTTGAATTGCACTCTCCAATGATGTTATCGAGGTTTAACCCGAACAAGTCTTTGGCAGCCCCCTTTTTCACTTCCACAATTAGCAAATGTATTGTCAGCCCCATGAATTACCTTAAGCATGTGAAGGTATCTAGGACTGCAATGTCCTCCAGCAATTTCTATATCAGTAACGAAGATGACATCCTAAGTCTTGGTATTGCTTTCTTTCTTCATGCAGTCTGCCATCCAGCACGAATTGAACTCCTTGTAAACAATCTCATTGATTCAAGTCCTGATTATCAAGGCCCTATTTCGCTACTTAAGATAACAGACAGCTTGTTTCCTTTCAATTGTTGCCTCAAAGTCACAAGACCCAAAAATAATTGTGTGCATTGACCTTGGTATATGTTTGGGTCTTTGCATAATCAGACAGAAATAGCTACAGCATATCAATTTGTGTATTTCACACATAGACTTGAACTTATTTACTCCTAAATGTGCGCTGTGTTTTTATACAAACAGTGCAGAATTAAGGCGTCATTGATTGTTCCAATGTCATAGTCAAGGGGAATGGAGAGAACAATTTCTAATCTATTGCTGTACGTACTCGGTTAGGAATCACGCTGGAGAATGTCCGTGACTAAAAATGGGACCAGAATTCTCTTTCTCTTGGTTGTATATGATTTCCGTTCCAGTACGTGGTTCCCCCTGGCCTTGTAGGGAGGGGGCGGGTTCTCGGGAAGAGTACAGGGGTATCTACAGGGGTCTACGGGGCGGCCTCGGCAGTGACGTCCAGTATTTGCTTGAAGATTCTCGGCTCGTCTCCAAAAAACTTCTCTGAACCAGAACTCAACTTCAAGCCCATACAAGCCATCTTACACTGAAGAACAACACCAAAGTCGACAGTACAGACGCATTCCACCACAGTCGTTTCGCAGTAAAAAGAAACAGTCAAAATGGCACGTCTCTCAGGGCTGCAGAGAGAAGTGTTGGTATTGTATCGTGGTTGTCTTCGAGAAGCACGCAAGAAGCCAGAGGTGAGCGTTGATCTAGCTCTGCTGCGATCCAACACCACTAACATCTCCTGCAGGCAACTCGCAAGCATTTTGAGGCTTTTGCTAGGTTGGTATATTTGATTTTAGGTGATCTACAAGGTCTAAGACTGATTGAGTTGTAGAGCTGAGTTCGAGAAGAACATCGCGATCGAGAAGCGAGATTTTGCTGCCATCGAATTTCTTTTAAGGAAGGGTCGGAGGCAATTAGAGACCTACTCGGCACCGGGAATCAAAGACGTTAGGTGATGATGTCTACTGCCTGGAGGCACCTGCCTACATGACGCTGGTCACCGTCATCGCCTTCTCATCCAGGCTGAGAAGGCTCGGTGCGGATCTCTAGCCCTCACAGCAACGAGCCCAGCTTCCACACCTCGACTTCACCCGGTTCTATACGCCGTAGTCTCTCCTAATCCCTCACAACATTGGTAACTATCCCCACAGATCGATTTACGCAGCTCGATCCCTTTTTTGGAGTATGGAAGATGCCTACATTCAACTTATCATGGAGAGGAAGCCCGCGAGGTCGTCCAAACATCAGACTCGCCCCTGTCACTACCCCTATCTGCCCATCCACTACAGCAGGCGAGGCCGTCCTTAAGAGACCCCTAAGTCCACGCATGTCTAAACTACGTCGAGCTCAACAAGCACTGGTCGGCACGCGGCACCGTGTCAACAACAGAAATAGCAAGGTCAGAGTGTCGTTTCAGAGGTCCTCAACGCCGTCAAGCCTGCACCCATCGATGACTCGAACTTCGTTACATGTGCCCAAGAGCCCTTCGAATACGGGTGTGTGTATGAACTGGGTCCCTTCGCAAACACCTCGGCGGCCGGATGCCGCGCCACTTCCTCCAGTCCGCCGCCGAGGGGGCTTACAACGAGGAAACGCACCTGTTCAGCAGGCTTCTGACCCTAAGCGCCCTGTCAAATTTGTCAAGCCAACTGCTGAGGGAGAAGATGCCAAGTACTCTTTGATGCAGGTTCCTGAAGGCTCTGACTCTCACGGTGCGCTCCCCAGCTAAGCTAGAGTTGCTCCTCAATCGTGCTGACACACAGATCTCTAGTGCTGAGACCACAGCGTAAAGATGAGTACGCTCACGTCGGATCCCTAGATGGCAGCACTATGGAATCTTCCAAGCTTCCGCCTCAGAATACCAGAAGACACGGCCGGTATATAGTTCGCGCGCCTTCAAAGTGGAGGCACGCGGACCAACAGGACGCTCTCGAATCAGGCGCCTTAGGGATTTTGCAGCGCCAACAGACATCTTCACGACCTCGGAAAGACCAGATATCGTCCGCTATCCCGGATTCTCTCGTTAAGGAATCCGTTCGAAGGTCACTGTCGCAGCAGGATCGTCTGTCCTGTGTTTCAACAACAACAAAGGCCAAGTCTCGTGCCACTACAGCTTCGTCACCATCAGGACACCACCAAGGCCGATCCCTGTCTCGATTCACGAAGGAGCTAGAGAGGTACTCCATGGTGTCCAATGCTGGTGGCCAGGTGAAAATACTTCCCTCCACGCCCACCGTTTCCGAATCTCCAACGACCATGGACACCCTCATTGACCTTCTTCCCTACCATAAACAATTCAAAGCTGCCGGGCTGGCCGTGACATCTCGTGAGCAAATGCCCAGAATTCAAGAGTTTGGGGTACATTGCATCAGCAAGGCGGGAGATGCGAAAACGATAGTCACACAGGTTGATGGCAGTAACGTGACACCATCGGATCAAGACTCAGTCTCTCAAGAACCAACACTCCCGAAAATAAACAACAAACAAGAAAGTGGACCGTCGAACTTGAGACCGAAGCCACAAGCCTCATTTTCAGACTCAGGGCCCGTCATCGGGTCTTTGCTTCCGTCGTTCCGCAAGGAGCCACGACAGCCTTCTTCAAGGACCCATAGCGATCGCAAATTCTCGAAAGGCCACATTCATCCATCTCTCCCTACGCCGGCCGAGCCCTTCTTGACACTGGAAGATAAACTAGGAAGACTGGACTCGTACTTCGATGCTCCCAAATCCAAGACGCCACAGGAGCAGCCCGACCTCCAGAAGACGCCATTACCGTTACCTGCATGCAGTGCAAGAAGCACTCTCACGGACAAACCTTTGCCCAGAAAGCCGCCGATCGAGCGCCGGCCCATTCCTGCAAGAAGCGGGCGTCGTCACATGGAAAACACGGCTGACTGGCCCACAGCTGGAGTGCTAATACACGACCACTACCCATGTCCCCCATGTCGAGACGAGTTGTCAATCTTGTCGGGCGACAGGCAAGCAGCCAAAGCCAAAGCCACTGTATCTGTTCAGTCTTGGACGAGTCACGGGGAGTTTCCGCAAGAGCCGCGAAGAACCCCACCATCTCCGCCAGGACAAGAAAGCAAACCGGAAACACCGCCCAAGGATCTCCCATTGAAGGAGGATAAATCCCCGGCAGGCTGTCACCAACAGCCAGGGCACTTTGCATACGGCAATCACCACAAAGCAACGGGTCTGCGGCGCAGGTTGACTGCCAAACCACCTCACTGTGCGCCCGCGGCCATTCGAGACGATTCTGAGATTATTTCAGAGGATGCCAAGCAGCTGGTTTCCAGGCAGAATGAGGTGCAGCCTGAAAGAGACCCAGCGCCACAATTGCATGTCACTCTTCCGGGGTCATCCTCATCCTTTGAGAAAGCTTTGGATGCAGTCGTCTCGAAACTGGATGCTATGGAGGACAGCAGACGATACGAAAGGAAGCAGAACCTAGAAGCATCCCAAATAGAAGCTCTTAATACCGCGACAACACCAGGTTACGCGGATTTGGAAGGCACAAGCTCGAAACCGTCAAGCACACCTCACTCGCAGCACCCGACTTTGATTGCAGCGCAGGCCACGAGAACTGCGTCTTCGGACGCTGTAGAAGGCTCTGATAGTGGCATCAACGACAGGGACATTCTTATTGGCTTGAAAATGGCGATCTGTGCTGCCTGCGATGAGGATCTCGATGCTTGGATCCGTGAGAAGACTGGTCTCAGGCTACGCCGATTCCTGGCCGACCTCAAAGCCTTCGAGATTGTCTCGAGGGAGAGGGAGCTCTCAGTGCCGCTGCCGCTGTCCCGGCGCATCCGCACGCATGACAAGGTGAACAAACGGGTGGAGTCTGAGCGGGAGCGCGGGAAACGGGTCTCCAAGAAATGGGCGCCTTGCTTCGGGGCTGATGGCCAAGGCTTGCTACCCGAATCAAGCCAAGAGATGTGATTTTAGACCCTACTGCAGAGTTGGTGAGCTGGTTGTTTCTGCTATCTTTTTTGTGCTGCGTGGGCGTCACCCATAGTGGCAATACATACTATTACCTCTCCCTTGCTTGTACAAGCATCCTAGACGGCCCGTTGCTATGTGTGCGGACGCCATCACCTTGGTTGGCGGTATTTCGGAAAGCACATACACTGTCGGTGGGGAATAGTTGGCCGCAACGACCTGGGATTTTCAGACCAACCCACCTTCAACAATGCGTTTTCGACCTCTCGTTTTCTTGGGACCCGTCCTTGCTTCAAGTGCTGTGGGGCCCACGTAGGCAACAAGCCTACTCCACTACAAGAGCCATTTGCTACACAGCCCACCGGAATCACTCGATTTTTTCCCTTCTTATTTATACATCAGTAGTACATTGTGACAAGTTACATGCTATGCACATAATACGTAAGTAGTATTTCATTGTGAGGGTAGGATAGTGCGTCGGAAACGGCTAGGCCAAGATCGGTCTTGTATGAACTTGCCTCGCACTGCCAGGCTGTCCTAGCCTGAGAACGTCCTTTCAAACCAGAAATCACTACAAATTGTATGGTCCCAGCCCCATCATTACTTTTTCTCTGAGGGGTTCGCACCAAGTCCCTTCCCCACTTAGTGTTCCGATGTTCTGGTGACTGTCAGGTGTCCGACGAACCAAACGGAATCCCAGGACCCTCAAACTCATCGCATGATCGTTTCGTAATGTGGCGGGCGACGATCATCTACGTATTTACATGGCATGATACTGTCGGGGCTGCTCATTTATTCTGCTTTCAAGAGTGACGTCGTACAAGAAAAGAGTTGGCTCTAACTTTTATGGCCAATGGCTATCTGGTAGTCAGCGGGTGAGCGCTATATCAACCCCGAGGGATTAGTGTAACAACTTCGCCACCAGACTAGTACATACTGTACCGCCTAGACTGCAAACTTGAAGCCAGATCTACTCTAATGGATGAATGTTGATCTAGGAGGATAAATTTCTAGTTTTAAGCAGTGCTTTTCTGTAATGAGTATTACCTCAAGGAAGTTGGTAACATGGTATAGAAAACAATGAATTACTTGATGTATTTTGTATTTCCCAGCACGAGATGGCAGAAGGTCAAATTAGTCCCGGGGGCTGTGCTTAGGATATAGTATTCGCTACATGCATGCAGTCTTCTACTAATTTTTGGTGGTGGATCAAGAACTATGCCAGCTGATTCCGAAGAGCACAAAACATGATGCAAAGGATGAGGAGAGGAGACAAGAGAAACAAGGGCCAGCCAGCGTGGCTGAAGCGAGAGGCATGTCAGTAGACCCTCGTGCTTATGTACATCAGTACATACCTAAAGTAAGCACACAAGATTGGGGATTGGCGTTTCATCAATTCTACTAAAGCAATATTGCTACTGTAGAGACATTAGTACATTATTACACAGTACATCAGTACTGCTGCGTGCTTGAGTCGAGGAAAGAGGCGTATAGCCGAGCTACCATGATCCATGAAATGCATGGCTCCCTGTATTTTTTTATTTTTTTTCCCCTTATTATATCTTGTAGCCGCAGCTGTTCTGGCTTCAATTTCCAAATGTTCCGACGTCGACTGACGGACCAGAGTCAACGAATGTTTCCCAACAGCGTTTGCTAGCAGATGTACAGGTGGCAAGCAGAGTCGTCCTCATGGATGACCCTAAGGGGAAAAGCCCAGCAAGGAAGCAGCCGAGCCTGAAAGGTTCCTTCAACCTCGATTTACACAATGACACATTCTAGGAGACCTAGAGAAGTTTAGCGCCCACGGGTCTGGGGAGAGTCTTTACCTTTTTCGTACTCCCGATGTCTTAGACGTTCCGCCGTCAGCGTTTGTCAGTTCAACGCCAAGAAGTGACCCCGTATAAACGCCCGCTTGCTATAGAGTGACCCGGGATATTTACTTCTGAGTTATAAGTACGACAACTTGGACAGGGTGTAAGGATGCGCAGGGTGGCTCTGGCAAGGACGCATTATGCAGCAGTCTCGACTCGTGAGTTTCAATCCGCATCACACAACTCCCTTCCCCGGCCCACCGGCCCACCGGCCCCCTCCTACTTAAGTACAGAGGCAAATACAGCTCCTTATGAATGTGTGTGGGGACCTCGCGATGTATCGCGAGCGAATAGCACGGTCAGGCGAGGGTTAGCCAAGGAGCGTCTAGTTGTAAGCCTGCACCATCCAAAATGGTTTCCTTTCTGAAGTGGATTAATCTACTATAATAGCTCGATGCATGCATGTGGTGTCTGACGATCGGAGACACATCGCTATCAGTGACGGCCTGTACTGTCTCATCTCTAGCACTGAGGCCCACAGGATACCAAAGAAGGCCTATGCTCGTATTTTGTGCATGTGACAGCTCCAGCCGCTTGTCAGCAGAAATTCCAACGTCCGCTGGCGGTTTTGCTAGGTGCAACCCAACCTAAAATTACACCTTTCATTTCGCATATGCATTAGTACGAGGGGAAAGAGATTTGGGACACTGGCTCTTATTATCAGCATCTTAAAGAGTATAGAACCTGTTCAATCACAAATATGATTGGTACTAGTAGACTTGTCTATGAGTTGAAAAGATTGTCTTTAGGCAAGGATCTATGCCAAGTATATGTTGTCTAGTCTTAGACTCCGATTGCAACGGACAGCAACCATGCGCGCGTTTTCAACAAGAAGTATATCGCAGTCTCTACTGTGCCATCTGTTCAAGGGCCAGCGAGTCGACCCTACCAGCCAGCTAACGGCCAGGGCCCCAGATAGTTTCAGGAAGCTCGGCCATCTGGCTGTTCGTTGTCCCTTTCTCTCCCTTCTTTCCTGTAGCGCCTTTTATTATGAGTCATTACTGCCTCCCATATCCTCTGATTGCTCCAAAGTCCGCCTTGAAAGTAGACAAAGCTGACATTTTCTAAGGAACGTCCGAGATGAACTCTAAATTTTGTGGCTATCATTGTATTGCAACCTTGCCTTTCCCCCGAAGGAGCGCAGATAGGCAGCACGATACATAGACCCACAGCCACTCCAGGAAGACGACTCCTTGCTCATGATGCAATACAAGAGGCATCCATGTCGTCTGGCATATGTCATGGATACTTTAACCATTTTTATCATCTAGTTTGGTCTATTTTGGCGTCACGGGGGAAGAATACCCACAATTTATAGCGTAATCCTTCGATTTCTCCATGCGTAGTCCCGTCCATGTTCTCAGCTTGTAGTGGGTTTCCTTTAGACAGCCCAAAGCAGGTATTTGATATAGGGCGCTTCTTGAGACTATATGAAGCCCCCGCGTACTCAGTTCCTCAGTTCATTGCACTCGTCCTTTATGCGTGTTCAAATTAGAACGAGAAAGTTCGCCCTACACTTTTCTTCTTCGCCAGAGACCTCTTTGCTTGCATCACCTTCATCTCATCAAACATGCACGGCAACACTTCAACCCCTGTCCCCAATTTTCAACACCAGGTCCATAAGGGCATGGTTCTCTCGAATAAAAACGGGCACGGGACACTCGTAATACGAAAGCCGAAACCAAAGCCGACCCCAGAGGAATCACCTCAAGTAAATACTCGTGATGGGGTTTCATCAGAAGGCAGGCCACGGCACTGGAATCAGCTTACCAAGAGATAGAGCATAAACGTCACCTAGACACACAACTAAACACACACGCCATGATGCAGTATCATGAGTGATGGTGTCTAGGCCTGTCCAATCAGTTCGACAATTATACGTTTTAGATATCTAAGCAAGAAAGCAGAGTTCTCATTTCCCCTCCTGTTAGAGCTCAAGTTGCGAATGGTTGTGTGGATATCTATATTTGGTTTGATATTGGTCATGTTATCGCTACTCGACACCCAACGTCTATATCTGGACCACGTTGATAAGATGTTCCTTGAGTCTTGGCCCATGTCCGCTCAATGATCGAGATCCGGTCAGCATTGGTCTGCTGCGAGAACTGCACTATTATAGATGTTGAGGAGATGGGGGCTGTTTCGATTAATTAGTGGTGCATAGAATGAAGATCGAAAGTACTTAAGTAATTAGGCAATAGGTCTGAAAGCAACGTGTTTTTGCCCAACCAAAATGAGTTCGGCTTCGTGATTGGTCTCTAACCGATTTAAACTGCTTAATTCCTCAATTGATATAATACCACTATCAAGTCCTATCATCATCAGGCTCTGCGCGAGAGAATGGTTGCTTCTTGCAGAATGTGCTAAACCACTTGCGGATTTGAAGGTGTGCAGAACAGAATTCGTGCCCGATCGACAGCGTCGCAGCAGCCTTATTGTTCTTCTTTTGGAGCACGATACCAATACCACTCCCACCTCGCAAGCAATACGTTGTTGCCAAAAGTTAGATTGGGCAACGTGTCCCTCCCCCACGTTTACCCGTCCAATACGTTTTGGGCAGAGCCTCACAGCACATTGAATGGCCTCCACGGCCGGGATATAATTATGAGGACCTCGGGACCCACTGCCCTCGAGACGAACTACTCTGCTTTGCTGCAATCGGGCTTTTGTCTTGACTGATACACAAAATGTCAGTAGATCTAACTGGACTCGATGCAATTGAGAGAGGTGAGAACACCCACAGCTCTGGAGGAGGAGCCGAGAACCCTCAAGCCTCTGGGGCACCAACTCAGCCTCGGTCCTCTACAATATTGTCCAACGCAACAGAGAACGTTGCTCTTGGTAGGTAATTATCGATTCCCGGTAGAAAAAGAAAAAGATAATTACCTGCTAATTGCATCTACTATAGAGCAGGCTTCGGGCCCGTATGGTTTCGCTCGCGTCAAAGATTACGATCATCGTTTTACCTTCTACCCCGGCTTTGCCGTCGAGCGGTGTCTGGTTCTCGAGTACCGAGCCAAAGAGATAGAGCTGCTAAGCAAGGATCTCAAGACCGTCTCCAAGGACCTTCTGGCGTGTGACAAAGGCGAACCAAATACAAAGTGGACGGAGTTGATGTCGAGGCTCGCAGAAAGCATAGCACAATACGGTATAATATGCGCACAAAAGCCCAAGCTTTTTTTTTTTTCCCTTCCTGAGACATCAAGGCTGATCCCTCATGCATATACGCAGATGCCGAGATGCTGCGCGCCAAGAAGATGGTCAGTTACAGCGAGACACCAGAAGAGTCCAGCCTTGATCAACTGCGGCTGTGGCTTAGTGAGCGCTGGGCTGGCCAACTTGACATGTATCAGGACAAAAAGGCGTGTGATTTCTGGTCACTGGCGCCAACGAGAGGCCCCATCGAGAGACTTGTGAAAGGCTTTATGCCAGTGACAAGGCTTGGTAGCATACTCCTCGTAAGTAATCTGTCAAGTTACTTTAGGTTTCTAGTCCAACACCTTTTGTGTAAAACGTCGATCCTAAGAAAAAGGCATATAAATAGCGTCCATTCCGGTCCCACAGCCCCCCCACCCCGGATCTTGAGTTTCTACGATACGAGGATGCAGACCTGTCGTGGGTCGTCGGCTTCGTCTTGCTTCTGGTGATTTGTATTTTCCTTGTGCTCCCCTTGGCCGTGCTGTCGTACTTCGATTCCAGCCATAATGTCAGGACAATAGTAGTCCTGGTGATGTGTTTCCTCGTCAGCATTCTGGCTCGGGCGATTGAGACGAACGAGGCACGCCAGGTTGTTCTTGTCTGTGCGTATAGTGCCATCATGAGCGGCTTTCTCTCGCAGTATTCGTAAGGTTTTCGGATGCCGGGGTCTTTCTTGTTTCCTTTTTCGTCAGTGTGAGGTAGAAGTCTTCCATTCGACCAAAACACGTCAATTTCATGGTTACTTCCTGTGAGTATCCCCCCCCCCCCCTATTCGTCAGCAAAGAACCTGTTCTGTGGTCTGTACCAGTATAATAACCATCCTAAAGATTATGAGAAGAAGATTGGAGTGGACGTAGTAGATGGGAATAAAAGAGTTTGCAAAGAGAAGAGTACTGCCAGCTGGCCTGAGGTCTGTTTTCAGCATGAGATATCAGTCAGCAGGAACACGGACGGCTGTAGCCCGCAGACCCACCTGTCATCCCAACTCCAATTGACTTGTCTTTATAAGTTAGCCCAAATGCACTTATGTCAACCTCAGCAGGAATTGGATAGTCAATTAGCTCAGCTGTCTATTGTCTCCTATAGATACCACAACCATTCCTGACAAAGGCACTTTACAGTCCCCAGACAAATTGACAAGACGTGCCAGGGCCCCGGGCTCGAACTTGCTAAAACCAGTGTTTCAATCAAATATCCTGTGACTTCCCAAGTCTGTTACTGGCCCGGACGAAGAAAAGGGTTGTCGCGTAAGGGACACGCTGCAAGCTGACAAGGTTGGCATGACCATCAAGTGACGGTGTGTCGCAGGGCGTAGAGGACCAGGTGCAAACTTGAGGAGCACTTGATTTTGTTTTGCTATTTTGTCCTGGCTCTATCCATTTCTACTTCTTTGTTAGAAGAGATAAATTTTTGAGTATATTTGTGCATCATATTTGAATAATGGATTCTATTGTAGATATTGAAATCAATTTGTATGTACGCGCTGAGACGCAGTCCTGTAAAGACATAGAACATGTATCAAGAATATCATTGATGCTTCCCATCTTTTTTGTTCCCAGAATCTTCCCAACATTTGTCTAGGACTTTCCAGTTAGGTACTCCTCGTGAGAGGTGATATGTGTCTCTTTCTCAACCTGATGCAGGTCCAAGTGCGCCACCTGGGCATCATCTCCGTCGATAACCTTGGCCAGCTCCTCGAGGGTAGGTCCCTTGGTCTCGACGTACATGAAGTAGACGAAGGTAAGCTCGAAACCGACCCAGCACTGTCGCAGTCATATTAGCTATTATCTAAGACAAGAACTTGGAAAATGTTGTTCTCATTCTTCACTTACGGTGTAGATGAGATAGAACTTCCAGGTATGCGGGGCGAAGAACTCAAAGGCGACAGGGTTGGCATATGTATTCAGCGTCAGGGCAATTTGCACGCAGAGGTTCATGATCATGAGGCCCTTGGCACGGAGCGTGTAGGGAAGGACCTCGATAGCATAGCCGACGAGCAGGCCGGACCAGGCGACGGAGTAAAAGATACCAAAGATCCAGATGAAGACGATCATGGCGTTGTTGGCCTTGGTGGCGCCGTGATCCTCGGCCAGGCCCGAGGTCAGGGTCCAGACAGCGAGCGTGACGACCATGCCTGCCGTGGAGATGAGGAACGTGGGACGACGACCGACTTTATCGACAAACATTGCCATGGTGACGGAGACGATGAGGGCGAGCGTGGTCTGGCCGGCGGACAGGCCGAGCTTCTGTGTAGAGCCCTCGACACCCGCAGTGCTGTACAGGATGCTGGAGTAGTTGGAGATGATGGCGTTGCCTGACCACTGCGAGAACACACCGAGGGAGATGAGGACAGCCAGTCGGAACCGGTTGCCCTTTGTCCTGAGGAAATCGAGGTAGCTACTCCGCTTCTTGGCCTCGAGCTCCATGGCGATGGTCTCCTTGATCTCAAGGTACTCGAACTGAACAGTCGGGTGCTGCGTGTTACCGTTGGCATGGTATTTTCCGAGGATCTGGAGGGCCTCCTCGGCCCTGTCCTGGGCAATCAGGTAGCGGGGCGACTCGGGCACGAACCAGATAAAGGTGAGCTGGATGATGGAGGGGAAGGCCTGGAGCAGGGCTGGAATCCTCCAGGACCAGTCGTCGAAGAGGTAGTCTGTGCCGAAGGCGAGCCACGAGACGAAAAGGGCACCCACATTCCACAGACAGTTGTAGACAGTTGTCAGACGGGCTCTGTGCTGGGGGTGGCAGATCTCGGTGAGCAGCATGGGCGACGACAGCTGCGCAAACGAGTTTCCGAAACCGAGCAAAAACCGACCGCCCATGAAGACGCCGAGCGTGCTGCCCGCGCCTTGCATGATGGCCCCGCCGATCATGATGGAACAGCCGATTACGATGGGTACTTTTCGTCCAAAGCGATCCGTGAAGAACGGGACGATGGCGATGGAGGCGACGCTGCCGATCTGGTAGAGAGCACCGAGAAGACCTAGCATGGACCCTTGAGGGTCGCCGAATTTCTGATAGACTCAGTGTTAACAAGTCCTAGGTCATCCTCCATACGTGTATATATGTGTGTTTGTGTGTGTGTATGAGAAGACTGGTGATGGATGAATTTGTTCATGACTTACACTCTTCCAGGTGTCAAAGTTTTGCACACTGTTGAAGAACATGCCATCATACCCAGTCGTGGCCGAGGCAACACAGAGGACAAAAGCATGCCAGTATAGCTTTCTCAAGCCGGGGTCCTTGGTCCAGCTCACCCTCTCAAATTGAGGCGCCTCCTCCTGTGCAGCGACAACAACGTCCTTCTTGGGTGCCGATCTCTTGAAGAGACCCATGCTGGAGGACTAGAGAGGGTACTGACACGATAAAATTATGTGTAGCACTGATCGTCAGGCTCTCTTTCGGTAGAAGAACTGACATGAAACTGGCTCAACGACACAGATTCATGCTGTGCGAGGATGGATACCTCGTTCGGCATATATAACAACAGCGTAAAGGGGCAAAGGTTGCACTCAGCCTGCTTGTGTTGCGGGCATGCGGGCCGGGAGACTCGCCCAGTGTGGAGTAGGATCAGCCTTCTAGCCAACATGGCCATCTTCTCTCCAAAAGGGGAGATGGACAAGGATCGATAGCGCGGAAGCAGGCTAAATGCAAGTATCGCAGCCGCGTGAGGCAGGCTGCAGTGGACGAACAGACAGTTGAGCAAAAAGAGGGCCCTTGTCAGGATGGCCCCATGTCGACACCGGGAGAATAGGCCTAAGCTTTCAACTTTATTGACAGCACATCAACGTGGGGCGGCTTGGCCCCCTTCAAAGAACGAGAGGGGCTGTTCTGAGAGAGGGGGTAGTGGCCTCGGCTCAACACGATCAGACATCGTGTAAACCAGGCCATCTACCTGCTGCCTGTTTATGACACCACGATTCTTGTGTATCGAGCCGCTTCCCGAGATCAGCGCTGTTGAATACCAGGGGAGATTTCAGGATGCTACGAAGGTGTTGCTGCAAACTGGTCGAGCTGTCGGCCTCATGTCGGCCACGGTGAAATACGTCTCCTCGCTTGCATGACCGATATGGAAATTGGGTTCGGGGAATATTGGCAGTAAGCCAATCATTGAGCCTGGTTGCAGCCCACAATGCGCATGCAGTCTGGCTTTTGTTCGAGAAATAGGACACCACTTTGGTCGACGATGCCACCCATTCGAACCAGGGAACGGTTCGTCTGTTCCATTCAATTTGGAACAGGGACACGATTGCCGACCCAGGCCATGTTTTTCTGTGGCGAGGTAGATGAGATGTCGTTTCGGACGGGAGGCTTCCTGCTGGGCTGCCTTTCATCCGCTATATTTAGCCTAATAGCAGCCTGGTCCCCCTTCTTGGCCCCTCGGCAAGCTTGCCAGGGAACGACACCCCAGAGCAGCACAAGCGTGAGCGTGTTGGTCGCCGATTCAGCCTCGTGACAGCGCCTCGTCCACTAATGCCTTCTGTATGACGGCCGAAGGCGAAACGTGGGCGCGCTACCAATAAGACAGACTGGGGTTGCCTCATAGCATTTTTTTTTTTAAGATGTCATCCGACCCAGTATGGCATTGTCAGTTCTTTATTGTCGGCTTCGTAGTCATCACCAGGACTGGCACCAACACCAAACATACGCCTACTGCTTTGAAGGTTTCTGATGTTCAGACCGCTGGTCGCAAGATGATTGATCACAGTCTCATGCTAGGACTTTCAAGGGCAGCTCGAAAGAAGCGTGTCATCTTCTCGGCTGGTGCGAGATTGGGAGCACGCTAGTTTCGGGTAATTCTGATCACATTACCATCATGGCTTTTTCAGTTGGCCAAGGGAGGCCCATCTCAGATGGGGAAAAAGGCTGCAGTTGATGGAAAATGTTGAAGTTAGCGGACGGGATAATGGAGCACGGGTAGGGGATGAAGTTGAAATAAAGTTCTAGATATGGGTCTGAAGTGGAGATGTTCTTATCGATAAGCACTCTCTCCACCCGCGACGCGTCGATTCCCGACTGACACGCGTAAAGCGATCTCGACCCCCCAAAGCGTCAACAAAACCCGCCAGCTGCCGACCGTATTGTCCTTAAGCGGCCCACGCCACGCTCACACACTACCACGCCATGGCTGGTCCATCTAAAAACCCTGAGAAGCGTCAGGCTTCTCTGACCAGCTTCTTTACCCCCAAGACCGTCAATGGCCTGTCACAGTCCCTCAACAAGAAACGGTCGGCAGAGGCAGGTGGCGACAGTGGAGGCAGCAAGACGGATGGCAGCAGTCCACCTCGCAAACGGCCTCTTGAGGAGGACACAGACCATGGTAACGATGGGCCAGCTCCCTCACTAAAGCGGACGAAGGCACAAGAGGACCACGTCCCAGAGAGGAACACCGCCATCAATAAGTCGCCAGACAGCTCGGCGGACGCTTCCCTCAAAGTCCCGACAGGCTCTCGGACAGAACGGTATGCATATGGTGAATCCCAGACGTCCGAGACAGCAAACACAGTCGAGGACCAGGTGGAAGACGTGGCTGTGGCTCGGCACAAGGCTGAGCTGCACCGTAAGTTCGTCAAGAAGCTGGGACACCCGGACAGCATTGCCATGATCAAGCGTCGCAATTTCCAGATCGAGAATGGAACTACAGCCTTGGAGGAAGATGGTGATGGGGATGATTTGGCGGAGGACGACGACGACGATGCCGCTCGAGCCAAGACTACGAAGAAGAAAGGTGCCAAGACGGGCAAACTGACGCCCATGGAGGTCCAGTTCCTGGATATCAAGAGGAAGCACATGGACACCGTCCTCATCGTCGAAGTGGGCTACAAGTTCAGATTCTTTGGTGAAGATGCACGCATCGCAGCAAAGGAGCTGAGTATCGTCTGCATCCCTGGCAAGTTCCGATACGATGAGCGTAGGTAGCCATCCGCGAATCTCTTTTGATCGCCGTGTCAGCACTGACGCTGTTGTGCACAGATCCTTCCGAAGCCCACCTGGATCGATTCGCCTCTGCAAGCATTCCTGTACACCGACTTCCTGTTCATGCTAAGCGGCTGGTGGCAGCTGGCCACAAGGTCGGCGTCGTACGGCAGATCGAGACTGCAGCTCTCAAGAAGGCCGGCGACAATCGGAACGCCCCCTTTGTCCGGAAGCTCACCAATGTCTACACCAAAGGAACGTACATCGACGAGATAGGAGAATTGGATCAGGACAGCGGAGCTGCACCTCCAGGCGGCTATCTGCTCTGTATCACCGAGTCCAAAGCCAAGGGCTGGGGCACGGATGAGAAGGTTGATGTTGGTATTCTTGCCGTGCAACCCGCTACCGGAGACATCATCTATGACAACTTTGAGGACGGGTTCATGCGTCGAGAGATTGAGACTAGGCTCCTGCACATATCGCCATGCGAGTTTCTCATCGTCGGAGACTTGTCAAAAGCTACCGACAAGTTGCTTCAGCACTTGTCAGGCACAAGCAGTAACGTCTTCGGAGATCGAACACGGATGGAAAGAGTACCCAAAGGCAAGACGATGGCCACCGAAGCCTACTCCCACGTGACACAATTCTACGCAGGCAAGCTGAAGGATAACTCCGATGCGCGGGCGTCTGCTCTGCTGGACAAGGTCTTGAAGTTGCCAGAGCCAGTTACAATATGTCTTTCTGCGATGATCACGCACTTGGCCGAGTACGGCTTGGAACACATCTTTGACCTGACCAAATACTTTACCTCGTTCTCGACAAGGTCACACATGTTGGTCAACGGGACTACATTGGAGAGCTTGGAAGTCTACAGGAACCAGACAGACCATGTGGAAAAGGGCAGCCTTCTGTGGGCTATCGACAAAACCCACACTCGTTTTGGCCAAAGGCTCTTGCGAAAATGGATTGGTCGTCCGCTCCTGGATAAGGAGGCTCTAGAGCAGCGCGTAACGGCAGTCGAAGAGCTATTTGAGAACCGGTCCACATGGAGAGTCGACAAATTGGAGGGCCTCCTGACGCACATCAAGACGGATCTAGAGAGAAGTCTCATCCGAATTTACTACGGCAAATGCTCAAGGCCGGAGCTGCTTGCCGTCCTGCAGTCTATGCAAAAAATCTCCATGGAATACGCCAAGGTCAAGACCGTAGCAGACACGGGCTTCCAGTCGAGCCTTTTGAGCGATGCCATCTGCTCGATCCCTCAGATTGGCGAGATCGTCGTCACCTTCCTTGAGAAGATCAACCCGGAGGCCGCTCGACAAGACAACAAGTACGGATTCTTCCGCGAGGATGACGAGACAGATGACATTTGCAACCACAAGCTTGGCATTGCGGCCGTCGAGCAAGAGCTCGACGCCCACCGCCAGGAAGCAGCGAAGAAACTTGGCAAGAAGGGTTCTGTCCCGTATGTCACGGTTGCGGGCATCGAGTATCTGATCGAGGTCCCCAATGTTGACTTGAAGAAAGTCCCAGCCTCGTGGATCAAAATTAGCGGCACCAAGAAGCTGTCCCGGTTCCACACCCCTGAAGTTGTCAGCCTTATAAGCGAACGGGACCAGCACAAGGAATCTCTCGCCGCCGCCTGCGATGCCGCCTTTCGCGAACTCCTGACCTCCATAGCAGCAGCGTACCAGCCGCTCCGTGATGCCGTGGCCGCTCTCGCCACTCTTGACTGTCTCGTTTCCTTGTCCAAGGTCGCTGCCATCCCAGGCTATTCGAAACCGACATTCCTCCCCTCTTCGAGTCCCCCCTCCATCTCGATCTCTGCTGGCCGCCACCCCATCGCCGAGCATACTCTGCCCAACGGATACATTCCCTTCACGACTACGCTCTCTTCCCCCGCACCGCTGGCACATCTCATCACCGGCCCCAATATGGGTGGGAAATCATCCTTCGTGCGCGCCGTTGCTCTGCTCGTGCTGCTTGCACAAGTAGGCTCCTTCGTCCCAGCCGACAGCATGACCCTCACTCTCGCGGATGCAATCCACACCCGGATGGGCGCTCGCGACAACCTCTTCGCGGGCGAGAGTACCTTCATGGTGGAAGTCTCCGAGACGGCCTCCATCCTCCGTTCCGCGACGCCCCGGTCCCTGGTCGTGCTCGACGAGCTCGGCCGTGGCACATCGACACACGACGGCGCCGCCATCGCCCACGCGGTGCTCGAGCACGTCGTCCGCGAAACAAAGTGTCTGACGCTGTTCATCACACACTACCAGAACCTCGCCAAGATTGCCTCCGGCCTCGGCGGCGGGCTCGTCAAGAACGTCCACATGCGCTTCGAGGCCACCAAACCTTCTGCTGCGACCACCACTGACGGTGGTGGCAATCGGTCCGACAGCGACGATGAGCAGGCCGCCGGCGACGAGGAGATCACCTTCCTATACGAGGTCGCCGAGGGCGTCGCACACCGGTCCTACGGGCTCAACGTGGCCCGCCTCGCCCGCATCCCGCGCAGGGTCCTCGACGTGGCGGCCAAGAAGTCACGCGAGCTGGAGGAGGACGTCAAGGCGCGCCGGCTGCGGAGTACCGCGGCGCTGTTGGGTGATGTCCTGTCTGGCCAAGAGGCGGCAGAGGACAAGGTCGAGGAGCTGATTTCAGGGATTGAGCAGTTATAAGGTATCTGGAATACTCACTGGGTCCTGGTATCTCATCGTAACGTGTGTCGTGGCGTTTCGGTAACGTGTCTCGTGGCGTTTCAGGGATTGATGGGATATATGCCGCAGATCGAGATGGTCACGCAATGGCTTTCTGCAATCGGCCAACATGTAATAATGCTATTCTTCTCATAACGATTATTCTGAGAAGACCATGTTAATTGTACCGGTTGATACTCCATCCAGTTGTCAGGCAAGCTGCGGTAACTATTCTCGGTGGGCGACGTGAGTATGCATGTCTTCGTATCTTCTCATCTGTCCTTGATGTGCAATTTCGCTGTCCGATAACACTTCCAATTTTTTGGTCAGATTGCTGCAGCAGCACGGAAATCTCAAGTCGAGACAGTGGTCAAAAGCAGGAGGAAACGAGGACGGACCTCTGAATACTCCTAGGGCAGCAGGCAATAGGCAGCTGAATCACAGGTTCTATGGGGTTCTCGCCATTGAAGCAATAAGAAATGGTCACCATTTTGCGTGGGAGTATCTGATAGCTATGTAACCCCACCATCGATTCCATCTGCGCTTGAAAGAAGAAAAGCCAAGTCCAAAAAATAAAGAGATGCCGTTTCGTCCCATAGGATGGTAATTGATCTAATGGTGGCCTCTAGGTAACCCGAGAATGCAAAGAAATATTACCCATGGCCAAAGCATCAAACGCCGAATGCTCCTGTGGAACCAGGGTGATAATGACGCATGTTGCGACACCTGACACCACTGAGACTCGAGGTTTGACTCTCAAAGGAGTCGGCGCGAGGACGAAGAAACGAAGTTAAGAGATGCAAGGGTGATCCTGAGAGCCGAACCATAACCGAACGCCAGTTGAGTGAATTGCGCTGCAATAGTCAGCTGAGGCAGGAAATCCATCCAGACTTCCAACTTCCGGGCTGTTTTCAGATTGTTGACTCCTCCTGGGCCGCTCCACGCAGATTATAAGGAGAAATTGTTGCCCTCGACGATATCGTTCAGACGCCAAAATCGTTATGCTGGGTCGAAGTGTGACCCTGCTGGTATGTGGAATTGTTACCGAGGCCATTGATCAAGTCGTTGTTCATGCCTGGGTGGGCGCCGCTGTAATCCAAGCTGTTTATGGCCTGGAACGATGTGCTAGGTGGCCGAGAGACGTCAAACCCGCTGTAAAGGAAGGGGAAGTTGCCTTGACGCTGTGCACAGAGCGGATTGAGCCCTCCAGATTGCATGTTCTGACGCTGCTGGCTTAGGAAGGTAGGCAGATCCGAGGTCTGTTGCATGGAAAAAGCGCTGCGATCATTCTCCTTGTCGAAGAACTCAAATGGGGGCTGGGTGTCCTGGCGACCAAACAAAGACGACATAGGGCGGTTTGGAGGAAGACCCTGCATGGCATTTCTGTAAGGGATGGTCACCTGCTGGCCACCAAAAGGATTTCCACCGAGATCTGCAGATGTACGTCGTGTCAATATTGGCAGATATTCCTGGGGTGAGCGATGAGTGAGGTACTCACCCTGAATGTCCTGGTGGCGTCCTGCAAAAATGTCGCCACATCCCAAGGCAGTATCATCTGCACCGTCATCAAACGTTCCAAGGCCTCGGCTGTCGCGAGAGCTGCTCGTCTCATCGTCAGAGTTACTCTCCTCTTCTACCTTGGCAGTCTTCTTTGTGGCACCCTTCTTGTTCGCCTTCGAGCCTCGGGCTGTGGATCGAGTCTGACGTTGGGAGGTGGATGCCGCCGAAGCAGCGCCCCGGCCACGACGCTTCTTGGGGGGAGGGGCCTGGGCCTCCGCTTCATCTCGGGACTTTTCAAGGCACCAGAGTCAGAAATTCTATCTATCACATAGTTTCGAATGCACTTATAAAGGGAATACTTACTGGACTGCCATCAATAGATGGGCTGTCGTACACATTGCGTGTGCGCTCGATTTCTCCCAGATCCTCATTCCAAACATATTCGGTTTGTTCAACAGACTCTGAAGTCATCACCATGTTCTCCAACACAGAGTGGTGCTTCTTCTGGTTTCTCATACGCCTCATCTCAGGTGTGGCAGCATCAAAGATGCGCATGCCGGGCCAGAACGCACCCTTCAGCTTTGGCGTGGAGGAACCATCACCGTCACCCTCGCCATCCGCAACGAGTACATCGTTCAGGTACGCGATAGCCTGTGGAGATTCAGGTAGATGGTAGTTTCTTTGAGCCTGCTTGCTCATGGGAGTGTGGTATGCATCGTCGAACGTGTTGTCATGAGAGGGGTGGAGGGGAGGCCAGGCAAGCTGGTTCAGGGGGTTCTGGGTGAACTCGAGCGCTAGGTTGTCAAACTCCTCCATCTTGACAGGCTCTGGAGCGGCTTGAGTTCGCCTGGCCTTCTTCTGTGGCTAATTCAGTCAGAATATTTTCTTATACTCTCTTCCCTTCCCTTTGTTGGCGGGAGAAGGGTGGAGGAGTGCTCCCGGGGAGGGGAAACACTTCTGAACTTCGAACTTGCCTCAGTGCCATTAGCCCGCTGTCTTTTGAGCTGTGCCTGCTTCTTCTGCTCCTTGGCATCCTGGCGGTTCTTTAACAGCTGCGTGATTCCGTATTGGTCAGCCCACTCTTGGAAGAGGCGGATTGTCCGCTTGTCGTCCTCCTTGTCCGAAATTTCAAGCTTGAATCTGGCGGCTAGGTGACTCTTGGACGAGATGTGGGTCAAAAGATGGGAGACATCCGAGAACGTAGGCTTTCTCGGGCAAAGGCAGCACTTCAGAGGTATGGTATTGGCGTTGTGAGGACCACCGGGATTGGGAACGGGTTGTTGGTGCAGTGGAAGAGTCAGGCTCTCCATGGTGAGCTAGAAACAGAGTTAGATATTACTGGTACAGAACTCGAACAGATTACACCGTAAAGAGCGTGGGAGGTTAGAAGGCCAAAGCAAGGAAGCAACAAAAGAGTGTAGCAGTAGGGTGGCTACTGCGATGGGAGTGAAGGCACACCAGGATGGAGGACATGAGAGGGCAGTATAGGGGAACGGAGGTTGTAAACAAAGAGAAGAAAGAGGCTGCTTGGGTTGCAGATGTTGGGTTAAGTAGGCTGTAAGGGTAGAGGGACCTTCTGCGCTTACATTGGGGTGAGAAGGAGCCACAGGAGGTATCTGGGACCCAAAGCCCTGGTAAGCTTCAACGGCAGGAGATGTCTGGGGCAGGCGAAGACCAGCACGCATCAAGACGGCATACGGGAAGGTGTTATCCATGGTGTTGCTCGCCGTGATGTCTTGTGTCGGGAAGCCCGTGAAAAACGCAGGAGCCTGCTGGGTATGCTTGTAGTTATCGGTTTGGTAGGTGTCGGTGGTAGGAGGAAGGAGCTCCTGACGGTGACTAAGCGGCTGCTGGAAAGAGCTCTGGAAGGGCTGCAGGTCAGAAACTGGGCCTGGGCGAGGCACACATGAGGGCAAGGAGGTTGGAACCCAGGGCCTCTCGATATCGTTGTATGCATCGTGAGTTTGAGGGTTGAAAGTAGGTGCGGGAGTCGACATCGTCCGCTTCTGCTCGGGTTGCTCATTGTAGTCTTCGTCCTCGGTCTCATGCTCGTCGGAAATATACTGCCAGTCCTGGCCGTCGGACGGCACCACATAACCCGATCGTAGCTGCATCATTGATGCCCTTTCAGGAGAGGTTGAGATGGTAAGTGAGAGGAGGAAACAAAGTTGAAGGTGGGCGGATGGAGTTGCTGGAGGAAGGTGCAGAGAAGAAGAGTTGTCGAGGGTTTTCCTAGTTGGTAAGTTGAGCTCTGTTGGATTTTTCCCTCTACCAGGAAAAGTCTCTCAGCATCAAAGCTCCTTAATGCATTCCCTTTCCTGAACGCTCAACTGGGGATAGAGGGTAGAAGTAAACAGAAATGAAAGTCCTCTCTAGTTGCTGAAAAATGTTGGTTCATTGCCTGTTCAAATCGATGGGGTCAGATTTGAAGATCAATAACTTGGCATGACATCGACGTGACATTGTTAGCTTTGTCTTTGCTGCAACTATGCCCTGAGAACTAGCATGGCTAACCACTGGCACGAGATAGTAATCGAATGCAGCTCTTCTGTCTGTTTTTCATATTGGGGACATGAGCTACCATCCAGCCATCAACCATCATTGTATACCGAACAGAATCCTGACAGGGCACATCAAGGACAGTTTGGCCAACTAGAAACACACAGAAACAGAGTAACTCCCCATACATGGATATTAAAGTTAGAAATCGAAGAATTGGATTGTCACAAACAATCTGATATTGTCTGCTAAAGTCAGTGTGACCTAGCCGCACTCAACGGTATCGCAATGGTAAATAGAATTTCTATGCAAATTTCTGGCACCTCAGCCAGATTTAGGATCTCAAAGAGCGTCTTTCACAGCTCATGGAAAGAATGTCCTCCACCCGTTTTTGTTTTGACGCGTTTTCCCCTTTCTTGCGCCCACATCTTAGGTAGCCAGATAGCCAAGTAGGGCGCCTGCCCAGAGGTGTCGCTATTCACATCTTCAATCTCTCTCTGCCGGTATGTTCTTGATCAATAAGTAGCTTGTCTCGAAAGGGGATGAAACCTATCAATTCTGTGCTCAGCCTATGACCTTGTACAGTATTTGTTGTAGTCTACCACGGGTCAGTGAACATTCTCATCTGCGTAACACGGAATGACTACCTCGCGACCATCCCATTGTGTCTTCAGGATCCCACGTGAGGTCTGACAGGGAGAGAATGGGAACGCAAGACTTTAGTACAAGGCAGACGAGGGCTAGCGAAAATATTGCTGTCATATCAGCCCTTTCGACTTGATGTTTCGCAAGTGACAATGGCGCGAACTGCATGTTACACACAAATGAAAGAGTCATTGATACAGATACAAAATTATCGAAACTAGAATCTCAACACGAAACACTCAGGAAATACTTAGGGTACCCAAGATATCAATCTGTTCATGGGAGGGCTGGTCGTGTTTGACATGCAGACATCGTTATCCCACACCTTCCATCCCCCTCCCCAGGGTACACGTCGACCCACGACCAGACTTATATCATGTGTGGCTGACCAGTCTCAATGCCAGTGTCTAGAACCAAAGATTAACATAGGCTTCTAAAAATATCAAAAGAGACTAGTCAATACCTAAAACTGGTAATTAACAGGCAGCAGAGAATTCCTCTTCCTGTATTTGTGTCTGGAGCATTTACTGATGGGAGCTAGAAGCAAGCTACCCGCTGGCATGTTCATAGCTTATGAGTAATCCAGACATGATTACGAGAATCTTTCATATTAGCTCGTCCTAACAGCACACATGAGGCATAAAGCACTGTATAAATGTATCTGGACACTCGTGGTATGCGGCAGCGCCCCGGGCTAGAATGGTACTAACGGTGACGGCTTCATTTACTCCCCCTCCATTCTTCCCACGATTGGAAGCTCACACAGACTGTAGATGACTATTTGGTAGTCCAGACTAAGAAAATAACGACACTGAGAAGAACCAGTCATTCGTCCCGAGCGATATATATAAAGACTGAGGTGTAAATCAGCACCCGCCTTCTCACTCCTTACACTGCTCACCCATCTCTACCTACAAAGGCTACTTGATCAGCAGTCCCAAAGTTAATAGGAGAAATTTGCCAGTGAAAGATGGCGTCCATTGCAGACCAGCACAATATCGGCAGAGTTGATAAGAGCGACGTCTCAGCCCCGGACCGACACCAAAGAAGCCACTCGAGAAGCCCGAGAAAACCCACCCCGTCCGCCGCCATCGAGATCTACCCACAACGTCAATGCCCTTTCTTCAGCCAACTCCCCCAGGAGGTAAGGGAAATGGTTTTCAGACACCTCTTCTCGATGACCCGGATTTCGCTCGGCGTGCGAGACCTGCCCGTACAGGGCGACCGGGTCCGCATCAAGTCGGACCCTAACGCATTGGCCCTCCCCAGGACATGCAGGCGAGCCCATGACGAGATAGGCCAGACCTGGGTACGCCACGTCCTCTTCAACTTTGAAGACACCGTGACGCTTCTCAACCGGCTCGCGTTCGTGCCGGATGTCATCCTAGGCCAGATCCGCCACATGCGCGTGCCAGTTCGACCGCCTCGGGAGTTCTGGCACCGCTACATAGACCAGTGGTACCGTCCGCCTGGAACGACCCGGAGGTGCTTTATAACCTTCCTCCATATTCAGCAAGCATTGAGTCTGCTGTCAGGATTGCGGCTGGACACCCTAACTGTCATGGGCCCCAGGCTCTGCGAATGGGACGAGATAGCTGCGATGGTTTGTAGAGGCCACGGTTGGAAGGAACTGCGCTTCATCTGCCCAGACTCTACGGCGATGAATTACGGTGCAAATGCCAGGTGCAAGGAGTGGAGGCGCTTGGTACAGGAGCGCGACGGCACGTCCAGCGGAGCCTCCATGGAGATCTATCGGTCGACTGTCGGGCCATCGTGTTTCCAGCTCAGCCCCACGACTTGCGAGCTACGGATGCCTGAGCTTGTGTCGGCGTTCAGCAACCTCTTGAGGGAAACAGCTCCACTCTTTGTGTCCTCGCCGCCGGCCGCAAGATTGGGAATGGTGGATGGGGACGCACCGGGTCACGACATCCTGAACACAGGTCTTCGAGAGCGATTTGACGAGCAGGATGATTTCACAAACATCCAGTGCGAGATGTTATACGTCGTCAAAAGGGGCGAGGGGATCTGTTACGAGATTTCAAAACCGCCAGAACTCTTCGCAGCCGAGAACTTGTATTCTCAAGATCTGCGTAGTGATCTGCTCTGGGTGTCTTGGAAGGTGTTGAAGAAGCTCTGCGAAGATGATCCCAAGAAAAAGCAGCAAGTCGTGCCTAACGGAGACGACGATGTGCAGAGACAAGTGATCGACGACCAATACAAAAGTGTGGATGAGTACGACTGGGCTGTTGAATGGATCTCATAAATGAGAGATGCGATGGACAGTCTCTTCCCCACAAGGGTCGTCGCCCACAATGCCAGCGGCTCGATCCCCCCCGGACCCGCCCAAAGCCAGGGCTGCATTAGCCCACTGCAGCAGATCCCTTCCGCCATCCCGTGGATCCTGGACCCCTAAGCTGCTTCTCTCTTGCAAGGGCGGCGGCAAATTCCAGACCCTTTAACGTCATCGATACCGACTCAAACGCGGCTTCGATCCTCGCGACTGGAGACTCGATGGCGAGATCACCCCTATTTTTCTTCCACCGTTCATCAGAATCATTAGGCCTGATTCAGCACTCTTGTGATTGGCTGAGCTGCTGGTAGTCGAAAAGTTTCATATTTTTCTAGCCATGCACGGCCATGACCCCTTACTTCTTCATGATGGCAGCGAATGGAGACTCTTTAGCTCGATCAAGGTCATGCGACTCGCTGACTAGGAATCGCGCAGGAGGGAAGGACTGAGGAGGGTCTGGGTTGGACGCTTGACCAAAATACATGACAACCTTATCATTTTGTCTGATGTCGCCGTCAAAGCAATAGCTGGGATTGGTTCGTCATTAGATTCTAGACAAGTGTTAACGGAAGCCCCGGGATAGACTGACTGGGACGCTGGCCTTGAGGGGGGGTTGAGTTATGCTGTAACATTTTGGTGTAACCCCCAGCTGGGTATTGCATGGCAGATCAGTCCAAATCAGACCACATCGAGTCACTTGTCCTCACTCTCTCCTTCCCCCAGAAAGTATCTCGCCTCATGGTTTGTCTGTTATGGTTACAAAGTGACACGCGACCTCAGACTGCATCCTGCGGGGTAAGGTGAGCACATAGAGAGTAGAGTACATTGACACGCACCTGCCCCTGCCACCCTCTCCAAGCAGTATTACGCGATACATCGACCGCCACGTCGAGCACGGGCGTCCCAAAAGTACCTTCCCGCCCCCTTAACATCAAACTCTGGACAATATAGACTATCTAAAGAGAGAGACATATAGCACAAAACATAGCAAGGGTTGGGGATGTGGATGCCCTTGAGCGGCTTGCGTCCACGTCCATCCCTACCCCAAGTCCTCCTTCTCATCGTCATCCCCCGCATTTGGGCTAGGGTCAGCTCAGCATAGATCTGCGATCATTGGTGAGGTCATGTCCCCGACCAAACGCTGTGGAATCTTCTTTGAGCCGTGTGTATGGTGGGTTTGAGGAGCATTTGGGGAGAGAGGGGGAATGGGAATCTGGGTGCTGGCACGCAGTAGACAGTGGCATGATTATTGTTTAAATACCCCGCCTGCTCTTCTCTCGTTCTTATCAAGGCGTGTTTCTGTTCCGTACATCCTCCCTTACATTCACATTCACAAGAACAGAATATCAAAATAGTGACTATCAATTAACTATCTACCTCCTACTTGAAGCCAATCACCCATATCATACATTCAGTATGGATCCCAAGTCTACACGCTCCGAGTCCGTCTCTTCCTCCTCTTCTGCCGGATTGCCCGTCTCTCCTACCACGAGTGGACGCCGTGGGTCAGGTCCCCTCTTCGCCTCTCTCCACGACAATAAGCGGCCCAACGACCCCAAAATTCAGGCACGCCGACAGAGTTTGAGTGAACAAAGGCCAGCGCCTGGTTTTATCGGCAAGATGTGGAACAAGTAAGCAACGCTGCTCTCACCTACGAACTTGCGCCGCTTTTGATGTGCTAGGGCTAATGAATATTTTTTGATAGTTGGGTTCATGGACCTTCCTCTTAGGATGAAGTGCTGGGCGCTGCAAAATCGTGATACGAAAATGACACATGAGGGTGACGCATCATTATGGGTCGCAGCAGTTGCTTGGAGTACAGGAGCAAATCAACTATTTGGAACGATTGTAGGATACTATTCGGATACTTGGTGTACGATCGGGCGCAGGCAGTTTGCAAATCACCTTTTTCCAATTTGAAGATTGATAAGTCACGATTTGACAACATATGAAATTACTGCTATGTGAATCTTGATCGAACAACTTCGCCCATGCCTGCCATGCAGTCGTTGTCCAGGAGATTCACAGAATTCTGAGGCAGTCGGCAATAAAGACACATCATTTGGGTAGATGTCACGAACCTTTACTCACCAATCATTTATTATTTGAACACTCAAAGCATGTCATACCAGGACATGGGCAAGATAGCTACTATCTCGCCCAAGATCTGTATGCTAGTTCGTATTGCACAGAGTTACAGCATGCCTGGGGCATCTGGACCCTTACAATGAAAAAGAAAAAAAAGCTGTGGCAACCCCTATCAAGGGACTTGCCCTTCAAACCTAGTGTGATCAGCTGGTTGCAGTTCTGGAAGCTCGTAGATGTTTGTGATCCTGTACAAGAAGCACCTACCAGCAAAAAAGTCAGCCTAGAACATCATACCAGGAACAACAGGTTCCAAGACTGTAGCAATCAAGCCACAAATGTAGCCACAGAAAGTGTTTTGTGGGGGGGGGGGGGGGTAAGCACAGGATCGCGCACAAGTAATACGCCATGAAGTTGACCTCAGCTCAAGGTCCCGAGAAATCCTCTCAGCAGAGCAATTGTCAGCAACAAGAGACCAAGGAAGAGACATAGTTGTGGATATGGGCAGACTGATGGGCAGGATAGAGTGGGAAAATGCTTTTGGTATCACGGGCACAGTGGAACGTCATGTCGGGAGTTCAAGGCAGGCAGAAGGCAGGCAGGCCGGCAGGCAGGTAGAATATTTGGGGACGGAAGGGGAAGGGGGTGGGGGAAATACAGGCAAGCGCGTCAACGTGGAGAGGGACAGCAGGTGAGCGGGCAAAGAGTGAGTAAATGAAGTGAACGTGTTCATTAAGAGGGTACATTTTGCCCAAACGGAGCTAAAAAATTCACCATAACCTTCAATTTGCTTGTTTTCATCTGCGATTTGTCGATGAATAATTTTTTGTACCCCTTCGTAACTCCGCCCTGTCGGAACGATCGACACAGTCCGTTTGATTTGTGTGTAAAGCATGGCCACACTTGTCTAGCAAGATCGGGCCCCAAGGTGGGACAGCCGTATAACGATCGCACGAGATGACTCTCAAGAGTCACCTAAATACGATGCTTCTCGCTCTCTGATAGAAAGGTTAGCCTCGTCCGGCCTGGGTAGGGCCTTTGTCTGAGCTCTCACCGAGTCTCGAGTACAGCATGTATAGGGCCATGCGGTTACACTCCTCTGTGCCAGTGATGGTGACCAGTCGCTCGTTGCTGTTGTCCTGGGGCTCGTTGATCTTGATGACGCTGCCACTGATCTGCCGAATCTCGTTGATCTTCTGACCACCCTTGCCAATGATAGCACCGACCATATCGTTAGGAATATATATCTGCTGCGTCAAGGGTGCTCCTGGCATTCCAGGGCCTCCGTGCATCGGCTGTGCCTGGGGATTGCCGTGGACGTGAGGACCGGCGTGGGGGCCATGGTGAGGCTGCATATGAGGTGCTGGGCCATACGCACCACCGCCAGCCTGTGCACCATAGTGCATGGGGACAGCAGGATTCGGTTGGGCCGGGTGAGGCTGCGCACCGTACGGAGGCGCGTATGACTGCGGCATCTGTTGCGAGCGAGGGTCTTGACGGGGATTGTGTCTACCGTAGTTCTCAGCTCGGCCATAGTTTCCACCGGCCGGCTGAGGCATGTATGGAACCACTTGCATTCCACCGGGAATCGCGCCGGTCGGTCCACCGCTGCGAGTGGCGTATGCGGAGGCGGAAGGGCCTCCAAACCGCTCGTTCAGTTGCTCGAGTAGTGTGCTCGCCACATAGTACGTGGCAATATGAACAGCATCGGCAACACCCATGACAACTAGGGACCGCTCGGTCGAGAGCGGCAGAACAGAGTCAGAAGCATTGAGCCTGGCGCCCGAGGCCTCTTGGATCTCCTTGATCCGCGCGCCGCCCTTGCCGATGATAGAGCCTATCAGGATGGACGGGATGAGCAGTCGCAGTGGGTACGTCTTGGACTGAGGGTTCGAGGCTTCCACCAGCGGCTCGTTGTTGAGAGTACGGATGATAAGACCAAAAGCCTGGCCACGTTAGTGAACTGATCGACACCAAACACATCAGATCTTGGACTTTGACGAACCTTGGCAACAGCATCAACGCTGCCGCTGACGGTGAGAATGCGCTCTATGGCCCCCTTCTGGTAGTCCGACACTGTGCACTTAGCGCTGGACATCTGCCTGATCTTGGACACATTCTCGCCACCTTTTCCAATGATCGTGGCGGCCTCTGGGCTAGTGATGACAGAGCGTATGTGGATCCAAGCCGTCTCGTCCTGGGCTGCCGCGGAAGACGCCTGAGTTGTGCTGCCCGGTCCACTCTGTGTGCTCACGATCGGCTTCGTCTCGGATGTGACCTCGGGCACGACAATTTCACCCTGGCCCTCCTTGGCTTCTGTCTTCTCGCCGTTGGTCTTTGTCTCGGTCTTCGGAATCTCCGGCAGAGAGTGAAGCTCCGCGGCCTCGGTGTGGCCGTTCTCGGAGGGTGACTCCCTCAGTTCCTCCTCCTCGCCTCGAATGACCTTGTCAAGGGCGGGCCGCTTCGCATCGGGCTGATCAGTCCTGGAAGGGGAGGAGGTCTCCTCCAGGGGACGCTTGGTCGAGTGGGTTGGGGGTGAGGCCGACATGATGGATATGCAATTTGGGTCCGGAGCTTTTCCCAGGTCAAAGTGATTATGCTTGGAAATTTTGTTTTTTTTGTGGTTCTTTTCTTTTCTTGAAATAGTAGTTCAATTGTTGTTGTTCTTAATCTACACCCGTGGGGCGAATTCTCGAAGGAAAACGTGCAGGTGCAGTGGCGGGCCGGGTATGGGCTGGACGGATCGAGTAGATAAACGGGGTCGACGGCGAGGGAGGTCGATGCAGTGCAGGATATGCCAGGAGAGACAGTCGCAAACAGGCGATTGCTTTGCTAGTGCTGAGGGGGGAGAGAGAGAGAAAGAAGAGAGGTCAAGTGCTGGGAGAACAACGCCTCTCTGATGACTGCTTCAGATGGGTTGAAGTGTGTGTTACCTGCTCAGGATGCTGGCCAGGCGATAGGAGACGTGGAGTGCTGGACGGGTTGAGGTATCGTGCCAAGGCAGGTTGCGATTGAGGATCGTGTAGGAGGCTGAGGTTGTGTAGTCGGGTAAAGGTAGGTAGGTGTGCAGGTAGGTAGTCAAGGGAGGCGAGGCGGGAAAAAGACGGAGGTTTGAGAGGTTGACGTTGTGCTCAAAAAGAACTCAATAAGTTGGCAGATGCGAGGAGGTAGAAAGGGCCAGTCAGAATGCCGAAAGACCACAGCTCAAACCTTTCTTTTGCACCTTCACACGGAGAAGCAAGCACCTAAAGTCGCCGTCTCAGGTAGATAACTCCTTACGTCCAACGCAGCGTCGTATCGGGTCCGTTGGCTGAGGAGCTGTTTGGCGGGGCGCTTCTGCCTGCTCTAAATTGAATCTGTCTGCGGCCTGTTAGGTATCTGCTTCCTGGCCGGTTCATTCGTGATAGAAAGGGCAAGAAATGGTATGGGAAGAACTTCTTTGAAGGTGAGGCGAGGTAAAATAGCTCGATGGTAACTAAAGTGTGGGCTTGGTGGGAAGGTAGCCCAGAAGCTTGGGAGCTGGGGCAGGCAAGGAAGGGGGAAAGTGGATGCTGAAACAGCGAGGCTCATCTGCGCACACTGAGAGCACACCCACGTCCTGTGTACAGTGGACCATCCAAAGAAAAAGCGATAAGTCTGTCGGATGTCACAGACGAAGGAGGGAGGGATGGATTCGTTTGTTCGTACCTGTTAAGATCAACCACACACAGGGGGATTAGACCAGGCGGGCTGGCGAAAGCAGGGGGGCGTCAAGGAAAATCAAACGTGCAGGAGACCGGTCGCAATAATGCCAACGACTGGACCGAGAGAAAACCCAGCTAGGCCTCGTGTCCGTGGCGAACTACTTGGGCTTTACGCGAGGGATCGGAGATGCGAAGGTTGAAAGAGGGGATGGGAAAAAGAAAGGGTTTGGTGATGTGGTAGTCGTAGAGAAGACTGGGTGGGCGGGCTCGAATTTCGACGAGGAAAAAGAAAGAACACCCCCCCATCTACCATAAAGAACAGGCTAGCTCCCATTCCCTTGCACCTTGCCTTTCACCCGCGCGCAGCAGATTCAACTGTGGGTCTGGGTCTGGTGGTCCGTGCTTTCAGACGCAGTCACACAAAGTTCTGAGCCAAGCGACGCCTGGCCAGCCACCACCCGTAGGCCCCCCAAGAAGGAACGCTGTTGGCCCCTGTAAGGACCCCTGCACACGCTGCCCTGCCGTCTTTTTTTTGAGGTTGCATTAAGGGCGTCCTGGGCGTCCTCCAACGAACATCTACCAATAATGATTGTCTCTATTCGAGGAATGTTCCAGCTCCCATGTCATAATGAGTGAGGGCAAAAACCAAGTACATCGTACATACTGTAATAATACCATATATATGTCAGCTTTGCCCATCCCACTGTGTAGCTGATACATGAAGTTTCTTTATTGTCGCTCTCAGACCTTGTCCCTCGACCCACGGAACATTCTTCCCGGTCTTCCGACACGCGCCATCTGTGGTTCACTGGCGCAGTGCATAATGGGATGGACAAAAGCAACATCCCCTTGAAACCACTCTGCCTGGTGCTGTGCAACACCAATCCGCCCCTTGACTCACTCTAAAAATTAAAATAAAAATAAAAAGAGAAAGAGAAATAATCCGAGCTGAGCCAATCAGTGACAATACTGGCGGCTATCGTATCAAAGCTACGAGTGAATCCCTAAGGCTCCAAGGAGACGCGTCGACACGAGACGCGCTAAGGGCAGCATTCGCGGAAGGGACGTCAGCAGCATCGATAGGCCGCTCAAACCAAGCAGCAGCTCCTCTGTCCGAAGACATCACATCAACTATCACACTCGGCTGTGAGAAGGACCTCTGGGCCTCTTCGTGGAAAATGGAAGACCCTGCAATGGTGGTGACGAGCGAAAATTTGCACACCACGTACTTGGACCGCTCACGAAAAGAGCTGCAGAAGAAGATTGAGCAGCTCAAGCGATCGCTCGCAGAGGTATTTCACCCAGCAAATAATAGCAACTGAGGATTCGCGATTGACTCAATGGTAGGAGAATGAGAAACTTGCTACTGTGTCCAGGAGACAGCAAAGTCGAGGGAGGCCTGATGGCGCAGCGGTAGTGGGTGCGAAACAGCAGCTAGACGCCGTAGCTGAGGCGTACAAAGAGGTTGCAGCATCCGAGCCTCTGTTGCCGTTTCCAGACTCTGTCGTCCCAGCGCTTGTCGCCTTGCGCACCACCAACTCGACCATCCAGGAGTCCAAGAAGTTTCTTGCCTCGCAAAAGATCTCTCTACAGAGTGCGCAAGACCAATTGGAAACAGAGACGGCCAACCTTGCTGATCAGAAGGCACTCACGAAAGCTTTGGAAAATCGAATCCAGTCACTACGGGAAGGTATCGAGTCGAGAACAGCGATGAGCCCTGGTCAGGTTGCGCGCGAAAAGATCTCGGAGATCAAGAGGCAAATCAAGGAAACAGATGCAGACAGATCAAGATTGCTCAAGCTTTTAGGCTCCTTCATTGACGAGCGATTGGCTATACTGCTGGCAGCGGAACAGATTGGTGGCCCAGTGGCTGGCGACATGATGGACGTCGACGCAGAGATTCTAGAGGCCGGATTCAGCGCCACAGGCAAGCGAAAGAAGCCCAAAGCAGATGCTGCGCCAGACAAACGGCAGAGGAGGATCGACGACATGTTCGGTGGGGGTCACGGTCGTGAGGTTGAGGGTGAGGGTGACGAGGCTGAACCCGACAGGCGGGCTGCAGCCGGGGACGAGATGCAGAGGTTGGTCGAGGAGTTGATGAACAGACTATTGGCAGCCAAAGGGTCCAGCTCGGAAGCGTATATCGATGTCCCTGAGGAATCGGCGTCCGTTCGGTTCCTAACCCGAGTCAAAGTGGCTGAATTCCACCCGCGGGATTCAAAGCGGCTGAGATTGGTGGATTTTGGCAGGGAAATTGGAGATTAAATTGATTTGGCAGTGGGATTCTTCTCCATTACCCATGCACTCAGCTCGCTTCTGCAGGGCTGTCAATCGCAATTGACCATGTCGAGCCGTGAAGGACGCCTTGGGAGCATGGAGTCACGAATCCTTTGGACGGAGGGAGGGATGAATATCATAGGTCAGCCCTGTCAATGCACACAAGTTCGAGTTAGATGCTGGCGCAATGTCAGTACTCACTTGCGCGCGCCCAGTGGCATTGGCTATTCTCGGAGACAGCAGACTCCAGTCAAATGAGTTCACATCACTTGTAAGCCAGGATCCGAACTGAAGTCCAAGTAATATCAACATGAAAGGCCGCATACCTTTTTGACAGCGATGAAACTCTCTCAATGTAATTTTGATTATTCGCAATCTGAGATCCAGCGTTGGGAACCAGACAGCATGTGGTGGTGTCTTGCTCTGAGTCAATTGGCCAATCAAAAGTGCTGCCTGCTTCAAGTACGACGGCCGAAGTACTACGAAACTTTCCAGACATTACAACTGATCAACATTCTGAGTTTCGTTGAGATGAAATGTTTACCTCGTTTAATACATTAGAAGAGAATCCGAGACTAGGGTTGCCTCGAATCTGAAGACGAGGTGAGGGGAAGAAAAGCAAAAAATGAAGGGGGAGGATAAGAAAGAACTTATAGAGAGAAGGTACAACAGCGGCAAGTTCCGTGATAGGACAACCTAGACAGGGGAGGGGCGTTAAAGTGGTACTGTAAGTCGCGTCTCGAACGCGTCGTTCTCTCCAAGATATTTAGAACCTCGCACAAAAACTCGTAAAGAGGGGGAAAACAAGCATCTGCAGCTTCCTAGTCACTCACTCACTCACTCACTCGTCTCCTCGTCTATCACCAACATTACCTTGTCTAGTTCTTCTAGAACATGACCACCGACAGTACCGTCCAGCCGTCATCACCAGCTTCCCACCCAGCCAAGCGCGTCAAGCTCGACGAGAACACTACAAGCAACACCACCACTATCGCCTCATCTGCAGACACCATGGCCGCCCCTCCGCTCATGATCAAGAGACTCTCTGAGAAGGCTCGCCTGCCTACCCGTGGCAGCGCCTTCGCAGCCGGCTATGACATCTATGCATCCAAGCCCACCGTCATCCCAGCACGCGGCAAGGCTCTTGTCGACACGGACATCAGCATGGCATGCCCGCCAGGGACTTGTGCGTCCTCCTTTCTCTCGACTTCCCCTTGTCCTTGCGCTTTGCTCCCAAGAAGACTGACCATAATACTTTAGATGGCCGTATCGCTCCACGTTCCGGCCTAGCCTCCAAGGTACGCAGTCTCCAAACCCTCCACGGGGAGGACAAACCTCGACTGGTGAGCTGGTCATTAACCCCATGTAGCACTTCATAGACACCGGTGCAGGTGTGATCGACGCAGACTACCGCGGTCAGGTCAAGATCCTACTCTTCAACCACTCCGAGGCCGACTTTTCCGTCTCCGAGGGTGACCGCGTTGCCCAGCTCGTGCTGGAGCGCATCTACACCCCCGAGGTGGTCGAGGTTGCCGAGCTCGAGGACAGCGTGCGCGGCGCTGGCGGGTTTGGTTCGACCGGTGGGTTCGGCTCGAAGCTCGTCGCGACGGTCAGCGCGACCACTGATGGGGCCACGGACGGTGCTGCCCCCGCGCCAGCGGTCGAGGTAAAGGTCGCCCCTGCCGCTGCTAATGGCGCTGGCAGGGAGATTGGCCAGCAGCAGCCATCGTCTTAGAATGTATGGTGGCAGAAGAAGAAGGCATCTGTGCTGCGTGCAGGACAGTTGCCCAGCGCGCCGGACCTGGCGGAAAAGACCACCAGGCTGAGGGCGAAGGGGAAAGATGTCCCTTGGCCGTGGACCGAGCATCGCGTCGGGTTCTCGGACACGTGCTGGATCGGAACTCCGCGCTGAAGCGGCCAAGCGCCACGACATTGCCGCTCAAATGAACGAACATTGGAATCATTATGCCTTGAAACAAGCATTGATAGGGTGCGGCGCTTTGAAGAAACTCCTGAGACCGGGATGACTGAGCCGATTGGTGGTAATGCTGCGTTTTTGAAAAGAGAGATCTATGTATACACCACAGCACCTGACTTTGGCCCAAGGCATAGATAAGACGTGTTCACATCGGTACAGACTAATGACAAAAAGAGAAGAAACCATGAATTGATATTCATTCGCAACTAATGCCCACCTCTACCGTCTACTTTCTTTTTGTCCTGCATCATCATTCTAATGTCTATCCAGATGCTCCAGAGCAATGCAACCATGAATCTTTCTAACCGCGCAACCCGTCTACGCTCACGACTCTACATCTTCTGCGCCTTAAACTCCACTTTCGGATCCCTCAGCGAGCCCAAATGCCTGACCAGCCTCAGTTCCGCCGCCTTGGATCGCGCGAGATGCATCCTCTTCTCGTCCAGGGCCCCAGCCTCCGCGGCGGCGGCCTCTACTCTCGCCACTTCGGCCTTCATACCCTCGCACGTCGCATCGAGCACCTCGTGCATGCTGGCCAGCACCTTCTCGGCGGCCTGCGCCAGGGGCAGGTCCGGGGCGCTCACGTCGTCTGGGCTGAGCCACGAGGCGGTCGTGCCGAGCGACGAGGCGTCGGGGCTGCTGGTCACGGCCTCGCGCATGCGCACGACCATCAGGGCGCCGAACATGTCGCCTGTGCCGGAGAAGTAGGCGTCGATGGCCGGGAAGCGGATCTTGAAGGCGCGGGGCCTGCGGTCTGAGGTCATTGTCGAGCCGATGACGGAGAGGATAGGAGGCCTGCTGCTGAGGGTGGAAGAGGAGGAGGACGGAGTGGAGGAGGGGGTGGATGTGTCGAGGGAGACGGAGGTTAGGATGATGTGTGGCACGTGGTAGGTGTCGTGGATGACCTCGATGGCGCGGGTAAGGGAGGCCATGTCTGTTATCTCAACGCCGGAGAGGAGTCTGTTTGTGCGGGAAGGAATTGCACCCCTTTGATCAGCAACGCTTGGCTCATTCTTCTCCATACAGCAAGGAAGAGGTTAGGGGGATTTTGATTCTTCTTCCCACGTACTCGGCCTCGAACTGATTCGGCAGAATCAGGTCTGCGTGCGGCAGCAGGCTCTTGTACGCAGGCACAACGTCCTGCGCAACATAAAGCCTGCCGTTGTCGCCCATCACGGGGTCCAGCACCCAGAAGAATGACCCTGGCTGGCCCTTCCTCCTCGCCTTGTCCTTGAGGTCTTCCGCGATGCGCCCCACGGCCTGGACCGCCTCCGCGCCTGGTATGTAGCCCGACAGCATCATGTCGAAGTCGTCGAGGTAGGACTGCTGGAGGCCCTCGTACAGGTCTGCAATTTCTTGCGCAGAGACCTTGGTGCCTTTGACCTGTCTGTAGCCGGTGTGGTTGCCTGTATTCAGGAGAGAGGGACAAGGAGAACCGAGTTAGAAGGTGGTGTCTGATTGTGACGAGCCCATGAGACGATAGAGAGGGAGGGCTGACTGACTGAATTGCACCGTATTGAGCGCAGCCACGTCGCAGCCGAGTGATTGCATTGTGAACACGGCGATCTTGTTACCGACATATCTGGAGTTTCCCTAGGTCAGCCCAGAAACTACTTTCCTTCCTGCCTTCCTTCCTCCTCCCCTGTTGACCCAGATCTTCAACTCGGGATTGGGTGCTGCGAGACTTACCCAGAGACGACCTTCGCATCTTGTCAGCACGGCTGTGATCCTCTTTCTCGCTTTCTGCTCTCAACATGGGGATGGGGCACTTCTCCGTACATGGCTGGCGACGGCCAAAACGCGGGTCTCCGGAACCGGCAGGTCTGTCGACATGATCGGTAGTGACTTCGGGGCTTGCGAGAGGGAATGCGTCTGTTCGAGGGACTTGAGCGAGTAGCGGGATAGAGAGAGGTCAGAACGAGACGGGACAACTTTGTGTAGACAGACAGAATATACTGTCAGTAGTCTTGTCCAAGGCAAATATTCAGTTGACGGCGAACAAAAGATCCACAGGTATATGTGAGGTGAAGTAAAGAGTCATATGTTTGGAAATATGCTGTGTAATGACAAACGGAATGGCCGGTAGTGGATTGGTTACTTGGAGAAGGCACTTTATCGCAGGGGGGAAGAAAAAAAAGTGCCCCGCAATCGCGTTGCATTTGGCGGGGCTAAGAAGGAGAACCCCACGTTTTGCGCTGTGTGTGTGACGCCGGCCTTGCATGGCACACCCGCCCGCCGCCCAGCGATCATCAGTGTGCCTCTCCGCATTGGTGCAAGGTACCCGTAGAGCTCACCCATAGTTTTTGTCTCGCCGGAATGTCGCCTGACGGGTGAAAGTCATATTCGCTTGATTCAGACTTTGGTTGTCTTTTCTTCTTTGTTTTATTTCTCATCACGATTGTAGATGGAGAGGCTCTTGTCCCAAATAAACACACCCATGCCCGCCAGATAATGCTCTATGGTGTAGTGCAGTATCCTGCAACTCCCTCTTCCTCTAAGACGCACGGCGACTTGACTCAAACGCAACAGCTCATTCGTCTTGTGACACATGTTATCCTGTTGGCCCATGTCGCAGCGTCTCCTTGCAGGTCATCAGCGTCGCCTAGTCGTGAACATCCCTTATAAGTACATCACGCGCCCATTTTCTGGGCCATCTACTCCTCGTCGCCAATCTGTAAAGAAGAAGAACAAGTTTAGCCATGTGTTCATGAAGGACATAGGGTATCGTATCACCACGGGCCGGGAGCCTCACCTTTGGTGCCAGGTAGAACCGCAGCCAGCTGGTGCCCTGGATCGAGTACTCAACGAGCAGGGGCACCTCATTGGACAGGCAGATCTTGACTTGTGTAGACAGGGCCGAGGCCTTGCAGAAGTTGACCAGGTACTTAAGGGAGAAGGTCAGGGAAACAGGCTCGCTCAGCTCGATGTCGATGTTCAGATCGGGCTTCTCGACGTTCTGGTGACTCCGCAGCGTGACAGCACCGTTGCCAATGTCGCCGGTACAGGCAAACTTGACGCCGTCCTTGCTCGCGTCGATGGTGACTGCGTTCCGGGAAAAGCCACAGAGAGTCAGCACCACTTCTCTCTTGTCTTGTAGGAAGATATGTCCGTAGAAACACCCATCTTAGGAGGATGAATAGGAACTTTTCCTTCTTACCAGACTCAGACATGGCCAGCAGGTCGGTGCAGATGCGCCTGAACTCGCCAGCGGGCATGGAAATGGTGGCAGCGTATTCGGTCTCGGGAATGCCCAGGTGCTCCTGGTCGATGTCCATGAGCTTGAGGTCGTACTCGGAGATGCGGTCGTTATCGGCAGACTCAAAGGTCAGGTTGAGCGAGTCGGGGGCGTCTTCTGCCTTGAGGGTCAGGATGTCCTCGTTTTGGGCAGCGCGCAGCACCTTGGTCAGGGATGTCAGGTTGACGCCCAGCGCGATGTTGCGGTCGCAGCGGTAAGGGCTGAAGCCGTCCGCCTTGAGCATCATCGACACCAGCGCCACGTGCGAGTTGTCCATGGCCTGCAGGGCGATGCCGCTGTCGTTGCAGTCGAAGTTGCAGTCTTGCACCAGATCCTTGATGGCGTCGACCACCTGCAGGGCACGAAAGGCGGGGTTAGATAAAGCGAGATTCTCACGACGGCATAGGGGCTTCGCTCTGCGAGATGGGAACGGATCTTTCTCTTACCTTCTTCAGGATGCTGGCCTGTTCCAAGCGTGCCTCAAGCATTTCTGCGGCTCTGTCAGAATTTACTTGCACGCCAAAAAAGGGGTTGATTGCCTGGTTGTGTTGCTGCGGCCTGTGGAACAGCGTGGGAGCTTACTGAATGTGGGAAAGAGACTGTTGCGGTGGTGGGATGGTGTACTGAACAAGGTAAAGAGAGTTATTGAAAGGAATATAAAAGTGGTAGTGTGCAGCTGTGTTTGCGCAGGAATGAGGTCGTTGTGTTTGTTGTATTAGGGGGGAAAGACAGTAGCAAGTGAGAGCCTCTTTTTTATAAAAATCCACGACGCGAAGGAGACGCGCTCCCCCGCGTCATTCGTAATAGCTTTGATGGGCTGGTACATACTATGGGCAAGTAGTACAGGGAGCCCTTGCGCGCTGCACAGGACACCCTGGAACCCTGGCGGCTGCTTGCCTATAGAGGTGGGTCTCACTGGGCTGAGTAACTGCACCTGTTGCACCTCCGGTAGCCAGCGCTCATTTACGATACCATGATCTTCTCGAGTTGACAAAGAACAAGAATAGTCAAGAGTATATCGCTTTCGTAAAAGATCTGATTTGTGTCATGGGGTCCGCAGCATTTTGCTCCCTATATCAACCTGTCTTTGTTTGAGCAGCGCAGCATATACAATCAGCTCAAAGATCTTGGTCTGATCCAAGCCATAGTCTTTCTTTTGTCACAAGCTCATGGTTGGGGTTTCTCTTTATGCATGCAAAACTGAATTTGACACGCTGGCTGACGCCCTTCATCATGTGTATAGTATCCAACAAAAACATTATGCTAATTTAATGTCCCTCTTGTCCTGATAATATAACAGAGTCATGCTCAGCCCTGTAACTACAAGAAGCCACCTATGTATGCCCCCACCCTGAGATCTATGGTATAGTATAGGGAGGTATCAAAGACTCAAACTCAGCTCTGGAGGAAAAAATTACCTCTGCACATATCCTTTTTCCTTTTCTGACCAAAAATGAAGAGAGAAAGCAGAGAGTACATACATAAAAAAGAAAGCAGAATAAGGGATAGTATTGTAACCTGCCACCACGTTGAAACGCCAGCCCGTGAAGATGCGATAATAAGTGCAGATAGATAACGGAAAGAGAGAAAGAAAAAGAGGAATTTGAAAAAGGAAACGAAAACGTCAGTCATAAAAAAAAAAAAAGCTGACACTGGATCACCAATGTCGCTCAGGGAACGGACTCGTGCAGATGCGCACTCACATGGAGACGACCCTACCCGCCTTGATAGGCGGCATCGTCTGCCTCCTGTTGGTGTTCTTGTTCGGTCTCAGGTTGATGACCATCTCAAGCTCCTTCAACATCCCGCGGCTGGCATCAGCCTTCTCCTTCATCTCGGCCCTCCTCTCTCTGTCCTCTCGCATCTTTGCTATCCTCTCCTCTCTTGTCATGGTGCTCCTCGGCCGTAGCGGTGTCGCCACTGCCTCAAACACCTCCTCGCTCTCGCCCGAGTTGCTGGTCAGGTCCACGCGGTCAGAGGTGTCTCCCGTCAGCGCTCGCAGTGCATCCTCGACACCGCCGCCGCTCTTCTCCTCGACCGTAGACAGGCCGCTAAGAGATCTTGGCGACAGCATACCGCTTATCGACGACAGACGCTTCTCGTTCCGATCAATGCCCGATGCCAGTGCGGATCTGCCGTCTTCCCAGGCCTGTTGCAGCATCTTCAGATCTTGGCCGATCGACTCATACTGCGCCATCAAGTTCGGTCCCAACTCGGATATGTCGGTGGCCTCGTTCAGGGACCGGTCGGACTCTTCCCGCAGTAACGTCATTTTTGCTTGGAGGCCACGGATGCCGGTGGTCAGCGAGTTGAGTTTTCTCAGCTGCGACCGCCATCTTTCTCGCCCGGGCGAGAGGGGACCCTTGTCTCCTGTCGGGGCGGGTGCTGGGAACGAGTCCTCCTCGCTCAGAATAGACTTTAGGCGCACATAGGACTCGGTCGTCGTCTCGTCCAGCATGCGCAGGGACTCCGCGACGGTGGTCCACCTCACGAAATCAGTCTCGTCCCCCTGTGCCTCCATCGACAACAAGGCGCAGAGGAACATCTTGCGCATGATATGGAAGCGTGAGGCCGCTGCCTTCAGGGTCCTGAGCGACTCCATGTCCTCGAATTCGCCTTCCGAATAACCCTGCAGAGCATCCGACATGTCCAGATCGCTGATGTCGTAAATGTCGTAGTATCGCTCCAGATCCAGCTGCTCGGAAAAGCCCTTGACCATCGACGACGCCTGCTCATACTTGGAGATAATATCCCCAAAGCTCTTCCTCAGCGCCCTCCTGAGCCGCACGCATCTGCGCGTCTGGCTGCGGTCTTCGATCCGGCTGATGGGCGGCAGTGGGGCGCTGAGCCGATATCCGCGCGAGACGAGTTCTACCTCCTGGATCAGAGCCAGCGCGGCACTCGATGCACTGTCGAAGTCCTGTGCTTTGGAGACGAAGGTTGCGGCTTCCGCCAAAACCTGCTGTCGGACATATCGAAGCCACTGCTGGCGGATGAAGGCCTGTGAGGCGACCCCTGCCAGGGCAGATACCACGACAAAGACTACCACTCTTTTCTTAGTCAAGTTTGTGATCCCACCATTATACAACCACCGAATGAACCAGGCCAGGCCAAGCGCGCCCACCGCCGTGAGGATCAGGCCGGTCTGGGACGGCACGCTCGGGTCCTGGCTGGCCCCCGACTCGATCGCAGAGCTCTGCACGGGGGCATGCTGGGCCAGAATCGAGTGTCCGCTCAGAAGCTGCGACGCGACAATCGTGTACCGGAATTGCTCGATGAACCTGGAATTGTCGGCCCGGTCGAGCTTCGTCGCTACCTTGGTGGCGCCATGCTGCAGGGAACTCAGCCGCTTCTTCTTCAGGGGAGTGGATGTGATGGTACCCCTGGCAAGGTTGATATTCAGGGCATCGGGTATCCTAGAGCGGTAGCGCGACTTGACGAGAGGTCGTCCGGTGGGAGCGAAGGAGGTCGAGGGGCTCGGGGGGCTCGGGGGCGGCGTGTCGATCACGACGTCGGGCTCCTGGGTGGCCCAGTCGCGTTGGTGTTCCTCGCCCTCGTCTATGGTAGTGAGAAGCGATGTCAGCGCGAAAGGCCTCATGGTATCTCCATGGGGGGAGACACAACAAAGGACATGGACACAGCAAGATAGAAAGAGGGAGGGGGAGGAGAATATGCAACGAGACGATAAGCAAGGACAAAAGGCAATGGACGAGACTGGTCTGCTACTGACCCTTGAGGTACTCGGCGAGCGGCGTCTGGTCGTAGATTACCGTCTCCATGTAATACTGAGGAGGGATCAGAGCCAACTGATTTCGGTACCGACCACCAGTTAAGTCTTACGGCTGCCTCTAAATTGGGAGCAGCTAAACACCCGAGGGGCCTAAACATCCAATTGCGAGACGTCCGAGTTTTGAACCCTAACGGACGTATTGGCAAACCGCGTTGTAAACGTTGTTGGTTCTCTCAGAAGAGGGACAGTGCTGCTCGTCTCCGAGGCCACACACAGCACAGCACAGACTTCTGGTGCGTATCTTACCCTGACTGGTACCGTAGCCGCGCCGTCAAAACCTCCAAAATCGAAATCGAAACGGAACGAAACGTTTTGCCGCTGGCAGGGCTAGACTGTGTCAGAGACTGACTGGGAGTGAGGCGAGCAATTTGCTCTGGTGACGTGAGATTAGGCGAAAGGTGGGATCGCCACTACTCGAGGAACCGTAATAGCGCTTCGATGGTCAAATTATAAGCCTCGAGGGGATTCGGATCTGCGGACTCGGGAAGTTTGATCTCCGTGACGTCGACCGAAAACGGTAACGAGGTAGAATTTCTAGAAAAGGGTGGTGTCCAAGACAAGACGAACAAGTAAGGACACGAGCTTGTGTTTGTCTGTCTGTCTGTCCTGTGCGCACCTCACTTGTCACTTCGCTTGTCGGTGATTGTGATGTCGGCAAGGGGGGAGGGGGGTTCGAGATTAAAGTTAAATTAGAAAGAGAGACTCAACGCGGACGAGAAGCGGAAGAGAGGAAGAATAGGAGGAGGAGGGAAAAGAAGCAGAGGAAGATTTGGTCAGATTTTCTGGCTTGTAATCGACGCAGAGATACAAGAAACACAGACGCTCTCTGTCTTCCTCTCTCTCTCATTCCCTCTTTTCTCACTCAATTTACCGACACACCGAATCCAACGATGAGGAGTTCAGAGTCGGTGTGCAGGCCTCGGCCGTGATCCGCTCGTCAAAGCCTGGCGCCTGCAGTGTGTACGTACGTTGTAATTACTTAGCGAGCCGACTTTTGAGTGGACGCCAGGCTCTTGGGACCTGGGCAGGCTGGTCTGGGCAGGTGCCATTCTGCAGGGGGTTCTGTCGGGGTCGATCTTCGAAACATGCCAGGCCCTGGTCAGAGCCAGTGCTTTCCAGTAGCACGACTGCCGTACACATACTGGGGCTACAGTACAGTACTAAAGTATGCCATAGTAGTGCTATGGTGGTATGCAGCCCATCTCCACAGGGGGTCAAGAGGGGCGCAGGGTGGGAAAGGTGCACAGGAGATCTTCGCCTAGTCTTGAGAGTCTAACCGCACTGGGCAGGCGACAAACAGCTGCAGCTGTGCTTGCTGCGATTTCAACGTCGTTGATGACGGCGTCAAAGAGCATCCCACCAACACCACCACCTCGGCGTCGCCATCACCGTCACCGTCAAGCAATCAATCAAGCTGAAACACGTCCTATACATGATAGGGAAATAAGGACGACTCAATACTTTTTTGTTCTATCAAAGAGGGGAGTTGGGATGGTGAACAACTAGGGATAGAGAGCGCCCGCAGAACACCGTCAAGATGCCCACCGAGAAGGAGCTCCAAATCTCGCCCATTGTGAACGAGTCTGTCGTCCACAACACAAAGGTCAGTAGCCTGTCTTCCGGCTGGTCCTTTACACCAACTCGTCACCCTTCTCCCAGCTAATACTTCCTCCTCTGGTGGGGAAAAAATTACCAGACTCTCTCCAACCTTCAATCCCTGACAGCCTCCCTCTTTGGCGTCGCCGCTGGCATTCTCGGTCTCGAATCCTACGATGGTTTCCTCTTCTACATCGTCTTCACCCTGTTGACTGCCCTACTATTCTACTTCTTCCGCGTCGCCCCAGAGTCCATCGCCGCTGGCAAGCCCGCCCTCGACACGAGCCGCTACTTCCGGGGCCCGCTAGAGCTGTGGACGAGCGGGCTGATGGGGGGACTGGCTGGCTTCGTCTTAACTTGGACGCTCTTCTTTGGGCTGGTCAGGGCGTAGGAGCTGGTGACAACACTATATCATAAGCACAGGGCTGCGGCTGTAAGGAACAACCCGCTGAGCGGGGGCGTTCTAAGAACTGAGCCGGACATGCCAACATAAACAATCAATACATGCGCTATATACCCATGCAATAGAGTAGGATATGGATATTCGCGAGGCAAAGTGGTTTCCAACATCCCTCTATGAACATCGATCTCCAGACTTGAATAGCAAAGACCCCAAATGTATGCTTTGACAGGAATATGGGGAAGAATGAGGGCCAAAATGAAAAGAAAGGAAGGAAAGAAGAAGAAACTAAGGAAATCAACCCGGTTCATACCCAATGTCAACAACGATGTGTATCGCTTACTCCGCGATTTCTATAACTTTGCCCACGAACCCATCCAGGCCCGACCTGTCTCTGCTTGCGCCCTCTAGAATCACCATCTGCGAGCCCATCTCAATCCATTCCCTGTGCGTGAGTAGCTCGAGCTGGACCTCATACAGCAATACCCTGTCGTCATCCTGCAGGTCTTCACGACCGCCGGTTTTCTCCATGCTAATATTGAAGACATCTTCATCCTCCTCTGGTTCACCAGCCCCGGTGGCGGTGGCGTCGTCGGGATACGTCCAGGTGGGCGAGACGCGTAATATCCTCGCCGAGGCACGGACGCTGGCAATGTACACCTTGACTATACTCCCCACGATCAACGAGGCCGTTGCCTCGTCCTCAAACGCGCCGGTGACGCCGCTGGCCGCTTGCAACGACAGGCCCGTCTCCAGCATGTGGTTACTGGGCCTGGCGAGCACCATGCCCTTGCGGATCTTGGGCGTCGGTCGAGGCGGGCGTTCGAATATGCTATCCGAAAGGTCTTCCTTGGGCATATCGAAGACGACGCCGATGGTCCCTGCTTGGCCCGGCTCAAGTATGCGTACGGGCAGGCGCAGGTTTCGGATCGTAACAATATGGGCGTTGTACCACTCACCCTTGATGGCAGAGGCCGGTACGGCGTTTCGCATGGCGAGGCGGCCGAGCTCTGAGGACGAGGGATGCGAGGCAGACAGGCCCTCTCCACCTGGCGACGCCCGCTCTTCCGGCGTGATGGCGCTGGAGTCATCGTCCGGCGGAAAGGGCCCGACCAAAATGTGATCTCCAATCGCAAGGTGTCCAAAGCGGAGATACCCTGCAACGACCGTGCCGTGATCTGCATCCTCTTCTTCCTTGACAGCGTTCCCGTAGAGCGCCGAGAGGCTGAACTTGTCATCGATGTGGAAGACTGCGTCGGGCTGCTCTGGATTAAGTGCCAGGCCGACATAATCTCGTGCCGTCGGCATAGGCGGTATCGGCAGCTTCTGTAGAAGCGCGTGGAGCAAGCCTATACCTTCACCCTTGACTGCACTGGTTGACACGATGGGCACATAGTCAAGGAGAGTGCCACTGTTTTGCATCTCTGAGATGAGAAGCTGTAAGTCGTCCTCGTCTATGGCCGGGACCCTTGTCGGGTCAGACTGCACCCTCTGCTTGATCAGCAATTTCGGGATCCGGCCAGCGCTCTTAACGGCGGCGAGAATCTTGGTCAGGGTGCTGCGGAAGCTGGTGGTGGTAGCTACGTCAAGCTTTGTGATGACGATGACCAATGGCATACGCAGCTTGAGACACAGGCCGAGATATGCCTTCCCTTGGTCTACCTCGAGGGGTGCGGATTCCGCCTCATCTTGTGGGGTCGTCGGCGCTGACCTCCCCTTCGGCTCGCCATCGTTCGCAGTCAGGCACAAGAGGGTCCAGTGAGGAGCCCAGCCGACGAGACCGCGCAGGACGGTCCTTCGGAATCGGAGGTGTCCTGCTGAGTCCGAGACAAACACTAGCCGCCCATCCCGTGAGGAATCATGGATGGCCTCCCACGAGTCAATGTTGCGGTCCGAGAAGCTATAGATTTGGTTTTCGTCTAAGCCGTTGTTTTTGTATCCAATCAGCATATGAGAGAGGGAGGTTGTCATGCCAGATGTCAGTTCGTGCCGGTGCCGCAGCATGAAGGTACGGCTTCTACCTGAGCCGTTGTCGAAGATTCCGGTGGAGAGCGTCCCGAGGAGGGTAGACTTGCCGCCATCAGTCGGTCCAGTGAGCGTGACCCGAAGCTGCTCAACCGTAGACTTGGCCTCGACATTCGACACCGGCTTCGGAGGAGCGAACGGCATCTCGTCTACCGGGCCAGCCGCCTTGTCATCCGCTCCGCGTGATGGGGTCACCAGGGCTTCGGCCACATACAGTTGCTCGCGATATATGGCTGATGGCTCCGGGTCTCCTGTCGCCGCCGGGCAATCAGACCATTCACACTCCCCAACATACTGCCGTCGAGTCACATTCACGATACAGCCTAGACTAGCAGCCATGACCCGCAGGGTCAGGAGGCTCTCCTCCATCTCGTCGGCGGGCAGCCCCACCAAAGTGCCATCGTCAGATACGCCTATCTCGTATAGAGCGCCTCTCGACTCCTCAAGGCCCTGCCACAGGGTCCCGGGCTGAACCGCCGCTGCGAGGTCGACGCTGTCAGCCGGCAACTTGGGAATCAGAGACTCTGTCGTTCCCAGGGGGCCGTTCGTCATGGACTGCTTGAGCCTCCAGAGTAGTTGGGTCGTAAGGTGGTACAGCCGAAGCCTACGAGACTCGGTAGTTGTCGCATAGTACTCGGTGGGAGGTTTTCGCTTCTTAGATCCCAGGGGTGTCGAAGGCCCATCTGCCATGATATGTGAGTGTCCCAGGCTAGGTAGATCTCCTGCCAGAGGGTCCCAGGCCGACGAGGCCTCGTCTCGGACGGACCCCGAAGCAATGCCAGTGGTTACAGTCCGGTATGGGCGTCTTGGACGTAGGAGGAGATGCAGCTTATACTCGATGGCCCCTTCTTGCGGCTCGGCCTCGAGCTTGGTGACGGTATCATCCGGGGTCCTGGAAGGTTGGTGCCATGGAGAAGAAACCCGAGTTGGCTCTGTGCCAAAGGTGAACACCGACATGGTTGCTGTCAACCAGAGTGTACTCGAGATACTGACTGATGTCGACAGATGAGCGAGTCCTTAGGGTTTCTTGTGTGTGTCCTTGGCTCACCAGAGCGGTGTGTGTAAGCTCGCAAAGGGAGATAAATGCGCTGGTGGGGTTTGGTGCCCCTGCAGTCTATCCAGCAGTGACGATGAAGCGGCCGGCCAGTCTAGACTTGAGGTCTCCCCTAAGCAGCTCGAGCAGAGAGATTTAGCTGCGGTATGGCAGTGGGAGGAATGAAGGATCAAGGGCAGTCGACACGCAGGCTCAGTCGAGAGAGTCTGGCGTAGTTGCTCTCGTTGTTATGGATCGTCCCCGTCCAGGGTAGCTGGCGGTAGTCTCAGTATCTTAAGCTCTCAAGTCTGCTTATATGCCTTCGTATGGACCTTAAATCTATAACGGAAAAGTAGGATGATCTTGTTATTTGAGGCCACATCTTGACTTCTGTGCGTGGCTACTTGCGTGAGAGGGCAAGTGGAGGATGGAGAACTGCAGTGGGCTCCGGTAGAGATGTCGAAGACAAGGTTGCGACGGTAATAATGCCGCGGGTTTTATTGGAGGCTCGTCTGCAGCAGCGTGAGGCGGCTCAGAGAGACATTGTGAAGACGTAAGTAGATGATTCGAAGTGGAATCTTGTTTCTCTGTTGGGATTTGTTCTAGGAAGCAACATCTGGATGAGTTGTTGAGTTGTTATCGAAGGCCATCACGGCAGGTCCGACTCAAACCTTGGACCTTTTGCTGTCAGTCAGCGGCATCGCCCATAGCACCGCCAACCAGAGGGGCCCAAGCAAAGGCGACCAACCAGGCCTTTGTACTTTCGTACCGCTGCGCAGCGCTCACATGCGAGCTACAAAGGAGTCACGCCGACAACAACCCTCTCTGAGATTTTCCTTTTTTTTTTTACGACCAGCAACTTAATCAAATCACCATAGTGGATCTAAGTAACCACCAGATACGACCATGTTGGTCGGCACATCATCCAAGAGGATGAAAAGCGACGAGAATACGCCCAGGGCTGCGCTGTCGAAACGGCCGCGGACGCCCTCGAATTTGGACAAGACGCCAGTCAGGAAGACGGCTGTTGAGGACGCAAAGAGCGACACCTACAGCTACATTTACCGATCCAGTTTCAACAACGACGACTACAGCGATTCCCACAGTCACAGCGACGCCGACAGTGCTGTGCAACTTGCAGACGAAGATGAAGTCGAGGTTAGGCCGCGGCGGCGACCATGGACGAGGCCAACTGGCCTTGGATCCAGCAATACGGATATCCAAATCCTTCCGCCCTCGGCGGCTACGACGGCGGCTACGACCCATGACACCATGCTGCGAGATAGACACAACGAGGCGGCTGCTGTGCTTCGTGAAGGTCATGGCAGGGGACGTGGGTGGAACGAGGATGGCGGCCCCCACAAGCGCCCACCTCCAAGGACCCTAGACAAGGTGAGACTAAGTTTGCACCAGTCACCGCGAACCCTTCCTTATACGATGCACTGCCCCTTCAACACAGCTGTTGCAGGTGCATCCAATGTCTCTAACGTGAGTGCTGCGGTGGCCTGGTCGTCGGCTTACCAACGGCCCTGCAAGTGGCAATTTCCATACACAATCTCTGGACGAGATGATCTGGCTGGCTACTGGTCTGGTAAGTGACCAGTACGGGTTACGCAATACGGGATGGAAACCTATTATAGAAGACACGATAGTGGTTCAACGTTCCTAGGCTGCTTGCGCCAGGCGGTCCACCGCCCATCGTGCCTGACGGGACGGATGATCGCCATGCCTTAGTGGCTCTTCTCGGGGAGAAGGGGTCGGCTCTAGTGGACCCTTCTACTCCTTCCCAAGCTCCCGCAGCGGCCACTCCAGGTCTCCAGGGCTCCTCTAGCCTCTCCACCGCCACCTTATCGAAACCCCCGATCCCATGTCTCTCGAAACGCGCCGCAGTCTCAAAGTCATGTCGCCCCCTTTTCCACCTCGGTTCCATTAAAACCAAAACACTCCATCCGTCCTCCTGGTGCTTACATCTATCCTCTTTCCCCTCCGATTCTCTCTCACACACGCATCCGACCTTGAATCTGTCTGTATTCTGTACCATTACCGTTGTCATTACAGTCTCTGTTCTCACCTGTAGATTCGATTATTGACCGTCCTATCACCAGAAAGCAATGGGTTTCTTCAGCAAGAAGAAGAAGGACGGCAACGCCAACCCCTACGCCCAAGATGGCGCTCAGGTGCCCTTCTCCAATCCGTTGACTCCCTACCAGCAAGCCAGAAACGACCTTGCCCAGGGGCGACCCGCCGGCCTCTCGTCAAGCACAGCTCCTACTGCTTCGAACACTCCTCCTCCATCCTACCACAGCCCATCCATCGCGAGCAGCCGATACGGGGACGAGAAGTACGGGAACCAGAAGGGCTACGGGACCGACAGATATGGCAGCACCGGTTCGGGTCCTGCGCCCGGTGGGTACGGTGGCTTCAACTCTGATGCTGGAAACAACCGCAGCCAGGCTTCCGCCGCACAACCAGCCGGCGGCGATAGGAATCCTGCTCTCTTCGGCAACGCCCAGGAACGATACAATCCGTACGGCGGTTCGAAGCCGCAAGCACAGTCCGGGCCCCAAGGCGATGAGTATGGTGGTTATGGTGCGCAGCGGGAATTGACAGGTAGGTACATCACTGCCATGAGACTACTGGCATTGTTCTCTAACGACTAGCAGAGGAGGAGCAGGCGGAAGCGCAGGCGCAGGCCCACGTCGACGAAGCCCACGGGGTGAGAAACGAGAGTATCGCAGCTCTTCAGCGAACCCTTGCGATGGGTAACCAAGCCTTCGAGCAAGCCACTGGCACGTTGGTGCGAATCGACCAGCAGGACGAAATGATGTTCAATGCGTATGTTTTCTCTTTTTTTTCTTCTCCGACTCATGTGCTTGTAACTGACTAACTCTGTGTGTCCAGTAATAAAAATCTGGATTCGTCGCTCGCGCACGCCAGGGACGGCCAAGCCAAGACAAAGTAAGTTGCAATCTCACATCTTCCTTCGATATGCCATGCCGTCCTGTCAGATACTCATCCTATTGAATTTATGTAGGACGCTCCGGAAGTTGAATGATACGCCATTCTTCATACCTGTCGAGCCTGGCAGGAAGGCACAGGACAAGCTGGCCGAGATGGCAGTGTTGAACAATCGACAGGACCGAGAGCAAAGGGAGCAGACACTACAAGCAGGATACACGGATCGGCAGAAGATGGAGCAAGATATGCAACAGCTTGCCAGGGCCTCATCTGGACCTAGGCTCCTCGGTGCAGGCAAGCCGGCCAACAAATTCGCCTTAGAAGATGACGAAGAGGGTCAAGCTCAGGAAGAACAAATTGGAGGCCTGATGGACGATGTGCTTGTCGTCAGCAAAAACCTGAATATGGCCAGCTCAGCTATGACTGGCAAACTCGAACGGAGCATCGCTCAAATTAACGACGTTAGCGGCAAGGTATGTTCGCCTTTTCGTACCCTGTTGCAGTCGCGTTCACTAACATCTGGCGCAGGTTGATTTGGTGGACGACAGAGTAAGTCAACTCTCAATCCTTACGCGGGGGTTTCCAATATGGCCATGGAGCTTTGCACTGTTGTCTCCCGAGGCCTCGGCACATCTCGAGCGGACTAGCCATCGAGATATTTTTCCTTTCCCTTCCAAAATTAACCTCTACTAACCGGGACAAAACAGGTCCGGAGAAACAGAGAGATGCTGAACCACATACGTTGAGCACTCAGAACGAAGGTATTCGATCTTGTCTGTCTAGAAGTCTCTGGGTTGATGTGGCGCTCCCCACTTCTGAGCAACAAGTATCAGAATTGGCATATCCTCATACCTCTTCTCAGGCTGCAGCATCACCCGGTCTCAATGATGATTTGGCCATATGCGATGGATTGGCCCTTTGTGCTCAATACAGATCCTTCCATATATTACTTCAGTTTCATTATTATAAGAGCTCATATGATGAGGGTTGAGCTCCATCTCGTTCGAGGCATTGCAATATCTGTTTCTGGCCTTGGGGCCACTGCGTGAATGAGGTCTCCCAATCCACTGCCGCCACACCGCACGCCACCTAACTATCCCCGTGGCTGCCTATTCTTGTCGAATAGAAGGCACGTCTTGACCATTGGGTTATCGAAATAGCGATCAAATCAACCATTTGGAATTTCTGCTACCGGTCTACAGCTGGCTACACCGTGCAGCTGGAGATCATCTTAATTTTCCAGCATCCAAGACGGAAGATGAACCCCCTCTGACACATTGGTCCCTGGCGTGAGCAATTTTTGCCTCTCAATATATTTTCATGTGAACCGTATCCCAGCTCCTTATGCTCTCCTTTCCTTTCGAGTTTTTTCTTTTCTTGTCTCCTCAGAGTAAGTTCTTCGTATTTGCTTCTCAAGACATGCGTGTGGGTGGTGGTTGCTGTATATGTGTGAGCCTAGAGGCTTATGTAATCAACGCATCCTAGCAACAACATCCATCTTTTCCACCCGCAAGGAGCCTTTCAGATTCTTTTCGACCAATCAACACCAAGGCCCGCCAAGATGCCCAAGCGACGAAAAACTTCTGAGGCTGGCGCCTTTGTCAAAATCGGTGATAAAGTCATCTCCATCGAAGGATATCTAAAAGGCGTGCCAAAAAATACAGGTGTGCCTGGAGGCGGCGGTGCCACCAATCCTCCAGATGGTACACAAGAGGATGAGTCCTCACAGCAAGGCAAACCACAAAGCACAGATTCTCGCGCCAAGAAAACACCAGTAAGAGGCCTTACCTCTCGCTCACATCAAGAACAAGAAAGAGGCGACAAAGTTCTGTTGCGAACCCGTGAAACATTGCCGATCTGGAAGCACCGCAACGACATCCGAGATGCCCTGAGGAAAAATGATGTGCTTGTTGTCGTGGCGGAGACGGGCTCTGGTAAGAGTACCCAGGTGCCCCAGTTTCTCTTCACTGAGGATTGGTGCTGCAAGAAGATAGTCCAGATACGCACGGCAAACCGAATTGAGGATGTTTCGGTCGGAGGAACCATCGCTATCACGCAACCGCGCCGCGTAGCTGCAACAACCCTCGCGCACAGAGTGGCCAAGGAAGCTGGGACACCATTTCATCATCAGAGCACTGGTCGCCTGGAGGGCCTCGTTGGGTACTCTGTCCGTTTCGATCACAATGTTCCCAAGGGAGCCAAGATCAAGTTCCTGACAGAAGGCATGCTCCTGCAAGAGCTACTGCGCGATCCACACCTGCGACAGTACAGCGCCGTCATCGTCGACGAGATTCATGAGAGGAGCGTTGATGTGGATCTACTCTCAGGTTTCCTCAAGCAAATCATCTCCGGCGACGACAAGGCTGGTCGCGGCGGGGTGCCATTGAAGGTAGCAATCATGAGCGCAACCGCAGAGGTGGAGAAGATCAGGAATTTCTTCACGGTCGATCGCGCCGGTCAGCCTAGGGAGCCGACCTTTCTGGACATTCCAGGTCGTCTCTATCCAGTCAACATTATCCACACCCCTAGGCCGGTTGCAGACGTCCAAGATACACTCATCAAGACCATCACAAGAATACACACCGAACAGCCGTGCCCTGGAGATATCCTGGCCTTCCTCACTGGACAGGAGGAAATTGAGACTGCCCAGAAGATCATCGAAGATTTCGCCAAAACCTTAGCCTCGGACGTGCCCAGACTTGTTCCGGTACCTCTCTTCGGCCAGATGTCCATCGAAGCACAGCAGAAAGCCTTCCAGCCCGTCTCTGGGAGAATTGCTCGAAAGGTGGTCTTGTCCACAAACATTGCTGAGACGTCGGTCACAGTGCCTGGAGTTCGATATGTCATCGATACCGGCAAGGCCAAGGTGAAGCAATATCGTGTCAGGCTAGGCATGGAGTCGTTACTCCCCAAACCGATCTCGAAATCATCAGCCATCCAAAGGGCGGGACGAGCTGGTAGAGAAGCACCGGGGCAGTGTTACAGACTGTATACTGAAGAAAGCTATGAGAACATCCTGAAGGACTCAGATCTGCCAGAGATCCTACGGATCGACGTCTTGGGAGCGGTCTTGACTATGAAAGCGCGAGGCATTAACGACATCTTCTCCTTCCCTCTGATGGACACGCCAGATGACGAGGCCTTCGAGAAAGCGCTGCTTCATCTGCACGTTCTCGGTGCTATCGCAGGTGATGGATCTCTGACAGAGATGGGAAGGAAAATGGCATATTTCCCAGTCACCGCACCGTATGGGCGGGTCTTGCTTGCGGCAGGAGACCCCAAAAACGACTGTCTCCTGGAAGCCATCGACATCATTGCTTGCCTAACGGCTGGAGACGACATATTCTATCAGCTCCGCTCCGAGGAGGAGATCGAAGAAATACAAGAAAGCCGGAAGGAACTATACCGCCGCGAGGGTGATCTTTTGACCTACCTCACCACAGTGCAGCAGTATACGGCAGAACATTCCGACCGGGTCGAGTGGTGCAAGCGAAGAAAGGTCAACACCAGGGTCATGAAGCAAGCGCTCAACATTCGCAAGCAGCTACGGGGCCTGTGTCTCAAAGAGAAGATGCTCGCCGACGCTCCGCCGCAGGATCCTCAGCCCTTCACGCCCACATCGCCAGAGCGCGCTGAGATCATCCTCAAATGTTTCTTGACCGGATTCGCAATGAAAACTGCCCTCCTAGCACCAGACGCCAGCTATATGACGACATTTGGAAAGCATGTCGTTGCAATTCACCCCGCGAGTGTCATGCATGGACAGAAGAGGGAGGCTATCATGTTTCTGGAACATGTTTTTACAACCAAAAATTATGCCAAGAAGGTCAGCGTCATACAGGCGAACTGGATATCTGAGGCGATGGGATCGTAGATTGCGGAAGATTGCTCTGATACGGACATTAAGTGACGAATGTCGGATAAGATCGGTCTCACAGCCGTCGCTACTTATACCAAGAGACCTTGGCTCCTTTATGTGGTGTCTCAGTCCCATCGTTCACCAAGTGGTTAACGGAATGCGTTTGTAGAGTCAGATAACAATGAAGTTCCATAGCTGATACCCAAAAACTTGGTGCTGAAAATCTGCAGGTCCTAGAGACCTTCCTTGTATCGCTTCAGAAATCTGTCGTTAAAGAACGGTCCCGGATCACGAAATTTGGGGTCGCTCTTAGCGTCCCGACAAAGCAATAGCCAGGTGTCTGGTATGATCGCCTCCAGAGATGGAATCTGGAAGTCGGCAGCGGCCACATCCAACTGCTTGTAACGCAACGCGACACCAAAGGTCAAAGGGATCTCCTCCTTGACGACTCGGACCTCTGTGCCCTCCGGAGTCAAGGGTGTTGCAATCGGGTGCGGCTCCCAGTCTGCGAGCTTTTCAGAATACTCGTGGAGGGGGCCAAATGTCAAAGGGGCCTTCTTCTCCTCCAGAATTTTATCCTGTATAACCCTCAGCCGTATAAACAAGGGCATTGTCTCGTAGAGCTCGCGTATTCTCCGGTATTCGTCGATGTGATAAAGGGTTGTCCGGCCGCCTTCCCCATAGATGGCTCTGGCGATCTTCACAGAGCCCTCGGCCAGTTCCAGGGCCTTTCCAAGAGCACACATGTCGCAGAGAACATCTGCCAACACACCCCGGGACTCCAATGTTTCAAGATGCTGCGGTCCAAATGTGAAGTGATTCCAGCTGAACGACATGATCAATACGTTTGCTGTGAACCCATGGCAGGGTGCCACCTTGTGCATTGTGAGCACCATAGCGTCAAGAACCTGCCGAGTCTTGTTGGACTCCTTGCCGTATTTGTCGCAGTACCAAAGCCATATGGGGTGGTATTCGTCCAAGGCCTCCTCTAATTTGCCCTCCCTGACAAGTTGGATGGCAAAGTTGCGCCGCAGTGATTGGGTGCCGAAGCTATCAGAGCCGGACTCCTCTTCCCGAGCGAGATATTTCGCCTTTGCCTCCTCCGAGGTTTCGGACGGCCGGGCGCCAGACGGGTTTGCAATGGTCGCGAGGTAATCACGAGCCCTGATAACGGCCCTTTCCTTCTCTCTGCCGGTGTCTTGTTTGGCCCATTCCAGAATGTCTAGAAGGTGTGGCTCGGCCGACTCATAATGACCCTGCTCGAAGTATAAGAACGCCAGTGAAGCTTTGGTGTCCCTAGCCAGATTGAAATCGAGAACTTCCTCACGACGATTGTCGGCATTTTTCTCGTCTCTCGACAACTTCAACATTGAACGCTTCCCCTTTCTCGACGGGATTGCCTGCCATTTGGCTTGATCGACAATAAGCTGGAACCGGTCCAGAATCTCGAGGTACATTTGCTCTGCTTGGGCGATGTCGCAGTGGCTGCCGTAGTCATCTGCCTGCATGTACATGTACATAAGTACATTTTCAGTGAAGAATCCTGCGGCGCGGCGGAGGGCGAAGAAAGTCGACTTCTCACGTGCTAGCCTGGCATCTTCGAACCGGTTGGCGGCTTCATATATATTGGCAATATTGAAGTGATACTCCGGTTCGAGGTCAACTTTCTGGTTGTCAGGATCAACGAACCTGACACATGCATCGAGATGCACAACCATCTCACGACGATGAGCAATAGAGGAGCCCAAGGATTCAAAGTTGAACGAGTCTAGGAGGATGCGTCTAGCTGCTCCTCCCCATTCGGCTCTTTGTCCCGGTGTCAGACGTCTCCGCGCCCACTCGTGTACTAGGATGTGCATGTTGGTGTGCAAGTTGCGGTAGTCATGTTTGAGAAGGGAGAACTCCTCCAAGAACCTGATGCCCATGTCGAAACCACCACGGTTCCACTCGTTGCCGGGCATATCAAAGTCCTCTGTGTAGCTCATGTGTATGAGGTGCTCGAGTGAGATTCCTTCTGCTTCGAGAGGGTGCGCAGAGGTCAGGTCGTACACGGCCCTGTTCTTGGCGGCATATCCGAACATTTGGGCGATAAACCCCTCGTTGTGGTAGAAGCACAGTAAGTTGAGCAGCTGGAGGGCATTCAGTGCTTCCGTCGCCCGTTCGACATCCTTCCTCTTGTCCGCATATGCCTTGATAGCGTCCCAAGAGATATTGAAAGTCGCATAGATAGGCAAGTTACGAATGTTGTCTTCACCCCTGAACATCGGGTTGCTTAGCAATGCATCCTTCTCGTTATTGAACTTCTCCAGGAAGCGCTCAAGTGGACATGGGGCCATGTGTATGTCTGGCAAGCATGATGTCAGTAATTCCCTGGGGACAGAAAAAAATGGAGGAAGAGGAGAAGGACGAGAGAAAGAAGGAAAGAAAGAGAAAATAGGTGTTGTGCAAGAAGACTTCGAACAAGGAATAGTCAGCTTACAGGCACCAGCTTGATCAAGTGCCAAAGGGAGGTACCCAAGCTCTTTCGCAACAGGTCTGGCAAGGTCTCTGTATTGCTTCTCGCCCTCGTCCATTCGTGCCGACCGGAGAAGGAGTGTCAAGCCATCTGCAACGTCCATCTGGTCGACGTAAGATACGCAGTTTGGTGCAAGTCGTCGCTCGAGGTGTTTCAGGCGAGTAGTGTAGATGATATTCCCACTATTTCCGTCCGGGATCCAAGGGCCAAGGCCCCTCTCAGGCGCATTGTCGAACACAAGCAGCCATTTGTCACTCGCTTCTAGCTTTCCCAATAGCCTGGTGATCGCCCCGTCTCCCCGATTTTCGGGTTGAAGATCCTTTTCCACGATGCGAAGATAGCTTTGCTCGATAGTGTAAACGTCTGTTGCGTCGATCCATAGTATTTTATAGCTTCACATTGTCAGTTCCTCGCTAGAGGCATTTTCTGGGGCGACCTTATACGCACTCATTTCTCTCAAACTCTTCAGAAAACTTGAGAGCGATCTGAGTCTTTCCAACTCCGCCCATTCCCCACAATTGGAATTCTCTCCGAGAGACATCGCCGGAGTCTTGTCGATTGAAATGCTCGCGTAGGGTTTTCAGGATGGTGGCTCGCCCGGTGAATATTGTACTCGCCCTCCCTCTTGGCTTGGCCTTTTGCGTATCCCGAATGATGACGTCCTTGTCGAGGCCCCCTAAAAAGTTCTTAGAGACGAAGTTCCATATCCACTTATTCTTAAATATAATAAAAATACCTACCCAAGTGCGCAAGAGTCAGGCCGTGGGAAGTACCTCGCAACAACGCTTTGGCCAGCTTATCGATGCAGTCCGCCACCGCCTTGTCCTGGAGGTACTTCCTCGTCCTCTCCTTCAGAAGGCCAATCTTTCCCCAGTCATCGAGACTGATCTTTTCGGCACCTCTTGGATCAAATGATTAGCTCATGGGGCCCGCGAATACCAACAGAGAGGCTTGCTTATATGCGGGTGGTACATACCCATCGACGTTCAACCGGAAGTAGGTATCTGGGAAGTCTTTGAGCATGCTCAACATCCGTTCGTGATCCCTCTGTGTATCAGTGCTGATCTCTTTCAAAACACTGAGCAGGCTCACGAGCTGCTTGGCCTTTGATTTGCCCTTTGCAAGCTCTGTCTTTCGAGACCCAGTCCCCAGGCTGACGACGCACCCGAGCCGGCGCCGCGTGCCAAAAAGAGACCCAGCCTCTTCCAGCAAGATGCCGACTGGGTTATTACGGCCTAGTGCAGCGTCAACAAAGTTTGTCACCACGCCCTGATCGTTCTGAATAGGCATAGGTTTGAAAAAGGTAGATGCTGCCGTTGTTGCCCGCGCGGCCTGATAAATCTGACACTTGGAGAACTTGTCGCCCTCAACATCATAAGTCCGAAGGCGTACCGTCGCGTTTCGATCGTGCTGCGGCATTGTGCAGACAAAGGCCCTCCCTTTTGCCGTATACGGGCGGCAGTCTCTCATGGAAGGGCCCTTCTGACAGTCATGGACAAGTTTCTGCACCGTTTGCTCGAGAGCCACGGCTCCATATTTTTCAGCCGGGTTCAACATGTTCCTGTTCTTCTTGGAGAAGATCTCCTGTGCAAACTTATCATATGCAGACAGAGCCTCTTCGGTGCTCATCTCTAGGCGTCCGAGCATGATGGCGACCAGACTGAACCAAAACTGTCAGATACGAAGCGAAGAATGCAGCATGGCAAACTGACCCTCCGGTGCTGGTGCCACCCATTAGATGGAAGTAGACGCACGGCCTCGGCACCCGAGCGAGATTTCCTCTGATTTGTATCTGCTTCATCAGCTCATCAAGTATGATGAGCTCCGAGACTCCCCTGATCCCACCGCCGTCTGTCCCATGTTAGCAGCCTGAGATGTTTGGCATACATCGGCATTTAGTCAAAGCCAATCCGAGATGAGATGGATAGGGAGACATACCCAAGGCGAGGAGATTTACGGGTTCCTTCTCATCCGAGAACGACATCGTCAAAGAAGCCACAACCACCAGCAGCAAAAAAAGGCAGAATCACTAGACAAAAGAATCCATATGATAACAGCAGGCCGAAGATATCAAGATGGAGAGACCAAGGAGCTTTTTGCCTCCGCCAGACAGTTCATGTTGGGGCCGGCCATGCAGGGCGCTTATGTACATGCAGGTGCCGCAGAGGACCCATCGGAACGATCGACCTTCGGCCGACACCCTGGTGAGGGTTCACAGCATCCACCCTGCCGCTGCATGTAGCCTGTCCCCGTCCAGAAAGACATCCAACCGCATCAAAGTGCATATCTTTCGTCTCCCAATGAGAAAACTGACCTGAAATGTTGGTGTAAGGATCCTTGGTGGCGCAGTCCGGATGAGAGAGGGCACAGCCCCCCACCTCCCCCAAACAGAGGGCTCTTTCAAGCTGACCATCAGGCCTGGGCAGCTGCTTTGACCGTGATCTCGTTTCGGTGTGTGACTGACGAGCTCGTCTGAATTCTGATGCCTACCAATTTGACATATCAAGGCTCAATATTGTTGTTAGTCATGCTTTCCCTCCCACCATGCTTGTCCTTGACGAGTTGAGGCTGTCTGCATAGCGGGAGATTGATCGACAACATTTTCCTCTCATATATGAAAAGAGCAGTAATGAAAACTGCCGTGGTTATGGTGGCACGTGTCTTTGAAGTGAAAGACACAGAGAGAAAGGAGACGGAGAGACAGGGCGGCTTGGTCTTCTCGGCACGGACCGACAAGTTTCTCCAAGCAGAACGGCGCGCGAGTACCTGCCGACAAACTGGGCGTGCATGCTCCTTGGGGGCGCTAACGTGCCGAAAAAAATGTCCTGTCCACGCACTGTCTCCGAACTGTATGAGGCCTTCACTCCACCACCAGGCACCCGCTCCTCTCCTCCGTCCTCGCCTAGGCAACAAAGCCTCACATATCACCAAACCTCAATTCTCTGTCACACTCCACCATCAAAAACGCCACGAGTTGTCTAGACGTGCTCCACAGTCTTCACCTGTCTGGGGATTCCCTTCCCTCTCCTTTCCTCCCCCCCTTTCACCCCTTCTTCTCCACCAACCTGTTTCTTTCATTTGTCCTGTTCTCATCACAAGGTCTCAGAAGCATACATCATGCAAGCAACGACCCGCCGCCTCCTGGCCTCAGCAACATCCGCCACGCGCGGCGGCGCCGGCGGCTTGAGACCTGAGCCCCTGGCCCTGTTGCCGCCGATACCTCTGTACCGGCGTCTGCTGCGGGCGCACAGGAGACATCTCCCGCGGCAGATGAGGTTGCTGGGCGATGAGTATGTCAAGGCCGAGTTCAGGGCTCACAGGGAGGTAGACAACCCAGCCCATCTAGTACGTTGGAACCCCCTTTTTTTCTTCTTTTTCCTTCATGTTCTGGCGATGAGGATGTGGAAAGAAGGGGCAGGGATGGAGAGCAATGAGGGAAAGGAAATGAGGAGGACATTGCGACTGATCAATTATTGGGACGGCTGCCACAAAATCTAGATTGGGTTCTTGACAGAGTGGCAGCTGTATGCACAGAAGATTGAGGGAGACTCGTGGGTGGGTGACAAGCTAGATCCCGGGAAGATCGAGAAGATGAATGGTATGTCTATTCGCCCAACCTTTGAATCTCCCACCGTCATTGCGTCTGGTGAAAGTACATTCCTGGTGGGAGGTAAACCAGGAATTCAAAGGCTGTAACTGACGTTCCGTGACAGACCAGCAGATAGGGCAGCTGTACGAGTTGATGCAGGCCATCAAAAAGCAGCGGGAGGGTGGCGGTGACCCGGAGGACTCGGTATCATGATGTCCTGCAGTGAACAGGAGCAGCTGAATGCACGTCTATCACAGGCAGGTCAATATGGACCAAGCACGCTCAAACATGTGTCTTAGAACAAAATTTGGCCCAGAGCGAGCAAGCCCACCCTGGGATTAAAGCGGTTCCTTGTGCCTTTTGCGCTGTGCCTTTCATTCATGGGGCCGTTGACACCTTGTAACCACCTCCTGTCTTAGCAAGCAAGGTAAAAGTACGATAATTTGTTCTATTATCATGTATAAAGTTGACCTCCTCAAGGAACTTGTTCTATCAGTCGCAGGCCCACTTTGCCCCAAGAATGGACAGGCAATATTAATCTGTCCTCTCCGTGTTATCCCTGCTGGTTGTGATTCATCCAGCCAGCAGCGTGCTCAGAGCCAGCCAGTTACCACCAATGCCATAAAAACCAAGAATCACCCAACGTATAACGCACGAGGGCAAGGATCAGCCATCACCCTTGTGTCTCTCAGACCGTGGCCGGTTCTTCCAGATACCAGCTTGGGTCCCAGCTCTCCTCCAGCTCCCTCACCGAAAAACCGTTACCCAGGTACCCAAACCGGTTCTGTCTTTCCGCATCCAACACGTACTCGAAGTCCTCCGCCCTCAGCGTCTCCAGCATGTGGAAGAAGTGCACACGGCTGCCGGGGTGCAGCGCGACGACGGGGCCTTGCTCCTTGCCCATCTTAAACCACGACCTGCCCGGCGCGGCCCAGGCCATCCGAGGCATGAAGTGGGCAATGTGCTCGTTGTAGTCATCGACGGCTTGCGGTAAGGGCGCGAGCGAACGGATGTGTTCTGTCTGGACCTTTTTCAGAATGCGCGTGATATACTTGGCAATGTGTTCGCTGAGCGTGAAGACGGAGCCGTGGGCTATGGGGCCGTTGGGGCCGAGGAATGCTGTTAGGTAGGTGGCAAGGTCAGCTGACACATCATCCGGAGCGGAGTTAAGTGATGGTAGGAACTTACTAAAGTAATTCGGCATCCCCTGAACGGCAACCGACATGTATGCCTTGGGGGTGGTGTTCCTCCATATGTCCTGGAGATTACCCTCGCGCCCGACGACAGGGAACCGAGGGCAGAATGACAGGTCGAAGCCCGTGGCGCAGACGATTGCGTCGACTTTGAGCACGTCGCCAGAGTCCATCTCGATGCCGTCGGCCACGAATCTCTTGATGTTGCCGCTGACCACCTCGACATTCTCTTTCCTCAGGGCCTCCAGGTATCCTGGCGCGGGAGTCACACGTCGAGTACCGATCGGGAAGGTTGGGATGAGCATCTTGCACAGTCTCTCGTCGCCGCCAAGCATGTACGTCATGTACTCTCTCGTCTTTGCGGTGGCAAAAGCCTGTATGGGGCTGTCTTTGACAAACTGTCGGCATCCTGTTAGAAACAAAAGATTCTCAAGCAGACGGCAGGGTGAGAAGCCTTACCATGGCGAAATTGCTTCCAGTATCCTTCTCAATGGACTTCACAAATTTGCGGTAGAGCTCCTCATCATCCTGGAATCTCTGGAGCTGCTCTGGCGTAAAGTTCTCCTTCTCGTCCACGGCGATCTCCTTCAGCATCTGTCCCCGACCAGCTGCAATCTGTGCCTGACGCCATGGCGGGGGGATCCATGTCGGTGTGCGTACGATATGATAGAGTTTCTTCGTGCCTATAATATCTCGTATTAGTCTGGCTGCATCTCGATTATTGTATGAAAGAGAGGAAGAGAGTGTGTGTATGGCTGACCTGGTTGTATTGCAGGCAGCACTTGAACACCCGAAGCGCCGTTACCAATGACAGCCACTGTCTTGCCCTGATAGTCAAAATCTTTGGGCCAGGCAGCTGTATGTATCAATGATCCTTGGTAGTCATGCAGACCCTCGACCTCTGGCCACTTCCAGTTACTATGTCCTCAGTCAGCATATAAAACTCCTCCTGTTGGTGTTTCTGTACCAGAGATAGGCAAGAAGACACTCACTTTAATATGCCACAGGCATTTATCAAAAAGTTCGCTGTATCGTCGAACTGATCACCCGTCTTCAGATTCCTAATCCTGAGATTCCACAGCCCCGACGGTTCATCCCAGCGAGCCGCGACGACCTGGTGTGACAGCTTGATCGAGTCCACCAGGCCTTCGTCCTTACATGCCTGGCACAAGTAGTCCTTGATCTCCTCGCTAGGCGCGAAGAAACAAGTCCAATCCTTCTTTTGCCGCCACGAGTATTGGTAACAGTGGCTGGGAATGTCGCATTTGCAGCCTGGATAAGAGTTTTCGAACCAGGTGCCGCCCACGTCGTCGTTCTTTTCGTAGACCACAGCCTCGTAGCTTTGGAGGTTGAGCCATAGGGTGCGCAGCAGGTTGATACCAGAGATGCCGGCGCCGATGCAGACGATGCGTAGATGTTTAGGCGTGCCGAGTGGCTGCTCCTCGACAGTATAGGCTGGATGGCTGCAGTCGCCCTTGGTGGATGGAGTGTGCATACTCATGCTAGATGTGTAGTCGTCGTCGTGTTCCAGGAGGTCGTGCTGAAAGGCGTCGCCCATTGTGGATGGTGTGAGAAGGAAGAAAGAAGACTGGTCCAAGGCGATGTCTCGCCCTTTATATAGAGAAGGCACAAACTAATGTCTATGCAGTGACAAGGCGGAGGAAGACCAGTGTACGGTTTAAGTGTTTGCAACGCCAACAAGTGACTCTCAGGGTGTGTGTCGATTACAGTACCTCGGCAGAAATCATACAGCGATATTCACTCGAAATGAGTCCCCGCCAATACAAGGAGGATTGTGCCGTCGGTCCGATGAACCAAAAGGGAAGTAAGGAGGTGGTGGTGGTGGTGGATGAAGAAGGAGATGTCTTATCAAGAACACGAGGTACTGGTCACTCTTATTAAGGGCAACATATAGCCGATCATGAACTTCCACGAGACAGGTGAACCTAAATGATCATCCAACAACAACAACGAGGAGGAGGAGGAGGAGGAGGAGGATTCAAAGTAAGATATCAAAAGGACATCTTCCTGCGCAAGGTTCGGGGTCGGAAAGCAACATGAGAAACGTATTGGCAAAAACTCCACAACGCTGTTGGCTGGTTTACGCAGGCGTGGCCATGGGTGAGGGCCAGTCGCGCGATTCATCCCCCCTCTTCGCAATGCAATATACTGCTGAGGTGCGCGCGAGAAAGAGATATCTCACGGCTTGTGCCATGTCATGCTAGCCACGCAGCCAGACCGACGGCGCCGGCCCAGGAGACAAGACTGGGTCTACCCATCTCACCAAATAGCGTATCAGACATAGAAAACGGAAAGGTCCACTTGGAATCTCTCAAAGAAAGAAGGGGGGGGGGGGGCAATGCCTGTGATCCACTAGCAAGGAAGGAGACTATCCGTCAAGGCTGCCTTAGCTCTACAGGAGGGGTTTACTTGGAGAAAGAGGGTTGGAAGAGAGAGAGAGAGCGTCTCGAACGAAAACTCGAGGAGGAGGAGGGCGCTCGATCGAGAGGATTCGCAGGCCTGTCCACCTGGATGCGATGCCAGATGCGCACTCAGAAGCCAAATGCATAAGGGGCCGATGAACAGTCGGCTCGTACTCGCAAGCAATTGCAATTGGGGAGGTAGAAGTTGAGGTGGGATTTGCCCCGCGTGGTAGAGCCTTGAAGTTGAGGTTGGTCCGAGGTAGGTCGTATACCGTCCTATCACAAGGCTCAGCCCTTCCCGGTTGGGCGGTGAACTGGCGAATGAAAAGACAGTGCCCCATGGCCCAGACGGAGAGCCGGCCGGGATGGAGGCGATAGACGTGCTTGGATCTTCCTGCTTGTCTGGGTCCACTAGGCTCGGCTGCTGGTTTCCAGCTTGATCGTCGTGGAGTGCAGTGGTGGAGAGTTGTGTCCTTCATCAAGAAGGGAAGGAAGCAAAACCAAAAGGCCATCACTCTCCCCCAAGCCATTTCCAACCTTGAAAGAGAGGGGGCGGGTAGCCAATTATTGACCTCTCGATCCGCAAAAGCCTCCTATCTCATGGTGAACCAGTGGTTAGGAAGAAAAGAAGAAAAAGAAAAAAAGAAAAAAGAAAGAGAGAAAGAAAAAGTTCATCCAAGCACCTCTGTCATGGCCTGTCAGCCGCGAAAGACTTGATGCGAATCTGCGAGATGCCCATCGTGGTGGTCAATAGTGGCATCGAACGTTACGAGTGTAGTGTTGTGTGGAGAGGATGCAGTTGGTGAGTTCGCGATCTACTGTCGCATCTGCAGCCCAGCATGCATTCACTATGCACCAGCAACCTGCAGCTGGCCAATAGAAGGCGGAAGCCCCCTGTCCAGTGGTGCTTCACTGCCCACTGGTCCCGGCTGATCCGCCCACCACAGCGGCCCGTAACTCTCACTAACCTACTCGTACATGCTGTGGCATTCTCCCTCTTAGTTAGCTGGCAGGCCGCTTGTTTAGGTAACCCCAACAGCACAGACCTTTTTTTTTTTGTTGTTGTTGTTGGTAGGCAATTCTTGATGCTGACTGGTCACTAGACAGAACAGGCCGGCCTTAACCGTCCTGCTCATCAAGACCAGACCTCTCTTCGCCTCTCGAAGTAAAATGTCTTTCTCGTTCTCTTTCTCTGGTGACGACATAGAAGCTGAACCCGCCCCGCCACAGGACAGCCTTCCTTTAGGGGCGGCTCACGCCCCGTCAGCTGCCAGCGCCTTTCCTGTGCAGGGAAAACCTCAGCTGCCCCCGACCACCCATGACCTGAGCCAGATGCTGGCGGCTCTGCCGTCCAAGATCGCCTACAGCCTCTTGGAGGTGGATCTGGACGGCAGGGCAATGGTCCAGATCCCGCGGCGCGAGCTTTGGGATGTTAGGGTCCAACTGATGGCCGAGGATGATGGCGAGAACTGTAGCGAAGAGGTTGAGCCCGGGCTAGGCAACCACGATGTCAAGACGGGCATCTATGAGGGAGGCTTCAAGAGCTGGGAGAGCAGCGTCGACCTCGTCAAGGTCCTGGCGGCTGAGGGTTTCTCCCGGTCACTTACCGAAGGGCCCTCCAGAGTCATCGAGGTGAGTGGACAGAATCCGAGCACACACCTACACGCACGCGCACACACACCTCCCTTGAGCTCTTGCGAGTCGTATGGCGTCGCAATCCGTCCAATTGAATGTCAAAGCTGATCGGGTGTGCCTTGAAAAGCTTGGGTGCGGCACGGCTCTGCCCTCACTTGCTCTTTTCCAGTGGGCCATTGCAGAGAGGGTCCAAGTACGGGAGGCATCGAAGGAGCTGGATCCCTTGTGCCTTACGTTGGCCGACTACAACCCCTCCGTCCTCCGACTTGTCACGATGCCAAACTTCCTGCTCGCCTGGGCCCTCCATCAACAGTCACATGATGAGGTTCTGCAGGCCGCCCTCACTTCCATTGAGGGCGAGCTTGAGATCAACGAGCACGTCGTCGGCTCCTTTACAAGGTTCCTCGCTTCGTCCGGCATCACCCTCTCCTTCGTCTCAGGAGGCTGGTCTTCGGAGTTCGTCGACTTGCTGTACGGTGGCTCCTCGGCAGTACCAAGCGGCCATGCCACAGGTCAAACTCTAGTTCTAGGCGCCGAAACGATCTACTCACCCTTTGCACTCAACTCCTTCACGGAGACGCTTCTGTCTATCCTACAGAGAGAGCACGACAGCCATCCGGATCGGCAGGCCAACGCCATCGTTGCCGCCAAGAGGCTTTACTTCGGCGTGGGTGGCTCCCTCGATGATTTTGTAGACAAGATCCAAAAGCTCGGGGTGGCCGTCGGCATGGTGAGGGAGGAGACCGAGGGCGTGCGGCGAGGCGTTGTGAGGTGCAGTCTGCCCTGAAGAACCGCATTCTCAACTGTCAAGGCTCGTGCCCAGCGCGAGAATACAAGGGGAAATATACAACACGCGTTCCTCGGTCCAAACCCTGGTTGGCCTGCGCCATGACGGAGGCGGCAAGTACACAGCAAAAAAACGAGGCATGCAGATCAGATCTAACTCCGAGACACCTCTCGTCGAGCGCCGTCCTGGTGGTGCAAGAGATTCCCCTCAGTCGAGAGGTCGAATGAGTCGTGTACAGTTGGGCCTGGACACCACGAGACGGACAAATCAACCCCTCTTGACAGTGCTCCTGCAAGATGGCAAAACGTGACTTCAGCTCATTGTTTACTACCCGAGGGGCGTGACTGGCGCAAGCCAGACGTACGACAAAAGCGTCGCGGGCTGCAAATCAACATTGCCACATTACGGGGCGGTGCACGCCCGAGACCAGAGTCTACGTGCGTGGCTATTTACAGCTTCTTCGATCTTGATGGCGACTTTCAACCTGCAGTCAGAAATTTTAAAAGGATTTTTGTTCGCAAAGTGAAATAACCCCACACACACACACACACACACACACACACACAATGCACGCCACCCTATGGTATACATGGTACTATAGGGCCTGACGAGTAACGGCCACCTCGCAGCCTTGCAGGATGGGCGGCCTGTCGGTTGGTCGTGGATACGCCGCTCGGCTGGCTAGGATGGAGATTGGACTCCACATGTCCATTCGATAGAAGGTTAAAATTACGGGTCGCCAAACCTGGGTTCCTTAATCGTTGTGGCATCGACCGGAGATTTGGCACTGCTAGGTGCCGGGCCTTGTCAAAATTCCTGTCGGAATGTCGGTAAAAGACTTTGAAAATAATGCCGCAAGGATGACATCTTACAGTGAATAAAAACGGGCAAAACGCAGCATCCATCCTGTTTCGAGAAAGTTGGTCGAGAAATGAAGCGAAGCACTCGACGAAACAGGTGCGGCAGTGAGAGATGATGCAGAGCTGGCATAGCGACTTCTCGGCAGCCGAACCAGGCACACACACACAACCACACTTACAGTGCAGCAGCCTATGGGAGAGTGTGGGTAAATGCAAGAGCCCAAATCGTCAGCCACCAGCCAAAGTGTGATGTGCATGACCAAGCCGGAGATGTGCAACGGGTTCTCGGGCCAAAATTGGAGGCCTTGCCTACTGCACAAGTGACAGGCAAGGCAAGATCGGGTGGCACAAGAGGCGGGATGACTGTGACGTTTTTGACGAGCTACTCCCCCTCCCCACCTAGAACCGAGTTCCAGAAGTGTTTTCGCCCCAAGGTACGAACCTAGACGAATGAGACAAACTGAGGTCATCGCGATTCCTTGAGACCCTTTAACTTTCTTTTTTTCTTCTTTTCGTTTCCCTGTGCTCGCTACTGTAGACTACTGCCAGGCACGACAGGGCCAAGGAAAATCTGAGCTGCAGGTGTGGCATGCACAGCCTCCTCCCGTCTTTTTAGGGTGTCACCATCGGGCCCAGATCTCTCGTGAAAACCTTAAAAGGGAATTTTGCCATCCAACAAAGCCTAAGTGCGCATTGGCAAATCAGGAAGCAGAAGCGCGCTCATCAAAAAAACCTTGTTGAACCGGGCACACCAGGGTTCGAGGAAAAAGGAGGGTACGAACGGCGCGAACGATGCCACTGCTACTTTGGTTTCCTCTGCTGTCCCTTTGGCGCATGGCATCCCTTCTTTTGAAGGACCGTGGGATCCTCTTGTCAGCCGCTGCAACCCCCTGGAGCGGCGCCAGCAATCCAAACTGGTGGCTAGAAACCAGCTCAGTACAGTGCCACGAGTGCCTCCTTCTCCCTCTTCTCCTTCTTCTGCTCCTGCTCCTCATCCTCCTTCGCAACCGCTTAGATCTTGTACTAAGGTAACCAAGCCCTGCGCTCAGGTGGTGTGGCTAACCCTTATAGAGATAAAGCGTGTAATTATGTGCGGTATCAATTTCGGCTAATTTAAGCTAATAATTTTTTGTCACTGTTATTGGAGAAGAACTTTGTGGAGGGGACAAGGGGGCCGGGGGGCCCTGACCACTAGCCATTAATCCTCAGCCGGTGCAGGAAAGAGTCGCGTGGGGCTTCCAGGCTTTCTCTCTCTTGGCCCGCCCCCCTTCTCCGGGGGTTCCTGCCTGATGGGCCTCCTACCTCACTACCTAGTAGTTGTATAGTTTGTACTACCGTAGTATGCACGGTACCTGTTCGCTACTGCAGGGCACGGGGGAGGAGGAGCAATCAGGGAAATGACTTGCTGATGGTCTGCATGTGTCATTGGAAAAGGATCGCATCTGGGCGGGAAGGCTCTTGAGTGGAAAAGCAGGCGCGTGGGTGGCCGTGATGTACCACAGTATTTGAAGCGAGGCAAGCCTCACTTGGTATTCTGCCAATCTTCCTGCCCTCCTTTTTCTTGCTCTTTCTCTTTTTCCCTCCCTCTTTTCCTCCCTCACCTCCATCTTCATACTCGGCGTCGCTCGTTGTCACTCATTCAACAAGTTCAGCTTAAGATTATTCGCTTTTGTAATAACTCCAACTAATTCTTTCAGAGACTGTAAGTGTGGCTTGCTCCTCCAGCACATTTGCCGTGTTGACTCGACGTTTCCCCTTATGTGTCACATGGCACATTCCTCATTCCTTCTCACGCCTCTTGCTTGTGTGAAAGTACCATCCTCAATCTATGTCAAGCTGTGACGCATGGCGCCATGTCTATGCCCGTGTCCAGTCCCGAGACAATAACAACATCCTACATTCCTGCCTCTACCTTTCTCGCCCTCCTGCCTCAACTGAATTGCCACCTGGTCGATGGTTATTAAATTAACTGCCCAGACACTGACTCGTCTCCTACACATAGTCTTCAAAAACCCCTTCACGAGCATCTCGCTACAGCTCTCGCAAAATTTCCTACCGAATTTTCAACCCATCTCAGACCAGAATCGAACGAATAGTCGTCAAGATGCAGTTCACAGCCCGCCTCCTTGCCATCTCGGCCGCCTTCTCGCAGGTGCTTGCCCTGCCCGTCCTCACCAACAGCGCGTACGACGTCACTGAGGGCGAGGCTTTCGACATCACCTGGACGAATGCCACCGGCAGTGTGACTCTGGTTCTCAAGACCGGAATCAGCACTGACCTGAGTACCGTCTCCACCATCGCAAGTAAGTTTTGCATGAGATAGAAGACGTGCGCGCGTTGTTCACGCCATGATACTAATATTTCTCTTCCCTCCAGCTGGCCTGACTGGCGACTCGTATGATTGGACACCTGAGGACATCCCCAGCGGCACATACGCCATCGCCATCACGGATGACTCGGGCGAGACCAACTACTCGCCTCAGTTCACATACCAGGGCACCGGTGTCGCTTCCACCACCAGCACCTCGGCCTCTGCCACCAGCACCACAACCACGACCTCTTCCGGTACCACCACCTCGACTGTGACCTCGGCGAGCGGCTCTACCACCCTGACCTCCACCGCGACCGGCGCCAGCAACGGCACCTCCACCGCCTCGTCCACCCTGTCCAAGTCCACCAAGTCCTCCTCTGCCACCGGCACCTCCACCAGCTCGTCGTCGTCCTCGACATCGACCAGCACGCCCGTTAACACCAACGACAGCCAAAAGGTGGGCTCGCCTCTGGCGCTCATCCTGCTCACAGCTGCTGCCCTCATGATCTGCCACTAAGGCAGATCCGACGGGGAGTAGAAACGCCACTGCAAACAACTTTTATTTTAAATTTTTCACTTCTACCTTCTGTTTCAGGGCGGTGATAGGGCATTCATCAACTAGGGCAAATCATGGATTACAAGGGTACGAGAACAATGTTTAATTGCGGATCACGTCTTCATTCATTACGATTTTGCGATCGGATGTCACAGATACCTGCACATCAGGGTCGGGTGTATAGGCGACATTTAGCGGTTGTTTTGGTAGACCAAAGTAGAGAGAGGCACCGTCTATGTCGAGGGCGCATTCTGGGACATTACAGGAAAAGCTAGCGATGCCATTACCTTGCTAGCGACTTCAATTAAAAAAGAAAATAAACAAAGAAAGCTGAAGAAGTTGTTTGTCCTTGTGATGTTCTTTCCTTCTTTTTTTCTTCTTTTCTACTGTCCCGTCTTCGTTCTCCTTTTCCCGGCATAAAGTAGCTGTGGACATTGGCAACTCGGACGTCAATATGATTGAAACTCGTTCGGCTGTGTGGCGCAAGGCACGTCGACATCATCTGGATGCGTCTGAATTGTTCCGTCCAATCCGACACGTTTCAAGGGTAACACAAACAATGCTCATTCTTGACCTCGACAAAAGTGAAGATTGGTTGTGTTCTACAAATCTCCAGCGCGCGCCTAGCAGCAGCATCAAATATTGAAATAGCACGGGGGGAAAGGCGAGGCAAAAAATGCGAGGCATGACAACGAGCAGCTCTTAGGCCACTATTGTTGTATTTTTTATTTTTTTTCTTTCTTTTCATCTTATATCTCTCCTTAGTACTGGAACAAACTCCAAATCCCCTGCAAGAGATCGACACTGCACCCCACTCACTCTCGCACTCCCTTGACGTTGTACTGTACTGTAGCATACATACATAAGAGTTAGTACCTACACACATGTCGCTGCAGTGTCTGTGTGTCTGTCTGTCTGTCTGTGTGTGTGTGTGTGTGTGTGTAGTACTGTCAAACGCAAGACACCAATGAACGAAGTCACGCTCGCACCAAGGGGTACGGTAACAGCGGCATGCATGCATGGTACGTACTGTGTACCAAGATTACAGGTAGTATATTCAGTACAGTCTCACAGTACACCTGTTGCGTGTTATGTACAAGGGACAAGTTCTACTTTTGCTTTCTTTTGCCCCCTTTAGTCTTCCCGCCAGGGCCGCTGGCATGGGTCGCTCATCATTGCTTTTTTTTTTTGTTCTCCTTCTTTTTTGTTCTTCTTTTTTCCTGTTGGGTCTGTCTGGGGGGGTGGTTTTGGGTTCGGCGTGTTCCGGTGGTGGTGTGGAGAAGACCATGTGGCTGCAAGTTTACAGCCCGTTTCGTTTCGTCTTTGCATATTCTTGACAGCACCCCGTTGGGTTTATCATGCACGAGCGGGTTAGAATACTACCCAAAGTAGACAAAATCTGACTGAATAGACGTCATGTCTTTCCAGCGTACACGCTCGATTAAAAGGGAGAGGAGGCCCAGTAGGAGGGACTGAGTAAGCATCGGATGGGCAATGCAGATTGGCGCCGGATATTCAACATCAACATGGTGGTGATAGAGGTTCTGGGATCCCGGAGAGAGTCAAGGGGGGACGATTTCTGTAATTGAGTTGGGGGCAAATATCGCAGTGTCTAACGAGTGTTGTCTTATTACTTTGGGGAACACCAAAAAAGTTCGCCCCATGGTCCCTAACCTCGACGCCTCTGCTGTTCTCACTCCGCCTCCGCCGCTGTTCATCATCATCAGCACCATCTGTAGCCGGCTTCTTGGTCAAGACTGCCCCCGTCTCAGGCCGGCAACTTGAAGTCTAAGGATTAAAAGAGACCGTGAGTAAGGCAGATTGTCTATTGTATGAGTGAGGCCTATAGACCCAATTAACTGTACCATAGTGCTACAGAGGCTGTGTGTGCGTGGCTATGTGGGATAAATCTATCATGTGGAGTAGCCCGCTGGGCCTCTTTTTGCCCCGTTAAAGGCTCTGTTGCCTTTACAATACCGTATCGTATAATACAACATTTGGAACAAAAGTAGGCAAACAGGGTCTGCAGATGATCAACCCATTCGTGGGTTTCTGATATCCCCAAAAGGACACCTCGTCTGTCTTTTATGCCGCCCAAGATCGTGTAGGGAGGTCCACTTATGAAACAAAAATTTCGTGATATCATCCTCTGAATCCTGAAAAGGTGGTCTCACAGCTTGCTCTTCATGGGAGCCTCGTGCGCCTTGTTCTCGGAGACCAAGACAGTGACCACACAGATGTCGTCCACCTTGCCGCCGTGCCACGCCTCCTGCGGGTAGTACTTCTTGACCTCCTTGGAGAAAGGCCCGTCCAGCTTCGTGTTCACGCTCGCGGCCTTGGCAGCCGCCGTGATGCCCGTGGCGATCATGCCCTGAAGCGTGCCGAAGCCCTTCGCGTTGCCCTCCTCGGCCGCACTCACCTCGGTAAGCGGCGAGAGATCGGGTGTCACCCTGGTGCCTCCAGCGTTGCTGCCCACCCAGGCACCGCTCTTGGTCATTGCCGCGCTCACTATGCGCAGTATGTCTTGGTTGAACAAGTTATCCCACACCCCGTCCGTCGCAAACACGAGCACATCCCCATGGCGTAGGTCGTGCCGCGACACCTCGGCGTCACGCGGCAGATCCGCGAGCTGAGAGCCGCCAAAGGCCTGCATCCGCCTCAGGATCGCCGGCGGTATGACACTCAGCTGGAAGGGCGTGTTGAAGGCGTGGACCTGCGGCTCCGAGTACCCGTGTACCGCGTTCAGCCGCAGGTGTATATAGCCACTGTCGCCCAAGTTGGCCACCTCCAGCACGCCGCTCGGGTCCAGCAGGCCCACGATCGCCGTCGACCCGCCGGCAGGCACGGAAGTGTCGGCGCAGATGGCCTCGTAGCCCGCCTGCATCAGGGCGCGGGCAGACAGCGGGCGGGCGCCGTCGAGGGCGGGGTACGCGGCGGCGGCCATATAGTCGCAGAAGCCGTGGGAAAAATCGGCTGGGTCGACGCCCGAGTCCATCCAGCCGCCAACACCGTCAGCAACGCCCAGGGCGACGCCGCCCGTGTCGGCAAGACGCGTCACGAAGAAGGCATCCTGGCCAGACTCTGGGCGGGCGCGCTTGGAGCGCTTGCGTGGTGGGAGGGCGCGGTTGTAGGGACTGAAGTGGAAGATGTGGGTCGAGGGGTCGTAGGGCTTGTCCTTGGCTATGTAGCTCGCGGCGATGTTATATGTGAAGGATCGAGAGGGTGCAGATGGTGGGTTCTGGGAGCGCAGAATCGGTGCTGTCGAGAGTGGTCTCATCGAATGTGTTCGAGAGGGTATCGATCGTGTGGTAAAGGAACCAGAGGTGCGGTTTGCTGCTGCTGCACAAGGTGTTGGAACTGGTGAGCAAGAGCGAGATACTACCAATCCACGCGACATGGCATGACATGACATGGCATGGCTTGGCCTCGCATGGATTACAGAAAAGGGGGGTGGTAAAAGGTGGGCTTACACTGCAGGTATGGTCGAAATGTCTGGACGAATGACCGGGTTGCACTTGAGGCCGCGGCCATTGCGACTTTGGGGGGAAGGGGGGGGGGGGACAACTTAGACGGAACTGTGGAAGATGCACGAGACTCTCACAGGCTGCGTTGAAGCCCAGCCCGGGGGCCTGCGCGTTTTCAAATTGGAGTACGAGTCTCTGTGGGCATTATACATGAGAAAGATGGTGTGTTACACGTCAGATACCCAATTGGAAAGACAGAACTGTATGTAAGTGTATATGTCTTTGGTCCGTCCGTAAGCGGGCGGGCTACTGAGGGAGGTTTCTCCAGATTTGATGGGAGCAAAAGCTGAAAAGCGTTTCTTGGGGGAAGGGACATTATGTCATTCCAGGCCAGGATCTGCCGTTGCTAGCCAGCCAATGGCAGCTGGATACTTGTAGATTGTTTAGCAGTTCCCACTTACTTACTGGAGAAGTGGGCTCATCCCTGCACATCCAGCAGAGAAGGCAAAAAGGGCAGGATCGATGCCTCATGCTCATGAGCTTGTGCTATGTACTGTGCAGCTGTACTATCATACATTACTCGAGCACATAAGTCCTTGGTACATAGATTCATAAAACATGTGCAACCCTCCTTTGGTTTGTGATCTGATATCTCTGTGAAACCTAACAGAGCAGCGTGGTGTCAGCTACTGTGGTAAACTTGGTTTCAGGATTGGCAACCAGTACTTTAGAAAATGGTGACAACTAGGAGAGCTGGCTCACTACTGGGCTGTAGGGTTCATCTTGCAGTCTCCGAGAGAAAACATCTGCTATACTACAAAGGTCAATTGAAGCTGCAGCACAAGTTGCACTACCCCCTAGTCTTGTGCTGAGTAAATCCGTTCCTTTCTCTGCTGGGTTTGCTGGGGGCCACCAGACACAGTACAGCACCGTACTACAGCACAGAGTACGCCTGGCACGGGCTTGCACGTGATCAATGAGCGTTACTTCCCGAATCATTACTTTCAGCCCCTCTCTGATTGGCCCAAGGTAAGCAACTCCGGGATTATCCTCGGCTAGCTCACATCTATGATGAACCTCGAGACAACCTGAGCCATTTGACCACGCAGAAGTTGTTGCCACTAGCCCTGTCCTGCGTCGGCTATCTCTCCGCGTCGATCCAGAGCCATTTGAGTTCTCGTCAACCCCTTCCGTATCTTCTCACCTGGCCCAGACTGCTGCCATTGATGAATTGAAGCACACGACGCATCGCCATTCTCCCAACGACTGCGACTGCGTTCCGCTGAACCGACGAAAATGGCCGCTCTCCGCTCTACCTCGACCCGCCTCCTGGGCGCCGCCATCAAGCCTGCCTTCAGGCCGGCGACCGCGACAACCACCAATTTTGTTCGCTCGATGGCCTCCGTCTCCGATACCAAGGGCCTCGACAATTCCAATGCCGGCTCAGAGGCCGCCTCCGAGAAGGCCCGCTTGAAGACCTTCCAGATCTACCGGTGGAATCCTGACACGCCGACCGAGAAGCCGCGCATGCAGACCTACACTCTCGACCTTAACAAGACCGGGCCTATGGTCCTCGACGCCCTGGTGCGCATCAAGAACGAGCTCGACCCTACCCTGACGTTCCGCAGGAGTTGCAGAGAGGGCATTTGCGGCAGCTGCGCAATGAACATCAACGGCATGAACACGTTGGCTTGCTTGTGTGAGTAGACCCTGCTCGCGAGGCTGGCGCGTCTCTTGAGAGGGAGAAGGAGGAGGAGGAGAACAGGTCAATGACTGACGATGGACTTAGGCCGCATCCCTACCGAGGAGACCAAGGAGATGAAGATCTACCCCCTGCCACACACCTACGTCGTCAAGGACCTGGTGCCAGACTTGACGCACTTCTACAAGCAGTACAAGTCGATCAAACCTTACCTGCAGAGGGATACTCCTGCTCCTGATGTAAGATTCCAGCAGCCTTTCCCCCTCACACTCACCCGCCTCCTCCCGTCTGTTGCCAGCCTGTACTGACCTGTCTCGTCTTATAGGGTAGGGAGTACCGCCAGACCAAGGCAGACCGGAGAAAGCTGGACGGTCTCTACGAGTGCATTCTCTGCGCCTGCTGCTCAACATCGTGCCCCTCATACTGGTGGAACTCGGAGGAGTACCTCGGACCCGCCATCCTGCTCCAGTCCTACAGGTGGCTTATCGACTCCCGTGACGAGAGGAAGGCTGAGCGCAAGGATGCTCTCGACAACTCCATGAGCCTGTACCGCTGCCACACTATTCTGAACTGCACAAGAACTTGCCCCAAGGGCCTGAACCCCGGTCTCGCCATCGCAGAGATCAAGAAGGAGATGGCCCTGTAAGGTGGGCGTCGCGGCAAGAAAAGAGGGGAAGAGGGATGGCGGTGGAGCAACGACCTTTCTTTTGTCGGCAGAAGCGATATGAAGACAGAATACAACTGTACTTTGGGTTGGTCGTATGCCTTCGTGCATGGGTTTCGGAGTTCACCTTGTTATAGTACGGATGAATTGATGTTCAAGTTTACACATTCGTATCTCGTTGTAATTACCGGGTGTGAGTGATGAGAGAGGTTCTGTGTCAATACTTGGTTGGGGGTCATGTGCCACCGCTTTATGTTCCATCCTGCACCTGACAGATACCACCATGATGGAGGTCAGCAGGCTCACGATAATGTCGCGGATAATTGTACAATTACGATCTTTTTCTTTTACATCCGCTTCATCACAGGCTTTCCCAAGGGACTTCACTTGTGATAGGCCAGCACTCGCAACGGTGCTCTCCAGGAAGCAAGTTTTCTCTTACGTCTCCGTCACTCATCTGTCTGCTCATGTCCTGCATTGGACAAACAAGTCAAGATTATTATCAGCGATGCTAAGTTACGTTGTTTTATTTGGTGCTGAATTCATCTGGCCCATTTTATGCGAATGGTTTCTGACTTGGTGACATTGTACCTGGCACATCAAGGCAATTACTTAAACTCGGGGCAACTGGACCTCCTTGCCAGGAAGTATCACTTTAATCACCTACACTACCTTTCTAGACTTCGCGGCATACCTTATTCTTCGGATATGATTTTCCAACAGGTTCCATTAGTGTTCGAGGAATGATATATGTCACCTTGAGAAGGGGACGCAGAGAGGGGATAGAAACAAATACTAATCAGGAAGTCTTTAGTACCGGAGAACTACTGCAAAGCCACTTGAACCTACTTTCGTACGGAGATGGTATAGGACATGGTCTTCGCTTCTCGAGACAAAGGTTAAGTTATATTAGTTTGTGATGGTTGTGATGGTTGTATCGTGTCTTCTAGGTGACATCCACAGGAGGATGTCGCTGCACTTGGGTAGTCACTGTAGTCTTCTTACTTGCTCCTCACATCGTTCTGTCCTGGCGCCTTCAGTTTCGTGTCTCAAGTCCAAGGCGACTCTTGTATACTTGACCCGTCTGATGTGATTGGGAAGGGCATACTAAGACTCAAGTATTCTCATGTGGTCATGTCCAATGCCAATAATCTCGGTAAGCATTTCCTCTCCTTCTGGTTCAACAGTTCAAGTCTTCAATTCTTTCCTCTCAGTCATACCGCAATAATTATCATCTCATTTTCACCTGACTTATCTTTTCTTGAAACCATGCAATCCATGATTGGTCAACCATTGCCCCCACGAATCACCTGCTCTGCAAAAAATGTAACTTATAGAACATGCTAGGATTCTTGATCGATCTCAATAAGCTTTGGCAAGTGAAATCTTGAATAGAACGATTCCATATATCCTTTGGCAAGTCTCAAAACTTCTCATTCTCGGGACGGTTTGCCTCCCAACTGCATTCATATGTTAAACGCACTTTTCGAGAAGGAAGATTAATGTCTGTTGAAGCGGATGCATTGAATCAACTGCTAGATAGTTTCTGGCGGTTTTGCATAGAATGTGTTGTGGTAACTAAAGAGCACCTGTCATTGTAGTACAGTGCAGGTGGCATGTAACTGAGGATGATTTGTTGTTCCATAAGCTTTGTGAGTAATCATGCTATTGTCCTGAAGGATACACCTCCCTCTTTAGCCTCCCCCTCTTTTCCCTCGAAATAATGATTATGAACATGATAATTAGCATTGCAAGTAGCTGAGGGCCTACATGAAGTGCCCGCTGTTACAATGTCAACAAAGACTGGTACCCGTACTCAAAGATTCGTTCACGAACGACTCCCCTCAAGCCTCTGTCAACCTCCTCCGGGCCGCATACCAGTGCCTCCTCTGCCAATTCACGTCACAAAAATAATTCCTCTTCTGTTCTTCGTCCCTCACAATAAAACTCAATTCTCTTTTCCCTGAACACTTGTTACCAGTCCCCCCCCCCCCCCAAAGAAGAAAAAAAGAAAAAAAATAATAATGAGAGAGACTAGAGCGCGGGCGGGCCGGTTCGGACTGGCCGCTCGGAGAACCGAACCGCGGGGCTTGTCAACTGAATCAGAGCGGGCTATAGTTTGAAAAGGGAACAAGGAAAAGAAATACAAAGGAAAGGAGGGAAAAAAAAAAAAAAAAAAAAAAGGTTCTTCCTTTAGCATTGCCTCGTCATAGCCTAAGGGGGTACCTGACTACGTGGGCCTTTGGCTAGGCGTGCTTTATCCCCCGGAGAAAGGTGGGAAAAAGAAAGGAAAAAAATTCTTTGCCTGGGTATTAATTGATTAGGACTGACCCAGGCGTTGCCAAAGAAACAATGTCGGTGGTCTGATCCGTGAGACACGTTACATTTCATGGTCCTCGGAGATCAACGAGTTGCCCTGTAAAGGGACGGATGGTCGTCTGTCCCCCGGCGGCAACCGAGAGACACACTTTTTGTTCTTCTTTCTGTTCCCTTTCTGTATGATGGATGTCTCATATGAGCCCGCCAGTCGGGGCTGTGGACATTGATAGGCCAGGTGTATTTGGTCCGAGGAACAGAAGCTGCCTGCCCGCTTGGGGCTGGAATGTTCGCGAGTAACGGAGCCACTTGTGGCTGTGGTAGGGTATCTCTATACACACACACACTAAGTATGTGAATCAGTTCACGCGGAGATCAGCAGGGCAGTATTCCTTCCCTACCAATGTGACAGTTGCTTCGGAGGGTTGTCTACTGTACAAGCACGCCACTGACACACGCGCCGCAACGAAGATGAAGTCTGGACGCCAGAGGAAGAATGCCCAGCAGTCCATAAATTGGCGCGCTACGTGACGCAGCCGTATGCTGAGAGACTCTGAGCAATATACGCGTATTTGCAGTGGGTTGTTGGCTCAGGAAGGCTGGCTGGACCCTGAAACATCTCTGGGCCCCCTCTCGTACATACAACGAGCATTGTACCACAGGGGCACTTGTTGGGGTGTACGAGAGAGATCTGAGGTAAGGCACGAGTAGCGCCAATCACTGTGAGAGATGTGGACGGAGCTTCTCCCGAGTTTGTCTTTGCCTAGTTCGACTGTCTGATCGACGGAACAACAGGGCTGGCATGGCTCACAGCACCATGTGGCGTATTGACCCCTCTCTTCCCACCACCGTCACTTTTGCTGGCGTTTGAAGCAGTCTCTACAGCAGCAGCACGGCATCTTCCGAAAGCCTTGCGACGGGAGATCCTTCATCGAGCATCGAGATCTGGGGCTGGCATTCCTGTACCGTAGCTAGCCAATTGATTTACTTCAAGTGTTGTATATAATTAGAAGCATAGCTTGCAAGCGTGTCGATTTAATACACCCCGATGATCTCCCCGACGACGCTCCTGTAGATCCCGTTGGGATCGAAGTCTTCCCTAACCGCCTTGAACCGAGCAATGTTCTGTGGCTATGTTAGCGGAAATGAAAAATACAGCCTGATGCATCGTAGTGAAAATAATCATAACAATATGAGACTTACGTCTTGATCTATGTTCTTCAAGGCCTGGGTAAAGATGTCTCGGGTATTCTTGGTCCAGTGAGGCCTGCATGGAAACTCATTGATAAGAGTCGTTGACAGGTTGGCGTCTATTATATAGTGGTCAGCACCGCTAATTCACCCCTCCTATAGGAAACGACTTACAGAAGGGCTCGTTGAACCGCAAGTGATCCCCTACGGTGGGCCAGAAGGTGGGGAAGTCGAACATGATTGTGCCATTGCTCCAGTCCGCGCCGTCGGAGGTATTGTAGGTGACTTGGCCCAGAAAGTCGTAGTTGGGACGTCCGAATTTGATATTGATGCCGCTCCTGTACGTCGAGGTCATGTTGATCAGGTGTTCGGTGTACTGCGCGTCAAACAGCTCGCGTACCCTCTTCAGCATGTCGTTGGCCATGGTGACGGGGAACGCCAGCTCCATGGTGTACCCGTGCAAGTCGTCCTCCCATTCCGTCTGCTGACCCGGCCACAGCCCGCCAATCAGCACGTCGTAGTTGTATCCCGTGACGGGCCATTCGGTGAGCGTCTCGTCAGTATCGGAGGTGTGGAAGTTTGGGCTAGACCAGATGTCGAAGAAGATGTCCTCGGCCACCCAGTTGGATGTCTCGAGGTACTTCCCAGAGTCGAGGAGGGCCAGCGCCGTGTCGGCTTCGGCGTGCGTGATGGAGAAGGTCGATTGCACGCCCAGCTGGTTGACCGTGCCCTCGGCCACTTCGCCGTAGGTGCGGTAGTGGAACTTGCGTTTGAAGGGCCACCACTGGGGGTAGGAAATCAGTATCCAGTGGTGATCTTTTCAACCCCCCCCCCCTCTTTTCTTTCGGGATTTCCGAGCAAGATGGGGATGACCTACCCAAAAGTTGGCGGTTATGTACGGAGAGATCATGCCATAAATATCGCCGTTTAAGACGTCATCTTCCTCAAGCCTTTCTTCTGGTCAGTAGCAGCCTCCTCTCCCGTCTAAGACAAATGAAACCGGGTAGGTGGCTTACGTCACCTGATTCGCATATAGTACGGTCTCGGGGTAGATCTTCATCTTCAGCCTCGCGATGATACCCAACAGCCCAAGAGAGGTTGATGCGGCAAGCCACTCATCGCTGCTCTCATCTTTGACCACGGTGCGAATGTTCCCCGAGCCGTCAATGATGTCCATCTCAAGCACGCCACCCACTACCACGGCGTCCGAACCCAGCGAGGTCCGGTGAGCACCCATCGCCACGCTGCCGCCGAGACTAATGTTCCAGTTGACGAGGCCGGTGCCGATGTTGGCACCTCTCTCGTGAAGGTAGTCTGCGAGCTGGAAGAAGGTCACGCCACCCTCCACAACCACCGTGCCAGACTCGGCACCGTCGGTCAGGTTGAAGTCCGTGATGTTGTTTACGAGCTCTGTCCGGATGATCTCGGTAGGCACGTCGGCACACATCGTATCATACCACATGTGGCCCTTACCAGTGGCGCGGATGTTGGTACCATTCGCCGCTGCTGCCTGGACGATGGAGGCCACTTGAGGGCAACGCCCGTGTCAGTATTGAAATTTCAATTTGATTTTATGTTCTCTTCATCAGGTGGTAGACCAGGGGGGTTCAGGGCGTACCCTCATCCACACTTGTAGCATTATGAACCACCGTGACATTGTAGCATGTCGGAAAGCCTACGCCGTCGAAGGAGTAGTACTCGAAGGCCTGGGCGGTGCTGACCAGAGAAAGCGCCGCGACGGCGGCACGGCTAAGACACTTCATCCTGCTGCTGTAGACAAGATGAGCCGGGGTGTCTTTTGAGACACAAGGAAGCTTTGATCACTCTCCCTCTTCCCCCGCCCGCTGGGGCATCCTCTCCATGCTTTATAGAATTCGACCTTCGTCCGCCGTGACCCTAAAGTGTCCAAGCCAGTGTCACCCCTTCCAACCGCCTGTGCTTTACCACGAGGTCCTCCCGCGGGACCCGTCCCTCTCCTAACATGTCTCACAGGAAAATTCACCCAGGAACCACCTGCCAGAAGGTTGACACATCACCGAATCGGAAATTTCGGTTTATGCCGGGAGGCTTCCCCAGACGGACGCCAAGCACGGCGTTGCTTGGTCGGGCGCAGCCTGCATGCGGAGGTTCGACAGTGCCAAGACGAGCCCCATGACCAGCGTCGTAGGAAGGTGGTCTGGTTCCCCTCACTGTGGTGACCGCCCATATTCATATGTAGGATCAGAGCTGGTATGACTGATCTGGTGGCTGCTCCACATGATTGATATCGATCGCCGTGGACAATCCAAGTCGGCGTGAGTACTCAAGGAGACAAGTCCCGTTAAGTTAATTGATTGTCCCTCCCTTTGCCCTGCTCAGAGTAAGTGCCCAAGGAGTGTAAGTCAGCCGTTGATAGGAGCATGCGAAGCGACTATCAAGGCTAACCACACATACATACCCCCCCCCCCCCCCCAAAAAAAAAAGGAGGAAAACAGAGAGAGAGAAAAAAAACTAACCAAAACCCAGGAAGTGTCAGATGCCACTGGCAATAGGGTTCATGAGCCTTCAAAAAGGCCGCCACAAAGACTTGACCTCTTTTGGTGACCAATTCATTCAAGTATGCATAGCCATGTCAACAAATTTGCGGGCGGCACGAGGACGAGACCAGTGCGCAGCATCAATATCAAAAACCTGATGCCACAGATGGCCCCCAGTAGTGCTCGCTACCTGATGAAACATAACTTTGAACAGACCTAGATAATTATCACCCCCCCCCCCCCCCAGCCTTTGAAAGTTTCCCTTCGTTAATGAAAGTAAAGAGTACGTGATTGCGTAGCTGAGGGGGAGGAAGCAAAATAGTGATGAAGGGCGAGGGCAGGAGAGAAGGAGAAGAAAAAGAGAAAAGAAGATAGAAAAGGGGGGAGGGGGTGTTCAGTCTAATCGACTACTTGCCCATCCAAATGTAGTCAGTCCCATCACTGCCACCACCTTGGAACCTGGTAACAGAAGCGTTCATCTCTGTCTGTACCTTCAGATGATGGTCCTTGTATCCTTGTCCATAGTACCTTTCATGGTACAAAGTACTGTACAGTATTATTTGTGCCAGCGGTTAACGTGTGGGGGAGGGTGTGCTCGCGATTTTTTCCAGAAGGATGTTCGAACGCACGCTAGTCATAAGTCAGTCATATAATCAATCCGTATGAAGGGAGAATGCGACATGGGGGTCGCTGAGAGTCACCCAATAATGAAGAGCTGACTATGGAGCTGCCGGATGAGCGGTCTAGCCTGCGCTACCTTGAAGCACCTCAGTTGTGGCGTCTTGTCGGAGGTCTGCCCGAGAGGGAGAGAGCGAGCCGGCCAAGAAGCACACCAGGGCCAGGGAGAGGAGAAAGGAGCGTCAATGCATGGATTCTTGAGGAGGGATCGCAAGGGCCCGTGTGGCGAGAAACGAGCTTTGCCCTATGGCCCATCCCCTCTCTGGTGTGTACGGATCTGGGATGTGACGGGTGTGGCTTGTCCATGCAGCTGAGGTGCCAGTGGTCGCTACAGGATTGGACCTGCGTCGTAGACGATTGCAGGCACGGGTTGCAAGCTGAGGATCCTGTACGGGATATACCATAGTACAGGATGCGCGGGTCGAGATACTTGCTTCTTCCCTCCTGTCTCTCTTGTCTGGAACCGTGGTCAAAAATAGAACCGTCGAGACGCACGGCAGATCCCATTCCAGTGTGCAGGGTCTTGGAGCTCTGGGTGGTGTGGTAGTAATCGGGACCGCATTTTCTGTGCTGCGAACTGCCTTTAGCGAGAAATACTATGATCCCAAATGTCAGCTGTCACTGTGCTTTGAAGATGAGATGTGTCGGGGTCTTGGTCTGTGTCCCCCCCCCCCCTTCTCTTCATCTTTCTCTTCAATGCGGAGGAAGTAATCATCTGAATACTTATTTACGGAAGGTAGAAAAGAAGGCAAGCGGCAAGGATGATGACGTGAGAAGGGTTAGGGTCTCTTGCTCTGGCCCATCCTCTCCGCTTATCCAGCAAAAACCCAAGCCCAGCAGCTCTGTTGTTCCCATCTCATCCAGAAGCGAATCCTTCCACCCATCGTGATTCTCATATACTACCGTAGTACTGTACTGTACATACTTATAAGTCACTGCCCGTCCCGCCCCAGGCGATTTTCCGAGACATTTGATCTTGGGGTGACAGGCCATCCATACCACGGGAACGACCCGTCGTAAAGTTCTGGGTCCCCACCACCGAGGAACCCCCTCGTCGCGCACTTTTTGGCTAGTGATATTTACTAGGTACTATAGTACAAGCCTAGCAGTACTGCCACAGTCGCAGTGACCTACTCCATGCTCATTTCTGGACAGGGCATTGCTTACAATGGCATAGTACCACTGTACCTTCACGATAGTACCTTCGGTACCGTGGTACCAGCTGTCGTGGACGGGAAGACGAAGGGGGGAGAAAAATCCACTTGCACATTACGCCCGCCTACGCAGTGCTGCTGTACTCCCGCCCTGCGAGCCATCAGGTCAGTCTACTCATAGCACTGCAGTACACTGGACTGCAGCAACAATGCACCGCTGCACGGCACCTTTGTACACACCTGGCCCAGCGCATGTCTAGACCCTACTCCGTATCGCCATCATTCGTCTCCTTCGCCACCGTCACCTTTTCAGCCCTCCAACCACGGATTACAGATTACGATACATCGTCTCACCGACCTTTGTCTCTCGTCTCTCTCCTTCTCACCTCAGCCCGACCTTGGTCCTGACTGGCGCATGCATTCACACAACGATACATCGATACATACACACACAAACGCACGCTCGCGCGCCTTACATACAGCCCAACCCCAGCCCAACTCCACCCAAAATCAGCAACAGCACAGCACCGCACAGCACAGCCTATGCCAGCCGGGCTCCTTCTCTCCTCCTCTATCTTTTTTATCCTTTCCCTCGCCAACTTCCCGACCTCATTTGTCCATCATCATCAATTCTCGAACAACCTGACTCCACACAGTCGCTTGGACACGACCCGACCTAGCCTGACGTTCTCCCCCCCCCCCCCCCCCTCATGCACTACGCTAGAGGAAGGCGGGTGAACGGCAGCTGAAAGGCAGGCGGCGATACATAGCCTGACTGCTACCTGCGACCAGGTACTACTACAAATATTCCAATAAACCCAGACCCAGACAGGACCCAGCACCAAGAACCAAGACCCAGAAAAACCTGGATCCGGCCTCAGGTTTCCCAGACCTCCAAGATCCACCCTTTTCCCATCTTCGTCATCGGATTCCCACCCCCCAATTCTCCTCTCGACCCATTTTGCGACTCCATCCTCGAACCCCCCTACATCACCGACTGCCAACCCGGCTCGACGAGACGACAATCAACTCACCGCGTTGATGCCACCCGAGAGACTGCAGCCATGTCGAGCAACAACCCCTCTGAGCCTGCTCCTGGCGGTGGTGGTTTCGACTTGTTGAGGAGGGCAACCCAGAAGATGATGTACAGGTAAGCGTCTTATCCCTCGCCTGAATTCTCTCACCAGAAAGATCGGTCGTTTCCGCTCCCACTTCCACATACACGCACACACACACACACACACACACACACACACAAATCCACCCCACAACATAATTACCATGGCTATTACCGCCTACGCGAGCGCTTTGTGCGGATCTTCCCCTCACGATGCCCTACTTTGTCTTTTTTTTTTTGTTCAAAACTCATGGTGGATGGGGCACTCCACCCTGTTTTTTGCACGGCAACCTATGGAACCCTTCTTGGCGGGTCTATCCTCGCTTCTAGTCACCGTTTCATAGGACGTGCCACCACTGCATCCAGTGAACCTGAACAGGCTGGCTGGTCCCTTCTCCACAAGCAAAGTACAGATGTCGTGAAGCAGAAGAAAAAGAAAGAAAAAGAAAAAGAAAAAGTACTGGTTGGGGCCATCGCCTGGCACTGATGGCTCGAGTGTACCCACTGCGCGACGATCAGCTCCAGCAACACAGGGCTCCTGGCATGCTGGTCGCTGGCGGAGCCTGCACCGCATGAAGATCTCAGACCCTTCTCGCAGCTCGCAGCGCAGACGGCGCCCGCCGCCAATCCAGCCCAGGTCCAGAGGAGACGACCTTTACTGGTTGTGTGGTACGGTCACCAGGCATCAGGCAACTCGGTGGGGGTTACCAGCGGGTCACCGCCGGCTTCGCCTGTTCGGGCAATCCTGCTTGCTCTGTCTTTTCACTGCGACCCCCAAAAAGCACGCCTGTCTGGCCCGCGTGGCCCCCCCCCCCCCCCCCCTCACCAATGCGCAGCAGCACAGACAATGCAGTCAATGCGTCCACAGCTGCGGAGCACTGAACGTCATCTGGGAGGGCGTCCTTTCGATAACGGCCATGTTACAGCAGCCAGTCAACCCTGCCCCATTCCCATCCGTCTTCTCCTCTCATCCGTCCCTCCCTACCGGTGTCTGCCCGACGAGACCATGTCACGAGTCGAGGCATCCCAAATCTGTTCGATTCATGGACTTGACACTATAATTCTCACACATACGAACATATACAAACACACATACCCTGCGACTCGCTAGATTTGCGCATGCCCTGTCTGACTCGGCCTAGGGTCGCTGTCTCAGGGTTCTTGTCATAATCGCCCGGTCGTCCCGGCTGCCGCGCCTAGTTGGCACACTTTCGCCCCTTCTATTGTCATTCTCTCTTTAGACTCGACCTGACCTGTCTTGTCTGTCTTGTTTATCTACTTATTGTCATTGTCCTTGGGGGCAATAACCGTCTGGCCTTGTCGTCTTATCTACACAAGCCTGCACTTACGGACATCCCGACCTGCACGAGGGGGGAAAAAGCTCGGGCTTGCATTGGGCGCTGCACCTACCTATCCTATCCACCTTGGCCCTGCATTCACTGCTTGGTGGTGTCTGTGACGGCAGGTACTGATCCACAGACTCCCCCATGTCTTTGACTTGACTTGTTGGTGAATAGTGAACTGCAGCACTTTCGCTTGCCCCCATACTATGTACATGCACATACTTCGAGTTAGGCTTCGAGGCAGCCCATGAACCCTAAACTTGTCATGGCAGCAGTGCACACACACGTGTTTTGTTGGCTGTCTGTCTGTCCTTGACTCCTTCCTTGCACTGGCCTGGCGATGATGTTTGACCGAGGAGGAAGAAAAAAAATGACTCGCTTGGGCTGACTGGCGCTTGTTCCAATTTCCTGCTGCGTTCACACCCCTACCCTTTCTGCCCTGTCATGCCCTGCCAGGCAAAATCCGGCAGTAGCGAGCCTCTCTGTCTCTGTCTCGCTCTTCCCATCCCCACATGTAAATTTCCCACTGCCATCGCAAAAAACCAGACCAGACCACACAGGCTTCAGCATCAAGGATGCTACTAGTCTCTGTGCGACGGGAGGGACTGGGACTAGGAACAGCCGCGAAAGAAATTTCAGATGTCAGGCTTTCTACTGGCGCCCTGGCCAAACCTGCTCTGCTCTGCTCTGCTCTTGTTGCAGACTAGGTTTTGCATTGAAATATTCCTGCAATTCGGCCCTTGGCCAATCTCCAGCGAGCCCAGTTAAAGCGCATCCATCCCAGCACAGGCGGTCTCCCACTCCCCCTACAAGTTTCCCCAACTCAGCACCTCGATGTCATAGACCCTCACCTTCACCCCTCAATTGCTTAGCAATTTTTTTGCCCCATTTATTTCCCATCGTTTAAACCCCGACCCGATTCCGCACGAAAATCGTCATCACAAGCTTTCAACCCAAAAGTTGTCCATGCTGTCTTCCGACTTCTGCCGTCTCCCCTCTACCTCTGCCCTCCTCTTGCACCACTCACTGCTTGCGCTCTAAGAGTTCTGTTGCTGTTGTCATTGTCGTCGTCGCCGCCGCCGTCGTCGCCGCCGTCATGGCCACCCAAGTTAACCCGAGCAGCAGGTCTGCCACGGCAGAGAACGACGACTCCACAGACCAGATCGGAAACGACACCCCTCGGTCCGGCTTCGCTACCCCGGAGCCTGACCCTCAAGACAAGAGGCTGCCCGGCATCATGAGCTACTTCGGCCAGGTTCGTCCAAGCTCTCTTCAGCGTTTGTGGTCAGGCACCTTTTCTGCTGCGGCTCCGGGAGCTGCGGCTCAATCACGCCGCGAACAGGAGCAGATATTGTCCCCTACTCCTCCTTCTTCTTCGTCAGATGTACCAGTCAGCCCCCCCGAGCCCGCTTCCCGCAAGTCGTCTGAAGAACAAGGCCCACCTCTCCTCCCTCATGAGAGGGTGGGAGTCCTTCCAGAAGACAAGCCGCCTCCTGCTGCTGCTGAAAGAGGAGGCGAGATCCACCCATACCCTACCCCGCCTGCATCGTCTCGCTCTTCGTTGCGCGGTGCCAAGTTAGGTGGTGAGAGTGGTGGCGAGGGGGCAAGACATGGGGGAGCGGCAGTGGCGGCGGCGGCGGCTTCTTCCGCTGCCGCTCAGCCGAACGCCTCCTGCAGGAACGGCGTCACGGGCCGTAGGACCTCTGTGCTTGCGCCGGTGTCCTCCGCCCGCATCACAGAGTCCACCGCCCATGCCCGTCACTTCTCAACCCCATGCCCTGCTTCGCAGGATTCATCAGCCCATAAGCACCTCGTTTCTATCATGGGGGACGCTGCTGCTGCTGATGCTGCTGTTTCTGAGGATCTTGCTTCTGTTCGTCGGCGTAAAGGGCTAACAAACGCCGCGGCTTCAAAGAGTGGCCAGTCCACACCTGCCCGAGCACTATCTACCGCCCAACCCAGTCGAAATGACGGTCAAGACGACCGAAGGACCAGCAACGAGAGCGCGAGCGCCAGCGCCAGCGCCACGGGCACCCAGACCCCCTCTGGCTCCTCCGCCACGTCGACACAAGTACCAGCCGCCAAGGGCAAGCTCACAATCAAGATCAGCGAGGCTAGAGGACTGCGGAAATGCCGAGCACCCTATGTCGTTGTCGTCTTCCAGAAAAGCGAGCTGATCTCGGGCGCTCCACGCAAGGATGACGAGGACGAGGAGTCGGCCGTCTCGAATGTTGCCATGGGCGGTGTTCCGATTCAGCGCCAGGGCAGCGACTCTGGCCGGACCCCCATGGCCATCCCCATGAGGAGCCGCCAGAGCAGCAACACCAGCATTGGAGAGTTCAACAGTTTCCGCAACCGGCCTCACCGTCAGTCCTTTACAAACCCAAAGTGGGACGCGGAGGCGGTCTTGTGAGTTATTTCCGACACCTTTATCACCCCCCCACCCCCCGGGGGGGAGGAAGGGGAGGCAAAACAAATTTGCACCAAGCTAACATGGAGACTAGTGACGTTGTCGATAAGGATATGCTCGTTGATATCTCCGTTTACGATCACGGTGCGAAAGGTGAGGAATTTTTGGGACACGTCAATTTCCAGGGACGCAGGCCAGACAGCCAGGAGCCCATACGGGGCTGGTTCAGCCTCAAGGGTCACGTCGACACCATGGAGGAGAACGCGCCAACCGGCGAAATATACGTTGAGGCTCTGTACCAGGGGGGCGAAAAGCGACACTACGGCCCCGAAGACTTCATGATCCTGAGATTGATCGGAAAGGGCACTTTTGGTCAGGTGTATCAAGTGAGAAAGAGGGACACCGGGCGCATATATGCTATGAAAGTCCTTTCCAAGAAGGTCATTGTACAAAAGAAAGAGGTGGCTCATACCGTCGGCGAAAGGAACATTCTGGTCCGGACTGCGACCTCGGAGTCGCCCTTCATCGTGGGGCTGAAGTTCTCCTTTCAGACTCCCTCTGACCTCTACCTTGTGACCGACTACATGTCTGGCGGCGAGCTCTTCTGGCACCTCCAGAAGGAGGGGCGGTTCGACGAGAAGCGCGCCAAGTTCTACATCGCAGAGCTCATCCTCGCGATCGAGCACCTGCACAAGAACGACATTGTCTATCGGGACCTGAAGCCCGAGAACATCCTCCTGGACGCAAACGGCCACATCGCCCTCTGCGACTTCGGCCTGTCCAAGGCGAACCTGACCAAAAATGACACCACCAACACCTTTTGTGGAACAACTGAGTACCTGGCCCCAGAGGTGCTGCTGGACGAGGCAGGCTACACCAAGATGGTTGACTTCTGGTCCCTGGGCGTCCTCGTGTTTGAGATGTGCTGTGGCTGGAGCCCCTTCTACGCCGAAGATACGCAGCAGATGTACAAGAACATTGCATTTGGCAAGGTTCGCTTCCCAAGAGACACGCTGTCTCTCGAGGGCCGAAACTTTGTCAAGGGTCTGCTAAACAGAAATGCAAAGCATCGCCTGGGCGCCAACGATGATGCGGAGGAGCTGAAGCGGCATCCATTCTTCAACGACATCGACTGGAACGCGCTGTCCAACAAGTTGATTACGCCACCTTTCAAGCCGAGCCTCAAGTCCGACACAGATGTCTCTTACTTCGACCCCGAGTTCACCAACGCTCTCGACCAGAATGGATCGCTGAACGAGCGGGCGGCGGCACTGGCCAGGGGCTTCGCCACGTCAACGCCCCTCTCACCTTCTGTCCAGGCGAATTTCCAAGGTTTTACGTTTGTTGATGAGAGCGCGCTGGATGAGCACATGGGAGACAGGGTCATGGATGATGAGATGGATGTCGACCAGGGCAAGGAGCACGATTGGGATGAACTGGAGGACGTTACGACCCAGAAGTCAAATCGGATGAGCGGTGTCCGGACCAATGACGATCTGGTGGGCACTTCGGACTTTGACATGTGATGAAGAAGGGGATATCGATTGCCAGATTATCTTTTTTCCCCTTCTCTTCAAAATTTTCCAAAGTTTTTCAATTCTTTTCTTCCTCGGTCACCGAAAAAAGAAAAAAAGGGCGAATAGGGTCTCACGCGCGTTTATGACATTTGGTACGCATCGTGCATTTGCATATGGGCGGTTGAAGCACCTGCATTTGGCAAGACAGAAGAGATGCAGCAATCTGGCCTCGGCGTTTACGGTCTGGAAACAGAATTGTTTTTTTCCTTCATCCGATTCTACAGGCGAGCGAGGATAAGCTCGTCCAGCAGGCGCTGCCAAGGAGGAGGATGGGATGATGATGGCTTGAACTTCGCTTTGGGAGAAAGCATGCATTGGATGAGAATGAATATTAGGCTGGTTCCACAAGAGGCCAGTCAGGGCTTGGTCTGGTGGTGGTGGACCTTGCGGCGAGGGAGAGACACCAAAGGCTTGGCTGCCTGTGCCTCTCTGCTCCACCAAAGTGAAGTGGTCCTCATCCGTCAGCACTTCTTGCCTGGAGAGATGAATCCGTGTGGACCATCTGAGAGCGGTAGCAAGTATGTGCTTGGTATCTATCTACTTGTGCCCCTTTCTAAAGGCACGATACCAGCATCTAGCATCTAGTGGCAGTTTGAAAAAAGGGACGAGCAATGCCTACAGTGGTAATGCATAATCGAAATGTCATCATGCTCAACACACAAAGAGAGAGAAAGAAAAGAGTCTTGAAATTTTGTTGTCTTGTACATGTATGTGTCAGGTCCCTGAATGGAAAGGGGACCTTGCTGTTGTATTTCAAATGTAACTGGCTGCTATTCTCCGAATGTCTTGCATCGAGATCTCTATTGGTTCTGTTGGTTCCAGCTGGGACTAGTACTCCAGCCCTCCCCCCTCTCTTCGTGTATGTTTGTCTCACTAGAGATGTCTTGATGGTGGTGTGTGCACAACAGACACCTGTCTCACATCCGTGGCCATAAAAGATCTCACCAGAATATTGTCATTGATGAACTTCTTGCGGAGTGTAGGTTTGTTCTTTCTTCCCCTGCGAGGCTGGTTGTGAGGCTACTTGAGGAGACTTGGATGAGACTGGCCAAATTTATTCTTTTACATAATTTGTTTCGTGACCAATGTTGGGGGCCCGAAGGGGGGGGGGGTGTGATGGAGTCAAAAGACAAACCAAAGTCTGTGTAGTATTCTTCGGAATGCAAAAGTGTATGTCACTTTCACGGTGTGAGAGAATGATAAGCTGGTTGGTTGGTGATGGTGCCTTTGTCTGGAGAGCTGGGAATATCGCTTAACGCAGCTTGTGCGTGGGGCCAATTTTCATTTGACAAAGGCTAGTAACATCCAGTCCAGTCTGCTCCCCTACATATATTTACTTGGACATATCTGACTCCTCAACACGAGCAGGGTCAGAACAAGGGGCTGGGTTGTGTTCAGATGCTCGTGTCCGCCCCGATGCTACAGATGTTTGTTTACATGCTATGATCAAAGTATGTGCTCCTGAGAATACTTTTGTGTGTGGCAAACTTCTCACATAGCTGGGGTGTATCCTGGGTGCCTGGAGAAAATTTGTGAGTAACATGGCAGTCAATCCTCTGGAGGTGCAATGAGTGTTCAGCATCAAAGGCATCACATTTGTTCAGGATCAGTGTATTGATGAATCCAGCCTCTTGGCACAATTTCAATCCTATTTGGTATATCTGTCATCCTAGGATATCGTAATCTTTTGTACCTTTCCCCCCCTTAGACGCCTGTCATCGCTTCATGGCCTAGACTCCCATGAGCAGTGTGCCCTCGAAAAGAAAATGCGTCCTTTGTACATCGGCGCCATACCGTCTATTAACCGGGTGGGGAATAGTCAGCGCTTCGAAAACCCTTATGATGTGCTCCGTCGCATGTATTACACATGCCAGGTCCATCTCCTCGTTCGCCCTTCGCTTGTCGATCCCGACCGATTACGACGATTCCCGTACTTCACCTTCGTCCTCATCAGACAACCGCGCTCGCTTCTGGTCTCTATCTACCGGGCTCTCGTCCAGATCTGCCTCTGGACTTCTTCGTTTCACTCCTGGCGATCTCAAGCCGTTGCTTGTGCCATTGGCCCTGTCATCGTGGTTGCCAAGGTGATTTGCTGCAGATTTCAAAGTGGCATCGGAATCTCCCTTAGATTGTGACGGCGCGTCAATGTCCATGTACCCGTCATCGACTTCCCTCTTGCTGTCAGCCCTGCCATTGTCGTCGTCGTCGCGGTCCGCCCTGCCTTGGTTCCGTGCTCGTGGGCTCTGCGTTCCGCCACGGTCTGTGTCCATCGGTGTGCCGTTCTGGCTGGATCCGCCTTCAGTCTGACTTGGGAAGTCACGTCCCCTTCTAGTGTTCTCGAGGCTGAAGGCCGGTGAGCCCTGGTATCGCGAGTCTGACTTCCGGAGAGGGTTTTCTGAATAGAAGTCCATCACCACGCTGATGGCCGATTGTAAGAGTGACTCGTCCCCGTTCAACACCCGCCACCAGGCCTCTCCGTCCTTGTCATCTTCGATCTTCTCGCCAAGCGAGACCGTTGCGAAGTATATAGCGCTGATGGCGACCTCCTTCGCGTTCATGAGGAGCGGCAGCACCGTCAAGGCCGAATCACAGCAGTATGCCCAAGCCGCATCTCGGATCGGTCTGTGGTGAAGCATCTCTAGTTGAGTTAAACACTCGTACAGTCGTTGGTAGGGATTGTCCACCATCAGGTCGAAGGTCAACATTTCCAACATCATCTCTTCGTGCATGAGAATGCTATCCCGCCACTTCCAGTACTCTTTGCTCTGCTCGTCCACGATCAGCTTGGGGTTCTTCTGCGCCACTCTGACCACCGCGTAGATGAGGTCCTTCGTCTTCCGGCAGTTTTCTTCCGTTTTATTCGCTAGAAAGAGGGCTGTCGCTGCGATGTTCTGTTTCCAGTAGCACCTGTATTAGCCTCATGACGTTTCTGGGGAAAGAGGTGCGCTGGCGAAAGGGAGAGAACGGGGACGCGGGGTTGCAAGCGCCAGCGCATATCATCGCGGCTTTTTGGCCACGCTATGATGCAGTCACTTTTGTGGTAACTCACGTAGTGGTGTATGCCTCCCTTCTCCTCAACCATACTGCAGCGCATGTAGAAGCGATGGAAGAAGACAGCAGCAACCCAGAGCGTAGTTTGCGGCAACTCTATCATAGCCCCAGCCTGGTAGATGAAATTGACACCCTTTGCCCTCCGCAGCCTCTCGTCGGCTGGCATGAGGCCGTCCACGATGCTGGGAGAGCTGAGCGCCTCGTCTGAGGTGAAGTACCACTGGCTGGCCCGCAAACGCGACGCGCTCGTCGGCGAGTGATGAGCTGGGGACGGCGCGCCTCGTCGAGATTGTGGTGGAAGTGAGGATGTGCGCGAGGAATGCGTTGGGGGCGAAGGGACTGCGGGCGGGACATCGCGTCGGCTCGAGGGCGACTTGGACGGGCGGCCGGCAGCAGCAGCAGGCTTCGTAGACAGCGAGGGAGGCTGATAGCCCTCGCGAGGCGGTCGGTATCTATCGATGCTCGCCATTTTGGGAGGGGCAATCAAGTCATGAACAAAGCTGGCCAATCCAGGACGAGTCAAAGTGGGGGCGAGTTGAATGACCAGGGTCAGTTTGACGTACGCAGGACGGAGGTTGAGGGCGACGAGCGATGTGAAAGAAAGGGAAAAGTTGGAATGATGAAAGAGGAACCAAATCGAAGTGGTGTTGAAAGAGGGCCGACGATCTTCTCCACAGGCGGGCCAGGTTTATCAGTACTTTCTCGACTTTTGATTAGCGTAAGCCCTTTGTCGCTCAAGCTGCGGGTCCACACAGGACCGGAAGTTTCTCTCAACGACGCGGCAGGCGAGACAACCCTTACGCCGCACTTCTTTCCCTTGAAGGTTCCTGGACTGGACCTCAGCTTGTTTTCTTGCCTTCCTCTTCTTCTTTCCCTTGGAGGGTCGAGCAACAGCAATTTAATTACCTTACGCCTCGTTGGTAAATCCCCTCCTCCCAGGGCCGAGTCGTCAAGATGATGCACCCTTCGAGGAGAGCGTACGTGGAGGATCAGATGGATGAGGTAAGGAGACCCTGCCCAGAGCTTTGACGAGGCCTCTATGTGCTCAACAAACCGAACTAAACAGCACGCGGCTCGACTGACTAAACTTCCTCTGTGCAGGACAGGGGGATGACGATTGATGAAGTCCGTAAGTATAGATTGCCTCCAGTCTCTCCTGTGAGCGTCGCTGACCCATCGACCCAGCAAATGATTACAACTACGACCTCGCAACTGGCGAGAATGCCTCAGCACTGCTGTCCCAGTTCGAGCGCAAGCGGCTCGCGGCGCGCATCGCCGTCCCGACCAACGATGATGCCATCAAGGCCATGCTACGCGAGAGAGGCGTACCGATTACGCTCTTCGGCGAGAATAACCCTGCGGATCGCCGTGAGCGGCTGAGAGACATCTTGACGACCGAGACCGAGCAGGCCAGATCTAAAGGCCAGGAAAGCGCCGATGTGGATATGGAAGATGTCCCAGAGGACGAAGAAGATGACGAGGAGCAAGATGAGGAATACTACACGCGGGGCGACGACGAACTACTGCAGGCTAGGGTCGAGGTCGCCAAGTACTCACTCCCAAGGGCGAAGAGGCGCGTGCAGTTCCAACGGGAGGAGGCCAAGATACCACTGCGGACGCACGTCAAACATCGGAAGCAGATCAAGGAGAGGCTGCAGGACTTTGAGCTCCAGAGTTCGCAGGTTGGGGGACAGAGGTATCTAAGCGTGGTCAGGCTCGCGCCCGAGGGGCAGCTCTGCGCCACTGGAGACTGGGGCGGCAGTCTCAAGGTCCTCTCGGCGCCCGAGCTCGAGGTCAAGAAAACCCTGAGAGGCCACACTGCCAAGATAGGCGGCGTGGACTGGTTTCCTGGCCCGGTGGCCCAAGGAACCGACACTGTTCACCTGGCATCCTCGTCAGCTGACGGAGCTGTCCACCTGTGGTCGCTCGAGCGAGATATACCTCTCGCATCGCTCGCAGAGACTGGCGGAACCAAAGTCAACAAGATTGGATTCCACCCATCCGGCCGGTTTCTGGCTACTGCTTGCGACGATACGACGTGGAGACTCTATGATGTCGCCGCTGGCAAGGAGATAGTATGCCAGGAAGGGCATTCGAGGGCAGCTCTGGCTGTCAGCTTCCAGTCCGAGGGTGCCCTGGTGGCCACGGCGGGTATGGACAGTATTGGCAGGGTGTGGGATCTCAGGAGCGGGCGCACCATTATGCTGTGCGAAGGTCACATCCAGCCTATCACTTCCCTGGGCTGGATAGACGGCCACAGGATACTTTCGGGGTCTTTGGATGGATTTGTCAGAGTATGGGATGTCCGCAAGGTGCAGTCGGGCGGGAATTTGGCCGGAAACACCTCTGGCGTGACGGATCTGCGTGTCTTCCGCGGCCTTGACGATCCTGTGGAGGGCGAGCCCCCTGGCCAAGATGACAAGGGTGCGCAATTGCCGAAGAAATCGGCTACATTCTTCGCATCGTGTGGATTTGACCGAAAGGTCAACGTGTACTCGATGGACGACTACTCCCTCATCAGCTCGCTCGAATCCCATACGGCGCCTGTCAGCTCTGTCGACATCTCGAGGGACGGCAGATGGATTGTGTCTGGAAGCCATGACAGGACTATAAAACTCTGGGCACGGAATGAGATGGAGGCCCTATAAAGAGTATAAATCCTACAGAGGAAACCCGCAATAAAGAGGACCTGTGTGTGTCGAGATACCCAGCATAAAGCGACAGGAATTATACCTTTCTTGATGGCAGTGAAAAAGACTTCTACTGCTAAGAGAGCCCTACAACGGACTGGGCACCCAGGAGGTCACAATACAGCATGTGTTTTTCATTGTAGCACTCGGCGATTTTATTGAAGGCATGGTTTAGGGAGGCATGAAAGGGGCAAGTAGAAGCGGAACCAGCACGCACAAAGCCGCATCCACCCGCCATAAGTTGAAAACTGAACCTGGAAATGTCCCATTGGGCAGGTGGCCTTGCTTGGCGGGGTTGCCTACTCCGTAGTGGCACATTCGGCTAGTGGTCTGACCCAGCGCGGCCCGCCTGGACCTTCGTAATCAAACCCTAAACTTGGAAAGCCCAGCCCTGGAGGGGCCTTGTCCCTTAGTGAGTGACAGTGACTGACTGCCGGCCTGTAGCCTGTAGCCTGTACCCTGTACTTGGTAGCCTGTCACAATGCCCTAAATAAAAATTTACCCCAGGCGCGGGCTGACTGAGACTCCACAGTTGTGGACAAACAGGAAAGCCAAATTTGCATGTGCTCCTTTCGAATAATTAATAGTCTCGCCTTGCCTTTCTCTTTTTCCTTGTTTCCTTCAGGTGACTTTTGCTCAGCAGACCACAAGACAAACAACCGACCAAGACAACCAGCCATTTATTCTCTCGCAAATGCATACCAGTAACGATACTCCTCAAACCTCTTTTTCGTTTTCTTTCTTCAAGTATCAGATGCGCGTCCAGTGCCGCCAGAGAGTCTCACGAAACGAGTTCGCCGATTGCCGCAAGGATCCAGAAGCCCGCCGCGGTGCGCCTTGAGCGGCCACACGAAAAGGCCACAGAGAAACACGACTTCTAGCATCGCGATCATCCGTTCGCGATAGCTAGGTAACCAAACACGCTGAGGGAAAGAACAGGCCTTGTCACCTCGCTCGCGAAATCTCCGAAATGGCCCTAAAGGCAACAGCAGCCATGGCCACTACCGTCGTCCGCGGCTTTCAAACTCCGAGTGGCTCGGGAGACGAAGAGTCCGAGTATGGCGGCGGCACGCCTCGATTGATCGCTGCCGACAAGTCCTCGCCTCCTATCTTACGGGGTCGACGCTCTCGAAATCCGGTCATTGATGATGTGGTCAGCGTGAACTGCAGCCCCGTCTTACGCCCTGCGCCACAGTCCCCTGCCGTCAGCGGAATTTCCCTCCTGCGATCGCAGATCGATTCGCTGCACCTCGACAGTACGAGCTCCTCCCGCGCGAGTTCAGTCACGCGCTGTAACAGCCTCTCTCCCCTGGCTCGTCCTGTTCGGGCTCGTGGCGCGCTGAATGGAGTCGGCACCCGTCCACAGAGCAGCTACGGCAGCGAGGGTAGTGGCGATGAGGGCGCCTCGGACGTTTCGACGCGTTATGAGATTACTTTGGACAACGACTTTGTCAGTGCGAGCGCCCCGGGCCTTGGCGCCGCTCTGGGAGAGGACGTCTTCGAGGACGAGATGGAGGGGGTGCCTGCCAACCCGCCTCGCAAGATGACAACCGAAGATTTCGAGCCCCTTCGATGCCTGGGCAAGGGCACTTACGGAACCGTCATCCTGGTCAAGCAACGCACTACTGGCCGGCTGTACGCCCAGAAGCAGTTCAAGAAAGCGTCGCTGGTCGTGCACAAGAAGCTCATCGAGCAGACCAAGAACGAGCGCCACATCCTCGAGTCCGTCAACCGGCACCCTTTCGTGGTCAAGCTCTACTACGCCTTCCAGGACAAGGAGAAGCTGTACCTCATTCTCGAGTACGGCCAGGGTGGCGAGCTATTTCACCATCTCAAGGCCGAGCGCATGTTCTCCGAGACGCGGGCGGCCTTCTATCTAGCAGAGATGGTCCTCGCTCTTTCACACCTGCACGACGACCTGGGCGTCGTCTACCGCGATCTGAAGCCCGAGAACATCCTCCTGGATGCCGAAGGCCACGTGCTCCTCACAGACTTTGGACTGTCCAAGGTCGCCGCCGACGACGCCACGTGCAGCTCAATCCTGGGCACGGTGGAGTACATGGCTCCAGAAGTCATCAAGGGCGAGAAGTACGGCAAGGCGGTGGACTGGTGGTCGCTGGGCGCACTTGCTTACGACATGATGGTGGGAGACGCTCCTTTCCGTGGTGGGAACCACCACAAGGTGCAGCAGAACATTCTCAAGCAGAAGTTGGCTCTGCCCTACTTCCTCAGTAATGACGCCAAGGACCTCGTCACACGCCTGCTGAAGAAGGACCCCAAGAAGCGCCTGGGAAGCCACATGCCCAAGGATCTAGCAATCATCAAGGGCCACCGCTTTTTCAGGCATATCGACTGGAAGAAGCTCGCCGCGCGCGAGGTCGAGCCGCCTATCCAGCCCATGATCACTGATCCCGAACTGGCCGAGAACTTCTCGGAGGAGTTCACGGGGCTCAGCCTGAGCCCACGCAACTCGTTCGCAGAGCCATTCAGCCCTGCGAGCGCGCGTATGGATGACAATCCTTTTGGTGGCTTCAGCTTTGTGGCGAGCCACAGCCTGTTGAACTCGAACGGTTTCGCATTTGCGCAGGGTGCGTAACGGCAGGACTCCGAATCGTCGCGGTGTATTTCTGTCACACCAAGGCAGGAAGTCTTAAAAAGGTGGATGTAACGCAGCAGGAGCATCATACACAATAGATGATACAGGTTACACAAACAAGACAGATGGCATGGTCATTGCATGGTTACAAAAGAAGAAGAAGATAGACTTGTCTCTCTTGGGTTGGATGTGATTCAGGTCTCAGCAGCAGCAGACGGCTGGCTGAGAAGGAGGGAAGGGTCTCAGGGGCAAGCGAGGTTTTGCCTTTTACTTTTTTTTTTTTACTTTCGGTCCCAAGTAACAGTTTCGTTGGACAGTAATGAGGGATGAATAAATAGTTTGACGGCATTGTATCGAAGCGCGGGCAGCGAGTAAGGGGTGTGATTTCATAATGAAAGCATTTTCTCGGGGGTTTTTCAATTGCAAGCTTCGCTTCCTACTGTGTTGGTGACGATGGGGGCATTAATCTACATACTTACTTGCCAGGTCAAGGGCTGCCACGCCGTTACTGATCTCCCTGCTGTGGATGTCTTCAGCCCTATAACATCGACGGCTCTCTCTGCCTGGGGCCTGATCGACAGCTAAGCCTGGAGAAAAATCCAGCCTCACGATGTCTAGCGAGGTGGAGACGGTCTAGACAGAAATCTTTACGCGAATTACCATGGAAATATCGCCAGGTACGGCGACCCTGCAACCTCAGTTTTTCTTTGCCTTCCCCAGGATTATGCTCATTTTTCATTGGGCTCAACGCCTGCCCTTATTCCCTCCCCTTTACCAGCGTAGATTCTTCCACACACATCCGCATCATCAAATTTCTGGACCTGCATGGACTCTGACTGGCAATGTCCCGTCGTCGTACATACGACGCCTTTAACTCCGGTAAGGGCTGTTGAGACAAGGTCAGTGAAAGACTGCCACGCAATCAATGGATTTTGGGGCTTTTTGCTGCTCACCTTTATCCCACGGGGGCGGAATTCTCGTGCCAAGAGCGGCGGGTGTTTCAATGACCCAACAGCAGAGACAGTTACGGACGAGTCTTGTTTGGAGGATGGTGATCTGATGTTTTTTTCTTTTCTTTTTCTCTCTTTTCTGCTTACCCTGTCTGATCAAAGGTCTGCGCATGATCTTTGGTGGGTTTTTTTCTTTCTTCTTTTTTTTTTTTTTGTGTGTCTACTATTTTTGGTAGGGACAGGTCGTCTTTCAGGGTTCTCGGTCAGAGTGATTGGCGAGAGCCGCGAGAAAAGAGGATGGGTGTGCAACCAGGCCACGACCTTGTCCCACATCGAACACTGGTGAGGGCATGCATGAATACATGGGAGGTTTGTTCTAGAGCGCTGGGGTAGTGCCTACAGAATATGAGCGTCTGAAACGGTGTGGCATCTGGGGATGTTCATGTAAGTGAGAGCTCACAGTATAGAGATGGCTTGAATACTTTCTCCACTGGGTTGAGGCATCTCATCAGTGTAGGCCGTTCAAATGTCCCTCTCTTGAGCCTTCTCTGTTGTTTCTATTGTAAATATTGACGTAACTGATGCAGGATCGCTCAAGAGTAACAAATCAAGCACCGTCTCATAATAGAATTTTCACAGTTTCATGATATTGAGAAGAGCGTTTGTTACTGGGAGGTGGTTTCAATGCGGTGCATACTATGATCAAACGTCTAAAGGTGAAAGCCCCCTTGCATAGTGGGTCTTCCCGCCCTCGCTTGCGCTCTGAGGCTAGTGTGCCGCAGCATTCCCTTGCATTGCATAAAACAGTTCCAGGTCTGTAGCCAGTCAGGTGTGCTCGATAACCAAGAGGGGAAGAGGAAGGGGAAGAAATAGAGTACTGTACAAGTAAGAGATGGGCTTAGCCTCCTCTCCTTCCAACAGCGCCCTCTACAGTCTCTGTTACAGGTTTGGCCCCATGGCTCGCCGTGTCCCAGCAGGCGCCTGGCCGATGTGTTTTCTTTCTTTCTTTTTCTCTCTGAACCCGACTGATTATTCAATTGTTCCAGCCGATCGGGAGCACGAATGCCTGCTAAATCAGATCAGGCGAATCGCACAGTGGATGTTGATGATGCAAGAAAGTGGCTAAGCCTTGCATCAGGGTTTGAGAAGCAGTAAGGGGACATCTTTCACCTGTCAAATGGTTCTTTGGGATGTCGTGGATGGGACATCAGTCCTCATGTTGCATTTTGGTAACAGTTTTCCTCCCACTTTCCGGGCAGATTTCTGAGCACACCACTACTGGCTGGTCCAGGGCCGTTCTTTGTTGTCTTTCCATCTAGAGCGCTCCACGCCTCCCACACGACTCCTGAAACCGGCCAGCATCAGGATAGAGGAGACTGACATCACCTTGACACACAACAGCAGCAGCAGCAGCCGCAGATGACAGACAAATAGACAGACAGACAGACAGACAAGATACGATGGATAATATCCAATGCCCCATTGGTTCATACGTACACGCAAGCATTCTTCTGTGGCTCAGGGCTGGGCTGCATGGACTCCCCCCACCTTGGCCTTGGGCCGTGTTTCCAGATGAACAGACTTGACAGACGGGCTCATGACTCTATTGCGCTTGGGCATTTTCTGAGACGGCTCGTTCTGGCGAAGCTGGTTACGCTGCGCCTCCCGCCGAGAGCTGATCAGCCAGAGTCAAAAACGTTTAGCGCCTTGTCAGGTTGATGATGTCGACGCCCAGCACAAACAGTCCAGAGCTAAATGTTAAAGGACAAAACCTTCAGCCATGCCAGCCGCGTCTTGAGAGGAGGGAATCGAGATCCATGACACAAGTTTGGAGGCACGGCAGTGGGGGATGGCGTAGGACGATAGCAAGCGAGAGACTTGAGCAGATCTGTAAGAAGTTATAGTAGAAGGAAGATGTGGGTTTGCACTGTCTTCGCTGTGATGATCGACCTCGGGTTTCTGAGGTAAATTGTAAGTTATGGTAATGTCTCTGGTGATCAGTGTCTCACGTTTTTCTTTCCTTTGTCTTTTCTGCTCTTCCTGTCACCCATTTAAGCGCTGCACCTTTTGGCAAGGCTCAGCCGTCCCATGTTTAAGATAGCAGCCCATCTAACGCATGGCTTAGGCACTTGGCTGGCCGCGTCACTCTGTTTCTTGGTACTACGATGATGTGCGGCTTATTCTCCCTTCACATGTTTTACGCCGTACCAAGAAGCGCAAGGGTCGTGGTGGTTGGCATACTATGGTTTTAGCCTACAGGGGGTTTTGGATCACGAAACACATCAGTCACACTCTGGCACGAGGGACCACCCTGGCAGCACCTTCAGATCAACGCGCTCAAGGTTTCTTAGAGGCTCAGCCCAGCTTTGTGCTTGCCTTCGCATAACTTAATTGTACAAGAGCAGTCGAGATGCTCGATTCCCCTCCCTCCTTCCTTGTCCCTTGAGAGGGATACACCTATGTTTATTGCCGCAGTGCGGTCTTATATATCAGACACACATCCCTCGCTCCTTCCCAGGACGACTTGTTTCCTTTTGGTCATATGCCGACTCACTAAACCCTTCACCCTCTTAATAAAAACAAATAGGCTGTGCCTCGCAAGTAATCCATCCGTTACAAGGCTGTTAATTCCCCCTCCTCCCCTGTGCGATAGTCTCTCCCACTCAAAGAAAGAAAGACGAGAGAAGTTGCAGCCAGCTGTGCTGGAGGCATATTTCACCACTACGATGCATACACCTCTCAGCCTCACGGCCGCAGTGGCAGCGGTGCTTAGTAAGTCAATAGAGAACCAAGGCGGCGCCCCCTTCAACAGATGTGCAACCCAGCTTACACAAAAACAGCTGCAACACATATCAGCGCAGAGCCCATCAGCACCTGCGCGTCTGGCGCCGATAATGTCTGCTATGCCGTTGGCGTTCCAGAGACAACAGCCGACTCGACCACCGGCAATATCTATATCCAGATGTCCGCGCCGACGTCCTATTCCTGGGTCGGGCTGGGCGCAGGCTCGCAGGAGATGGCTGGTGCCAACATGTTCATCATGTACGCCGACGGCACCGGCAATGTGACAGTCTCGTCGCGTCTGGGCAAAGGAGAAACCCAGCCCCTGTACAGCGCCTCGACGGCATCGACCCTCCAGCTCATGGCGGGCAGCGGTGTGTCTAACGGTATAATGCTCGCCAATATTCTGTGCACCGACTGCAAGTCCTGGTCCAGTGGGACACTGAGCACGACAAGCACCAGCTCCAACTGGATCGGCGCGTGGAAGGCCGGGTCTGCTCTGGACAGCACGGATCTCTCCGAGACCATCACCTACCACGACTCGCACACGTCGTTCGCCCTGGACCTCTCAAAGGCCACCATCGCAACAGACAGCAACCCGTTCACCTCCGCGGTAGAGGCCACAAGCTCAGCGTCGACTACGGGTGCCGTCACGCAGGCCGCAAAGCCAAACCAGCAAGTCATCTGGGCGCATGGCCTCGGCATGGCGCTTGCATTTGCCATTTTCTACCCACTGGGGTCGGCTATTATGCCAATGATTGGCAAATGGCAGATCCACGCTGGCTGGCAGGTCATCACCTGGCTGTCTATGTGGGCATTCTTCGGCCTCGGCGTGTTCGGTGCGCAGCAGCGCGACCTGGTAAGTCCATGTCCTGGCCAGACGGGAGAGAAAGAACAAACAAACGTTGCTAACTTCAGCTGCCGCAGCTCTTCAACAACAGCCACACCGTGCTTGGTGTTTTTGTCGTCTCCCTCCTCGGCATCCAGCCTGCCCTGGGCCATCTGCATCACCGGCACTACCTCAAGTACCGCCAGAGGGGCGTCATTAGCTATATTCACCTCTACTGGGGACGCATCTTGATCATCCTCGGCGCCATCAACGGAGGTCTGGGTCTGCAGCTCACGCACGCGCCCAGCAGCTGGATCACCGCCTACATGGTGATTGCCATCGTCGTGTACCTGCTGTATGCCGGTATCAAGGTCTTTGCTGTCGTTCGACGAAGGAACAGAGAGGCTGCTCCTCCAAAGACCAGCGCCAAGATGTGGCCAAGTTCGGGATATGTTGATCTTGGAGATGAGGTGCCCATGAACAACTGGTATGCGCCCCGTTCTGAGAAGTAGGAAGCCCACTCAGACCAAAGAGAATCACTGGCAATTTTTTCTTCTTTTCTTGTATTCTTTTTCATGAGTGATGGCTGCTATGGTATGACGACAGAGGGAGATTGAGTAAGAGAAGGGGGGAGAGACAAGAGACAGAGACAGACATACAGATTGTTAGTGTGTGTGTGCGCGCACGTGTGCGTGTTTTGTATTCAGTCTAGAACTGCACAGGGCCGATCCAGCAACAACAGGATCACAGCCACCAGGGGAATGTGGTTTTGCATATCCCCTAAGAGACATAAAAAAAAAAAAAAGCACTCAAACCTTGCAACAAGAGCTAGTCCCGATCGTTTTGGCGTTGTCGACATTTGATCATTTGACAAAGTGTCTTTCGTGAAGTGACATCATCGCCGGGCTGAGCTTCAAAATGAGCTTCAAACAGACCCCAAGTGCTGTCTAGCGTATGATCCTCCAACTCCCTAGCACGGCCATGGCATCTTGTACTATGGCTATAGATCTGGAGTGATCGATGATGGTAGCAATGAGACTATGATCAGACCATCAGATATACTTGAGCAAGAGATCAATGCGGGGGAGGAGTGGGTACTCAGTTGGGAGGCTGGTCTGGAGAAGGGGAACCACGTGACTGGCAGGGGTAGGGGGCGAGAAAAGGCGAGACTGTCCCCATGCAAAGGTTGGTAAGAAGCTCGGACCAAGTCCTGGGTCATGATGCGCCGACCTCACCCGCTTGGTCCGTTTTAGCTTTTTTACTCTCAAAAGACCTCACCCATCCACACCCCAACGCCCTGCTCCTCTCCCCCCCGCGCCGCGTCAATTGAGCACCGCACATCAGCCACGATGCTCTCCTCCGTGTCCCGAGCTTCTGTACGTTATTTACCTCCTCCATTGCCATTGAGTCTGCGCGACACGAGCGCGGATGGATTGAATGGAATTGATGATGGACTGACCGAATGACCCACCTGATTTGCAGAGCCGCCAGGCTGTCGCCGCAGTCTCCCGACTTGCTGGCCGCAATGCCGTTCAGATGAGGACCTTCCTCAACCCTACCGTCTCGCGAAGAGGTATGTCAATTCGATTTATATTCTCCCGATGCACGAGACTTGTTTTTGTACGGGCGGTGGTGGTGGCGATTCGAGGGAAACAGACCTCAAGGGTTGGAAGAATATTGTGTTGCCGCGGGCTGGGCCGGGTGTCTATCTATCTATTCATTTAGAGAGATGGCATCGCGTCACGTCACAGACTCGATCTACCTGACTGCCCTCAAGCCTTCCAATAAGCCGCGCCGATCTGTCTGGCCTCACCAGAGTGATTCAGATCTCTCGTCTACACCACATCGACATCATACCCATCCTCCTCCATTTATCACACCCCATATCTCCCATGCACGCCCTCTTCCCCAAGGAATATGTCCATCATCGCACTGTCCAATCTCAAGGCACCTATGACTAACCTCATTCTCGTCCAAAAAGCCGACTTTGTTCAAGAACTCTACCTGAAGGAACTCAAGGCCTACAAGCCAACACCCGTCAAGGACTCGGATGCCAAGGGCCAGGTGCTCGACTTCTCCCAGCCCAAAGCCCCCAAGTCTCCCGAGGAGACCGACCTCGCCTCCTCCCTCAAGGAGTACGAGAGCATGGCCGTCGAGGTCGAGGGTCAGGAGACCGCCACCGGCAAGCCCGTCGCCGCCGTGGAGGACTGGCTTGTCGAGGAGGACGAGGACGAGGAGCACGCCCACGGCCACTAAGCCGATATAATGGGATTGTAGAGGAACAAAGAGATGCAACTTTATTGCAAGCGCCGGAGGGAGATGAGAGTGACGAGATCAACGAGGTCTCACATAGCTACGAGGGGACGCAGTAGCCGCAGACTCGTTATCGACAAGAGAAGAGGGCGGAAGAGGGTGATGTCTCTAGTGGAGGTGGAGGAAAGGAGAGAGACTGATCACACAAAAGGGGAGACTCCGGAGGAGTGAACCGTGTATATTTTCATATCATGCTCTCTTTTATGCAGCGAAAGATGGCAATCGTACCTCGCCAAGTGTGGCACCCACTCATTTGAGCCATTGCATGATGCATGTCATTGCGTGCGTAACTTGTCGACGGGGGGATGGAATTCAACCTGAGCTATCTCGACTTCATCACATCCAGGTTTCATATGCAAATAATTTGGATGTTGTCTCTGATCCGCAGGTTCCCTGCCAGGAGACTTGGAAGTTGCCAGGTGCAAGTACAGTATAGTATGGTTGATGACTCGCATGATTAGACTTGAATTGATCAGATGAACTCTTGAGTCCTAGCCAACTTAGTCCATCTATCACAGGAAGACAAAGGATCACTATCCGATGCTATGGCCTTGTCTTTCTCTCAAGCCGTTTCCGATCGACCTCTCGTGTTGATCTCGCTGCTTACGAAGTTTCGAAGCTAAAAGAACCACCTCCTCATATCGTCTGTACAACCGATGGCACCAGGTCCCTCCGAATCCCATCTCGCCTGTCGAGGGCTCTCATCTTCTCATCCATAAAGTCGACCAGGGCGCACATGTCAGTGCAGTTGTACATCTCCGCGCGCTCCTTCTTGCTGAGCAGGGCGTGCTTGTCTGGGCCGTAGCCGGGCGCGCACATCTCACCTACTGGAGAGATTTGGACGACAAATGTGGTCAGCAACGTGCAATGGGAGAGAAAACAAACGCCATGATCCCGTGCGAAAACAGAAGGAGGCAACTTTCTGTCTTTTGAGAAGGACAGAAGAAAAGATTAGAACACGTACGGTGGTGCTGCACGAGCTTCAGCGGAAGAGGCGCCCTCACGACATTGTTCATGAATAGCTCGACCGCTTCCCACGGACATGCCTCGTAGCCCGCAAAGAGCGCTGGGTTGGCGAGAAGGGCCCGTGCCGACATGAGGCCCCTGAGCTTAGACAGATAAGGCCTCCTACGCTCATTGTCGTCGTCGTCATCCCTGGGCGCCAGGTAAGGGGACCTGTACGGCAGCGAGGCCATGGAGAAGACGTCACCGGATACGAGGATAGGGACGCTGTCGCCGTATTTCTCTGTTAGCAACTCAAGGGCCTCGAGGTTGATGGGCGTGGTCGAGGGAGTATTCCTTGTGCGCGGGTGGATGGTGAGAAAGTCGATGTTGCGGTCCTTGTCGTGGCCTAGGACGGTGTCTATGAAGTCGATGGTTTTTCTAATTCCCTTCTTTTTCAGCATGAGTGCGCACAAACACTAGGTAGACCAGAAAATGTACTCACCGGAGATCCTTATGCACCCGGATTTTGACGCTCACGGTCCTGCCCTTGGCATTGTCCATGTCCCTCTCCTTGCCCACAGCCCACCCTTCATCCCGCAGCCTCTGCCGGGTCTCGAGGACCATGTCCCTGACGAGCTCGCGCTTCTCCATCAGTGCGGCGCCGAGAGTCTCGGCGCAGGCCCAGGACTGCGGGCACCCGCAGTTGATGTCGACGCCGTCTGCGTAGGGGACAACGAGGGAAGACGCCCGGGCTAGCTCGAGGGGTACGTTGGCGCCGAACTGGACGATTGTCGGGGGGCGGGGTTTTGTAGTGGAATATGTGAAGTCTGTTTTCAAGTCGTGTTGGTTAGAAGATCTGTGCAGAACCTACGCTGTGTTTGTGTGCGTGTGTGTGTGTGTGTGTGTGTTCATCATGAAGGAGGAGGAGAAGGAGGAGAGGACGCACCGCTGTCACGGGCTATGGAGCTACGATTGAACTCCTTTGCTAGGATCATGGGCGTCCAGCATAGGTCTGTCCCGTACGCATGTACTGTTTGTCTGAATGCTAGCTAAATCGGTATTGTCAGGACGGGTTCCTCAGCTTGTGTACATGTGAAGAAGGGGAAGGAGTCGCTCACTTTGCTGTACCTCACCATCGGAGCGCATGCACAGAGAAATCTTCCCTCGCTTTTGGCCAGATCAAATAATTTGAGAGGACTTTTGCGAAATGTGTTGTTTTTTTTTCAGTATGAATTTATGCCATGAGACAAGAGCCAGGTTATCAGACAGAGGACCCCCAACTCACTGCTGTGAAGGACTGGAGTCTGCCTGAGTAGACTCGTCTTCGTGCCCGTCCATGGTGGGAGACTCTCCCCAAATGGGTAAGAATTGATGGTGTTACTGCTACTTCTTCTCTTGTTTCTTGATTCAGACAAATATTTTGCTTAGGTTGTGGTCTTCAAGAGAATTCGCGCGGCGACTTTCTCTCTTGGACGAGATTTCTTGCTTCAACCCGTGACTTGCTCAGGCCTTACATCTCAGAATGACTCGTGAGTATGAATTTTCGTTCATTTCATTGAAGTCCGAAATTGAATAATATCTCAAAAAATTGCAGAAGATTTAAAATCCGTGGAAATCAAAATCGTGGCATAGAAAGGGGTCTAACAATGTAATTGCCTGAGTGACGCTCTCGTGAAAGACGTTTACTTGGTGCAGGGTTAGGATGAAGGGGGGGGGGGGGGGGCGGATGACCCTTCTGATTGGTGCAGATTCCACCTGAGACCCACAATAACTTTGCAAGAGCATGTAAGTCATCGCTCTTGGCCCTTAGAATTTCTTCGCGACGATCGCGTAGGAGACTCGACTTCATTTCGCAAAAGAGTCAGGACAAGCTGGTATCCAGCACTTAAAAGACAGAAAGGAAAACCAGAAGAAGAAAAATCGTCTTCATAATACCTATCAAGGTTTGGAAATTTCTGCAGACACTCTCACAATGCCATCGAAAACGCCCACAATCGGCCTCCTGGGCGGTGGTCAGCTCGGCCGCATGCTCTGCGAGGCGGCCTCGCCCCTCGACATCTCCATCGCCATCCTGGACGAGGCCAACGCACCCGCCAAGCAGATCAACAGCAGCGCCAAGCACGTGGTCGGCTCGTTCAAGGATCCCGCCCGGATCCAGGACCTGGCGGCTCACTGCGATGTGCTCACCGTCGAGATCGAGCACATCGAGACGGACGTGCTCGAGGAGATCGACACCAAGGGGGTGCAGGGCAAAAAAGTCGCCGTGCACCCATCGTGGCGGACCCTGCGGCTGATCCAGGACAAGTTCGCGCAGAAGGATTACCTTGGTCAGGAGGGGCTGCCGATCGCCGAGCAGATGGCCCTCGAGGAAGGGGAGGGCATGCTCGCGTCCCTGGAGGAGGCTTCGAGGAAGTTCGGGTTCCCGTGGATGCTCAAGGCGCGCAAGGGCTCGTACGATGGGCGGGGAAACTTGAAGATCTCGGGCAAGGCGGATCTGGAGCAGGCTGTGAAGGAGTTTGGGCGGCTCTCGTGCTATGCGGAGAAGTGGGTGCCGTTTGAGCTGGAGCTGGCCGTCATGGTCATCCGGACCGAGGACGACAGCGGCAAGACGAAGAGGCTGTTACCGTACCCGGTGGTCGAGACCGTGCACGAGGATAACATCTGCTCCAAAGTGTTCATGCCTCCGCGCAATGTTCCTGCGGCTGTGTGTGAGAAGGCACAGAAAGTTGCCTGCGGCGTGGTGGAGAAGCTATGGGGGAGAGGAGTCTTCGCCGTGGAGATGTTCCTGACCAAGTATGGTGCGTATAATTGCTTGCTTGCTGCATGACCTTTACAGTCGACGACGCTAACACTTGAGCAATCTCAGGAGACGTGATGGTCAACGAGATTGCACCACGACCACACAACTCAGGCCACTACACCATCGAGGCCGTGCCGTACATGTCACAGTACAAGGCCCAGCTCTACTCCATCCTCGATGAACCGCTTCCAGAGGTCCTCGAGGCACACGTATCATCCAGCATCATGATCAACATCCTGGGCGGTGCCAGTCAGGATTCCCACCACAGACTCGTCGAGCAGGCCAAAAAGATGTATGCGAAGGGCACAGCTGTGTACCCTCATCTTTACGGCAAGGAGTCTAAGCCCAGCCGGAAAATCGGCCACATCACTCTCACCGGTTCTGGGTCGATACAGGAGTTGGAGAAGTACGCGCAGCCGCTCATCCAGATCGCCGATGAGATACGACAAGAACGCCTCAAGGCAGCCAGTCAGGCATTGCGCCCCTCAGCAGCCCCCAAAGCCGCACCCAATGCCGCTGCAAAGGGTGACGCCCTGGTCCTGGTGACCATGGGCTCTGACTCGGACCTGCCCGTCCTCAAGGCTGGCATTGACATCCTCAACCAGTTCGGCGTGCCATGGACGGTAGACATCACATCCGCACACAGAACTCCTTCCAAGATGGCCGAGGTTGCCACGGAGGCCGCGTCCAGGGGCATCAAGGTCATCATCGCCGCTGCAGGCGGTGCGGCACACCTGCCGGGGATGATCGCTGCGTACACCCCCCTCCCAGTAATAGGTGTTCCTGTCAAGGCGACACATCTGGATGGTTTAGACAGTCTGCTGAGCATAGTGCAGATGCCGGTATGTGATTTGTCGCCATTCTCGCCCCCCCCCCCCTCCTTTCTCTCTCCTACTAACTACATTACAGAGAGGCGTGCCAACCGCTACTGTGGCTATCAACAATTCTACAAACGCGGCGCTATTGGCCATTCGATTTTTGGGGGCTTTCATTCCTGATCTGCATGAGAAGATGAGGAATTACCAGCTCGACATGGAGAAACAGGTGCATGATAAGGCGAATCTGCTCAAGGAAATTGATGTGCAGGCCTATTTGGAGAAGATGGGTAAGAAATAAGACGATAGGTACAATTACTGCTTTCCAGTCATCTAGTTGCCTACATAGACGCGCGCAGATGGGAATGAGGAGCCTCTAGTAGACATAGACATGCTGCATTCGTCTGGAATGTCATAGATTCACCTGGAATAAAACCTCAAGGTACAATCAATCCGCCTCTGTTTGCCCAGTCCTTTGGCTTCAAGGATCGGCTCATGGGGGCTGCCACAGTATAGAGATATTGGTAGCCTGGGCGACTATTCATTTACCGAGTTGACGATCACGAAAGGAATTCGATGTTGAGATGACCGACGATAGGACCAATTTGTGTGTGAGACGACTAGATATTTGTGCGATAAGTAACAATTGCTTGAATTAAGTTTCACGACTGACGTGGGTGCTTTTGAAGCACAATCGACTACCGAACATGCAAACCATAGAACTCCCTTTCTGTTGCAAAGTTTCCTTGCCTCCATAGAATTCAATTCCTCCCTAGAGTTTCCTTTGCGCCAGAGAAATACCTTTCCATTCCGAAATCACACCATCGACTGTGTAGAAGGACCTGTTTCTCCTCTGTCCCACCTTCATGGAGCATGCTAGGCATCAGGTATTTGGTGTTGTGCGTTCTTTGTTCTTTTTTTAATTTTTTTTTAAAAAAAATGCTTTTCCTTCCTTTTCTTTTCCTCCATTCGTTTCTGGATCTCTCCCTTGTAGCTATGTCCGTGTGTGTATATGTATGCGTATGTGCACTCGAACGCTGATGACCATGCTGGGTTTCACTCGTAGTACATGGCCTGCAAGATCTTGTGGACCTCCTCGTGGCCAATCAGCTGACCCAGCCAGGCCTGGACCCAAGGGCTGTCCATCTCCTCAGTGAAGTGAGTAGCAATGAACTGGTACTTGCTGTCCAGGCCCGGCATGAAAGCGCGACCAGCCAGGTCGGCGTACTCGAACAGCCAGAACTCCTTGACGGCCTCGTACTTGGCGATCTCGCGGCGCAGCTGAGCTTTGGCCCACTCACCGGCCCAGCGGATGTTGGGCTTCTTGTCGTTCAGGAAGAGAGTTTTCTTGATGTCGTCCTCGGGGGCGACGGGGTAGCAGTGGCAGGGGTAGAAGTGGTCCCACTGGCCGGTCTTGGGGTTGCGGTCGGCGTCGGTGGTCCAGGTGTACTGAAGAGGCTTGTCGAGCTGGAGACGGGGGTAGCGCTCGAGCCGGAAATCCTTGTCCCACATGTCCTCGGGGTTGAAGTTGACGTCCTTGGGGCGGACGGTGTTGTCGAACTGGGTAGGCTTGAAGGTAAACTCGAAGGTGAAAGTCTTGTCGCCGTTGTTCTCGTTCTTGTTCTCGCCGCTGGTGATAGTGGTGGACTTGTCGTTCTGAGCAGCATCAGTAGCAGTAGGGCTGACTGAGCAATGACCGTCCAGAGACTCGTGAGATATGACGTTGCTGTCCAGACGCTGCTTTTTGAAGGCGATAGGAGACAGGGTGAGGTTGACATCAGAAACAGATCGCTTCATTTTCTCGCGCCGGATGGGCAGGTGCTGATTCTCAACTGGGAGACGGTTCTCGTCGCAGTCGTCGTGAAGTTTGATGCGGTGCCCAGTTTTCTGTCTCTTGAAGCGGGCCTTGGAGGCTGCGTGCTTGCTGCCCGAACCACCGCAGGGCTTGACGTTGGGACGACTACCTGACTTTTTCTGGTAGTCCTCGGTGTTTACGTTGTTAAGTGAATGGTAGGCCATGGAGCCGGCCCAGCCCCTCTGGTCGAACTCGGAAGTCTCGTTGTCCCAAAGGGCGGCGATGTTGGAGGAGGCCTGACGATGGGGGCTCTGAATGTAGTGGGGAGAAGTGACTTTGACGTCCTCAGAAACTTGGACCTTGACAGAAGAAGGAGAATTGAACCTGAGGATGGCCTTCTTGAGGCTGTAGATCTCCTCGGATCGGGTGGGCATGTCAGAGAGAGACATCTTGGATAGTTGTTTCCTTGTGTTTGTATCTCTGTGGGTGTAGTAGGTTGGTTCTGGTTTGTGGTTTAGAAGAGGAAGAGAAGAAAAGGAGGGTGAAACTCAGGACTGTGAGATCTCCTTTCTATGTACGAGGGATGGTTTGTAGCCTGTATTTATTGTCAACTTTTCGTGAACTAAAACAATAGAGAGGTGGCTGGGGAAAGCAATAGAAAATGTTGCTAGATTCTCTGATCAGCTGATATTTTTTTGGGCGGTCTATTCTCTAACAATAGGAAAAGCTGCTAAATTAGGCATGAAACAATGGCACAATAGGCGAACTCGCTTGTTAGCAGAGGCAGATAGATGTCGTTCGAAAGTTAAGAAAAAAGAAAGGTACTTGGTACGTATCTAAGTAGAATCTACGAGAAACGAAGAACAGCGATCATGTCAATTCAAACCACGAGAACCTCGGAAGGCGAGATAGTTATAAGCAATGAAACAGAGTAAATATTATTCCCAAATTCGTTGGTGTGGACTATGAATTTTTGAGAAGTAGGTAGAGCGAGCCTGGTGGCAGAGCACGCTTAGCATAGAACAAGACTGCTTCGGAACTGCTAGGTGAGGAAAGGTTGCTACTGCGTTGGAGGAGAGACTTTGGTAATGCTGCCCCCAAGCAGATACTGTCGTCGAGTCAATACAAAAGCACAGATTGGGAACTGAGGGCTCGATTGATTTCTCTCTGTAAACTTCCATAATCAGACACTGGGACGGTGGTTTAGAATGCCTGTCTAGGCCACAAAGTGCCAAGAATATGGCACAAATCCATAGGGATCGCAGTTCAAATAGTGGATCGTATGTCGCACCTAAATTCGTCATGTTCATTGAGTTGGGAGAAGGGTCTATGATTGTTCCCAACACGTCCATCATCGTGACGGTCCATTTGGTGATGGTCTAGCAATGTCCACGTCCATAACCCCTCACCATCCAACAAGCTGCCCATATGTCTCCCCGGCACTCGATCGGAGTCTATTAAAATCAGACATGCTTGCGAACGGTGTAACTAAGGCTCGTGTTTCCTGCTTTCGCGCGGCTGAATCCACACACGGACCACCCTCTCAGCTCCCCTTCGCCTTCGTCGCTGCCACTTTCTGCTGGTAGTATTGCCGCAGGCGATTCTCTGCATCTGCCGAAAGCCCTGGGGGCCTTGTGACAAGTGGCTTGTCTAAAGGGTCACGGTGCTTGGCTGTACATAACCACCCAGCATTCTGTCAGCATAGCCCTCCCCAAATCCTGTCTGGCGTACGATGATCCCTTACCAATGTTGTAGTGCTGGTGCTGGAGTTTGTTCTGGATGGCCTGGGCGTCTTCCCTCCACTTCTTGGTGTCCCAGCTGTCGCCCACGGCTGGGAGGTCTTCCACGTTGGCCTGGCTATCGATACTCATGCCAGTTTCGTGCACGGCAACATCGGGGACCCCAACCTCGGAGTCAAAGGCACCACTGATGGCGGATAGAGAGCCAGCACGATGGCTCTTCGAGTCTGGGGTCTGGGCTGGACTGTCCAGCATGATCGCGTCGGCGCTCATGGTGGGGTTGGTTCTGGTCTCTCCTAGCTTTGCGACGAACTCTCACGGCGTTGCCTGTAGCCTCGCGTCTTAGAATCCTCCCGGGTCTGGACCTTGTACGCAAGACAGATTTGGAACCCCTTACCAGCTCTTCAGATGATCCGTTACTTTTGTATGGAAGATTTCTCTGTTTGGTACCATTGGGGCTCCGATCTGAAGTTGCGAGATGCTGAAGTTCGTCCTCAAGGTGAAGGTGCCAATAATGGGATGACGTCTACTTGGGAGACCCTGAGTAGACAGGGCGATCCACACCACACAGCCACGGTTGACAGGGGGCACCTTACTAGTGTTGCATTTCGAACAGAGCCGCATTTTGCTGGAGGAAGCCCCTCCAGTGAATCTAACAATGGACTGATGCCCAAGATGGAATTCAATAGTTACATCAAGGAAGGGTATCAATATGCCTATTTTTTATTTAAATTTTTTTCTTCTTTCAAACCGGGGCGGCTCCCTTGACTCTATTCTTTTCCGTGGGTTTTTTTTTCTTGGCTCATCCCCCCTTGATCTAAACACTCGAGAGAATGAGACCCATTGTTTCCTTCTCCGAACCAAAATCCAACCACCAGCTGCCTTGCGGTTGAAAACCATATTTGCCAACAACGCACCTCACTATCGTCAAATCCTATCTATTTGGGGTTGATGAGACCGCCCTCGGCACGCTTCTGCAGACCATACTTCTTAAGGCGGATCGAGGTGATGCCAATGAATCCAGTCGTGTCCTCGGGGCTGAAGTTGTCGAGGGTATCCATAGATGCCTCCTCGGCATCGTACAGCTTCTCGGTCTCGGAGCTGCGACCGAGGACGTACGCGTTGCCCTTGTAGCACCGGAGACGAACCAGACCATTCACGCGGTCCTGCGCAGCGACCAGGCAGGTGTCGAGCCACTCACGCTCAGGAGAAAAGTACATGCCGTTGTACAGGAGCTCGCTCCACTTCTGGGTGACAAAAGTGTCACGAAGAGAGCGCAGCTGGCCGTCCAGGACCAGGCCCTCGAGGTCAAGGTGGGCCAGGCGGAGGATGGTCATGGCGGGGGAATCGTAGCAGCCTCGGGACTTGAGGCCAATAAAGCGGTTCTCGACGATGTCGATACGGCCGATGCCGTGGAGCTTGCCAATAGCATTGAGTTTGGTGAAGAGCTCGACGCTCTCGGTGTAGGTCTTGCCGTCGACCAGAGTCTGCAGCTTGACGGGGATACCCTTCTCGAAGGTGATGTGGATGTCCTCAGGCTTGTTGGGGGCGGTCTCGGGATCGTCCGTCATCGTCCACATGTCAGTGGGAGGGGTCTGGTCAGGGTCCTCGAGCATTCCAGCCTCGTAGCTGCAGTGGGCCATGTTGGCATCCATGGAGCTGGTACGTCGGGTCAGAACGCATGATCATAAGAAGGGTCGTGAGGTTGGATACGTACTAAGGCTTAGCCTTGGTGCTGGTGACAGGAATGCCCTTCTCGGCAGCGAAGTCGAGCAGGTCATTGCGGCCAGCGAATCGCTTGCTGTGATGTCGTTGTCAGTTGTCGCTGTGCAGATGCATTCGTTCTGGGGACGGCAGGACTGATGCTCACAAGAATGTAGGGTCGCGCCATGGGGCGATCACCTTGATATCGGGGTTGATAGTGTAGAAAGCAAGCTGTTGGTCGTCAGCACCCTAGCATCAGTAAAGAGAGGCTCTGTTCCATTAGAAGCGTACCTCGAAGCGGACTTGGTCGTTGCCCTTGCCAGTGCAGCCGTGCGAGACGAAGTCACAGCCCTCCTGCTCAGCAACTGTGAAAAAGTCAGTTCACAACTATGGCATAAGGTCTGTCGCTGGTGTGGGCATCATACCTCGCATCTGAGCACGAGCGATGACAGGGCGGGCCAGAGAGGTACCCAGAAGGTAGCGGCCCTCGTAGATGGCGTTGCACTGAATAGCACGGTAGCAGAGCTCGTCGACGAACTCTTTCCGGAGATCCTCGATGATCCTGTCATACTTCATCAGTCTCTAAAGTGCAAGCAAATCTGGGACGGAGACCCGACACCGAGACGTGATTTTGAGTTGCCCTAGGGTATTCGCCCCATAACCCAAGTATACGTACATCTTGGTGGCGCCAATCTGGACTGCCTTGGCCTTCACAGCCTCCCAGTCTTCTTCCTGGCCGACGTTGGCAAGGAAGCAGACGACCTCATATCCCTGCTCTATACATTGTATTAGCAGCAGTCACCCTATGTGAGAGAAACTCATGTGGCACACGAGCCTCCAAGGGAAGGAAAGTCATACCGAGAAGCCATCCCAGGACTGGTTTAGGTGGTCAGCAAGTTCAAGATACTTGATGGCATCGTTTGGTTAACTCACTGGTGCTGGTGTCAAGACCACCTAGAGAGAGGAGAGAGAGAGAGAGCAAGTTAGTCATGAAGCTCGAACAGATCAAGGGAGATCTTGCTCTCACCAGAGTAAGCCAGGCACACCTTTCCCTTGGCCATTTTGGATGTTGTTGAGAATTGGAGGCTGACGATTGGTCAATTGATACGTTCTCGAGTTTGAATTCAAGAGAGGCCAGTCAGGAAAGCGAGGTGGGCATGTAAACATGAAATAGTCCCATCCAGACGAGGAAGCTGCAAGTCCAATTGCGCGGAAGCCATTTACTCACAGGTGAAAGTGGATACAAATGATGTCGGAAGCAGAGCAGCCCGAAGAAGTGTAATGGAATTGACTGGTGAGAGGAAGATTGAAATTGGGAAAGGACGTCTCTGCTTTTGTGACTAAAAGTTGGGCCTCAAATTATGACTGGACTTGATCTCTTGGGAAATTTTTCCTGGAGCGAGATCGGTGCCGACGGTGAGTATGCAGCCCAGCTCTGCCTGCCTTGCAGGAGAGCAAAGATAAGGACCTTCAGCTGGGCGATAAGCCCCGCCAAATTGGCCCTGGGGGCCTTGTAGGGGGCCCCTGGTCTACACTGGTCCAGTCCCGATGCCAAAAGGACTCTTTCAGGCGGTCAGTGCGGGGGAACCACTTTTGATGTTTGGTAGATTCCACTTCCTGGGTCCTCATGCTTGGAATTTGAGAAAAAAGATCCTTATTCTCTCCACATACATCAGGAAACAACAACACTACTCCAATTACCACCTTTTGATTCCATGGCTTGACAACCATTAGATGAACTCTTCCATCCAATAAATGCCTCAGTCAGAGCTTTTGAGGGACAACAACAAGATGGGAAACAAGACAGCTGCTGATGCATGGGACGACGATTGGGTGACGCAGGCTGACAGGGTTGCCAAAGAAGAAAATAATACTCCAGAGCCGCAGGCACCTAAGACTAAACAGGAGCGCATTGCCCAGCATCGGGAGCTCCAGAGGAAGCTCTGGGAGGAAGCGTGAGCTCCTCCACTGCCATCCTTTTTCGGCGTTCCCAGGAACCGTTGAGCTGACCACACAACTACCAGCGAGGAGCCCCCGCAGATGCCCTACCACGTAGCCGCCTCCAGCAACGTCCCGTTCGCCCAAGGTTTCAAGCCACAGATGAAACTTCTCAGCCGAAAGCCAGTGAAAAAGGTGGTCGATCCTGTCACTGGAATAGAGAAGTTGATGCTCGAGGACGATGACGAAGACGACAGAGACAAGAAGCCTCAGCTGCCTACCGCGGCCGAGATCGAGGAGAAGCGCAAGCAGAAGGAGCGCGATTACGAGGAGAGGCGCGCGAAACTATTTGGCACCCCTCCACCAGAGACTACGTCGGGGGCGACCACGCCCGGCGCTACGACACCACCGCTGGTAGGCGAGAACAGCCGGGGCAACTATCGAGGACGTGGTCGTGGAAGAGGAGGCAGGGGAGGTCGAGGCGGTCAGCGCAACGAAGGTTACAAAAACGACCTGAGAAACGACTCCAGGAGTGAAAACTACAGAGGCGGAGTCAGGAACGACAGCCAAGATGGACGCCCGGGGAATAGCAATGGGGGAAGTCCGTACCGGGAGCTCTTCGATCCTGATGCCTCGTCGAGATCTGCCTCTCGTCCACAGCGCGGGGGCGCCACGTCATCACCAACACGGGGTCCGGAGTCAGCAATTCGAGCACCAAGGGGACCAGACAGCAGTGGAGCAAGAGGTTTTGGATTCGCCAATCGTGGTGCTAAGGAAGGCTGATCATGCATTGAACGTCAATGTTGGTTTTTAAACTACCAGCCGCCTCCAATCTTTCCGGCCAGATGGAGCACTCTCTGCGTCTCAGAGGTATCCTTGCCGACATCACTGATCACCTCGCGGTAACTTGTATGCACCAATCGCGCCAGATCTATGCCCGTGGTATCCGACCAATGCGCCAGGGTATCTCGAACATACGAAAGAGAAATTCCGTCAACCACATCCGTTGCGCCATTATCATTCGACGAGGACAGATCATCATCGTCGACCTCCGAGTCGGACATGGAAAAATACGCCTCGTCAACCTGCGCCAACCAGTCCCTCTGTTCCTGAGGGCTGGGTTCGCCACCCCAACCCTTGCGCTCGGCAATGATGGGGTCAGAAACCTTCACCTGGCCCCCGCCATTGGTGCAGCCGCCCGGGCAAGCCATCACCTCGACATATCCAAAGTCCAGACCCTTGGATTGTGCCGCAGGCTTTCGAGCCGCACCAAAGGGCCTGCCACCAGGCATCTTCGAAGCCTTGGCTGGCTTCAGCTTTCGAACGATGTTCTGAATATTTCGGAACCCATAATACTTGGCCGCTTTGAAAACTGGGTCGCCAGAAGCCGATATGATGTTATACTCAACCACATCAGCGTTGCGTCCCCGGACAGTCTGCAGCCGGGAGCCAGGATGCCTCAAAATGGTATCCTGAAGTATAAAATGTAGATTTCCACCAGAGGATCCGGCCTCTATTGAAGGATGTTTCCCTTTGCGGCGAGGGAAGAGGAAGTTGTGGAGTCGTGGATCGGGAAAGGTAGCTTGTGGAGATAGCTGCGTCTTGGGTAGACTGAAAAAATCGAGCCCCCTTGACTCTGTGAGCATGAGAATCTCCTTGCTTGTGATAACGCAGTCGACATCACGGGCACCTCGTCCAGGCTTGCCATCGCCGGCCCATATGCTGTCGGTCAACTCCTCGCGGCTGGCCTCCAGCTTCTTGTCGAGGCACGGCATAACAGCAAGATGCCAAATCCGGTCGGGACTTATCCCAAGCTTCTTACTGAGTGTGGTCTTCAAGAGAGTGCCCATCAACGCCTGCGGCGATTTGACCTTCGACAGATGTGGCAGCACATGTGGGTGTGTCTTTTCCGCGTAACATATCCATCCCGGGCACGAGGAGGTGAGTATCGGTCTCGCAGGCGTCGAACGTCCCTCCCGTACCTCGTCCGCCCCCAGGACCAGACAAGCCTCCCTCGCCGTGTTCGTATCGACCACCCACGCAAACCCATTATTGAACTTCCCACCACCCGCGAGCCCTTCCGGCCCACGTAGCAGCGTCTCGATCATGCGCCCGGCTTCCCTCTCGCTCGTGCCGCCGCCACACGCGGCGGCCAGGCTGGCGCGCGTCTGCGGGCTCACGCTCGCAACGAAGAGCTTGGCATCCGGGTTCTCGAGCCCTTCGACGCGGAACGACCCCTGCTTGTCGTCGGGGCCGTGGACCCGGAGCGCAGGCGCTGAGTCCAGCACGCCTAACACTTCATTGTGGCTCTGCAGGCTGACGAGGACGGCTTCGGCGGAGGTAACGCAGCCAGAGCACGCGAGGCAGTCCGTCAGGGAGATTTTGGAGGGGCCGTTGGTGGCGGAGGACTGCTGTTGTTGGCCGCCGAGGATGACTTCTGTTTCGAGGGACTCGGGCTCGTTGCTGGCAGCGGGGAGGGACTCGATGGGTTTTATGCAGGCGACGGAGGGGGAGATGAAGTCGTTCAGGTCGTCGGCTGAGAGGATTGCGGACATGATGGCGGCGCTGGCTTGTGTCCCAAGCGCTCGGTTGGTGAGGACAGTCGAAGATTGGAGGGCCGCCTCGCGCGTGGCAAGGGTAGGAGGGGGAGGGGAAAATATGAGAGGATAAGTCTTTGTACTATGCCATCAAACGGATGTGACAATGTACCACGAATGTCAGCACAAGTTCGAGAGCCTCTTTCATAAAAAGATCTTGAAGAGACGTATATAATATAATGAAGATGGCAGTGTATGTTTTTGCGCTGTCCATGATTGGAAATACGACTTCTGGATAGGTTCCAAAATTCGAGCGAAATCGGCAGTGGCGAGGGGTGTCAGGATGATCCCTGCTAGATAGCTCGCCATCCTGCATCGGCCAATCAGGTGTTGTAGGGCGTGAGGGTGACGTACCGTCCAAGCTAGGCCCTTGTTTCTACCGCCATGGAGAGGCCCAAATAGCATCAGCCTCACGAAGGAACCATTCTCAACAAGTTCAAGACCAGTCAATCATCCCTTGGAATATTATCACTCAACACTCAACGCAATGGATGTAAGCGATTCTAACGCACATGTCTAAACCCTCACCAGTAATATGCTAATTTCTACACCAGGCCATCTCTGCTTATAGCTTTGCCACTCTGGCCTGGCTCACAGCCCAGTCCGTACCTCTAATCGTATGGCCGACGTTCATATCCTCGCTCCTCACTCCAAACTACCAACATGCGAACCGTACGTATCCATTGCCCAGTATTAAAAAGAACGCACCTACTGATACTAGCGCGCATCGTATGTAGCCACTGAACAATACTTTGCCCGGTCGTTAGGCTTAGCACAGCTCACCCTCGGCATCGTCGTGGTCTCCCTCTCCGGAGCGTTGCCCTTGACCTCGCTTGTCGACAGTGAGTGCCTTCCAGCCCCCCACTAACTTACCATGACCTTCTCTAGTTCTCTTTGTGCGGAGAGATAATTTCGGTAGGACTGACCTCTTTTTAACAGCTCCAGCGGACGCGGCCTCACCTTATGCCAACGCAGTAATTTTCGTCTCCACACTCTACCATGCCTCCCAAGCATTTTACAGCTACAACAAGTTCAACGGGAGCGACGCGGGTGGCTACTTCTTCGGCGCCTTGGGATCCGCCGTCCTGGCCGCCTTTGGGCTTTGGTGCTTGATGTTCGCGGGAGACAAGGGTCACATCTCCAAGAGAACAGGCGCCGACAAGCGCACGAGCGGCTGGCCGTTCAAGAACTCCGAGGCGAGTAAGAAGAAGGGCAAAAACCTCTAGGATTTTGTGTGCGGACGGAGAGGCAGAATCTCGGCGTGAGGCACGGTCTGCTTGCGCTTAGAACGACGATCTGCGTTATGGGTTTATTGTTGCTACTCATGAGCATGTAAAGCATATAGCTGGAGTTCACCGCCTATTTTTGTTCCTGTTAGAGGACTTGCTCCTTCTTAATCGCGGTAGTCCACGGTCTCGGAACAACAAAGGCCAAATAAGTGAGCTAGAAAACAACTCAAACCCTCTCGTGTTGCCCCGTTGATTATGCCAATTCTCCAAACACCCCATGCCGTTGTAATAATACATTCCATATCATAATCATGAATTCCGCCGTCCGCTCCCTATAGTCTGAGTCACCATTGGCATTGGAGGCTCAGGCGTGCGTAGTAGCAAAGACTGTCAACTAAAACTCAAGCATCCCCGCCCCTCCCTATAATTACCTCCGCGTGTCTTTGTGGAAGTAAATTTCTCCTGCGAGTTGCAACCATAACAACGTAGATACTGATAATTTGGGGGGTTAGGTGTCCTGTTCCTCTCGCTGGTCTCGGCGGTGCGGTTCCTTGCGGCCTATATCTGTCTCGTTACTTGGCGCAGTTGCCAAATGCACCTCAAAAACCACGGTGTTATGATTCAATCCCTTCAAGCCCCAGTCCTGGCTTCGTTCGCGATACCGGTAGCCTGTCTTGCTTAATGTTTGTTGTGCCGTGTGAGAAATCGGGTCATGGGAGCGCGAGGAATGGGTTATCGACGGGTATTGAGACTACTGTTGCACTTGGTCGAAGCCGAGGAAGACGAAAGACGTGCGGCTGCTAAGCGATTCGTTTGGAAACCTATTCCTCGGCCGAACGTTCTCCATTGGTGACAGGCGCGGCTGTGGGCTCAGCTTCTGGAGACCCTCCGTTGACGATAATATCGGTGGCTCCGGATAGTATGGCACGACGTCGCTCTTGCCAGCCGACCTCGCTCTTGATCATTTGGGACAGGAGAACCTCCTTCTCAAGCCAGGCTTGCCTGTATAGCTCTTCCCACTTCTTGCATTCCAGTTTGAGCTTCTCACCGTCTTCCTCAGCCCACTTGACCTGGTGCTTGCAAACACGATGTAGCTCGTTGAGAGGCATCTTGAGCTCTCGTGCCGCAAAGCCATCTTTCTCAGTAAGCTGGGTGTAAAGGTCCGACGGGGTATCGTCGCCGCTGACTCCGTCTTCAACGGTGTCATCATGTCCTGCAGCATGCGATTGTGGTGTTCTGATGATGATTTTGAGTTTCGTCGTAGACTTGGCCGCCGGAGCGACGCCGGTAACCTGCATACTCTTTGGCACCGGATCAGAGGGTCGGAGGGCCTCGGTCTCGTGGACGGTCCGCATGTGTTTTGCCAAAGCGTCGGATCTCGTGAAGCATTTATCGCATTCTATGATTAGGGGTGTCAGAAAGGGGGCGCCGCGGGATAAGCAGAATGTGCTGCAGAGCTTACCTGGGAGGTAGCAGAAGAAAGGCTTCTCCCTTGTGTGACTACGCATGTGCGCCTTCAGCGCGTAGCCACTGGCGTGGTTTGCGCCCTGTCTGCTACAGCCTACCCATTGGCATGTGTACTTCTTCTGGCGGCCTTCGATATGCTCGTCATGTATGTGCTTCACCAGTTTGTCCATAGTGCGCAGGTCGCCAGCGCCACAGTCCTCCCAGGCGCATACTGTGACCTGGGGCTGGAAATCCTCGTCCTCCAGCCGCGCATTCGCAGGGCTACTGGGAATATCGCCTGAGGAGTCTGAAGAGATGGAGATGTTGTCATCCTCGTCGAGCCCAGCCTTGGCCTCCGGCTCGGCTTCAGGCTCTGGATCTGCCTCGGCGACGACAGCTGACGGGGTCGCAGAGCCCACGTCCCCAAGCTTGAGGCGCTTTGGTGGGGGCTGCTCGACATCATCTATCGTAATATCTTGGGTAGGGTGCTCGTACTCATCGCCTGCCTCCGAGGAAGACATCGACGATAGTGATGAATCGGACATTGTTGTGAGGCTTGTCGAAAAGCTGCGAGGAAGGGCGTGAGGGAGAATCGCGCCCGCACGCCAGACAAGTTGATGCGCCCGCTCGAGAAAAGGTCGTCTTCGGGTGGGACTGAATGAAGTAGCTTAGCTGATCAAAGGGGGTGGATTGAGCCAGAGACAGCGATGAAGAAAGATGCTGCAGAGCCTTGCTGTCGGTGGGTAGAAGGGTAGATATGACAGCTGAGTTGGGGATGCAAGCTACATGCTCTTTTGCAACTCGGCATGGCATGGCGCGACCGCCTATGTCCGGCAACAGTAAAGTCAGTGATTAGCTCCAAAGGACGGATGGCAGGGAGCCGGAGCCGAGTGTAGGCTAGACAGCTGAATGACGGTTGAATTGGGCGGCTGGCAACAGTTGTCAGAGGCCCTGCAGGTCGAACAGGGGCCTCAATCTGCAGGTCGACCCCTAATGTTCAGGGGCAACCCCTGAAATGCCAGTGCGTGGTAGGTGGGAGGGTGTGGCTATTGTTGTTGTTGACTGCCTTTGTGCTGTCTGCAGGTGGGATTTGCCCCTCCCCCACCAAGATTAAGGCATTCGTTCATCTTTGACACCAACTTCTTGACTAGAGACACACTCTCTCCAGACTTGACTACACTATACACTTCCATCTCTGCTGTCGCCTGCTGTTTTTTTCTTATCTGTGCCATCATTTTATCTCATTTGTCAAAAAAAAAAAAAAAAAAAAAAAGAAGAAGAAAAGAAACCATGGCGCTGTCAAAGAAGGTGTTCTCCCTCGAGGGAAAGGGCCTCAAGCTGGACACTGCAGAGGACCTCGAGCCTCACATTGCGGAGCTGAAGGCTATGGACGACATTGAGGAAGTCCGCATTCTGGGCAATACTCTCGGCGTGGGTGCTTGTCAGCGGCTGGGTGAGGTTCTGTCTACCAAGAAATCCCTACAGGTATGCCTTCTCTTTCCCCTACCCCGGGTGGGAGACGCTTCAGGTGAAGAAGAAGCCCCGTTGCTAACGTGAAATAGGTCGCAAACCTCGCCGATATCTTCACCGGCCGTCTTCTGAACGAGATTCCCGAAGCGCTCTCCTCCCTCCTTACTTCGATTCTCAACCTACCAAACCTCCACACAATCAACCTGAACGACAACGCCTTTGGGCTCAACACCCAGGCTCCCCTCGTCGCTTTCCTTGCTGCCCACGTCCCCCTGCAGCACCTGTACCTGAACAACAACGGCCTCGGTCCCCACGCTGGCATCCTGATCGCCGACGCTCTCAGCGAGCTTCATGCAAAGAAGGAGGCGGCGCGCAAGGAGGGCCAGGCCGTCCCCGACCTCGAGACCGTCATCTGCGGTCGCAACCGTCTGGAGAATGGTAGCATGACCGCGTGGGCAAAGGCTTTCAGCCTGCACAACAAGATCAAGGAGGTGAAGATGGTGCAGAATGGCATCCGCCAGGAGGGCATCTCTCACCTCCTGAGCGAGGGTTTGAACCACGCTTCAGGCCTCGTGACCCTGGATCTACAGGACAACACGTTTACGCTCCTGGGCGCAAAGGCCCTTGCTAAGGTCACGCCCATCTGGGTCTCGCTGAGGGAGCTTGGCGTCGGCGACTCGCTGCTGAGCGCCAAGGGTGCCGTCTTGCTGGGCGACGCTCTCGGGCAGGGCAAGAACAAGAATCTCGAGATATTGCGGCTTCAGTACAACGACATCACCTCCAAGGGCCTGTCCAGCATTGCCAAGGCCGCGAAAGAGGCTCTCCCTGCGCTGAAGAAGATTGAGCTGAACGGCAACAAGCTCGAGGAGGAGGATGAGAGCATTCTTGCACTGCAGGAGCTCCTTGAGGAGCGTAAGGAGAAGCTTGGTGGTGACGTCGTGGTCGAGGACGAGTGGGGTCTGGATTCCTTGAGCGACCTGGAAGGAGAAGACTCCGATGAGGAAGAGGAAGAGGAGGAGGAGGAGGAGGAAGAGGACATTGAGCCAGAGGAGAGGGCCGAGAAGCTGGTCAAGGAGGCCGAGGAGGCTCAGGAGGAGCCCGTCATCCAGAAGAAGGATGCGGAGGTGGATGATCTCGCGAAGCAACTTGAGAAGACGATCATCTGAGGCGGACCATAAAGCCTTCTCAGGTTTTCCATGGAGCAGAAAAGGTCATGGTCAGGCAAAGGGCGGATAGACGATACCCGAATAAACACAATAACCTCCCGGTAGGCGCCAGTTCTTATAGAGAAAGAGAGAGACAGAGACATGTGTGTGTATGGCGTGCTTTGGTTCGTTAAGAGGAGGCACGGTGCATGTAGAGAAGAGGCTAGCGAGGTTGATAAATAGGTCCCGTCTCGAGGTGAATAGTATAGGAAAGAAAACTTCAATACAAGGGAAACAATACCCCCAGGAATGCATACATCAACAATATATGCAACGAATGCTACCGGGTCTTTTTTTTTGCTCTTTTCTTCTTCCTTCTTTTTCCCACCCAAATGCCAGTCATTATTCATGAGATGGATAGGAACTCATGCTTGTGAGACTCATAATCATCAATCCCCCATTACCTCCGAAGAAAAATTACCATCTTTTCCCCTCCGCCTTGCTCTACTCTCTCACGATCCAGGCATGCCGTTCCGAATATTGTCATACTGACTCGTAGGATAATTCAGCAGGTTCTGTGCAGCATCCAGGCGCCCCAGTTGGCCCGCCATGGCGACAACCAGGCTCTCCGTCCCATTCTTGTCGTCGCTCGCCTCCCAGAACATAGCCCCGCCCAGGCCTTTGCTCTTGAGGTACGCGCTCTTCTCATCGACACTCTGCACAGTGTCGTAGCTAATAAGCTCCTGCGTCGCCTCGTCGTAGCTGTAGCTCGCCTTGGCGACAGGGTCGTAGAACTCGGTCGCGCCCGGCCGGGGCAGGTCTCGAAACCGCCACTGGCCGGTGCCGAGGTCGTCCCCGCTGCCGACGCCGTCAAACGGCTCGCCCAAGCCGAGAGTGCCCTCGAAGGAACGCCCGTAGAGGGGCAGTCCCATGACAATCTTAGACGGGTGGACGCCAGCGGCGATATAGGCAGAGACGGCCTGGTCGGTGCTGTATGGCGTGGCGGGCATGTCCTCTGCATCGAAGTAGATGTTGGAGGCGTGACCAGTTGCGTTGGACCAGGCGCCAGCGTAGTCGTAGGCCATGAGGCTCCAGGTGTCGACGTATGGATCCATGGCGGGGATGTCCCACAGGCTGTACACAGCCGGGCCAGCGGGGCTAGCGACGGTAATGAGGAAGTGGTACCCGGGGGCGTGTGAGGCTGACCAGGCATTGAATGCGTTACGGACGGCCTGGAGGAGCAGCACAATGTTCTGAGTATCCTCTGCGGCAGGAATATACGCGTTGAACTCCCAATCGATGTCGATGCCGTCGAACCCCCAGTCAGTAACGAGCTGAACGGCGCTGGAGGCAAAGTTTTGGCGCATTGTCGGGTCGGCAGCTATGGGTGAGAACTTGGAGGACCAGGTCCAGCCGCCGACGGAGAGGAGAACCTTCGTGTTACGGTTCTGTTTCTTAAGGATATAGAGCTGCTTGACGCAGCCATAGGCATTGGTGCCATTGTCGCTCCAAGAGTCAGTTGTATAGTGTTTCTCCAGATCTGCGTACGTATCTGAGGATACCACATTGCCCTCGCTATCAATATCGGCAAATGCGTAGTGGATGCGGGTGACTGATGACGCCGGGAGGGACTGAGGCTGATACTGTGCACCATATATTGCCCTTTTTTAAGGCATTAGTTCTTTGGCTTCTCAGTCATCGTGTGTGAAGCTGAAGAGGACTTACCAATTTGCGAAATATAGTGTGTTCTCATAGCCGGAGGAGTTTGTGAAATTCGATGGAACGACAGTGCCCGGCAATGGCGACGGCGCGGTACCAGTAGAGTTTGAGGAATTGCTGGGAGGTGCTCCTTGTGTGGCATTCTGAAAGTAAGGATGATTGAAAGGCGACACTGGAACTCCTGTGGACAAAGGTATTGTAGGCGAGGCTGAGATAGTCTCGGTGACTGTGGTAGTGTCGGTATGTGTCTGTGTCACAATTTCCGTAGACTGTGATGGCGGATCAGCCTGGGTGTATACCGTCTGAACAAAGGTATATGTGACTGCTTGGCTCTGGGTGACTGTTTCGGTCTCCAAGATAATATCTGTCGAGACAGAGGCCAGAGTGCTTGTGACAACTACTGTCACCGTTGGGTCCACTGTCACCGTAATAGGATCTGACGGAGGGTCTATATTCATTCCATGTCTGTTAGAGCGAGAATGATACAATCTGACTTCGAAGCCGGCTGCAAAGTTGGAACTCACCACCGGCACTCGTAATACTCGCGGGCGGGTCAGCGGGAGGGTCTGCAGGATCACTTGGGTCGGAAGAGACAGGAGGATCAGCGGTGGCTGTGGAAGTGACCGTTACTGTAGTTGTAATTGTGTCGATGCAGTACATGTCTCGCTCAAAGATGTGAGGTGTGCATGCGACCAGCCTCATGCAGAGCGCCGCAGCGAAAAGAGTTGTTCTGACAACCATCTTGGGCTGAGTAAGATTCAGAAATGAAGGGATGAACGACGGGCCTGAAAAAACATCAAGACCATGCTGTGCATCTCTTGTAGAATGGGCGGCGACCCCCCTAGATATCTTGTAAGTGAACCCTATGTTCCCAGCCCTTGAGTCTCTTCAGCCTTGCCGCTGGCCTAGTACAGGAATGAGAATGTGCCAGGCCAGCCTCGCCAGAAAGGCATGTGAATTCCAGTGCCGCACGGCTGAGGCGGCCGGCCCTTGGTATATGGAGCCCAGCCCAGGGTGAGACAGGCTTTTGCTGGGCCCTTTGGCCCCCTTCAGGAACTGACGGTGGCACCTCGTTCTCCCTTTCTAGCCCCCTTGACTCTCGGAAGTAAAATCAAATCAAGGAGAGCACAACACAACTTCCAGACGATGGCTGAGTGGACCACGTGGAACGAAAGTAACTGACACCAGCCGTCTACCAGGACGCCTGAGTGGGTGGATGAGTGAGTCCAGTGATGCGCAACCTTGTGCGCCCCGAACTGGCGATACATTGTCCAATCTGCGGCCCAACACAATATTATCCGGGAGCCAAAACCGGCAAAATTGCCAACACACAGACACGCACACACATAGAGGGACCAAGGGAACCAAGAAAGTGAAGTCGCGGAGGAGGACAGAGTATTGCCGAAGGGCAACGTTGACTAGGGAGGGAAGAAGGGGGAGAAAAAAAAAACTTTTTCAGAACCATGAGCCACCTCAAAGCGTAATGTATAGGGCTAAAGAGACAAACCATCCAAACAGGACCGAATTGGCTGATCCTGTGGAATGAGTTCGTATGGGATGGTTCGTTGTATCGGCTATCCCTGGACGCAGTAGGGTGGTGGTCATGGCCGAGATCGATCCTGGTATCTTCTTGGGTGGGATATGTTCATGGCGAACCACCCATCTCCATTTCTCTCCGCTCCTTTCTTTCTGCCCATGTTCTCCTGAGCGCAGACCCATACACGCCACCAGCCAGGCCTGCGACTGCTGCTGCTAGAAAAGCCGAGCCATGGTAGGCAGGCTTGAAGAGCCCCCTCTCCAACAGCTTGAGATTCGAGAAATACCGTGACGTCCCATAGACTATCGAGCCCGATCCCAAGGCCAACAGGGTGCCGACCAGGACCTGGGACTGTTCTCTCTCGAGCTCATGCTCGACGTCCTCGGGATCGGGCTTGTACGGTAGAGACTGCCGGCCCTGCTGCTGCTGCTGCTGCTGGCGCAGAGGCTTGAGCAGCTGCCTCAGGTCCAGCTGGGAGAACCGCTCAATGGCGATGCCCAGCGCGATGAAGCCAAGCCCCGTCCTGATCCAGGCCAAAAAGGTACGCTCTGAGGCAAGATGATCTCGGGCCGTGGAACCTGTATTCTGATAGACCGGAGTCTTCCACAGAAAGCGGGACAACATGGCTCTTAGAACTTGAGGGATTTTCTGAAAGGGAAAAAAAAGAAAAGGAAAAAAGGACACCAAGTTCTTGAGTGATGTTTGAGCCGTTGTAGAACGCTGTCACTCCACCATATCCGGGCCGCAATGTGGTATTGTTTGTGTAGTTGCGTCACTAAAGAGCAGGAGGAAAAGGCCTCTGTCTCTGGATCTGGCAGCGGCAGGACAAAGTGCGCGCACTCCACAGGAACACAAGCTTGCGACTGCTGTGGTGGTTGGTACCAACGGCTAGCAGGACGGCCAAGAGAGGGAGTGACAAGATTTGTTTGATCGAGGTGAGCAGGTTGTGGATGTGCTGCAGTAAAGCAAGTTACACTTCATACTCTGACAAGGATGGGTGTTGCTCAAAGCAGAAGGGATGACGGATAGTAGTGCCTGGCTGTGGCAGGGGCCACGGTGCCTACCCTGCCACGCCTGCCCACCTGCCTACTACGTCTCCATCGCCCTATGAGACCCCGTTATCAGTTACAATACAGTAGATAGTAGATAACGACCTGCATGTGGGCGACAAGCTCGCAAAACGTCACCTACTTACTTAGCATCCAACTCGTTCTTTAATTTATTCCCATCATAGAAGCTTTTTGTGATATTAAGAGATTTCACATTCTATCTGTGCATTGGCAATAATAATAACAACTGCAACATGATGGAGATTTCTACTCTCGAAAAATCCATGGGCGAGAAGCTTCCTCCATTGCCCCGATCGCGACTCGAGACCACAAAACAATTAATCAAGGTCATACTGCACCACCTGCTCTTTGCTGCACTATTCTTCTGGGGCTTGAATCGTTTCATCCTCAATCCAGTCCGTGAGGCTCAGCTCGGATTGCCAAACTCTGCGCCATCCCACTTGTCTGCGTCCCACCTGGAGACATGCGCTTGGGAGCACCTCGAGCCGCACGTTGGCTTTCTTAACGTGCCTCCTATCGGACGTGATGAGTTTCTAGGGCGGCAAAAGGTCCTAGCCTCGGCGCTGGACGATGCTGGCGTTGACGCCTTCATCGCAGAGCCATCTGCGTCATCGGCCTACTATGCCAATATCTCGTACAATTTCCATCTGTCCGAGAGGCCCTTTCTCATGATCCTGGACAGAGAAGGCCAGTTTTCTTATCTTGTGCCCAAGTTTGAGGCCGGCCGCATTGCAGGCCTGAATATGGTCTACAGGGACAAGAAGGTCATCGAGTGGCCCGAGGAGGAATCGCCCTACCAGGTCCTGGCCAACGCGACCGGCTTCTCCAGGGTCATGCTCGACGAGCACGCGCGGTTCATGATCGCTGCGGGACTCCAGGATGCTGGCGTGCAGGTCGTGCCCATGACCGAGTCCGTCCAGTCCTTGCGGGCAGTCAAGACAGACGCCGAAGTCGCTATCCTCAGGGGCATTAACAGCTTCACCCTCGAGCTGGTTGCGTCCATGCAGAAATGTATCAGTGTCGGCATGACGCAGGAAACAGTCTTGACCGCGGGAGAAGCCCTCTTCTCCCGCGCCGGGGTCGGCGAGGGTTACTGGGCCATCATCTTGTTCGGTGACCAGGCGGCGTATCCCCACGGCGGAAAACAAGGCAAGACGCTTGGGGACGGTGAGTTTGTCCTGATCGACATCGGCTCCCTGCTTCATGGCTATAACAGCGATGTGACGCGGACGATCCTGCCGCCGGGCGGCAAGGTGAGCAGCGAGCTCATGGGAATCTGGAAGACCGTACAGGCGGCACAGTCTGCAGGCTTTAACCTGATGCATCCTGATACAGTATGCTCTGCGGTAGACTCTGCTTCTCGCAAACCCGTGTCCGAGGCTGGATACGCCGAGTTCTATACTCACAGGCTAGGGCATGGCCTGGGGCTGGAGATGCATGAGCATCCATACTTGAACGGTGCCAACCATGAGAAGTTGAAAGTGGGTGAGATCTGTAGCAACGAGCCGGTGAGCATCCTCTCCCATTTCTCTTGTCCATATCTTGCTTGCAACAACAGTCAGTTAACCGTCATTAGGGCATATATGTGACCAGCGAGCAGGCTTACGAGATCGGCAAACAGGTCGGATTTGGTGTAAGGCTAGAGGATCCTGTGTTGGTCACCGAGAAAGGCGGCGTTGCGTTGACAGGACGGAGGGCACAGTCTCCTTATGAGCCCTGAGGTGGTGCTGGGGTCCTAGAGTAGGGAGGTGCACAGCGGAGATCCGTGTGGGATGTCTGGATCTGAGGCTGTCTTCCTTGGCCCACTGCTGACTTCATTTAGTGGCGCAATGAGAGATCTCTCAGGCATAATACTCCCTTCATGGACTTCCTTCCCGTCATCCCAACTTTCATCGCCTTATGGTCTTTGACGGGCGTCATGGAGCAGTCTGCATAACAGTCGAGTTCATGGAGCACAAAATGACAGCGTCTCATTCCAGATGAGTATGTCTACAACTTCGAGCCTAAGGCGAACATTATGGAGTCGACAATGAAATTGAGAAATCAGCGACGTGATACCGCTGTGGCTGGTATGGTCTCAAAATTCATCAGCCACCCAGCTCTGTCCGTAACTTGTTCGGTTCCATTAATGAGCTACATAGAACATAATCTGCTCTCTCAAATTCCACACCTTTGCACCAAATAAAGTTCCCTCAATCTCATGCCATCAACGACCCGACCACACACAAGACTGCTCCTAAGGCAACACCCATACCCACGCCGATAATCCCCCTCGACGACGCCGCCCCAGCTGTCTGCACCACAGCTGCCCCCGCCGCGGCCACGCTCGTCCCCGACCCTGCAGCCGCAGTAATCGTCCCATTCACCATCTGCGCAACAGGCGCCGTCATCGTGACCATGAGCGTCGTGTCCCCCGTCGCGATCATCTGCGTCATGGTCGTGAGCGCCTGCGTCGGCAACGGGCTGAGGCTTGCCGGGTCCACCGACGACGCCACCGTGCCCGGCAGCGGTTGAAGTGACGCAAGGGCGGCCGGCGCGCCGGGGGTCGTCACGACACCCTGCGGCGGTGGGGAGGCGACTGTGAGTGCTGCGGCGGCCGCGGCCGAGGTGAGCGCGGGCACGGAGAGGCGGGCGGTGCTGTTTGCCCCCGCCACGATGCTCTGTGTGATGCCAGCGGCGCCGCCGAGAGGCTGGAGGCTCTGCAGGGCGCTGGTTGCGCTGGTTGCAGCGCCCGGGAGGGGCTGCAGGGCACCATGTGCGCTCTCGAACTGGCCCGGCAGAGGCTGAAGATTAGGATTGTTGCTCGTTATGGTGGCATTACCATTATTGTTGTTGCTGTTATTATTGTCCGCGGTGTTCTTCCCGCCATCGTTATTGTTGCCACCCTTGTTTCCCTTCCCATTATTGTTGCCTTGCTTGGACCCATTTCCAGAGTCGGCATTATCCTGGGCCCCCTTGTTCTGACTCTGCTGCTGCTGCTGTGACTGATGCTGAGACTGGTTTTGATCCTGCTGGCCCACACTCTTCGAGTTCGAGGTGTCATCGTTATTATTGTTCGCGGCCTCCACCATCGCCACTCCCAGGAAAATCGCAGCGAAAGCCTTCGAGACACGCATATTGACGGATGGCTATCAACAGATGCAGAAAAGAAGGACAGAAATAAGAAAGAAAAAGAGTGTATACTGAAGGAACAGAACACTTGCGTGGCTACCAGAGCAGGTTCTGAAAGTAAATAATACAAAGAGGAGGTGAAAAGAACGTAGATGAAGAGCAAAATAACCGCTGCCCTGCAGACTGGTGAAGTGGTTGACGAAAGGAACGGACAGAGAGAGAGAAAAAGAGAGACTACCGATAATTGGCACAAGAAGTCCTCACGACAGGGTAGCCATTTTCTCTCCAATGCCTTGGTGATATATCACGAGTAAGTAACTAGATCCCCAGCGTGAGCTGGTCGGTTGGGGTTGGTCCTGTGCTGCGACGGGATCCGCGTGTGATCCTCGCGACGTGATCACCGTTGCTACCAGAGTAGCACAATAATGCTGGCAGCAGCTGCAACTGCCTTATGAGCATTGCCGAACTCCCTATACTGAAGAGCACTACTACATGAGCTCTTGGCATCTCTTGACCACATGGGATGGCATGCCCAATGTTTGAAACGTCGACGCATGGAGCTTTTCGGACTGCGGTTCATCCGAGGGCGCCGCAAAGGCCGGGCAAGACCTGAGACGTTGGCGATCTGCCATGGGAAACCCGACCCGTGTAACCCGACGACAATGCAATCGCGCCGCCTCTTGCAAAGAAAAAACAGATACTTTCGGATTGAGCGACAGAGAACCCAATTTCCATCTACCGTGTAGCATCGCGGCTCTCCAATTTCTTCTCCATAATTACATGATCACAGCAAAGCCACTGCAAAAGGGTGATCGGAGAATCCTTTTCGAGGTCTTTCTTCTCACACTTGCGTCTTAGTAGCGACGCCGAGTCCTGCAACAAACACAACGGAGAGAAAACCTGCCGGAAGGGGGGAAATGGACAAAAAGGAAGGATAAGCATAAAGTTAAAGCTCGAGAAAATGTGGTTCGCCTCGTGGCTTGTTCATCTTCAAGCCCCCTTCCTCCCCTTAGAAAGGCACTACTATCCTCGAACCAATGAGGTAGTGCGTGTGAGGGTTCTGACACGGCTTGGGGTGGGAGATCAAACGAACCCCCTCTTCATGAAGCCTTGCGCACCAGGCTGAATGATTACATAGTGGCGCCATTCTCAAGATTTACCATCGTCTGGAGCTCCTTTCACTGTGCTGGTTGCTGGCCTGGGACAGCTTGCTTGATTCTTCCTTTTCCTGTATCTTACAAGTACGTAACTGTGGTGCTTTACAAGTTCTCAAATGTGACCGCCTCTTGCCTTTCCCGCCCTCTTCGCGTGCAACACATATGCACAAATTATTGTTCCCAATGCTGCGTCCACTGCACTCGAACCTAGGCCGAGTACTTTACTAGCTATCGATCATTCGTGTGAAGAAAATCAGACAATGTTATGGTAGCGACTATGCTACGCGAACCTTTGCAGGTGACAATCCCTCTAGTAGCCCTGCGCATCATAGACGCACATGTCTCTCGTTGAGCTACCCATTGTGATAGCCTTCGTTTCCGGTTCTTCATATGCACGTTCATCCGTGTTGGAACCCACATCTATGTGAACATTCCTCTGAACGCGTCAGATTTCGTAAAGTGGGCACAAGCCCTCAGTATCCAATTTGCAATGAAGTCAGCCATACTCGAAAAGGTCATCCAGACCCGCGAGTGAGAAGCAGAGTTGTGGACTTCCGAGTGCCGTTCAGCACCAGGAGAGGAAGCTTCCGATGCAGAGGCTGCTTGAGCGCTACTACGATGGAGGCGTGTCATTGAATCCGCCTCAGAATCTAACACCAAGGCTGGGCCTTCTAAATGCCCTCCGCCGGAGTGTCAGCTGTCGAACCTCGTGACTCTTCGACGCCAAAGACAGCATCCCCAAAGGCCGAGTCTTCGACACCGAGATCCATACCATCTCCGAGGTCTCCGTCATTTCGGTCGTAGCTGCTCAGAGCTTCACCGGCCGTATTCATGTCTCCATAGTCACTGTCGCCGGTCCTGGTGGCATCTCCAGGCTGTGGAGATTCCGCAGGCACAGCAGCAGTAGGTGCAGGAGCGGCAACAGGCACGGGATCAGGAGCAGGAGCAGCAGGCGGTGCCGTGGGTTGTCCACTGGCCGATGCCCCTGGCGAGACACCACCTTTAGGCACGACGACCCAGTCACCACTTCCTGTACCTTGGTCTGGGGCCGTGTTGGGGTCCTTGTCATGACCTGAGTCGTGCATAGCAACATCTTCTGGCGCCCTGGTGGGTACATGAACTTGGTCGGCTGGTGCTGAAGGGCCGCCAGCATTGTCTGTCGTCGCACCAACAGGTGGCGGTGGAGGCTGCTGCTGAGTCTGAGGCGACGGATTGTTTCCTATCTGTACTGGGCCAGCCGTGGTGCCGCCCATGTCCACGTCTGTGTCACCAACCATGACGCCGCTGTTCTGGGAGCCTGCATGTGATGGCGGCCTGGAGAACTGGTTTGGACCAGCACTGCTATCATCGCCTGTGGCGGCAACGGCTGGAGGCATTGGTACGACGACGGGCTCGGGGGGTGGTTCTTGGTATCCACCATCTTGGATGCGCTTGACATCACTGACCACCTCGATGTGGCGTCCAAGTGCTGATTCGATATCTGCAACGATCTCGTCGACTTTCCTGTGGTGCTTGGTCTTGGGGTGTTCGTTGCTCTCCTCTTCCTCTTCCTCCTTTCCTTCCATCCGCCAGAATTCGGGGCCCGTCTCCTCGATAGCGGCTCGCAGTTCCTTCTCAGACCGCGAGAGAATCGAGTTGGCCTTGAACTTTGCCATCTGCTTCTCGTGTCGAGCCTTTGTCTTCGCCATTTCGGTTTGTTCTGCTCGGATTTTGTCCGCAACTCTCGTCTTGAAATCGTCAGCTAGCTTGGGATCCAGGTGGCCAACTACGGGGTTGTTTGGCGGTTGCTTGTGGGCATTCACGCCAGGAGCTTCAAATATGCCCTGCGTGACAGACGACAGCTCTCCTTGCAGGCCCAACCCGAGATCAGCCGGTTCAATCTGTGCAATTCGATAGGCAGAACCCAGCACCTCCTCCATCCACTCGTGGTTGCGTGTGTAGCGTGCCATGCTGATGTCGCGAGGCGTCATGTGATCAAACATGTCACCCGTGGATGTGTCCTCTTCATCATCGAAAGGTATGAAAGGAGGTGGCATAAAAGGAGGGGGTTGAAAGCCGGCAGGTCCTGCGGCGACGTGCTGTTGGGCATGAGCTGCGGTCCTGCTGCGCTTGGCCGGTGGAGGATAGGCCATCTGCTGAGGCACGTTGCGAGCGTTTCCAGGGTGAGCCATCATGGGATGTCCCCTACCCTCCCGCGGCGGGTTGATCGCAGGCCAATTGAGGCGATCGGCCAGCATGAACTCCTTCCGCGCAATCTGGCCTCCTCTCTGCAGCGTCATCCGGTTCGACATGATCTGCTGCATGGCGGGCGGAACCGGCAGCACTTCGGCGGGAATGGGCTGCTGGGATGGTCCATAGTGAACGAGCCAGAGGCCAGGATCGACCTGAGGCGCGCCGGCCGGAACGTTTTGGGTTGGAACCAAGCGGAAGCGGGTGCGCGCGTGTGCCGCGACCGATTCTCCTGGTCGAAAGCCCACTCTCTGCGAGAAGACTTCCAGAATCTAGAGGGATTAAGCTTGGTCAGAGAAGCTTAGGATCACGGACAGGGTGGAAGACAAACCAAGCCGTTCTTCAGGTCCCGCGCAGAGAACTCATCCGGACCAGGCCAGACGTATCCATCAGAGGAGAATGTAGTACCCATCCGCTGCAAAGGCTGCCAAGTGAGCATGATCTGTCCATCCCGAGGAGCGTCAAGATAGGTCCAGAAAAAGGGCGCCGAGTCTCGCGCGATCTTAGGGGCCGTTAACAACATGTTGAGCAGCCAGTTGGTAGTTGCATGATCGTGCAGTGCTATCGTTGTTCTCTCCGGGTAGCGGTAGGTGCTGACAAGATGCAGATGCGGTAGCTGGTAGTGAAAGGCTTCAAATTAGCATCAAGACTGCGCGGGATGGGCTGTGCAGCAGGATGGGGGAGAGAAGGGTCGCGACGGTTTGGACTGACCATCCTGTCGTGGATGCTGGAGCTTGGGTCTGCCATCGTGGACGGTGCTTCCGGCTGGAAGCTATGGTCCTGTATTGCTGCAGCAGTTGCAATTGATATGGAACGAAAAGTAGGAACCAACGAATATGGGCTTGTCGATGTTGTTGGAAGGCGATTGCAGATGGCGCATTTGATGGATTATTCGCGACGGGGCTGCAAGCTCGCTGAAAGTGAAAGTCGCGACTGCATCTGTCCGAAGAGCGCGCCAGCCTAAGAAAACCAAATCACAGGTGATTACATAAGCACTGCGCACCAGCCACAACCAGCCTCACTCCCCCGAAAGCAGACGGCTTACAGTTCCTATAGCAATGAATACCTGGTTTTTTATTTATTTAAAAAACATACAAATGGATACTGAACGGGACGCTGGTTTGATGTCTGATTCTTTGGCACTCCCTGCATAACATCACTTCAGAGATCAAGTCCTGCGAATTGCGTTTGGTTGGTTGTTGTTGTTCATAACATAGCAAATCTTTATTTTTGTATTAGTACCTGTACCCGATTACGAAGTGCTGTGTACCACCTTTTGATGTGGCCGTCCTTGGGGGAAAGGCGAATCGATCTACAGGTTCAAACTTCTATCTAGCAGATTGACATTTCCGACTTATGCTTGGTATGTAGAGGCAGAAACGTTTCCGCCACGGCCAGTCCAGTTGACGTGGATGTCCTGGCCGACAGGGTACTTCTCGGTGGCAGCCTCTGGCTTGATCTTGAAAGTGTGGGCACCGAAGTAGTCACGCTGGGCCTGCAGCAGGTTGGCAGGCAGGTCCTTGGTGCGGTAACCATCGAACCATGACAGTGCAGTGGAGAAAGCCGGGGTTGGGATACCGAGCTGGGCCGACTTGGCGACAACGTCTCTCCAGCCGGGCTGGGCCTTGTGAATGGCCTTGTTGAAGAAGTCATCGAAGAGCAGGTTCTTGAGGTCGGGGTTGTTGCGGTACGCGCTGGTGATGTCCTTGAGGAAGACGGACCGGATGATGCAACCACCACGCCACATCAGGGCGATAGAGGGCTTGTTCAGCTTCCAGCCGTACTCCTTGGCGGCCTGTGAGAATTCACCAGTTAGTATCAACATTTCAATCCACACCGGCGCCAGGCTAGAGTAGTACATACCTCCTGCATCAGCATGAAGCCCTGGGCGTAGGAGATGATCTTGGAAGCGTAGAGAGCCTGCTCAAGGTCGTCGAGGAACTGCTCCTTGCTGCCGTCGAACTCCTTGACGCGGCCGACAAACTCGAGCCTGGTCGAGGCCTCGGTACGCTCCTCCTTGATAGCAGACAGGCAGCGAGCCAGCACAGCCTCGGCAATCAGGGTGACGGGCATGCCCAGGTCGAGAGCGTTGATGGCAGTCCACTTTCCGGTTCCCTTCTGACCAGCCTGGTCCAGAATCTTCTCGACAAGGGCCTTGCCATCCTCATCATTGTAGTACATGATGTCCCGAGTGATCTCGACCAGGAAGGAGTCCAGGACGCCGTTGTTCCACTTGGCAAAGGTGTCGCCAATCTCCTTGTTGGACATGCCGAGACCGCGCTTCATGATGTCGTACGCCTGTAACGTGTGGAGTCAGCTTCAGAGGCGCGCCTTGAAGGCAATATCTGTAAGGTAAACATACCTCAGAGATGAGCTGCATGTCACCGTACTCAATACCGTTGTGGACCATCTTGACGTAGTGCCCAGCACCCTCGTCACCGACCCAGTCACAGCACGCCTCGCCATCGCTCTTGGCAGCGATGCTCTGGAAGATGTCCTTGATTGGGGCCCAGGCAGCCTCGTCACCACCGGGCATCATGGAGGGGCCGTAGCGGGCACCCTCCTCGCCACCGGAAACACCGGAGCCGACGAAGTGGAGGCCCTTGGTCTTGAGGTACTGGGTCCTCCTGTTGGAGTCGGGGAAGTGAGAGTTTCCACCGTCAATAATGATATCGCCGGCCTCGAGGAGGGGCAGGAGAGTCTCGATCCAGTCGTCGACAGCCTTGCCAGCCTGAACGAGGAGCATGACACGGCGGGGCTTCTTCAGAGTGGCGACGAACTCCTCGGTGGAGTGAGCACCAACGATGGACTTGCCCTTGGCCTCGTTGTCGAGGAAGCGGTCGACCTTGGACACGGTACGGTTGAATGCGCAGATGGTGAAACCATGGTCGGCCATGTTCAGAATCAGGTTCTGACCCCTAGGGAGAGAGACAGTGTGATCAGCTTCATGTCGACGCTTGCGCAGCGCTGAAGGGAGAGGAGTAAGGGAAGGACTTACATGACGGCCAGGCCAATAAGGCCGAGATCAGCACTTTGGTAATGATTCTTGTCAGCATTGTCACGTCCCGAGCTAATATTTCCAAGCCCGACCCCACCGGCGATATGGGCGAGGCGAGCGCTGGAAGGAGCACTCAGTCTTGGTGAAATAAAAGAGCAAAAGAGAGAGGGGAGCGGGAAATGTAGTTGGGAATAGCAAAGAGCTATAGCCCGAGCTGAAGCACCATGCAATTCGGTTATGAATCCGATGTATTGGATGGAGGGGACCGAGGGCTTGAGCCCGACGTCTTTTTCTCTAAATGGAGGGGTTCACGACGCTGGGCTTGTCGCAGTGCGGCGAAATGGCTCATATCGGATGGGGGAAGGTGGGGTTGAAAGTTGAACAGGCAGGGAAACTTACACTGGGCCAGACATTATTGCAATATCCAAGAGAGAAGAGGAGAGGGTTTATTGTTATTGGGTGACGGATGTCTAGAGTTGTTGGAGGAAAAGGATCTCGAAGCCAATCGAGAGGGTTGAGGATGCAATAGAGCTAAAGATGGGTTGAATTGGAGAGTGGGAGGAAAACAGATTTTGTTTGGACTCGGGGAAAGACATATATCATCGCGGGGGGGCAAGGCCCGAACAGCGGGCAACTTCCTCTGACGAAGCTAGAGAATAAGTGGACAACGCTTACTCAGTGAAGAGCTCTAACTGTCCCCGGTCTTCCGAGCTGCTGCTGCAGTGTGCTGCGACTGAAGGGTTTGCCGCTGTTTTACTGCGTATACTGAGTACGTAGTGACATACTAGATACCTGCTTCCAAGGCTCTCTTGAGTTTCATCCCTGCCCAAGACGTTTTCGCATTCCCCATCCGTACTACGTATTCGAGCACTTCATGTGTATCATGGCCCTGTACTAGTACGAATGCATCATCCACATGCACATATAGACACACTCTCTCTTTCTCCCTCTGTCTCTCTATATTTCTCTTTCCTCTCATCCTGTAAGAACGAACAGACAGCCTGCACATTTAGCAGGAGCATATGCCTCAAACCAGTCTCGTCACAGCCCCTTGAGTACTAGACTGTACAGAGTGCGTAGGAAGGGGGGTATCCACTCCTCGCGTTTCGAACTCGGCGCCCAGAAATCACCCCTCTTGTTACGTTCGGGCAATCAATCCTACTCCTTGACCTTTCGTGAATTGATGGGCACCTTGCACAAAGACCATGCTCTTTAGAGAGATGAGAGCTCGTTGCCGTGTGACTTGATGGGCCGTTGCTATCTAGAAAAATGTTGGGAAGATGGTGGGGAGGTACTTTATTCGGCGAATTTGGTGAGCATGAAGGACGCCCGGCTTGTTCGGGAGACAGAGGGAGATTTCACCCAATTCTTGGATACACACCATCGCAACACATGTGCCCGTGGTATGCACAGAATGCCCCATATACCAGAGTACGTACAAGGTATTACGGTACTATAAGGGTGATCTGACCGGCGAGCATCGGACGGATTTTCAGCGAGGGGCAGGTGGGTTCTACGACTTTTTGTTGCCCCGCCAAAAACGTCATCAAGGCATCGACTGCCCGACGTGCCGACAGGATTTGATACGGTACAGACCAACACAGCACAATGTGAGTCAAAGAGGCCCGACAAAAATAACTCAAAGCGCAATCCCTACCGGCTGTCTGGACCGACTTCGAGTTGACAGTGGGTCGATGATCTATGAAATGGTCCCCCAATAGCAGGACTTACATCACTGACCTTATTAAATAGTGCGAGCTTTCTGGTTCGGGTTGGATGGGCGTTTGATGGCGTTTGATTTAATCTGCTTGACAACTACACAGTGCTATACCATCATACATAGCCGTTGAAAGTGCTGGCTAGTACCATTTTTCAGCGGCTGCAGCGCGGCCCAGGTCTCCCCGCTAGAATAGAAAATACAACGTTGGGCCCCCCGATTGCGGACGGATAGGATTGGCAGGGGGCTCATATGCAATATCGAATACACAGTATTATGTAATCAGGATTGTGGCTGGGCGCTTGGGACAACGATGTCTGACCAACCTTTTCTACCGCCTGGCGAAACAGCAGTCAAATGTTCTCTGCCGTATACATCATCAACTCCACCAAACGTCGTCCTGGCTGCACAAATCCACAACCCACCACTCCATCAAGGGTCCTTGACGGGTATTGCTTTTGTCCAAGACCAACAAGAGAATTTTCCCAGGTTTACGACGATATCGGAGGACCGCGAGCAGAGTCTATTTGGTGCGGGCTTAGGTACGTGATTGGTGAATACAAAGTCGTACACATCCATCGAGAAGGCGCATCCAATTCATCATGTCATATCCGGGTCCACCAGGTCTCTCGAACTCCCTACCTCCTCGACCTCCTCCTCCGACGTCATCATCATCTTCATCAGGCGGTGGGTTCAAGTCGACCTTCTCTCCCACCCCGACCCCCTCGTCGTACCCGGCCAACGCAGCCTACAACACTATACCGACGTACAGCACACCACCCATCACAGCATCTAGCTATGGCGCGCCTCCATCTGCCTACTCCTACCCGCAGGCACCCGCCGCCGTAGGGTCCAGCTATGGCGCCAGGACGACGACTTCGTACAACTACCCGTCCAACTACGCGCAGCAAGCAAGCTATTATGGTGCTGCCCCCACGACGGGATCCTATTCTACGCCACCTCAGATCCGCAATCCGTTTCCTCAACCAGGTGCTGCCGCCGCAGCGGCCGCCCCACAGAACTCGTACGACCGTGGTGATCCCAACTACGACCCCGACATGGCAGCGCAGATTGCGCAGTGGCAGAGCGCATACCTGCCCAAGGAAGGGGCCGATGGTGCAGCCGCTCCTGGCCCCAAACCAGCCGGGGGCAAAGCTGGCGCCGCCGTGGGCCCAACCTTCAACGCAGAAGCTGCTGCCAAGGCGGCGCAGGAAGGAGCTGTGAACAGCACGAACGAGAAGAAGAAGACGGTCTACCGCGAAGGTGGTGGCAAGAAGTGGGCCGACGAGTCGCTGCTTGAGTGGGACCCGTCACACCTGCGGCTCTTTGTCGGTAACCTGGCAGGCGAGACAACGGACGACTCGCTGCTCAAGGCATTTGCGCGATGGCAGTCGGTGCAGAAGGCCAAGGTGATACGGGACAAGCGGACGAACAAGTCCAAGGGCTACGGCTTTGTCAGCTTCAGCGACCCAGACGACTTCTTCCAGGCCGCCAAGGAGATGAATGGCAAATACATCCAAAGCCACCCCGTCGTAGTGCGCAAGAGCACGACCGAGGTGAAGCCGGCCGCCCAGAAGGACGACAGGCACAAGGGCAAGAACTTTAAGAAGAAGGGAGGCAAGAACAGTGGGAGCGGATCAGGTGCCGGCAACGGCGATGGCAGGTTCTCGCCGCACCTGGGAGCTAGTGGAGGCGGTATTGTCAAGCCCGGACAGAAGACGAAGAGCGGCTTGAAACTGCTCGGTTGAGATCGTCAAGCAACCAAACTCGTCTGCTTGTGGTCTTGTTGGTAAACCATCTCTGAACAACGTTACCACGATGCTGGAATTCACATAGCAGGTGACTCTCGGAAGGTGGATCTATAATGGGTATGGGACAAGGCCGAGGTCGAGCCCCAGAGTCGGAGACAGTAATCTAGGGCCTCATCAAGAGGCGTGGATGAGGCAGCCCCAGACTTCATGGGGCGGGAGACGTTGCCTGGCACGTGCCTTTGCCATGAGACACCCTGATAAATTTTGTACATAGTATGGTGCTCGAGGACGCTAAGAGCTAGAACCGCAAGCCATAGAATCTGAGCCAGCAAATGAACACAACATACCATCAAATAATATTGATTCACAACCCCATCCATCCTCACTACGGGTAGTCGGAAGGTGCTCTCATTTATCTGGCGCGACTGGGTCCGTGACGGATCTTGAATGCAACCTGGTCAGTGCGACATGTGGTGGAAAGGTCCAATCTGCTGCAGGACCAAGTTCAGGACCCTCTTGCGCAGGGTTTTTGACAGCGGGAGAGTCTGAGCGGCCTCTGGGCTCGGATATGAGGCCTCTTCTTCCTCTTCTTCTTCTTCTTATCCAAATGGCACTGGCATACTGACCATGCACTACTAATTACGCATGTTAATAAGATTGCAAGTATGCATTAGCAAAGTTACAGGGCTGGGCTGCTTTCACAGTGGCGCCCCTCTTCTCTCCCGCAGGACCTTGTTCTGCTAAATGTCGATGCTTATTTCCCGCAGAATTCAGCACAGGCAAGAGGTACCCATGCATGTGCCATGTTCCATAGCATGTCCCCAGTGGGCCGGGGGACGGGCTGGTTTAGTGGGGTTCCATGGTTCTGGGGAGCAACTCCCCCATCGCAATTTACTCAACAGGGAGGGGGTCGAGCCTGTCTTTCTCTCTCCTATAGCAGGCGAGGCTAAGTTTTCGAAAAGGGCCGCTGCTAATAGCAATATCGGCTCCTGAAATCAGGTCCCCTGCAATCTGCTGCACTGCTACTGCGTGCCGCCTCCTTCTTGGGGTCATGTGTACTCCCCCCTCCCCGCCGTCTGAATTGCCGTCTGCTCTTGTGTTGCACGACGACGACGACGACGACGACGACGACGACGCGAAAAAGTTGCTGATTCCTCACATTGCTGGTCCAACTTACAAAATAAAGAACCTGGATGTTCTAGGTGGGAGTATCGCTCACGTACTCGTATTCATTCGTTGGAGATCTTTGCGTCTTGCTGCTGTTGGGGGCCGGTGATCCTCATCCTCCAGCCTTGCTCATCTTTATCTCCCAACTCGTGCTTTTTGCGCTTATTATTCCGAGTTCTGCAGGCTGCATCCTCTTGGCCCTTCCAATTTTTTTTTTATTTTTTATTTTTTTTATACTTCTCTTTCATTCGCCTCCCCTTCTTCTTGCTCCACGTTTGAAGAGACTTGGAATCTTCATCGAACAGCATACGGAACAGTCAGCTCGGGACTTCTCGTTTCTTCCCCCACCCCCTCAGCAATACAATAAAGATCTATTCTTGTTGGGACGACACAAAGATTGTCATAGTATGAAGAGGGCCAAGGACTCTATTTCTGGGAACTGCGACACGCATTGATTGCACGACACAAGATATAAGCATTTCGGCTCACTCTGCGGCGTGGCTGAGCAGCATCCTCATCCATTGTTTGGGGGGCTTGACTGGCTTGGTTCATCCGAGACAAAACAACTTGAAAACGCTGGGCTCACGAGTGGTTCACAACGACCCTTCGTGCCTTCCCGTCTTCTCTGGGGCTTGCGACCTTGCCCAATCCAATCCAATCCAATCCATTCGACATTCATTAGCGCAACGGGAGAAGCCACAACTAAGTGAGACAAGACACTAGCACGTGGGAAGGAACCCCCCCCCCCCCAACTCTGCATTCCCCGAGTCTAAACATTGCGTCGCCGGCGCTTAATTTCACGAATCCAGAGCAGCAGCGAACCAGCACTTTGCCCAAACTCTCGAAACGAGGAAACACTGTCTTTTACGCCCGTCACCCATTCTTCGCTTTCACTTCTTGTCCTGGAGAGAGATAGTTGCCGACCAGTCTGTTGTCGCTGCAGCCCCCGGTTTTTTTTTTCTTTTACGTTCTTACTAGTCGCAAGGCTTTGCTTGACGGCCGCCCGGAAACTGAGCCTCGTCTGCCTGGACCACAACAAGATCCTTTTACTACACCAACAGCCACCAAACGGGTCATCTTCTCCGGATTTTTACCTTCTTTCTTTAAGCAACCTCTACAAACGGACGACATCGAATTGAACCATGGCCTTGTGACAACAGCGCGAGTGTCAACCTTACCAACGAACCACCCGAAGATCGAGGGAATACTACTTCCCGCGCGGTATCGAGTCGAGACACACACTTCCTAAATCCAATTACCCGGGCCTGTGCGCCCTTCGAAGTGTGCCAAGATGCCATCCATTGATGTGGCGATGACGAGGAGCCTGAGGGGAGGAGTGAGCGAAATAATAGCGAGGAGTCTGAAGCACGCATTCGTCGAGAGGGATATTGTGAGCGACGCCGAGGGAAACATCTCCGATGTCAAGACGGCCTTCTCAAGTTGGAGCAACTGCATGGCTGCCGTCTATTGCAAGTATGGCACAGCTCTCCTCTCCCAGATTACTGCGGTGGTGAAAACCCCCAGGGTGTACACACAAATATGCTGACACGGTTCTCGGATAGATGGCCCGTGATCGCCATCATCGTAATAGGCTCTCTCATCCTGTTGTCGGTCGTCTGGTGTATAGCAAGATGTCTCTGCTGCGGACTCTCCTGCTGTTGCGAGTGCTGTTACTGCCTGAAGTGCTGCGGCAACTGCTGCGGCTGCTGTGACCCACCCAAGGGTGGCAGGCACAAACACCTCGACGAGCCCTACAGGAACCTTCCAGACGACAAGGGCTACCAGCCCCACGATCCTATGTCGACAGGCGCCTTGCCGTGGACCCGCCCGACGCCGACAGCCAAGGAGACCCCGCAGTACGCCAGCTTCGACGTTTCCAAGGACCCCGAGAGCGAGGACTCCTTGCCTGCTATGCCCACGTGGGGAGATTCCGAGAGCAAGAAGGTGCAGTTGAAAGAGGAGGCCGTCGAGTTGCAGCAGCTCAAGAAACCCGAGGCCAATAACGAACTGAACGCATCGCTCATGAACAGCATGTCGCCGGCAGGAACACCCGGAAACAGGACGCCTGTACAGGGCGGCGGCGTCAGCCCATATGGACAGCCGGGCAACATGGCTGCTGTCTCGAGCGGGTACATTGGTGGTGCGGGTGGTGCGGGTGGTGCCCATGGAGCAGACCCATACAATACCAACAATATGGCTGCGCAGGGCGGCTACGGTCAGATGCACAATGCCTACGGCCAGTCAACAACTTCATTCCACACGGAACAGAGCTGGGGCGTTACAGGGGCCAGCGTCATGGGTCAGGATTATGGACAATCACAGTCGCAAGTCGGCGGCTATGGGCAGAATGGCTACACGCAGGAGCCGGATGGATATGGTGTCCATGATCAATACGGTGCCACCACTACTGCCATGAACCAGCCCTACGGTAGAGGCCCTCCCGTGCGCTCCCTGACAGGAAGCTCGAACCACTCTATGGCGGCAGCTGGGGCAGCGTATCCAGATCGCTCGCGCGGTTCGCCTGCCCCCTCCCAGGGCGGATTCAGCAGCGAGCGCGCGTTTGACCCGCGCATCGCACCCCAGCGAACCTACTCGCCCTCGCCCCAGCAGCAGCAGCAAGGCCAGTTCGCCAATGCCCCCCAGCGGACCTACTCGCCCTCACCCCAGCAGCAGCAAGGCCAGTTCGCCAATGGCCCGCAACGGACCTACTCGCCCGGGCCACAAGGACCCGCGAGGACCTACTCGCCTGCACCACAGGGACCGCCGAGGACGTTCTCGCCCGCACAGGGAGGCCCTCCGAGGTCCTTCTCCCCCGCGCCAGGGCCCCGATCCTCCCCAGGTCCTCAACGGCAGTGGTCCGGAGACACCGCGCCCGGCCGCGGCCCACCTCCCCGCGCGCCCCCGTATCGACAGTACTCGGCCGATTCCGCTCAGCCAGGAGTGCCACCACAACGGCAGTTCTCCGAATCGCCACGGCCCAGGGGCAACCGGCCGCCGGCCCTGGCCAACCGTGCACCACCGCAGAGACAGTATACGGGCGACTCCCAGCCTGGCCCGAGGTCACCCAACTTTAGCAGGCCGACGAGGTCGAACACGTATGACGATGGGTATAGTGGCGGCGGTCAGGAGGAGCAGGCTGGTGCCTATCCAGGGTACAAACCATACCAGTCCACGAGGTAGAATGGAACGGGTGTGAAGAGGAGTCGGACCACAAAAAAATAAAACCAAACTCGAGTTGACTTCGAGCGAGAAATTTGATGAAGACATGTATGGCATCTTTGTATATGTGTGCAAAGGAAGTCGGCGTTTGATACAGGGCATTTGCATGGTCTGGCAAGGTTGTTGGTTGGGAACTTCTTTTCTGATGATTGGCGAGAGGATTTACCTTCTTCGATATAACGATACCATTCTGTGGTGTTCAAATTATACTCTTTGTTCATTCATCCTTCCAAACTTGTCTTCCAGCTGCGTTATTTGTCACTGGTTGTACTGGTAATAGTCTTCCTATTCAAGAGCGTTCCAGGAAGCGTTGACAAGAAGGAACTGAGTCTATTGAGGGGGTGGGGCTGTGAAGCAGGGTTCATAGCCTGGTTCAACCCAAGTCCAAGCCATTAGCAGGTAGATGGTGGTTGAGACGCACGTATTTTGTACTGACACGTCGTAAAGACAGCGTGACGCTTCTTCGCTTGCATAGCGGTCAGATTCTGGATGTACATGTCTCTTCGATCACTTAATCCTTCTGATGAGAATGCCTTCCGAAGTAAGGTCTGCATCGTTGTAATGAACACAAATATGATGTAGTTTGTGTCATGGTAAGAAGATATACAGCAGTGGAATATCAGAGGCTGCAGTGAGCTTCTCTAATGGAACTGTTCAATGTTTGATCTGCGGGTTCCCTATAATACATGATTCTTGACCTTTCTGGAAAAAGGCAATAAAAATTAGCCAACTATTTATTAAAGTCAAGGCAATACAGACAGATTTACCGTTTATATAAGCTGGAGTGAAGCATCCAAAATCTATTACTCTTGAGCTCTTACATCAAGCAAGTTTTGTCAAACCGAACTTGCTTAGACATAGAACAGATTCTGATTCCTATCGGTGAAAATTGTATCTTCCTCATCGTAGACTACTGCATTATCACTAGCTTCCAAGAACGAAAACTTGAGCAGGATCATCAACTTAGCCTGAGCCCAAGTCTTAGTCCTCGTTGATATCGCTTCCGTGGTCTTGTCTCTCAACGGTCTTTGCAAGAGAGGTACAGTAACGTAAAGGCGGATTCGAAAAGACAACAATGCTTTTAAGCAGACAAGCCCTTATTGGTAGCTGGCTCCCAGACAAGTTCTTCCCTGAAGCAAAGGCTTTCCCGAGATCTTGCTCCATGTTTGCGACCAAATTCAATCACTCGAGCTAGTAATTACCTTGATTCAACTGGTCAAATTAAAACTTTCTACTTCTAAGAAGTATATTCAGAAGACATTGCTAACTATTAAGAATAATGATGCCATAAAGTATGAGCTCCATCACCTAAACCCATCCTACTAACATGCTTTCATCTCACGTATCATCATTGGCAAAATGCCCAAACCATATACTATCCTTGGGCGTAGCCCCCTTCTCCAGCTCCTCGACCGGCGCCTCACAAAGCCTGGTGCTCTGCTCCGGAACCGTCCAGTTCCGCATGACATCCAGCCGCGAGGCAAACTGCATGCCCATGCCGGCCTCGGCATGCCAGATCATATGGCAGTGGAATAGCCACACGCCCGGATTATCCGCCACGAACCGCACCAGGGTCCAGCCGAACCCCTCGACGGTGGTGACGTCCCGCCTCGTCGGGTTGGCGACGACCGAGTCGTCACTGGCATTGAGCAGGCCCTTGCCGCCGGGATTCAGGCCCAGGGCCTCGTAGCCTGGGAAATACCCGTGCCCAGCGGCGAGGATGAACATCTGGGTCCCGTGCAGGTGGAACGGGTGGTTGCCCTCGTCAAAGTTCTGCAGGATGACGTCGACGACCTCGATGGACCCGGAGCTGATGACCAGCTCGTGCTTCTTGTCAAAGGCGACGTCGTTGACGCCCTCGATGCCGAAGGAGGCGTTGCCCGCCTGCAGGCCGTCCACGACGCGGTGGAGGCTGGGCGATTGCACCTGCGGGCGAAGGGTGCTCTTGTTGAGAAAGCCCCGCTCGAGGCGCCAGTCGCCGATCTCGAGGTTGACGCGGAGGTACCACGAGTGGTGCGCGTATGCAGGGGCCGCCCGCGCGGGAAGGGGCCTGTAGGAGCCTGGTGCTGGGTCTTTGCAGATGACAGTGAACTTGCCACTGTCGGCTTGGGTCTGGGGGAGTTTGTGCTGCTGTTGCTGCGCAGTGGAGGGGGTCTCTTCTGCCGCGGTGTACCGGATGATGGCCTGCGCAGAGGCCACGCCCTTGTCGGGCAGGACGTTCTCGGCGAAGCAGTGGCTGACCATGCGCGCTCGAAACCAAAACAGGTTGTTGTTGTCGTCGTCGTCGTCGTTGTTGGTGGTCTGGTTGGTCGAGAGGATGACGCTGTACCGCTGACCGGGGCCGACAAGCACAGCCGAATCGGAGCTGGGCTCGACAGTGACGCCGTCGACCTCTGTCACGGGGAGGTCGAGGTGCTTATCCACGCTGACCTCGAACCAGGCAAAGCCGCCAACATTCATGATCCGGAGCCGGTGGTGTTTGTCTGGCTCGAGATCGAATGTCGGGAGCAGAGCTGACGAGCTGTCGCAGTGCCTGCCTGGGTGCAGCGAGCAGTCGAGCTTGTTGGCCCCGTTGATGAGCGCCCCGTTGGGGATGGGCGAGGCTTCGCTTCCTGGGGAGAGCGTCTGCCTCAACAACCCGTCAGAGACGTCGTGGTACCAGTCTTGCACCATAATGACGCGGTCCGTGTCATAGGGAATGGGCTGGTTCTCCTTCTCTTCTGTGGAGAGGATGATGAAGGGGCCAAAGAGGCCATCCAGGCCCTGCGCAGCTTGGTGCCCATGGTAAAAGTCTTGAGAGTAGGTTCAACAACACGAATTAGTTTCCTTCTTTTCATTCCTTCTCTTTACCCCGTCTCATTTTCACAAGAGGGTTTGTTTATTCGGAGCGCCAACTTACATGATCCGGCCTGTCCCTTCACAGTAAACTCATACCGATACGACTGGCCTGAAGCGATGGGACACTGCGTGACCCCAACTGTGCCGTCCATGAAGACGGTGCCGTTCTGAAAGAGACCGTGCCAGTGTATCGCCGTAGCATTCTTTGCCTCGTTCACCACGTTGACGACAATCGTGTCCCCTTGGTTGCACACGATCATGGGCCCTGGAAATTGGCCGTTAATCACCATCATGGGCCGAAAGACTCCATCGGGGTTGGCTGCCATGTCCGAGATGACCCAGTGATACTCTCGCACCGTCGGGGCTGCGCTGTAGTCCCAGGTGGAATCGATCACATAGTCAGACGAGGGCCGTCTGAATGTCGTGCTGGCGACCTTTGCCTCCTCTCTGAGAAGAGAAAGCCGCCTGAAGAGGACAGCAACGCTGACGATGAGCACAGTCCCAGCTAAGCCAAACAGCGCCACAAGCCACCATTTCCAGCGTCGTTTTCGCGGCTCGTCTTGCTCTTCCTCGTCTGGCTGCACATCATCCTCCTCGTCCTCACCATCCTCGGCCAAGAGTCGTTCCTTTTGTTCGTCGACCACGATCCCGGCCTCATCGTCGGCGACATCGAGGTCGGTGCTGCTCCTCCGGTTCTCATTTGAGGAGGGCGATGAGGACCGGACCTGCTTGTATTCACCCATCTGTGGCAAGGGCTCAAGTCTCTCACTCTGAACAGGTTTGGCTCTATCTTGTCCTCATCGTCGGCGAATCCCACGTGGCGACTTGAAGGGGCATTCGAGCCCGGATCTCGGCACACTGAGCCCCTGAATCGTGTGTTGGTCTGTTTCTCAACCAACAACCTTGTTTGGTGTTGTGTTGTGGTTTTTGTGTACGAGGGGCGCGAGATCATACAACAACAACCAGAGAACTGGGTTAATAAAATTACACGACATAGGATGGAACAAAGTCCATAAATAATCCCAGACTTGAATCTCTCTTTGAGAGGCTGATAAACAAAACGAGGCCCCCCACACGAGCCAGCCCCATTCTGACGGCGGCGAAAAAGATTCCACCTGCATCCTGGACCCCTGCCTGCGGCGGTTTGCACGGGGGTTGTTTCGAGAACCTGGTTGGTGGGACCACCTTTGGAGGGTTGCAATGAATTGAATGAGTTCCCCAGCAGGCTCTGACAGACCATCACCTCAGAAGACTTTCAGAAAGGGACTCTCAATTATAGTTGAGTACTTGAGTGAGTACTCAAGGTGGCCCTTGATATGGTGAGATCATGTTTTGGATCAAGTATGAGCGGTAGAAGATGGAAAACTCCAGATGAATTTGACCCTGATGTTTGGGACTTTCTTCTCTCACGTTAATCATGTCTGCTCTACCTCCCAATAGTAAAAAAAAAAGGAGCCAGTCAGAACCCTGTTGAAAGAACAGGTCGAGTCCTGGACCAGCAGCGCTTTGTACAGTAGACTATGATGTTCACTGTCACTTTGGCAAGGCTGGCGCCTGTCAGCCTCCTCATCTTGATCCCTAAGTTTCAATTTGGGTACATACTTACACCGCAGTACAGGAAACAAAGATTATGCATCAGGTCGTTTGACATTGCGCTGACTGGCCCTAGGTTTTCTCATCAATACCTTCTCCAGTTGAGCTCTGGCCCCCACACAAGTCTCAAGTGACCTTCAATTTGATAGTCATTTTTGGAGAATTTGACAAGAAATATTTCTGGATTATCTAATCTATTTCTTAAGTTGGAAAAAAACCATTGACTTATTATTGTTACTGGCCCAGGACACGGCCTTCTTTTCATATCCCGCATAACCCCGTTGGTTGCATATCGTAGAAGCTGCTTACGTCATCCATTCATAGCCCATCAGAACCTTGACCCACCTTTTGCGCCAAAAGGCAGCTTCGACTCACTGAAGCATCTCACAAGGCAACGCAGACACACAAGCATCTCGCTCCCACGCAGTCTTTCCAAACGGTTTCAGACCCCTCCCGCACGCAGCATGGAGAACGGCGCCCCATCCACTGAGGGTAAGGACCCGTCGGGCTTCCTCAGCCAGATCATCGGCAACCCTGTGACGGTCAAGCTCAACTCGGGCGTTGTCTATAAGGGTGAGTGAGAAGAAGGAGCCGGCGAACCAAACACACCCCCCCCCCCCTACTAAAAAAAGAAAGAAAAAACAACCACCGGCGACAACGAAGACGACGATGATCTTCAAACTCACTTAGTCGTCCTTGGTCTACTCTTTCTCTGTCTTTTCCTGCTTTTGCATACCTGTTCATTTCTAGCCTGCCGTGCTTTGGGACTAACCGTTTTCTTCTTCATTCTGCGCAGGTGAGCTTCAGTCGGTCGATGGCTACATGAACATCGCCCTTGAGAAGACGGAGGAGTATGTCAACGGACAGAAGAGGCGCGCATACGGGGACGCATTCGTGAGAGGTAACAATGGTGAGTCGGCCCGGATACTTTTTTTTTTCCCCTTGAGAAGGCGCGAGAAAGAGAGAGACAGAGAGAGAACGCATGCTAAGCCCCTTCATCTTGCCAGTCATGTACATCTCTGCCGACTCTTAGAAGAGGAAATCACCAGCGGCCACTTGGGCGGATTTCTTCAGCACCTAGCCAACGAAACCAGGTTGTTACAGCAGCAAGAATGAGTAAAGGTGTTGGTGGCACCATTCATTCCACCGAAGATCATCCACATTGATGATTTCAATGACGAGCTCAGGAGGTCCGAGGAGTATGTGGGAGAGGGAGCTCTCCTCTTCTGCTGAGATGCCTTTGCAAGGTCCAACAGTATTCAGGACGGTGGGCTCAGAAGCACGGCATGGGGTTTGACTGCATCGATATAACTGGCTTGGCAGCAAGAATAACAAAAAAAAACGCAATTCCTTCCCCTTTCATGTTGGCGATGTTGACTATTTGATTCCCTTTTGGCTTCTTTCCGTGCTTACATCCGATCCGACCACGCAAGATACGTCCTCCCATGACACTCGACCTCCCCCTTCTCATTCCTCACAACGTCGTCCATTCCCATGGCCTCCCTGAACACCCTCTCCCCTTTCTCCCTGTCCGATCCCTCCAGCAGCGCAACATGGCTGAGCGTATTAATCCGGTCCCACAGCGCCTTCTCGTCCAACCAATGCGTCCACGCCACGCTGTCCTGGCCCAAAGGCACCGAGAACCGCGGCAGGTTGCCCAGGAGCGTGTCTCGCAGGACCTGCACCGGGTTCGTCTTGAGCTGTCTGTCAAAGACCTCCTTCCACTCCATGTCGCGGAAGCGCTTGTTGCCGTCGTTGGCCGCTAGACTGTGGATCCAGTCGTTGAGGTGCTGTGCCCAGCGGGTTGAGGCTTTCCAAGCCTTGGGCTTGTTATCTTTTCAAAGGGGGCCATCATCAGATCAGCTTAACCATAGAGAGGGAGGAGAAGGAGGAGAGGTGTGGGTGTATTCTCACAGTCGTCAATGTTCCAGATCATCCCAAACACCCCTTCAGGTTTCAATACCCGGTGAATTTCACCCAGCGCCTCATCCGTAGCGAACCTATAAACCCGCAGGAAATCAGTCTTCACCACCAAACAGCATCATGGCAACATTTCCTTTCAAGGAAAAAAAAAGTAAAAACTAATAAAAAAATAGAGGGAACTCCACCTCCTCCCCCCCCCCCCCCGCCCCCCCAAAAAAGAAGAAGAACAACCCTTCTACAACTCACCAGTGAAACGCCTGCCCAGCAACAACCCCATCCCCCCACTCATCCGCCACCCCTTCCTCCCCCTCCTCCTCTTCCTCCTTCCCTTTCCCTCCCAGGTCCTCAGCCCGCCGCTCAAGAACCCTCACCCCTCGCAACCTTTTCCCGGCCAGCGTCCGCCGCATCTCCGGGTGCGGCTCGGCCGCCACGATAGCATACCCCTCATGACGCCCCGCGAGCGCCTCTGTGAGCTTGCCCGTGCCGGCGCCGACCTCGACGATCCGCGCGTGCGGCCGGTCCGCGAGGCGCATGTGCTCGAGGAGCCTCTGTGTGGCCTCGGGTGGGTAGGCCGGGCGGTGCGCGTCGTAGGCGGTAGCGTTTTGGAAGCCTTCTGAGGCTGCTGGAGCGAGAGACATTGTAACACCCTCTCTTCGTCTTTTCTTCCCTTTCTACCTCTCCCTCACTTCCGTCTCTTGAACGTTCTTTTCCGAAACGCTTGGGATATTTACGCTTTAAGATAGAGAGGAAGAGTGGAGAAGTATGGTGGATCAGCTGCAGAGCGATGATGGGTTTACCGTTCAGGTCGATATTCAAAATGATGTCTCACTCACCTATGAACACATCAAGGCAGAGATGCGATCAGTCACCAACAGGTAGTTCCGATGACGCGCCGGCCAAGACTTGTCCTCCATGGGGGGATCCGCAGGTGCTAATGCAGCGCCGGAGTAGCGTTATGCGGTTGCCGATCTGCCGTCGCTGGCCGCCCATGCCGGGCTCGAATTTATGCTTACAACACACAGTGATGCCGCGGTATCTTCAATAAATGTTGGCTTTGTGTTCAGTCCCCAAATCATATACAATGCCAAGCTATGCTGCCCCTTCCTACCGCGAACATTTAGACTCCCATGCATCAATACGACGAAGACACAAGCGCCGTAGAGTTCACAGAACATAGGAGATAGCTGACTTCATTGTTTGAGGTCCTGTGGCTAAGTGTTAAGCTAAACTACATGCCCTTCCAGAGCTTGACCTTCCAACGGTCAACAGAGTAGATAGGCAGAGTGTTTATGGTAATAGTTGACTTGGGGAGAAGAAGAAAAATTAATGACCAGAATGAAGAATAGTCATCTCTGCCTCCTTGTAACTCTGTATGTCATCACCATATTTAATTATGATCTCCCTTTTCCTCTTTCGTATGGATGCTTTGCCCCCCAAGGGGCCTGTCCCAAGTTCTTGGCTGTACTGTGACAATCCTAAGACGTGCCAGTGCTCTCGGCTGGCTGGCTGCGGGATTGAAGACGCCGAGTGTATCGAGGGATCTTATAGCTAACCTTTCTTTCTTTGCTCCCATGACCAGTCTTTGGCTTTGAGGAACCCTTTGTGCAAGTATCGTTCGGGGGTTGGTCGCCAGCAGTAGTTCCACCCGACGTGTTCGCTGTAATTTGAGTCTCGGCGGCGTCGACCAGACCAGGCAAAGAGACAATAGGGGGAACAATGCTCGACTGCTGTATGTGAATCGGGGTTAGCGTTTGAGAAAATGGATCGTGACCGGCCGTGGTGTTTTTGCTGATGGGGCTGTAGCTGGCCGAGGCTGCGAGTGCAGACCGCGGGGTGAACTCTTGGGCATTGGGATTGAGCTTCGATTCCTGCAAGACGAGGTTATTAGAGACTGCCAAGAAACACATGTAATGATGTTTTCTTGACCGTGTCTATACCTCTCTCTTGTGGCCCGACGGAGTCTTCACCTGAGCAGACTGCTCACCGCCGTCCTCGGATTGCAACTCAGCCTCCACTAGGTCGGTATGTGTCGTCTCTACAGCAGTCTCCACCCGAGCTTTGGGGTTCTGTCCATTGCCTGTGCTGCCACCATCTTCGTCTTTGGGCTTGGCAAAAATCTGCGCATCGTACTGTTAAACCGGGGAGTTGCTTCACAAAAGGAGGTAGAGCTGCGATTTCCTCACCTGTTTGGTCCACAGTTCTGCATATCTACCTCCAGCAGAAATGAGACTCTCGTGAGTACCATCCTCGATGATTTCACCATCGCTGACGACCAAGATGCGGTCGGCACTAACGATGGTCGAGAGCCTGTGGGCTACAATGAAAGTGGTGCGATTTTTGCAGAGACGGCGCAATGCGTCCTGGATTTGAGTCTCCGTCTCTGTGTCGACAGCACTGGTTGCTTCCTATAGCTCCAAGTCAGTCCCGGTTGCATCAATAAGGTCTGTACGATACCAGCTTACATCAAGAAGAACAATCTTGGGTTGCTTCAGGATCGCTCGCGCAATCGCCACTCGCTGCAGTTCACCACCAGACAGTTTGACGCCCCGCTCACCTACACGAGTATTGTATCCATCACTAAAGCCAAGGATCTGCTCGTGTATAGCAGCGGCCTTGCAAGCGCTGTGGACCTCTTCATCACTTGCATCGAGTCGGGCGTAGCGAACGTTGTCCATGATGGAGTCGTTGAAGAGGACGGGATTCTGCGGTACCACACCAATATGCTCGCGAAGGCTAGTGAGTTCAACGTCTCTGATATCTTGTCCATCGATCCTGATGTCTCCATCTGTCACGTCATAGAATCGGTTGAGCAACTTGAGGATGGTGCTCTTCCCGGCACCGGTCTTGCCAACAAGACTAATAGAACACATCTTATTCTCAGTGCATAGCTCTAGAGAATTAATGGAGGCGGAGGGGGTCAAGACATGAAGAAAACGTGGTCACTTACGCAATGGTCTGTCCGGGCTTCACGCTGAAGGATACATCCTTGAGTATCTCTCTCTTTCTGTCGTAGGAGAAGCGGACACTCCGAAATTCGATGCTGCCTTCCTTGAGCTGAAACGATGGTGCACCTGGCTTGCTGATGACCTTGGACTGTGTCTCCATGATCTCCAAGAGGCGCTCGGCATCGATCAAATCCCTATTCACTGTCTTCCCAAGCCCAGCAAAAAAGTTCAATGGGGTGACAAGTTGTGACCAGTACGTGAGGAGAACAACAAAGTCACTGGCGTCGATACTGTGCTCCTGCGTGACCTGCCAGACAGCAAGAAACAGACCGGCCAAGAGACCGGCCGAGAGGACCAGGTATTGAAGTGCCTGTGATCGGTACATGTTCAAAGTATAAACCTGCGACTTGGCCACCCTGTCCTGGACGGCCACAGAAAAGCGGTTTATCTCGTGCTCGACCTGGTTGAAGGACGCAACTGTCGTCCAACCAGACAAGCCAGAATTCATAATGTACCATTCCTCGTACCAAGCCTTGGAGTAAGCTTGTCGAGCTGCGCGGGAGCTGGCGATGGCGGCTGTGGATAGGTAAATGAAAAAGGTCATGGTGCTGATGGTGATGAGGCCCTCCCAAGGGCCAAATTTGGCCGTTAAATAGATGAAAGCGACGCCGAGGTCGATAAAATTTGGCAGCAAGGAGAAACAGACCGTGTCTAAGGCCCTAGTTATGCTATCCCCATGTTGGATGGCCATCAACATATCAGAAAGGCTTTTTGTATCATGGAAATGCGCGTCGAGCTTCATGATGTGAGAGTGAGCAGCCTCCACCATCGCACGCGCCGAATACTGCTCAACAGGAAGCCACAGCCTCTGTCGGAGTAGCGAGAGCCCTGCCGAGGATCCGCTGATCTTGAGAGCCGCAAAGATGAGGACCTGTATCCAGGGGTCCACGGCATCGGTGGGACTGCCTCCCTTTGCGCTCTCGGTCAAGGACTTGGTCACCACACCGAGCTGGTTGGGGATCAAGACGTTCAGCCCATTGTTCGCCAGTAGACAAAGAACGACGAGTATGGCGTGGAACTGGAGGCGTCGGTCGTTGACAGGCCAGATGTAGGGCAGGAATATCTTGAAACTCTTGGCGTAGATGAACCAATTACCGCTGTCCCGAAGTCGCTTGTCCCTTTGTTCCTCGGCCAGACGTTGGCTGCGCTCCCACTCGGACTCGGGATCTTTGCTAATGGCTCTGCTGGAGTCGTCAGCAGCGACCTCTGTCGAACCGTATTCTGTGACAAGCGTGTCTTCCGATTCTCCATTGGCTGGCTTCCGCAGTAGAGACTGATGTTCAGCATCGCCTCTAATGCCTGCGGGATCATACTTCTGCGAACTGCAGCAGTTAACCAGTGCAAGCAGCAGGCAAGCAAAACGAGCTGCCAGAACCAAGACTTTCAAAATCCCTATGGGCATCGAAGTCTGGTAATTTGAAGAGCGCAGAGACAGTGTGGCGAGAATGGGCTCGAGGGCCAATGTGATAGCCAAAGAGCCACTGTAAGAGTGCCAGACTGGATCCCGGGTACCGTGCAGGATGGCGAACTCGAGGCCATATACCAGAGCACAGGCGAGGTCACCGATAACCTTGGACTGGTGAACATCATGCCAGTGAGTGAGGCTGAGGCTGCACTGGGCAAGGTAGGTGGTGGCTATTATCAATAAGAGGTAGGGAATGATGGCCCGGCGAGGTCGCTGAGTGACTGAAGTATGCTTCTGGAAAGTACAGGCAGCAAAAGCCGAGCAGACCATGAAGTAGACAAAAATGAGGGATGGTAAGGTGTACCGTAGGCTCACGAGGAGCCGGGGCGATGATAACACCATGTTGACGTTTGTGGGGTTTCACAAAGGCTGGTTTTGGTGGTGGCGAGTAGTTGGTTGTGTGCGATGGTATATGTTTTCCTGGTCCCCTTCATCGAGATAGCGTCAGGCCATGAACGTGGTGGTATATGCGTTGTTGCTGGAAAGTGGAGGGGTACAGCTTGGCATAATATCAGTCTGGGTTGAAAGAAATCGAGCAATCAATAGTGCCAAGGGAATTGAGCGAGGAAGAGGAGATCGTCACAGTCAGAGGGCGAACAAGGACCAAGACAGTAGGCGAGGAGAGCGAATTATAGAGGGAAAGAGGGAGAGCTCAGAGAGAGAAGGAAAGGCCCAGTTGTAGTTGCCTGTGAATCAGTCGTACCTGTCTATTTCAACGACTGTGTCGGTGTAGTAATGGTTGTTGTTGAGGAAGTCGCGACGGCCAGTGGTCTCCTCACAAACAGCAAGTAATGTAGTCTCGTTCCTCACGACAGAAGGACTCCTCCTCAGACCCGCATTACCTGCCCTCCCCAGAACCTCGAGCAACACAGGTCCGCTAGATGTCGACCAAATGCTAACTACGAGGTTGCGTAGGATCGACCCGTTACTTCCCAAAGCGAGCGACCTTCAGGCTCGCGTGCGGTGGACTCTTCCGGCAGGCACTCGCGACTTTAAGATTTCTGTTTCGATAAACCTCAATGGCTGGATAAATTCCGAGTGTGGCTCTTCCAAAGAACAGAGGGTCGTCGTGTTCTGCGACTCCCGTCACGCTTCCCGCTCCTTTCTCTCACCAAAGTACCTTGCTCAGAAAAGGTCAATTAGGAGACGAGCACTGGTCTTTCTGCGTGGCCCCACGGTGACAGCCGACCTCTCTGATGCTCAGGCACCCTGACAGTACAGGCAGTGGGGAATTCTCAACGCGATGGCCTCAAGCCTTCTATGTTCCTGGAACGTCAGCTAGAGCTGTGGAACCACCCCTAAGTACTGAGGCCCAGAACTCAGAACAGGTCGTTCCACCCACAGATGCCAATGCTAGAACGATTCTGGTCAGCCTCCTGGATCGAGCAACTCCAAACGTCCCGTCGAACCAGTGTATTGCTTGCCACCTCGCCCTCGCCGATTTCCGACTTTACACAGCAAATTGCCAACAACGCAGGACCACAGGTACATACATTTGAAGCACGAATGACTCGTTGTCCCTTGCTGTATGTCCGTCTTTGTTAGGACAACCACAGATGGCCCCCTTGGCCAGCCCTCAGATCGGCTCTTCAAGGCTTGGTCTTTCCCACGCGCGTCCACAAGATCTGCCTCACCTTCTCTGCCTAATTTGCGCAACTTTGGCTAGACGTCCTGATACGTCTGTTGTCAGTGCACGATCAGGTCTGGCCCACGCGTGATCCCACTGTCTACACACCGAGACGGGTTCTGCATTGATGGTCTCTTCTCTGATCGCCTTTGGTCAGATGCTCGAACCCCTGGGGCCCCAAGCGCCATGTAACCGAGGACCATTCACGGCCAATCAATTTAATTTGAGGCGAGGAGCCTCCAAGAACGTTGCGCCGGACGCCAGACAGGAAGCATGTAGCTACACCCCGTTCAAGGGCGAAGGTCAAGCAAAAGCGCTATGATGACGAGTTCCTCGAAATGGGAGGGGGAAGGGTTAAGAAAGATTAGAAAGCACCGAGCGATATCTGGTAATGCCAGCAAAGGAGATTAACACCCGAGGCGACCAACACACACCCACCCACACACATCAAAGAGATACGCATTGATGAATGCAGTGCTACCACGGGAACCATTATCGAGAACCCAAGACAGGTCTCCAAACGGTATGCATCTCAAACAACTCGGGAAACACTTAGAGTGAAACCGGACCGGAGGGAGATACGCGGGAGGATTCTGACGTCTCCTTTGACTTGGCCGTTTGGCACGTAAGCCGCCTATGTGAACCTAGCCCACATGGGCGAGATGCTACCTCTGCTGAGCGCATTGGGATTTGAAGGCTTCTGCGAACTCTGCATGAGGCGCGAACCGTCAAATATTCAAGGCTAGGCCAGACCAGACCAGACGGTTCCAGCACGGGCATTGTCCGCAAGCGCTGTCCTTGTCCAGAAGCCTGAGGAGCGATGCAACGTGGATCGACCCGACTTGGGCCTGTGACCAGAGAGCGTGGCCGGTACACCAACTGCGGCCTCCACAAGAGCGGCTATTCGTCAGCCGACGCCAGGCCCGGAAGGCCCTGCTCTGCTCTTGAAGAAGGCACAGAAGTGACACTTTGCGATTCTTCTCGATGATGGTAATGGTGATGATAAAAATGAGAAGTCGCGCACCGTTCCGGATATTAGACTGTTTGCAGCTTTCTGTCCCACGGAGAGACCACTCCTCTTGACTCATCACCGTGTACGTTGCGGCGGCAAACAGAAACAGCGTGCAGCTATGGTGTGAGCTCATCGGGTGCATGAGAGGTGAGGTCGGAAGGGGGTGGACTTGCTGCTCCCCAGAAATAACCTGCAGGTTGATCAGCCGCCGATGTCACGCATGGGACTTTGAGAGAGAAGAGTGATGGCAAGTGGATCTTTTCCCCCAACTCCAGCTCCAGGGACCCGGAACACGCCGCCCCATTCAAACGAGTTCCGATTCGGCGTCCGGTTTTCGTGAAGGCCGCTCTTTTTCGTGGACGCAAATTGGAATACGGCCTCAGAAGCAGAACTTCATTGAAGTGATGCAGGTATCGACGATTTTTCCGAGACTGGAGGCATGGATTAGAGGTTCCTTTCTGAAACCTACGAGTTCCCAAGATTGTTGGTTGCCGCTGTTGTGCCACATGACAGGTCTCATTTCCCGAGCGATCGGAGCGGTTCCGAGATTGATTCAGCACGATCTCGACCGCGAACACCTACCTCCAGGCCAAGAACCCGTCCTTAGTGTCACAGATTACGAGTCTTCTGCCGCTGTGGTTCTCGGCAGCACCACCTCTATGAGTAGGTTCAACCATAATTCGGCAAACCCTCCCTCCGTCTGCCGCCCACCTTAGCCCAACACAACCTTGTCGGCGCGTGTCGATACCTGATGATTTTCTGAAGCTTGGACTTATGACGTCTGCCACGAAGCAAAGCGGGACAGCCCATTCCTCAGCTAACTGCGATTAGGAACTCACTTCGAACTCACTTGCCGAAGTCCATGGGCCTAGTATCTTGCCGTCCTGGTTGGTTGGGAGTCTTGTGATACTGTACGGCGCCTGGGCCTGGTCACGAGAGGCACATGGGACGACGGATGAGACATCACCTGTAGAAACTTAGCGGCTGTGATATTGTCCAAGATCCAAGCTTCGGTCTAGGCTGAGTCTTGACACAGGAGATGAAGTCTTGGAAGTCTGCCAATATATTCCGGTAGGAACCTTGGACGAAGCCCAGGTGGTTCGATCAATTTTGTTCCTGCAATTCCTTGTGCATACTTGTAATACATACTCGTCAGGAAGCCGTGGTCTCTTATAGTGAACCGTCTTCGGGTCAGAGGGGTCACGGAAAAGGCTACACATAGTATCGCGTGGATCTTGCCATGGCTGTTGATTCGCAGGGCTTCCGCATTACCTCATTCAAACAGGCGCCACCAGCGTGGCGGGTGGTCTGGTTTGTGACGAGCCTGTATGTATGATGTTAGTGAACGATGCATATATATGCGCAACGTTCTTCAATTTTCTGAAACTTAAGGAAGTAAATAGCTGAGCAAATTAATAAAGAGAATACGTGCGAAACGATCTCGTCCCATCAAATTATATTCTGTTCTTTTCTTCTCCTTTCGTCATGACACTTCTCCACGACTAAATGGGGGTTATACTTAGCGGAGCAGGGTTTACAGTATCAGACCAGTGACCTCATACTACTTAGTTGTATTGTATAACGTACAGCACCAGCAGTGGACGGACCAAGTACCTCAAACATTTACAAAAACACCGGCACGCAGGATAAGGCAAATCAACGTGTTATGGTATGAGTAAACAATCGTCATTGCTTTTTTTGTGATTTTTGTTCTATGCTGCTAAAAATAAGATCTACAAAATGCTTGCTGCTTTTCAAACGCCCTTTGCTGAACGCAGACCCGAGGTATCATCATAAAAAGTGCCGAAAAAAAAGAAAAATTCCTACCAGAAACCCCCAATGCCACACACCTACATACCATGGAGACTATGACACATGAGTGTCTCTTCGTGCCGATTTTCAGACCGCCACCTTGTCGTCGTCCTCCTCCTTGTTGCTCCGCTCCTCGGCCCCGTTCAGAAAGTACATTCCCGTCACGACGGCTTTGCCGCCACCGCTCACAAAGATGGCGACATCGGACCCAACCATCCTGTAGATTGCGGCGCCCAGCAGAGTCCCCGCGAACAAGGACACCATGAACGCCAGCCTTCGGTTCCTGGGCCTGTTCTTCTGGCGCACGGCCATCAGGTGCGGGTCGATGACCAGGTCCACCCACGCGGCGGTGGCCATGGCCGTCGAGATCTCTGTCATGCGCAGGCTTCTGCTCTGCACCACCTGGCTGCCGCTTGCGAAGGCGAGGAGGGAGATGACGAGCAGACTGAGGGGCCCGGTGGCCTGGATGCCTGTGTGGCGCTTGATGGCTGCCGCAGCGAAGACGAGGAGGGTCTGGACGAAGTTGCAGAGGATGAGCCAGATGCGCAGGCGGGGGCCGACGACGTGGGAGAGCTGGCCGGTGAGGTAGCCGCCTGCCAGGAAGAGGCCGAGGGCGACGGCGATATTTGCTGTGAAGAAGGTGTCGCCGTTAAGTTTGGGGACGATGATGGCTACAGCGAGGAAGATTGTGTTGCCGGTTTGGTTCGAGGCGAAGCAGTGGTAGTCTGGGAACGAGATTGCGTCTACAGATTGAGCGTGTTAGGGATTGCGTTATCGAGTGGCGTTGTGGGTAGGTGTGTAGGCATCTGTCTGCTTACCTTGAAGACCCGTACAGAAGGTTAAGAGGAGAAGCTCGACCTCGGCGAGGGTAGAGGGTCTGACGTGCTGTAGGAGATGGTCTTTGCCTCGCCAGAGGAGGGAGTGTCGCGGGGGCGGTGTCCGAGGAAGGGCAGAAAGTGACGACCGGTCTGTTTCTTGCTGCTCTTCTCGGCGCCCGCCTGATCTTGACCCTTCTTCTGCTTCGGCTGCTGAGAATTCCATGACATCGACTGGTGGGTGTGGACGGGCCCGTAGAAGACAGTGTTGAGGGAGTAGTAGTCAAGAGAGTAGGTCTCTTGTGAGGGCATGGTGGTGGTGGTCGATGGCGCCATGATGAAAATTATAGTCGTGCTTTGGCAGCAGAGTATATATACGACTGACGATAGGTCGAAGCTGGCTTTGATGGAATGCAAAGTGCAGGGCTGGAATGTGAAGAGGCAGGGTTGTAGAGCCTTGGGGACAGATACTGTTCAGTGGACTGTTTGATGCGGTGTAGAGTAGAGTTCAAAGCGAGACACGGACACTCTTGGCCGCCCATGTCGTTCCTTTTATGTTTTGTGAGTCTGTGGGCTAATCCATAAGTTGAACACGACATTTTCCTGATACCTGGGTTCCGAAAAGGACCCATGACCGACTCCCGGGAAGCCATGCCGCCGCCATGCCGTCTCCTAGAATTGACGATGGCGTCCAAATTCTGGCCACATGACTGGCTAGCCCAGGACTTTGTGACTGTCAGTGATGGTGTCCACATAAAGAAGGCCCACATAGAGGAGATCCATGCACGTTCCCGCGAGTGGGCTGCAGAGAAGGCCCCATCAATTTGAGTTATGTCAAGAGTCATCGCGTCTGCAATTGAATTTTTCCTCTTCTTTCCCTGGCCCACATCTCCGGCTCGGGATAGGGACGGCCATCGAGAACGGGCCGGCTGGTCTCTCGTCCACCTTCTCGCCTCATCTGAAGGGTTGGAATAGGCCTTTTAGGAGAATTTTGAGGGGGGAGGAGTGCAAAGAATAGCACGTTGACACTGCTATAACCTGAAAAAAAAAATGAGTTTCGTGCCACCTCACGGCCCTCCCAACGTTGAGCCCAACACTGCCCCGTTTCAGCTGAGCGTAACAATGGAGAAAAACCGCTGACGGCTTGAAGATGCCGCACAGAGGGCCGCCGGAGCGGCACGGCAACAGTGGAGACGGCTACCGGCGGCATGCCTTTTTTGGCCAGGCAACCGATACCCGACGACAGCAATGTCACCGACATCCGACGACACTCATCATCACCCACGAGAAAATCTTGTTTGCCATCCAGCTATGAGATCAGAGGTGAGGGCAACTGAAAGCCTGCCAGCCTGTGAGATGATCGAGTTGTGAAGTCAGAGCCGCCTGGTGCTTGATGCAGACTGGATCGGGGTGCTTGCAGACCGGCGACTGCAGGGTGCCTTGGCCTTGCTCCTGAATTTCAGCCGGCCAACGCTACTTCTCGACCAAAGCTCTCGAACTTTTCGCTGGTGATCGGGTAAGACCGACCTCGGTGCTGCTTACTCTCATCTCCTTTGAAGAGTGTCATGACGATGTATCGAAAATCGCTGCAATAGTTGGCCCACGACAGAACGAGTCACGGGCACACATGCCACGCCCCCCTCTTTCTCTCTATCCTTCTCTTCGTGCTTGTACTGCGGCACGTCAACTCGATCCCCCCCTCGTCCTTGCTTTGGCGCCCACGATCAAACTTCCCATATACGTGCCTTCGGGAACATAGCCGTCATACTAGTGGAGCGCCGCCGAGTGCCGTCGCCAGAGGACGAAAAGCCTCTGACATCGTCATGACGAACAGCCAGGATCCTACCATGTCTCGTGTAGTCTTTTTCCTCCCAGCCTCACTTGGGGCGTTGGTCTGTGCACCACAAAGACAGCCAAGAGGGCACGCCGTGGTGAGGGTGACAGTGGACGTTGCAGCCGGGACTGCCGACTCGTTTTGTGGGTTTTGCTCGTTTGGGGATGCCTCCTCCTGTACCGCCCTCGTGTTACTTCCGTTTTGTGCAAAACAGAAGAAGGTGGCTTCCTTGAGCTCATGAATGCCGGTCAACCCGGATCAGCAGCATGATGTTCTTGCCATTGCGGACTGAGTGGGCCCCTTTCTCTCGCTCTCTCTCTCTCTCTCTATCTCTCTCTTTCTGAGTCGAGGTCTTTGCTATGCTCGAGCAAACCGAAACCTTCCTGCAGTGGCGATCCCGGCTGGACACATGACTCCTCACAATCTCGGAAGATGGTGTTCCTGGATTATTGGCGATGACCTCGTCCGTCAGTCTCCAAGGGCACACTAGATAGATCTAGCACCTCGTGTGGCCATCGCATAGCGTGGTACCACAATCCAACCGAGCCTGTCCAAACCTGTTCCCAGCCAGCCAGGAGGCAGGTAGTCGACGGCTTGCAACGCCGTCGTCATCTCCCGGTCCAGCCGCCAAAACTGAGGCTCAGGATGTCGGCCGGGACACTTGTCTGAGGAATGCCGCTGGGTGGGCGGAAAGATCACCTGCAGAAGGCTCCAACGTCATCATGATGCACACAAGAAGTCGCCTTCAGTGCTTGCCAAAGGAAGAGGAAGAGGGGGGAGGGAAAGGGGGGGGGAGGGGGGATACCTGAGGTTGGCCGCGGTAATCTTGTTTTTCGACCAGTACATCTTGCGACACATCCTCAGAATCGAGTCGTCAGGTGTGCCAGAGGTGTCTGGTATGCTATTGAGATCCATACATGATGATCTTGAGCAGCTCCCCATCCGCAGACTGGCACGACTATACAGCCAAGACTTGGACCAAGCCCAGACTGACTGACCCTTGATGGACACCACATCTCCATATGTGACCCGAGGGTTCTCAAGGTTCATATTGAGCCCGACAAAGACTGGTCAGTTCTGTTGGGCGGTGCAGAAAAGGTCACTGATGAGCTCTTGTCTTTGTAGATGAGATCTCCAAATGGAGTGAGGACGAAGTGATCGTCATCCGTGCTTCGGCCGGCTTGCGTGAGACCTACCTCATTGGCTGGGTATGAAGCACTAACACCATCTCTCCTAGATTTGCTGCACATATGTTAACCAGAACTTGCCCGGGCCTCGGCAGCCTTTCCCCCCCTATAATACAACATCAACCAGCACGGGATTACCAAATCCACAGTTGCACCTCCCTCCGAGTTCAGCTCAGCAACGATGCATCACACGCAGTGTGAAGCGAAGCGATGATGTCTTCATATATTCACATCTCGACAGGGTGAAAAATTGGTGCTGAGCCTGCGTTGTGGGCCAACAAAAAGCATTGTCTCCAAGGTTTAGCCAGCGTTTGAAAACCGATTTCTAGTGAGTGACTTGGGTTGACATGTCGTGACAGCGTTTTCATCATTTACTGTGTTCAGATGGAGCGACTCAGACAGCCAGTCCTCTGGGGAAAACAAGAGAGAGAAAGAGAGAGAAGAGAGAAAGTTACAGATAGAGGGATTAACGGAATCCCACGTCTACGCCATATTCTGCTCCATATTCGTCTTGTCTTACAGCCTCTCTAGGCTGAATCCTTCACTGATCGCGACGATATACATAGTAGCTGTTGCAGGCTGACGGTTGCAATTTGGTTGGAGCTTAGGTCAGCATCGTGAAAAAGGGCCCTACTGACGACGCTGCCTTCCTTACCTTGTGCTTAGTGTAGCATCACAAGTAGCATCGTCGAGTCATGCGCTGCGGTTCTCCTGCCACTTGTGCCGCAGGTGAGGAGTTATGCTGTTGAGTGTGCGCGAGTGCATCTTCTTCGTTAAGCTGTTATTGTTCCACTTTCTAAGCCGCCTTGTCGTCCGCCCATCATCTCAACCCACCGCCTCCCCCCCCCCCCCTTCTTTTATCGAGTCGAGGTTTCGGTCATTCGGCTACGTATAGCAACCACAGCCTGCTGCCACGCTTGGGAGTTACTTCAACACCGTGTCTCTTGCTGAGGTTGACAGTGGAGCCTCATCTGATCAGTGCGTTGCAGACTTCAGCTGCTCCTCTGACCTCTGGCTTCGAGAGAAATACTTCTCCCACACCGGGGCCGGCTCATGGATGTTCAGATCTAACCCAACAAGAAAGAGTTCTTTTTGAAAACCCCCCCCCCTCTCACTGTTCTGGTACGTGTGGCTTCAGGACACGCCAGGTTGCACACCGTCCAGCAACAGGTTCGATGGCGTGGTTGGCTGATGCTGTCGGCGTTGAAGAACGCCCGCCACTGACATGATGACATAGATGTACTGTCAAGAAGGCCCTCTATGGTAACAAGGGCAATCGTAACACTTTCTGACGGGCCAGCCAATTGTTCTGACGAAATCCTCGTCCTGAGTAGAAGGGAGGGACTTTGATCCTCTTCACGGAGGCAGAACAAGCAGCTCGTTCATGCCACCAAGATGGGCCTCGTCTCGATCTTGGTGGACCTGGTGAGGTCGCCTGGAGTCAACCCGGTCAACATGAAAGCGCGTGCCCTGCCGATCCTGAACCCTTTCAATGTCTATGGCCGTGTCTTCTTCTTTTCGTGGTTTGGCTTCATGATGGCCTTTTGGGCGTGGTTTGCCTTTCCACCGCTGGTAAGAGAGCGCAATACTGCCGTATAACCTCGTGGTCCGTTGACTGAAACAAGGAGAACAATGCGCATATTAGTTGACTACTACGATCGTAAAGGATCTTGACCTGACGGCGGCCCAAGTAGCCAACTCAAACATCATATCCATATGTGCAACGTAAGGAGACCTCTTCCTCACGTGTCCAAACAGGACTCAAAACATCTAAAATACAATCTCCAAACACAGGATGCTCGTCCGGTTCATTGCCGGCCCCCTATGTGATCAGTTCGGCCCTCGAAAGGTCTTCGCTGGCTGCCTCCTCCTGGGCTCCATACCCATCGGTCTCGCCCCCCTGGTCCAGAATGCCGGCGGGCTCTACACAAGTCGCCTCTTCATCGGCATCCTGGGAGGTTCCTTTGTACCCTGCCAGGTATGGACCACGGGATTCTTCGACAAGAACATCGTAGGCAGGGCCAACGCAATCGCGGGCGGCTGGGGAAATGCCGGCGGCGGCCTTACTTACTTTATCATGCCGGCCGTGTACGACTCGTTCGTTGGATATGGATATCCTGCCGACCAGGCGTGGCGGCTTACGTTCATCCTGCCCCTGATCATGCTCATCGTCACGGGCCTGGGGCTTCTCTTACTCTGTCCTGATACCCCTACGGGCAGATGGAGCCGGCGAGAGCTGCACGTGCAGGAGGAGAACATAGCAGCCTTGGACGATGGTGTGGGTGCGAGGGGACCGATCGTCGCCGTGCCGGGACCCACCACTGATAGACCATCCACGTGCTGTCTTCCATCTCTCGAGGGACGCGACTGTCGCAAAAGAGAGAACGGAGAAGACGAAGAAGAAGCCATGACAACGCTCGAGACCGTGAACGACAGGCCCGACCAATCCACCAGGCCCACAAGGGACCCATCCTCCTCAAGAAGAGGAGAAGGAGCAGAAGCAAGCGAGACAGACCTCGCAGCCCACCAGGACGAGATCATCATCAATCCCTCGGTAGCAGAGATCCTCAAAGTCACCCTCTGCCCCCAGACCTGCACGCTCATGCTCTGCTACGCCTGCTCCTTCGGCGCCGAGCTGTCCATCAACGCCGTCCTGGCCGCCTACTACCTTGCCAGCTTCCCCTACCTAGGCCAGACACGCGCGGCCCACTGGGCAGCCATGTTTGGGTTCCTCAACCTCGCCGCGCGGCCCCTGGGCGGCATCATCGCCGACGCACTGTTCAACCACCCGGCCCCCTCCGGCTCACCCACGCGCGCCCTCTGGCTCAAGAAGGCCTGGCTGCACCTCTGCGGTGTGCTGGCGGGCGTGCTGCTGATCATCACCGGCACGGCCGATGTGGGGAGCTTGCCCACGTTCAACGGCCTGGTCGCGCTCGCAGCGGTATTTCTGGAGGCCGGCAACGGGGCCAACTATGCACTTGTGCCGCATGTGCATCCGTATGCGAACGGCGTGGTCTCGGGCTTGACCGGTGGGTTCGGGAATCTGGGTGGGGTGGTGTTTGCTATTATTTTTCGGTTCATGGATGATGGGACGGGGTATGCAAAGGCGTTTTGGGTTATTGGGTGTATTCATGTGGGGGTGAATCTGCTGGTGGCGTGGATTCCGCCGATTCCGAGGGGCCAAGCGGGAGGGCATTGAGTAGCAGCGGCAGCAGCAGCAGCGTTGCATCTTGGGGAACTTTTATCCCCTTCTTTTGTTCATCCATGATGATACTCTGTCTTGTTTAGTTTTTTCCAATATATGTTTCTTTACTATTACGATGGTGCCTGCGAATACAGAATACATATCATTGCACGCTCTAAGAATTATATATTTTTTGATTTTCAGAGACCGCAACCAATATTGTAGCACGCCGAGTAAACCCCCTTGCAATGAAATTGATGGCAAGTCTATTGCATCACCCACTCTCTCCCTCCTCTCCCTCCGAGTTTCTATACAAATCAAAATCTCGCACATCGTCTTCCCTAAACTCAGCTACCAAAGTCCAAACCAATCCGCCGATCATTTCCTCGCAACCAAAACCATGGGACCGGGGCCCCCACACTTACTCCGAAAGAACCGAACCACACCTGCATTGCACCCATCAGCAAGGTCGCCCTGCACAAGCCAGAAGTTTATTTTCAAGGTTAAAAAAAAATCTAGTTAGTCAGTCAGTCAGTCAGCCAGCCAGTCAGTCCACTGTTCACCCCAACCAGCCCACCTGCACCACCGGTTTCCCCCCCCCCCCCACCTCCTTCTTCCTCGTAGGATTTTCTAACCTTGTCGCCCCCCCCTCCTTCATTTACTCAAGCCCTTGTCAAATCCTTTTTTTCTTCTTCTCTCTTTCTTTCCACTTTTTTTTTTCTTTTCTTCTTCTGCATGCAGTGTTGAAATTCCAGCCATGCATAACTTTACCTAGGTACCAAAAGAAACATGAAATTCTTGGCGATTGGAGAGCTTCTTTTGGTGCCGGACCTCTCTACAGTAAGTAGATGTTCTTTTGCAAAGCGATGAGCTGGAAACGCTCGCATTGCTTCTGATGGATGAGCTATGCTCTGCGCGCACACACAAATTTTAACAACGAAAGAAAAGAACACATCAATCAAGGGTAACGTGTTATAATATATCTCATCGTTGCATTCAGAATACATAATTTGACATTGTTTTTTTCTTCTTTTCTTTCCATTGTATGCTCTCGATTGCTTTTTCTTCGTCTAGTTTGTGATCACTATAACATTCCCATTTCATTCTAGCCATGCCAGTCCGTTTCAACACCCACGATGAATCCACCATGTCGAGCTCCATTAACCGCTGAATGAGGAAAGTGTTGAATTTCTAGTGATCATACAACCATTACATGAACCATGTGGGAAACAAATCGATCCGAAACATCAAGAACAAAAGAGGGCTACCCGGCCATCAGGTGATGGAGACAGGGCAGAACGAAGTTGAACATGTTTGTCGTTTTTTGGTAAGCTTGGAAGCGCTTTCACAAAAGAAGCTTCTACAGGGCAAGTACAGCAGCAACCATACCACCAATGGCAGCAAAGGTCCCTGCAGCAGCGACCCTGCCCGCCCCAGCCGTCGCGAACGCCGAAGTGCTTGCCGCTGCAGCAGCCCCCGTCGCCGAGGCCTTGCTGACGGTGGTCAGGGTGGTCACCTTGCCGGTGCCGGTGCCGCTGGCCGATGCGCTGCTGGTGGTGGAGTTGCTGAAACCGGTGACGGCGGACGTCACACTGGGAGAGACGATAGTGGTAACGGCGGTGGTGGTCGAGGTCAGGGTCAGGCTGGTCACGGAAGAAGAGACGGGAAGCGAGACGGAGGAGGCTGGCGTGCTGGTTGTCACGGGGATGCTGGAGCTGGTGGAGCTGGTGGAGCCTTCGATTTGGAAGGGGAAAGAGTACTGGAAGATGGAGTTGTCCGAGTCGAGCTGGAGCTTGAGACCGTACAGCGCATAGCCGACGTTGGAGCTGTCTACGGTCCACGAGTATGTGCCGAGGGAGCTGTCGATGCTTGCTGTTTCTCTCTGTCAGCCGAGTGTATCATTCACAAAGGGGAATCTCTCTCTCTCTCTCTCTCGCGAGGGAGTGGAAAGGAGGGGAGAAAACGTACAAGCAACGGTGGGACCGAGCTCAAGGGTTCCCTGTGTCGCACCCTGCAGGAGGATGATGCTCACGGTCTCATCATCATACGCAGCAGTAGGATCCCAGGTGATGGTGAAGGTCGTGCCCGCGGTGAGGACCTCGTCTTCGGTCGGGGAGGTGATGGCATCGAAGCCCTCCGTCGCCTGTGCGAGGGCAGAGCTGACAAAGGCCAGGAGGGCGGCAGCCGAGATAGTGAACTTCATCTTGTTTTGTTTGGGTGGTGTGTGGTTTGGTATTATAGATTAGGTAGGACAAGTTGATCGTTGGCAGACAGACAAATCAAAAAGAGTGTGAGAGAGTTGGAAGAGATGTGTGTACGTGGGAGGTTGTCTGAACGAAGGACTACACTCTGTAAAAGGGACCTCCAAAGGGATGAGAAGGAAGATTTGCTGTGGAGAGCGTTGCGTTCCTTGCGAAGAGAATGACGCAGGTCAGGGAGAGGCTGATGATGGGGGGAAAGAGTGACGATTTTAAGACCTTGGGTGGTCGAGTGAGTGAATGAATGTGAAGTGAGCGAATGACTGGGCCGGTGAGGCTGCAACAGTGAAGTAGCAGGGAACTCAACGAAATCCGGCAAGACCTGGAGCGGTGAGCTGTAGGTAAGAATGCTGACGGTGGTGACAAGTCACAGGTTGAAGGTAGAAGAGAGGAAGAAAGAGAGGGAGTGGAGGGTGGGGGAGGGAGGAAGGAGGAGGAGATAGATGAAGTTCGGTTGGGTACAAGGTGTAGTAAAGTATGCCGTGCCTCATACGTACAGTAAACTAGTGCAACGTTGAGCTGCTGACTTCTTCACCATCATTGCTGCGCCCCCCTTTCTTCCAGGTTGGGTGATTTGCATAGTCGCCGCCAAGAAGAGCCTGAGCAAGGCAACATTCCTAGGCTGGGCCCTTCACTCCCCCTTCCCAACTGCAGCTACTGTAGTAGACCAGCACACATCGTCCGCCGGATGAAGAAGAGAGAAAAAATGGGGGCGAGCGAATTCTAGGCCTGGCCATCATTGGTTCCAGGCAACAGGGGGGGCAAACATCCGAGCGTGCATAGTCTATGAGGTTATCGTCATTTCAGGCCTAGGGCGGCTGGGCTGAGGCTCTTGGGACTAGGTTGGCGATCCGGCGGAATGCTTGAAGAAAGGGCAAGAGTGGGCTCCCTCGGCCCCAGTCCAGCTTCTTTAGCTGTTCATCCCAAAAAACTTTCATGGTGTACTAAATGATCCGTTCCTCCCTCTCTGTGGGCCCCTTAAAAAAGGAAGGCGCGACAACAACAGAGAAACCATAATATCCGCCGAGGGGTTTCGTTGCTGCAAGCCACTTCATGCCATTCCATCTCTGCTACCCTCTACCCATGCGCCCTTTACAAGAACCTTGTGCTCAACACAAAATGACATAATGAAAGAGGCGCAGAGATCTGAGACAAGGAACTTCTCCCTCCCTTGGCGCATCTATACCCTAGCACCCTAGTCAGGCACAAGAAGGAGTTCGAGAGCTTAATCGAGACTAACGGCCGAACCACCGCGTGAGTCAATCCACGTATGTATGCAGGTAAAATAGCCCACAGCATGACATTCCAGCGGCTATCGCAGCCTCGCTATCGTTTGCAACTAAATGTCCAGGGGGTCGATTATTGCAGGGTCCACAGCTGAGGCACAGGCAAAAAAACCCCTCCAGGCTTCTTGCCCTGGAGGCCTTCTGGGTGCCTAGGAAAAAGCTCGCTTATCCTATTGCGACTCACCAACTCTCGGAATTCGGGTTATGCGCTCTCTCGCAATGTCCTACCATACAACAGTCGACCTGAGAATTCACACTATTAGCAGTCATCGTATTCAGAATCCCACCCCATCCGGCCCCTCCCTAGAGTTGGGGTCCTACACTGATGTGTGGGTGGGTGCCTGTACTTGGTAGGCGCTGTTGTGATGAGCACCTGCAGGCCAGGTCACCCGGGGCCCCCTACCTCCTCCCCGTCTCGGCGGTACCTTTGGGTTTGATTGATATACCTGCATGCATGCCTACATCGAATGCATACCGCTTTGGGCCAAACATTACTGCAGGTGCTGGGCGACACACACACACACCACCTGGCAGCCAAGCATGGCCGACAAGGTGGGTGGGTGCTGCCAGGTGGCTGCACGGTCCTATAGCCACTTTGGCTGCTGACAGCATGCAATGCAGCCCCGTCCCCCCCCCCCCTCCTCCTTCAGCAACCCATGGAAGTCGCTCGTTGTGGTACTGTGGTACTATGCGCCGTGATGGTGCTCGTATGACCTTTTGGTAGGCTAGAGACGGCCCAAGCATATGGCTTAGTGTCCGAGCTGGCAATGCGAGGTGGACCCTGTGTGTCGTGATGCTGGAATTGGCTTGCCCCACGCCCCGTACGGCCAGCGGGTACCGCTGATTGACCAAGAGCAAGGGAGAACACAGAAGGTCTTGCGCAGCATTTGGTATGAAGCGACTTGTTAAATTAAATGGGGTATCGGCGCGGCTGCCGGAGAGATGACATGAACCTTTGCTCTGCCTCCTGCTCCAGATCAACATCCCCCTCGTACGTAAATCCACCTCTTATTTCTTCGACAAAGGGATTGTCTATCGCATCATACAGCTCTCCAATGTTTCCTGAACTAACTCCTAATACTTGCCGTTCTAACTGCACAATGTAATCTCTCATGTTTCGCTGCGACCTGGAATATGCAAAATCAAATCCACGGTTCATCGTTTCATCGTCCTTTTGTGTGGAGGTGATAAGAGGCGGTAACGTTTGGGTATCCATCTGTGGTGAACATGGGTAAGCTCGGTAGTCAGCCGGGACCGAATGGGCATCGTGGATAGACCAAGACGTTGGTTGGGTCGCGTGTGAAAAGCAGGTTGGCTCCAGGTCATGTGCAGCAGCTTCCAGTCGCTCAATCATTGTCCATTTGGGTGATTTGGGCCGCTCTGGTCCTGTCCGCTGACCGAGGTTTGTGGTGCCTTCCTCAGAGACGTTCATGGCCAAAACACCGCCTCTTGCCGAATCGCTATGCTCAAATTGTTGAGCAGGCGCCGCAAGCAGAGCGCTATTGTGCTTTGCCACCCCGTCTAAGACCCTGTGATTGGAGGCAGCTACTTCCACGTGTTGAGCGCAAGCAGAGCTATGTCGTTCAGAGATGTGTTCGGTGTGAAATACTGGTGTGTCTGCGCCAGTAGACCACCCACTGGCCATAGTGCCACGGTCTTGGTAGCGAACGATTCGAACAGGATGGTTCTGCGCCGTTTGATCCTTCTGAGCTGTCTCGCAAGCCTGGTCTACCAAGCCCGCCTGGGTCAGTTGACCTCCGGAGCCGGCTCTATCACCTTTTCCCCGGCACTTCGGCTCCGAACTGAAGGAGATGCCTGTGTTGTGGAAAATCCCAGACCGAGCCAATGCTTTTCTGGAATCCGCTGCCATTAGTCCGCGCTCCTGGGCGAGATCACAAAGAGCATCACCATCGATGGGTCTGGTGGTTGTAGTCGTAGAAGGCGGGTTGCTGCCCGACCAACTGGAAGATTTATTTTGCCTCCTTGCCTCCTGTTCCATTCGCAACACTTGTTCACGGACCTTCGGACCATACTGATCCCTCGTTGGAACAAGGTTCGGCCAGTCTTTGAGGATTTGGTGGCCAGAAGTGTGGGTTGAGTTGCCGCCTGTCCGCCCATCATAGCTCGACAGCGCGCTGGCAACTGACTGCCTCCTGTCTTGCGCATCATGCCGTTCTGGAGGGCCCTTTGGAGCGAAAAAGGCCGAGATCTCTTCAAATTGGCGGTCGTCCCTCTTTCTTTGAGACTCGCGATTGCGTGAAAGAGATTTTCGGGCTTCTTGACGAGGCTGTTTCAAAAAAGACATCTCATGAAAGGCGAGGTCGGTCACTGTCAGACGTATTAATGAGGAATCAAGTGGTGATCATGGTGACCTACCCAATCGTCCAGATCTTCGACCATTGCCAAACAACCCAGGGCTAAAAGATGGTGGAACCTTTCGCATTATTTCAGTATACGAGCAGGGTCGAGCCAACGAGAGGCACTCACAGTGACTCTATTACTGAGGATGGACTGGGAATTGAAGTTGTCCGTGGCCTCCTTTGCAGAAGTCATCTGATTCCTTGTCTTCCTGTCTTTCTTGGTGTCTCCCCTCGGCTTCCTGCTCTTTCCCTCCTTCGACTTCTCCCTGTCTGACTTGTCGTTCCTGACAACGTCGTACCGATCACTTCTCGTCTTGTACCGAGGACGTTTCTCGAACTGATGATTTGTCGGAGAGCTAGTAGGAGGCTTCATACTACCACCTGATTCGCAGTAATGTCCCTTGTCCCTTTCGTAAAAGCGTTGCTCTATCAGAGAGTCTGATTGAGGCGGCCGGGACGCGCCCCTATGACGCGCTGTCTGTCCAAAATCCTCATCGAAGGCAACAACAGGGCTGGCTTCTGCTGCAAGAACATGTTTGCGCTTGCGGTGCTGGTCTTTTTGTTGACGAGAAGGTCCTGTATTTCCAATGCTGGCCGCAGACGGCAGCTTTTGCATTGTCCGGGTCTCGGCAGAGCGCTGGCTGTGAGAATTGGGTGTGAGTTCGCTATCTCTGGAGTGTCGACCTCCTTGTGTCTGCGCATGTACTTCCCTCAGCCATCCCTCAATCAAATCCTCTTTGTTACCGTCGAGTTTCACGAGGAGGGCCGGCCATGACTCGTCGGTTCTCTTCCAATGTGGGTTGCCTGCCTGTGATGTTTGGCCCGCATGATTATGTCCAGGTTCTCTGCGGCGGTGGCGGTGGTGACGATGATGAGCATGGACTTCTGAGGAGGCCATGATTATTCCTGATGGATCAACAAGCGCGTGTGTAGCCGTGGAGAGTTCCTCTCTGCTGAAGACATAAGTCCGATGTCGCCACTTGGGACGGTTGTTGATCTTCCTTGTCACACAAAGCAAACCAGCTGGAAGGCAGTTCATCAAGCCTGGTACCATCACTAGAGAAGGTTCATTGGGTCCAGGGCAGTTTCCAAAACATCCATATGCAAAAATGAGGATGGCCAACTCCATCCGGAAAGGACGGACCGCTGGAAGAAGTCAGAAGATGGGCCGGAGGAGAGGCTTGGACAGCAAAGTAGAGAGAGGGAAGAGGTGAAGGAGAGGGAGGCGACGACTCGTGCGAAATAGCAAGGCCCCAGCCCAATCCTGTGAAGTGGTATGTTGCGTCCATACAGCGAGGGAAGGAAGAGGTTAGGTTGGACATGTTGTCCCAAAAAGGGCAGAGCCTTCTTCTCCCCACCCGAGATGGAAGGCAGACCCGACAGAGCTGCAGTCCTGCCACAGATCTCTTCAAACTTGTCGTCGTGCAGCATTGTGCTTTACTCTTGGCTCAAGAGCTGTTAGAGTTTCTAACTTGTGAGGCCTTAGGATCTCACCTTGGGTCCACTTGCTAGATACGCTGGCTCCATTCTTCCTTGCTAGAGTAGTCATGGCCATCACCGTTAAAAACAATAGTAGCCCCGACACTCCTTTCCAGTCATGTTGAGAGAGACCTGGAACTCGACTAGAAATCCTGAGACGTTTTGACAGCTCTCAACACAGTTGCAACTATTCAATGCGCTCAACCCTGAGTGCACCACAGCGACCAGGCTGTGAGGTCCTCTGTATGTGATCCACCGTGTGAATCCATGGTAGCAGGAGCCCAGTCTCGTCTCTTTGTGTCATCGCCAGGCTATCCTGCCATGCTGACTTGCGACGAAAGCTTCATCTTCCAAGCGGCAATAACGATGCCCCCTGGCCTCGCATCACTTCTTGGCTAAGCGAGCTCTCAGGTATGCGTCGAGCGTTTAACGACATGACTCTGGCGGGCCTAGGTAGGATGCCGCCCAAGACGATCCTACCCCTCGATACCCATCTCTGGGACGTACAGAGTATGGACCAATGTGGTTCTCCACCGAATTCCAAGACGATGATCTGATTGGGTTCATCTCGTTCGTTTCCCAGGCCCCAAAAGTATCTCAGAGTATCAGGCGCACAGTTTGTCCTGTGGCTTATCTGCGCAGTGGGTCAGTGTTTGACCCCTCCTTCACCATCAAAACCCAACGGTGATATCTCAACCTGGAAAGACGTCCTGGTTTCATGCGCCAGAAAACAGTGCCAAGCCTTGGATCGAGACCGCCTGCCAAACGTCAATGGTGCTCAGGGGCCAAGCACCTGTTGAGAACTTCGTTTCAATAGACGCACCGGAAATGCGCTCATGTGGAGATCTTTTTGGTCCGCCGACTTCGCTGTCATCGCATAGTGGCTGTGTGGTGACACAGACCATAGTCTCACGTGCTGCTGTGACCTCAGCTCCTGCGCGTTGCACAAAGTATGGACCCTGGGCATGCAAGTTCGCGGCTCAAACGCCACGATCTACAGCCAGGTTGTCAGGCTAACACCCCGCTAGATCTGTACGGCGCTGTACCGAACCCCACAATTCATGCGACTCTCGATTGGTATTTGGGCTCGACTGCTGCGCTGTACTTATCAGACAAGGCACACTGACAGAGAGCCTCGGCACACAAGAGGAGCGTTGTGGGTTATGTGAGCCAGAAACCTTGCCCATCTCTTCCCCTTGAAAGACGGCGACAACGTCTCATCCCATCTCGTCGCCGTCGCGGCTCGCATGGGGTCTATTTCGAGTTGTCAGCGCCGAGACCAGTTGCAATGTTCACCTCCTCGATCATGGAGTATCCCACAGGCTTGGCGCGCTTGTGGAGAAGCTTGCCTGCGGATGAGATACCGAGACGCGCAGGTTGAAGCGACCTTGATGGCGATTGTGGATATGACATACCTGTCAGAATTATTTTTTTTGGGCATGTCCTCCAAACGAAACAGCTTGGTTGCTGTCGAGGTACAACCTCGCAGCCTAGCAGGTATCGCAGTATGGGCAGCAGTTTCACATTGTGTTCCGGCCATTTTTATCGCTGTGGACGTCACGGCCCTACCAGTTTCAGCCAGGGATGCTCCCCCACGACGTTTGACTGTTGCACAAACCGCGCCTTTAGCGGCATTTCTTGTGAGCGGAGAGAGAGGGGTGGGAAGGTAATGGAGAGGTTGCGAGTATTTTTCAGGAGGGCGGCTCGTGTGTTGTTGTTGGGCAGCAACTCATTTGCCATCCGGGATACGGACAATGGCACTTCAGGAAATTGTCAGCAAGTACGAACGTGCGCACACTTTCTGACCCCTGTTCGATGAGATGACGTTCAATTTGACTCTGTCCAGTGGCAGAAGTGGATGCTCTCTTGTCCACTGCAGGTCTGAGCAGGGGGGTGTGTTACGCGCTCCACTGCTTGGAACGTACAGGGGTTCAGTTCTGGTCGCGATCTGGCTCAACTTCTCTGGCAATACTGCGTTGTTGGCATGTTGGTCTTCGGTTGAAAATGAGACAGCAACACGTCCACACGCAGACAGGGGATAGCGACAGGCCAAGCCATCTTGGCCATCGAAACTACTCAATGGCGTTTTGCAAAACATATTGGTCAGCATGGGAATGGAGATGTGTCAAAACGGGTGGGTTCTCTGGGGCACTGCTAACATTCAATATCGAACAGACAGAGGAGACAGAGGAGCCCCCGTTGGATCAACCAACCAGTCAGCAGCCAGCAGCCAGCAGCCAGGAGCAGCATCTCCAGATCATTGCATGTATCCTCTGGATGCTTCGATCTCCGCCAGCGTACTAGCCCTGTAGCCGAAAGTTGAAGCCAGGCAGAATGCGGACTGAGGTGGATTTTCTGTACTGATGGTGACGGTGACGTTTACCATCGAACCGCTCGACAGGTCTAACTTCAAGCACAGTGGCAGCACACAGTCCCCTTGGCGGGCGCCGTAAAGCACTCTTCCATTGCTATGTTTGATGCTTGTCTGGACAGGTAATCCTTGCTAAGGAATTTATGCCCCTTCGAAACGGCCGCAGAAGTATCAACTACCCCGCGAGTGGGCAGCAGATACAGTCGTCGCATTCACAGTCACAGATGGGATGACGACCAGGAAGAGGGGAGGGGGGGGGGATGCGGGCAGCAAGTCTGTTGCCTTGAATGGCCTGCCATGTACTATGGTATAAGTACTTTGATATGGTTCTGCATAATTGCGGCATTTGAATCAAGAGGCTACCAATATTACCAACGTCCACTATTATTCGTCCCGCATCTCCTCTTATTCTTTTCTCTCTGTTTTTTCTTCTTCTTTTCTCTCTTGTTACTTCATCCAACGCTACTTAAGGTTGGAGGGAACCATCCTCAAGACCCCTGATCCTTACTTCATGAGAATCGCGATACTGCCCCGCCAGTCCCTTCCCAGATTCTTGTCAATTTGCCCCCCCCGGCCATCTTCTGGTCAGACTAGACACTGTACTTTCGAGCCTTTGTCCGTCATAGCGAAGCTACTCGCAATCTCAGGCACCATCACCTGTTCTTCGGCACTTGTGCCGACACATCATTTCCTGACACGAATTTCCTCCTATCTCACCAAGCACTAGCCCCAGGCTGCAGAGAAGTGAAGAAAAGACAATAGCCTTTCAAGTCAACTTTAACAAAAGACACACTCCTACAGCTTCTTGTTTTGTCCAATAGCTCAAGCGTACCCTCGGTATTGCCTTGAATTAGCCTAAGAAGGAGCGTGTCTGGCCCCTTCGCAGCCCTGATCGTCCAATACACCAGAAAACCACCTTCCTCGCTCGCACCAGTACCGTTCTGTAGGGTCACCCTCCTCCAACTTGACGAGTGCGTCCTCTAGGCTAACTCGAGAAGGGCGCGTTTTGTTCAGGTCATCGCTGCGACCAAGATGAGTTCGACCACAAAACTGTTCATCGGGTACGTCATCATCTAAGCATCAACGCAAAGGAAACATGTCCCCCATCTGACAAGCTATGAAGCGGCCTCGCCTGGCATACTGAGGAGGCGACGCTCCGACAGAAGTTTGAGGAGTTTGGCGCTGTTGATGAAGCTGTACGTGCGCGACCACGGCTACATTCCTGCCCCAACGGGCTCCCCATATGACGTCTTCTACGCCATTCTTGGTTTACTAAAAGCGGCCGTTTCTAGGTAGTTGTTAAGGACCGTGACACGGGCCGCAGCCGTGGATTTGGCTTCGTCCGCTATACCAATGAGGACGACGCGCAGCGCGCCATCGCTGCCATGAACAATATTGAGTAAGTTCACTCCCCCCCTCTCCTTCCCTAGTCACCAAGCTTTGGACCGAGTATTCATACTTGGACCCCCAACCAACAGGTTTGACGGTCGAACCATTCGTGTCGACAGGGCTTCCGACAGTGGTCCACGTGGAGGCTACCCTCCACGCGGCGGCGGCATGATGGGCGGTGGGTACGGCATGCGCGGCGGCTTCTCCGGCATGGGAGGCTCTGCGATGCCGCAGATGGCTTACGGATACCCTCAGCAGGGCCATCCCATGGCTGCGCACCCCCAGATGTACGCTGCACAGCAGCAGTATGGCCGTGGCGGGTACCCTCCACAGCCTGCTGCGATGAACTACACTGCTATGCCCCAGCAAGGTGAGACCCTATGCCATCACCACTGTTTGTGATCCTTTGAGATTGGTGATTGACCTCCTGGCTTGACTAACACACAGGTGTCTATGGTGCAGGTTGGCCTCAGACTGGCGAATACATGTATGGAAATGACCAGCAACAGGTCCAGACCCAGCAGCAGCAGCAACAACAGCCCCCCCAGCAACAAGGCCCGCCTTCCGGACCGCCTGCCAGCTACTAGGAGGTACCAGTAGCACCTTGCTAGCAAAACCTGGGTTCTAATCGTTTGATGGGAGACAAGGACTTGGGGAGCAGTCTCTTTACTTCTTCTTTCTTGGAATGTTTTCTTCCTCTATTGTTTTATCTCCTTCCTTTTTCTATTTCTTCTTCTTCTTTTTTATTCTTCTCCTTTTCATTCATTTTTTCTTTTCTACCCTTGACTGCCCGCGATTGTACACGACCGGACCGATGTATCTCTGACCGACGACCGCTTAACATGATACCCCCAGATCGAGAAATTTGCGAGACCAAAGGAGGGAAGATTATGCTTTGCTACAAAGGATATCGAGAACGGACGTGCGCTGTGAGCCATAGCAAGGGGAAACGACGATAATGCTATCATTCAACGGGAATCAGAAGGCTGGGGAGAATAAAAAGGAGGATTACGAACTGGCCAACAACTACGCATGCGTATGTGCGCGCGCGCATGGGAGATAGCTGAGGATCGAGGGCTATTGGTGGCATGGCAGATCAACATGCAATCATGATCTTGTTTCTGGCCCGAGCCACAATTCATACCAAGGCCGAGATCATCGGGGCTCCTGAACGCCTTCAAAGGCGTGGAACATTCGTTTACCAATTTTCACTCTTCGATTTGCGACTACGCTTTCCTTCTTTCTACTTGGTTGGCAATTGCCTGTTGATTACTTTCTTCGCAGCTGGTCTCAGGTCCTTTTTTTTTTTTTCTCCCCGCTGAATTTTCGGCATTCGCATCTTGAATTTCCTGTATGCGAAGTACGCTCAGGCGGCGCGGCGATTCTTTACTCGGTCGTGTCCTTCAGCGTCCAGACAAGTAGCGACTGCGCTCAAGCGGACTGGCGCAAGAGGACGATGACTAGGGGAGCATGGACTCTGAGACTGATCACTTGAACACCTAGCTAGAAAGTAAAATAACACCAGCAGAAAGGGGGAGGGGGGAATTGGGAGCAAATGTTATCAAGAGAACACACGGCGTTGAAGGAAATCAAAAAAGCTAAATTTAAGTTGACTATTTCGAGAACTATGACCCCCTTCTTTGGTTGCCACATGTCACTTGTGAACACTGAAAACTTCAGAAGGCTTCTCTGTCTCTTCCTGCTCATCCTCATTGGCGACCCCAGGCTGACCATCCGGCGCGACAGGCTTTCCATTCGCGGATGCACCACCCTGCAGCGGAGGGAGCGCGTCGTGCCCGCCGCCCTCGCGGGCTATTATCGCCCGCACGCGCGCTGACAGGTCTGTGACGTGCTCATCGCCGCTTTCGGGGCTCAGGTCCTGCAATGCCGTGTCCAGGTGCAGCAGGTACTCCCGGTTCAGCCCGCTGGGGCCCTCGGAGCGGTAGATGTGCTCGGCGAGGCCCTGGACGTCCTGAGGACCGGTGAACTGGTCATTGTCGGGAGTGCCGATGTAGACCAGGGTGCGGATGGGGGCCGGCGCCTCTGCCGAAGCAGCAGCAGCAGCAGCAGCCTGGGATGACGGAGACGAGGACGATGGGGCCGAAACAGGATGGAAGGCCGTGTAGTGGATACTGTAGCCGTTGATCTCGCGGATGTCGAGATTGGCCTTGACCTCGGCGACTTTCTCCGGGATGATGCGATAGGCGACGCCCCAGACCTTGCCGTCGTCGGGGGCCGGGTGCGGGTCTTTTAGGGTAGACCAGAAGGATTGCTCGATGAGGGTGACTACGCGGCCCGGGTTTTCAGGGGTGCCACGGTGGTCTTGGCTGTTAAGGTGTCAGCGGGTTCTGGTTTTGTTGGGTGTACCTTGAGGAAATCTGTGTGTCTCTGAATTCAGACAGAGAGGGAGAGTGGCCTAGATAGTTGAGAGGTAGTACCTTGCCTATATTGCGTCTCTGTTAGTAATCTAGTGATAATAAGCCGTGGAAAGCGGTCGTCGTTGTGTATGGAGAGAGATGTAGGGGAGAGAGCTCGAAGATGAAAAGGAAGTCAATTGTTTTGAGATCTGGTGTATGTATACACTCATTTGGTCCGCCGTATATCTCAACGACCATCTGAACATGACATCCCCAGGTGTTGATCTCTCTCTCTCTCTCTCTCTCTCTCTCTCTCTCTCACACACACACACACACACACACGAGCACACCAAGCTGGACTTCCCTCCTGCTGTTGACTTTGCAACAAAAATACAAAACGAAACGCTGTCAGAACATCCACTCACCTGCCAAAATCTTCGGATATAGCCATTGACCCATCCAGGTATTCTCTGGTCTTTGTCGCAAGACATGTCAGCAGTCTGACCTCTCTAATATCTGGCTAACACCCTTCATGGTGGCTGTTCGCGGGCCAGCTTCACATACCGTAGTGAGGTGGGGGTTTCCAGATCAGGCTCCTGTAGAGTAAATGACCTCGTTAGACATGACTAATTCATATAGATATAGACTTCCCTCGTGACGATACCATGCATAATTGTTTATCATGTGTGAGTGTGACACGAGGTACAATATATTGGGGGGGGGGGGTGCAGGACTGCATTACCCATAGCCAAACAGCCAAAACTCGGAGTCATCGGCGGGAGGCGGCGCACCAGGGTCTTCGATTGTCATGGTCGATATATATATATATATATATATATATTTGCTCAGAAAGGAATTACGCCAAGGCTTGTGCGGGGTGTGAAATACAATTTAGTATCGTTCTCTCTCTTTTTGTCGGTTTATTGAGTTATTGGTAGAGATAGTTTGTTCAGTGTCCGATCCACGGTGGGTTGGAAATAACCCAGGGACGTTTAGGCGAATTACATAATCATCATGAGTTGTACACCAGCAGCACTTGCCGTAGTACATAAATCGAGAAATGGCGTGCTGCAACGCCTTCCTGATTCATTACGACGAACGAGCGCGAGGTCGCATGATTTCGAAGGGTAACACCGCATGCTCTCCAAAGTGATTTGGTGCTGCGGGCAAGACAATGAGTGATCACCAGGACGCATCATTTCGCATTACTTTCCCAGTCGGTGACCCAAAACCCTCGTCTGCCAGGGCACCCACATTGCCACCACAAACGCAAATGCTGGCTGGCAGGATTGTCAGCTTGCTCCTCTCCCGGCCAAGCACGACGCCCACGTCCCCACCCCACAAGAAAGAAGGCGCTGCGGCTCGAAACAAGATGTGATCCTGCGAGCAGCAGCTCATGCCACAGGCAGGTACCATCGTCATCATCATCATGCAAGGGCCCATTTTCAAGTCAGCCACGAGAAGAAAAGTTTCTGAGAGACACTGGGTTGGAGGGCCTTTTTGCAATAGATACATGAGACACCAGGCCAGTTCACCAGCCGCAAACAGAAGAGACGATTCGCGTTGGACCATTGTGCGCCAAGAGACAAGCTGGCCGGCTGAGCAAGGTGGCAGATATGTTTTCTTGGCCTCTTTTTAATATTGGGACCTTGACAGCAGGCGCGCCAACTAGGGAACCGGCATTTCGCTCTGTCGGCGTTGGGGCTCTGAAAGAACGAAAAGAGATGAAGGCCCTGACCTTTTTCTCGCCGCCGCCGCCGCCGCCGCCTCTCCTTCCTCCTCCTTCAGGGCATGTCAATGTAAGCATCAACGCGATTGATTGCCCTGCTGGGAACTGAGCTTGCAGCTCGGATTGTCAGACCAGCCACGTACAAGAAGCCACGATGCCCCCTGCTGAGGATCAAGCCCGATGAGCCACGTCCACTGATGAATCAGGCTTCGATCAGCCTTACACAGCCTCGTCCGCCTCGAGTACTTCATCTCCCTTGTGTCTCGCTCAATCTCGTTCTTACTTTTCTCGACTTGTTTTCTTCCATCCTCAGATGAAGTAAAAGTTTGGATAGTCGGCTTTCGCTAGCCGGCCACACACACATACCATTGTTACAACATCTTACAGACTCCTTGTATCATACAAACAAAGTCTCGGGTCATACCCTGCCTGCCTTGTGCCTAACGCTAGAGAAGGATACGTAACGCGTGCACCCAACCTGCGAAAGACTACCATACACCTAAAAGGGGGCGCGCAATCTGGGGAATACACCGGCACCTCGAAACCGGCAAACGGCACATCCCACTCCCACAACAGTTTTTGGCTGCTACAGACGACGACTACTGCGGCTGAGCGGCGGGCGCACAGTCCCTGATCTACACCGTCCGCTCAGCAGTGTACTATATAGTACGTATTATTGGACCTGTATCAGCAGTAGGAATTGCAGATTACGGTTTGACTGCGGGCACCAGGATTGAGGAGGGGCCCCACTTGCGACCCGACCTCAACCACCCCCTCCATTCTATTCTATTTATTGATCTGGCTGCGCACACCTGCCCAACGACCAACAGACACGCATCGAAGGACGAATTGTGGTTGTTGTTCAAACACCCTTGTTGCTCATACATCCACCGCCACCTCACCTGTCGAACATTTCTACCGATCTCGATAAAAAGAACCTTCTTCGCAGAGTCACTGCTTCTCCTTACCTGAAGGAGAAAGTCATTGATTTGTTGAGACCGCAACTCCCCCATCCTGCTAATTCAGCCACCATGGCATACAACCAGCCCTACAACCCAGACGCGCTCCCCAGGTACGTTGGATCCCGGGGCCAGGAGTAGCAGCGTGTACCAAACTCAAGCTGACTCGATCGACATCAACCAACTAGGTTCGCTGAGCCGGAGCAGAAGAACACACCTGCCCCATCACAGTACGCTGCTGTCAAGCCTCTGTCTCCTAGACCAACACCACAACCACAATCACAACCACAACCACTGCAGAACCAGACCTACGGCCGACTCTCTCCCCACCCACCACCCTCGGGACACGGAAGTAACAACAGTTACAGGCAGCAGCAGAACTCGCAGTATGCTCACACCATGTCTCCTCCTCCCGTGGGCGGCCAGCGACCTCCGCCTGTCCAGAACCGGCCCTCCCCGGTCTCGAGGCCCCCGCCAAGCCCAGCCCCTCCCGGCGACGATAGAGACCCGACACTGCTACCGCTTTTCAGGGCTGTCGATAAGAACGGTACGCTTCCCATTTATATATATTGTGTCCATGAAAGGAGCCTGAGACAATCCATGTGGTGTACTTTGAACTGACTTGGTGGGATCAATCCAGGAACCGGCCAGCTCTCGGAAAAGGAACTCTCGGCGGCACTCGTCAACGGTGACTGGACGGCCTTCGACCCTCACACAGTTCGCATGATGATCCGTATGTTCGACAGCGACCGGTCGGGCACCATCGGCTTCGAGGAGTTCTGTGGGCTCTGGTCCTTCCTGGCCTCGTGGCGCACCCTGTTTGACCGCTTCGACGTCGACCACTCGGGCAACATCCAGCTCGACGAGTTCCGCGACGCCCTCATCGCCTTCCGCTACCGCCTCTCCGAGCGCTTCGTCGAGCTGTTGTTCCAGACCTACGACAAGCGGAACGAGGGCCAGCTGAGCTTCGACCTGTTCGTCCAGGCCTGCATCAGCCTCAAGAGGATGACCGACGTCTTCAAGAAGTATGATGATGACCGCGATGGGTACATTACGCTTAGCTTTGAGGATTTCTTGACCGAGATCCTGAAGCAGCTCAAGTAGGCCGCGCGAGGGTTTGTGAAGGAGCTTGTTGGTGGGTTGGGGGGAGAGACCAGGGCAGTTGATTATTATGATGAGGTCACTTGGGCTTGTCCATTATAGAAACGCTGAGGTTTGGTCTTGGTGGACAAAGTAGCGATACCCCCTAAGCCCTCTTCGTTGTTTTTTTGTATTCTGAGGCGTCAATTCCCAACACTTATAAACTACTGGGCGTGCTAGTTTCTGGGAGAGGACCTTTGAAACAAGGCACATAGAGATAAAGGGTATCCAGCATTCTGAAATCCCTGAAACTACTTTGGTGGAATTACAATCAAGATGATACCCTTTCACTCATGACTTTTTCCTTGCAATCTCACGAAGATTATTTGAGGACTGTCTACTTACGATCACTGGAAAAGGACCCCAACGCTGAACTGTGAAACTGATATCCATTGTTACAACATGCAGCCATTTTCTTTCCAAGATCGAAAACAAAAAATGAGATTAAGACTTACGGGGGTGGCTCAGTTCGCATTCTTGATCGACCCGCCTGCCAGAAGTATGCTCATTTCACGATCTTCTAGCGGACTGGTCAGAAATTCGTCCAGCGCAAGAGGAGATAGCCTCGTGTCTTTATCCCCGGCCTGCGTCTCCATGCCGCGCCGTACATCAGTTCCAAAACTTTCCTCGTAGGCGTAGGCGCGCCGCTTCCCATCCATATCCCAGACCCCCTCAGACGTAACGACGACGTCCTCGCCGCTGGCAAGATGTACCACCTGGTGCTGCACGCTCGGCCCCTCTCCAGCGCTCGGGGAAATGCTCTGCACGGTCTTTGGTATGGAATGCTTTGAAAATTCCCTACCAGAACTTGCCCTTCGCCACTGCCTTACCCTCAGCCACCCCTTCGAGAGGCCTTTCCCCCTCGTTTCTTCCTCCTCCTCCTCCTCCTGCTCCTCCTCTGCCTCCGCCGTCTCGTCGTGACAGCTTACCCTACACCTCGCACCCAGCCGCATCGCAATTTCCTCGCCGGACGCCATGCCTGCCAGCGCCTTCCTGCCCAGCCACCACGAGTTCACGACGTGGTCGCGTCGCTGTAGGAGCACGGTCAGAGGCAGGGCGGCCTCGCTCACGAGATGGGTTGTCGCGTACGAGCTGAGATGGCCGGCAAAGGGGATGCCGCGTGGCGAGAAGAGGAGGGAGAGGGTCCGCTGAGACGAGGGTGGTATGCTGTAGCTGGGGACGGAGGGGGAGGCTGGTTTGCCGAGCGCTGTGGTGAGCGCAGAAGTCGACCGGGCGGGGCGCAGCGTCGGCCAGGATGCCAGGTGCTCGCCAAGTTGTTCTTGCTTCGTGTCTGTAGTAGTCAAGCTCTGGGCTAGGTATGCGCTGGCAGGGTCCACGCACACTCTCGGCAGTGTCGAGTACGACCTGTGGCTCTTCGGCATCGCCGGCAGCGGTGGTGCCGCGGCACTCACATACGATGCCTTCAGGGCGCCTGGCATTCGACCACTAGAGAACATAGGTGGCGGCCGAAACGTGATGCCTACCGTGGCACGCGAGCCCGTTAGGTCTCGTGCCTGTGGGATATACGCAACCGTCACCTCCCCCGGCCGACCCCCTGAGACCATCGGCGGTAGCGGAATTCTCGTCACCGTCTCCCGCCAATCGTGTCGGTCGCCCCATCTCTTCAGCGCCAGGACGTTCCGCCGGTCGAAGTGCTTCCAGCCCCGAATCACCTTCGCGGCTGAAGGCTCAGCGAGGATGAGCGTCTTCGTATCGGCCGGGATTTGGCACACTGCAGCCTCGTTATAGGCGTCGGGTCTTGCCTGGGAGAAGATGATGAGGTCCGGCACAGGAAGCTGAGCGAGCGATGATATATAATCCTGTGCTGGCTGGTGCGTGAGGGAGATCTTGAAGTGGCTGGACCTGGAGGGCCCGGCTATCCAGGGGTCGAGGAGGATGTGGTAGGATCTCGGGTCGACAGAGGGAGTAGTAGATGCCACGATAGGTGAAAAGGTCAGAAGAAAGAACGCGTCCGTATCGAGGCGCCTGAGTGAAAGGGCCATTGCGCGTGTCGAGGTCGTGTCACCCACGGCGGGCATCCCTTCTGTGAGCAGATGGTTTTGGCACCCGTGTGCAAGTGAGTGGCCCCAACACACTTTATACAATGGCCGTTGAAGAGCCATCGGGTGCGTCCATATGCTCGCCGACCGAGCACCTGTGAATGTCTTGAACATCTGCAGGCTAATGACTTACTCCGAAACACGGTCTGTCGAATCAAAACTCCTGTAGAGCCGTGGAGGTACTGGACGCAAGCTCCGAATCACGTCAGTGGCTGTAATACTTGACTTCGCAACGGATGATTTCGAAAAAGGTGGTCTCGAACGACAGTCACTTAATGAAGAAGATGAGCAGCCGACCACCGAGACACACGATAGCCGAGTTGACTATCAGATCACCACACCACCAACCTCCCCAGGTGCCACTTGATAATCTTGTCTGATCCTTTCATTGGCCACGATCAAGAGACCGTAGTATTGAGACGCCATGCAAAGCTTTCGGTGGCAGCCCAGAAACGGTCGTGTTAGCTTTTGTGCGAATGAGAGTGATTCCTATCTCTGAGGGATCAGCTAAGAATGAGGGATACAAGCTGTTGGCGGCTCCGAGCCACCGTCTCCATCGACTCGGATCTCTTCTTAGCATTTCCAGTCTCTTGAAGACCTTGGATACCAAGTCACTCACGAATGAAGACGAAAGGAGTCCGGACTTTTCTAACAAACATGGTTTGGATCGGTGGACAAGAGGACAATTTCCGCAACTGGAGCAACTCTGACGGAGGCGCAGAGTAGGGCCTGGACAATTGAGGGCTATGTAGCACCGCATGGAGTCCGGCCCGAAGTCCATAATTGTCCCATTACATAACATGGCAATATGCTATTTTGTAGCCAGCAATTGTTGTCCATTGCATCGAGCGGGCATTGGGAACTAGCACTGCGCAGACACTTGCAGCTGAGTATCTCCAGTTATTTCTCAGCCCGCGGGAATATGATTGATTGTCAGGCTTCGACAGTACGGCAAGGCTGAAAAATGTTGTCGATATCATTGAGGTTTCCTGAGCACGATTGAGCTGGACTCGAGGCAGACCCCGAAGGAGGCAGCGGAGGCTGATATCAAAGCCATCGTCTTCAAGTCTCAACGAGAACAAACGACGTCTCAAAGCATGGGCTTGATTGTAGAGCACGTGTTCTGAAGACAATATGCTCCTGTGGACCATCTGATTTGGCCCGTGTCAATCACGACGCCTGCCCGCGCACACAGAGTATCGAGGCGTGAGTCCGTGCTCTACGAGACGAGACATATTCCTTGCTCTGCTAGAAGACAATACGTCAAATAAATTAGCACACAGCTAACGGCCAATGCAGGGATTTCTGTTGTGGAACAATACGTGTCTGTTTATTGTCGATGCAATTGACATGAACCGTTGGAATGACGGTGTGGAGAGTGCTGACGAAACACTGGCTGAGGACCGTGTCCGGAAACAGCACTTGCCACCGCATTGCTCAAGGAACTTCCTAGACGTCTTGTAGTGCTAAATCATACTGCATTCACCGCTGCTTGAGGCCCCGGAAAGGAAGGCTGTGAGTCGTGTGGTCTCGGCACTAGACATGGCGAGGTAGAGTATCTAGGAGCCGATGCCGTTCATCGGAATTCCACTTTTAGCGATACCGTACGCAGTAGTACTACACTGAATCGTCGTCTATGTCAAGTTGACTGCGGATGCGGATGCGAACTGCAAGAATGAACGTGAAGGCTGTAGCCGATGAAAACCTCGCGCTCGCGCGCGTGTGTGTAGTGCCTATGGGCACAGTTGTCAGACTCGGATCGGCGGTCAGTATCAGGCGCCAACATCAGCAGGCGAGAATGCTGGCAGAAGCCATGTGGCATGTGAAGGGAGAGACAGTTGGAAGGATGAAGGAAGATGTCGCCTGCGCCAGCGGAGCCAAAGTAGCTGCATAATAGTCATCATATTGCTTCTGATTGATTGGCCTGGCTGAGCAGATTCAGCATTCCATTGTCCACACCTAAAGAAGAAAAACCCGAGGATTCTGTACCGTCAACGTGTCGGGACGGACAGCGAGGTCGGCTGGAGCTCAGCATAACAAGGACCTGCTTCAGGGGTAGCTTGAACAGTCGGGCTCGCCGTGTGCAGCATCCATGGAGCTCACGGCCAGAGCTGGCGTGTGCCTGCTTCGCTGGCAGTAGCACTACGAGGTCCTGCTGTGACGTGACCAGGATAGCTAGCTGTGCTCCGAGCTATCAGCTCTCAATTAGACGACCGCTGCTGTCCAATCACCAGCCTGTGCCCGAGGCCAGAGTCCTCCTTCTCGTCGCCCACACCCACCCGTCCATCCATCCTGACAGAGAGCAGTCAGTTTACGCAGGCGGTTGCTGCGACATGAACAAACACTTCCCGCGTGCTGTGTTTGAGTCAGTCAGCAAGCCCCGGCAGCATGGAGAGGGGACAACCTCATCAGGTGTACCCTGCCTGCGTGACCATCTTCAGACGGTCGAGTCTGAGAGGGGATGGAAGCCTGGATGGTTGTGCCCTTGTCACCGCCTTCTGCTTCGAGGCACGAGCTTCTCTCTCTGCCCCTTCTGTTGCATCAAAGTCAAGAGCTGAGGTAGATAGGTGGGGGGAAGGGGGGCTCCTCTTTAGTGCTGGCAAGCTGGCAGTGCTGGGTTGGTGGGCATTGAAGAGGAGAGTCAATTTCCGGAAGTAGGGTGAGTTGGACCATTGGTAGCTGACTGAGTCATTATTGCCTTCATGCAAGAGAACGGGAGGCATGGCAGGCAGGCCTGGCAGGTCAGCTCCAATCGCAGTTACCTTGTTACCGGTAGTACCTGGGCAGTGCGTCATTGTTCCTGAGTCTGGATTGCTGGGTTCGGCTGACTAGTAGTAGCTGTTACGACAGGTACAGTATAGTTGTATCCAGTACTCAATTGATATACCCCACACTCTAGAGTTTCATAGTACACAGTACATACTACGGAACGTACCGCGGTACTGCCTCAGTACAGTACGTACTGTACGTAGTACATAGCAATAGCTGTTGCAGGGGGAGAAAGATCTCCCTCCCTCCCGGACGGTTTAAGAAGCAAAGGCAAGCAAGCTGCAGCCTTAGGGACGAGACATGCAGCTTGTCAAAGACAGACCTACCCCATGTCCAAAATCATAACGGCATACTTTATACTGCATGATATTCTGTATCTCACGAACTTGTCTGGCCACCTGCCAGATTAGTAAACACGCAGCGAGAGAAAGCTCTTATCCTGTGCTAGTTTACCCCCCCCTCCTATCCTCCCATATCACGAGTGCGCATATGATAAAGTGAGTGCATACGGCATCTTGCAGGCAAGCCCCACTAGAGGCAAGATTCAGGTGGGGTTTCAAGGAGCCTCCCTGCGCGCCTGTTCGACTTTGCTGGGGGCCCTGCTAGTACCTGAGCAGCAGGACCTGGGACGGTCATGTCACTACCACAGTCAGGCCCCAGAATCTGGAGTTGGCAGCGGGATCAGGGCTTAGATATGCAGGTGGATCTAATCCCAGTGTTCAAGAGAAGTTGTCGAATCCCCATCAACGTATGATAGCACCTCGGTCGGAAGATTGCAAGCGGATGTGAGGCCGAGAAAGAGTAAGAGACAAGATGTTTCCTATACTACTATGTCTGTACTATATACAGTACTTATATGATGTTTTTATGCAACTGCAAAGAGGCTGCGCCCTGAAAAAGTACCTGACGGACCCTGTTACGCAGGATAGGATGAACGGACCAGACCCCCTTTCAACATTGGTCCTGCCCCAGGTGCTCTCTCGATCCTCATCCTCCGCTCCCCTCCTCCTCCCCTTGCGCTAAGTCATGCGGACCACCCTCTCCCACAGACCCAGTGCGGCACCTCTTATTTTCCCTCTCTCTCTCACACAAGGTACGCCTTTCATGCATCTGGTCCACATGACCTCCTTTGGGCACCTACCATGTATCAGTATGCTTGCTCCTCCCTATCATCCATTTCTTTCCGTTTCGAACATGACATTACCCAGGCGCCTTATTTAGCGCCGAGTCCTTGAAGCTGAGGAATAGCAAAAGCATAGCAGCTACACTACCATGTACATATGTACCTCGCCCCTCTCTTCAACCCCCCCCTTCCTGCCCTCAGAGCAGTAACCGGAACTGTATATCATTTCAAGCTAGCCTCCTGCTACTACCTGCTACCTGCTACTACCTAGTACCTGCTACCGTCCCAAGCGTCCCAACCTGCTACCGTAGCTGGGTAGGTACCGTTTCCCACTAGCGGCAGCTCCTCAGTTGCTTGGTCCTCCCCCGCCTGAAAGGTCGACCTCTTTACCAGCTCCCATCCCACCGCCGCCCGCCATCGTTCCTCGAAACATCTCCTGTCGCATCCCGACACCTCGAAAGCATACAGGCCTCCAGCCCTACCACCAATTATTGATATCGTCGCCATCGTCTTCGCCCCGCCAGACCTCCAAAACTGCTTATCGTGAAAGAAGATGACCAGAGGCTGATGCGACGGCTTCATTGTCCCCGTCCAAACGACCACTGTCATCACTATCGCAGCATTCCTCGCCAATCTGCCGTCATCTCCCAGTTGGAATCGGATCGCAATCCTTATCGACAAGAGCTGCAGCCCACTACGTCTTGTACTGCACCATCCCCGCCCGCCCCAAGTGCCCTCCTCGGCCTCGATCTCAGGGGCCTCGGACCTCAATCAATATCATCTCAAAATCGAAATCGACCTCGACCTCGCATGGTGGGGTCAGGGCAGGTGTCAAGATGCCTCCAAGATCTTCTTTGACCTCATCATTCTCCATCACCGACGCCAACAATGAAGTCGTCTGTCCCCTTCATAACCAGGATGGATCCAGCTGCCGGAAACGATGTCTCGGTGTACGTCTAATATCACCTTCCTTCCCCCACAGTTCACCGTCGCCCCCTCTCGACCCCCCCCCCCTCTTTACTCTCTCATTTTGCTTGCCATTCCCGGCTCGAAGTCAACTCCTCGCTCCGGTACAATTCAGATTCGGCTTAGCCCCGAGTGCCAAAAACTCGAAGCTACGAAGGTGGTCATTGTTGTGCACTACCGTGTGACATTGGCTGACAATTTATTTCGCCCGACAGGAGAAGAGGTATCGCTCCATGCAGGAACATATCAGACGAGCACATCCCGAGCACTACATAGCAAAGCTGCCCGCTACGGAGGAGAGCTTCCTTCTCATGATCAACACACCCCCGAGCGAGAGGCCACAGCCGCAACAGCCTGCATCGGCAAACAATAGCTTAAATCACCACACAAAGCCTTATGCGCCTGATCGTATTGCATATTATCGCGATGACTATAGCAACCCTGGGACACCACGCATCTACGAAGAATATCCCCAAGGGGCGATGCTTCCAGCCGCGACGAATGCCGCTGCTGCACTAGCATCTCTCCATAATTACAAGTCTAATCATTCTGATTGGGAGGCTGAAGCCGTGAGTCCTTCCTGATTGATTGATTCTGCCTCGTCGGCATAGCTTCGCTCAGGCACGGTCTCGTACTGACTGGCATCTTGTAGGAGTCGATCTCGGATTCTGAACGGGATAGGATACCGAGATCCTCTGTCGAGCTTCCTCCAATACACATCAACCATTCCGATATAACTAGTGAGCCGTATGGCAGGGCCAGAGATCTCCTCCCTTCTATCATCGGAACCTCGCCTCCCGGCAGATCGTCTACACTACCACCCCTACAAAGACCTCTCGGGCCTCATCGATCCAGAAAGCAGTCGATTTCCAAGAGGGGAAAGGAGGCGCAGCATCGCAAGCAACGGTCCAGAGACGCAAAAGAATGGGTGAAGCGAGGTAAGATTGATATTGCCGGGGATCTTTTGCGGCCGATGGTTGGTCAGGACCGTCCGAGACCATACTCGGCCGAGCCATCATCACGTTCGCCGTGGGACGACCTGTTGGATGCGGCAACATCTGTTGCGGAGGAGGATATGGGTGAGGACCGGACTCCTGTAAGTTCGAAGCAAGGCCAACATCGCCCCGCTTTAACTCCGTTCCGGGCAGTGATGCTGACCAGACAGGTCCAGATGCCCCAATCGCCTGTGTCCATACAGCGCGCCTCGTTACCTCCATTTTCCCACCAGCAATTTGGCCACTCAACCTACCAGGCTTCGCCCTTGCAGCAGGCCCTGACGCCGCCAACCTATGCGCAAGAGGCTCCTGAGCCCTTCCCATCCGTGGAGAGCGGCGAGAGTGCAGAGAACTACCACATGGGTGCTCACGGTCTTACAGATTCCTCACCCAGCTTTTCATCGCAAAACACCCAGATCTATTGCGCGGCCTGCCAGAACGTGTCGCTGCTCAGAGACTCGTACGCTTGCACGGAATGCATTTGTGGCCTTTGTTCGGCATGCGTTGAGATCCTTATGGCCGAGCAGGGCGCGAAGAGGAAGTGCCCGCGCTGTGCCACTATTGGCGGCCGATTCAAGCCCTTCCAACTCGACATTCGTTAGGAACGACATTGGCGGTGGCGGCGGAACCCATCTGTCGGCCCTCTTCCCTCCTGATCATGGCGCCAACTTTTTCTGGATCCTGGATCATTTTCTGGATTTCATTGTATTTTTCCTTTCCACGTGACCTGAGCATAAAGGGATTGCGTTGTATCATTCCTTCGACAGAGCCCTACAGGACTTTTAACACATCCGGCGGAGTTTTGGACTTGCTTGGGAGTGTCTTGCTGATTGATCCTTTGACAGTATTTGCTGATTTCAACTTGCCGTTGTCTGGTGTCTGGAATGCTTGGTTTCACTGGGGCTCTCGATGCTTCTGCGGTCCGTATAGGCGACAGACCGAGATTTTTTCCTTTTCAGGCTTCCTTGCAGCCATTTTTCACGCCTCAGACAAGGCATGACTTTTTCCTTGTTTTCGTTGGGCATTATCATGGGATTATTTATAACCGAGACAGACTGCTCGCCACGCTTTGATCTATAGATTTGGGAAGGATCCTCGTTCGTCATGACTTGCTTTAAATGGGGGACTGTTCACGAATGTCCCTTTACTACTGAGACTGGTGGAAGGATTGACCGTATCGCTGTCGAGTCAGTAGAATAACGTATACATCTTGCTAATTAACCATATTCACTTGAGCGAGAGATTGAGTAGTAGCCTGGAAGAGTCTGATAAGAGGTCCAACAAACCTATGGGCTCATTTTGAGTTAAATGAATCTCAACTATATTCCATCTCTGGCGCGACACTGGAAACATCATCGACATATCTAAACCCCCCCCCCCCAAACTTTCCTCCCTCATCTCTACTCTACTCGTCTGCTCACTCGGGTTCTTGGCACTTCCATCTCTCCCGTATCGCCTCGACATCAAATCCACACCGCTCCGCTCTCGCCACAGTGGCCCTCGCTTTCCTCGCGACAGGCACATCAATCATCTTCCCATCCAGGGTCCACGCGCCCCTACCGGCCTCGCCTGCCCTGTCCCCCTTGCTGGCCTTCTCGTCGGCAATGACCACGCGCACGCTCCACTCGACCTCGTCCTCGCCCGGCGCGAAGGCCCGTTGGACCGCCTCGACCTGCGACGGGTGGATGCACTGCTTCCCATTGAAACCCATGCCCTTCCCGTCGGCGCACTCGTCGCGCAGGCGCTGCTCGCCCTCTGCCCCACGGAAGGTGGTGCAGACCAGGTCGATGGTCGAGGGCAGGTCGAAGGCACGGGCGTGCGTGGCGACGGCGGAGCGGGCGTAGAGGAACTCCCGGAGGGACGGGGTGCGGGTGAGGCTCAGGTCGAGGCTGAAGTCCTCGGCGGCGAAGATGAGGCCGGAAAGGCCTACGCCGGGCCTCGTGCCGGCCCTGCAGATCTCGGCGAGGTTGAGGATGGAGGCGGCGGACTCGACGAGGGCCAGGAGCTGGATGGGCTGGGGGCCTTTTGCGGCGCTGCTGCTGCGCTCGTGGTTCTGCTGGCGGGCGGGGGCGACGTGGCGGAGGACGTCGGAGACGAAGGTTAGGTCGCTGGCTGTGTTGACCTTGGGGATGACGATGGCGTCGACGGAGGGCTCGCGGCCTAGGACTTGGAGGTCTTCGAGGGCGTAGGGGGTGTCGACGGCGTTGATGCGGACGGCGAGCTCACCTATGCCCTTGGGCCGCTGGGAGGAGGAGGAGGAGGAGGAGGAGGAGGAGGAGGATGATAGAGATTGGAGGTGTTGGGCGAGGGCGAGGCGGGCGCTGGGTTTCTCGTGGGGGGTGACTGAGTCCTCGAGGTCATAGGTTACGTTGTCCGAGGTGAGGGAGAGGGACTTGGTGAGCATCTTTTGGGAGGAGGCAGGGACTGTTAGTGTGTGTTAGTAAGGGAACGAACGAAGGGGGTTTTGTATTTCATGTTTAGAGAGAGGGAGTGAGTTTGACTTGCCATAGAGAAGAGCCCTTCTCAGGACGGAGGCGGATGCTGGTGTCGCCATGGCGAGTTGTGAGAAGAGCAGATTATCTTCTCCGACTGAATACTGTGGTTTATATAGAAAGTCATAGGAGGCTTATAGGACACCTGGGTCTATCCAATCTGTACATTGAGCCTCATCATGAAGAGACGTAGCCGATATAACAATACTTTGAGTATGTATAGTAGAGCAGGTAGTAGGTTCGATGAAAGTAGGCTGTCTACAGTACAACCTACTGAAACCCCTCTCCTCCCCGGCTACTTGGAGTCGTCCTCAGTACTGCTAGTGGGTGGATGAGGTCAGTAAAAGAGGACCTACCCCTGTTCTTACCCCAGCTTTTACGGATTGGCGATAAAGCTTACCCCTGGAAAGGAGCACCCACAGTGTTATCAATAGCGAGACAGCGCGGGTGGCTTTAGCAGGGCCAGTTCCTGCCACATCAGCTCGAATTGGCCAGGGATCTATCTGACTTCTGTTTCCCATTTCTGACAGCAAACATCAGTCACTACTTCCAACACCAAGCACCCAGCAATCAACGCCACTCTGCGCTTTTGACAGCCAAATCACGACGACGGAACATTCGCTAGCCAATCTCTACAACCCAAGATATACCCCACCAGGAGCGAGGGAGAGACAACAATGGACTCGCAGGCTGCACCGGGCTCGCTGAGCTGGCGGTTGAGTTCGCATCCCATCACACTTCTGACTTTCCTGTCGTTCCGAGTGGGTAAGTCGAGTCGACCGCAGTGCGCCTGGCTTTTGGCCAGGATAGAATATTAGTTCTGACGATGTTTCTGCAGCGAGCCTCCTCGTCTACCTGTTCGGCCTTCTCTTTACGCAGAACCTGTTCGTCTTTTTCCGCCCTCCTCCCCTTCTTCCTCTGTCTCCCTTCGCCCAACCCGGCTAACCCTTCCTCCCTCCCTCCTCTGACAGCGTCTTGATCTTCATCATCACAATCCTCCTCCTCGCTGCCGACTTCTACTACATGAAGAACATTGCCGGGCGCCGTCTGGTGGGCCTGCGCTGGTGGAACGAGGTGGATCCGTCCTCGGGCGACTCCAAGTGGGTGTTCGAGAGCAGCGAGCCCGGCACCAAGACCATCAACCCAACCGACAGCCGCTTCTTCTGGCTGGCCAACTATGTCCAACCCCTGTTCTGGGTCGCGCTGGCTGTGCTGGCGCTCGTGCGGTTCATGTTCATCTGGCTACCGCTTGTGGGTGAGTCTTGTTCCTTTCCTGTGATGGGAAACTGCAAGGTGGAGGGTGTGAGGAGTGATGCTGATGGACGTAAACTTGACAGCAATTGCGATGGCCTTGACGATCACCAACTCGCTGGCCTTCTCGCGGTGTGACAGGTTCAGCCAAGCTTCCAACATCGCAGGGGGTGCCTTCTCTGCGACGGGGCTGGCGGGCAATCTTGCCAGCGGCATGGTGGGCAGGCTCTTCACCCGGAGCTAGAGGGTGCAGCGGCTGTCCGGCGATGTGGACGTGGGTTTGTATTGGGTTTGGATCATTTCTTCAAGGGCAGACGGAATCTTTGGCTTCTTCTTGGCGTTGCGGGGGTGCTAGGCGAAACAAAAGAAAAGGGTATGTGGGACTTCAGTCTTCTCCTGCGGGCGGTTCATCTCGAAGCGGGCACTTCTTCAGGAACCAGCAAAGGCACAGGATAGAGCCGCCATCCCCTTTCCCTAGTTAGAAGATTCCCCGTGTACGATCTATAGGTATAGGTGGTATGTTGACTCAGTTACCAAGTCAACGTGAAAGTCTGTCTCCCTCGAAAAGGTTCATTGACTGCAGCCACGGATACGTGCAAGAAGGGCTCGTCAGCTTGACCGGCCGGTAGGAAGTCTCATGCATACTCTGCACACGGAGGGAATAGCCAGAATGCTCAGCAATCCCACCATCGCTAGCCTTAGTTCGCGCTGCCTCAGGTAAAACGCGTACCACAAATAGACACACGAGGCTGGTCGAACCCACAACAACCGAAACAAATCAACTGGGGGAATCTCCCGTGAAAGACAAGGCAATCGAGATTCAGCAACAGCACGATCGAGTATTCCCACAAGTACACTCGCACCAGATGGTTGATATTCGCAAATAATCCTCGTTTGGGATTATCGGCCTGCGAGGTTTTGACTCATTTAAGATTTGGAAGGAGCTCTTTGCTTTATTTTTATTTTCTATTGAAGGACTTTTGTTATCATTTTTGTGAGCCTCTTTATCGTTCTTTCCTTCCTCGACTCTGTCTCTCTTTGCAACCCCCCCCCCCTCCTCTTTGGTTCTCCTTCGTTCTTTTTTAGATTTCACTTGCTCTAGAACTTGTTTCAAGATTGAGGTACTACCTAGGTATGTATGAAGAAAAAATCAAGAGCCGGCCCTTCGTGGCAACCACCTGAACAAGGACGCCATAGCTCGTTTCTTCTGCTTCACCCTCAGGACCATGTTCACCCAGGCCCAGTACGCTCGCTCCTCCTCAGACTCGAATGCTGGTCTACCGCTAACTATATCCCGTAGTTCGTCGTGTTTGCGAGAGCTAAGCCGAGGCGAAGCTCCGCTGTCCAAGAGAAACGAGATTGTCTTCTTTCTGAGTTCAAATGGCACTTTCTTAGTTTCTGCTACCAAACGGTGACCCCAGATGGCATGCTCTAACGGAGAGAGGGACGACCCCATCTTCTCATTCACCAAGGATGGTTCGAGGGACAGCTTCGTCTCGAGGTAAGTCAGAAAACACCAGCAACAGACGATCCCGAAGAAAGTCGGTGAGACGCCGACGCCGTAGCGGTTCAGATCTACCCAATCGCGTCCAATCAATAACGTCGCCTGCCTATCCATAGCATCAAGAGCCTGTACGAGCCCAGCTCGAGATTCGGGTGTGGTCAAGCTGGTCACGTCTGGCGAATACCGCAGGAGGTTAGGCATGGCGATCTTGAGTAATTTCGACCCCCTAGTAGTGGCAATAATAAGTCTGTCATTGGCAAAGGAAAGCGCTTCAGCATACAACAAGTTCAGGCTCGGGTTGAAGTCTTTTGGCAGATAGGAGCTGATGTCGGCCCAGATCTCGGGCTTGTTTACCCAGTCCCGGGCAGTGCGGTGCATGAACTCAACTTCGCCCCCCGGCGTTAATTCGAGAAGCCCTCGGGTCTTGCTGTCCAGGCGGCGGACGATGATGCCGCGGATACCAGCCTTGGCATCCTCGGAGAAAATCATGAGTTTCAGAGCGTGTGCCGGTGCGATGTTCTCTTGTGCCAGCCACAGGACAGTGTAGTCCAAGCTACCCAAGGCTGCCATCTTGAGCGAGAAAATCTCTGCCGAGTCCGACTTGGATCCCTTGATGCTTTTCCAGATCACCGTGTACAGGCTTTTGATATCTTCCGGCAGGCTCTGGAGGGTCGCTCTCAGCTGCGGCAGCCCGTCGCCGTTGGAGAGTGCCTCCTCCAGATTGCAAACGACCAGATACGACCAGAGGAAGACGCCGTTAGCCTTCTCGACCACCTCCCGGATCAGCGTCTCGGCCTCGGCGGGAAATATCTTGCTCAGGTCAGAAAACCCCCTGTTGGCCTCCAGCTTGCCTCGCACGAAGAGAAGCATGTCGTTCTCCGTAACGTCCTGCATCCGTAACATCGGGTGCCTATCTAGGGCGTCATTGAATTCTGTCCACTGCCGGCTGGCGACGCAGACCTTGATGCCTCCGCGCCGGCAGACATCCGAGATCAGGGTCAAGATCCTCTCAGGCGGCACTTTAAACTCGTCGAGCCCGTCGATGAAGATGGCTAGCCGCTTCTTCTTTTCGCTGCCGACCTCGGTGAGCAGCATGTCGAATGACTCCTCGATCTCCCAGTCTGACCACAACGGCTGCCTCTTACAGCTTCGAAGCGTGCTGAAGAGGGCCCATCTCCTCGGTGCGACGATCGGCACAAGCTCAGGGCTTGCTTGCAGGACCTGGAACAGTATAGTCCTCATAAAACCCGAGAGGGATTTTTGCAGGTCTGACCCTGGGAGCCAGGCATAGAAGCTGGTTATGTACAGCGGCGAGCCCCGTGCCCACCTCTCGAGGCTCTTGGCCAGCGCAGGGCTATGAAGGATGTACTTCATCAGCGTCGACTTTCCGGAACCAGGCTTGCCTGTGATCCAGTACGGCGTGTCTGCGTCGCTTTCGAGCCATTTGGGAAAATTCGACCATTTGTTCGTATTCCCATGGAAGATCCAGGAGAATGTGCCTTTGTATGATCCGGCGATGGCCTCTTCTCGGGCGTCAATGTTATCGAAGGCACCAGAGACGAGCCCGTCTTTGATTTCAGTCCGAAATACCGAGTCATCAGCTGTCATGATGGCGGCCTCCACATCCGGCGGCTGCACCACAGGTCTCCTTTTTGGGTTCCAGAGCGTCTCCACCAGGTCTCGGTAGATGGAGTCAGTCGCTTGAAAATGGTCGTTGAGCACCGTAATGACCTGGTCTTGGTATGTATCTCTCTTTTCAGCGGAATCGCCCAGGTATTTTGGACCGGAACTTGATGAGGCTCTTGTTTCGTCGAGTCGTCGCAGTGTTTCCACGACTTCACTCAGCATCTTACTGAACTGGACCTCTCTCTCACCGCTCTCTTTCGATGCTTGCCTGATATAGATTATCAGCATCTGTCTGTGATTCATTAATGCTATATAAAATCAATTTCAGGAACACTTACCACAGAGACAACAGCGTGAAACTGACCCCACGGTCTCGTATACCGTCAAGCCGCTTCAACAATGTCTTCACCTCTGACTCGTCCCGAAGGCTATTCCATGCCAGCTGAGTCGACTTGAGCACCTTCTTTCCCTTCCGGTCGTACTTTTGTCGCGATTGCCGTTGCTGAATCGACGCCAGTAGGTCGTCAAACTCCCGAGAGGCTTTCTCGACGTCCCCGAAGATCTCAGCGATGTCACTGTCGCTCTGAGCGGCTGGAAACCGGCCCAGCGTCTCGTATGCCTGGGTGGCCTGCGTACGGAGGTCTTTGAGGCCGCTCAAGAGCTTGGACTCACTCTCGGTGCGGCCATCGGGAGATTTGTAGATCTCGTGGGCTCGAGACAGCAGGCGTTTGCCGTAGTCTACGAACTGGACCACAGCGGCGGCGACGCCCACAGCGGTCACTGGATCCATCATGATGACCCAGAGGAACGACTTTCGAAAGTTCTGGTGAGTGAACCCCGAGACTTCTCATCTTGAATGAGTATCGAGTTGACGAAATTCAGGGGAGACGTAAAGGGAATGTAGAGAGGGAGAGCCTCGTCGAGCAATCCTATCCCATCACACCAGAGATGGGCAGTGCGTTGGCAGTGCTTTCGAGTTAGGCTCCACTGCAACATCTGCCAGATGGGCTTAGCACATGCAGTGCATGCGTGCCTCGCCCATAGGGTGCTGATGCGCCACTTCAGCACACGGCGGTACGAGGGCCCATTAAAAGATCACAAGGGGCCAGCGGGGGAATATGGTTCCAATTGAAGCATTGATTCAATGGCACCCTTTACACATCTTGTTGTCCGTTGAAATGCTGAAGAGGACTACAATGTTTTATTTTTCCTGTGAGCAGGAGAAATGCTGGTGAAAAGAAGGAAAACTATGCCGTTCTCTGTCTTTTTCTCTGTCACATTCCCCCAAGCCCATCTGGTATATCCAGGATATAAAAAGCAGAAAACTCCAATTCAAGTGACCTGACCCATCCAACAAATCACTCAGTCAACCTGCAGCACGACTCTCGGTCCGATGCTGCTCAATCGCCTCGTCCAGCGCCCTTTCCTCCTCCTCCAACCTCCTGATTTCGTCCTCCGTCATGCCGTCTTCCACCAGGTGGGCATACTGGTCCGAGATCGAGACTCCGCCGGGCGTGTCCGATCTGCCTCCAAACCTTGTCGGGCCAAACTGCGGTGTCCCTGTCCTGCTTCCCGGGGCGCTGCCGCCGCCTCCGAGATTCTCGTGAACGCTGTCGGCTGAGATGGCAGAGGGCGGCTCGAGGTCGCGAGCGTTGTGGTCGGCATTGATCACATTTGAGAGGTTGGATGCGCTGTTCTTGTGAGACATGGTCCTGCCGAAGGACGCTGCCGCCCTCTCCTGCTGCGTCGACGAGCGCCCGATGGGCGATCCCACGGGCGACGACGACGACCCAGGGTGGGTGTGCGTGGGCGAGTCTCCACCGGCAGCGCTGCCCCCCATGGACGCAGTGGTTCCAATGGGCGGGACAGGGCCTCTGAGCGACGAGTAAGCTGCCGACCCGCGCCGTGTCGAGCTCAGGCTGCGGCCTCGGCCGGCTGCGCGGGCCCCAGCGGCCTCACCAGTGATGGACATACTCGCACTGCTGCCGTTGAGCCTCGACATGCCGGCGCCGCCTCGGTCCAGAAGCCGGTGGCTGCGCGCGTCTTCCGAGTAAGGAGTGTCGGGCTCCATCATCATGGTTGTGCTGTGGGTGTCTTTCTCAGCCAGCATGTCCTGGGCCTCACCTCGGCGCACAACCATGACTCCGTCCCGCTGCCGCCGCCGTGCGCGGAGGCAAAGCCAGGCTGCGATCGCGAAGATGAGGATCAAGAAGACTGCGCCGCCGATGGCGATGCCGACGATGGCGCCTATCGAGAGGGATCCGTAGTGGTGACCACCATCGCTGCTGTTGCTGGAGGAGTCATTGTCGGCGTTAGGTGGCAATGTCGAGGTGGGCGAGGAGGACATGACGGCGGTGGCCGATGGCGACGACGTGCCCTCCCCAGAGACTGTCGGCGTTGGGGCGCCGGATGTGCTCACGGGGATGAAGGCTGTGGTCTGCTGGGGAAGGGCGGCGGTGGCGCTCGTTATCACGAGGGAGGTGCTGGCGCTCATCCAGTTGTTGAACAGGCTGTTGGCCTCGTCCTGGTTCTCCGCTATAGCCCAGTACGGGCTGAATCCATAGTCGTCTGCGCCGCTGGAGTCCTTCCACCCTACCTGGAAGAAGAGAGCCACGTCGTAGTCTGATACCAATTTTTCGATGAGAGTACCGTTTAGAGTTAGGGAGGAGGTATCTGTGTAGACTTTTGGTTGAGGAAGAAGAGATAAGGAATGGGATGTCAGCAAGAGATGATACATTTATATACATAGCATAAAGAAGAGAGGGTGAGAGAGGATATGTTTTTCTTAGAAAGGTAAGACTCTAGGGTAACATAACACAGTCAAGACAAGTAAGTTGCCCAAGCTGCGTGTGCTACAGCAGCAGCAGCACAACTATCACACTGAGAAAGAAGAAAAAAACGAAATCAAACTGACCAGGAAACGTTGGCACCGTAGCACTCGCAGGCGGCTGTCCATTGCTATCCGCCTGATACCCCTCCGCTACCATCTTGTCCCCACCAACGAGGATGGCATTCGCAAAGGTGAAGTCGCTCCTGTCGCTCACCGTCCACTTAAAATCTATTGATGCCGTGGGGTCGGCTGCCTTGCTGAAGTTCACGATCGAGCTGGAAATTGTCCCGCCGTGGTAATCGGACACCTCGAAGTTCCATCCTGTGAAGACGTTCCAGTCGAATTCGAGGCCTGCGTCGTTGCCATCATCGTTCTCCGCGGAGGCTAGGAGGACGGGGAGCAGAGCCCATGCTGCCTGCGAGGCTATTCGCATGATGGTGGTGGTGGGTGTTGTGAGTTGGGGCTGGAGGAAGAGGAGGAAGTACCGATTAGGTTGCACCGCATAACATCACGGCCTCTCCTTTCTTCCCCGGCCTCAAGGGTATTTCGTGGTCCTTCCAACAGTATGAAAAGAAAGAGACTTTTCGTTATCTTGTTACTTTTTTGGCTAAAGAAAAAAAACCAAAGGATGAAAGTTGTAAGGGTGGAGAATGAGTAAAAGCACACAGTATAATTGGTGATATATAGGCAGTAGAAGAGAATACTCTTGGGCAGCGAAGCTACAGGAGTAGTGAGTAAGTAGAAAACAGGCTTGGAAGAAGAGGGTCAAGAAACGAAGATCAGGCTGTGAGACTTTGCAGTAGGCGAAACACGCTTCGAGTAAAGACCCGGAGGAGGTGAGGAATAATTGTGGATTAGGAAGGGGACTGAGAAGAGAAGGGCCTGTTGGGGGATGGGGGGGGGGATCAGAAGCGAAGGGGAATGGAGGAAGAGGAGGAGGACGACGATGAAGGCTGCAGCAGACGCTGGGTATAACTGACTGACTGACCGACTGCCTGACTGAGAAAGAAGGTAATATGCACCTGTAGGAGGATCCAATACCCAGCTGGCTCTGTTGAGCCCCGTCGTTGGCTTATCTGTCGTTCAGCTTCCAAAGGACAAAAGAGACTTCTGTTTGTCTCTTTCCCACCCTGCCTGCAGAAAAGTGTGGGTTCTTTTCCCGTACTTTAGTTTGCCTGCGCCGTACGCTAATCGTTATGTGCAGTCTGGCAACAGGGTCGTGTGTGTGTGTGTATGTGTGTTGTGTATCATCGCAGGTGGCACACGAGGCTGTGTCTTCTTCTTTTCCCTCTACTCACCCACTCACTTATGCACACACACACATACTCCCCCCCCCCCTTTGTCCTTCCCCAAGTGAGAGGGATCTTGACCACGCCCCCCTGCCCTCTTCTTCAGCCTAGAGACCTAGAGGCTGACATGACGTGTCAGATAATGGTCTCGAGCCTCTCTCTTCCTGCTGCTGCACCTCAGTGAGATTGCTAGGGCCGAGGTAAGGTATAGCTAGAGAGAGAAGAGAGAAGGAAAAAAAGAAGGAAGAAAAAGGGCAAGGCAGCAGCCCCCAAGGATCAAAGGATCTGGAGCATTGTCGATTAGGTACAAGGGTGGAAAGGGTCTGTGGGTTACAAATATGCGCGCGCTTCTCTCTCTCTCCCCTTCATTGAAGGAGGCACAAGCACTAAGGATCATGATGTTGATAATGATGTATCAGATATTGTTTGTGGTACAAAGTAGGACTCAACCAGTAAGAGAGAAGACCTTTGCTCACTTGGGCTGAACTTTCTTGAATTTTCTTTCGAGATCAGTCGTTTGCCATCTCTTGTTCTTCTCACACATGTACACACATACGCACCTCTCTCTGTGTTATGTGCTGCAGATGAAACAGGATGGAAACCCTGAACAAAAATTCACCGCTGCTGCATATCGATTGGCAAACTGTCTCCATGTCAGCCGCAGCCCACCAAAATCCTGAAGGATGACCCACTCCCTTCCTAGGCTCCTCTTTCCGAATTGCCCGTCTCACCCTCCCACTCCTTCCCCTTCCAGGGTCATCGCGCATGTTGTTCCATCCCTCCTTCCATCTCGTAGTCGAGAAAAGGAAATGTACCAGTGTATGACGCAGTCAGCTTTGGAAACTTCGCTTATCGATATGGGCGCGTGTTGAGACAGCGAGTGTACGGCGTTTTTGCCTTTCTTACTTTTCGGACTGTGTTGGGGTCGGTTGGTGGGGGGCCAGATGATATTCCCCAGTCAAAGAAGAAGGGGGAAGAAAAAAAAGGAAAAAAAAGAGGACTTCTGTTCGCTCATGCTCCAATCGATTCAGTAAGTTTAAGCACTTGAAAGCCCTAATCCATGTTATCATCATCTATTTCTGGTGTATAGTAGTAGCCTTGCGTGCGGCTGACGCCTACTTGCATTAGCCTCTCTGCTTGTCCACACCGTGAACAGTGGGTGGGTGTGGAACTCTTGTCATGTAGGCGCCACAGAGATTTCAAACTCTTTTATTTTGGTTTCCTGGGGTTGTATGCATAATCTGTGCCGAGAGTATTCCTCCCAAAGAGCAGGTTGATAAGATCAAGATGGACTAGGGTTGTAATAGGCACACGCAGCGCAGAAGAGAGAGACAGAAGCCGGCCCCTCAAAGGCGCGGCCGCTGACAGAACCCCCCCTGGTTAATGTGTCTACTCCCGTCGACACTTAAAAAACGCCCCCGTCTTCCTTTATTCTTTCCATAATGTTTTAACCTTGGCCCATATGGCGCTTTTATGACATTTAGGATCTGACGACGTGGCTTTTAGGGTTGTCCTGGGCAATGCAATACAACCCAATTACTGGCCTGGACCAGATGGACGTTGCACCAACTCGTTCTCTGCGTTCATTAGTTCCTGACGGGTCTGCAATGTACATAGTACTGTATAATTTATATGATGTTGTGTGTATGTGTCATAACGATATCGATACACCCCAACCCTCGTTATAACCGCCTTTCTCAACTTTTTAGTCACGGGCTGATTGATCGCTAATGAAGGATGAACTTCGTTCGTATTGTGTGTTTGTGAGCCATGAAGGTTGTTGGCGGTATTGGTCCCTTGAGCAGTGTTCCAAACCCCCTTCCAGAGAAAGAAAGACAAAAAGATCAGCCTGTGGTGATGAACCACGGCAGTTGTAGCAGCAGTAGTAATTGTAATGCGCCAGAGTACACCTTTACGCCCCTCCCGAGATGGTACCAAGAATAAAAATACAAATCATCTTCTCGCTTCAAGCAAAAGTCATCGAGATCTCTTCCTCCTTGCCAAAGTCGTCATCGTCCGGGTCGGCCCAGGGGTTTGAGGCCGCTGTGCCTATGTTGGGAACCGTGTGCGCCGTCTTGATCTCTGGTCTTGCTGCTGTGTAGGAGGAATGGTCTGCGGCTGGGATCGTCTGGCTTCTCTGAGACCGAGGCGGCTCGTCAAAGCCCGTGTCGAAGGTCATCTGGATCTCGTCGTCGTGATCCGGTTGGTACTGGTGTTGGTGGTGTGCGCCAGAGGGCCCGTAATCAGACGAGGGGTGTTTCGAGTGATAGCCCGCGTAGTCACTCTTCGTCTGGCTCAGGGACACCCTCGGGCTGGGGATCCGCATCGGCGGCAGTGTGGACTGCAGCTCGCGCACCTGTAGTGTCTCGTCCGTCTGGCTCCTGGCTAGCTCGGCACGCATCGCGTCCACATCAAAGAGCACGCCGTGGTTGTTACCGTCCTTGTCCTCCGTCTTGCCCGACGGTGCCGCTGCTGCCCCTGCCTCGCTGGCTCCCGCGCCCTTGGAGTCTTCGTACACCTCCCACTCAGCCTTCTGCGCCTTCTTCCTGCGGCTGAAGAAGCCGCCAAACGCGCCGCTCTTACGACCGCTATTGGCATTGCCCTCCTTCTCCAGCTGCTTTCTCGCCTCCTCGATCTCGTTGATCAGCTCGCGCTGCCTGTCCGTGTGATTCTCGGGGTCGGGGTTCTCAATCTCGGCGAACTCGTCGCTCTCCACCAGCCAGCCGCTCTCGCGCATCAGACGTGGCATCGACCTTCGGTAGTCCATATGTCCCGCCACAAACTCCGAGGCATCCATATTCTCTAGTCCAGGGATGCCTTCAACAGGGGCCAGACCAGCCACCCGCCGGATGCCGCCGTTCGTCAGGCGGAAGAGGTATCCCAGGATCCAGTCGTTGCGGTGGTACCCGTTGACGAAGCGGCCCGAAACGACAGTCCGCACTTTGAGATACTCGTCCGTCTTGACCACAATTGGCGAGCCAAACATGTAGACGTTCTGGACCAGTCCCACAGCGCCCTTGCGGGCTAGCTCGAGGAGACATGAGAAGATGACTCTCGAGCCCAGGGAGTAGCCCACGAGCGTGATGGGCCGCGTGCCCAGGTTCCGCTCGATCAGGGAGTCCGCCAGGATCAAACCTGCAGCCCACGCCCTGTCGAGCGACACGGACCAGGGGTTGTCGATCAGGTAGGAGAGCTTGGTCAGGACGACGGGAAGCTGCAGCGCCGCCATCAGACTGACCAGAATAGTGCTTCCCAGGACTTGTTGAAGACCTTGTGTGAGAGCCTAGGACCGCTGTCAGTCAACCCAGTTTTGTCTCTTTCTTCTCCTTTCCTTTTCACAAGAGACTCACCTCTGTTGCCAGGATGTTGATGGTGTCTCCCATACTGGTCAACATCTCCGGCTCCCACAGGACAGAGTAAATATCACCCATGACTGGGTCTATAGTGCTGAACGGCAGCCGGACGTCGTCCACCTTGCCTGTCATCCACCCAGCCACCGTGACCACCAGGTTCACGCGCTTGTTGTTGTGCAGAGGTCGGTATTCAAACGTCTTGACGGCACCTGTCCGCCTGTTGGCAGCCCTGGCTCCGATGACGCCGCCCGATGCCGCAGCGCCCGACGTGATGATGGCAGACGCGGCGGCGCCACCTAGAAAAGTGCTGGTGCCCGTGACACCGATGGTGGTGAAGCCGGCCGCCAGCCCCGCGCCGATGACAGGCGCCAGGAGACCAGCTGACAGGCCGATGACCAGACCACCACCGACGGTCGCCAGGCCCATGACAATGTAGCGCTTCTTGAGCGCCAGCTTCCGGCGGCTCTCCTTGTGCTCATCCTCGTTCCAGTTCTCCCGCTCCGCCTGTTGCTGCATCTCGAGAGCCTCTGTAACCCTCTTCTCGAACCGACAGATGTCGATCCAGTCTATTTCGAGAGCCTTGCCCACCCTCTCCAGCAGGCAACGCGACCGGGCGTCGTAGATGGAGTCCGCGATGAGCACCAGGAACAGGTCGCACAGGATGGTCCACCGGATGTCAATGTCCAGCTTGTCGCTGGAGGGCAGCTGCGATGGCGTCCGCACCGCAGGCAGCTCCTCGCCCTCGTGCTTGTCGTACGCAGGGGGGGGTTCTGCGGCTGCCTCGTCGCTGACCCTGCTGGGCGAGGAGAAGCCAGACTGGGGCGGCTTGGGCGAGGCGACGGATGACGGTCGGGAGCTGGACACGGAGCTCTTCCTATCGGCCATGGGATTCTTCACCCTCGCGTTGGCCATGAGCTGCGGAGTCAGGTCGCTCGAGATGACGCCGTGCTCGCTCAGCTGCTCGATCATGATTTGCTCGGCGGAGCTGATGTCCATGTGCGTGTACAGCCGGATCATAATTTTCTGCGACCACATCTTGGCCGCCTCGACCGCCAGCTGGACCGCCTTCTTGGCTGCCCTGGTGTGCGGTATGCCCTCCATGTCCTTGACGATCTGCGACAGCTCTATCCTCACCAGGCCCACATATGCGATCTTCTGGCCCTCAGTCAGCAGGTCCTTGGTGGCCTGCATCTGCGACACGGCGTCTCGCGTATCTTCGTCGTCCATCATGCTGGTGCCGCCGGCGTTCTTGAAGAGATACTGCGTGTTGTCGTCCATGCTCGTCACGGACTCGGCATCGTCGTCCACAAAGACCCTCGTATAGCCCTTGCCTGCGCCTCCTATGCCCCCGTAGCTGTACGTCTGGTCGTCCGCCTCCGCCTCATTATACTCCTTTGCGATCAATCTGTTATCGTCATCGTACATGTCGTAGGGTGCAAAGGCAGGCATTGTCTGCCAGCCGTCGTCGTCGTCTTGGTCATTTTCATCGGCGTGCATAGTCACCTGCTGATGGGAGAACTCGGAAACGCTGTTTCTCTCCGGGCCAGAGGCACGGCTTAATTGCCCCTTGTGCTCTGCTGCTGCCGTGTCTGTCTTATCGACAACGACGTCCGCTCTGTCTTCCAGCTGCGGCCTTTCGTCCCTCGCAGCACCCTCCTTTTCTGCATCAGCGGTGTTCAGTGCCGGCTCCGGTTCTTCGTCTTTCGCGGCACTCTTCTGCGGCTTCTCAACGCCATCCGCATTCGGCGTTGCCTTGTCCTCCTTTTCTGCCTCTGCAGACTTGTCATCTTGCTCCTTTTCAACATTAGTTCCGTCCGCAACGGATTCCCCATCTCTTGCTGAATCTGTGTTTGTTGGGGACGGTGCAGCGACCGCGTCTTTGAAATCGTCCTCCCCACTCACACCACTCCCGCTCGCATCCTCTTGTGTTTCATTCTCCCCCTCCACGCCGCCCTGTGGCTGACCCGAGCTCGACTCGCCGTCCTGTGTACCATTCGGCATCTTCTGGCTTTCCTCCTCCTCCTGAGCCTTCGCGGCCCTCTCTTCCGAGTATTGTATCTGGGCCGATCGACGTATAGGAAGCCCAAAGTCGTCGTACTCGACAACTGCTGCAGCAGCAGGAACAGGGGTTCCTGCAGTGCTTCCGCCAGGCTCGGACGAGGCCGTCGGTTCCGAGTCGCTGTTCGTGCCGTGAGCCGTCGCCGTCGTCGAGGTGGTCGGCGGCGGCGACTCCTGCCGCTGCTGCACCTCCTCCTCCTCGCTGCCTGCCATGGCGGAAGCCGGTGCTTACTTTCGTGTTATATTCTGCCGGGCACGCGAACCATGTGGGCTTCTGGGACGACGGATCGCGTCGCGGAGGTCTAGTACTGAGGCGAGTCGTTGGTTGGTAGGGTGTTTCGCCGTTTGATGTGTCTGGCAAGAGCCCAACAAGAGACGGAGGGAGAAGGAATTAGCGACGTCGAGACGAGAGAGAGACACACGCAAGGCGGGCCGGGGCCCCAGATGAGCTAGCTGGCACTTTGAAGACGGCAGTCCTGGCGTCAGCGTTGACTCTCTCGATGCAGACGGACAGACAGAAGACAAAGTGCGAATAATAATAACGGAGTGATGTATTAAATTAAGATTTTAAGCTTTTCCCTGAGATGTAGGGGAAAAGTAAAAGAAAAGGGAAGAAAGGCCAGACAGTTAGTAAGGAGGAGAAAAGATGGGACCAAGGATGTTTTTTTCTTTTTTCTTATTTTTCTTTCTTGGGCTCGGACTCACGATGGATGAGGTGAGGATGACTGCTGTGACAAGGACCCTCGCGCGGTGAGGCCTGGTTCCGGGACGGGCGAGGGGGGGGGTAGAGGGTCGGAGCGGCCTGCACCCAAAATTGAGCCAAAGTTTAGTTGGGATTTTAGTATCGTGGTACTATGGCAGTTAGTACTCATTACTGTTTCCAGGGGGTGAAGTATGGGTTTAGTAACGGAACCCGCCCGCAAGCAGTGCCCTGTGTGGGGTTCGACGTCAACTGTCCCCACCAACTACCCACACCCATCCCTAGTGCTGGGGACAGCGTGACGGCACCCGCTGATGCCAGCCTAGCACGTGGCTCTACAATATTACACCACTGTAATATAGCGTATACCACCACTGAACATACTTACAGGAAAGAATGCACATGGAAACCAAGAGACAAACAAATAGGTGGGAGATCATGTATTCACTGTTCTGCCCATTCCATCTTCATGATCGAGGAGAAAGAAAGGAAAGGTATTGAGGAGTTATGCTCCCAAACACTACCGCAAATCAATACAATCAACCAGCCAAACCAGGTATGACACCTTTAGGTGCAGAGAATCCTCCTCCCATAATGTATGCAAGGGCATGTAACCTGAATGACCTGATCCAAGCCTGTACCCGTGAAAGTACTAGAACTGTCTTGTGTGTTCTCCATACTCCTCTTGGTACCTTGAACGCCAGCTTTGCACCCGAAATTCATCCCACCTGAGACTACCAACCAGACAGAGAAGTGCGCCCCCCCCCCCCCTTCTTTTAATTGGAGGAGAGGACGTCTACTCTGCTAGAACCTGCCTGAGCATGATCAGGAAGTTCTCCTTCAGCTTGTGCACCTCTTCAACGTGCGGCTTGATCGGCTCGCCCGCAGTACGTCGGAGTCGATCCTGCCTCTTCGCTCGTCGTCGGCGCTCCGCCTCGATCGGGTCCAGGTCATCGTCCTCTTCCGCCTCGTCCTCCGAGTCCGACTCGCTCTCGTATGCCATGTCCTCCAGGTCCATTTGGTCGAGCCCGAAATCAGCACTAGTGAAATTCATGGCGCCAGGCACCAGGGCATCTCCCATTTGTCCGTCGGCCGCCATCTTCTGCCGCGTCTTGTCGTGGTGCCACTTCTTCCGGGCCTCCTGCCACGCGATCAGGTCATTGATCTCCTTGGTGGCCAAGCCCTTGTCAATCACTGTGGTCGTGACAGCACCCTCGAACAGCGCGTTGATGTCCAGCGCCCCGTTCTTGGGGCCCTTGCGCAGGAATTCGAGGATGTCCTCGATCCACTCCATCAGCTGCGTGAACAGGCCGTTGTCATGGACATGCACCTCGTGAACGAACTTGTAAAAGTTGTGCTCGTGCCTCTGGCACAGGTCGATGAATGCCTGGACGGTCTGGTTTGGATCCGCCGAGGCGTCCTGTTCTCGGCACTTCTCAACGACCTGTATCATGTCGTCCATGAATACCGCGAAATCTGTGACACTACCATAGACATTGGCTGACTTGTACACCCGGACCAGCGGCTCGTAAAAGATCGTGAACAGATCCCGGAACAGCTGCAGCGTCACGGGCTCCTCAACAAGAGACAGCATCATCTGCTTATCACGCTGCCTCGTTTGCAGCTTGACGAGCGTCTTCAGATTCGAGAACAGCTGCGCACCCTGCTTCAGCTCCTCGTCCACGTTCTCGACCGCGCTGTTGAAGGCGACGTAGGCGTTGTAGAGCCTCTGGATCTGTTCCCCGGTCAGACTGGGCTCGAGCAGGTCCGATCTCAAGATCGCCACAATCAGGTCGACGTCCTCGCTGGCGGCCTCCTCGCGAATGCCAATCTTGACATGCTCCTCAGCGTCAGAGTACGCCTGCAGCTTCGCGACAAAGACCTCGTCACCGACTTTAGCGGCAACCGCGTCAATAGACTTCTGGAAGCTTTTGATACCATCGTGGAGCGCTAGCGAGAAGATCCTCTGCATGAGCGACTTCGTGCCGAACGGCTGCGCGAGGAACACATCAAGAAGGCTTGACATTACCGCCGCAGGATTGGCGACCCGGATGATGTTTTTGATGATCGTGTAGGGGATCAGGGAGTGGATGCGCTTTGCCTGCGCGAACAGTTCCGGAGAATTATCCTCGGCCAGGAATAGGTGGTAGATCGTGGCTGCGACTTCTATCCGAAGCCACTCGGCGAATTTCTGGTACTGGATCGACAGGTCTTGGATGGTCTCCTTCTCCTTGATTTCCTGGAACAGCTTTGTGAGACCGTTGGCATCCACGATTTCTTGGCGGAACCTAGGAGAGTTTTCGTTAGCTTCGTGAGATGTGAGAGCGAGACACACTGTTTGTGGCTGAACCTACTGCTCCATGTATATATCAAGGTCGGCCGCGCGCTGCCTTGCGATCTCGTAGAATTTCTTTTGCTCTTCCATGCGCCTCTCATCAACAGACTTGCGCTGTATGATATCACCGTAGTCTTCATCCTTCAGAGTTACAGGGTTCTGGGTCAGGAAGTCCTGCATTGCCTTGCTCTGAGAAATCTGCGGGTTTTGCAACAGAGAGCGAAGAAAAGCTCTCAACGAAATCCGCTGGGCTTCTCGGAAGAGAACCACATCCCCATTATTGTTCTTTTGAGGGCTGAGCGGGTTGAATGGGCTCAAGGGGCCGTCTTCCATCGACGGCCTTGGAGATCCTCTCAGTGACGAAGCGCTAGATCCATTCCTCCTATGATTGAAGGCACTACGGACTGAGAGTCTCTTGTTTGTCGCTGTTGTCTCCTCGCTGTTGTTGATAGCACCTGTTCGCTGGGTCGAGGCTGATGAGACGGAGTCAACATCTGAGTCTTCGCCCCCGCTGAAGATACCACCAGTCACCGACGACGTCTTGTTCTTCTTTGGCAAAGGCGGGAGGACCTTGCCGGGTAGCTCGGTACGAAGCTGCTTGTGAAGTCTGTTAAAATCACCATAGCGGCGTCCGACGAAGTACTCGTTCTCGCCTTTCCTCTTGACACGCAGCAAGAATTCCTGTTACGGTATCAGCGCTCGTCCCGTTGCAGTGTACCGCCCGTCTCAAGCAAAACTCACAGCATGTTTATGCGATCTGATACTGCCCTTCACCTTTGTAACGCGCACACCGGCCATGTTCACATCCCAACCATTGATGTAGTTACCCTCTGGCTGGGTGTGCAGAACGCCTGTATCGATAGCGTCCCTGTCCACAACTTCCATCTCCGAGAAGCGGATCCTCTCCTCGAAACCGGAGGAGGTGGGGATGCCCGAGACCATCATAAGCTCCACGAGCTTCTGGCTCTTCCTGGCCAGCTTCCGACGCTTAGTCTCTTCGAGGCGGTCCTCGGAGGAAGATATATTCTTGCTCGCAAATGACTCCAGGAAGACCTGCAGCTTGTCCTGCCAGAACTCCTTCTCGCGGGCCTTGTCGAGAAAAGGGAACTCGCGCACATGGTGGACGAAGATGTAGCGGAGGATTGGGAGCTCGGAGTCGTAGGGCGTCACCTCGCCCAGGTCGGACTTGAAAGGGGCGCCGAATCGACGGAGGGCGGTGGGCGAGTTGAGCTCGTTAATCTCCCATCCCACCTGCTCAGAGATGAGCTCTCTCTTTAGATCTGTATGTGAAGATACGCGGATTAGTTTCGAATATTAAAGTAATAGAATCCTATGGCGCCTGGGGACAACGCACAATGCTCTTGTTTGCCGGTGAGGGTCTGCCCAGGAGGCGGCAGACTCGATTTGCTGCTGTTGGTCCGTGTAGGCAGGTCTATCGTTGAAGCCTCTGCCTCAGCAGCATGGCTGTTTGTGACACTGCTGGAATCTATGGAAGACATATTGAGACTTGTGCAGCTCCCGAAGGCGAAGGGCTCGAATCGCTTCTCAGCTCTTTCCCAACTGTCGCTTAAAAGGTAGGTTCTCCACGTCGTCACGGCAAGTTTCTGTTGGAGGCTGGTGGCGCGCAGTCGCTCAGTACCGCTGCAACCCAACAATTTCGCGGGGTAAAACGGCGCGCTTTTTCACGTCGTATCGAATTAAATAGGATGAAGTAAGCAGTATTGAAAGGCGAGGGCCAGAAACAGCTGGCAAATACGAACAAAGAATGCAAAAGAAAGGTGAGGAGAGAAAGCGAGAGAGTACACGTAACGGCGCGAGAGAGACCGAGAAAACTAACACGCTCGTCTAGGTATTATGGATTTGATTAATCGACGTGGTGTTGAGGCGCCGCACTTTGCAAGTTCAGGTTCAGTTGCAGATGACGACAAATTACAGTACTGTGGACCTCTGATCTTGGCAGGGGCCCCTCCCCAAGCTACTGGTGGGTGGCAGGGAAAGGAATAATCAATGTCAGCATGACTGGGTGAGCTTCTGACCAGTGGGGAAAGCACAAAGCCTGGGAAGCACAGCCCCCAGCCAGCCGGCCTGGGGGTGACAAGAGGTTGGCTGGTATCAAATTGGTGACTCTCACCCATGTGATGCACTGGTACCCATGATGGCGTTGGTCAGACTACCCCAGCAGTCCTTACGTACAGTATAAGCGGCAAAGGAAGAGCTGGAAGCAGTGGGAGTGGGGTGCTGCTGGGAAGGTACCACAGTACAGTAACCCATACACTATGGGAGTAGGCTGAAGGCCCCCCATCCAGAATAGATAGTGAGCCTCAACAAAGATCCTGATTGCCTGGGATCAACAATGGATTCAACTATCCAGGATCCTGGAATTGCACTGAAAACTCGGTCCGAGTCAAGTCGAGTCCTTTTTGGCCATCTGTACTGGAGCCATATTTTCTCTGAAATTTGGCCTGAAACCAAGTCAATGCAAAGGACAAGAAATATTATCAAGTCATGGGAGGCGCTGTGAATGATGACGTCGTCCCCAGGGTAGCAGGTGGGAACCTGCTAGAGGGTGGGTGGGTGTCCTCGGCACCCCTCATCCGCTGCGGCTTGGGGCGCTTTTGGCGCCTGGATTTGCCAAGCACTTTGAGGCTGCCATCGAGTTCAGTGCGCACATCTTAATAAAACGGCTTGGTTTGTTGGATTTCTTGCCAAGGCAACGCGGGAGACTGCCTAATAGTTAGTTTCTTGCGCGTCCCCTAGCATAAGCCACAGTGTTTATAGTTTTGGCCAGGGCTGAACTTGTCTTACAAGCTGATTTGAGCCCCGTGGCACACAACAGCATAGTGATGAACATAACCTCATCAAAGACCAGCTCAAGCAGGACGTATAAAAGATTATTTGATTGATTGTCTCGGTGATAGTCTGGAGGCTGCCTATATTTTCGTTTCCCCCTTGTTCATAGGCGACTGGTGTGGATATGATGGTTTCGTCATGATGATGTTTTCCCCCCAAAAGACATCTCGAGTATCGACGTTGTCGAGGAACCAAATATAGAAATTAATATAGATAATTACGAGCAACGCGCAGCACAGGATCACAGCTCATCCAGCGCCCGCAGAGCCTCGTCTCCAGCCAACGTGACCTCCCTATCCCGACTGAAAGACAACAGAGGCACGCTGCCGTTTTCTCCTTCTCCCTTTCCATCCTGGGCCCTACTCAGGTCGCCTCCCACCCCGAGACTGTTGTGCTCCAATTTCGTCTTAGCAGCCGCGGCGTCTCCCTTGAGCTCCCCCAAGGCCCCCTCGATCTCGGGCGCATACGCTCTCGCACCCCAGTACAGCACCAGCACCACCAAGCCGAGGGCCAGCAGGACGCCCCAGACGATGCGCATGCCGCGCCGCGCATTCTCCCAGCTCTGCGCCCACGCGCGCTCCCATCGCTCGACCCGCTGCTTCACGACGTCCACCCGCCCGCTCAGCGCCTCGATGCGCTCCCGCGCGCCGTGAAGGCGGTCCTGCAGCGCCTGCACCCGCTCCTGCTGCTCGCCAAAGTCGCCAAATGCGTCGAGCTGCGTTTCCGCCTCGGCCAGCACCGAGTGCGACTCGGCGATGAAGCCCGCGCTGGTGGCGCTCGAGGCCTCGGCCAGATCCTTGAGGGCCACAATCGTGTTCTGGAGGGTCGTGAGTTTCTGAAGGACGGTGTAGTAGGCCTCGTCGAGGCGGTGTGTGGTCGTGGTCGAGAAGGTGGTCAGGTTGACCAGGGAATTCCTGAGCCCACTGGACATTGTTTGATGGGTGCATTAGTTAGAAGAACGGGACTTTGTTGAAGCTCGCGAATGGGCGAAAGGGAAGACTTCGGGGAGGGTGAGGAGGAGGAAGTTGGAGTAAAGAGGTTGAAGATTGAACATACACCGTCCTCGCCTCGGCCTTGACTCGTTCTCTCTGCAGCAGCTCCTCCTTGCTCAGGGGAATCCCATCCGGTCCGACACCCTCGACCACGCCGGAGAGCAGCGTGCTCGCGCTCCGGCTCTGATCTGGGCTTGGGGACCCCGACGTTACACCATCGAACCGAGGCACCTCGAGCGACCCCCTGGGGGCCACGCTCTGGAGCTGGGGCGCCGCCGACTGCGGTACTGCCATATTCCTGTGACGCTCATCACGGCTCCTGTCCCTCCTGTGGAGCGACGAGGAGATATGCCCTGTGATGTTGTGGTGATGCTGGTGAAGGTGGTGCGACGAGTGCGTAGTATGACCGTGTCTGGAAGAAGAAGAGGACGTCGTCCCGGGCAGTCGCTCGGTGATGGAGCGGGAGACGTGGTGGCGCGCACGATTCGGTGACGGCCCAGCCCTCGTCGTCGGGAAAGGGATAGCCGCGCCGCCCGACATCTATGCGAATCGGCTAGCCGCACTTTGTGCCGTCGTGGTCCTCTAGTGGCGTCCCAGGTTTGGGGCGTACTCGAAACGATAAAGGAGATCCTTTCTTCTATGTCAACGACGACGAGCCGCGAGGCTGGAACTACTGTGTTGTGTGTTCGAGAGGGAGCGTCACATGCTGCGGTCAAGGCCGCTTGGGATTGGGTCATTTCTGCAGGGGCCCTTGCTCATCTCATCTGGGGGGGCTTTCAATTTGCGGGTACTAAAATGCGCCTTCGTGGTGCCAAATGTGTCTCCTGCGAGGTGGAAGCTGCCAACATCGTTGGCTTGTCCAATAAAAATCTTTCAAAAGTGGAGGTGTCTATATTGCACTCCGTGCCCTATGTGCTACGGTTGCGCAGATGCAAACTTGGGTAGCCTCAAACAGCCTCCGCCTGTCTCTCCAGCCAGTTTCACATTGAGCAGTCGATCGCCCCTTTCGGCCCGTGAAGAGGCTCAGGTAGGTTTTTTGCGCCGAAATTTGCTTGACGACCGCTGCTACGTCGCAGTGCCATCTCAGCTGAGCCCAGCTGAATGCAGTATCTCGGTCCAAGCCGGAGCGGTGTAGATGTCTCATCATGCGCGCCTCTCCGGTATGTTTACGGGACATTGGTCCCTCCCCGGGCCGTCAAGTGATGCATGACACAGCCGCCAGCCAGCCAGCCAGCCAGCCAGCCAGAATTGCACACTGCGGCTGGCCGTCTTGTTCCCTTGACATCGTTCGTGGTAATCTTGATTTTCCCGACGCAGGCATCCTGGAACAACAACGCTATCCCGCCGCAAGGCGGTGCTCAGGAGTTGAGGAGCTTGTTCCTCTTCTCCTTCCTCTTAAGCCTCTCGACGCGTTTCTTGTGCATCTTGGCCGCCAGCTTCTCGTACCTCTCCCTCTCCTCCTTAGCCGCGCGCTTGTCCTTGATCTGGGTGATCCGCCTCTGCATAAACCAAAAAGACACGGGTCAGTCAAGAACTCCTGGCTCAGGTTGTCCGTTATGAACGTGTATGTGTGTGTGTGTGTGTGTGTGTGTAAAAGGTGTTTGTATGTCGCACGTAGCAAACGCACCTGTCTCTCGGCCTCCTTCTCATCCTTCATCTCCTTCTCTTTGGCCTTCATCGCCGCCAGCGCAACACGTTCTTTTGCGCGTTTCTCGTACGAGGTAAGGCCCGACGCTGGCCGGAAGGCCTTTTTGGGAGCGTGCCATTGTTTGCCTGTGTTTGTACCGTAAAGAAACCAAGAGTCAGAGCGGGGTCACAACTTCTTCCGAGGAGTTGCATGCGCATGCAATGCTTGCTGATGGCTGTTCTCGGAGGGAAAAGAGCGTACCATTCTTCCTCATGCCCAGCGACTTGGGCACCGTCGCCGTCGCAGCGGTAGCAGCGGGGCTTGTGGCCGTAGGTTTTGCGGCGGGCTCGCCGACGGTCGCAGACATCCTCACGGGGCGGGAAGCGAGATGGGCGGTATTAATTTTTGTGAGGCTTCTTGTGGAAAAGTTGCTTCTTGTTCATGCAGACACGAAATGCAGGTCTGGTCGTCGGGGTGGTGGTGGTAGGCGGTGATAATAGTAGGGATGATCGATGTTTAGAATCTTTGTTGCTAGCATTGGCCGTAAAGCCTTTTCCTGACACCGACTTTTTTTTGCCTTCCTGTTTTTCCTTGCTCTTATTTTTTCTGCCCAGGTTCTACATGGTAGGACCTAAAGTTTAGCCTGTCCCGCGCAAGGGCTTAGGGGAGTTTGCTTAGCGGTCAGCCTTTCTAGGTCTACCCCACGCCCGACCCGCGTTTGACAATTAATCTGGCATGTGTAAGAATCTGAATCTTGGCTGCAAATTTGCAGAAGCAATGCAGTTGAGACACGTTTCATTCATTCGCATATTTGGGATATATGTACCTGGAACTACCACAAGTATATGGCTCCCTGCTACTTCCTGCTGTCTGCAATACTTTGCCGCCCTGGAGATTACATTACTGTATCCATCCCTTGACAATGCGACCAGCAAAAAATGATCACCAGCAAGGGGGTCCCTCGCATAAGGTGACCAAATTATTTGACATTTTATGCCGCTTGCACAGTCCTGCTGTAGGGCTGACTGGGTATGCGTGATATTTCCCGAACCTTCCTCCTACTACTTTGGTACGAATATGGGAGAAGAAAATTTGGATCGGGGGGGGGGGGGGGGGGTTGGAAATCTAAATATTCTTAGTTTGACGGCCCGGACGGAAATGAAAACGTCTCGACAGAATTTCAACCTTGCCGCGCGAAGAACTTGTACCTATCTGTCTGTCTACTGCTGTCACTTCGCGCCCGCAGGGTCTTCGACTATGGCTCGGGAATGACAACAAGCACGGGATTGAATGTAAGCTTCGTGACCAAGAGAATGCGGTGCAATGAGGACAATATTCTGAATCAAATCAAATTCGCGCGCCCTCTTCAATTATTTACTTCATTCATTACAAGACCCTGAATTTCGGCCGAGGGCGGGCAAGGAATGACGCTGCGACGTGCGTGTCTTGGATTCTCCACAGGCGGCTCGTTCGGAGATGGATATCAACGCCCACCCGAGAGCCCGAGAGCGGTTCGCCTGGCGGTCAAAGGTCTGCCTGCCTCGTCCCGTCCTGGTGAGCTCATGAATTAACAAACATATACATACGAGAGATTGTGAGTGAGAGGGTGCGTGGTAGCGGCGATTGTTCCCAACCACGGCGGGCTTGGAACGCCCGGAGGTTTGCAGCCTTCTTCCTTTTTCGAATGTGGCGTGAGAGATAGGATTCACCTTGCATGCAGGAACTGGTCACTGGATACGCGTGGGGTGGATTCTTTTTCCAGGCAGATCTTGGCGCTGCTGCCCAGGATGCTCGGATCCACGGATCATGGGGTGTGTGTGTGCGCGTGTGAAGGAGGAGGGAAGGCTGACGGTCTGACACACGAACCCCTTACCAACAACAACAGATTGGAGCCCTCAGGGTCCTCTCTGGTCAAGATGGACAACGTACACACACGCACACACAACACGGCAGCCAGTCCAAATCTCCGGTACGATGGGACGAATAGAACGATGTGTGTAAAACTTGTTGGACGCGCAATGTGCTTGCGACGTTACTCTTGGTCAGCGTACACAGCTACCTTCTAGAAGGACAAGCCGCTGCAGCAGTGATCGCTACCTTCTGGAAAGGGAACGCTTCGAGACCATGAACTAAAATAGACAGGCGGGTTTGATCGCTCGTAGGAAACTCCTTGATTCGAGGTGTGCGCAACCGACTTGTAACTTTGTTTTCTCTTGCTTTCCCAAACCCCCTTTCCCTAATGGCCCGCGGCAGACGAGCAGATGTTGTACCCGAGACAAGCCGGCCAATCCTCGAAGCGTGCCCTGATGAGTCGTAGTGCCATGCGGGCACTGTCAGTGCTCAGGCGACAAGAAGGCCTCCGCTCAAGGTGACTGGTTAGAACGGGCCCCCGCAGCCTCCGTTCTAGTGCTGTAGCTTGCAGACCAAATCTGCAAGCCATCCTTGGTGCCACTGCAGGCTTCAGGGAGGAGGAAGGCGACCTTGAATCTTGAGAGGCCAACCCTTTTCCCTTCTTTCCTTTCTTTCCTTTATCTCGATGTCGATCGGGAGCTGAGAACCCTTGCATGAGATAACTCAGAGATGGTACCGATTCATTGAGCATAATCATCGCGTGCGTCCTTATGACCAATGAATGAACGTTCTGAGGTAGGCCCGAATCATTCGAGCAGTCGAGTTTGATAAGGGGACGGTAGAGGGGGTTCCGACTATTCTCATATGAGCTCTTCTTTATTTGCGGTTCTTTCATACCTTGCTTTTCTCCACATGCTTCGAGAGGAGCGAGCTGAATAGTGACAGGATGAGAGATCAAGCTTAGAAATTGGTGGGGAGCGGCGTTGCTTTCGGCATAAACAAAGGACGGGATTCAAGCACACAGAAGAGACTCGGTATGGGAACCGAAACACCTAGTCCTTGTCAGGACAGAGAGAGTTTGATCCGTTCGATGGGCTGGCTGCACAGAAGGTTTGCTAGCCTGCGCTGCCAACCAGCAACTTGTACTGCACTCCCCCTACTTGGATAATGGTACGAGGTTAGCCACTCCTTCTCGCCGCCGCCGCCCGAGTCGCTCGCTGCGTCCGGCGGTGCACGCCGGTTTCATGCGATTCTCTAGTCCTGCCTTAAAGTTTCTGTTCTGTCTGTCCTTATTCGACGAGGATTCATCGTCTGATGATTATGGGTGATATGGCCATTCTTGTTGATGAGGGAGAACAAGGGACGACGTCGATCGGGCTGATCTCCCTCAGTCCTGAGAATAAGCGAGGGAGCGGTTCCCTGGTCATTCTCCCTGGGATGCGATTCGTCCCCAGTGTTGCCGTGGACGGCGATCAGGTACATACCACAAGTAGAAAAAGTAGGGGAGCGAAACCCCTCCGCTCAGGTCGTCGCTGGTTCATCTGCCCTGGGCTGAGACGGCTATGGGAAAGTGAGCGGACAAGGTCAAGGGGTTCTTGGCGTGGGGTTTGGTTCAGAAAGTACCATAGCACCAAAGTACTCTTGTCACTACTACTACATGTAGTATAGTTGAGAGATAAATTTCAAAGGACTAGAAGGACTGCTCCCGACAAAGGCCAAAAACAAACGGTCGAGGTTTCTGGCAAATGGAAAGTCCCTCGAGTAGGAAAAAAAAAAAAAAAAAATCACCTGGCCACACGCCCCCGCCAATTCCTACCTTGAGTAGATTGGGGGGGGGGAGGGTACAAGGTCACCACCACCACCTGTTCCCTTTGATCGTCAAGCCGTCCCCTGTTGTGGCCCGTAGGATTCGTGATCAAGAATAGCGGGGTACCATAGTACCATAACAGCGCTGGATGCGACGGTATCCACTGTGCCTTGCATCTGGGATCTGGGACAGGCGAATGAGACGAGCGCTGTTCCTGGACGGATCCAGGCCTGGGAACGTTAAAGCGGTACATGCATATGCAAGGTGTGTGTCGGGTTCGTACTTTGTGTATGTACTAAGCTGTATGAATGCAGAACCCGCAGGTCGCAGACCGCCATTGTGGCCACCTTGGCCGGGCAACCACATGATAGTCGTTATCATTCATTGCTCCCACAGTGGTTCTTTTTTTTGTTTTGTTTCTTTCATGTGCAGAGTCCTAGGTCAAAGGCAGGAAGGGGGGAGGGAGAAGAGAGAAATACTGAGGAACATTCTCAAATCTCGCTGAAGCGCATCGTGAACACGAAGGCCGTATCTGGATGGATCCCGAAGGTCTCAAATTGGCACCTCGGAAAGCTGGGAGGGCAAGGACCAACACTTGTCTCGTAAGCCTGGGACGTGGGCCTGGCATTCAATTTGGCAGGGGTTCGAGCCCATACCGTAGTACCTTACTCCACGATCTTATGGGGCATCTCATTTTCAGACTGTCATGTGGGGTGTGACCTGCAGGACAGCATGCTCCATTCTGCAGGCCCTCGCTGCTTGATATGGCGACACCTCAATTTACAAGGGGGGAGAGAGGGAGAGGCGAGAAAGAGAGGTGCTGGGGTAAGTTTAGTTGGTTCCTCCACAGGCCCATTGTGAAAGGTGGTGGCGAGAAATGTGGAGGTCTGTACTACCACCTTACTCTGTCTGATTTCAGCATGCTATTGTATTACTCGCTCAAATTGTCATCCGCAAAGGGATTCTGTTGGATAAAGTACTTGTTCATGCTGCTGTGAACGCTTTCCTTCTTTCCCATGAGTGATAAATGTACAACTGAGCAAGCAGGTACTCTGTACTGCGCTCACCTTTTGCCCTCCTCGATTGTACTCTTCACCCTTCACTCATTTGGCAATAATATGAATAATAATTCCAGTGGCTTGGTCTGACTGCCTTATAGAAACCTATCATAATTGCTCATGCCCTCCTAGCACCGGTTCCTACATCGTAGATTCAGAAAAAGATCCGGCAAAACTGTAACCCCATCCGGCCAAGGTCGAGGGATGGGAGGCCACAGGTCCAACGTCCACACCATCCTCTGTGCATTCTACATAGTATAGCGTGCAATAGGTACTATGTAGTGGTCACTACGGGAAGTGAGGTACCGCCTTAACGGGGACCCACCCCTGCGCTGCAGACCCATGTCTTCCAGGCCCTGCTGCGCTGGGGGAGACCCGTGCGTGTTTTCCCTCACACCCCAACACTCGCTCACGCTCATTCACCCACCACCCACCCACTCTTGCCCAGAGTCCCACCCAGGTTTCTGCCAAGGCCGCCCCCCCCCCCCATCCCTCCTGCTGCTGCGGGCTGTCAACCACACACACCCGCAAACTCGGGCCAGCGGCGCTCACTTTCCCAACTCCCTCCTCGTCCGCCTCTCTTTTTCTCACCACCACCACTAAACCACCACCGTCTTCACCGTCCTCCCTCCACACCGTCACCACACTACTCTGGTCCAATTCCAGTAAGAAATCTTACATTGATTTCCTGCTTGGTTTTGACCGTCCATTCCTTTGAACTACATCCTCCCCATTTTACTTTTTCTCTACATTCTTCCTTTATTTTGAAACCTCAACGAAGCAAAAGCATTGCCTTAATTCCTCCTTGTACAGTACGCAATCGCCGCGCCTCGCCAACGGAAACTCTGGGAAGACCGCAGACCACGAGAGCACGATTCGGTCTCGAAATCATCAGTTGTCTGTCTTTCTGTCACCTGGCCGTCATCCCACCAGAGTGCTGAAGACACTTTCACTGTGATCGGACGAGGTACGACCTAAATTTCACAGCTCAACAAAAGACACCCCCCCCCCCTTCCCCCATCGCGATTGACAGCCCTCTATGGGCTGGACGGTCATTTTGTTTGCCACGTCTCTCTCTTTTTATCTCTCGCGTTTGCCCTCCTTGGGCTTGCCGTTGCGACGAGTATCAGACGAAGATACGAGACCGGGCTGACAATGATTCCGCGCACTCCACAGACAAGGCTCTGAGCAGCATAATCGTCCAATCTCTGCAGTTCAAGAAACTCTAACCGTACCTCAAGCCTTATCCGACCCGCCTCAGATCAACCCACTCCCGGGACATTCCTGCTTCGGAGGTGGACAAGGCAGGAGGGGAAAAAACCGAAAGGGAAAAGTTTACATTCGAACCAAAGCAGACGCACGCTCGTTACTCCATGTCACCACTGGTGAGCTAGTCATCGACACCCTTTGGCTGCAGCGCGGCCCTTTGGAAAGATGGCAGCAACCATTGTGCCCGACATGCCCCGCGAGGGCCGCGTTCACAACCCACGCCACCTCTCGCTTCCCATCGGCGGTATCAGAGATCTGGGAGAACCTCTCGAGACGACGGTTTCCTCGAGCCCGCCGCCGAACCCGCCCTTCGTCTTCCCATCGAAGCCAATGTCCACGTCTACGCCCCGGACTAGCGGACGACGGCCGAGGTCAGTGGTCGACCTACCCGCTCAGCCTTTAGGCGCTGGCGGTAAGAGCAGCTCGAGGCCGCTCGGCTCGCCCGACCTGCCAGCTTTCTCTTTTAATCCCGGTGCAAACCTCACCCCAACACCATCCACATCAGCGACCGATGACTACCTGAGTCCACCCCGGTCTCCCAAGTCTCCACGACTGTCTCCTGCGAGAGCAGGGCATGGTCACAAGCGTGGGGGCAGTGAGTTTGTAGGTGGTGAATATCGTTCTGGAAATGCGAGGGTTGAGGTTCTGGACATCAGCCCGACGAGATCAGACAGCGCCTTGACATCACCACAATCTGAGCCCCCTCGGCGAGGCCCCGCCCACCGTCATGCGCACCGGCGCTCTGCCGCCATGTCCAGCCACGACCTCAACAGCGTGCTGGGTCTCAATCTGCCGAAAAATCCGGCGGAGGGCTCGAGGGGCAGCAGTGCCCCGTCAAGTCCATCCGGCCCGGAACTCAACAAGCACTTTTCGTTTCCGTTGTTGCGTCCTGCAGACGTGCAGCAGCAGACAGAAACCCCTATCGAGAAGACGTTCAGTGAGCCAACCCCGGATGAGGTCGAGATATCACCCATCGCGACAAGCGAGCCCGCCTCGACGGAGCGAAAATCATTCGGAAAAGCCAGAGTCGGGTTCTCCGACACTCTTGAGTTCATCCCCAGGCCGCTCTCGTTAGTGTCCAGCGATGCTTCTAGTACCGCGACAGTTCGACCGGGCCACTCCGTCTCGGGCAGCATTTCGTCGATCATTTCTATCTCCAACTCCGTCATCTTTGAGGAGTGTGCTTCTCCCTTGGAATCGACTACGTATCAGGCTGGATCGGATTGCTCCAGACCGAGCACGGCTGGTGCGGTTCTCGATCGTACCCAGAGTCAGGCCGAGCAAGACGCAGCTGCCAGCCCTAAGAGACGAGGCTCCATGCCTTTACTAATGGACCTCTCATTATCCGCTCCCGACACCTCTTCAGCAGACCCTAGCCCGACTAAACCCTCCAAGAGGTGGTCATTCTTCGGGTTGGAGCATCTGTCCGCCTCGAGCTCACCTTCGAAATCTCGTCCCTCCAGTCTGAGTTCTGGTGAGGCCTCGAAGGATACTGATCTGGAGTCACCGCTTCCCGAATCTCGAAAAGATGCGGCAACCGAGGAACCCCGAGCTCCTGCGTCGAAAACAGCCAAGAAATCTGGAAAGAAGCAGAAAAGAGTCAAAAAGTGGGCCGGCTCCATCCTCACCAGGCCCAAGGAACACAGAGGGAAAGGCAAGAAGCCCATGCGCCGTGGACCAACTCCGCCTCCCCCGCGGCATAGCGATGAAGACGATGAGGACAATGTTTCCGACTCTGTGGACACCAAGAGCGAGCCCTCTATGCCCACTGTGATGATCACAGAACTCGACGATCGGGATCAGGAGGGGCCGGAAGCGTGGAAGCCGCCCAGACCGTTCACGGAAGACGACACCTCGTTTCCCATGATCGATCTTGATGCTGCATTGGGCCCTTTCAACACGCCTCTTCCCCGAAACGCCGAGTGGGAAGCTGCTCAGAAAGCCGGTGGTTTGATGAAGCGGCAATTGCACAGTGCTGCCGGAATGAGTCGCTTTTCTGGACCAGGCATGCATTACGTCCATCACCAGCGAGCTCAAAGCTCGCCTGAGATGCCACCATTTGAGTTCCGCCGTGGGATGAACAGATTTGGAAGCAGCTCTACGATGGCGGATGTTTTCGAAGAGGATGAAGAGGGCGACTCGGATGACGGCAAGGACAGTGGCTCGTCCACTCCTCAGCCCGAATCGGCCGATATAAGGGACAGCGAAGCCTCGAGCATGTGTGGCCCTTTCTCAGCGCGCGCCTCTGCTGAGAAACTGACGGACAACGATGCAACCCCTGTGGCGAAACGGAGGGCAAGCGATCCTGAGGACAGCAAGCCGCGGCGGACAGCCAGCATGAAGTCAATGACTTCCTACAACTCACTTCAGGCGCAAGTGATCGAGGAAGAGCTTCCTTCTCCTTCATTCAGAACGGTGGAATTCGGCGGACCAGCGCAGCAGAGATTCATTACTGTTCCCGACTCACCCATGTCCTCACCGGTCAGCCCAAGAGCACCTTTGGAGAGCAGTTCGTCGCAGCACACGACGTCGTCCTCGCTGGCGCCAATCAGCCCATATTCGACCACAGCATCCTCGTCCTTCCCATCCCCTCGATCGCCGCTCCTTTACGATGGCAACATTATCTCTACAGCTCCATCTTCAATTACCGACGACAGTTTTCAATCGCTCCTTATGGGCGAGCCAGGACCCGAAGTGCGGAAATCTCTCGATGTTCCTTCACTTGCTAGCAGCCACTCGACGCAGCCCAGGGAGAACTTGTTTGCTCAGCAGGCCGCGCACCTGAGCCGCCCGCCGGCTCCTGGTGAACGACCGGCATCGTTCAGTATGATAGGCTTTGGTAGTCGAAGAGGCAGCCTAGCTAGTCTCAGCCGACTGATCAGCAGCTCTCATGGAGAACGGAGCAAACTTTCGTTGGAGGTTTCATTCACCGGCGACTCTGAGAAGAAGTCGAAAGAGAACAAGCCAAAACGGCGACTGAGCCGTATGATGCGGTTCTGGAAGAACAAAGAGGGCGACGCTCAGGCGTAGATTTTCCAATATGACTGGTCAGCCTTCCGGGGCTTGTGAGAGCACGGACCTGCAGCATTTTCTCAACAACTCATGAACCCGGCGTTTTCTTTTTTCTTTAACAGCAGCGAATGCGACATTTGCACAAGGAGAGGAACGAATTGTATTCTAGCAAGTCCTTTTACACAATCTGAAGCCGTCGACACACGCAATCATCACCAAAGGAGGTTTCACTCATGATCTGGGCCCGGTTTATTGGCCACAGATATATTTCGAGGCGAAGATAGCATGTGGTCGAATTATTTTTCTGTCAATTCTGACGTTCAGACTTTACAACGTTTACAAAAAGCTTGGAGGGGGTGGGTTCTAGTTTGGGGAGACGAAGATGGGTTGACTGAGCAGCACTGCGGTCATGTGAGATCATTGTGATGCGAGTGGGAGAACTGACGAGGAGGGGTGAGGCGAGACAAGAACCAGACGCTCGTACCGAGGAACGCCCCGTCCCCCTTCTCATCTCGCCTTTGGCCTTGTCGATCGTTGGGTGGGGGAGGGAGATCATCATCATCCTCCCCTTCCTCCCCGGTACCCATGTGCGGTGGCTTCTTTTTCAGACATGATTTGCATGGGTTAATACCCGGGCACGCAAAATTACGTAGAGACATAATAATGATTGATGTGTAAACCTCATGACAATGTGCCTATACCCTGCGAGAGTGAACGAAGCTGGCGAGAGAGACTTTACTGTCGTACGTGTCTTGCCCGACACAACAAACCACCCATTATGTTCTTTATTGTGAAGGGCCGACCAACTCTGTTATTCTGCTCTTCTACCGTGTGTATCTTCTCATTTCTTTTCCTCACAGTGTCTCCATGCAAACATCACCGTGGCTCTTTTAACAATTGACATGTCTCTGCGCAAAGGGGGTGGTTATCTCGCTCCAGATATAAACAGACCGCCCTTCACCTTACCTCGAGCGCCCTGCTGATCTCATAACCAACACGACAAAGAGAAGGAAATAAACAGAGAATGCGCTCCCCTCTCAATACCATGTACATTCCACATCATCAGGGGGGAGGGCGGTGGAGAGGCTTCTGGGGTCAGCAGTCGTTCGCGTGTGAAGAGAGGGTCCAGTAGGACGGGATCTGCGTCCTGCTGCCGCTGTGTATGTATACATGGTACAAAACGACATAATATTGAAATGGGGGAGGGGGGGACCGCTTCTGGATCCATGTTCCTCTCTTCTGACGAGGCAATATTCAGGGGGGGGGGCTTCTGTATTGTAAAGTTGTACTATGATAGATGCCGGTCCACGGGGCCCTGGCTTTATGGGGTATTTCTCATTGTTGGGTTCTGCGGCTCCACAGAGGGGTACTGGGTCCCCCTGTAGCGCGCGATCAATAGTCAAGATACAGTGTGGCTACGAGTAGGCTAATGTACCGCGTAACTGTTGTACGTAGCCGCTGGTTGAGGGAAGGCGTGGGCCTCGGCTCCGGGCACACGGCCTGTATTCGGCTGAGTGCAGTGGCAGGCGGCGGGTGGTTGGGCAGGTATGGATGGCTTGTACAGCGTATACGCGCCAGCTCAGCAGCTCCCATGTGAAGATTCGAGACAACACCTCACCTCCCACCCGATTTCTACATCCCATATCAAGATTGCGAGAAGGGGTATTTGATCATTCTACAACACATTGTGGACACGCCGCCCAGCCAGCCGGAGCAAAAGAAGTACCATCATCACCACTCTTCGTACCAGAGAGAAGACCAGAACACGCCATGTCCGGCTCCTCGTCGCGTAACGCGGCCAAGAGGCTGCTGAAAGAGCTCGATACCTGGCGGTCCGAGGCGCCAGACGAGGAGGGCATCGAGCGGCTGGGCCCGATCGACGAGGGCGACCTGCTGACGTGGGAGGCCGTGATCAACGGCCGGGGAATTGGTGGAGGGTACGATGGTACGACTTAACCCATTCTTCTCTCTCTCTCTCTCTCTCTCTCTCTCTCTCTCTTGTGTGTGTGTGTGTGTGGAGAAGAAATAATGTGCATATATATAGCTAACTCGTTCCCTCAACAGAAGGTCGCTGGCTCCTCTCCATCCTCCTCCCACCCAACTATCCCCTCGCCCCACCCCAGATCCGCTTCATCACTCCCATAGTGCACCCCAACATCAACCTCGACACGGGCGAGATCTGCCTCGACCTTCTCGCTGACGCCTGGACACCGGCCTACAGCGTGCTCGAGACCGTGCGCGCCGTGCGGGGCGGCCTGCTCCCTCACCCGGAGGTCGACTCGCCGCTCAACGTGGACGCCGCCGCGCTGCTGCGGGGCGGCGATGTTCTCGGCGCGCGCAGGCTTGTTGAGCTTTGGTGTAGCGAGGGAGGCCGGTATGAGGGGCTATGAGAGATGAGGTGGGGTGTGCGTGTGTGGTTCTGCTATAAGAGGGGGGAGGGGGGGGGGGGCAGATTGGGAATCTGGGATGACGACAGTGGAACGGGAGTATCTGGTTTCTGGGTTTATACTTTTTCTTTCTTTTTTTCGTCTTTGGAGAGCGAAGGGGGTCTCTTTTGTTTGCGCATAGCACTGATATATCATAATCATGGACACTGAGGAGCCGGAGGGAAAGGGGCAAAGAATGAGCACGATCTAGGAGAGGATAAGAACTGAGATAGCCAATGGAATATAACGATGTCATGATCAAGATACCGAGAAAGGCTTTCTAATGCTATTTGCGCCTGTCGTCCTGAGGTGTATCCCAAAGCCAAACAAACGCCCCCCCTCGGGCAGCTGCTGTACACCTCGTATGTTGTACATACCAAGGAGCAGGCCCTCCTTGTTCCGTTACCAGACGATGTTCCCCGTTTACCAACGACGTCTCATCTATGCATGCCCTTTTTGTTTTTGCCTGCGGGTCCCAACTCCCCTGCTGCCACCGCCGCCTCCTTGGTCCGTTGTCATTCCCAAGCCTGCGCCCTTCTAAGAAGGCATGAGGGAACAAGGTAAAGATATAAAAACATGTTTTGCTACCAGAATCGCACCACCGCTATGTTATCCGGGCGTAGGTGCCTTTCGCCCGAGCTTTTTGTTTTCCTGGGGCGCTCAAGTCCTTCCCGAAAGTGACGGGAATGTCTCTTGGAGGTAGACTCACTCCAAATGGTTGATGATAGTTTGACTGGCCATTGGTGATCTTGAAGCAGATGTAGTTCAAAGGGTAATTGGACAGATATCATTCATTGTAGTGGTAGACCTGCGCCAAAAGTTCATTAGCGACAATTTTAGACACAATAATCAGTATCGCAAAAAGAATAATGCTGCTGCTCACAAGATAATTCGGCAAGCCAGTCGAAGCCCAGCCAAGTCGTTTTGCCATCTTCGCAAAACCCTCCGTCTCGATCAGATGGTAGAAAGCAAAGGGAGGGAACATGGCCCCGTCTCGATGCACATCCGCCTTGACCAGGACTGCCGTACCGCCAATTCCGTCCAGCTCGACCTCGGTGTGCTTGTCTGCGCGGTCATCGTACATGTAAGCCATGAGCGCCCGAAATGTCGCCATGTCCGCGTAACCCTCCAACAGGATGTCGTCCTTCTTCATCTTGGACGCAAGCTCTTCTGCGGTGGGACTGTCTACCCAGTTATTGAAGTCGTAAGGCCTCTCGGCCATGGCGTGCTTGTTGTCGTCGTAGTACTTTTGGAAGCAGTTCGGGACCACAATCGGCTTGTCGTGCATCGCGAGATCTTGTATAAGGTTAGGTGGCGTCTCGACGATGTCGGCATCCAACCAGAGGACCCATGATACCGACGGACCCAGCGTAGTGAACAGAAGCGAGTTGCGGGCTTTGGACATGGCTGCGCGCCGTGGCTTCTGGTTCTGCATCTTATGCCTCTCACTCTCATCTTGCGATGCCAATGGCGGGTCGAAATCCTGCCGCAGGATGATGATGCTCTTGAAGCGGTCCTTCTCGGCTGCCGACTTCTGGGTCTTGGATATTTGCGCCTGGAGGAGGGATGTCGCCTCGTTCCCTTCCTTATTTTTGGGCAGGATGAAGCCTAGCGTGATGAGCTGGTGTGGATAGGTAAGCCTCATCAGGTTGTCCCAGTACTCCTGGTAGAACCTGGCCATCGGGGTGAGGATCAGGACATTCTCGTTGTTCTCGATCGGGTTTGGAGAAATCGTGACATTGTTAAGGTTGTAATGCGTAACGGGCGGCGGTGCGGTTCTGCCATTTTTGTTGGCCTTGGGTTTTCGAAAGGGAGACGTAGGCGGAGACAATGGATGAGAGGCGACGATGGGCTTCTTGACATGGGCAGAGGAGATGCTGCCGCCAGTAGCAGCTGAGGGGGTCATGAGGAAGTAGAGAATGAAGATGCACAGGACCGCACCAATGGCGAGAGTCACTGGGTTCGTCTTCTTGAGGCGAACCGGGCCCATAGGACGCGCCATGATGGATCAGATGTGCCCTCGCTCTCAACCCTTTTGTCTCGTCGTCTTGTGTTCAAGGACCTGGTATGGCAGCGGCAGACAGAGGAGCAGAAGCGTAGAGTTTGACCTCTACTATGATCTGCCAACTGGCCTGTGTCGTAGTCTCAACCCATTAACAGTGCAGTTGCGCTCGAGGCAGAACAGCGAAGAGAGGGAGGAATGGGCGGGTGGACGGAGGGACGGAGGGCGGGATATTCGAGGGTCCGGAAAGCTGGCAAAAGCAACTGTCAGAGCTGCTGGCACAGACACGCACAGGGAGAGCCTCTAACTTGGCAGATCTGAGGGTTCAACAAACTGGAGTTGTCAGCTGTTGTGAGACTTGTATTGCTGCTGAGAATGGCCTCAGCGCAGGGTAGGAGGACACGATGTGTGTGCTTGGCTGAGCTTGTCAGCAGCTGGGTAACACATGCAAGTTTACAAGAACAGGGGGAAGAAGCGAGGGTGTCAGTGATGGAGCACCCTATCCGTGATGCCGTGCTCCTGTCCACAGGCGGTTTAGTGGATGGATAGGGTTTAAGTCATCCGTTCTGGTTCCAGCATAGTGGGTGGACCCCTGAAGGCGCCCTACAGCCCGTGCCCTTGCCTGCAACCGACAAGCTACGCCTGCAGGGATAGGGCTGTATTGATCGAATTATTCCACAATCACCATGCAACCAACACTTTCCATTCTCACCACCTAACTTCGTATCAACCCCCATCGACATCCTCCTCTCTGCTGCAAGGTACATTGCCTCTGCTACATTCTGACGATCAGGTGACCCTGTGCCGTCTCTCTGCAGAACGCGCTTATTCGTTCTCCCATGCCATTCATTCCATGTGATTCAAGATGAAACTAGTTGGTGAGTCCCAAATCAGGACAAGCTCCCCCATCTCAAAAGCATTATGTGCTAATGACGGTTTTTGTTTTCTACAGATGTGGCTCTCAACCTGCTTATCGCAGCAGTGGTCATTTTGCACCTGATAGCAGCTCCATACACAAAGGTTGAGGAGTCTTTCAATATACAAGCCACACATGATGTCTTAGTCTATGGTGCACCTGGCTTCTTCACCTGGGGCTCTCTCCGCCCAGCCCTCACACAGAAGCTCTCCAGCTTTGACCATGTCACTTTCTCTGGAGCTGTGCCAAGAACCTTTATTGGGCCACTCATTCTGGCAGAGTTCAGCCGATACATAATCCCCATCTTTGGGTTTGAATATGCTCAGCTCATCGCGAGGGGCCTGCTGGGCCTGTTCAATGCCTCAGCTCTTGTCTTCCTTAGGAATCAAATACACAAGGCGCATGGCTCTACAGCTTCACAATGGTATGCTGCCCTGCAGGCAAGCCAGTTCCATATCATGTTCTATGCTTCTAGAACACTGCCAAACATGTTTGCGTTTGGACTGAGTAAGTAGTATATGGCAACTACCTAGAGAGAGCTATGAACGAGCCACCCCTATTAGGAGGCTAACAAGATCAATAGCAACATTTGCCTTTGGGCTCCTACTTCCTTCGAACAACCCAGCCAGGACCAACAATAGGACCAAGCTGTCTTTGATGCTGTTTGTCTTTTCTGCTGTGGTGTTCCGCTCAGAAGTTGCTCTCCTGCTGGCCTTCAATGCATTATGGCTGCTCATCATCCCTCTCGCCTCCCTGAGCCAAATTATACCACCTTTCACGGTTTCTTTCATACTGGCACTGGCTGTGTCCATCCCTGTGGATTCCTACTATTGGCAGAAGCCACTTTGGCCAGAGTTATGGGGATTCTACTACAACGTGGTTCAGGGATCCTCATCAAACTGGGGAACCTCCCCGTGGTACTACTATTTCACATCAGCCTTGCCGAAGCTGCTGCTCAACCCGTTGGTGATCCCCTTAATAGCAGCAGCCTTCTACTTTCCAGCATACAGCCGCATGGCACAGCGTCTGGTCATCCCCAATCTCCTGTTTGTGGCTGTTTACTCCCTACAACCTCACAAAGAGGCCCGCTTCATCTTTTATGTGGTCCCACCCCTTACTGCAGCCGCTGCCCTCGGTGCCACCAGCCTCACAACTGCTTCAGCCCCGAAGAAAGACAAAGGGCAGTCGAAGGAAAACGGTGCCTTTCTCCAAACCTTTACTACGTTGACCCTCCTACTATCCATTCTCGCTACTTTCCTTGTCAGCATAGGCATGCTTTTCGCCTCCAGCTTGAACTATCCTGGCGGCGAGGCCTTGACTGCCTTGAATGCCCTCATCCGCAGCGACCAGAACACCATACCCTCGGCACTGGTCACGGTGCATGCTGATGTCCTAAGCTGCATGACAGGCGTCACGCTCTTTGGTGTCGCCGGCGGAGACAATGTTCCGACACGACACAATTTCATCAACGAGGGGGGTGTCGTGGTCGCCGAGACCAGTGGTGGTGACCAGGACAACAAGCCCGCGGCATGGCTGGTGCTCGACAAAACAGAGGATGAGACCGTGCTGAGCGACCCCAACTTCTGGCTGCGCTTTGACTACCTGCTCGTGGAGGACGAGTCGGCCGTCACGGCCGGCCAGTGGGATACCATCGCGGTGGTCGAAGGCCTCGCCGGCACCGAGGTCTTGAGACCTGGGACAGAGCCCAAGCAGAGCGAACCTGCAAACGTACGACGTGTTGGCAGAGGCGCGTTTTACACTGCGCTGCGAGACCGAGTCCGTCAGTGGACGGGCGGTTGGTGGGCCGGTCCCCGGCTGGCGCCCAAGATCCGCATCATGAAGCGCGTAAAGGAGACGGCGGCCGAGGCAGACCGGGCTACGAGGCAAACTGTGGCCGTTGCATAGGAGCCAAGCCCTGCGTCGTGAGCCCCCTCTTTTTTTCTTTCTTCTCCTTTTTCTCCTTCACTTTTTCCGCCTTTCTTTTCATCCCTTTCTCATTGATATTCTTGCTCACGTTGCCTTTCGTACTAGGCGACTATTGCAAGACATATACATACCTGCCACTACCACTCTTCTTCCAGAGAATATCGAAGGGGAAAGGGATGGATCGATCAACCGATCATGACATATTGATGATCTGTGTACCATATAGTTAAAGGAGGGGTTGGGCAAATGGGCAGCAGGAGGTTATATTTCTTAGACATTGCATCCGCAAGGCGTCCTGGCACTTAGGCAAGAGCCGATTTTCTTATTCTTTCCAACTATTTCTTTCTATTTTCTTCTGAATAGATTCTTTGTCCATTTCACTCAACTGTGACTCGATCGCCAACCCTAACAGTCGGGTTCTGTCCCTCTCTAGTAGTGGGGACTGTTGTCGTCCCACCACCCTGTTGCTGCTGCTGCTGTACGTGGCACATATGTGTGCCAAAGAAGACCTTGCCATCAAACCTCCTCGTCTTGGACAGCGTCACGAATGGCTCCTCCCCTTTCTCTCCCGTCTCCTGGTTGACACAGACCATGTGGCAGCGCCGACAGGATCCAAGCATCTTGAATGCCTGCTGTCCGATGCGTATGCTGGACCAATTATCCTCGGCGTAGGCCATTTCGGTGTCCTTGAAGGTACCCGTGCCATCACCTGGTAGGGCGGCAGTGTCGAGGACGATGTTCGCTCTGAACACTGCAGCAGAGACCTCCCTGCCGCCACGACCGACAATCTCCCTGTTGAGGGCCCGCAAGCTAACCATACTGACAGCGAGGATGGGTGACTCGTTCGAGAGTAGGATCCTCCGCCGCCCCTTGTCCTCGACGTCGGAATCTGGTGGTGAAGGGGGGTCAGCAGAGAGGCGCATGGGCCGATACGAGGAGGTGCCTGTTGTGTCGTTGCTCGAGGAGTAGTGTTTTTGGTGCTTCTGCAGGTGGGCCTTGGAATGTCTTGCGCTCTTGTCGTCCTCCTGCCCGCCGGCTGGGAACCGTGCAAGCACGCATGGCACCCCGAGCACAGCTGAGAAGAAATTGTTGATCTCCTCTGGGACGTATGTTTGGGCTAGGATTTCCTCACCGCAGACACGGCTCGAGAGAGACTGATGGGGAGCAGATGGTGAAGGTGCAGGTCGGAAGAGCGCCGGGTTCGATGACAACGGTACTCTGATCTCCTTGGGCTGTGCTTGATCAGGCATTCGTCCAGCATATGTTACTATCAAATATCCCGATTGGAAGTCCAACACAGGTCGGATAAGAGCCATGTTGGTGTAGCGCTTTTGGCTTAATGCTTGCCCCGTGCCTTGGTGAAGTAGACACCACTCCCGGTCCCAGGCAAGACCCTCAGGCCGGACTTCCCAGTCGGTATTCCTTGGGACTAGAAATCCAGCGCAGCTTTTGATAGGATAAACAGATATGTCCGAGACGTACATATCGTGGACTGCCTTTGTCGTGACAAGACGATCCTCACGCGGTATCTCAAACGACAAGTATCTATCGCGATAAAACTCGTCAACAAATGCGACAAATCTGTCAACGTCTGCTACGGTGCTCATCGCACCCAGGCTCGCCCTGACCACCCCAGTGGGCTTCCCAGCAATGATATCACCCTCAGATCCGCAACGAAACCCGGCTGAGAAGTTCCGCCTAATCTCCCAGGGTTGAAGCTTTAGGGCTGAGGCGATGCCTCCCGGATTGCATACCCCTCCTGTTCGGATATGGAAGCTTTTCAAGCTTGCTAGCTTCTCAAATTCAGCGAGGGAGATCCATGCACCGGCGTGATTGCGTATGTTGAATGCTATAATGGGGCCAGGAGAGGGGTTTGTTGTGGATGATCGAACCTCCGCGGCCTCTGTTGAGTAGATAGTGCAGACTCGCGTCCCGTTGCAATGAAGCAGACCCTTAAGCCCGGCATACAAACGTTTCGTCAGGCTGGAGACGTGCGAAGCCGTGTCTCTCATGGAACCGAACAGCTCCTGGTGCGTACGCATGGCGACATCGAGAGCAATGATGCTATGAACAGGCAAGGTGCCATCCTCGAGACGCTCGTGAAGACGATGTTCCTTGGGTGCATGCCACTGCTCCTTATGACATACGACTGTCTCCACAGTGCCTCCGCCAAAATACTTCCTGAAGGCAAAGGCGGGCTCTGCCTGCCGTCTGACGATCAAGGCGCCCATATCTGGGAAGCCGAAGATCTTGGAGAAGCTGACCACTGTGAAGTCTGGTGCTGTTTGGGAGTCGCCAAGATCCAATGGAGATGTCGCCGCCAGCGCTGCAGCGTCCAAGAGGGTGAAGAGGGCACCGCCACCAGGACATTTCTCAAGGCTCCGCGCGCGACCTGACCATTCCAGTGGATACCTGCTACCGTCCATGTTTGACTGTCCAGGATAAGCGAAGAGCAACGTTGACGAGGGTCTTCCCTCAACAGGAAAAAGACCGCCGCCATCGAGCCAGTCCTCAACCTGAACATCGTCGAGACAAAAGCTTTCCCGAGCCTCTGCCCGGACACCAACAAGGCTGGTGTGAGACGCCTGGTGATAGACATAGTCGAAACCACCTGGGGTGGCCCTCAACGCCTCAGCCACCAGCTTAATCGCGGCGGTTGCGTTGGCGACGAAGACCAGATCGAATTCCCCAGGATTGGCATTGAAAAATTGCAGGGCCCGAAGTCGAGTATCTTCAATGCGGCGAGTAGACAGCTGAGAAGAGGGCGAGATTGAGTGTGGATTCCCGAGAAGGCTACTCGTCATCTCACTGGAAAAACGGTCTATCAGGGACTTTGGGTATAAAGTTGTACCTGCATGGTCGAGATAGACGGAATCTGATGTTATGATGTGAGCCATAGCTGCCACCGAGAAGATTCTCTCAACACAATTGAGCAACTGACCTTTCAGCATGGGATACTCGGCATCCCGGAACCCCCCGACTTTAGCATTATAACCTTCCAAGCCCTGAGGCAGACCCATCTTGCCCTCCAGAGACTGCCCTACCAACCTCTGTCACAGTGGACATCTGGGCACTTATCGATGTTGCCTGGAGGGGGAATGGGTCGCCGATGTCTCCAGTAATAAAACTGATTCTCTTGGATGATATGGCGCCTCTTCCTCTGACAGCGGAAATGATGGAACTGGTTGATTGGTAAAATGGCCAAGGAGACGAACGTTTGTCGACAGAACACGAGCCCCACGCCGGCGTCGATTGAATCTGCTTCTGGAGTAAATACTATCCTCTGCGCTTGAGATAATTCCGACGTAGGCTTGCAAAGCAATGGCGGCTGAGTGTCAAAGGAGGACCAATTCGAAATTGAATAAGTAGAGAAATGAACCAATCAGGCTGAGGTTAAGTCATGATGGAGGCAAACGATGAGGACAGGGTAAGTCTCATAAATATGTCGAGATAGTACAAGGAGAACAGAAAGAAATGCAGCGTGAGGAGACGTCGTCATGCTAAGACTTTACGCAGCAGCACTGATAAGGAAGAAGAGGGCTGTTAGTTACGAAGTAGTGACGCCCATCTTTTTTTCACTCCATAGTACTAATCAGCGTGACCGCTGCCTTTGTTCTTTAGCCTCCGGAGATCGCCACCGCCCGTGGTCCTGGGTGTGCTGCTGTGCTGTGTTGCGTTGTCAAAAGATGCGCTGTTATCTTGGGGGGAGGCCCCCTGTATCCCAGTCGCGTTAGAAGGTCTGGACAGGACACGACGGCGCAACTAAGTGCCAAAGCTGGGCTAAGCCACTACTATTCCATGGCCTCGGGCCACTAACCCCACTTTCCCTCCCAGGCCGAGCCCCCTCCCCGGATCCTCGGGGAAGAAAAAGATGCAGGGAGAGGCGCCTGGGGGGGGATATAAGCTTAGGGTTGGGGTTACAATTCGCGTGCTACTACAGTAGTAAGTACTCCACCCAATTCAATTTACCGAGACGCGTCGCGCTGCTGCTGCAAGACGCGACTTACAGATTTCAAGAAACGCGATTTCCTAGAAAGCCCAAGTCCCACAATTGGTTCTTTCTCACAGTTACTGCACCCTCATCTTTCTCGACTCTCTCCTTCCTTGTTTACCACGTCACCATATACTACGCCTTCCAATTCCTCCTCGATACGTCATTTACCACAGCCAAAGCACCTTTCCAATATGGCGGCGAGCGTGCTAGGGAAGAGGACTCGCGAGGCAGACCTCCCCACCAAGCGCACCAGACGCCTGACACGCAGCTTCCACGAGAACAATGACGAGAACGAGTTTCCTATCACGCCTTTGGATGTGTCCGACGTCGAGGACGAGGACTCCGAGGACGAGGAAACCACATCGTTCAGTCCTGCCGTGACGCGCACCCCATCCGCACGCAGGACCAAGAACATCTACAAGCTCGAGGCTGTCGACTATCGTGAGTGCATGTAATAAGTGAAGTAATCATGAACCACTGTCACTAATCTTCCATTTCTCTTTCTCCCTCCCTCTGATAGCCATTAAAGCTCCGATCACACCTTCTACGCCTCGCCATCGAGATGTGTTCGCAGGACCGCCTGTCACTCCCCGTCACCGGGTCATGCCCGTCGGCAGACTCTCGCGACGGATGACCCCGAGGACACCCCTTACCCCTGTGGCGGCACAGACCATCTATCACCAGGCGCGCCAGCTCTTTTCCCGAAGTGCAGACCCAGGGCAGCTTATAGGACGTGACGATGAGCGCCACAGGCTGCGTGACTTCCTCGGCCGCCACGACTCTCCGCAGCCGCATGGCTGTCTCTACGTCAGTGGGCCTCCAGGCACCGGGAAAAGCGCTATGGTCAACGAGATCACCAATGAGGTCATTTCAGAGTCGTCTTCTTCCGCCCGCAAGGCCTACATTAATTGCATGAGCATCAAGTCCTCGAGAGATCTATACATCACCCTGGTGGAGCTTCTGTGCGATGGGTCCGAGATGGAGGAGGAAGAAGACGCAATCACAATGTTGCAGAAGAGGTTTACGCCCAAGAAAAAGAGCCAGGATGTATTCGTGGTAGTCCTTGACGAGATCGACCACATCTTGTCGTTGGACCTGGAGAGCTTATACCGAGTGGTCGAGTGGTCGATGCAGAAGTCCTCGCGCCTCCTGCTTGTTGGCATTGCCAACGCCCTCGACCTGACGGACCGCTTTCTCCCGCGCCTCAAGTCTCGCCACTTGAAGCCAGAGCTTCTGCCCTTCCTCCCATACTCAGCGGCCCAAGTCAAAGCGATCATCACGAAACGTCTCAAGAGCCTCCTGCCGATGGATAAGGCTGACTTAGACTTCATCCCTTTCTTCCATCCGGCCGCGATCGAGCTTTGCTCTCGGAAGGTGTCGAGCCAGACCGGTGACCTGAGGAAAGCTTTCGAGATTTGCCGGCGCGCTCTAGATCTGGTTGAAAATGAGACCCGGCTCAGCTTGGAGAATGACGCCAAGGAGCAGTTCCTACAGATGACGCCCTCTCGGAAGGTCTTGGGCGAGATGAACAACCAGCCATTCTCGGGGAGAAAATCCGCTGCTGGGACGGAAAAGAGCGTCACATCCATCCTAGCCCAATCCATCCACTCCCTCACGGCCGAAAGTGCCCCGCGCGTCAGCATCTCGCACCTCAATAAGATCACATCGGCTGCCTTTAGCAACGGTACCAACCAGCGCCTCAAGGCTCTAAACCTGCAACAGAAGGCCGCCCTGTGCGCACTCCACGCCCTGGAGCGAAGGAACCGTGAGGCCATCCGGACCTCGACACCTACGACACCCGGCAGATCGGCCCCCAACACACCATCCTCCAAGACAAACATCACAGCGCCGACCATCAAGACTCTCTTCGACACCTACGCCGTTCTCTGTAAGCGCTCCGATGCCGTAGCCCTGCACCCGCTGTCCAGCTCTGAATTCCGGGAGGTAGTCGGCAGCCTGGAGACGCTCTCGCTCGTGGCCGCCGTGGATGGGAAGAATGGCTCTTTCGTGTCGACTACCTCACAACCGATGACGCCCGGCGGACGCAAGGCAGGGAGGAAGGCTGCCTTTGTAGGCGGCGGCGTCGACGACAAGAGAGTGGCGAGCTGTGTTGGAGACAGAGAGATTGAGCAGGCGGCCGACGGTGCTGGGGCTGATATTCTGAGGAGCATTCTGAGCGGAGAGGCGTTGGACTGATTTTTTCCCTCCTTTTCTTTTCTTTGCTAAGCATCGCATTACGTTGGATCGTATTTCGCATTTGCATGGCATTGCTGATACGATAGACGGGGTTCGTTCACACACAACCACAGCATGGACAGACAGAGAATGAATGGTCCGATAGAGGCAAAGGGTTGTATAGTTACATTGCTTGGAGTATGGTCCATTCTTATTTTTACGGAGTTTGGGAGGTTGAAAATACCCACTACGCACAGAGGCGTGCGTAAGTCAAATGCAGACAGAACAACAACAAGATAACACGCAATTTGCTCACAACATTCCACAAATGGACCAATCGGATTGATGGCCCGTTGAACTCGTTCATTGTGTTGGGAATCTGCCTCTATTAAAAGTATCTAAAGCAATTTGTAAACGTGAATATGAACAGCAGCAGCAGCAACATGCCCAGCCTCGCAAAATGATAACATTTCGGACCCCCTCTCAAACAGAGACTGACTGCAATGATGGCACACGCAGGGCAAATTGCTGGTTACAACAGAGTACAAGCAGAAAACTCGTGTCATAATAAAACCACCACCATCACCTCGTGTGCACACATGGAACACCCCGTCGGGTTCCTGAGCCTCCCGCCCAGGCCTACTCTGCAAGCCACTTCACAAAAACGTCATCTGATAGTCCGGCTCCTCCCAGCTCGGCAGGTTCTGCTCACTCGATGTGGCCTGGACGAGCGCGCTGATTATCGTAATGCCCAGCCCAGGCACGTCGTCCGGGTCGACACTGGTCCCGTCGCTCTTGGAAGCGCTGACATGCAAGTTCGTATTGAGGAAACTGCTGATCTCGTCTGGCTCTAGGGAAGAGATCGTGCCATCTGCCATCTTATCGACCAGGGCTCTTGTCAGCGGCACCGTGCTGGAGATGTACTGCGCGCCGGGAGTCATCTGCATTAGGCTCGCGACGGAGGGCGGGGAGGCGAACACGCCCATGGAGCCAACATGGCAGGAAGAAGAGGTAGAGGATGATGATTCGAAAGACAGCTGTATCGAAAACGGGCCATCGAGGCCCTGTCTCTCAGCGCGGATGTTAGCGATCCATTCTCGGTACTGCCCCTGATCGGAGATGATCCTGTTGACCGGCAATGACTGATCTGACTGGCGTTTTGAGGCGGCGTAGGAGTAGCTCTTGTGATAATCCCGAAGAGGGGATGGTAAGGAAGAGTATTCCGAGCGCTTCGAGTTGAGTGACATGGTATTTACACTATATCTGCCGTAGAGCTGGGTGATGGAGGAGGCTACTCCTGCCCGTCCTGCGAGGACCGAAGTCAAGTTTGAGAGGGAAATTCCTACCATCTCAGGGTACGTATACCCCAGAGCTGTGGGATCGCGAAGCATATCTGAGTCCCAAAAGGTTCCATTAGAAGAGGCATAAAAGGGCGTCAGCGGCGTCGATGCCTCCAGGACCTGACCGGCAGAGGTCGTGTAGGAGTTGTACCTCGCAATCTCGGGGGCAATCCAGGCTGTCGGGTGCATCACCTGCCACAGGGAGAGGAGGCGGTCTATCATGCAATGGTGGAGGAAGAAGACGGGGTCAAAGGCTGAAAAGGGCACAATGGTCATGTGCCCGTCTGAGCCGCCGAGCATGGAGTGAACATTATCGTGGAGGGACTCGAGCGAGTCGTATTGGGATGTATCTGCCGCCCAACCTTCATTGCTGAAAATGGTGTAGTTGTCGTAGCTGGAGAAGAGATTGTAAATTCTTTGTTGATTTTGGACCATGTGGCTCATCAAATCCTGGTTAACGGCCGAGTTGTTGGATGGGCTGTCCGGGCTCTCGTCTGGCGGAGCCCTCCTCGTGCTGTCCCAGTCTGCCCATGGCGTGATATTGAAAAAGACAGAAGAGTTGGGAGGGTTGAAGGCGTAAGTATAGAGAGGGTTGGCGATCGTCTGCACCCCAGCTGGCCCCGAGATGTTCATCGTAGGCGAGTCTCCGACGCTCGCAGGAAGAATCCCATCGCCTTCTGCTGGAATTGCTGCCCAGTCAAGGTAGGGTGCTCTGCAGTCGGCAGCCGCAGCCTCAAAATCATCTCTGAGGCTGCTGCTGTACAGCGAGGCTATGAACTGGGCTCGACTACAGAGCTCTTGCTGTTCGACGGCACTCGCATGTCAGTTTAAAACATGGTTGTCATACTTTTGTTGTTACCACAGGCGGGAAAAGATGTTGAGATTGTCTCACGTACTTCATACAAGGCCACGTACGCACGATGCCACGTGGGAAAGAGGATATCCTGGTGGTGACAGTAACCGGAATTTTCATTGCCAGGCGTGGGCAAAACGCCATTCCATGACTGAAAAGGTACGCCATGTATGCTGGTGATGGCAAACCACGAGGAAGGGTCCATCTGATCCGTGTACTGCATCATGTCCAAGGCGAGGATGTACAGTGACCATTTGTTCGCATCCTGCTGGAGATCCCGGATCTCAGATCGGACTGGGACAGAGCCATCTGCACTCAGAGGCATGCCGGTAGTGACAATGGTATTACTTCTTTGGCGCTTGGCCTTGAGGGCCTTGGTGACATCAAAACCATAGTCGTAAGAAGTGCACAGGACCATAGAAATCATGCAACAGCATATGATGCTGAGATTGCAGATTCTGGAACCCTGACGCAGTCGAGGTGACATTGTATTTCTCCCACTTTGAGAATTGTATGTGTCTCTGTCTTTGTCTTTCTCTCTCTCTCTTCTCAATTTAGGGAAGGGCCAATGTGCAGTGAGTGTGCCAGAGTGTGAACCAGTAGAGTTCGATACTCGGGAGGAAGTGAAGCGACTGTGACATAAGGGTGCGTGTCTGAATAGGGAGCTGAGCGTGCCCGCCTATTGCGACGTAAACAGGTCGATATCGAGCTGCTATGTTGAAATTAGATACACCAAATGAATGCGCGACCGAAAGAGTGATTTCGAGACAGAGGGTGGCAAAGACGGGAAACACGAGGTGACGTCGCTTTGGTGAAACTTGTGAGAAAGGAAAAGGAAATGAGTGACAAGAAGAGAAATTGGATCGGACAAAAGGAGGAGGAAGTCGGCCGTCGAAATCGGCGTCGAAGGTTGAGTGAGGGCGAGAAAAAGAACGAGTCTGGTAACTCGAGACGCAAGAGAGCGAGAGGCGGAAGAGAAGAAGGACGGGAAGTCAAGCGAGATGAGCCAGGAACTTGGTCAGACCCTAATGCAGGAGGAGTTTGAGGAGGTCTAGGCTGTTCATGTTATGGCCGTACTCGGGTGCAAAACTAGGAAAAGAAAGTAGAGGAAGAAGGAGGGGGAAGGGGAGGAGGGGAACGGGGGGGGGGGGGAGGGGGATAAGAAGCAAGATTTCAAAAGCAACTTCACACGGCAACTACGCACCACCCTGGCAAGCTGGGACTAATCATGAGTAGGGACGCACTTTCCTAACTTCTAAGTGCAGGACTGTTTGGTTCGCACGCAGGCAGGCGCTCTCAGCCATTGGGATATGAGATCATGTCTTCCCAAGGTTGTGGTAATATAGATGCCCGCTTGTCTCTGAAGAGAGGGGAAAAAAGCGCCGCCTTAATTATCGCCCGAGGCGTCTTGTTTCTGTTGAGGTTACGGGACGAGGACGGGAGATTTGCCCAAGACATCAAGGCAGATGCTCTCAGCATAGCATATAGGAACAGAGGACAGCCGGCAAAATACATCCGATTTCACCGTTGTACACAATGGCGGACCCGTCATGCAAGGTGCCTTGATGAGGTGTGATGTCTGTGTCACGTTGTCCCCAAAAAGGAGAAGTATTTTGTTGTACACTGTACACAGAGTCTCGAGTATGTTTATTATATCGGTGGATGGCTGGGTTGTAATATGAAGTCTTGACCGTCCTCGATTATGATAATCATTCCGCATATCTGAACTAAGTAGTAATGCCGCTTAAAATTGATAAATTATATACGCTTTCTGCCTTACTTGTTTCTGTCTTTTCGAATTCTTACGGGGGTCTAATGGGCAGACTCAAGTGCAGGGAATGTAGACTGGAACGGGATTCTTCAACTAAGTATTTACAGATTCTTATCTGTGCTCCTGAATCTCGAGCAACAGGACGTTCCTGGGCATTGGGTAATCATTGCTTACTTGGTCAACCTGGGAGGAGAGCTGCTCGTAAACATGATATTGCTGCATGTAGATATACTTATGAGCTGATGCAGATGGACGACTTCAATCCATCTCAATATGTACATATCAAAGCTATAAAAGCCAATAATTACTTGAATGTCGCACATGTCCAAGTCCAAAATTATTTCGTTAATCCATCGTCTTGTAATATTACGATAACCAAATCAAGTCAGCTGATGACGTCTCGTTCTCTTCTCCCAAGTCATTAAAAGTATCAAAATGTCAGCCACGCATGACACCATGATACCTCAACTGGTTAACTAAGCCAATAACAGTCCATCATCTGGGCAGCTCGCGTTGCATTGCACTCGGTCAGAACTTCAAATCAAAAGTCACGCCATTCAAAGTTTCTTGTCGAAATGTCCTACCGAGCTTCATTGACAGTCACTTTCGCCTACATGCCATTTGATGAGAACATCGCATGCTCACAAAATACTGTGTAACTACAGCACAGAATCCTTCTTCACTCCATGGCTCTCCACTGTGCTAGCAGTGTGTCTCCGCTCCTGGAACGGATGTCGTCGCTCCTCACGACTACAAGTTGGGCCGCCTTCGTCTGGCTTGGCGTTGGATTTCTTATCCTCTCCTACAACCTCAGTGCTCTCTACACCTGGAACCGCCTACGAGCCATTCCAGCGGCCTCATGGACCGCTCACTTCTCCTACCTGTGGTTGGCTAGAAACACCTACTCGGGACGACAATACTGGATACATCGGGATTTGCACAAACGACATGGACCTCTGGTCCGCGTGGGGCCCAATCAACTCGTGACAAACGAGCCTGACGTCGTGAAGATGATCTCCGGCACCAACAGCAGCTGGGTGCGCGACTCTTCCTACATCACGGGTAGGCTCAACCCGTACTACGACAATTTGTTTAGCCTGCTGGACCCCAAGGAGCACAATCTAGCCAAGTCTCGCACCATTGCCGCATACAGCGGCCGCGAGACGCCTGATCTTGAGATTGGCGTGGACAGCCAGGTCAAGACCCTGATCGACACAATCAGGACTAGATGTGCCACTCCTTCGGCGGACTCGCCGGTGCCCCCTCTACTTGACCTGGGCACAACGAGCTGCTACTTCACCATGGACGTCATTACGAGGCTTGCGTTTGGCAGCGCCTTCGGATACCTGCGTGACAACAAGGACCATCATAATTTCTTGGGCAGCATTCGTGAGCTGTGGCCTCGCATGTCGGCGTGTGCGGATGTTCCCTGGATCAGGAATTTCTTGTTCTCTCGGCCGTTTCTAAAGCTGATGGGTCCGAAGCCGACGGATAAAAGTGGCTTCGGAGCTCTGATGGGGTGAGATTGTTCTTCTAAGAGAATTCTCCTAGAGTATTCGTGTTGAGGATTCTATTCGGGTCTCTAACAAGTACTTAGTGTCGCGAGCCATTACGTGGGAGAACGATTCGCATCAACTGCCAAACCACGGCAGGATATGCTCGTGAGTAACCCTTCGGCTTTTCGAGATTATCATCGTTATTATATAGTTTTAACGAGAAAGACCCAAGGGCTCAATGATGAAGCACGGGCTGAATCAGACTGAATGCGAGACCGAAGGGCTCTTCATGATTTTTGCGGGGACCGAGAGTACAGCCTCAGCAATCCGCTCAGCTCTTGTCCATACAATGACAAGCCCAGTCGCCTACCAGACACTCAAGGAAGAAATCCACACAGCTGTACGCGAGGGCAAAGTCTCCAGCCCAATTACCCTGCAGGAGGCTAAAAAGCTTCCCTATCTCCAGGCAAGTGCTGTCCCCCCCCCCCCCTCCTTTTTTTTTTTTTTTTGATTCAAATTCTACTCGTACTCATAACTCTGTATAGGCTGTTGTCTACGAAGGCATTCGGATGCGCCCACCTCTCATTGGCCTTCTCCCCAAGGTGGTGCCTCCAGGAGGCGAAAACATCTTGGGATATCAGATTCCCGCCGGCACCGCGATCGGTACCAACGCGTCTTCGATTCTGGCCTCCACTGACCTCTTCGGCCCGGACGCCAACATATTCCGTCCTGAGCGCTTCACCGAGCTCGACGACCAGCACCGCAAGCAGATGGAGCGCAATGTCGAGCTCGCCTTTGGCCATGGCCAGTGGATGTGCGTAGGGAAGACGATAGCGCTTCTGGAGATCAACAAAAGTGTTTTCGAGGTGCGTGTGTGTGCAAATAACATTCAATCTTTGACGAGCATAAAGGGCTGATCACAATTCACGATCCAGCTTTTCCGCGCTTTCGACTTGCAGTTGCTGGAACCATACGCCCCGAGCAACATTCTGAGCTATGGGGTGTTCCTTGAGTCCAACTTGAAAGTGAAGGTTTCGAGAAGTACGACTGCTGTAGCTGCTTCTTCACCTGATTCTGTCCATATCTGAACTCATGGTCTTCTCTTGGATATTTATATTGCTATTACGAAACATCACTTTATGTTCATGACACAAGATGGACAATCTTGTTGGTTCTAGGTACACACTGGCCTTTTCAAACCTGCTGTCATAGCTTAGTGATCTATGTCATATATGAGAAAAAAAGATGAAAGTACTCCGCAACTTGCGGTTGATTATTCTGATACAGCAATTCCCGATAGATTTTGCTGGCCGGTTCTTATGCATCAGATCCCCCGAGTTTGACAAGAGAAAAGGACACCAGGGAGGCGCGGAAGAGGAGGGAAGAGACGGGCATGCTGGCATAGCAAGTTTAGGTGAAGCCGCCTACGAGTCGTCGATACTGGTCATGCGAACAAGTTCAACCTGTAGGCGAGAGATGATGATGATCATAATGATAATTATGAGCGAAATGCAACATGCTTATAAGTCATTTTGAATACGCCAATGGATAGACAGCCCATGGCTATGGTGTCATGAGGAAACCGTCAACGCCTGCGCCCCCTTCTGCCACTCATCCAATCCCGTCCTCTTCATCGTCCTCCCTGGGCGGTCTTTGTCTGCCGGATCGATGTGGTATTTGAGCTTGACTCCCATGGCCGCCAGCTCCACGTCCAGATACTTCAGTGCACCAGGGACAGCGATGACAGTAACATCCTCGCCACCGACCCACTGGTTCCCCTGGCCATCCTCCCAGATCTCTCCATCCACCTCCATAGCCATCTCGTCATCCAGACGGCGCGCGCAGTTCCTGCAGCGGACGGTATCCACCGTCCTCTTCTTGCCGATATATGGCGTGACTGTCGGCTGCACTGACAGGAACGAGCCGCACTTTCGGCAGATCCATGTCTTGGTGTAGTCGGAGCAGTTAAGCAGGCGGTCCTGCAGTAGGAAGGCCGTCCCGTGGGCGAGAAGGGCGTCACGCTCCATTTCACCGACACGGATACCGCCGCCCTTCTTTCGGCCCTTGATAGGCTGGCCGGTGAGCGGGACGACGGGTCCTGTGGTTCGTACCTGGTACTTGTCGTTGACCATGTGACGCAGGCGCTGGTAGTAGACGACGCCGAGGTAGATGTCTGCAGCGAATTCCTCGCCGGTGATGCCCGAGTACATAGGCTCGTTGCCGTGGAAGTTGTAGCCGGCCTTCATCAGCTGGTGGCCAAAGTAGTCCGCGGCCGTATTCTCTTCGTCGAACTTGAAGGGCGTCGAGTCCTGGGCAAGCCCGTGGAGAGCGCCAGCCTTGCCGGCAAGAGACTCCACAAACATACCAATTGTCATGCGCGATGGAAAAGCGTGGGGGTTGATGATGACATCGGGCTGGATGCCCGACTCGGAGAACGGCATGTCGATCGATGGCCATTTCTGGGAGCATACACCCTTCTGGCCGTGTCTCGACGAGAACTTGTCACCGATGACAGGGGACCGAGGTATCCTGAACTTGATGGACAGCGTCTGGGCTGGTTCATTGCCGCTCTCACTCCCGATCACGCGTACCTCCTCGATGTATGCGACCTCATCCTCCTTGTACTTCTCGAAATGTGTCACACCATCCTTGTTCTCGAGCCCACCATGGCCGTCGGGAGACACAGTGTGCCATGCACATATCAAGTCGCCCGACTTGACCTCCTGGCCAATGTATGGCATGCCGTCCGCGTCAAGAGAATCGCGCTGCCATGAGCGTGCCGCGTTGCTGGGCGCAAAGCCGAACATCTTCTCTATGGTAGCCGACGATCGAGTTCTCGAGTCGTCCTTCAGGCTGATCTTTTTGGTCTTGTAGATGGTTCCGTGACCGAAACCCCTCTCGTGGGCAGACTTGTTGATGATCATAGCGTCGTCCATGTCATACCCCGTGTACGAGATGACGGCGACGACTGCGTTTGTGCCGTTGGGGAAATTGTCGAAGCCGTACGCATTATGCAGAGGAGCTCTCACAATGGGTGTCTGTCCCGTCTGTAAACGGTACATCTTGTTGTCTGTCCGGTGGCGGATGGCAGTTCCTGGTGTTCCCATTGTCTGTTTACCCATCTGACACTGGTACATGTTTCGGGGAGATTGGTTGAAGTCGGAGAAGGGGGTCATGTTGGCCAAAATAGATAGAATATTCGTCGGGTCGAATTCGACATGTGTCGATTCTCCGGAGGCGATCTCCGAGTCGACGCAGGCGATAGACATATAGGGTTGCTCATACGGTCCCACAAAATCTTCCTTGTCCAACGGGAGGTACTTGACCGGCCTTACCATCCGCGCAGGAGAGGAGGACATGAAAATGCCGGGATAAGACCCTCCATTGGACGGTGGCACGTAGCCAATCTCGAGCTGTTTCGGTACGTTGTGGGAGCCTTCGACCTTCCAGTACCTCAATGTGTCTGCAATTCTCTTGGATTCTTGCGGTGTGCACCAGCCGATGATCTTGCCATCGAGCAGGACCGGAACGCTCTCCGTGGTAGCAGCCGAGGATGTGTCGACCACACCAAGCTCGACAGCCAGCTGAGGCACAGCAGATGCATCGACATCGTCGGTCATGATGATGCACTTGTGAGCGAGATGGTTTAGCAGGCCACAAGGCGAACCATCAGGCGTGTGAACGGGACACAAGAAACCCCACGATTCTGGCAGCAGCTTTCGCACCGTTGTCGTCTTCAGCTGCGCAAAGAAGCTACCACGATGGACCATACGGAAATGACTGATGAAGCGCAGGAAATTGAGCTTCTCTGCGACAACCGTGAAGCCAGAAACCTGCTGCAGATCCAGACCAGATGGGCTCTGCAAGTTGCCCGTGGAGAGGAAATATTCCAGAAGCTGGCCGATGTTCTCTGTCGTCCTCCGGAAGATCGCAGCCGGGAAGTCCTTTCCAAATGCCGGTGATGTAAAGTTGTTTGCAGGCTTCTTCCGGAAGTAGTCTCGCAAGGAAGCCCTGAGATTCACAGCCAAGAGTTCCTCGAGGCGTTCCTTCAAGATCTGACCGTACAGGAAACCACCCAGAAGAATCTCTTGGTTCTGCACAGCATCGGGGTTGTCCACAGCGCAGTCCCCGGCGACAAGCGCATAGAGCTTGCGGATCATGAAGAGAATCATCTTAAATTTGTCCGCATCCTGTTCCTCAGTCACATTCACATTGCCCAAGTGGACAAGGACGACCCGCCGCAGAAATTCTGTGCCGACATCATAATTTGACATGGTGTCTGGAACGCCCAACACGACACGGAACTTCTCTCCCAGGTAGGCTCGCGTCTTGCTCTTGCTGTACAGGCCGTACGCCTTGTACGTCCGGAGGAGCAGCTCCACCCGGTCCGTCAGAAAGGTGTTGTCTGTGCCCTTTGAGCCCGCCGCGCCGATTAGGCCCTCGAAGATCTCGCGGTCGTTTGTCTCCACCAGTGCCTTCAAGATCATCATGACGGGCACGAGGTATTCGTTCTTCCTCCACGAGAATCGAAAGGTGACATTTCCATCGTCGAGGTAGTGGAGGACGTTCGTCTGGGATGTTTCGTCTGGTCTTAGACATCGCATTATGATGCCGTAGGGGGTGTATGCCTGGCCTCGATTTGTGAAACTCGGGCGATTGATCGCGAGGGGGAAATTGCGTTTGTTCATCATAAGCAGCCGGATGATCTTTTCGTTGCCGTTGACTATGAAGTAGCCGCCCAGCTCTTCCGATTCTTCTTTTCTCTGCACCAGCAGAGCTGGAGAATTGTTCTCGAGATGGCATTTGTTGGACTGGGCATCATTAGATCTCTGTACAAGAGAAGAAGAGAAAACATGACGCGCCTAGTGGACTTAGCATACCTTGACCATGATAGGCATGTTGCCAAGTTCTCTGACGAACTCGTGGGGATCCCCATCGTTGATTCTGTACTCGAGAGTCGCGGTGAGCTTTCCACGATATGTTGAATGCCTCTCTCTGCACTCGGCCGGGTAGATCTCGCGGTTTTTGGCGAATTTGTTACTCGGTGGAAGGAGTGATTTTTGAAGTGACACGCTCTTGTATCGGACAGTCAACTTGTTTCTGGCGCCTGCGGAGGAGCCGTCAGGGCTGTCGAAGAATGTCTTGGTCCCAATGTCGGCTAGTCCATGGTCTATGAGGCCTTTCCTCCCGTCTGAGGGAAAAAGCGCATTGAAAGCCTCGATGTGTGGGTTTACGGCGATCTGTAGGAGAGGGTAGGCACTGTGATCGGTGGGTGGGTTCCTGAAAAGGTTCTCGCGGCGTAATGTGTTGTATTGGTGATCCCACTCCGTGCTCGTTCTCGCCGGAGCCATGGCGATCCGTACGTCTAAAGGATTGAAGAGAGCATCAGCAAGCCTTGGCCATCAATACTACTAACCGCTGCGCGCTGGCAAAGGTGGACGAGGTGGGCAAGAGGAACAGGAAGGACTGACATTGCGCCTCTGTCGAGGGCGCACAGTGAGAGGCAGGTGTGCAAAATTATGGGGGTGCTCAAGGATCCCTCATTACTCTCTCACCAATCCTTCCTCCTTTGAGTATTCAATCGTTCAACCAAAGAAAGCGTTTCGCGGAATATACACAAGATTTTCACAAATTTAGTAGGAGACGGGAAAAGAAGCAGAAATGCAAACAACTTTTTTTTCGACGATTCCTTATCGATAAGACTCCACTCATGCAGCTAACACTATCACGCCTGCAGTGGCGGTCCCTCTCTACTATCAGTATAGGGAAGCTGCTACTGGTCTTTGAAGAGAGAAGTTGCATAAACGCGCAGTCCTCAAAACGACGTCAGAACAACAGCGACAATTGTTCATTTAGACGGGCCATCTCAACAACGCGTTCCGCTTACTACTAAGTAGAACGCATCCAGCCGCACTGCCTGTCTCATTGCAAGATGCCGCAGCTTCCCGACGGTGTCCTGCTCGCCCCAGGATGCTCGCTGGGCTGCCACGAGGCGTCATAAGTGGAATCAATCACTCACCGCCGACAAGCCCCTTCTAAACGACAGTTTCGTGTGCGTCAATTAACAGGCTCGTTTGCCAGGAGGGAGAGCATGTCCAGCTGTCAGACTTGCAGTGAATTTGCGAGTGGCTTGTCTGCATGATGCTCGTCGTACTGCTCTTTCGATGAACCGGGCCAGGGCCCAGCCTCGCTGTCCATGACGTGTGCCATTCCTTCGTCGTAGTAGCTCAAGCCACTGGCTGGTAATGGCCACACTGCAGCCTGACTCTCATCCTGCAGCAAAGAAAAGAGAATTACGCTGGACGACGGGACGCGAGATCGGGTAGCAGTGGGAGGAGTCACTTGGAGAGAGATTGGGCCAGCTCCCCATGTCGAGGTCCACGAGTCTCTACACCCTCAACCAGCAAGGCACCCCACGCACACAGGGGCGCGAGCTTGTTCACTCTTCAACAAGTCAACGAACATGGTGTCGTGCTAACCATGGCGTGCTGTACCTGATTCACAGGCCAGGTGTGGAGCGGCGGAGGCCATGAGACTTCCCCCTCCAAGGATGCGGGCAGATGCGGGCAGATGCAGGCCTAGGTCATAGCGAATCGCCGAGCCGCCCAAACCGTCGACCCAGGCCCAGAATGCGGCCTCTTTTAAAGGTGGTCCCAAGACGTGCTATCGGCCAACCAGCCAGGCGGCTCTCACAGGGTTCCATGGCGCGTTGCCTCTGCACCTGCAGGACGAGCGAGCTGCAGGACGAGCTGCAGCAGAGACACAGACTTGCAGCCCAACGCAGCCAACCTTTTTTACTCTTAGCACCACCAAGCGCCCTCGCACCTACCACAGGGGTGTGGTACACTGCAGTCGATCACCGTAAGGATCAGAGTGCCTGATGATCCTGCAGTGCATGGCACATGCCTCATGGCCTTACCTCCACAGCCTGCCTTACCTTACCTACCTCAACCTTGCCCTGTCCTAGGCCCCGTGAATCCGACCCAGTCCCGGTCTTGGCTCCAGCGAAACCTTTCTCGATCATAACTCGACCACCGTCATCTTCCCTTCTCCCTCTTACAACACACACACACACACACACACGGCACGCCTGTTGTCTCTCGACATCTTTCTGCCTTTCACCTGGCAGTTCCCGTGGCGACGTATTCGAGGAGGAGCAACTGTGCGCGCAGTTCATGTCACCGTCACTAGTGGGCTCTCTTGTTTCTCACCTAGCATGGGGTTGCACCGAGACAACCCCTCCGCCCAATCACTTCGGTCCTTTGTCTGACCCCGCCGTTGGACGTTGGGACTCACACTGACTGCATCTTTCTGTCGTGGAGCCCCTCTCAAAAAAAGCACCCTTTCGATCTCTGAATTTCCACCCAGGCACGACAAGCACAAGTGAGGCTCATGTCGAGCCGCGGGTAGATCTCACACTCTCTCTCATTCATTTCAAAAGGTAAGAGGATGTGCGTTTATTATCTCGGAAGCATTTCCTCATCCGCCGGGCCGCGCGCTTGGGCAGGTCGCCAATTTGATTTTAGCCATGAAGAAAGGCCCCTGGCAGCCTTTTGCAGCCCCCCCCCCCCCCGAAAGCTCAAGGGCAGCATCTGTGGCCGCAGTGTCTGCACCCCGACCCTGCAGCAGCGCATGGCACGCCTCACAGTGCCGTCGACCTAGACACCTCCGAATCCTTCTCGGCTTGCGCTTCCTCAGCCCGTCGGGGGCCAACAGGCCCAGAGCTCTGCAGCCGCCCTTACCAGATCTTGGTCGGCGGGCTCCTGTGCAACAGCTCCCTCGGTCCGATCACGATGCTGCTGTTGCTGCTGCCACACAACTACAATAACGCCTCCTTGGGGCCCCGGTGTGGGGGGAAGGGACGGGAGTCAGCAAGCAGCACTCTTGGTCGCCTTTCTGCGACCTTTTTTTCCTTTTCTTCTCGGCTCGTTCTTTTCAGTTTCTCTTTTCTCTTCAATGTGTATTTAAGATGCCTGCAGGCGCTTGTCTCCTCGCGCCGGCGCCTGTCTATATTTGCTATCCTCGTCTAAAGCCTACCTCAGCGTCTCGTCTGTTCTGACATCTCCTCTGACGAATAGAACTCCCGTCCTAGCCGCGCCAAATTCCGGCATCGATCTCGTGTCCCCATAATTCGAGGTGGAGTTTCGTGCTTCCCAAGCAGCAGAGGCGGCACCATCCATACCACTACAACACATCCTCGATGCTCGACGAGCGTGATCCGGCTGTCGGTTGATCACACATAATTTCAGAAAACGTCCCAGTCTGCGAAATTGCGACCGCTTCGTCCCCCTCCGCGCGTTTCAAACTATACATACCCTTGGGGCGGAACAGAGAGAAAGACCAGAGGCAGGTCAGGGCGCAGGAAAAAAAAAAGTATTTAAGAAGCCGTGGCTGAGAGCACCCCACCCTTCCCGTCCCTCCCTCGGACAAGCTCTACATCACTTGGCCTAGAGCCCTTCTGGTGTCTCCATCTCGAGTCCTGGTATTCCCCCTTCCTCCAGGTTCTTTTCTCTCTCTTTGCCTCTCTTCACAACCTCGGCACCAATCTCGGCCGTCGACTCTCCGATCGGTATGATGGCTGGCCTCTTTCGCAAGGTGTACGACTGGTTGCTCAGGACTTTCTGGTAAGCTCGCCCGCCCAACCATGGCCCCAGGGGAAGCTCTCTACCAGCTGCCCCTCGCCCAGTTTTGCCGCCCCGCCCGCCATCCACCCCCTTGGGACCGATAACGCATGATGCTTATCGCCTTGCCCAAAGTTGCTAACTAGTACCAATAGGGCAACCGAGATGGATGTCACCATGATCGGACTCCAGAACGCAGGCAAGACCTCCCTGCTGAGGGTGTTATCGGTAAGGAACCTCTCCTCCCCGGTTGAAGGGCAGTAAACACTGCTGCCCTGGTCGTGGTGGTGGTAGTAGTAGTAGTAGTACTGACGAATGACCCCAACAGGGTGGAGAATTCACCATCGAGTAAGCGTGCTGCTTTGACGTCCCATGACCCATCGACCGAACGCTCCCCCCCCCCTCTCATCCGCTCCCTCTCCCCGGGACATTTCTTCCACCAACCCCATGACACACGGCCCAGATCCTGTGGTCTCGTTGCACAAGAGATTGCGTGTTTGTGAACTGACAGAGTCGAAATGTAGCTCCATCCCCACCGTCGGCTTTAACATGAAGAAGGTGCAGCAGGGACATGTGACCCTGAAGTGTTGGGACCTGGGCGGTCAGCCTCGATTTCGAACGATGTGGGAGAGATACTGCCGTGGAGTCAATGCGATCGTCTTCATAATTGATATTGCAGACGTGGACGTGATCCCGCAGGCGCGTGAGGAGCTCCACTCGCTGATGAGCAGCCCGACGCTGGAGGGCATCCCCCTCTTGGTCCTGGGCAACAAGTCGGACCTGCCAAATAAGCTGTCGGTAGATGAGCTGATCGATTCCATGGACCTCAAGAGCATAGACCACCGCGAGGTGTCGTGCTATGGCATCAGCGCCAAGGAGGAGACCAACTTGGACGCAGTCCTCCAGTGGCTAGTCAAGTTTGCCAACAACAGGTAGAGAGAGTGTGTTTGACGACTGGACACACACGCACCCCCTCACACACACAGATATTTTCTTCGACCAAGACCAGTCTTGTCTCACACACTCTCTCTCACACTCGGAAAACAGTCCTGCCTGGATTCGGGGTAGGAGAGCTGGGCTTTTCTTTCTTTCTTTCGGCGCAGTAGGGCTTCGTGGACGACTTTTTCGCAACCCTTCAAGACGGTTCTTATCCTGGCCGGCAACGACCGAATACCAAAATGCATACACACTTCCTTCGCGACCTACCTCGAGAGCTATGCGACACCCTCGAGCGCCCTTGTTTGCACCGACAGACCTCAACTATCTCCTTTATTTTTTTTATCCTTTTTTGCAATGCGCCAGTCGGCGCTGATCCACAACAGGCGCTTGCCCTGGACCAGCCATGGCGATATTCTTTTCTTTGCCCGTTTTGGTATTCTCCCTTCGTCATGTCCTTTGCATCGGTTTTTGGTTCTTTTCCAATGATAAAGATTCTGCGAGGGAGGCAACGCGCATGCATGGCCTGGCAGTGCGCACGGGTAGTTTGAATAAGTGACTGAAGGAGAATTTTTGGTGGATATACCTGGGTAATCATGATCAATGATGACGAGCCACGAGATGATATACTGCATCCAAGCATGACATTCGCACCCTTCAGCTAGACCTCAGTGACACTGAATCCGACCCTATGTGAGATGGTGAAGATGAGTTGTGAGGCAGAGGAGTGAAGACCATGAGAAAGACTGATGCGAACAAAACGAAAAGAGAGAAACAAAGAATGGGAAAAATAGAAAGTAATAAAGAGGGGGGAAGAAGAAAGATAAAACTGTAGAACAGAAGAAACAAGATAACTGTCAGGGAAGAGGGGATCACGAAGCGAACCCCATGCCCGACCAGGGCTTGCACCAGCCAGTCATAGCCACTATTACACTCGTAGCGGGCTACAGCAGGGCTTTTTAAATCAAGAAAAAGACCAGAAGGGATTGTAAGGAGGAGATAAGAATCAAATGTAAAATAAAGAAAGAAAAGAGAATATACAGGGAATGGGGAGGGAATGGGAATGGACGAGCTAATGATTGATATCTGAAGTCGTGCACTGGCCCTGCACTGCCAGTTGTCATTCAGCAGCCGATTGGCCCGCGAACCGACAGGGCGGGCGGGTTTCGTCTTTTTGCTTGCCCAAGATCTTCCATGAACCGCTCGCTCTCGCTTGCACACACACACTAATCCTCCTCCCTCCCTCCTCCTCCTCCTTGTAATTAATTTTTGGTGCTTCCAAGGTCTCATCATGCCGTTTTGATTGCAAACCCATAGCTCCCATTCGCCGCCTACCCCCATCGTCAAAACCCATAAATAGCATCTGCGATGGGCTATGATGGGCGCTGAGAGATACGAGGGGTGTTGAAAGAAAGGAAGGAGAGAAAGAAAAAAAAACAAGGGGGACCCTCCTGATGCGTTGTCCTTGCATGCAGGTTGCATGACATGAGGGAGGGCCAAGATTTGCTTTTTTTTTGGGGGGGGGGGGGGGACTTTGTGCTCTAGCCCTGGCTGTGCTGTACTGCACGCTTTGCCATTTATGCATGCCATTTCTACTGCCCTACACTGCAATCCGGGTTTCCCACCTGGCTGGGGTGCTCCCCCACGACAACAAGCGAATGTCACATCCCCCCAAGACTAAATGAACGTCCCGGGTCCCGGGGTTCAAAGTATGCTGGATAATTCATGAATATGATGCTGAACAGACCACCAGACCAGGTAATGTAGTGTATTATTTATACGAGACTAATTTGAATGAACAAGCTGGGTGTGTGGATAATGTTGATCCGGCACACAAGTCGTGTGCAGCAGCAGCAAATATCGTTCCTCCTCCAATCGTCCTCTCTCATCTGACTGGTGGGATGTCGGTGGTGATGCATCCTGATTGAGGGAAATAGAAGAGGAAGAGAAGGGCAAAGAAAGGAAAAGAGAAGGTGGTTGGTTCGGCCCGGGGGCTTGATGAAGCCCAATTGCAGACGAGAAGCTACAGTTGCTTCACCTGGAAGGGGGAAATTGGCGCGACGAACTGTATGTCTCGGCGAATCGCCGACGCCGTCGTGTGTGTGTGTGTGTGTGTGTGTATTTGCGTGTTTCATTCATGGCCCCGTGATTTGGAAAGCTGGGGGTGATTGAAGGAAATGAAAAGACAAGAAAAAGGAAAGGAGGACAACTGCGCCCTTCCGTGGATGCAGGATCATCGCTATCGAACATGCATGGTCGACTGGAACGGTTCTCGAGAAAATAGCACCCAGACGAGGATAACCTTTTCTAAGTTGAGAGGCGTGCGTGTGTGTATATGTCTAGGCTCTGGTCTTTGCGCATGATAGTAGGATCATTGAAAGTGGCACACCGTAGATGGGACAGATGCGGTCTGCTAACATCTCCTTCTCAACAGGTGAACCCTTCCTTGTCAATTCGTATCTACATCTCTACATCACACCGTGTTCTCTTCCTAGTTACTTTGACATTGTCTCTTCCACATCCGTCACACCTCCTTTCTCCTCTATGCGAGAGATTCATTAGTCTTCGCCGTCCCAGCGCGAGAGTTCTCGAAGAGTGCCCGCCGAGGCGGCGCGTCTCACAACCAAGGAGGAGGGGTGGGAGGCGGGCGGCGCCGGCGGTTTCATGTTTTCTTCTTTGGGTGCTATATGTTTTGCTATCAGCCGCCGCCAGGTGGACCTGATCTTCTTTGGCGCCTGCGACGTCGACATCGAGCCTGTCGAGGCTGTGGAGCTGGTCGGCGTGGTTCTCTTGGTCCCCAGCGCATCGTCGCACAGCAGCGTGGTGGCGTCCCGGGCCGGAGGAGGCGTCCGGTCTGCGAAGCTGAGGGCCTCGATCTCGAGGTCCACCAGGATATACTTGGACCCGCCATGAACCTGAGGCTCTGCAAAGTCGACACGGACCCGGTGGTGTCTTAGGTCGACGGACTGGCCCGACTGGCGTGGCACAAAGTTGTGGCGCACGTGACCGCGCAGGTGGCTTTGGTCCAGCTCTTCCGTCGTCGTCGTCGTCGTCGTCGTCGTCGTTGGTGTCGTCTTCCCCACGCGGTGCCTCGACAGCTGGCGCACGGCGTCGAAGGCCACCTTGGCGCGGCCAGCCGAACCGAAGCGCACCAGTAGCCTCTCGCCATCTTCGCCGCGCTCGAAGAGGATGGCGCCGGCCACCTGCGCCCAGGGTACCTTGCCTATCCTGAAGGCCTGTGGCTTCTGGTCAGGAATCCACTGTGTAGTAGTTGTTGCTGTTGTCGCCGTGATCGTATTCGTCTCCGTCACCCCCTTCTTTCCCTTCTGTGTGGCTATCATCTCTTTAACCTCGGCGCCAGGTGGAATCAGTACCTCGATAGCCTTGTAGCTGCCTCCGAGGAAAGCCGCATTGCGCATCTGGAAGATGTGCTTTGGGAAGAGGCCCGTCGGCTTAGTGGCCGCCCTCTGCTGCTGGCGGACATAGATCTGCCGTGTCTCTCCAGGGTGCCACGCCTGACCGAACCTGTGAGCTCTGACCCTGGCAAACTGTACCTCGGACCCCGGTAGCTTCTCGAGGAAGATGGTGAGAAAACAGTGGTCTTCGTAGTCGGGCGGCACCGGACAGTCCAGCACGGCGAAGTAGAGATCCTTCTTGCCGTCCTCAAGCTCCGCCAACGGCAGCTCGACCTGGAGCCCGCGGTTGGTCATCTGGTAAGGGGGCCGGCACTGCCAGTCCTGATAGGGCACGATGCGGCTCGAGTCGCGAAACGAGAGCGGTGAGCTGGCCAGCAGGCCGTACTTCGCGCTGGGCCTCGTTGCTGCGTCCTCATCCCGCCAGGCAAACAGACTCTGGTCGACGGACGAGGCCATGATCTCCTCCTGCAGCCGCAAGAACGCCTTCTCGGCCCCTTCGCCGTACAGCATGGGCATGTGCACGCCAAACAACCCCATTAGGCAGTACGCCATATCCTCGGGCCGCGACGTCACCCGACACGAAGCCCACGACATGCGCTGGGCGATGCTGGCGCTACAGAGCAGCTCTCGGTCGACCAGGATATCGATGTCGATGCCTGTAATGGACGCCACGAGGTCGCTGAGCTCTGTCTTCTCGCCGATGCTGCGCCACCCACCATCACCTGGTGTCGCTGCCATGGCCTTCTCCTTCTCCTCCTCCTCCTCCTCCTCCTCCGTCTCCTCCTTGTCGACGAAGAAGACTAACTTGGACGGCGCTAATAGCTCTTGCAGGGTCCAGCCGCGTGTGAACCACCTGCTGCGGCGAAACTCTAGCCTTGAGAGCTTGAGGCACACGTTGGCTGGGACATCGCTCAGGCTAGAGAGAAGAAAAGTTCAGCCTGTGAAGGGAGGAGGGGAAGACATGATGTTTCTGTCCACTCCGTTTGAAAAAAAGACAAAAAGAGAAAAATTGCTTACTATGCATAGCAGACACCCGAATCCCGATACCAAGCATACATGGAATTAATCGCCTCCGACAGCTCGCTACTGCTCGACTTATCAATGCAGCACGTGTCGATCCACACCCAGGCGTACCCGTCACACAGCGCCTGCGCACACGTGAGCTCGACCTTTCTCCATGACCGCTTCAGGCGCGCTGACGGCTGCTGTTCGAGGGGAACCCTCTCGCCGCAGCTGGCCTCGGCGCTGCTGCTGAAGTCGGAGAAGAGGACCTCGTTGTCTGGGGTGGGATCCCAGGTGTGGGAGAGGATGGCGTAGGGGGGAACTTGGTCTGGGAGGAAGGGTTTGAGGTGTTTGGTTGTGGCGTTGAGGAGCCACATGATGCAGCTCTGGGCAGAGAGGGAGAGGGGGAGGGAGGAAGAAAGCAAGCCTTCTTTTGCTACTCTGGTGGTAGTGGCTCTGTTGTAGATTCTATTCGTGCTGTGAGGAGTAAGAAATTGTGGCTCTTGACGGCATCGTCTCTTGCGACTCTAGTGGTGTGAAGACGCTGCGACATCATCAAACGACACATGAGTTCACCATCTACAGGATGAGAAATCAATACGCAGTATGTCCTTTTTTTCTCTTCTTCTTCCCTCACACTCTTGTCCTAGTTCATGGATAAAGCTTTATATATTTTACTTTTCCAACCCTTGCTTACTTGACCCGTTTGTCTTTGGTTCAATTTACCCCCGTTAGCAAGTACCATAGTAATTACCACCCCAGATCTCACGCTCCTACCGGAGTGCCCGCCCGCCCACCTGCATGCATACCACCCTCCTGCATATTCGATACTGGCATGCTGTACTAGTTGCATGTGGCTTACCAGGCACAACAAGGGATGGACGTGGGGTGGAGTGGGCTTAGGTCAGTACCGCTAACTACTTGAGTATACCTATGGCGAGGCTGCAGTGGGACGTTGACACACTCACAGCAGCAACAATCCATAGTAAGCTGGGACTCTACCGAATCAATATTCTATAAGGGCCGTAAACATACTCAAAGTCCTAAGTTTTGAGAAAGATGAGTTCTGGTCGGTCTATAGAAGTTGAAGTTATGCTTAGATGTGTAACGCCCCCGAAGACTCCGTGTCGGTAGACATTGCCCCCAAGTCTTCAAATTATACCACAGAATAATATGCCCAGAAGCTAATGTTCCTATAGATCTACTATATAAACCATTTTCTATTGATGATTGTTGAAATAGTTGTCGGTAGAAAAATTAGTGATTCAACGAGAGGACTCTGGATTGGTACATGGACAATTTCCCTCAACTTAGGCATACGATTATGGTGGTCGTATCATCAGACGGAGCCACAAATTATGCCCGCTTGGCTCTCCAGCCGCTGTAAAGTTACTTAAATAGTATAGACAGTGCTATTAGCTATGTGATGCAGCTGCGTTATGTGAAATCAGAATCTTGGCAGACCAAGAAGCGATTTACAGCTATTAATGTTGAAGTTGTGATTGATCAAAATTAGTGTAAAATTGCTCAAGGTAATAGATGAAGTGTCAGAGTCAACGGAAACAAATAGCTACTTAGTAGCACATAAATCAGCTTACTATAGAATAGCTTGTAATGCCAATGCAGAAGCACAGGAATCAATGTTCCATCATCAGTTGTATAGCTTGTGCTGGAGTCTGACAGTGCTACTTAGTTCTACAGTGAAAACCCATCACATACCTTTCAGCATCTTGGACATTGCGTGCTTGAGGTGGACTAGTACGCGAGGCTTCACAACTCGTCTGGGCTCGGCTGCCTGGGACCATGTTTGAAGCACTCGTATTCCTATAACTGCGTTTTGGTAGAGACCACGATCCAGAATACATATTTAGTTAGACACATCTGAACAACTGGGGTCGGGCAAAGATAGCCAAGTCTAATGTCAGACCAAAACAGCTTGGGAGTCTCTAATCATCTAAAGGCGCCTTTCGAAGAGCTATTAGAGCTCATTATGAATTAACCAATAATATGCTCTTGTCTCCCTTAAATCGAACCAGATAACTCAGGGGTCCATGGCCTTCTCTCACGAGACGTGCGCAGCTATCTCTCGAAGCTTATTTTCCAGTCCCACAATATGCACCAGTCTTCACCGCACAGGCTCTCTTTTCTTGAGGATGGCAGTGCTCTGTTGACTTGACACACTCGGTATACTGTGGTAAAATTCTCAATAGTGACCCAACAGCCCTTGCGATAGAAAGGACATCCGCAAGGTGCCACTGTAGGCTGTAGCTGGCCAGCACTGTTTTGCCTACGATGCGCGCCGCGAGTCATAGGTAAAACGGATAGATTCACTGCTAGCATGACGATCTACAGGATTTCACTTCGGCAACCCCTTTGCTTTAGAAATAACCTTTTTTCTCAAGCTCCACTCATCTCCACGCTGATCGCTTCGGGCCGGTACCTGGCATAAACTCGTGTCATATAATTAATCAAGAACGTCTCGCACATTAGCTCCTTGGATGGCCACAGTAGTGTTCAGAGAACTTGTCTTTTCTCCAGCACTCGTCCTACAATCCACAGGACATGACATCGTTGCAGCCGGGCTGGGAGGCTCAGCAATCGTCTCATGACTCTAGATCAGGGAGTTTCTCATCCGATACAAGGCCTGGCGGAGCTGATAGTCACAACAAGGACTCCTCGTCAAAGGAAAATGTCAAATGGCCACTGATTGATTCCTGGAGAAGAGTTGGACCCGAGGACTCGCCCGATCCAACAACAGCACGGGGATGCCCATCCATAGAACTAAGCGACAATGGGCGCTACATGATGGATGATGCATCACGGCCTCGTGGAGAAATGCAGCAGCCCCCGACGGTTCGAAGACGACCAAAGCACAGCCGCCATGTCCTGAGCTATTGGAGCCTCGAGATTGCCACTGTCCTGGCGGCGATCCTCCTCCTCGCTGCCATCATTGGTCTTCTCTCCTACTACGACGGCCGATACATGCCAGACTGGCCTTTCCAGATCAATCTCAACTCGGCGATTGCCTTCCTCACCACCTTCCTGCGAGCAGCAATCGTCGCAGCCGTGGCAGAGATCATCGGCCAGACCAAATGGACCTGGTTCACCGAGCGGACCCGCCCTCTGCATCACCTACAGACCTTCGATTCGGCAAGCCGTTCGGTCCTTGGTTCCCTGCGGCTCATAGCAGTGGTTCTCTGGAACTACAGCTTCACATCGGCCGGGCTGCTCGGTGTGGCTGCGGCCATGGTGACGATTGCGAGTCTGGCCGTTGGGCCCTTGACGCAACAGGCCATCAAGACGACATCGTGTCTTCAACTCATGAGCCGAGCAAGATCAGCGATCCCTGTTGCCAATTATGTTCCTGGGACGTCTTCCTACTATCGTGTCAGTGTCGGACTGTACGAGCTCGAAGTGGACATGAAGAGCACCATGATCCAAGGCATCACGGATCCGGATGGCGGACAGGAGAGCAGCACAGGTGCCACCTGTAACACTGGGAACTGTGCATGGCCAGACTATGGCACTGGGATTACCCATGCAAGCATTGGCCTTTGCAGCGCATGCATCGACGCCACCGACTTTGTCAGCGCTCCTGATATGGGCGGCAACTTGACACTGCCGGATGAGGGTGCCTTCATCAACTTTAGCCCGGGTGGCCAAAACATGTGGATGGGCTATAGCAATCTGTCAGCCTACGAGCATCTCTTCAGTGACGACTTTGCCAAGCAGGCTGCTGTCTCGGTCAGCAACTTCAGCATCCTCGCAACCAGCACGTCGCCGTGCACCAAAGACGACACCACTGGACAGTTGACTTGTCCGCACAGAATTTCGCAGAGCAACAACAGTTACTATCAAGGCCTTGGCGACTATGTCGCAGCCACCTGTATCCTCTACCCCTGCATGAAGGAGTTTTGGGCACGGTACGAGAATAACGAGTTCACCGAGAAACTCGTCAGCACCCAGGTGGCAATCCCCAACACGGCCGAGACCACGGATTATACCTTGTTCTACAATTACACGGCTGTAAAAAGCCCATGTGTCCTCGACGACGGAACTTGGTATGACTTGGGAAACCTGTCCGAAGCCTCACGGATCCCAGGGCGCACATGGACCAATATCAGCCTCGACTTCGATTCACTGTCATCTTCATCATCATCCTCACGGCGCGACATGAAAGAAGATGCCAGCGTACCGAACGCATGCCTCTACAAGATGGACGGCATCTTCTTCTACGCCGTATCGAATTTTCTGTCAAACACACTCTTCTCTGGCAGCTGCATCTACGACTCGGAGCAATCCGGCCACCTGGACTGCGGCGACGCCTGGTGGCTCACGCCGTTGTGGGTCGACATGAACGCGACCTTCTCGACCATCGACGCGGCCATTGGCGATTTCTCCCGGGCCGTCACAAACAAGTTTCGGAGGACCGGCGCGGGGCCCAACCTCCTGCTGGGCGAACAAGTCACGCAGCCAGAGGTGTACGGCACCGTCTACGAGACCAGCACGTGCACGTACTTTGACCGGAAGTGGATGTCTCTCTCCATCATCCTGGTCGCCCTCTGCGCCGTGCTGCTTGCGTGGATCGCCATCAACAACTATCGAGATCCCGAGCAGCCCGTCTGGAAGGGGAGCGTTCTCCCGCTGCTCTTCTTCGGACTTCATGAACCTGGCTCCTCTTCCTCCTCCTCCTCCTCCCCCTCCTCCTCCAATGCGGATGCTAAGCAAGCGTACTTGCAACCGTCGGTAGTGGAAAGAGTTCCAGATCGGCCCGAGCGCATCTCAACAGCTTCGTTCCGAAGAGAGAATGGGCGGGCAGCGCCGGAACTCGACAAAATACAGGATGAGGCGGGTCGGATGTGGGTGCGCTTTCACGGCGGTACGGACCCTGGCTTCGTGCACTTAGAGGCCATGGAGAAACGAAACCCTTAGCTATAATCATAAATGGTATAATATAATTTTGGATTAATCTGAATTGCTGGCTTAGGTGTCCTAACTCTGGCTATTTCCTCGCAGCTCCTATGCTTCCTCTTCGATTAAGAGATCAAGATCCTTCGAAGACCACAATTCACACACACTCAAGTTGAGTCTTGCCCTTTTTATCTTGTTGTCTAAATGGTTTCTGAGCACCATTTGGCACCAGGATAGTCTGAATCCGAGTTACTTGCAGGTCTGAATTGCCCATACAACGTCTATCTCGACACAATTGATAAGCCATACGGCGAGCTCTTGAGCAGGCCTGAGACAGAGAGGCCCACCGGGAATTATAGACAGCTTATACGGGTTTTGCGGCGCGGCCAGAAATGGCAGTATCAGTTCAAAGGTCGCAATGGCTTCGTTTCTGCGCATCGAGTGGCTGCTCGATAACGAATCACGACAATTCTGAATTTTTCATCGAGAATCCGTGCCAATCCGAAGGGTATATACCTAGGTAGCCTTCCTGTTGCCCTATTGTCACTTGGTGTGCGCTTGTATTTTCTAATTTTCGTAGGATTATGGCTTTCTGTTGGATTGCACAACAGGTACTGTCGTTGCACTGAGTAATTACCGTATATGTTGGACATATGATGGCTTCATTAAACCTTTGTTTCTTCTTCTCCATGTTGCCCTTCTCATTCTGTCAGTCAACGGCTGTACTTTTTGTCCCGCAGCAGTCGGAGCGGGCCTTGCTCATCACCTTGACTAGTGGCAAAGAAGGCAAAAAGGAAGGTAGCTACATCATAAAAGTATTAGGGATGAACATCGTATATTTCCCCACGCCTGTTCTATTAAGTTGCGGTCTGCAAGGAAAATGAAATTTGAATCCCTGCGAGTTGGCCGAGCGGGGATAAATGTCGAAGCGGGGATGAAGCTCTTCAGGGACACTGCGCCGGTATAAAGGCAAAAAGATCCTAGAGAGCACACTCGAGCCTATAAAAGGCACGTAGGAGTCCAGAAAACGTGTAGAGGAGCTCAAATGCAAGCGTCTTCTTGTTTCTCTGAATCTGTGTCCTTGTAGGCAGATCTGGTCAGTCCTGGGAACTATCACGATGCATGCCTCCGTCCTCCTGTCTACATTGTCGGCTGTGGCCTTCTTGATTGGCTCGGCTGCATCAGTATCTATTCCGCCGCGCTCGGCATCAAGGTCTCTAGTCTCCTCATGGTCTCCCAGCACCCAGGATCTGTTCTCGCAGGGCATGACATTCCTCGATTCTTTCTATGACCCACGAGCTGGATACCTATACGATCTGTCGTCTGCCGAGGGTCTGCGCCATGAGTCCAGACAGACTGTATTCTACGCGCTCGGCCTTTTGGCTCGTAACCAAGGCCAAGATGCAGTCCAGGCGGCCAAGATCTTGTACAATATCGTCGGTGGCCAGATCACGGACCCGGATAGCGGAGCGTACGTCACGTATACTTCTTTCCCACCCTTCCCTTCTGTTTTCCCTCCTTCTCATTTTCTCCTCTACGATAAGCTAGGCCTGAAGAACTGATCCTTATACCTTTTTCAGATATGGGGACTACCAAATCTACCCAGAGCAGCCCGCCTTTGGTCCGGGCTACCCAGCCGAGGCGTATGGGAATTATTACCCAATTTCGCGGTCCATCATGGGCAACGCGATGGTCGTCGCGCTCGAGGAGTTTCCTCACCTTCTTTCGGAGGACCTGGTCGGCACGCTGAAGTCATCGCTGGAGCTGAATCTGAAGAGCAACTTCACGCCCACACAGGCACCCTCTGGCACCGCCTACTCCCTTACGACCTCGTTTCTAGCCCTCTGGGGCGGCAAGAACCTTCCCAACCTGAGTAATACCACTGGCATCAACGCCACCGCCCAAGGTGCTGCGCTGGCGAAGCAGGTCATTGACAATTTTGACGAGTACGGCAGCATCCCCGAGTACAACTCGGCGCCGTACCTGACCTTCACCTTCTGGCCCCTGGCCATGGCCGCGAAATACCTCGGCAACGACACGGAGCTGGGGCAACGCGCACCAGATCTGATTGCCAGCACCTGGACCAGTCTCGGCGAGTGGTACCACGCCGACCTCAAGAACTTGGCGGCGCCCATCTCGCGAGGCTTTGGCTACGACCTGACCAGGTACATGCACAGCTTTGGCCTCTACCTGTGGGACATGGCGGGCCACGAGAACTCGCCCTTCTACCAGCTCGAACATGTCAACCCCATCCCGCGCGTTACTGACTTTGCCAACACGATGATGACAGCTCTGTACTCGTCCACCATGAACCAATATGTTCCTGCAGACGTGCTCGCAGAAATAAAACAGTTCTCGGGAGAGAGGTCCGTCAACGCCACGGCCTTCGTCGCAGCCAAGGACCTAGTGACGCAGAATCTCACGGCCTGGCTTTCAGACAATATCACCATCGGTGCCGTAAGTTTCAGCCAGGTAGCGGCCGGCGGGCCCTACACCGAGTCCATCTACATACCGGGAGCCATCCAATGGCACACCGGCGGGCTCGACAACGAGGTCGGCTACATCAACGTCTATCCGAACGAGGCGAGCATGCACATTGTCGCATCCGCCAACCTGCTCAACGTCTCGCTGCCTGATGCGACGGCGGGCAGTACTATTCAGTTCCAGGTTGTGGCTTTTGCTGACGGGCACACGTTTGCCTCTTGGGACGACGCGACGGGGCTGCTGGTTCAGGCCAGCGGTACGGCCGATATGAACTATACGGTTGGCTTTGCGGGATCTCTTGGAGGGACGGGCGGCTCACCGATCGAGGAATTTGAGTTTTGGAATGTCACGTACTCAATGCCTTCTGATTTTGAAGCGGGAGACGTTCCATGGATCGCTCTCGAAGTTTCCACAACCTAGATAAGAGTGTGCCGGACAAAAAAGGTGTTGCACTCCATAATGAAGTTTCTATGAGTGGTTTCCTAATTTCAGTTACCATGATATATGAGTATATTGCACTCTGAAACTACCGCTGCTAGCTGCTTAAGATCCTTCGTTCAGCTGATTATTGGAATAAATCTCCAGTAATACCGCATGTTCGTGTTCAAGATAAAGTGATATTTTAGAATCCTTATCAGCCTTGACCATACTCGAGAAGCCTACAGGGCTACTGACTTGAGTACTCCCGTCCCTTAAGTGCTTAGTTTATGGGTGTTGTCAGAAGAAAACTGTGGCCGAGGAGATCCCACATCTTGTTTTTGAACTTACCTCCACCCCTTTCTATTCTATCCTCTGCTTCCCTTCTCCCCCCAACCATAACAGACCAATATGAGGATATGAGTCATGTACAAATACAAAGCCATGACCTGTCATTCACAAAGATGCCTTGGCTGAGGTTGCCTCCTTGTTCCTGTTCTTCTCCATAGTCGAGATCAAGGCCACTTGGTGACCTAGAGCCACTAATTGACCATCCACATCCCTGACGAGAACATCGAGGTCAAATCTCCCATCCTTCATCTGTTTGGACGTGACTCGCATATTCAACCACTCCACTCCGTCCTCAGGCAGCGCCATCTTCACTTCAAGGTTCATCGATACGGTCGGGAACCACCTATGAGCTTTCGGTCAGAACAATGACAAGGAAAATGATCAAGGGGTATTGTTAAGAGTAGACCGTAAAGATGAAGCATGACTCCAGAGGCTTGCGACGATTAAGAGGAATTTTGAGGGATGATAAAAGACAACGTGAAAAATAAATAAAACATACAGGCCATCGCGCGGGTGGTCCCGGCCCCCCTTCTCCTCTCTCTCTGGCTTTTTGGTCGTCGCCTCCGGGGTCTGGCATGGCCTCCAAGAGACCACGGAGTCCTTGGCTCATGAGAAGATAATGCAAATTAAATGGAAAAGAATCCACTGCAATGTTCTTCCATCAGTGATCGCTCATTATACTCAAAGTGCCTGGGTTTTGCAACCCCCCCCCCCTTTTTTTTTGTTCTTCTTCCTTCTTCTTCCTTTTCTTCTCCCTTTTCCCCCCTTCTCTTTCTTTCGCGGAGGTGGAAAGCCTCGTGTGAATTGTATCATTTATGACCGGAACACACTTACCCACGTACGGGAGTGCGAGTTGCATAATACGTTCACCGCTCGCCAAGCACATCCACAGGTCCATAACTCCAGGCGTCAACGGACGGCCACCTCGCGGGTGGTAGAAGCGCCATTTCTGAAGCGACTGCAGGAGCTGCGAGGTAGGCATCTCCTGTTCTTCCCAGCCATCATCACCATGTTTCGTCTTGAAACTAGTAAAGTCAGGTGCCGGAGATGGCAGAGCAGCGTCTGGAGATGATTCATAGCCAGTTGGTATCGACATGCCAGTGTAGGTCCGCTGGTTCATCTGGGTTGCATAGGCGAGTACGCAACGGCGAGAGACATTGGCGGTAGTCCATGGTGCCTGTTGGATCAGTCCGTCCTGCCAGAGGGTGAGATGGAGAGTGGACAGCTGGGCACCCAGCTTCACTTCCTCAATCGTGATGATGGCTGGCCCAGCGGTAGTCCGCCTTGGGAACTCAAAGTGCGCGGCCAGTGCATCGGGTTGGTCGCGCGATTCCAAGTGGGCGCGAGCAGCCGAGAGTATGCACGAGGCTGTGTAGCCGCCATTAGGGACTGAAGAGGCAGAAGATCGATAGATGTATTAGTGTTCTGGTGAGGCTTCCCTTCACATGTCAGACGGACGATTTGTTGCTTACCAGCGCCAATGCAGTACGTTTTGTCAAGGTTGATCAGATATGTATGCGAGTCGAGTTTCTCAACTTTGGTGGCATCGCTCAGGGGGACAACAGTTCGTGCCTTTTCAGAAGCCATGGCAAGATGTATTTCTGGCCCGAGAAATTGGGTATTGACTGAACGCAGTTGATGAATGAGTGAAGCAGTATTTATTAGTTGCAGTTGGTTTATGCAGACGGCGCAGCTGTAAGCGGCCCTATCCGAGGCACTTGGGCCGGGGTTATCTCAATGGGAAGGTACACCTTACATACTGGGAAGTAGTCAGCAATGTCACTGTCTCGAAAAGAACGAGACATGAAGAATATGCATGTATAAATATATATGTATACATTCAACCTAACGTGGATTTCAAGAGCTCAAACAGAATTATCACATTTGGCCTCAGCGAGCAGGAAAGGATACGAAAGGAATTCGACCGCAAGACGTCTGCTAAATGCTTAAGTACCCAAGTACAGTATTTACGCACTCAAATCAAATAGTATTACAAGTGGACCAGAATTCAGGCTACATAATTCGGTTTCTTGCATACACCTTGTTGATGCTTATCGATAAAGATTAGAGGAGCAGGGGTACCTGTTTGACGTACGTCGCGACACGCAACCTCCAAGTCACTTTACCTTCGCCATGGGTGACAGCTAGCGAGCAATCCAAGCCCGGAAGCCTCTCCCTTGCGCACTTTACGCTGCAGCTTCTGTAAAGGGAGCAGCAGCGCCTTCTCTCACACAGTTCTCCCCCCATGCAGAATATGAAACTGGCGCCGCCATCAAATCTAGAGAACCTCATGTTCTCGGCTGGTCAATCGTCCACCATTAGCGACAAGGAATATGTCCCTTGAACCAGGGCCACAGAGGCCAACCTCGCCAGAGAGTTCCGGCCGCGAAACCCCGAATCCTGCTAGGCAGTGGAGGAACCAACTGAGTGCTGGTAGGAGCTGAACCTCGAGACTTTCGCAGGGAGCATCATGAGAAAAGCTGACCTCGAAAATGCTTTGTCCAGTGGATGATGCACCGACACGAGACAAAGCCTACCGAAAATATGCAGCAGGCGTCGACCGGGCTCTGACACTTTTCGAGACTGCGCTGCAGGAATGGGCAGACTATATTTCCTTCCTGAATAGACTTCTCAAAGTTCGGGCACCCTTTTATTCTTCTTCTCCCCTTGTCAATCATAGATACGACTTGTTGGGATCCTGGTTGCTAACAACTGGTCACCCCTAGGCCCTCCAAGCTCGCACCCAAAGTATACAGACCGTTCCTGCGAAAACCCTCGTTGCCAAACGACTGTCACAATGTCTCAACCCAGCCTTACCCTCTGGCGTCCATCAGAAGACCCTCGAAGTATACAATTACGTATTTACGATCATTGGGAGGGATGGCCTCTCGCGCGACTTGCCGCTCTACCTTCCAGGACTCGCGCCGACCCTTTCCTTTGCCTCTCTGTCCGTCCGAACCCCTTTCCTCGACCTTCTCGAGCGACACTTCCTCGAATTAGACCCACGCTCTCTTCGGCCTGCTATGAAGTCTGTAGTGATGGCTCTGCTGCCGGGGTTGGAGGAGGAGACGGCTGAGGATTTCGACCGGACCCTGAAGCTTCTAGAGAGCTTCAAGCAGGCCATCAGGCCTCCAGGCTCAGAGGAAATTACGCCTATGCATTCTATGGGAGATGACTACTTTTGGCAGTGTGTGTTTTTGGCCTCTATCACTGGCCAAAGCCGCCGTACCGGTGCTCTGTCCTATCTTGTCCGAAGCCTTCCCAAGTTGGGCCACTCAATCTTGCCCGAGTCGCATGAAGCAGCCTCGACAAATGATGCAGAAGCTGACCTGTCCTCAAAATTGGCTCAACTCGTGACAACACCAGAGCCGGGCCTGCTACTGAGATGTTTTGCTGCGGGCCTAGCGGACGAGCAGCTGCTCATCCAACGAGGTTTCCTGGATCTACTAGTGACACATCTTCCTCTCCATTCCAAGGTTCTCCAAAAACGTGTCAAGCATGAGGACTTGGAGTTACTGCTCAAGGCTGCCGCTGGTGTGGTTCTCCGGCGAGAGATGAGCTTAAACAGGAGGCTATGGACATGGCTTCTTGGGCCGGAGCCATCTGGTGGCGATCCAGAGAGTGGCGTCATGTCCCCCCTTCCTCCCTCACCGCACCAGAACGGCACTCTTGTTACCAGGACACGCTATTTTGAGGACTACGGGCTTGAGCATCTGACCAGAGCGTTGCTCTCCCTGATCAAAGATGCACCGGAGACAAGTGCCAGCGAAAAGGCACGCCCGTACCGTGTTTGCCTTTCCCTTATGGATAGGTGGGAGATCGGCGGCCTTGTAGTTCCCGAAGTCTTCCTGCCAATCGTGAATAGCGTCAGGAGTTTCAAGGACCGGGCGTCTAGCAAGACAGAATTTGCAGAAGTGCTGCGCAGCGCGAGTACATTCTTTGACGGTGTGGAGAGCGGTTTGATCTATGGCGAGATACTCGGGCAGATGGCACAGGCGATTGGACCCGGAGACCTGACCTCCCACGAGCGATCAGACAAATTCGACCTGGTCCAGTTCATTTTCAAACATTTCAACATCAAGGAGGAAGAAATGATCACTGTTCATGCGCCATTGACGGCTCTGGCGATTCTCTGCATGATTCAGGACGCAAGGCGGAGGGATGAATCAGCCAAGCAGATGATGGCGGATGACGGTTTAGTGGCCGCCGCACTGGGAATTGTGGCTGATCTGCTCGATATTGTACCTGACCGTGCGTTTCCGTCTAAAACAAAAGGGTCACCATCGCCACTGATACAAGCCCAAAACGCAGACCGCATCCCAAGTCTGGACTTGTTACTCAAGATCAGGGATTTTTACGTTCAAGACCAAGGCAATCTGGACGTCGCCAAGACACCACTCACTGGTCGCGAGGTCGGAGAACTACTTCTACAGCGGGCGTGCGATTCGGGTTGTGACAGCCTAGTCCAGAAGGAATCGCTCTCTGACCTGAGCGTTAAGTGCCGCATCCTGATGTTACTGGTTGCCAAAACGCCTCAGGACATCCCGTTTGATCATGCTCGTCTTCTTGCAGCTCTGAACACGCGAGTTTCAGAGGAGTCTCTGCAGTTCACCGCCTACTCATCCATTCTTTCACTTTCCACGCGCCTCTATTCTTCGAGCCGCATCGAAATCACCGACCTATCAGATCTTGCCAGCCCTCTCGTGCGCCATGCCTGGTCTTTTCTCGCTGCTTCAGAGCCGCGGTACCACGTTGAGACCGTTCGCAGCCTTTGGCTGCTTCAAACCGTCTTGACACCACAGAGCCGGGATATTGAGGCGGCTCTCTGTGCGCTGATGAGACAACACGACATCGATGGCACATTCTCAGTTCGACCAGCCGAGTCTGGCAGAAGCTTCAGTATACTCTGGTCTCACAGCCTGCAGGACAATCCATCCGGCCCAGACAGGAGGACACCAAAGACGCCAGTTGGTGAAGCCTGGTCGTTCCCTAGACTTTCCGGTATCGACAACTATGAAGTCATGTTGACACGGCCACTCTTCCTCGTGCTTGACGCTCTTGCCGACGAAAAGACGCAATTATTCATGGCCGTCAAGACTTGGCTGAATAATCTTGTTGGGATAGACAAGTGAGTACAACGAGCCTCTTCAATACACACTGACAATTACTGACATAGAGGGCGGTAAGGGTGTTCTACATTCTCACGTCGCAATTCGTGCAGCTGCCTTTCCTGGTGATGCCCTCAGAAAGAATGAGTGCCTCGCACGAGGAGCCTGAACTGTTCACCGAAGATGATGACCTCGACCTTTGCATATACTATCTGAGGACCATCTCCAATATTTTCAGATGGGCTCCAGACGCGATCTGGGGCATACTCGCGACCAAGACAATATACGCTGACGACTTCCCTGGTCTGCCACAATTGAGTGAGTTCATTTCTCTTCATACTCACCACAACACATACTAATAAAATCAGCAAACACGGAAGAAGATGTGCCGATTCAGTTTTTCCTGTTGCAAGTCTGTCTCAGGTGCATCTCACAGTACAAGGTTCCTGAGAATCGCGATATTAAGATACAAGTCACACAGCTTGTTCGGAGCGCCCTACTAGTCTTGCACCAGATTCTCTTAAATCCTTATGCTGCTCCCCTCGCAAAGCTGCAGCTTGAAGATGTTCTCATCAACAGACTGGCCCAGTCGCTGGAGTCGCCAGATCCCTATGTGCAGGTCTTGTTGTTAGATGTGGTTTACGCCTCACTGAAGCTCCGAGAGGTGTTGCCTGTCGAGCTTCCTCCCTCGCCCACTTCTGACAAGCGAAGACAAGGTGCTGAAGCACCAAGTCACCGGGGCTCTGTTTCCGCCGACAAATCTCCACGTCTCCCCCCTCCGCCGCCGGCGCTGCTGAAGTGTCTGCAGGCTGGTCTCTCCTCGCCAAGCAGCCGTCCAGTCTTGGACAGCTGGATCAGCTTCTTGACCGAATGTCTGCCATACTACGCAGACTCCATATTCCAGGTTCTCATCCCTCTTGTGGGCACTTTGTGCGACCAGATTGGAAGCACTTTTACAAGCCTGGAGCAGATGTTCAGAGGCTCCGAGCACGAGTGGTCGGACAAGCTCAATGCACCAGAGACGACCTTAATATCCTTCTTGAATGGCTTGGAGCATGTCCTAGCGAAAGGCCATGATAGGCTCCTGCTCGAAGAGGCACGCACGCCAGTAGTCAAGGGTCAGGACCAGCCGCAAGGCTTTTTTGGCAACATGGTGTCGGGAGTTTTCTCCACAGAGTCCTTCCATTCAAGAAGCGCTACAGCGAATGATCGATTGACTGTCCTGCTGGCGTTTCAGGATGCCGTCCGGATCTGCTTCAAGATATGGTCATGGGGCCAAGGCGGCGACGCGGCGGCCCAGAACAGTAGTTCTGTGGCTTCCTTCAGTTACACGTCTCTTCGCATGAGGAACCGTGCACGAAGACTCCTTGAGCACTTGTTCGCTGCGGAAACCCTAGAGTGTCTAGAGACTGTCATTGACATATGGAGGAAGTCTTTGGATGACCCCGAGTCATCTTCGCACATCGAGGTCTTCAACCTGCTGCCTGCATTGGATGGATCACGGCCGAAACACACCGTCCCCGCCATATTCAACTCCATCTACAGCCGTACAAATCCCAACGCCCTTGATCCCACCAGGAAATCAAACTTGACTGTCGACCTCCAAGATACGGATATTGTGATCTTCCTTGTGGACTATGCCAAGTCTCTCGAGGATGATGCTATGGACGAGATATGGCAAGATTGCATTACTTTCTTGAAGGACTTATTGACGAATCCCTTCCCACACAGGCAAACTCTCCCTAGCCTTCTGGAATTCGCGGCGATCCTGGGAGAGAAGGTTGACAACACCAATTTTGGGGAGCAGCGCAAGATGCGCCGAGAGCTTGGTGTAAGTGCCCTACAAGTTTCTTGCATGGCTAAGGGTATCGGGACTAATCTTCACCACTCTCTAGGACCTCTTCCTTCGGCTGCTCACTGCTCTCTTCACAACGCGGCCAGTTTCTTCCTCAGACGGTGTTAATGGTGCGTCCGAGAAACCTAAGCGCCTGGAGTCTGCGGGGCAACTTTCGCGGGATCGAAACCCTCAAGAACGTGCCGACGACACGGTTGGCATACTCTCGTCGATCGTCCCCAACCTTCCAAAGATCCTGGTGGAGAATGACCGGGTGCTGCAAGCGGCGACTTCGATCTCAGCCAGCGTGATCGGCCCGGCTCTCCGCGCAAAGGCTTTCCCGGACACGTTCTCCCAGAGCACGCTTGTGTTATTGCAGGAGCTCTCGAGGCTTCCAGGAAACCAAAAGACATGGAAGAAAGACGTCACAGATGCATTCAACGATACTCGCTTCTTCGGGTCCAGCGTGTCTCTCGTCCAGAGGGACTGGCTGCCACTGCTTAGGCAGTGGACAATCACAGACAAAGACCGGATGCCCGAGCTACTCAGCAGGATCGCTGCTCCGACGACAGCCGGCATAGTGTTTGGCGTCGGAGCAACATCTGCCAGGCTGGAGGCCGACCGGAAGACCCAGCTCACGCTTCGACGGATGGCGACTCTCATTCTGGCAACGGCAGAGGATACATTTGTCACGGAATTGCCGAGCATTTTGGACAAGCTTATTGAATTACTAGCGGCAACCGCAACCTCGTCGCCATCATCCACAACGCGAGCGGAGCTGTTTATGGTCGTGCGAGCGCTGGCACTCAAGACGAGCGCCATACATCTGGCACCCATCTGGCCGGTGCTCAATACTGAGCTGCATGCTGCCATCTCGTCGGTGGCTACGCCTGACCATAGCTCTTCCTCGGAGACGTACAACAACCTCTCCGTGCTGCAAGCATGCAAATTGCTGGACCTACTCGTCTGTGTCGCCCCAGATGACTTCCAGCTGCACGAATGGTTGTTCGTAACAGACACGATTGATGCCGTCTACCGACCGACCAATTACCAACCATTCGCCCTGGTGGATGAACTTTCCGAAGAGCTCGGGTCTGGCGTGGCAGGACCAAGTCCACAAGTCGAGGTCACGGCCTTTCTGACAGCGCAGGGCTCCGGAAGAAGGCCCCTGCTGGGAGACGGTGGGATCAGGGATGACATTAGTATCGAGAGGAGGGAGGAGCTGGTGGCCAAGATCCTGAGACCATTCTTTGGCCAACTCAGTATCTTTGCGTTCGAGTCGACGTATGCGATGGGCCCTCTGGACCGGGAAGTCTGTATCCAGGGGTTACTGAAGGACTTGTTTGACGAGGCGAGCATCGTCAAACAACTATAGGTACCATGAGCAGTAGTCATAGTAGTGTCCAAGGCTGGAGCTGGAGCTCCAGAAGAAACGAAGCAGTAGATATCAAATCCCTGTGTCGGTACTGCACGTCTACCTGCATAAACTCTCCTCGCGGGCCCGAGTGACCGATTCCTCAGGAAATGGCGCGGTCCTGTTCTGTCGGATAGTAAGCCACCATGCCCTTACTGACCCCGTTGATGCAGTACTGCACCACATCCAGCTTCTCGTCGCTCTCGTCTGGCATCAGCCGCGCAAGCTGGCTCAGGTCCCCGTTTCGCGGCAAGAACATGGCATGTGCCATCGGCGCACACATGACATGCAGATCCGTTACCCCAAAGGGCTCCATGGCTTCCAGGTCCAGCACCTCGGCGCCCTTGTACATGGGCCCGCCCCAGGGGGGGCTCGCAAACAGCTGGATGTGTTTCCCCAACCGGGTCTGGCGCCTCTGAGCCGGATCCTGGCCCACGTCTTCCTCTGCTTCCGTCGCCTGGAAGCACAAGTACTGCTGCAGGGTAGCGTCCAAAGTCTCGGGATGGTGCTTCAGGCGGCGCAGGAAGTCGGCGCAGTCGCCGTGGATCCAGAGGATGTGGTCTGCGAGGCCGTAGACGGCGGCGTTGTTCTGGGCACAGGCTAGGGTGGGAGCATCGATTTCTATGCCGATGACTAGGTCCCAATGGCCTGAGCGGGCGAAGGCGATGGTGTTGCCTCCTGCTCCGGCGAAGAGATCAATAATTATGCGGGAGCGGGGGCGTGGGCCGTGGAACTTGCTGGCGATGTCCTTTTGAGCGAGCTCGGTGGCGATTTGACTGTGGGAGGGTCAGCTGTCAGTATGAGGATTGTGAGGTGTATGGTGCGGTTTCGAAGGTTGAGAGGAGGGTTGTGTGTGTATGTGAGATGGGAGGTGACACGAAGTATCAATGTGAGAGTGAGTGTGAGAGCGAGTGGAAGAATGAATTCACATACTTGGCTATGGGCTCAGCGGTGACTCCAAACCAAGCCTCGTCTGTCATAAAGATGTCATCGTCGTAGAAACAGAACAGCTCCTTGCGCTGCCGCCAATATCTGATGCTCAGTGCAGGGTCAGCTTTCTCTGTTTCTCTCATATCCCGTACGTTCGTTTTGTTTCTGAATAAGGAGGCACACGCACTTTTTAATCTCGACAGGCATTTCGTCGGAGGACTCGTAATGCTTGCATCTGGCCGTCAAGGGAAGTGGTTCTGCAGGAGCCATGATGCCCTGGGGCTCTGGTCCTAAGCCTTTTGCCATGGTGGGCGAGGCAGCAGTATCAAACGGTTTCTTTTGGGTGTCTTGTCTTCGGTTGCAATCGTTTGCGAGTCCGACGTGCTGAAGGACGATGATGATAAGGCTGCAAGGATGGAGGAAAGTAGTGAATGATAGCCCTACTTAAACTACATTCTGAAGAATTGAGTGAGACTGAAAAAACAGTGTACTTTTCATCTCTTCTGAGTTCACATAGACAGAGTTCTCTGCCTGCCTCTCACAAGCCTGACGTTGGCTGGAGGAAATGTGAACGTGGATTTTGTTAGTCGACTATTTTCCAGCGGGGGTCTGCATGGCTTACAGAAGAGGGGTCCCACTGCGGCGGCCCCACTGGCTGGCTTGACGGCTGGTCTACAGGGGAGGGGAGCTTGGGCCAGGGCTAAGGCTGAAGCTAACTGCGGCCTGATGACAAGGTTGCAGACACGTTGAGAGGGACTGCTGCCCTTTGAGTTGGAATCGAAATACAGGTCCAATTCCCAAGTCAACAGTCAACCAGCATATTTTCCACGCCACCAAGGTTCACCGTCTCCTCCTCCTGCTTATCCTCCTCAAATCCTCGCCGACTACAGATTTTATCTTATTATAAAAGTCTCATCAAAAGATCATGTTCAACGCCCTCAATCGCTTCATATCCCGCCTCGACGGCGAGGACCCACGCCAAAAACAACAACAAGGGCTGTTCGGCTTTCAGGTCCTGCGAAACGCAAACCAACAACTCGCGATTGAACCGTGGTTTGACTTTATCGTGGGAATCAATGGGCGCGTGATTGTATGACAAGATCTCCCAGACACAGAAACGCAGAGACAGAAAGAAACACCACGGTCTGGAGACTCAGCCAGCTAACTACCCTCCTCCCTTCTTCCTCCCTCTTCAGGATGATCCGAGCCCGAACCTCTTCGCCCAAGAGATCCGCAACTGCGCCGGCAGCACCGTAACCCTCGGCCTGTGGAGCGCCAAAGGCCAGCGCACCCGCACCCTTCACGTCCCCGTCCCGCCCGACACGGCCTCCCTCGGCCTCGCCCTGCAGTGGACCTCCCTCGCGGCCGTGACCAACATCTGGCACGTCCTCGATGTCCCTGCCGGCTCGCCCGCTGATCTTGCCGGCCTGCTGCCGTACAGCGACTACATCCTGGGCTCGCCCGAGGGCGCTCTTCACGGCGAGAGCGGCCTGTCCGAGATCGTCGAGGACCACATTGGCCGTCCGCTGCGCCTGTACGTCTACAACAACGAGTACGACGTCACGCGCGAGGTGACACTGCAACCGAGCCGCGCCTGGGGCGGCGAGGGGGCTCTGGGGTGCGTGCTGGGCTATGGGGCGCTGCACCGCCTGCCTGCGCCGCTGAGCGAGCCTGTCCATGCACCTGGGGAGATGATGTTTGATGGCGGCGAACTGTCTGAAAAGACACCCTACCCGGCGGGGATCATGGCGTCGCCCATGGACGCTTCAGCCAACTTTATCACGCCCGCCGACCAGGGGGCGCAGGGTGCAGCGCCGGGCGGCGGCGATTTCCTGGTTCCAGCGCAGATCGCGAGTGCGACGCCGCCACCGCCGGCAGGGAACGCGCCGCCGAGGAGTCAGAAGAAGAAAGACAGGCAAGCGAACCGTGGGGGCAACAGCATGGACGATTACTTCAACGAGCAGGAGCAGAAGAGCAGGGAGCTGGACAGGCCAGAGACGACTCGGAGCAAGAGCCCCTTAGCACCTCCGCCAAAGGCAGGTGGACCGCCCAAGGGAGGACCTCCAAGAGCAGATACACCGAAAGAGGAAGAAAAAGAGGCAGGTGGCGAGTAACGCAGCGGAATGACACGGGCCGGCGAGGAGAGACAGGCCAGATGGCCAATGTCGCTGGCCATCTGAGCAGCGGTGATAAGTCAAATCATGATTCAATTTTCCGCAGACATCAGCATGATGCTTGTCCTGTTTGTATTTTGCCTGAAACCCCGTGTCCTATTGTACATGTCCCATGAATTCCTGCGACTTAGACGAACAGGCAAAGATGCCGTTGCGATTCCAACACGGTCCCTAGTTCCCCTTTTTCGACGCCCACTTCCGCGCGCTCTCTCCTCAGTTAGTTGATGTAGTTGATGCAGAAAAAGTGCAGTATCAGGCTGCCAAAGATGAAATCCGCAAAGGCTCTGCTCGTTCTGTCAGTATCTCTGGTCTAGATTCTACCCGCGCGGGGCTTTCAGATCGACCGGTATGCTGCGCACCTCTCGGGGGTTGTCTTGGAAAATGACTCCTTGTTCTGCTCGACGGTCTGCATGCGGAGGGAAACTGTTGCAATGTGGAGGATATCGATTAGCGGTTTAGATCATGGGGTATGTACAAAAGAAGAGCCTCGTGGCAGGGTCTTGAGAGGAATGCGTGGGAGGCATCGTACCGGTCAGGGCGAATTGGCCAACAGTGGCAATGAAGCCAGCGAGGAAGGCATTGTAAGGCTACATGCATCATCATTGCACCGCCCAGGTCAGTCTCTCTTAAATCCCACACATACGACAAACAGGGAGGACACGACTCACATTGCGTCCACCAGCAAGGAAGTACAGCATCTGCAGACCTCCAACCAACACCAGGAAAGCCAGGAAGATGTCGAGCAGCCTGGTCTGGTGGTTGGTGATCTTCCAGTACCCGTTCCAGACCTTGTCAGCATCGGGCCACGACTGCAGCGAGAACGGCGGGGTCTGCGGCTTGGACGGGGCTGCAGAGCTGCCAGGAGCAGAAGTGTTCTTCTTTGGGGCCATCGTGAAAGGAGGGAGGAGAAGCCTGCTATGTTGATCTAATTGAGGAGGAGGGTATGGCGCGGTTGTCGTTTGCTGGGCAGCTCGAGATGGCGAGGAGGGGTGGTGGTAAAGGTTGTTTTGGGGGAAGATGAACCAGCATCAATATGCGATGTTGTCAATTCGATGCGAGTTTCCAAAACGACACGAAAGCTCCAAGCCGGGGTGACGACACCAGGAGTGGGTCCAACTAGTCCTAATTGGCTGCCCTGACAGGGGCCAGCGGGATGCCAAGCTTCCAGGGTCTCTTCCCATATTTGGGTCTTCTCAGTAAAAAGCAGCAACACCAATCAATGCAGTTGATGACTTGATCACTGCATCGATTACTTAATAGTATGGGAAATATAACGTCCACTATTCCTACAGAAATGCCGAAGAAAACCTGTGAAAATTGTGCAGCAACATTCTGCAGGGTCTTCATTTTCTTTCGCCCCCCACCCCTTCTTTTCCCCGTTGGGATCTGGCTCTGGGTGCTGTCAAAGCACAACTACTGGGCCAATGAATATCTATTACCCTTCATAGTCTGACAAGGCTCTGCTGTTTTCAATCCATAACATTTGCTAGATAATAGATATGCGACAGCTAAAAGGAGTGACCACTCCTAGCTGCCTGGAAATGACTATGGCTTATATAGCTGCGTAGACGGTCGAACTCACACATAAACGATATCATATCACTCCATCGAGTCCTTGGAGGTCTATGCTCAGAAATAATTATAGGTGTCAATACTAAGAAAATAGCTAGCATGAGAGGAGACTATCTGTGCAACCTCAGGCAAAGTAAATCTTGGAAGCATAAATGTTGTTATGAACTATATGAGGCCATGCGCATCCAAGGTGAGAGCAACCTAATGTGTTTTTGCTCTTCCAAAGCAGTTTGGCACACTTTAAGCTGTTCTCATCATTATTGCTCGAACAACCCTACCACAGAAAGCAGGGCAGGCACACATGTTACAGAATGAATGAGAGTGAGCAGAACTCATTGATATAGTACAGAAACTTGTTCCCAAGGTCATTGAAAATCAGACTGCGCCAGAGATGATCAATCTCTTTTCTTAATTTTTTAGTGTGAAGCCTTCATGCGCACTGATATCACTTAAACTCATTGGCTGGAATTTAGAAGAATGTGGTAGCTGAAACAACCTGTGATGGATATGATTGCAAGGCTATGTAAGTATGTTGCACTTTACAAGAGAGCACCTGGGAAAAGCTTAGAGAGACTTGAGCTCAAATTATCTCTTAGATGGTAATCAGTTGCTGCTACGGGTCATAGTAGGGTATAACATGAGCCTATGCCCGGACAAATGTGCGTCGGTAGATAACATCATGATTCTACAGTAGATCAGTCTATAGGCCCCAATGCTCATGGCGTCTGGCTTGTCAGTCGCGAGGGAGCCTACTTTACTTGCACAGTGTTTAGGGTATTCAGAAAACTTGATGATGTGAAGCAGAAAATATTATTAGTAGTTGGGACAAAGTAAATGGTGTTTCAATGACTAAAGATAATAGACATATGACTTATATAGCAGTTGTATCATTAAATATATGTATATATACGTGTGTGTGTGTGTGTGTGTGTATACAAAAGCCCAACAAATTTATGGCACAAGGAAGAAGACCGATTCAATGAGTTCTCCTGTAAGATGTTCAACAGATTATGTTACATGCTGCACACTTTAGAACGGAATGTTCAGGCAATCGCCCAAGTCGCCAAGGCCTTGGGAAAGAGAGCAGTAGTGACGGCGCGACATGGTATTGACCTCGTTAAAATAGCAATTTTGCGACGCCAGTGGTCTTTCATTCAAGCTGTTGGCCACAATCCACCCCATTATTGGCACTGGGGGCGTATGCCTCTATGCTGGTGGTGTTTCTAGACACACGCACAATAAATTCCTCTGGGGAGTTCCCCCCTCCCCCCCCAATCCCTCATCCCTCCCCCGACTTTACAGTACTGGAAACCGTCGGGTGGAGAAGTGCCGAGAGATGTCACTGCCTTGGCGCAACCAAGGGACGTTCTCAAAGAGGATCCATCCTCTATGAATCCAGGCACATCTGTCATTCCTCAAGTGTTTAAAATTTGGAAACAGGGGCCCACGTCTAGGAAACAAGAAGCTTGGCAACACGAGGTTTCGCACAGACCTTGGGCGTGACGTGGTGAAACAGGTGCCGCTAGGTGGACTTGGGAGGCTCTCTTAGCACGCCAGAGGGGCAATCCGGGTAGGCATGAGGACTGGGGTACCATAGTATTCTGGAAGTATCCAGATAAGAACAGAAAGAAAGTGAGTGAGCCTTTTGTGCCGTGTGTCCGTGTGGTAACCAATCGACGGGGCTGAGCCGCGTCGTGGATGTTTCTTTTGCCAGTCCGCAAAAGCCGAGCTCGAACATGAGCGTCATACATAAACGAAAGCAATTACCGTAATTAATTACGGTTCAAGGGAGATCTGACTTTGCCTGTTTCAAGACTTCTTCTTCCTTCTGCTTTTCCCCCCCTTCCTTGCTGGAACGTTAGCATAGGTCTCTGTAAAGATATTAGTATAATCGAATAGAATGGGGGCGAACAAACTTGAATATGAACAAAATCAAAGACAAAGCAGGAATCTGCCCAAGTGCTTATCTCAGATCTCTGATTCTAGAGTTTGTCTCGGATCGCGACAAGAGACGTAAGTCACTGTCTCTTTTGGTGCAGTGGATTGTAGAATCCCTGAACACGCCTGGGCAGGGGATCGTCAGGGGGTGTCCCTACCCACGGCAACCACTGATTTTAAGGTTTCTCCACTCATCAAGCGAGAGATCTCGCCTAGGGCGACTTGGGGTAAGATATCATGTTTGACTTCCTTGAAACCCTTAGAAAAATGTGTGGTGATGCCGCCCTCCATTAGGTATAATCTCAGAGGTTGAGCTTAGACAAGGCGATAAAGATTCTCTCGAGGCTTCTTGTGCGAAATTTGCAAGTTCTATGTATGAGATCTCAGTTCAGTCAGCATATGAGGCGATGAGGCTGGCTTTCATATAGTATTCGCTGCATGTTTGATCTTGTTGTCCAAGGCAAACTTCAGCAGCAGCCCCGAGGCTCGTAATCACGCTCTCTCTGGTCTCCTTGATAAAAAGAGCTCGTTCTATAATGCTACTCACTCTCTGCTACAAGTTGTACAATCCTATCATCTAACTATGGAAGTTCACGAGGTGGCTGCAGTACAAGATACGCACGGGGCTGTATGGTGTGGCGGACCCTGTTTGAAGACAAGACGTTGGTCAAGGTTGCCGGTACCTAATTCCTGGGCGACACAGCACCCTGATAAGTGGTATCTAGTACGTGACCACATGCTGTCTCTCCTCCCACGAAGCTGCGCCCGAGACTTGTACACTGACCTGAAGCCACCGTCTAATCTTTGGGGTAGCTATGCGTCTGCTTACAGACAACCTCTTGATTTTCGTTCACTAAAGTAGGTGAATCACATCTATCTGCGTCTCACACAAACACACAAACCACGCGAGCCATACTTAAAGGGCCAATCTCCTTCAACAGCCACCAAACTACATCTTGCAGATCTTGCATCACGTCTCCTTGCCTGCCATTCTTTTGACGGTGCATCTTCCTGCTCCCAGAGATCATCTTTGTTGTGTCTTTAGCCCCACGTCAAAACTCGACCACCACCAATCTTTTCAAAATGTTCTCTTCGGTCGCTGCCTTCGTTCTAGCTGCTGTCACTCTCGGCGGTGTTACAGCGCAGGCGACCAGCGGTAACATCACAACGGGCGTACGTGTCTCCCTAGAACAGGTGCTTTTCTCTGGATCAACATTTAGCTAACTATACGATTGAAGATTCTTGGCAATGCCACGGCCATCGTCGACAACCCGAACGGGGCTCAGTACATCGCTCAGCTGCCCAGCAATGCCTTCGACACCGATTTATTCCCCAGCGGCGGTAATGTGCAGGGAGCCATTCAGGCGGTCTCTATGCCCAGCGGTCAAGGCGTGATGTTCCACGTCGAGTTCTCTGGTCTGCCTGCCTCTGGTGGCCCATTCCGTACGCCCTCTACCCTCTCGGCACTCTTACTCTTTAAGCCTGAAAGCTTCAATGATTCACCTTCCTCCTGATTGTCTAACCCTCTTCTCTCTCTCATATCAGTCTACCACATCCACGATCAGCCAGTCCCTGCCGATGGCAACTGTACTGGCACTCTGGCCCATCTCGACCCTTACCAGCGAGGCGAGGAGCCCGCCTGCGACGCTTCCCTGCCCGAGACCTGCCAGGTTGGTGACCTCTCTGGCAAGCACGGCAGCATCAACGGCACCGATTTCTCCACCACCTTTACGGATGAGTTTGCCTCGACCCTAACTGGCATCGGCGCCTTTTTCGGCAACCGCAGCTTCGTCCTTCACTTTGCCAATACGACCCGCATCACCTGTGCCAACTTCACCGCCGTCGCGATGGAGAGTTCAGGCTGCACCGGTACTACTTCGACCACCTCATCCACCTCGACTCACACGTCTGTCTCGACCAGTTCGGGTGCTGAGACCGCCACCTCTACGACCACTACGAGTACAACCAGCACACTTCCCACAGGTAGCAACAGTACGACAGCCACCAGCTTGCCTACCGCGGTCGTCACGGCCGCAGCATATGCAAACACGCCTGTCCATGTGCTCGCTGTGGGAGCTGCCCTTGTATTCATCCTGTAATGAAAGGGTCGGCTTGGGAGACTATGATTTGCATAGACACATGCGGTTTCCGGCGTTCATTGGAGACAAGGTTATTCGTGATTTTGAGCTCGTCCAGCTGAAAGGGTAAAATGGGAGCCGAGGGCGGGAGTTCTCACTAGGCGGTCAATACTCTCGGGAAGATACCTCGGTTGCTTACGTTTTTCTTCTTCTTCTTTTCCTCTTGCAGATTGTACTTTCACATAATAAACGTTAAACTAATCAACACAAAAGATTGCAAATGGAAGGGCGAAACGGCAGGCGACATTGTCGCGCAGTGTATCGAATGAATCTGGTCCGAGCTCTACTTCTCAACGTCGCGATGACGTCTAGTCTAGGCGCCAGATTAAGGGCCCCAGCGGAAACATCGGATTGCCTTTGAGCTACCAGAAAGCCTTCTCCAGACTAAAAAGCTCAATCATGAAGCCTCGTCCTCCTTGCGCCCACTTGACCAACTTTAGGATAACCGGTTCTTTTTTTGAAACGAGCCTAACCTTGCCCCCAAAAATTCTGCCATCAAAGTTCAGCCGCACAGCCGAGGCGGAGAGAAGGAAGTTGCCTGAATGAGGAATGGCGGGAGCCCCTTGAGGCTGTCTTGCACCCACATTGCATGCAAGTGATGATCACCGGTCAGGTTCTTTTCCCGTCTAGGGCATAATGCAGAGTTCTTCCTCTTCTCTCTCACTTTTTGTCTTTCTTTCTTACTCTTCTTCTAAACATCTTTCTCTCTTTTCTCTCTCTCTCTCTCTCTCTCTCTCTCACGCTGCCTCCTCTTTGCTTTGTTCTTTTCCCCACCCTCTCAGGGATTTCATGATGCAAAACCCACAATTGAATCTCAGCACGACCAGGAAGACGTTCAGACAAGCCAGCTCGTCATGCTGTGTGATCAGCTAGACAAAAGTTCCGAGCAGGAGAGACACAGAGAGATCCTAGGCTGGGATGGAAGGTGGGATACCCGAGAGGATGGGTCGACAGGGGGGACCACCCCCGGCGGGGTTCCTTCCCTGACAAGCGAATCAGAGACACTGGGTCTCACAAATCGAGCAGGTGGGGTCAAGGGCGAACCAGGAACCATGCGGCTGCACCCGAAGAACGCGACCACCGACCTTTTTGGTCTCTAAAAAGCAACTTCAAACCACGCAACGCATACAAACACGACTGACGCGTTTGACACCAGAGACATTCATGCCGTTTCTCTTGTGTTTGTCCCTTGAACAACGTCTTCTTTTGCTAACTAGGCACTCGCCCTCCAACCCCGGCCGGGACCATCCTTCGAGCTTCAGTCACTTCTCACACGCGCCAGGGCGTTCTCCCCGAATAAATTTTTATTACTACTATGGAGACACCAAAAGTGCAGGAAAAGAAGAAAAGGAGCGACCAAGGCACCTCGAGGCAACAAAATGGGTTAGCTGGTTGATAATGATGGTGGTAGTCTGGCTGACGCTGACGTGGGACTCAGCTGCAAACTAATGACAGGTCAAGACCGTAGCTGGCGTCTGTTGTGATTACTATTCTTGAAGGGGGTGGATAGCCTCAATCTGGTGACTATGACCGCGTTCCACGATGGCGATGGGACAATGATTGGTGACCTCGCATACTCCACAGCCCTTCAAAGACACGCCAAACAAAATGTGGTGTCGTGCCTAATGCCCTCCCCCCCCCCCCTCCCGGCTCCACCAACACCAGAAGAGCACAGTCGAAAGCTTAATCATCGAGAAGGGGGGTGGGGGTTTGGCACTTGATCTTTTTTTGCAAGGAATGACATGGCCACAGCTGACCGCTCCGGCGCAGAAACCCAAGAACTACGAGACTACGGCTGTCTGTACCAGCCGGGAGGTCCCAGGCACAAATCTGGGCCCGTCAGATGACCGTATCGTGGCTCGAATGCGTGGACGAGAAACCCCACCATTGGCTCTCGAAACCCGAGATCATGACCAAGCCGTAAGTTTCGTGTCGCCAGGGTCATCTTTACGAGCTTCCGGGCTTTCTAGAAGGTGCTTATCTCCCAGGAGAAGAACCAATACCAGCGCAACAGCATTCTCTGGCGTGCAGCACAGCAGCCACGATAATGCATGTGGCCTTCCGATGATCGATGTTGTGACCGGCGCACAAGCAGGAACCTGCGTGTCACGGATCTCCGGGACCTTGCATTCACGGACCATGACATATGCACCTCTGCAACTCTGTTGGGGCAGTTTTAAAATAACCCTTTCAAGCAAGACACCGGCCTCGTCATCATCATGGTGAGATCCAACGACCGTTGATCTCAGAAAAAGCTCCTGGGTTCAGCGGTCTACAGGTGAGTTTTAACAGGCGAAATATCGACCTCGTGAAACCCGAATTAGTGCAAAATACACACACGAAATGCCTTCGATCCCGAGAGGGGGCGTGATGATTGTTGGTGCGACCAACGAACCCCATCACTACCGCCTGGTAGCCTGCCCAATCGCCCTGCTGAGAAGGTGAACCCCAGGCTTCAGCCCGAGAAAGTCTCGCAGCCATGAGTGGCGGCGCATTGTGGAGCACAACCTTACAGTAAGTAGGTGGTGGGGGTGGGTGGAGATCGACCACGACGAAGTGGGAAACACTGCATTGTCTGCTTCCAGACTGTCGACTTCCGTCAGCCTTTCTCCATTGTCTCGGGGCATTTGGCTGTCACGGCTGAGCTTCGCACAGTCACTGTGGGAGAGAAGAGGAGGCATGCCCCATGCGCTCACCGTCTTTTCAAGCTTCTAACAGGCCTCTGCCGCGGGGAAGCGAACGTGACATTGGTCTCAGAGAGACGATTGACTTAAAAAGTCTCGGTCGCGCCCATCTCATCGCTCCATCTACTAATATATCTCCCCTCTTTCTCACACATGCGAGATCGACAATTCGCATCCACACCTACAGACTGGTCCTCACAATGAGGAGAAGGAGCCACAAGAGCAAGCGCCGACCTAATCATCTGACAAAGACCTCGCATATGCCAAGGAAAGGATCTCCGGAAGGGGCTGAGGTCTGGCGCTCCTACAATCTGCAAGTATTGCCGTGGTGTGTGTGTGTGTATGTGTGTGTGTCCTACTCGATAATTCTGTCCACTACGTCGGGGGGGACGCTCGTTCTAACGAAGCGGTCACATGTACCATCTGCTGCTGGGCACTGGAGTGCGTGGGGTGGGGTGGAGACGAGGGGGGGGGGAGCATGGAGAACAGATGCGCTGTCTGTCTGTCTCTCTCTCTCCCCTTCTCCTTCTCTCCTCCCCTTCTCTTCCTCCTCCTCCTCATCTGACAAACACTCACTCAGCTGGGCTGCAAGCTGACAAAAAGGTGCATCCAGATCCACACACAGACACGCAAGCAGCCTTGCCTGATGGACAAACAGGACCCCTGACCGCCTCCACCGACTCGAACAGCCGGACATCCCATCTCACCACCCCTTCCCTTCTCCTGACCGGATCACAACTTTCACGAGAAGAAGAAGAAAAGAGAGACTGGGGGTTACGTCAAGGCGGGAGAGTCGGCCCTAACGTGGTCGGGCTAGACTCGTGAGCGTGGACCCTCCCCTTCTCACTTCCGAAAACGTGGTTCTCGAGTATCAATGGTTCGCACGGGTCGCCACCGGGGAACAAGGAACGGTGGAACACAGTCCCATCTAAGGAATGTGAGGGAGGGATGAATCACGACATCGATCCTGTTCATTGGGGGGAGGCAAGGGCGGAACATTCCAGCTGGTCGCGGCCTTAAACGGGATCGGGAAGTGGGTTTACTAACCCTTAGGAATTCTCGAGGTTCCAGAAACAATAGAAATAATGGGCCTCCTCGTCAACAACATGATTTTCCCACACAATACGCCCCCCATCCAATAGAGGTCACTAGCCAATGTCTATGGCGTATATAAGTCTCGCATCCTCGACATGAATGACGCGACCCCTTCCAGACCGAACACGCCGCGCCGGTCTATCGTACCCCGAGGGTTGATGACACGCCTTCGGCACCGAGCCTCCAACCTCAAGCCTGTTGCTGTTGCAGTTGCAGTCTCTCAGGAATGTATGGTTGCCCCCCTCCTCTCCTACCAAAAACCCTTCCACCCTCCTTTCTTTCTCGCTCTATAGTTTATCGTCTATCGGCGGCCCTGTTCAGATGTTTCTGTTGGCTGTTCTTTATTGGATGTTTTTTTTGGGGGGGTGGTGGTTTCTCTTCTTTTCTTCCCCCCCGCCCCCTTTCCTTTTCCAATGAGCTGACGCGAGTGTCTTGTAGCCCCAGAAAGCCATGACGAGGTGCCGAGCTTGCCGGATGAGACGTTCTACCCAACGTCTGTCAAGGACCTTCGACAGACTGAGTATCCTCATATGAATGAAGGTCATTAATTCCAGTGCATAATTATGTTGCCACCCACCCTCCACCGAAAACAAAAGAAGAAGATTATGATGAAAGAACGAACGAGTGAGTGAGAAGAGAGATAGAGAGACACATTTATCTAACCTCTGGTACTTCAGGCGTCTATCTCGATCACAGTGGAACGACCATCTACGCAAAAAGCCTCGTCGATGCCTTCGCCGAGCGCATGAAGGCGAACCTCTACGGAAATCCCCACAGCGCCAACGGTCCCGCCCATAGATCCGGATGCGTCGTCGATGGTGTGCGGGAGAAGGCCCTACGGTTCTTTGGCGCCGACCCTAGACACTTCGACCTTGTCTTCGTCTCCAACTCCACCGCCGGCATCAAGCTCGTGGCCGACAGCTTCAGGGATCTGGCCGAGAAGACAAGGAGCGGCAGCTTCTGGTACGGCTACCACAAAGACGCCCACACCAGCCTCGTCGGCATCCGCGAGCTCACCCGCGGCCACTCGCACTGCTTCGAGAGCGACATCGAGGTCGAGCGCTGGCTCGAGAATCCGGAGCTGCATGGTCGCGACGGGCGGTATGACCTGCTCCCTCGGCCCCAGGGGCTGGGACTTTTTGCTTACCCAGGCCAGTCCAACATGTCCGGCCGGCGGCTGCCCCTCTCTTGGACGGGCGCTGTCAGGTCCTCTGCTCCCCTGCAGAACACGTACACGCTGCTCGACTGCGCGGCCCTCGCCATGACCAGCCCCCTGCACCCAGTCTTTCGGGACCCCGACAGCGCGCCCGACTTTGCCTGCGTGTCCTTTTACAAGATCTTTGGGTTTCCCGACCTGGGCGCCCTGATCGTGCGAAAAGACTCGGGTCACATACTGACGCTGCGGAAATATTTTGGCGGCGGTACCGTCACCATGGTGTCGGTGCTAGGAGGAACCTGGCACAAGCTGAAGGGCCGGGACGCCGCTGATCCCTATGCCGGTGGGATACGCCAGGACCACGGCGACCGCTCTTATGAGATCCACGACGGCCTCGAGGATGGTACCCTGCCCTTTCACAACATCCTTGCCCTGGGTGAGGCCATCGACGTCCACTTGAGGCTGTACGGCTCCATGGACAACGTCTCCCGCCACACGACCAACCTGTCGATACGTCTTTACCAGAGGATGAAATATCTAACGCATGCCAACGGCCGTCCGCTCTGTCATATATATACCGAGGACGACGGCAGAGGTTTCGGCGACCCCAGAAAACAGGGGGCCACGGTAGCTTTTAACCTACTTGACGCTGGTGGTTACTATATCCCGTATGCCGATGTCGAGAGGATAGCGAACGAGCATGGATGTTATGTGAGGTCAGGCGGTATGTTATGGGAAAAGAAGAAGAGAGAGAAAAAAACACCCAAACCGAAGATGAAGGGGGAAACAATTCGCTAATGTATCAGCTCAGGAATATGTTGTCCAGGTGGTATCTTCACTGCTCTCGAGTACGAGCCGTGGCAACTGCAGCGAGCATTTTCCGCTCACCACTCATGCGGGCCGGACGGCATCAGCCTGATACAACAGCTTCCCACAGGGTAAGTAAAGAAAGAGAGAATGCTTCCTCTTCATCTCAGCCTTTCATTTACCCTATACCACTTGTTTCAGAAATTTGGCCGTCCAAAAACGTGTCTCTATAAATAGTAAAAGCAACATGCACTGATTCTTTTCAAACTTTTAGGGTTGTTCGGGCAAGTCTCGGAGCAATGAGCACGCGAAGCGACGTGGACGCTTTCATAGCTTTCCTGCAGTGGGTTTTCATCGACCAAGGCTCTTGCAAGACGATTCATATTCCGCATGCAGGAGACCAGGAGTATCACCTGTCAGATATGCATCGACAGTCGGATGCTACCTTAGTATGTGCAGCACATGCGGTAACGTGTGGATAAAGGAGGGATTGGGGGTTGGGGGGGGGGGGTGCGGAGCTGGTTTTCATATATATACCAGGGTGACGAAGAAGGAGGGAGATGTAGTGTAGGGCTCATATGATAGAGAGAATTGGGGAGGCCAAAGGGAAGAAGCAGGAGGTCGAGGAGAGGGGGGGGGGGGGTGAGGGAAGGTGTGGGACCAAAAGTCTGTATGGTTCGTCACTTGAGGTGAATAATGGGTGGTAGATTTGGAAGGGGCAAACTCCCCTGAAAGTGAGTTTAAGGAAGCCTGGGTGACTGTAATCTCCATTTGAGATTATCAGCAGGCTGATAAATTGTATTTTATTGCACTAAACTTAGATCCTATCTACTACTTTATAATTCGGTCCTCTATAATTCTCCACAAGCACGCAATAAGTAATGGCAATGTATCCTAGCATCCTCGATCAATTAACTGAGCAATAGCCCAGTACAAATAGCAAAGCATAGCAGATCACACTATTCATTCCGTCTCAATAGCTGCCTGCCACAATTCTTATTTTGAGTGCTGAGGTGCTGAGAGCTGAGAGCTGAGAGCTGAGCAAGGGCGTACCTTTTCGTTCTCGTCTTACTATCTGGGTTATATTCGTAGGCTCGTGCACAGGGGCATTATCCTGGCAGTGGTTATTGCGACAAGGTAGCATTAAAACTGTCTGTTAGGCTGTATTAACAACAACCAATATATATAGACTTGACGTTCAATAGTGATTCTTCGCTCATCCTCTTTTCCATTTCCTGTCAATCCCATTCCATGGCACTTCCGGTTGTTTTGAGAATGAAGGTCTTGATCCTGCTTACTTCTTCATTCACCGGGGTATGTTAAAAGCAACTCCTTTTCAGTACAGTAAATACACCTTCTTCACAACGCGATAATGTTTGGATACCTCTTTGCATTCCAAAGTCTTTAACCGCACCTGGAGAGAGTACAACCATCAAGCAACAAATTTACTTCTCGAACCTCCCTTCCTCTTCATCATCAAGAAACCCAGGCCTGCAAGGACCACGAATGTCGCAAAGCCCAGGAACTGGAAGCTCTCATTGGCAAATGCCTTCTGACTGTTTTGTTTTCTACCATCAGCTTTTTCCACATTCAAAAGAGTGCCTCACAGTGACTTGGTTCATTACGTACCAGATACCCTTCATAGGCGACGGCCACAGGTTCACCAGCGGCCAGGGGTCCTCCTTCTGGTTCCCTGCGACATAACAGTACGGGCCATTGTCGCTGCTGCTCTTCTGGGAGTCGCAGCCCTGGTTGAGTAGCGAGTTGTCGTAGAGCTTCTGCAGCGAGCTCAGGCTGCAGCTCTGGCCCTTCATGCCGACGGCCCAGGCGATACCGCCCGCGAGGAAGAATAACGCGGCGAGCCCGTCAGTGACCATGGGGGCGATACTGGGAATCCTATCGACCCATAGGGCAACTGCGCCGAAGGCACCGACAATCATACTGTCATGAGGTGCATCGTATGGTTAGAGGTGGCTCATTTACGGAGGCGGTGAGGGCCTGGTAGATGTTCTTACCCAAAGGCGCCGACGAAGACGCTGTAGCGAGTGGTTACCGGGGCGCTTCCGACATGCTGGTCTTTCATAAATGTAGCAGAGAGACCCACGACGACGATGGCGAAGAGCATCTGGAGACGGTCAGCTTATTGCACGTGTTAGAAGCTGACGAAGGAGTAAGTGTTATGAGGTGCTGAAGGTTCAGCCAGAGGAGTGCAAGGCACAGAGGCTTATCACGAACCTGGAGGGCTCGAAAGCCGATCGATATGATGGACAACATGATTGTCAATGCTTCCTGGAGAAAACTCAATAGAGTTTTTTCTTTGCAAGAGGCTAGACCGTGAGACTCCTTGACTTAGTTGTTTTGGCGTGTTGATTTTCGTGTATTTTGTCGGGGCGCAGCTTCGGCCAGATGGAGAGACGCACTGATTGTGTGTCGAGCAACAACCCCGAGGAGTTGGACCAGGTCGAAGAGTATATCAACCAAAAGCAAATTCTTTTATGAAACGAATAAAATCAGTATAGGACTGGGGGAGTGCAAGATGGAAGAGTTTCTGTTTTGTCGTGGGAACCCCCACTTTTCTAGGCAGCTGGGTATCTGCCTGAGACTGTGGTGGCTGCTCCTTCTTAAAGTATGGCAGCTGAAGCGCGCCTGCACAAGATCCTCAACCTGTCTCCCCAGATCCAACCAGCCACATCCTTCTACTCTGTGTCTGCATACTCAGGCAGGCAATACCCGACCTGGCTCGTTGCTTACAAGTCAAAACAGTTCCGCGATTTTGTGCTTAGCACCAAATGTGGGCTAATTATGGCTGCTTCGCCACTGCGGATGTCAGCTTACGGGGTGGTGTTCCAACTTATACGACTGCGTCTCCTGGCTCAGACCGTTCCATTTTATTGAGGCTTGTTGATGCAACTTTCCCCGCAAGTCCATGCCGGATAGCTAGTGACTACTGGTTCAGCATTTGCCTAGGTAGGTAAGCTTACGGGGGGAGAGAGAGAAAATCTTATTGCAGTCTTTGTGGCGTGGTGCATGCATCGTTCCACCTCGGACTGAGACTTTGCCTCCAAAATGACCATAGCATGTCTCAAACATTCACTATCGTGCCACTACTTCCCAGGCAGTGCTTGCTATGAGATCTCTCTTGAAATATCTAGTGATGTTCGTATACCTTAGCAAGCTTTAAAAAGTGAAACACAAACACATATGAAGAAGGAGGAAACTAGCATTTATATGAACTAAGAACACACAGGATTACTCATGTAAAGCATTGCACTCTATTCATACTAATAGCAGAATCCCTGATTACATACTTGAATATCTTATGTATTATTGCTTCTTTTTATTTCAAGTTTTCCATCATAGATACTCATAATAGTAAAACTCTTGGAGATCGAGCAAGAGAGGTTGGCTTCAAAAAGAAAGAAAAGAAAGAAGAGCCAAACGAAAAGCCCCATCAAGAGCACATTTCGGTGATGTCCCTGGAGGCCGAAAACCCTTCATGTCGCATTTACGAGTCAGTCTGATGCAGCTCAAGCTGTGGTCAATTTGGTACACGCTTTACCTGAGCCAACGCGGGTTGCAGATGAAAGCCTGACTGCACAACTCGAATTCAGACATATGACTTTGACCAATTCAGAAGGGCAAGGTAGAAACACAACAGTCCGGGCCTTTTGAGTCTCTCCGGGACGTGCGAGGGCTCCCATCCTCCCCTTATCTCTCGTTCTTTCTACTCCTTACACGGCAAATAACTCCACAAGGTTCTTATCATGATTCTCATTGAGGGAAATACCTACTAAACTAGAGACAGCTAAATTCACGGGAACATTCTCTTTCACCAAGAGTTACACCCACCGACTGTGCGCCCATTTGGCAAGCCTCTTCCTGCGCCTTTCGACCATAACGTCGTATTCCTTCCTACCGTCTCAATCATCAGAGGGTTTGGAAGAGGAGCCAGGCCAAGACCCAAATCTTTGCGGCTTCCTCCATGCCCCGTAAGCTTTAGCACCAAGCTCTGTGCTAACGAAATCAGTCTGCTCCGACTGGTCTTCAGTTCCCTCCTTCTCGCCTTGAACGCCTTCGTCTTCGGGGGCCCTGCCGGCTCTGACCCCTGTCTTACTTCCAGGGCCCTTCCATGCATATCGCTGGCCCTGATACTCCTCGCCGATGCGCCTAGCGACATCGTTAGCCTCGTGCAGGCTAACGAGGCGCCGTTTGCTGGGAAACCTTTCCAGATACGCGTTGACGAGCTCGTAGATTTGTCCAATCTTGAACAGGTCGTGGTCCACGGAAGGTTCTTTGGTGATCTGCTTGCCCTCGAGTAGGTCTTTGATCGGGTTTCTCTTCTCAACCCAGTGCTCGGAGTGAAAGAACTGTGGCGGGTTTTGCACGCAGGCCCGGAGGTACATGTCATGAGCGCACTCGACAGGCGTGCGTCCGACGGCATTCTCGCGGTAGAGAAGTTCAGGCTTGACCTCAACCATAATTTTGATGAGGTCCGGATCAACAAGTCTGCTAATGAGAGTGTGCAGAGGAGTATTGCCGCTCGCATCCAAGACATCGAGCTCTTCGCCGTTGGAATACTCCAACAATGCCCGAAGCTCCTCGTTCACGTCCCTCTTTTCGTCGTCTCTAAAGATTTGTTTCCGCCACTCCTCATGATCGGCAGCCCAGCGATGCAGGGGCGTACGTCCGTCGCTGGTCTGAATTCCGCTGCGCGAACGCAGCATGTAGCGCCGGAGTTCCGGATCGAGAAGTTGCATGAAAGCACGGAGCTGCTTCGCATCTGGTTGGTTCGCAACCGCTAAATGAATGATGTTGTTCCAATGTTTGTCCCGAATGGATTGATCAGCTCCATTGGCAATCAGAATCTTGATGAGATCCAGTCTTCCCAGCCAGCAAGCTACAGCGAGAGGCGTTTTCCCGTCAACATTCTTTGCCTCAATGGATTCAGGACAGGCCTTAATCAAGTAGTTGACCAGCTGCTCTGCCCGCCCATCATTTGAACCCATAATGGCAGCATGAATAACGAGGTGATCTTGACCATGATCAGAGTCAGAGAATGTCATGTGCAAGAAGCAGGAAACAGAAGAAGAAGAAACAGAGGTGAAAATGACGGCGCGAAACTCACTTTGAGATCCGAGCCATCTGGTCACGGCTCCATCAAGACCACCTCGAGATTTGTTGAGATGATCAATCCTGATGTCACCTCGCGCTGCCTTCGACTTGCCGAATTCGACATAGCATCTGTGAGGCGAATCACCGAGGAAGAACTCGACACTGTCTATATTGCCTTGTTGAGAAGCATATAGGAGGGGGGAGACATGGATGTCTCTTGTCCGAGTTATCACTGGGCGACCTGCCGTTGCCCAATCGTTTCTGTTTGATCATGTCAGTAAGCCTTGGTTTAAAAGAATAAGAGAACCGTGATATACCTCTTTTCCCCATACACAGTGAGACCTTGGTAGTATCTCGGCCTTTCTTGAAGCTTGATACCAGTCTTCTCCACAAGTTGCTCAAGTGGTAAGCCAGCTCCGGTCCACCTGATCATATCTTTCAAGATCTCGATATGGCCGCGGTCGATAGCGCGCAAGAATGCCCATTGAGGGAATGCGAAGGTCAAGTCGTTTTCGTCATCGTCATTCTTCTGCTGGCCTGCAAAGGAGGTCACTAGGTTGTAGTAGTACTCGAGTCCATGGCGGTCGTTCTTTTGGATCAAGTGCTGCAGCAAAGGGGCTTTATCAACCGAGAACCACTCAATGTCACCGCCTTTGCAGTAGGGCACCGAGATGTCCCACGACAGCATACTGAGAGGTGTGATACAACTCTTGACCTGCATGGAGACCTGGCCGATATCTTCAACCGTGAATCGATCGTCCACGATTTCGTGGTAGATCTGGGGTACGTCGCTGTCATCTGACATGTCATCTTCTGAATTGCCATCCTCGCTGGTGTGCATGCGGTACCGAGAGGTGGCCTTCTCTGTCGGAGCATATTGTGCTTGGGCGATTCTCAAAATGGCGGTGGCCACGTCACGGTGTCCTCTGAAGTATGCCAGTGAAAAAGGATTGCTCATCGAGTCATGCACGGCGACCTGTAACGGGGGCTCGTTGTTTTCAGGGTCCCACGAAGCCAGCGTGAGAGCCTTGATCTTGTCCAAGTCACCAGCCCACGCAGCCTCGAACCTGTGCTAAGGGTCAGCTCTGGCGTTACGACTGGGTTCAAACCCATACCACCTGTGTTAGAGGTATTGGATATGGACTGAAGATGATACTCACAGCTCAATATACTTCGCTCTTCTCTTCTCCGTTTCATCGCTGATGCCGATGAAGCGAAATTCCACCTTGAATTCAGACGACTTCGAAAATCGCCGCGAATGGCGACGTCGATCCTCTTCATCAGTCTTAAACTTAGGATGGATCTCCTTGAATGTCTTGCCGCCTTTGGAAATGACCTTTGATTTGATCTGCTCAAGCAAGGACACTGCCGCGTCGATGGCATCTTGCCTTCGCTGTAACTCATCATTTCCTGCGATGCGCGCCTTCTCCTTCTCATACTCCTTCAGCTCGCGCTCATTCGAACTCTTAGCAGTATCGGCAGCTTGCTTCGCTACAGTGTATTGCCAACTGCCCTTCTGGAAGGTACTCAACACCTCATCCATCCCATGGGTTAATCTAGGAGGGGTCGGGCTTGGGTATTTCCATCCTCGCAGTCGTCGAAGGTCGCGGCGGATGATGTCAAGGACTGTTTCGCCTTCCTGGGAGTGCCGACCATGTTGCAGCACTCTTATTGACCGAAGCGGCATGGAATTAACATCGGCACCGCGCTCTATGAGCTCCAGCGTGATAGATGGATCCGAAGATTCCAAAGCCAAGACGATTGGCTGCTCAACCGTGCTGTTGAACAGTTTCAGGTTCTCGTCATATCCGCGCAGTCGTGGTGCTATGCGGGATTGTCTTGCAGACTTCAACCAAGTCTCGAAATCAACTTGTGGTAACGCTCCAGCATCGAGGAGTTGAGACACAACCTTCGCATTGCCGTAGTGAACTGCCTTTTTCAGTGGCCATATCGTAATTCTGTCGGAAGGGATCGCAAGATGATTGATGCTGTTCTTCACTCCGATCTGATCGATATGGATCAATAGCGCCATGAGCTCGGTCGCATTCTGCATCGCCAGATAGTGGAACGAGGTCATCCCATGGAGATCAGCTTGAGCACATGTGGATCCAAGACTGAGGATAGTCTGAACCATCGACTTCGCGCTTGCGAGAGGGAGTTTTGCAGCCAGGACGAGGTTTAAGAGAGCTGCTGTCGGCTGCCTCCAACCGTCGAGGAACTTGACCGGAAGCAGAATGTCCGCTCCATACTCCTATTGAGCAATTGATTAGTGTAGCACATAACCTGTCAAAGAAGCGCGACTTACGGAGCAAAGTAGTCTGACGACATCTTCATGTCCGCAGAGTATAGCAAGGTGCATTGCTGAGCATGGAGCATCCCAAGCAGTGACGTTCACGTCATAGAAGTCAGGTTCGTCTTCATCTTCTTCCGGTACTGTGTCATCATGCTGAGGTGAATCTCCTCTCTTCTGCACGTTCACGAAAGAGCCAGTCACTACACTCTGCTCATCGTCGGAGTCGGCGTCGGCGTCATCGACCATGTCAACATCGGAGTCTCCGGATGCATCCGAACCTTCCTCATCTGCAGCCGACGTGTCTGACTTGGGTGCTTCGGCGTTCCGCTTTCGTGTTTGTTTCTCTTCCTCCTCGGCTTCGTTCGCGGCACTCTGGTCCATCAAGATTTTGACAATCTCAACATGACCCCTCTCTGCAGCGAGGTGGAGCGCCGTTCTTCCGTCTGCCAGGCGGGCAATTAATCTTGCGCCATGGTCGACAAGAGCTTTGACAACTTCGGGTGTGGAGCTCATGACTGCTAGGTGAAGAGGCGTCCGGCCCGTATAGTCACGCGTGTTTGGGTCAGCGCCATCTTGAGCGAGCCAGCTTTGGACATGATCCAGCTCGCCGTCGACGATGTCCTGGCAGAGGCGGGCCGTGTTACCAACGTATGCCATCTCGGTCCAGTCGTCGTCGGTGAGAGGGTTGAAAGATCCAATCTGCTGCCTTCCAGGGTCATCTTTGAGGAAAGAGACGTTGCCAAAGACGTATATCTTGCTCTCCTGATCCTGTACCTCTTTCTCTTCGTCGGTTTCTGCTTGCGGGCAGAATCCACAGCAGTCGTTCTTGACATCCTCGAAGCGGCCAAAAAAGGCAGGATGGCGATGCAGATACACCCCTCGGTCCTTGGGCTGGTTCCACTCGGCGTTGAGTAGTAGGTCCTTGGTGTAAAGGAGCTTCTCAATCTTCTTGGCATGATACCTAGGCCCATAAGGGATAGTGAAAGAGTGATAATTGGAAACGTCCTCCTCATCAACCCAATCTGCAATTTCGTCTTCATGGGACTCCTTTATATTGCCGGGCAGATGATGGAAGTGGAGGCGACTGAGAGAAGGCCGACCCCTTTCCTTGCGGCGCCTGCTGAGATACTGGTCTCTGGTGGAGGACGTCGGTAGACGTTCTAGGACGAGGAGTCTGGCAAGACCAAGAGTCCGCTGAAAGCTCCTCTCGAAGATAGTCGGGTCGATGCGCGACCGTTCCAGATCTGGCCAGTACACCTCAAATCCTCGATGACAGTACTTGCTGAGGCGATTCTCGTAGGATGGGCTGCGTCGCGAGAGATCAATGTGATTGATCTGGGTGATGTATGACTGCAGCGCTCGCGGAGTGCAGTAGACCTGCTTGCCGTCGTAAGCCGCCCCCGAGCAGTCGATGTCGAATCCCGTGAGTATCTCGGAGACACTTTTGTAGATGCGCAGGACAATCTGTACATGCCTGGTTGGGTATTTACTGCATATGGTGATGGCGTTCTTTGTACGCACAGTTGTCGTCTCTGAAAGAATGGAATCGCGGACGGCCCTCTCGATCTCGTGAATTTTCTCAATAGCCTCTCCCTCGGTCAGACCGTATAGAAACAGGTCGACATCGCTCGCGGGACAGAACTTCTCGTGATAAAATTCGCGCAGAGTCCTCTTGGTAACATTGTACTCCTCCGGAACAGGGACCAAGCAACTAACGACACTTGAGCCAGCAGCAACGACATTATTCCAGTTCAAATCGACAAGTGAAGATTCAGAAAAGATGTTGAAGTTGTGCTGAAATTCTTTGAGTGACTTGACTACGGCAGGCGATCCATTGGACCTCCTCTGGTCCTCTGGCAAGGTCATGATGTACCTTTCCTTCTCCTGCTGCGTCTCAACGGTGAGATCTCGAGCTCGCACGTTGATCTGGCCACAATGTCCCCTAAAGATGGGAAGAGTGTTGAGGTTGGTGCCTTTGAGAGCTTCATTGTTGCTGTCTTGGGCGTAGAGCTGACGCAGCTTGGCTTCATACTCGCGGTACGGCTGCACCAGTTCGACCACGGGCAGATGAGAATTCTCATCAATGTGCTTCGCCAGCTCCTTATGGGGGACTGGCAGTGAAGGAAGATCAAGCCGAGACATGGTTTGAGCCGCCGGGGGGGGGGGGGGGGCAAGACTTTGACAAGAAGCTGCTTTGAGTTGAGTGTGCTGGATCCAAACGTGCACCGTATAGAACAAAACAAGGTGAATGGATGAGACAACTCTATTTTGTTGACCAGGACGTCCAAAAGGGAACACAACTTAAATATGAAGTTTCCTCTTAGGCTGGCGCAGCTTGGTGCCAGTCACAGCCTTGTCGTACCACTGATACCAGAGATATCAAGCACGTCAAAGCGCGTCCTGGCGTACGGATGGCGGTATTGTTGCCTGGGATTGACATCGCGAAAACCCGTGATCAGCAGAAACGTGAGATGAGCTGGCGTCGTAGCTGCCTGGACGCGACTCTGACTGTAGGTGGTCAGCGTATCTCTGATACCCAATAGGGAATCGTGGGGGGACGCTGCTGCCTCGTCCACATACGGGGAGGAGATCACCCGGGTTGAAGTGGCCCGTGCTCTCCGCCAATCCCATCTGCTGGATATGCTGTGCTATCTTCATTGGATGTGGTAACAATTCACCTGAGAACGAGCTTGCAGTGTCGAGCTCTCACTCTCATAGCCCAACGAATCAAATGAAATTACCACGAGCAATCCCAAAACGCGGAGGTTCGCAGGCTAGGCATCTCTACGATCAATCATGCGTTGAATGCCTGTCAGGCTGTCGCTACTCGCCTAAAATCTACTTAGGGACTGCGACGCGCAAGAATCAAGTATATTTTCTCGAGGCTCACGTTGACAGTTGGACAGTTCTTGTGGGTTAATTTAAGAAAATTCGAGCTTCTCAATCGCACACAGAGTGCGAATCCTGCCTATGGGACTCTTATGATTCAGGTCCCGCACCTTTCAAGATGATTATGGCTGCTAATTTCACACGATCGTGTAGGCTCTCTGCTGCTCCTTGATGGCGGATAGGTATAAGTTGTTTCAGTTAAATTCCCCAAATCGTGCCCGGGCTAGAAGGTCGGGGGCACTTCGTAGGTGAAGTCTTGCCGCGGACATACAACGCCTTGAGGGCATCACTCAAAAGAGTTTTCAAGTGCCTAATGCTTCTAGACAAGGGGTCAGGTCCTTGTGTATTCATTCTATGCCATCTGCTTCCAATATCGTACATGAAGCCAATCCTCTTCTAAATTGTTCACGCACAGATCAAGTCAAGTTGCCTCCAAGTGCTCAACGCGGATTGCCATGAGAGCACAACCGGCTTGTTCCTGAAACCCAAAAGTATAAGCAGCCGCGGTTGATTGCCACATGTTTTCTCGCTGTAGCCGAGTCTTTCCCGTTTGAATGAATGTAACGCCAAACTCCATGATATTTATCGATGCTCGCGCTCAAATCTACAGAGCGATTGCTCCACGTCGGCTCTCGCGCATGTGAAGGAGGCCTTGTAGGCCGCAGAATACCAGGAAACCCTAAAGGAAATGAATTTGGTAAGTATATGTGCAGGGATGAAATGACCTCAGAGACAGGCGCAACTCACAATGTACACAAAGACGGCAACGAAGACGGTGTTGGCTACGGCGGGCCCATCCTCAGGCTGCTCAATCCCGCCAACGAACTCCTCGTGGTTGTTCTTGAAGGCGGCACCTAGGATCGAGAGGATAACGATAGCAAAGACGGAGATGACAAAACTGCACGCCGTTTCAATCAGATCGAGTCGACAAGCAATCCTACAGCCGCTGCTGCTGCCGTCTGTCGCCTTGACTTACCAAGACCATGCCTGCACAGCGCTCACGATGGGCTTCATGATGGGCAATCGTGGAATCGTAGAGTCGTGGAGATCTTGAAGGGCTCGCGAGAGGGGCAGTCGCTAGAGATCTACTACGGGTTGTCTGGGCGGGTGTGCTGGTTGGATGGATTGGATAGCTTGACGTTGGAACGAAGTCGAGGAGGAGCATCATCGTCAGCTTGCTGGCCAGCCGTCATTCCGGCCATAGCTCTGCTTAGTCATCACAGACAACAATTCGCGAGTCCCGTGTGGTCTTAGCGCTGCCGTTCGCGGGCCCAGCCTCTGCACTCTAGAGCTTCAAGGGTTAACTTTCTTCATCCAGCCGATAACACACACCACTATATCGTTCTCCACCTCTTGACCTCCACCTCGTCTTCGTCCCCGAGCACGCCCATCCTCTGACTGGAAAGACACACCTGCTCTAACACCCACGCTTTTTTGTCTGTTCTCTTTCAAACGAGACTCGAATTACCTGAATACCTAAATTGCCAGACCACAGAGCTCTTACGTCCCACGAAGCAAGCCGCCTCGCACGCAGGTTCCCGGCCGCGACACGGCGCACTGCATTCGTCCGAGACTCGCCGGCTTCGTGCTTCCCAACACACCATTCAACATGTTTGAGGTTCGTGTCTCATATGCATAGGCTTTTTTGGAGGTTAATCCAGGAGGAGTCTTGGTACAGCACCTCTGAGCTGACGTGTCCGGGACACCAGGCATTGCAACCGCATCCGGAGGACCACCTCCATTTGAGGCTGCACCGTGCTCGTTCGGTCGTTCTTACGGCACAAGAGTGAGTATTTCACCTTTTGCAGTTCTCGTACTGCGAGGCCTCGACTTGGTCTTTGGGGATCGCGGAGCTTCTCGCTTGCCAGCCGAGTCCAGTTCCGACAGGCCAACCGCACCAATGCACACCTGTGCCGTCCCGCACGCACCCTTCTCCTGCCGTCTGATGATCCCACCCTTCTGGTCATATTTCACAAACCCCAAGCTCATCAGACGAGTGGCGTTCCACCGCCTCAGTGAGGCAAGATTGACAATCACCTGTTTCTGTCGTTTGTCTCTGTGCAAGAACATTGCGCCGCATTTCGTTGGCTTACGCCAAGCGTTTCACCTGTTAGGCTCACCGAGATACGCGCCGCCCAGCGGACCTTTGAGGGTGCATATATGCGGACGGCACTGTCGCAGTTCTCATTCGCACTCATCATCCTCAAGATCTTCACCAGCGAGTTCTATGCGATAGGAGCGCTTTTCGCCGCGTATGGGGCAGCCATCCTACTTGTGGCCATCTTCCGGCGGTACGAGGGCAACAGGCAGTTCTTCGATCAGGAGGAATCGGACTCGGAGACGGATGATGACGACGGCGAGGGGCTCGACGGGCAGGGTGGCGATGCCGCCGCCGCTAGGGGACGCCGCCGGGTGCAGACGATCAGGAAGAGGTTCCGGACCAGCGGAAATAGTGTCACCCTCCTGACTGTCTTGAGTCTGGGGGCGTATATCACACTCATGGTGCTGATGCTGCGGCTCAGCTAATGAGTAGTGTTGATTTTTATTCAATTTCAATTGGGACACACTCTGTGGGCCGCTGTTCTCCGCGCCACATCTTTGAATGCGCCGATGTGATGTGCCGTGGCACCTACATACCTACATCGCAGCCGAGGGTCGAATCCAAGGGTGTCCAAATTGGTCATGTGAATGTCAGGAGTATGCAGATGATCTGCCGGGGGGCCACTTAAGCCCATCGAATCTCTGGCTCCGTGCGGGTTGTACGACCGGGGATACGCCATGGGGGAGTGGACGGGTGGGTGTGCGTGGTGTGCTGCAGCGTCCATTAAGATGTAAATGCGGGGCATGTGTATCCGGGCCGCAAATCATATGGCTTCACACAGAGGCCGCTTGTGTGTTTGTGTGCCCCCCTTGAGAAGTGCATCTTCAGATCGGGCTGCACGAGCGTCTCGGCAACGCCGCCCTTCCCCTTTCTGTGCGACTCGTGCTCCCTTTCCAATACCGTTTGTAGCCAGGGGCTTTGCCAGAGACTCACTGGGATCCGGAAGGGGGCGCCCGATGCTAGCAGCTGTAGGCAACAAGCCGCTCCAACCTGATGTGACACTAGACATGCGAGCACCCGCGCCCTAAGAGACACAAAGAATTCGAGCTCGGGCTATAACATTGACCCATATAAGCACACAAACTTCTCTCTCTCTTCTCTCCATTCGAGAAAATGACTACTTTTAAATTTGGCAACCTCTTCCACTACAGTCACATGTTTCTTTTTACACACAATTATAGATTGGGAGATCGAATTGTTTACACAGCTCGAAACTAAAGACTGCCCAAATGCAGACACAAACAAATCACCATAAAAACGTACTATGATCTGAAGAGAAATCAAGCCATGAAGGAAGAAGAGAAAACACACAAAACACACATTTCGCCCGGCCTTACCCAATATTTCAAGCTCATCTTCTCATGCATTCTCCTTCTTCACCATCATCTTCTTCCTTTTCGACATCCTTCTTCCTCATTCTTCTTCTTCTTCTCCTCCAGCTCCTCCTCCTCGTCCTCTCATACCAGTGAGAGCCCAGATTCCTCGCTCGCCGTACCAAGACAAGAAATGAAGAGGGGCAACAAAAAAAAAAGAGAGAAAAATAAACCCGGCATTCGAAGATAAGGGGTGCTCCCATGCAAAGTTTGGGCCCCTGTTTCTACACCTAGTTCATATGCGCTGTGGTTGATCCGTCAACGCCGACTCCCGAAGGCACGATCCTTGCGTTGATCCAAGCGCTGCTTGCCGAGGATTACCCCTTTGTTTTGACTCCATCCAGTTCGTACCTGCCATTCCTTACTCTCACGCACGCTCTCCTTCCCTCTTGTCTGTCTGTGGCATCGGGCGGAAGGTACTTTGTCCCCTTGCTAGCAGTCCTCAGACGAGCCAATCACCCTCGTCAACCCTTCCTTTCTCTTGCCGCAGACCTCTGCTTTGAAGGGCTCCTTTCTTGTCTTGTTTTCCTCTCCAGGTCAGATTTCCTCCCTCGCAACCATTCGATTAGACCTTGGCAACTTTCATATGTCTTGAAGCAATTGCTTCTGTCCGAAGGGATGTGGAAAGATCCACCGGTGTCGTCAGGCTTGTCGACCGACGCTGTATACGCACACGCACACGCACACTAAACGCGTTCGCTTCCGGCCTTTTCAACATGACCTAGCGGCCTATCCGATGGCGTGAGGATCTGGCTTTTCTAGGACTGAGCAGTTTGAGAGGCTCTGGCGTCCAAGAGAAGTGACTCGTGCCCGGTGGATGATGAGAACTGCGGTGCGACAACGTGCTCAAAACCGGATGATGGGAGAAGGGAATGGGGTAAGCCGTCTCTTTGAGTCCACTCTTTCTATCATAGAGTGGCTGGCCATGGCTGTGGACGTCTCTCTCCGTTTATAAACGCCATCACCCAGTGCAGTCATGTGGCCCCTCGGTGTTTCTTTTCCCGCTGCAGCTCCTGTCGTGTTGAACCTCTCCTCCCTCTTGGCGGCACCGGATCTGGGGTCTTCTGGTGGGTTTCAGCCTCATCGGTGGTAAGTGTACCCATCAGAGACTGGCAGTGCAGTCGTCATTGGGGCCTGTGAGCCATGGTCGCCGCTTTCTGCCTGTGAGTACCAGCCACCGGTGAAACCGCTCGACTTGCTCGGGACGGGAGCATAGCCGTGTTGTCCCCACACGCCGTATCCGCCCGACTGCGAGACTGGGCCCGTCGCGGACGCAATCGACGATGAGGACACCCCGGCGTGGGGCTCTGGTGCCATATTTGGCAGAGGCGGGTACATCTCGGCTGCTGTCATCGCCGCTGTTGACGACGACGAAGGCGTCTTGCCATCGTACGCAGACGTGGGCGAGAAGGGTTGTTGTTGTCCTGCCTGCTGCGGCGCGTACGCGGGCCACGGCATGTCGTTTCTGCTGGACGATTCGGCCCATCCTCCTGGCACTCCGGAGGGAGGCGTGTGCCTGTGGCCGTGGCCGTGGCTGTACGGGGGAAATGCGCTTGGGCCGAGTGCTGGCGGGCCGGACTCGTGACCCCCATAGGGGCCCCAGGAGCTGTGTTTTCCTCGACCAGGCCCGCTCGTGGATCCCGCCATGGACCAGTTTGCAGCTATGCCTTGGTTGTTGAAATCAGGATACGCAGAACGGGCTAGCGATCCGGAACCCACTGGACGAAGTCGTCAACACACCGCCGTCATTTTCTCCTTCTACTTTTACTCTTTATTTCTGATAAAGGAACAAGGCCAACGTGGAACAAATTGGGGCAGGTGCTTACTCTTCATGTCTGATGACTCTGCAAGTCCCATGTGTTGGACAGAGGGGATCGTCATGGATCCGTGATGCGTGCCGTGCACATCTCCGAGGCGTGCGCTCGACACTCCTGGCGACGAAGACAGGGTTCCTGAGACGCCTCTGTGTCCTCCAGACGGCCTCGATATTGAGGAAGTGCGTGAGTCTGATGACACCGGGTGGGTCACGGACTCGAATTTGCACTCCTTGTTAAGCTTCTCACACATCTTGCACCTATGTCCAGGAGGGCCAGGCTGACACCGGATCTTCCGGTGTCGACAACACGCTGTTTTTTCCCAAAGAAACTCCTGTCAGATCAGCTCATCATGCAACAACGGGTAGCGGGAGTCTTACTGCAGGCTGTTGTCGCGCGGTGGTAGCCCAGCTTGTTCCGCTTCTTGTCGGCGGCCGTCATCTTGGCTTCGTCAGAACCTGGGGTGGGAGGCTCCATCTCCATGTTCGTCGAATGCGAACCGGACCGCTTCAGGTCATATGGCATCGTGGGCGAGCCATGTCTCCCTAGCCGACCCGGTGATCCCATACCCATTCCAGTGGCAAGTGGCCCGACGGGGTAGCCGGCATGGTATGGAGGGGGAGGCGTTCCAGGCGAAGGATACTGGTAGGACATTATATCATTCATTGGGGTGCCAAATGCCTTGAGGTTCTTTTGATGGCTGAACGCGAGGAAGCTTCCGAAAGTCTTCGAAAACCCCGTCTGAAGAATGCTTGTTAATGTAGATTTGCAAGAGACTCTGGAATGGAGTGTCTCTTTTAGATGGCGATTCGGACGATTCGAATCAAAGACTGAGACCACTCCCAGCTCGTGGCAGGCAGAGGATCTTCTCTTTTGGTGGATATGTCTGTATGTGTTGTGTTGTCGAACTTCTTTTCCAAGATGGGGAGGATCCCTTGTTACGTCCGTGGCGAAGCTGCTTCTGGCCCCTTGACCGACAAGGCTGGGAGTGGGGGAGGGGGGGGGGGGGTAGTGCCGTGCGAAGAGGACTGACTCCTGGGAATAATGTTCACAGGCTTTTAAGTCTTCCGTCAATGTCTCAGCTAAGACCTCGCTACAGACGGAGACGGAAAAGGGTATAGTTGCTCATGTGGGTATCGAGAGCACTGACTCCTCCACTCTAGTCGAAGAGATAGAGAGAGAGAAGACAAGAGATAAAAAGAAAAAGAAAAAAAGGATGTCTGCATGGGGAATAGCCAAACCGTGCCAACCTTGGGAAAGGGGCGAGGAAACAAAGAAAGGTAGCAAACCCGCGGACCAATGGACTTGAAGCGTTCTCAGCCAAGTGTATGACTGTCCCCTTGAAGGCGACGGGAGCGAGATTACTACTACTAGAGGCAGAATATTAATGGGAAAGGGTGTTTGTGAGGAGGGATTGGAGTGAGACTTTGATACAGCCTGTCTGCCCCTGTTCAGTGGTCTGGCGCAATACGAAGGTTCGGAACTGCGGGCATGCAAAGCAGTTGCCTTAGCTCAGGGCGTCAGAGGGCGTGTCGCTGGGCATGCGTCTCGAGAGCGAGCTGCTGTTGGTCGCAACAAAGGTGGAGGGCAAGCGTTGCAACGGCCGCACTTTTGAGGGGGTGGGAAGATACGTGGGCGCTGCCCAGCCACGGGAATATTGCGCTGTGCCTGTCCTGCCTGCAACAAGCTGGCCCTGTTTCGGCGAACGAGGCGAGTCCTGCATCCAGACCAGGAAGAACACCACTCGATGGCTAGACTCGCCAGCGGTCCACCGCCCCAAAGGTATCTCGTGCTGATCTAGAAGCACCTCTAACTCGGACTTCTAGCTCGGTGGTCTGGCACACAGTCACAGAATGTACGTGGCAGTGTGTGAATGAGTCTTGCTGGCGCCTGGCGTCTGGACGATGAGGCGTTTTTTCTCAGAGCCTGAGTGGGAAGCTGGTACTGATAATAGAGAGCCAACACTTAGGAGAGAGGACTTGCCCACCGGCCCGAGCTGCGACGCTTCGTGATTCCGTGGGCCGATCTGATGGAGGGGTGGGCACTGGCAGCCTTCCTTTGCTGGGGAGCTGAAAAGGGCGATGAACACGCGCGGAGATGTTCATAGGAAGCCCAAGCATGCTCCAGAGAGCGCACCTTGCCGTGTTCAGACTGCCCTGCTCAATAGTGCTGCGAAAATCGGTCGATTCCTGCTGCTGATCTGAGACAGAGGCTTGTTCTTTTCAAAAGCTGTCCACGGTGGCAGCACTCGGGGAATCTTGGCGGGCCTGACCAGACGCGATTGTCTAATGAGATAATTTCTTCTCTGGTCTTTGCTTCTGCTGTCCTGGCCTGCCTGTGTCTCTCTTGCTTCCCAGGAGGAGGGGACTTTGGCTGTCAAACCGGGCCACCAACGAGGAAAAGCAGCAGGTGGATCTGAGCGGGAGGGAGGACTGCGATGACTAATGGAAACGATGGTATTCTTTTTGGAGCAGGTGAGAGTGAGAACATGAAAAGAGTGACCGATGGTGCTCTTCAAGACCAAGAGAAACTCTCGAGATGGCTCTTTCTTTTTTGCTTCTTCTTCTTCTTTTCTTACGTTGGCTGCAAAGCCGAATAGGAGGGTGTTTGGCAAAAAGAGACCACTCAATAGGTCTGCAAGGCAGAGGGTCCAGTGAGTAAGCCCCGTTTTCCTTTCGTCGAGGTCGAGATAACCCAGTTGAACTCAGCCGGTGAACAAAGCAAAAAAGAACCATTTAGCCTTTGACAAGTACAAGTTAAAGGAGAGACTGAAACATTCGCCGCATGCGGATAAAGGCCGACTAATGCACCCCCTTTCGAAGGTCCTCGTGCTCTTTTTTTCGCAATATTATCATTCTGGGATACATCATCCAGAGTGGATATCAGCGTTATCAAAACATTCAACGAGGATATGAGAGGAAGAAAAGAGAAACAGGGGTTTTGTTCGTTTTGGTATGTCCCACCTTGGAGTTTATCCATCTTGTTGAGGCCCCCTCCAGTTCTGGCTATATGTCTCATATTGTTTTCAAGGCAGGCACATTTTTCTGCGGTTTTGCCAGCACTTTGCCAAATTTCATAGCATCCAGACAGCCGAACTGGGACGGTACAGGCTATAAAGGGCCCCTGACAGCGCATGCCACAACAGGCGAGGTCACTCTTTGCGGCACAACTTCTGCCAGGGGGTTCAGTCAGTACAACCGTCCTAAATCGGACTGCTTACTATCGCCAGAGCCAAGCCATGATCACAACGGCTGTACGCTTCTCCTCGCGCTCTCTCTCCCCCCCCCCCCCCCCACGCGCCATTGGCTTGCACAGCATATTTCAAAGAAAAGACTTCTTCTTCTCCTGCGTCCCTCCATTTGCTCTGCCACGAGTCATGGCAATGCTGCTTGGCATGCACGCTGCGTTGAGACCGTTCATTTTCGGGAGAGGACACACGTACAATACATGTGCCTGATGGGCAGGGTCTGGTGTGGGGCCACTACTGCGTGTAATCAGGCCCCGTACACTATACTAGAGTATGTACAGTATGTACAGCATCACAGGGGGGGAGCTGACAAGGTATGTGCTTCTCACGAAAATGTGTGTCTGCAGCGTGACGGCCACCCCCCATCTTGCTGCTTTGCCTGTCATGAAGCATGATACCTTGAGAAACATAACCAATAATGCATTCCACCACGCCCCGGGGATCTGACGGGTGATCCCACATCAACCATTCAGCGGCCTCCATGCTCTCTCTCTCTCTCTTTCCACCCCTTCCTGCCGTTCCTTTTCTTTGTTCATAGGTGACATTCTTGACAGGGGAACCAGGAGGAGTCGCACTTGTCGGCTCTTGTTGGCCGAGTCCAGCCCCACCCTCCTTCATTGATGCAATGGTGGCTCGCCGGAATGGTCGTGTGTGGTACTTGTGTATGCGCAGTGCACACATAAAGATGCTCATAAAAATAGTGCACACAGAATAATAGCAACAAGCCACACTTTCCACTTAACTAATGCGGCGCTACACTTGGGCTACCTTTCCTACCCAGTCTTTCCTAAAAGTCCGGTGTTTTGAAAGAAATGGGGGTTGGAGACCAAAGAATAACACTCCCTTCTTTCCCAGGGTCTCAGATGTGAGTCGGCCCCTGCGTATCTAGTTTTGATGTTCACAGTGAGATTCTCCCTGCTTTCTCCTTCTTTTCTCTTTTTCTTTTGTCAAACCCCCTCCTTGACTTTTGTCTCATATGCGAGGGGTGGTCCAGTTGCGAGAAAAAGGGGAGGGAAACACAGGTATGTCGATATTCGGCTCCGAGACCCGAAGATCCCGGAGCCGTGACCGACGATCAGTTGTTGTTGGATACCACTTTGGTAAATTTCATGAAAGCCTCAAAAGAGATGCAAAAGGGACTTCGCTCTGTTTCACAGCAGGAAGAGAAAAAAAAAAAAAGCAAGTCGTCAGGCATCCACAGCAGGGTCCCTGTAGGAAGGAGGGTCGTCGAGGTCCCACACTTTGCCAACGCATCTTGCCCCGGTCTGTTGCCAGCCGCCTGAAGTGGGAAAGATCCGGGGAGTCGCATTTCCATTCATGCCCTGTTAGCTGTTAGGGAGGGGAAGGGGGAGGGGGAAAGGGAACGGCTGTAGCCGTCGTCAGCCCTGTTGTTTTGAGGGCTAAAAAGAAGCCTGCCTACAAGTACATGCCCCGATCAGCCGCAGGGGCCAGCCACCACCAGCGCAGAGCAAGCAGCGGCCGGCGGCTCAGCCAGGTACCATCGTAATTATCGTTTAGGTGCCGTCACCCCCTCCCCCTCTCCCCCTCCCTGCTTTCCATGCCCCATAATACGTAGGGAAGATCGAATCAGATGTTATATGAGGCTGTATGTACTGCCCCAGCCCAAAAGAGGGATGCTGGTTTGTAAGGGTACGTGCTATGGTCGGGGTCCTAGATTTGCCGATCATCTCTTGTTGCTGGGAAGTATTGTCAGCAGCAGGGTGCAGCAAATCTGTCAATTACCTCCCCTTTCTTACTTTCTTGAGGGTTTTTCTTTGTTTTCTCCCACCACTTCGTTTTCTTCCGAAGAACAGCCACATAACTCGGAACCCAAGATAGGCAAAGATGGATGCAGAGAGACGAGCTGAAAGGGCAGCACTAGTAACACCTGTGGAAGGGGGTGGCATGTAACTAGCAGTAGTAGTAGTAGTGAAGAAAAGTCCTCCGTTTCCCCCTCACCAAACTGGCTTGACTTTAACTCTGCAATAGAAGATGGAAAGAAGAAGAAAAAGGAAGGGGGGGCGGGGGGGAGAGATACACCACTTTCCCAGCCAGTCCTTTTCTTGCTTGGGGGGGGGTTTTTTTTTTCATAAAAAAAAAAAACTGATGCCTGAGATGGGGGTTCATAATAAGTAATGTCCTTTCGCGGTCAGGATTAGTGTCACCGACGTCGTATTATAGATTTCTGTTGCTCCAGTTATCTTTTGCATGTGCCTGGGGTGGTTTACCCGAGATTCTTTTTTGTTTGGAATGTTGCAAATCAAGATGATTAAACCAG